GTCGATGTATAGGTCAACAGCAGCACTGAATTTTACGCGAAGGCCTTCGCTGTAGGCTATCTGGGAAGCGGGGCGTCCGAGCACGTTAGCAAGTTATGTATCATCCAAGCTTTGAGACATACACCTCCAGAGACGTACTTGATTGTATGTACAGATAGAGCGTACGAATGACTGTCGCGAATGCTGGGCGTGACGGAAATGTATCGTGTAGAATTCTAGGCATTTTGAGCTGAAGGCTACAGTCGGGAATTGCAGCCTAGACGGAATGTATCCTCGGCTGATGATGTGCGCAGCAATCCCGGTTGGAGTTTCTCTCCATGAATTCGGAAGCCAAACATGCGAACATTCTATTTCGCACGGTGTAAATACACGTCCCGTGGAGAGTGAGTGAAGAGACTGACCGTAAATATCGACGAGCAGAAGAGATGAGCAGCCTTGTTGTCCATCTCCCCATGGGAGGGGCGGAGTCGGTGGGGGACTGTATCTGTGGCGGTAGTAGTGAATGACAAGGACAATGAGGATTTGATCAAGGTAGACCTGTTCGCGATTGCGTTCGACGAGGTAAGACCTGGGGGGAACAGACCGCGAATGAGGTGATGTGAATGGGAGACGGTGCCCTACGGGACTGACGATTTGTTGCCACGGGTCAAAGCCTGGCTCAGTGCAGTGTTGAGCTCGTTAAGATGATCAAAATGACGAACAGGGCCGAACACGTCCTCTTGTTCAGTTGCGATGTCATTGAATCCTTCAAAGTGGTTCGTGAGGATAGTGTTCGTTTCTTTGTGAGAGGCCTGCACTCCTCTGGGCCTGCTCCCGTTTGGCCGCCAGCCGGGAAAAGAAAGAATCACACCCTCACGACTGGTAGTATTGAAAAGACTTGCACGCCCTGTTGGATAGCGAGTTGTCACCCGGAGGGGAGATGGTGTTGAAGGTGATCTAGGAGGGACGAAAGCTGAAGGTAGACTACTGTTTGGTATAATTGATGGCTTCCCTCGCTTGACCTTCGTTGGTGTTCTTGGTGGACGATCGGGAGGCATGACACAGTGGACAGAGTGGACCAGTGTCTGGATGGCATTGGGATTCGCATGAGAGTGTAAGTGCGTCTGTAACAGCGACTTTATGTAAAGGAAGAAAGTGAAGGTAGCGATACAACGATAACGTCGGGTACAGCCGAAAATGCGGATGCAGATGTTCGCGGTGTGAAGAGAGTCTCCCGCGAACACAAACCAACTGATGCGCGAACACAAACCAACTGATTGACAGGGAGTTGCAGTACATTTGCAAGGGGGACGATATGTATTGGCGGTCACATCGTGTATTTATAGGCGGTATGACAACAGGTGTTGGTGTAGTTGGTGCAGAACTTAATGAAGCAGACGTCGGTCCTCACTGAGTCGAGGGCAAAAGGAATAGTAAGAGTGAAGGAAGGAGCAAGCATTGAAATATATAAACAGATTGAGAACGACCTTACAAGCCACCCGAATACCAAACGCAATGAATCTAATGTACAACCTACCCTCGTCGGCTAAGGAGACGTCGCTGGGCCAGCTCGAGCGTCATGAGCATTCGGGCGTCATCGATGTTGCTGTGGAAAAGACTTTCTGCACCCTGTTGAACAGACTTGGTCCGACAGATAGCTTCGATGAACAGGCAGGTGAATACGCCGCAATCACTCCCGTTCTCTTGCTGCGCGACGTTCTGTATGTCGGGTGGTGTTCGTATGAATACCTATCAACCGCCAACGGAGGAACGAGGGGACAAACTCACCGGGTAGTGATACGTCCATGCTGAAGTATCCAAAGCGGTACCGCGAAGGGCATGATGAGTCTCCGCAAGCCAGCACAAGACATACTGTTCACGAGGGGTAAGGTGTAAGGTGAGCAACGAAAGGACGGGGCGTCTGGAGGGAAGACATACCGAGAAAACATCCGTGCGGGTGGCATCTTGATACCGTGCAGAGTCAACGATATATATAGCCTTCTCGGGAATGTCGATTGCAACCGCAAACCAATGTTCCCGGTTGACGTTCCAGGGCATGACAAAGAGGTTAGCTTCGAACAGGTCGATGCCATTCTAAGAAGGGATGGCGAACAAGTATGTTGTAAGTTTGAAAGTTTCAATTGACGGCGTAGTAAAAGTATTTGCTCACCTGCTCGAAGTACGGAAGTTGGGTGGGACTCCCATCTACGGCACCGAGATAACGCGCTCCCTGCTGGTATTTGGATGTGAGGATCTGTCCGATCACGGTCGGGCCGACGATCACCTTCGCGGAGCTACCGGAATGATTGGGAGCGTTGTTCGCGGGGGTGTTCGCGCGGCATTCGACCAAGTACAGATACGACTCAATTGCTGCATCGTGTAACCAGTATCCAGGCCGGAAGCGGGAGTAGAACTTCGCGGTGGGAAAGGCCGTAAGCATCGTGGCCGGCGGGTCAACGTAGTGATTAGATTGGGAGCGGCCGGGTTGCAGAGGCGGGTAGTGTTCCTCCGGATCCCAATCACGAGGCTTTGCGCTCGCCTCCATGATGGACTGAGCCTAGAATTTGTAAAAGAGAAGAGAAAAGTTTAAACGAAAGTTAACAACGCTATGGGTTCTTGAGCTCGCCTACCCTAGTCTTCAATGCGTGACTCAGTGGATCCTCGAAGCGGAAAGAGCTCGGAACGAGCGGTACTTCAGCCACCGAGGCCCGATTGTTGGCTAGTTGGGCAAGTGGGGCAGCTGGATCACGCTGACCCATGGCGGCCTGGAGGACGGGAGGTTGAGATACTTTGAGGAGGGAGGGAAGACCCATGGGAAGTGATGGAATCGGGGTCGGGGCAGGGGCTGCGATGGCCTCTCGGCGTCGTCGTTCCTCCTGTTCGGAGTACATCAGCACGGCGGCAGCTGGCGTAAGTCCCGCATCTGTATCGCGAGGAGGAAGAAGGAGATGAGATTATGAGATTAGAACAGGATGCTGCCTCATCGTTCAGAACACGTACCCATAGTATCAGCCGCTAAGGCAGTAATGACCGTTTGGTAATCTGCAAGACTGCGTGTGAGGTCGATAGGCTTCAGATACGAGGGGAGAGAGAAGTCCTCAAGTTGAGCGTGATCTCTAGACAGCCATGTCGAGCAATGTGACTTACAGGAATGGCAGAGTTGGCCGGTGCGTCTAGAGCGGCAGCGAGAGCCGAAGAGGCAGCAGCGAGCTGTTCGCGGGCAGATTGGGGAGGTTGAGGAAGGTCTCGCGTACCGGACTCCCATCCGACGGGAGGTTTGAGCCCAGCAAAAAGACGGGAGGGGATAGTTGTAGCCGCAACGGGAGGTGGCCGCGCCGCGCTGGATGTGACTACGGGAGTAGCACCCCTCTCCCGCTCTTTGCCCTTATCACGAGCGGTCAGGGCGGGGATCCTCTTGCCGCCAAGGCCACTGTTATCGTCGTCGTCGTCGTCGTCAGGCAATAGGTCAAGGCCAGTCCAGGACCAGTCAGCGGCATCGCGGAGCAAAAGATCCTCCTCAAACTGGGCCTTGTCTTCAGCAGCCTGCTGCCGGTAGTTCTTCATCCTCTCGTCGTTGCGCTTCATCCTCTCGTGGGAGTGCTTTTTGTCCAACTCATTAATAAACATGAGGTGACTCTCGTCGAGGTCCTTCATCCTCTCGTCGTGGTGCTTTTTGTCCAGCTCATTAATAAGCATGTGGTGATTGAGCGTCGTGCGAGGAGAGGGAGGATGAGGTGGAGACGGTGGAGGGGCAGATGGGCCTGCCTGGGGAAGAGGGGGCTCGTTTGGAACGAGGCGGGGCGAGGGTGTACGCGAGAGATTCAAGTCGATTCGCCCACCCGCGAACTTGTCGCGCCAGAATTTCGGACCGTTCGCGGGGACAAGTTGTGGAAATTCCTCTTGCGGACAAAGGCATGGAGAGGCGAAACAGTTACACCCGACGGATGAGAGATCATCAGGTGCATCCTGATCGGTTCCCGTCGCAGATGCGATGACGGCGGCTATGATATCAGTTGGTTTGCCTGCCAACTTGGTGACCTCTTTATCTTCTTCATTGAGGAGATCGCGGAGGGAGGAAGAGGTGGGGGTGGGTGCCAGCGTAATGCGAGCACTTTGGTCGGGGGTGACAGGGTTGGAGGAGTTGGCGGGGACGGACATGGTAGAAGTAAATGGATTTGCTGGATTAGGTTGTAATTACGAGTAGTAGATGCGGAAGGTGAGAAGGAGGAGAAAGGCAGAACATACGAGAGGGAGCGGTGCGCATGGTGTAGTATATCAAAGTTTGCGTCTTATATATGAGATATGGGCCGGGAACAGCGAGACCTCTAGGTGTCGAAGATGGAGTACAGTTGGCTGAAACGATGGCAGAGTTCTTTTGTCGTGGGATGTTTCAAGCATGCATGGTGTAATGTCTATTGTCTGGCAGAGTTGGTCTTTTGTTGTGCGAATGTAGGTTTGTTTTCTTTTTGTTTTTTACCTTTGTTATGTTTGTTTGTTCGCGGGTCATCTCGTGTTCGCGGGGAGACTTTGTTTACTGTTTGATGGGGATTGAATCATTCGCTTCGTGTTCGCGCGAACGATGCGTGGGCGCGTTTCTTAGCTTAGTAAAGCAGAGAAAAATTGTGAACCCGAGCGATTGTCAATCTCTCACGCGCGCCAGGGATAGGTGTGCTTTGTCCCGTCGGTCCGTCGGTAAATCACGTGACAGTGATTCGAACCGATCCTTCCTTCAACGCTCACTGATCACTGAAACGTGCAATTTGCAACAAGTCGATCGGTAGCCAGGTAGCTAGCAGGTAGAGCGATCCGGCCCTCCACCTACAAGCATGTTCGACAGGTAAGCGTCATTTGTCTGACAGCGGGTGAATTGGAACGACGAGATGAAGGAATCTCAGGGCATGCAGCATTCTTGGTCAAGATATGCTCCTGGACGGCATAACTCAGAATCATGGTAAAATCTCTTAGGGTGTTGAATATCGTAATCGTGACAATCGCGGATGCCTTCTCTCAAACGATCTACCTTATTCCTGCTGCGTCTTTGCGAAGTCTTTGAGGTCCACTCGATAGGTGTACCTCCCGCTACCCAGCGAGAACCCGGCTCGATTGGGCAAGATGACGTCCGCCTCGGTATTGGGTGGGATTTCGATATTGACCACCAACTCGTTATGGTCGTCCTGGATCTCCCACGCACAAGCGACCCGTCCATAGGGACTCTCCACCGACGCTTTGGCATGGCGCAAACCTCCTCCAGGTTGAGGTCGCACGAGGATCCTACGCCAGCCGGGCGCGAGGGGTGAGATGCCTCCGACGACGTGATGCAAAAACGCAGCTACGGACCCCAGAGCGTAATGGTTGAAGCTCGTCATACCACCTGGGTTCAAGGAATCGTCCGGGAGGAGACTATCCCATCGTTCCCACATCGTCGTGGCTCCCTTCCCGACCATGTACAACCAACCGGGGTTTTCGGGCTGGAGCAGCATACGGTAGGCCAGATCGGTCCGGCCCGCCGCAGCAAGCGTTTCGAGGATGATCGGAGTGGCTGCGAACCCGGTACTGACGCGATAAGCCTCGGCGGTGACGAGCTCTTGCAGATGCTGAACTGCCGATCGTCGTTCTTCTTCACCTTCCAAGATGCCAAAGTGAAGAGCCAACGCGTATGCGGCCTGGGAATGGGAGGACAGCCGAGCATCTGCGCTTAAATAGGCGGACCTGAACGCGGCGTGCATGGCGTGGAAGTCCTGTTGATATTTGACCTTCAAATCATCACGACCCAAAAGGTCGCAGGTCTCGTAGAAAATCTTCGTAGATCCGATTAGATAAGCGTTGGCGACAAGGTGCGCATCCGTCTGTCCCTGATCCGGTGCTTCAGGAGGAGCCTTGGGGTCCAACCAATCCCCGAACTGGTGAGTATCGGCGTGCCAAAGACCGTCCTTGCCACGTCGAACTCCCTGCTCCAGCCAACCCTTCATGCTCTGGAACTGCTTCTCGAGGACCTGTCGATCTCCAGAAGCACGAAACACGTCGTTGGGTGACATGATCACGACATCGCCCCAGATTGCACAACTCTCGATCGGATGAGGGCAAGAGTGTTGCTCGAGTACGTTAGGGACTACCATCGGGGGCCGTTTTCTTGAGTCGGCGTCCTGTTCCAAAGCGACGTCCTCGAGCCAGCTAGAGAGTAAGGACGTGGTGTTGTACAAGAAACACGCCGTCGGTCCAAAGACGGCCATGTCACCGGTCCATCCGAGTCGCTCATCTCGTTGGGGACAGTCGGTCGGGATCGAGAGAAAGTTGCCCCTCATGCTCCAGACGACGTTCTCGTGCAATCGTTGCAAGCGATCGTCCGAACACTCGAAACGACCGACCCTCTTCATATCCGAGTGGATGACCACGGCTTTCAGATCCTTGTTCGTAAGGTCCCTTCCGACGATGTCTCGCCATCCATCGACTTGGACGAACCGAAATCCATGAAAACTGAACGTGGGCGACCAGCTTGCGACTGAGGGTCCATGTCCAACGATGATCGTATCGACACACTGGGCACTTCGCAGAGGTCCTTGTCCAATCTCTCCCCTCTCGTCTAGAACCTCGACGTGGGATAGCGTCAAACGCCGGTCCTGCGCAACATCGTCCCTTGCAAGGGCAAGATCAGGCTGGATCTGGATGCGCCCAACAAGGTTTTGCCCGAAATCAACGACCGTCTTGCCTGAAGGTGTCGTCATGACGGCGACCGAATCCAACGTTTGAGTCGCGCGGATGGGAACCTGGTCGGGCACCAGTGCGGTGCTGCTCGGAAATTCGAGCAACTCGACCTTTTTCCAAGCATCTTGCGACTTCGCTGAATACGTGCCGTCGTAGACTTCGCCATCGTAAATCTCGGACGTTACGAGCGGACCATACGACCAGTGCCAGTCTGCATCGGTCGCAATCACGACTTGAGCCTTGGCCTGCTGATCGATGACAAGCTTGGCCATCAGGCCATTTCGATCGCCAAAGATGTTTCGCCTCCCCGCCCAGGCGAGTCTCCCTGTGAACCAGCCTTCCCCGACATAGGCTGAGATCTCGTTCGAACCGACTCGAAGCATGGAGGTCACGTCGTAGACTTGATAGTTGAGCCGATGCTTATAACTGGTCCATCCCGGCGAATATATCTGATCGCCCACTCGTTGTCCATTGATCTTGGCCTCGTACATGCCCCAGGCGGTGATGTACAGCCTTCCTCGCTGGATAGCAATGTTGTCTAGCTGAAAAGACCTGCGTACGCGGAAAGGGCGTTTGGGCATGAAGGGGTCCTGCGCTGGACAAGAGATCATCTCGACGGAGGACCAGTCGGACCGCTGAAGTAAGCTGGTCTCGATCTCGAGATTGGTTGACCAAGGAGTAACCGACCCGTCCTTCCCGAACGCTCTCACTTGCACGTCGACGGCTTCCCCGCTAGCCAAACTAGGCTCTCCTTGCGGCCAAGGGCAGAGGACCGATTCTGCCGAGTCTATATGATAGCGGTGGGTGCCCCGAGGGAGAGGCCGCTGAATCTCGATCTCATATGCGACTTGCTTCCATTCGGGTACGTCTCCGCAGAATGACCATGACAACCTAGGTCGATCTATGCTGACTCCGAAAGCGTTGCCATGTTCACACCGAACGGACAAGATGCGAATGGGATCGATGAGCATGTTTTCGGGACTTGTGATGGATTGATCTAAACGGGTTGAATCCTTGCGAATCGACCCAACCTTTGCTGAAGCTACTTTCGCATGTTCCTTCCAACTTCTATCATCGATTCGGACAGCCTCGGTTGATCGAGGATATCTGAACGCTCGATGGAAGAGCCATCTTTGCGCCGGTCCCCCACGGATGATTCCGACCAGTGTCCTCCCCAGCGGGACGGGCCCGAAGCCCGTTGTAACCGTACATCCGGTGATTGCTGGAAAGATGCTGCTGAATTGCTGACCTGCTGCCTATCGCAGAAGATCTTTCAGACGCGCAGGCGAGCTGTGAACTCGGTGGAATGATGCGCGAGTTTCGAAACACGCGTACAGTATACTCTGACTGTATGCAAAACAGCTAGAACAACGGCCCGATGCCAGGCTCTGCAGGTGATCGCGCTGGCCTCCCTTCCACACGGATCACACACCGATGCTACGAATGCAAGCGATCAGCAAGGATGTGGATTTCGTCGGCCCCTCTTTCTACCGCTACCACATCGGCTGTTGGCCTCGTGATCAAAAGGTTATCGAGATCGCGGGGCAGCAAACGCGCACCCATTCCATCCCGTTGGGGGTCGGGTAGAGCCCGCGCGCTGCGCGAGGTGAGGCGATTCGAAAGATCGGAACCGTCGATCCCTAACGTCGTGATTAGACCGAAGTCGCTTATCCGCATCTACGAGTATCTGCCGAAAACTATCCACCATGAGGGGTCCCTCCGGGGAGGTCGTAGTCGCTTCCTTGGCAGGCGAAGATCGCCCACGGGGTAGACGATCTCGGGAATTGATATAAAGCGAGCAGATGTCATCCATGGTGGTTCTTTTATTCTTGACAAAGAACAACTCAGACTTGAACATCCACACCGGCCAAGAATCATCTATCTCTCCTGGTCCGACAACGATGAACACGGCTACTATCAACAAGGTCGACCCTGGCGACGCTTCGTACAATATGGACAATAAACAGGAAGTCGAGATGCTCGAAAGTGAAAAGCCTTCGGTCCACTACGTCGAGGATGCCAGTGCCGAAGCTGAGCAAGATATGCGTGGCCAAGAACTTACCGGCTACGAGGACTTGACTCTTTTTCAAACACTAAAGACCTTCAAGAAGACCAGCCTCTTGTGTCTGGCGGTTACCTTTACGGCTGCCGCCGAGGGCTACGAGGTACATCATTGCGCGACTCGTTTTGTCGACCGAATCTGATCGATCCGCCTTGTCCCGACAGATCGGGATGACGAATAACATAAACGCCAATGCGGGGTTCAATCACTCGGTTGGCGAGAAGCTGGTCGACGGCGAGAGAAGCATTTCTGCGGAGCAGTTTGCCAGATGGTCGCCGCTCTCCACCACTGGGCAGGTCTTGGGTCAGGTCGGATTCCCCTTGTAAGTGACGAGTGACATCCCGTGGCCACACTTGGTAAGGGCTGATACCCGAATTACCCTACAGTATTTCGTCCTGGTTCGGACGTAAATATTCCTTGTTGTTGATATGGCTCACCGCTGTGGTGGCCATCACCTTGCAATCTTCTACCACCGACAACGACCGAACCTGGGCAGCTTCAAAGATCTTCACTGGTGCCTCCGTGGGAGCGATCCGTATGTCTTCCGCTCGCTGCACTTAGCATATCCTTCTGACCTCGCCCCGAGGTGCTGCGCAGAAACCGTCGTCCCTCTTTACGTGTGCGAATTGGCGCCTACCAAGATCAGAGGGTCTTTAATCTCACTCTACAACTTTTGGTGCGTGTCTTCGTTTCGACACCGGTCTAGACCGTGCCGCTCTTACATCATACTGATCTATACATTATCCTTAGGTTCCAACTCGGAAACTTTTTCCCTCCAATCGTTTTCCAGGTGCTGAAAAACTCGAACAGGGAGAGGGAGTGGAAGCTACCCGTTTACACCCAGGTGAGCAGCCCACAGGAGTCTTCGGTGTCGCCCTCACTGTTGGACGTCTATTGACGCGGTCTCTTGCGATCTTCGAGTACAGTGGGCCACCATCGCGATTATCGGCGCAGTCTTTTTATTCGCGCCTGAATCACCTGGTGAGTCCAGCGTATATCTCGCTGACCGAAACGAGTTTGTTCTAACTGGATCTACGGATCAACTACAGTCTGGTGCGCTCAGAAAGATAAGAGGGATCGCGGTATCGCGATTCTCCAGAAACTCAACGGCGGCATTGAAGGATACTCGGCTGAGAAACAGTATGACATCTTGCGCCGTGGTGCCGAATACGAGAAAGCCAAGAACGCCGAAGTTCGCAAGGAGCATTGGTGGAACATCTTCCTCGGAACCAACTTGATTCGTCTAGTGATATCCACCTGGACGACCCTCGCCTTTCAATTGTTGGGTCTAGGCCTTTTCTTGTCGTACGGGTCCATTTTCTATGCGGCTGCTGGAGTAGAGGACCCCTTCCTGGTCGTCATTATCAACAATTGCGTCACGCTCGGATCCATCCTGCCCATTATCCTTTTTGCTGATAAAATCGGTCGGCGCATGGTCTGTCTCGTCGGGATGGACTTGATGTGGATCGCCTGTCTACTGGTCGGGGTGTTGGGCCTTTTGAAGAAGAGCTCAGTTGTGAACTCGCTGCTCGTATTCTTCTCGTGCTTGTGGAGTAAGTGCGAATAATCCCCGACGTCCCTATCCCGCCGAAGATCGCAGACTGATCGCCATGTCCCGTAAACGCACTTTTCTCGTAGCCCTCGGATTGCAGACCGCCGCTACTGCCGCTTATGGTTACTTGGCCGAAACCTCTACCCAAAGTCTCCGAGAATACACATCCGGCTGGGCTTATGCTGTTTCGACGATCTTTGGTACCATCTGGGGCATCATGATCCCATACATGCTCGACGAGACCGAGTGGAACTGGAACTTGAAGACCGGTTTCTTCTTTTTGTAAGCCAATCTGCCGATTTGTCCGTGACACATATCCGCCAGGTTTTGAGATTGACGCGACTGCTTACTTCCCAGCGGGATCGGTGCGTTCAGCGCTGTAGGGGGCTGGTTCGTTCTCCCCGAGACTGCCAGGCGCACGCCGGCCGAGCTAGACGAGCTGTTCGCTCGCAAGATCAAGCCTTGGAGATTCCATAAAACAAAGACTGCTACGCAACTGGCCGCGGACGAGGCTAGCCGTCGAGAAGATTCTAGCAACATCTGATACCTGATCAGATTTGCGACACCTGGCATTCTCGTCCGAGAAAGGCAGGGAAGAGTCGCGGGTGGCGAGGCACAAGCGGTGTCAATAACCATGCCTGAACGTATTTAGCGATCCCAGAACTGATCTAAGAAACAGTGAGATTGTAATTTTTTGTTGATGTGGTGTATGTTGAAGTCATGTTCGATGCGATAGTGGCGCAATCCCGATTACTAGCTTTCATGCACGCAAGGGGCGGATGCCGCGATCATGACCGTTTAGTCAAGTGTACACCGATAGTCGCCCCGAGTATTCGGGCCTCTGCCTAAGAGATGAACACCTTCCGCTTTCAACAGCTCTCCAGCAAGCTTTGTACTTCGAGTTGATTATCTGAGATCAATATTCTTAGCGACAAATGAGATAGGTTTCTTCTTACAAGAATGCATCGCCACGATCGAGATGATAAATGATGGTGACGCTTCGGTGCCCGGGTTCTGGCCTATCCGATACGACTCGTAGTCGAATGTGCCACCAATGCGCCATCAGGAGCTTAGAAAACATCTTGCAATGGTCAAGCCAAGTCATTATTGACGAGCCGTGTCTTGACCCACGTCTCAACGGTGGGTTGACCATGCCAACGATCGGAAGCGCGCGCTTGAAGTCGAGCGGAAGCAACCTTTCCGTTGGGGATCGACCATATTGTCGAACCGTTCTGATCAACGATCGATATATCGATAATCGTCCGTACGGTCCAATGCTCTTGCGGGATACGACGCGATCGACCTGACTCGGTGATACTCGACTAAATCATGGCGAGTGCCAATAGTCTGGGGACATTGATGAGCCGGACTGCCGACGAAAGGACCGACTTCGGGGCTGGGTCTGACTGGGATCTTACATCGGGACCCCCTATAAAGATCGCCCGATATCGATCGATAAAAGCCAGAATGATCGGCACCCAGAAATTCGGAAGGCTTAAGAGGCCACTCATACTCGATTCAGACCCCTCTACCTGATAGTCGATCTCGCTGTTTCGCCAGTCGATATCGCAGGAACCACAATGACGCAGACCGTAATCGATGCAGATTTTGACGTGGAGGACCTGCTCGAGAGCATGACAACGGTATGTAAAAGGGGTGACCCGTCGCAGATTACTGGGCTTGAATTTGGGTCTCTTTGCACTTGTACTAGTACGAGCGTTCTTTGTTGTTGGCAGGTCAGGTGAGTAATGCAATTGATAGTAAACATACGATAACCTTACGATTGAGCTATCGTTTTCCAGCTCGGCACCACCCCCATTCCATCCAAAAAACTACCCAATGTGCGCTTCTCGGATGGCCCATCTGCAGCTAACGGGAATGCGTGAGTGTTGGATCGCGTTCGATCGCTCGATTTGGGTCTCATCGCTCACTAGAAGCCCATTACGAAAATAGATATTTCAATGGTCCACCGTGAGTCGAGGGGATATCCAAGCAGGTCCTTATCCATCCTGAACTGCACACGCTCATCAGGATTTGTCCGTATCCATAGAACCAACCTCTTCCCTTGTTCGATGGCGATGGCAGCAAGCTTCGACCGAGAGCTTATCGCAGAGATTGGTGATGCCATCGCTGTTCAGGCCCATGCCAAACAGATTCACTGTCTGTACGGCCCGACGGTGAATATCGCACGATCCCCCCTCTCGGGCAGGGGTTACGAGTTTTCGGGAGAGGATCCTCACCTCTCTGGAGAATTGGCGGCCGTCTGGATCGAGCACGTCCAGGCAGGTGGAGTTATCGCGTGTATCAAGCATTTCGTAAGTCTGGTCAGGCGGAAAGGGGTGCTAAGCAAAGGCTGACCCCGTTGCTCGGCACAAGGTCGGCAACGAGCAAGAATACAGGAAGCATACGACGGACGTCATCGTTAGCGACCGTGCCTTGCGAGAAATCTACCTCGAACCCTTTCGTATTGCCGTCGAGAAGGCGAACCCTCTTGCCATAATGTGAGTCGCAAACGCGCTCGCTTGTAGCCCAGACTTCTTTCACTGACGGCGTGGCGTCTCCAGGCCATCTTATAACATGCTCAACGGGACTCACGCTTGCGAGAATCGATTCCTGTTGACAGACGTGTTGCGAAAGGAATGGGGCTGGGAAGGCTGTACGCTAGGAGACTATTATGGGACGCACAGTTGCATGAAGAGTATAAGGGCCGGACTGGACGTTGAACTCCCGTATGTGTTCGGTCGAACTCTATTATATGACGCGGCTGGAGCTCAGTTGACAACAACTCTCGCTTTCACAATCCAGTGAACCTTGTTTTCGAGGTCCCGCTCAGATGATCAATATGCTCGAGTGTGGCAAGGTCAAGCCGACTGAAGTCAAGACGCTTGCTCGACGAGTTCTCAATCTGATTAAGGCGGCCGTAAAATCGGGTATCTCCTTCGATGGCATCGAAGGGAACGTGGATACGCCAGAGACTCGCGATTTTCTTCGACGCAGTGCAGGAGACGCCGTGGTACTCCTCAAGAACGACAACGGCGTACTACCATTGAAAGCGGAAAAGGTGAAAACAGTGGCCGTTATCGGAGCAGCTGCTGCACTACACCATACTTCCGGAGGGGGCGCTGCGTCTGTCCATGTCGAGGCCTTTGTCGATACACCTCTCGAGGGAATTCAGGATCTCGCCAAGGAACATGGCATCGAAGTGCACTACGCCATCGGAAATCAGACGCATCTGTTCACTCCACTCATCACGCCGTTCTTGCGGATGCCCGGCAGTACTTCTGGCGAAGGTGGCGTAGCGTTGATTGAGTTCTGGAGGACGCAGCCTACCAAGGATTGGAGAGATCCGAGCGTCGGCGAGATCAAGTCTGACGTCTCGCCAGATCACATCTTGATCTCCAAGACTGCCAAGTGTTTGATGATGGATGGCGCTCCTCGCGACATCATTACGGGCGCGCATTTCGTCAAGGTTTGTGCTTTGCGAGTGGACAAGGCAGTTCACTTCGCTGATCTTTCTCGTCAAATTGGGAATGTGATACAGTTCACGAGTGTCTTCATGCCTTCGTCCTCCGGAGACTGGCTTATCGGTCTCACTGGCATCGATCACGCCCTCTTATTCTTGGATGGCGAGTTGATTATCGACTATAGCAAGGACTTACAACCCGGCAAGTTGTTCTTCGAATTTTGTCAAGCTGAGAAGACAGCCATCGTCAAGGGGATGACGAGGGGTCAGAGCTACACGATCGAAGTGCGATGCTGGAACTCGGGCAAGCTTGATGCTCTGCCCGTCAGACTACCTGCCGGTTTTCAGATCGGCGCTGTACCCGTGCTCGACCCGGATCAAGGTATAGCCGAAGCAGTCGAGTTGAGCGCTTCATGCGATGCTACCGTTGTCGTCATAGGCCTTGGCAAGGATTACGAGACCGAGGGCAGCGATCGCAGCACCATGGAGTGAGTGTCGAACGGTGGATTGCGGCAAATAGCACAAGCTCAAACCCGTAACACTCTAGCCTCCCCGGCAACTCGGACAAGTTGATCAGGGCCGTCTTGGCCAAGACCCCCGACGCAATCATTGTCATCCAATCGGGTACGCCTACGACCATGGACTGGGCTGATGAGGCTTCGACGGTGGTACAAGTGAGTCTGAGGCGGGCCGCCGGAGTCATCGTATGATATCACTGGATGATGTTGATATCGTCATCCAGGCCTTTTATAGTGGGACCGCGGTCGGTCATGGCATCGCCGACGTGCTTTTCGGCAAGGTCAACCCCAGCGCCAAGCTTCCCATGTCGTTCCCGTGAGTCAGATGCGTGCTCACTAGTGTGATCGTGCCCTCGAAATTGACCTCGATCGGTGACGACCCATAGTAAAAAGCTTGTGGATCATCCGAGCGGTCGCAACTTTGGCGAACAGTCGCCTCTGACTGACAAGGTCGTCTACGCGGAGGTAAGTTGTAGCGTGAGTATCATCGATAAACTCAAGTTCCTAAGATAACGGCCCATCCCAGGACATATACGTGGGATACCGACATTTCGACACGGCATCTTGCAAACCTCGTTTCCCTTTTGGACATGGACTGTCGTACACCTCGTTTGAATACAGCAATCTGAAAGTCATCGCGAACGGATCGGCTGAGGTACCCGACTTTGCCGTCACACTGGACGTCAAAAATATCGGCGAAGTCTTTGGCAAAGAAAGCGTTCAACTATACGTTCGCGACCTCGAATCGCGTCTCCCTCGACCGTTCCAAGAGCTCAAAGCGTTTGACAAAGTCTCGCTTGAATCTGGGTACGTCGGATCCATCGAGATGCGCCTGGACAAACATGCGTTTAAGTACTGGGATGATCGAGAGGGAGGCAGCTGGGTGATTGAGGCGGGCGATTTTGACATCGCGGTCGGGGCTTCATCGACGGATATCAGACTTGTCCATAGAATTCGCATCGAGAAGGATCTGCAATGGACAGGCTTGTAGTATACCGAGTCAATGTAAAGAAGATTGAACGTAGATGCATGATACATCTAAACACGCGCACAAAGAGCGCTCAGCAACGCCACAAAGCTGACACTCGCTGATGAGTGAATCGCGCTGATATCCTCTGACTAGGTTTGACTGTATTGGACGAACACTATGCATCCGCAGGTTAGGGGGTGATGACCAGACATGTAAAGGCGAGTTTTAAGTTGCTTGTTGTGAGCATGTAATCTTCTCGCCGTCAGGACAGTGCCCGGAAAGACTTAAACAGCTCGATATAGCTTCAGACATACGTATCCTTGATGAGCGCGGAGTAGATACCTCGCTGCGCTTCGAGCGACTGAGTCAAGGGCGTCTCGTGAGCCTGCCAAGGGATGATCGGATACTATACATCATGCTTCCATCCTAGCAACCTCGCCGCCTTGCTGTTGTCAAACAATCCTCGCCTATCGTCCGGCTTGACCAACCACCCATCCTTGATCTTGACTCCAGCATAAGCCGCTTCGACCAAATCCTTCGTTCCGATCTTGTCAAACTCCACCTCCTTCAACTTCTCATAGATCTGTACCTCTCCCTCTGATTTCCCCCGATCCCATGCTAGTTCCTTCATCGCATCGCCTACGTTCAGGTGATCGCAGGTGATAAAGAACGCTTCGTGGCCCCGTAAGAAGCCTTCCTCCTCAGCGGTGATTCCAAGGAAACAAGCCCGGGCGGCTGATTCCGTCTCTGTCCAGCTCCAGAAATCTCGGTGGGTGGATCGTTCGACAGCGAATTTCTCATCGCATACGTGGTGGAAACGTAGGGAAGCGATACGCAGGTTGGGGAAGAGCCTGCACAGGGCATCGGACTGGATTTCAGAGATGCTACAAGAAGCACGGTAGGGCTCAGAGTTAGGAGTAGGCGGTCTACGATATGTCCCTTCAAGCTTACTATTTTGATAGACCTGCACAGTGACGGGAAGGCAAAATGTCAATGAGCTCGATAGATCGCAGTGACGTCAGGCTTCGACTTACTGTAGGCATCCTCCGGGAGGAAGGGAGTCTCATCCTCTTTCAAAGGCAACCCAAACTCCAATTCCCTAAAATTCTTCGCCCTCCGCTCGCTATCCGAGTACGACAACCCCGTCGCATTCACGCTCGAAGCCTGTACGATCCTCTTGATCCCCCGACTCGCCGCCGTGTACATCATGTTGTACCCAGCCGTGACGTTGATGTTGTGACAAAGTCTCGCATCGATATTGATCGGGTTGGGTATGGCGCCCATATGTATGACGCCGTCGATAGGGCGTTCGGAAGCGTCGTACAGGGCATCGACCTCTTTGACCAAGGTCAGATCGGCTTGGAAGAACTGGCTGCCGGTAGGGAGGGGTTTGGCATCGTCCGGTCGGGGTCGTATGTCCGTGGCCAGGACGGAGTGTCCACCAAGAGACAGAATATAGTCGACTGTACGGCCTCCGACAAGACCAGACGCTCCTGTGACCAGAAAGTGCATGTCTGTTGGTAGTTGCGTAGTGGTAGGCTTGATTCGGGATGAGGAGTATTCGTTGAGGTCAAGTTGCAGAAAGGAGGACTTGGGAAAACGTGACTTCTGTTTGCTTCTTCACTTCTTAACTTGTCGCTTCTCCATATACTTGTGCTATATGATCGGCCAGCTAGACTGTATCTATACAAGCAGGTTTGTGGGAAATGGGGAAAGGACCGTCTTTATCGCGTCTAGTGTTGATGACGTATCGTCGATTGGTTACACCGGGGATCTCCCGACGGAAGATCAAGGGTCACGTGAGCTGAAACGTCAGGATCATACTTATCGTCAATTGTACATCGTATATAGAGATTAGATACGGGCCCGAAGGTTACATCGTTTGGTATGGGATCGGGGATCCGGAAGGAAACAACAACAAAGGTCACATCACGACCGCATCTCCGAAGGCGACCCCGCTGCAGGGTTGACCGTCGCCGGCGGAGTCCCCTTCGAAGAGTTGGCCTGCCCAAAAGCGCTCAGAGCGGGACTAGCATTCTTGAACGCAGCATAGCTCGTATCGTTCGAAGGTCGATCCGTTAACTTCTTCGCACCGTTACCGCCCTTGAAAGCGGGAATGACCATGTTGGCGGTGAACGAGTTGAGCGGACGGGGCGGGGGCAAGAGAGGTGGTTCTTTGACCGGCTCGGCCGGGACGTTGGGCTTGGGGATCTCTGAGGGCCTCCCAAAGGCTGGTGTAGGTAGAGGTGGCGGAGCGACGGGCGGTGGAGGCGCGACCCATCCGGCATTGTACATCATCGGTGCAGCGGGATCATAGCCGGTCAGAGTAGGATGAGCATGAGGGTAACCTCCGCCCGGTGGCATGCCTTGTCCGTGCATATCGGCGGCGGAATAGTAGGACGCTCCGTACGAGTAATAACCCCCGGGGGTCATGGTCGGCAGAAGCCCCACTGACGACTGATACGGTTTCGTTGTCAAATGCGGTCCCGTCTCCTTTGAGCGAGGTCGTGAAGCCGCCGTCGAGGCATCAGGCGGATAGACGATCTTCTTCTGTGAAGTACTCATGTCTCCTCCCGACTCAGTGGTGTAGATCGGCCTGACCGGTACTTTGGGCTCGTCATGACCCGGGCCGACCCGGGCTTCCCAAGCATCGGTCAGTTCCTTCTTGATGTCATTCACAATGACCCTTGCCTGTTTGTGGAAGTCGGGATCTAAAGAGTATAGCAGAAAGACCGGGTCTCAGCCAATATGTGCGAGAAGAATTGGTAAAGTCTGTCCGAACTGCTCACGTCGACGTTCTTCTGGATGCATCCCCGGTTCGAACCTTTCCATCACCAAGTTGGTCCATCCTCCACGGTTATGGGGTTGAATCACCTTCGTCGTGAGCTCATTGTAAGCGAACGTTAGTTGAGGGTCGATACACATCTTCCAGGGATCCTTCTTCCTGCTCTTGATATCGTACTCGAAATCCATCTTTTTCTCATTCTTGAGCTTGAGATCTGGAAAGGGAAAGGTGATAAAGCGATCGATGTAAGTGGAGCGTAATGGACGTCGCCGGGAAAGCGACGAGACTCACCATGAGTGAAGACGAGATATTCGGCATCATAATATCTGCTAAAGTTGGCAGAGCAGAAAGGGCACATCCAATCCTCAATTCGGCTGTACCCATCATCGAGTCGCCACCATTTGACGGCAGCACAGTCGTGGTGGAAGTAGTCATCGCACATGGAGCACTTGATGGTGCCCATACTATGCCATGAGAAGGGACGTTTGAAATCTGGACCGCCGCAAAGACAGGCGGGTTCGTCCTCAGGTTTCGGCCATCGTTCAAAGAACATCCAAGGCCATCGATGACGTCTCCTAGCGACTTCCAACGCGTCCTTGCCAGTAGGTCGTTTTGTGATCTTCAACGACTTTTCAGCCGCGGGAGCGTTCGTGCTGGGTCTACGCTGGGAAGGACCCGCCACACTGGCCGATAGACGTCGATTGGGGTCGGGAACGGCACCGCCGGGGCCAAGGCCCCCGCCCGGTTTGATCAAGGCCTGAACCCGCGCTCTCCTGACTTGCTTCAAGCGGCTCAGAAGAGCAGGGTACAGGGACACGCTCTGGGGCTGCGTCTCGATTTCAATGTTGATCGGCAGATCTCGCAGCTTGCGCAACCAGTGTCGGAGGAACCGGGTATCCTCCGTCTTGATGTCGCTACGGGTAGGGTCGTTGATGACGTGGGTGAGAACGAGATCGCCAATGTGCTTGCACAGCGCGACCAGGTCCCGGATCTGCGTCAACTCTTCGAACTCGTGACTCAGCTTCCACGCTTGCATGTCGAGCAACGGCATGAACTTGAGCAAAGACGGTCGAGGTTGAGGTTTTTGGCCAGTCTGATCCTTTGTTCGACAGAAGGGGCACTTGATCACGCGCCCATTTGGCTCCTCGGCATACGTCGAGGGAATGCAGCCGAGATGATAGAGCTCCAGGCACTTTCTGCACTGGTACATCCTGGTTTTGGCGGGCTGTCGGCACACGCAGTTGAAGCGGGACACCGCAACTGACACGCCATCCTGCTCCATGATCCCGTTGAGGTCAGAAGGATAGTGATCGTCTAGTGGATCCAGCAGCTGTCGTGTTTGCTGCAGCAGCTTTTCAATACCGAGTCCCGGTTGTCTCGTCTCGCCGACGAGTTTGCCCACACGCTTCAGCCATTCATCGTGTTGCGTAACAATGGCCTCAACCATCTCTAGCTCTGGTATGATCACACCGGGTGCCTTGGTATCAGCCGTCTTGAGCATCTTCCGGATATGCGACATGCTTTTCCTCTCCTCCTCGGACCCGGGATTAAGGATGAGCTTGCAAGATTGAATGACTCCCTCAGTCTTTCTCAAGAGGTCGCCCAGCTTGGAAGCCAGTTTTTCGTTGACTGGCACATCATCGTCGTATTTCGTCAATGCCACCAACTCGTCCAGGGTGATGTTGCGTTCGTTGTTCTCAGGCTCGCTGCAAGCTGCAATGACGATTTCGGCCCTGCGTCGCCATGCGGTTCCCTTTGAAAGCTTGACCTTGAGATACCGAACGAATTCGTGATCGCCAGGGATCTCGCAATCTTCGGCTTGCTCGAGATAGTTCTCGACATCAGACAGTGCAAGGAATTCTTCATCGATATTGTTCATCGTGTCGAGCCATTCTTTGCGTCGGATGATCAAGTCGAGCTGATGGAGCTCTGGCGTATCCACGTTGAGCGCTTCTCCGCTCATATACATCCTCTCGCAAGCTTTGACATCGATATCCTGCTCAGGTGTACGCAATAAAGCAGATGCGTGACGCCGAAACACGCCGATCGATTGGACCAGATGGCGCAGTTGGACGATTTCCGGCGTGTCGAATGCCATCTTCTCGGCAGTCGCCAAAAGCTGCTTGATGACTTCCTCTGCGGGTTTCTTGTTAGTCTCCCCGAGAGAGTCCTCGTCAACGTCCATCAGGTAATCCTCATCACTATCACCACGGGTCTTGCGAACGCGCTTTCTCCCGCTGGCCTTCTTTCGGTTGAGCAATGTGCCCGCACGGACCATCCACGAGTTGATCTGGGCGACGAATCCCCGCAAAGTAGACAATTCGGGCATGGGATGAGCTATCTTTTCGCCCTCAGCGACGAGTGCTCGCAGAGCTTTGACGCTGGGTCGTGCTGATTCGGCCAATGTGCTCTCGAACCGGGTTCGCCATGTTTGAGGGATGGACGCCCTTTCCGAGACTGCCCGTTGTATATCGACCAGTTGGCTCTCCGAGAACCTCTTGCGCAGCGTTCGGCTGGACGAATCGCATTTACACAGCTCCTGGCCATCATCCAAGCAGGCCACCTGCCGGGTACAGGAGCAAATCACCTGCGAGAGGTAACAGAAAGCTTTGCACTTGAAGCACATGTACTGGTCTTCCGCCTTGTCCGCGCTGTCAAGAATCTCGCCGATTCCCACATCGGTACGTCGCACCTGATCACGCTTCTCGAGTTCGCGAACGATCATGGTGGACAGCCCTTCTTCGATCCTGGAGAGCAAGAAGATTGTACTATCAGCTCTTGCGCATCTCGCTACAGGAATCGTTTTTAGGCTCACCAGACCGCGGACTCGACCGTATCAGAATACTGGCTGATAGCAACGAGAAGTTCTTCGTGAGAAAACACTGGGGCCTTGCTGGAGAGCTGGTATCGCTGAACGCAAGCGGCGCCATACGGCAACCAGTCCGGTAATGCGAAATTCACGGCCTCGTTCAGGTTGAAGCCGTGGTTGAAGCCACAATGATAAGCTTTGGGCCAGGTGATGACAAACTCGTTTGGCCTCTGGTCGCAGACATTGACATCAACGCCCAGCTCCTTGAGCCTTCCCGGGTTGAGCAAGGTAACCAGCTGATACAGCAAGGACGGCTGTTGATCGAAGAGTTCTGGAGCTTCTTTGCGAATGGCTTCTTCGAATTTCTCGGCAGCCGAACCTGGAACGGTATACCACGTCTTGGTATCGCCAAAGTGTTGGTAGTTGATACTGTAGGTGTGATGGTCTTCGTTGTGCCAGCAGAATGTAGAAAAGAGCATGCCGATGTATGTCCAGGGAACGGTCATACCCGAGATGTCCGACTTGATGTAGCGCAAAAGGGATTGAGGCAAAATGGGCAAGTTGTTGAGGTTCCAGGGGTCCGCAGCGTAAGAATCGAAAGGATGAGTCTCCAAGGTAGGAGCGGCACTGCCGTGTGTCGTAGAATGAATATCGGCGCCGTATTCTACCTCGACAGAGGTGTATTGCGATTCGACCAGGTACCAGAATTGCCTTTCGATGTCATCTTCGGTCACGTGATGACTTCCGACCTTGTCTGCATGCATATTTCCATTGGCGTTCTGTGGCAACTCGTCCGCAATCGTGCTGGAATGCGGCGGGTGTTTCGCGAACCAATCCGTCTTGAAAGCGTTTGCTCGCTCTTGGAAAGAATGCAACGAGTGTTCCTCGCCCTCATCGAAGCCGTAGTCATGACCGGTGCTCAAGAGGCAGGTCGGGCAATACCACTCGTCGATATCTGGAATGGCCGAGAGCGGTGGATTGAGGCAGTAAATGTGGAAACCGCGTTCACACTCGTCACAGAGTAAGATCTTGGCGGCGTCCTTGCCAAGCATGCAGATTTCGCAGATGTCTCCCTTCTCATAGTGAATATCTTTGCGGACCTTGTTCCGTGTGGTCCGCTTGACTGGCGTCGATGTCGCGTCGTTGCGACCCGTTTTGCGCTTCCTCTTGGTACCTCGAGCGGGCGTCACGTCTCGCTTACTGTCCTTGATACTGTCGGCATCGTTTACCTCGGTCTCGGCGATATCGAGTTCTTCCTCATCCAGCTCGGTTATGACGGTTGAGACACTCGCAGCACGACTCGTCGAAGCCCTTGATTTTCCTTTGGGCGATATCGTCGCAGCGCTTCGACCTGCGACACTCGTAGCATCGTCGGCCTTGACTGCCGTGCGACCCAATCCCGAAGGCACAGCGGTTCGTGAGGCAGTGCGGAGTGATCGCTTCTTCTCTGATCCAGTGGGTGACGCAGAGAGAGAATCGGATCGTTTATCGGCGTCGCCGGATCGCATGTCGACGTCCTCTCCATCCTCTTTGATATCTTTTGTCGACGAATGGTTTAAGCAAGTTGGCATGAGGAAAATCTTGGCTGCATGATCTTACCTTCGTTCTTTCGGTCGATCACCGTTGCCAAGGGAGCGCCCTTGACCTGCTCGTAGAACTGGTCGAAAGGCTGAACGATCTTGACGTATGCGCTCTTCAGATGTGGCGCGTGGGCCTGAGTGTACGACATGGCTCTCGCCACGCTTCCCCATGCCTTGTTGATCGTGATCTATGTAGCAACGAGATATTATCAGCCTAAATGAGTATCGCTGGATCCACCTGTATGACTCACATTTTCCGCCCCACCATGCGCAGCGACCTCTTTTCTCAAAGCCCACACGTCCAACGGCCGATGATCGATCACGGGGATGATGACATCCGGATTCCCTTGCTGTTTGTGAAACATGTAGAGCTGATCCAAAAAGTTGAACTTGGCTCGTGAAGTAGCTTCAAGAGAGTTCAACCGCTGCAATCTAGTTTGGAATCGGAACGTCTGATTCGGAGTCGAGCATTGTTAGTTGTCCTTTCTCCGATTCCGAAAGGTCACAGGACCCGTCTCCAAACTCACCTCGGTATTCAGAGCAAAGGTCATCTTCCAATCCTTTGGCGGAACAATCTTGACCATCCCCCATTCCTGCCCCTGCCCTTCCTCCCCAATCTTCCTGATATACCCCATCGCATCCCGAAATTCTTCCTTGGTTGGGTAGAAGGTAGGACACTCTTTCAACCCAAACAACCTCTCCCGGGTCCGACTTTGTGGTTCCCTCGGTCCGGCCCACTTGACGCTAGATTTCTGGAGAGGAGGAGCGGGTTGAACGTGGAGTTTCTTCATCAAGGGATTATTGTTCGGGTTGGGTTCTGGTGGCGGGTTGGTTGAGGTTTCTGTTGACGAAGCGCCGTTTGCCGGGTTGGCCATAGGAGGGAGAAGCGAGAGCCCGGTGGGCATGGATCCTGTACTGGAGGGCGTGGGATGACCGTTCGAAGATCCTGGCACGGGCTGTATGGATCCGTCCACGATGGCTTTTCCATCCATCCTACCCAGCGCATCCACCTTGGACTGTCTCTGCGAGCGGGACCTGGCATCTGCGCCGGCGGCCCCGACTGCAGCTTGACCTACCGCCTCGCCACCTGCACCCGTATGAAGCGCTTTCGGGTAATCCAACACCGTTGTGAACGTGTTGATATACTGCGCAGGCACCTCGTTCTGGCGAGCTCGATGCGACCTCTGTTGAGGTGCTTTCCCATTCCCGTTCTTCCTGCTACTTCCCGGCGCTACCGATTTCGTAGGGGTAGAGTTGGCAGCGCTCTCCTCTCTAGCCTTTGCCGGAGCTTCGTCGCGATCTTCCAACTCGGCGTCGACTTCAGCTTCATGCTCGCCCTCGCCCATATCCTCATCCTCGTCAGAAGAACCTTCGTAATAGAGCGATTTCGAGGGGGTATGACTGCTCCCGCTGGCCTGTGCCGCAATCTCGGGTTTCGAGCTCGTCGTCCTCTTTGACCTCGTCGACGTCTTTTTTCCCTCGACACCCGCGTCAGGATTCACGTTCGAAGATGTAGGAGCCGACATTTCGGCGGGTGCCAAGGGTTCATCCTCCGCTTGCACTTTCCTGGGCCGCCCGACAGGTCTCTTTGCACCCCTTCCTCGTCCTCTCGGTCGTCCTGGCCCCCGTCCCCGTCCCCTCTTGGTCACTGGAGCTCGTGGTGGTCCAGGAAGTCGACCTCGAGGTCTTTTCGCGGGTACCTCTGGCTGATTACTATCGCTGTCGCCATCCATATTTTCATCTGCGTCCGTATCCACTTGCACGTCTGCACTCGTATCGGTATCCTTGGCTTGTGATGCAGTCGTACTTGTTCGTAGTGGGTTGTGGACGATAGCCGCTAAACCCGGTGGAAGAAACCCGACCATGATCGTGTCGCTATCAATTTCGCTGCCGAAACCCGTATTCGGGTCAGGCCGAGTTCGAGTCTCGCCTTTCGAAGTGGTGCTGCAAGATTCGTCGGATCGCCGTCGCTTTCGACCCCGCCGAAAACTCCGGGTAGAATGTCGATCCCTATGCGAGTGTAATTGAAGCAAGAGCGATCGTCCCTTCCAGTCTGCCGCAGAGTCGGTTGAAAGTGCGGTTGATATCGATGGTAACGAAGAAAGGCGAGATTGAGATTGAGGATGACCGATCGAAGCGTAAGGTCGGTTCGAACTCGACTCGCCCAACGCCGAGGATTCTCCTCTCCCGATGACTCTTGCCGTCGTCTTTTTCGATCCGAGTCTACGTGGCGACAGCGAAGGTGGTGGTGGTGGTGTTGGTGATGCTGGTGACATCCCTTCTTTCGTTTCAAGTGTGATGCAAGTGTGTCGAATTGATTGGTAGACTTTTGCCCGGCAACGAGGGCGGGTGGGTGTGTCGGGGGTGAGCGAGCGGGGGGCGTGGGTGCTTGCGTCGCCGCGAGCGAGCGAGAGAGAGAGAGAGAGGCGCACCGGGAAGATCGCGGAGGCAAAAGAGAGGTGACTAATTATGATCGAGGGAGAAGGATTGCGCCAGTCCCCACTTCCGGTGTGCGCCCACAATGAAAAGTCCTTTTCGAAGCCCCTTGTGAAGGCTCAAGATGGGTTTCAGCTTTGCCGCCTGTCGAATCTGCGTTCTCAGTCGAACGACCGTCCTCAAGGCCGGATGTCGCTTGAGAATCCACGTCGAACTCAATCTAACAGAGGGTCGACTTTGTCCGCGCGCGCTTGTCTGATGGATGCGCGAGAGAGCGAGGGTCGTGGCACAAGAACGAGGGTATCCCAGTGACAGGGACTTTGATGCTGATCTCGAGACCTTGCGACGACCTGATACCCTTTGAGAATCCCTGCAAGCTCCCGAACCTCCTTCGGAATCTACGAGGACACACCGGAAAGCTATGCTTCGTGTCTTGTCGAATCCCAGGAATCAAGCCAGACCGTAGATCAGACGGGATGAAAATTTGTATTATCTCTGATATGTGATCTATCTACGAAGGATGATGAACGCAACCACACGATTGAGTATTTAACAGACCCCCTATGACACTGCACTACATGAAGGCTCGTTATATACGAAAAATCAGAGGTGCAGGGTGTATTGGTGGATACGTGATCTGCGTTCTCCCTCCTCTAAGCGAGAACAAAAGACGAAGCGGAAACTCCAGCCGATGCCCGAAGCACGCCACCATGTCGTCTTCTTCTTTTCTATGTTATTCCGTAGCCACACCTACACGCACGCAAGCCTATCAACGTGCTGAAGAAGGCGATCTGACCAAGGCAGATAGTGAAACAGCAATGGCGTCGTCACCCTTGTCGCGGAATGATCGAGATGCGAGATGATCAGAGGGTGACACGTTGTGGTGTGACCAGATTGATCGCGGCGTGATGGCGAAAGGACATCTCTTCTCCCAAGTCCGCAGGCCCCCCGTTTCCCTACGCCGTCGTCTTGTGCGTGAGGGATACATGTGGCAATCCATATGAGCTCAAGATGACGCTGCTTTCAACTCGCCAAACAAGTGAAACATTCAGCGACGGAGCAGAGGAAAAGGAAAAAGGCGTCAACGGTCGTTAGGCGTCGAAAACGATCACGAGGTCAGTCTGTCGACTTCCGCCCAGCTCACAACGTGACGATATCTACCTTTCGAGTCATCACTTCCCAGCTTCAGCAAGCTGCTGGTCATCGAGTGTATCACCCGGCTGATCGCCCCCCCCCTTTCACCTACCCCCCGCGACGAGCGGCAGCGACCACGCGGAAGCAATCGGGACCGACCGATCAGTCCCGTGCCGTAATGTCAGAGATTTTGATCAAAATGACGAAAGCGACGAGGTTGCGAGGTTGAGATACTCAAGGTCGGAGGAGCCGATTGAAGCTCGAAGAAGCTCAGAGTCCGATGAGACTGCGTTCAACATCAGTCACTCAGGCTAGTCACTACTAGCTGTTCGACATCTCACGATAGATATAGAGCGAATCGACAAATAGAGACCCCCTTGGACTAGACCTTTCCGACTTTCTCGCTTCGATACCTCAAGCTCGACCTTCTTCAACCTTCGCCGCCAAATTCAACCGATCTCAGCTCGAAACATAAAATGGCCTCCGTATCAACGGCAACAGCAGCCTCTCCCGACGGTCCTGCAACCGCCACCTCGGCATACTCGGGACCGACGAACGATGGCAGGAAAGAACCCGCTACGAAACGCAAGGCCGCTGGGTGGAAACACTTCGTCGCCGGAGGGTAAGTCTTCGACCGCTATCCACTCTGCGATGGTCCTGATGTGATGCTGATACTTTCGGTATGGGTCTGTTGCACGGTTGGTAGTGTCGGTGGGATGACAGGAGCCATCGTGACTTCTCCTTTCGACGTTGTCAAGGTGAGTCCATCCGCCGTATCTAGCTATTTGCTCGACTAGACCTCAATACTGATCCATCCTTTTCTATCACCGCAGACCCGGCTCCAATCCGACCTTTTCCGTGACCCTCCTTCTCGCCCTTCGACCTCGACTTCCTCTGCTATCCCCTCATCCTCTTCAATCCTCTCACACGCCTCGAAACAAGCGGAATCTCTCAGCTCGGCCGCTGCTCTCAAAGCTCGAACGGTAGGGGCGAGGCCGCAAGGAGTGAGAGGCTTGGTATATCATTTCGTAGAGACGGGGCAGATTATTCGGTGAGCCTGAGATTGCGAGTTGTGATGTAGGAAAGTCTAAAAGCTCAACGCTTCCTTTGTTTGTAACAGGGATATCTACGTGAATGAAGGGCCAAAGGCGTTGTTTAAAGGTCTAGGACCGACATTGGTCGGCGTTGTCCCTGCTCGGTAAGCTCTACCTATATCCATTCCTCTCCATGTCCGTGCTACGGCTGATCGCATCTCTCTCAATCTGAAAACAGTGCCATCAACTTCTCCACCTACGCCCAGATGAAGACCGTCCTCGCATCTACCTTCCCGTCCCTTTCACCTACTCACTCTGGCTTGGTCCCTGTGACACATAATGGTGCGACCGCCGCGGCAGGTGCAGAGTCGAGCCCGTATATCCATCTGGGGGCGGCAGCGATAGCCGGTATCGTCACTAGCACGGCTACCAACCCGATCTGGGGTGAGTCGCTCGTGCTGCACAGATTCTGGCAAAAAAGAAGAGCTTCATACTGATCGGGCATGCAATAACAGTCGTCAAGACTCGTCTACAACTGGAGGCTAGACAACTAGAAAACAACCAAAAGGCCGCTTCGTTAACAGCATCATCGTCAACAACATCAAACGCAGCTAAAGCAGCAGCTTCAGCTCTCAAACCTGCCATCCCCGCTGTACCAGGAGCGGGCGCAGTAACGAGCAAGCTGATCCCCGCTTGGACAATGACCAAGGACATTTTGAGCAAAGAGGGGATCAGGGGGATGTACAAGGGGATGAGCGCGAGTTATTTGGGAGTCTCGGAGGGTGTCATCCAGTAAGCCGTGGATGGCCCGCAACCGATGTCACGATTAGGGCACTCATGAATCACTATTCTTGTTATAGATGGGTATTATACGAGGTTAGCCGGCACCAATTCTATGCGCCCACATCATGCCCTCTTGCTGACGAGACCTCACTCACTCGCAATAGCGCCTGAAAAAGATTTCTACCCAGACTTACCCGGGCCAACCTACCCGTTCGAAACTCGCCGAATGGGTAGGCATTGTAGGATCCAGCGGGGGTGCCAAGATGGTCGCCTCCCTCATCACCTATCCTCACGAAGTTATCAGGACTCGACTAAGACAGGCTCCCAACCCGGGTGCGATGCCAAAGTATACGGGTCTATTGCAGACGCTTCGTTTGGTCATCGCCGAGGAAGGGTAAGTTCTGCGTTTTGGCTGCAAGGCAGGTTAGACGACAACAGATTTTGATGTTGCGGATTGTGCGTTGCAGTGCCGCCTCGCTCTACGGAGGCCTTTCTGCTCACCTGATGCGAGTGGTTCCCAACGCCGCTTGCATGTTCACCATCTACGAGATCGCACTTCGACTATAATACGTGCATAACGGCGGTGTACCTACGGCCTTTATCCGCATTCGCTTCTCTCGTTACGTCATCCTATACCTGATTGCCGGCACTCTCTGCCCTACACAAGGACTAGAAATCCTGATAGGACCGTCCGATACCACCCTGCACTTGTTCGAGCCATACCGTTGTAGCCCTACACTCCTCATCGTCATTTGCATATGTTATGAAATCGTTAGAGCATGGTTGACGGTACTCCCTCAGTGGCCGGTATCAGAGCCCAGGACGTTTTCGATCGACTTGGTGGTACAGAGGTATTGATACAAGAAGAGAAAGAGACCACCAAGACGACAACGTTGAATCAAATGATGTGTACGTGCTGAAAAGAGGCAGGCTTAGTCTAAGCTAATGATTTGCGAACTGATCGTGCACAGGTCATCACCTACCAGCTCATCCAAGGTGGTATACAAGAGACCATCGTCGATCAATGCCTCGATCGCGCCCCTATGGAATATATTCCGTTACATCAGCCAAACATGTCGCTTTACACACCTCGTTCAGTTCAAGAAACCCTAGACTCACATGATCTGCTCCTGAGGCTGATTCGATCCCAAGTTTTTGGCGACCACCCCAACATGGACCCCGTCCTCTCCAACAGTGTGTTCCTCGATAGCTTTCAAGATGGCTCGATGGAAAGTGGGCTGGTTAGCCCATCGGTCGTCATCACCGCTCTGTGCGTTGTTGTTGCCTCCAGGTAGGTAGTCGGCGTGGGTGTTTCCAGCTCGAGCAGGGGCGGAGGCGGCCCCTCCCATACCCTATCAATGAAAGCAAGATGAGGATGTCCAGCTAAGCGTGAGCACCTTTTGGAAAATCGCTCCGTGATCTTGTTGGTCACTCACCTTGTTCGGGTTACGTAGTGTCAAGCTGATGTACAGCGCTTCTAGGAGATGATAATGCACCTCGTTGAAATCCTCTACCCTTCGAATGTTCTGCGCGGAGATGTGTCGCTTTCCTCCAAAACTCTTCAATACACCCAAGACTGAAACGTAGGTATCTTGCCTGCAAGTCCAGTGATGATGATGAACACGGATGATCAGCTGAGTATAACGCTTGGGTCGAGGACGCATCCCGCTCTGAGGACTCACTCGATACCGCCTGTCTTGCCATTATCGTCGTCTGCCGTATCGAGCCAGACTCGAGCGGACATTTCACCGGTTCCATCTTCGATCGTGTACGAGACGTTTGTCGCCGTCCTACTGATATTCCGTACCACTCCTACGACTCGCACCTGAGAAGCAGCAGGTCGAGAGGAATCAGAAAGAGCGGCTTCGAGCGAAGAGATCAAGTCGTTCCAGATGACTCACACTTCCTACATCTACTCCATCAATTTGGAAATCGGCATCCGGATGAGGCTGGTCGGCACCGATGATTTGCTTGATCGTGACCGGTCGCAGAGTAGATTGACCGCCTTTCTGCTCACACGATACCAAGCACATCAGCGTCTTCAAGCCTGACGACGGGTGTACTGCATCCACTGACCTTGTTGGTGGTGCCGGGAGAGTTTTGACTACCGTACGGGCTGCCATTCGCTCCGCCTCCAACGAAACCACCTCCTCCACCATTGTAGTATGGGTTGCTTTCTGATCATGTAGCAACAGTAATCAGGTTCCCGTACCGGTTACTTCGCTCGCCATCACGCCTCACCGTTCATCTTTCGTCTAATCTGGAATATGTATGAGGATTGGGGCTGCGGTTCCGTTTCAAGGTGGCCAGCTGAATGCGATTTATCAACTAGCTAACTAGCTAACTAGATCGTCCTCAACTTCTCGCACTCTGAACGCGAACGACCCAAATGCAATCAAACGCGTCGACGCGTCAGCTGACAGAATCACAGCTGCGATCCGCGGATGGGCAAAGTCTAAGACAATGGCTATTTAGGCGGTCTCGAACTGCCCAATACCAAGAAGTCGGACGATCTAGGATATGAGTGGGTACGATATCATTTCAAGCAGCCGCTGTATGTATACAAATCTGGACGATCCGGAGAGTCATGATTTCGACAAGACCGGCTCGAGCAGTGATCAATACATTTCGCTATTTCTTCAAAAAGCCATCCAGCGATGTTTGATGCTCATGTTCCTGATCAGATTCGTGGCTTTAGGGATCGAATGCTTCAACGCCTGCCTCGCTAACCGACTCACTTCAATTCTCGCGGCGTCTGGCTTTTCGTTCTTTTTCGGCTTCTTGAACTCGGCTTCATCCAAAACCTCTATCCCATCGTCGCTCTCGCTCTTGACCTCGACCGCCTTCTTATCTTGTTCCGTCGCCTTGATACGCTTGCTTTGTCGACGAGGCGTACTGACAGGCTCTTCCTGAGCTTCCTCTTTCGCCTTGCGCTTTCCCTTTCCAGCACCGACCTGACTCTGAGGGGCATTCGAATCGTCCCCCAGACCCTCCACACCCTTGACATCCTTCGAATCGGCCTTGACAGGGCTGTGAACTTTGTCCGTCTTGTTTGACGTCAAAGCCTCAACTTTTGGCTTCAGAGGCGATCTCGTCACTTCGACCTTGGGTTTTGCGGGCGATTTCGCACTCGAACTTCCCTGGCCCTTCTCTTCTTGTCGCTTGAAAAAGCTCGCTATCCCGTCTTTGCGCTCCGATACTGGCTCGATATAGGTCGGCGAGTTGGTCCCGACCTTGCCTACCTCCTTGGGGACAGGATAGCTGACGAAGATGTATCGTCAAAGTTCAGCCACTAGTATACCTACATCGCGACAAGCGATAGTTCAGGCTGCTCACCATTCAACTTCTCCGCCATAAGGCCTCAACAAGTTTGCCACCTTGCCCGTCCATCCCTCCCTACAGTCCAACCACGCCACAAGCTCTTCCTCTCCATCCAAGATGCAAGGCATCCGGTCATGTAGGAACTCCAAAGACTTGGAGGGTGTCGTCGTCAATATCGTAAATGTCTTGTGCGGAGGTTCGTCCGGCGGGGAATCGACGTATTTTACCGTATCGTGAAGTCCTGCTAACATCATCAAGCGCGGTGTCTTCTCGTCTGTCGGAGGCAGCTTGGTGAAATGAGGGATCTTTGTGGTTCCTTTCTGCAGCCATGTAGAGGGAGCCGTCAGCAGCGAGAGATGGGTCGTCGGATTTATTTTTTAGCTTACCTTCTGCCATTCATAGTAACTAGACGAGATACAAGACTTGTAAGCGAAGTCGATTACGCATGGCATACCTATGACTTACCCCTGAACAACCACGACACAACGTTTCGGGCCTTTCAAGGACTGCCACATTCCCCCAGCATTGTCGCTACGGGTCAATATCTGCATATCAGTGTTGCGAAACTGGCGACAGATTACAACACTCGCACCCACATCAGGTTCTCAGATCGAGCGTTTATGGTGTTCAGAGGTGCCGACGGTGGGTGTTTAGACCAGTGAGGGATCAGACCCCATTGCCTAAATTTCATAAACAAATATGGGTTCAGAATAAGGCTAAAATGCAGAACGGATCGAACGTTCAACGAGACCAGCTCACATCGTCTCGATGGAGAGTGCTTGATCCCCCATGTCGATCCCCGCATCACCCACCTCCTTTAACTTTTCGTCCGACTCTCCCTCGCTACCTCCGCCTCGAAGTCGAGCAGCCGTAGGCCGCATGACAATAACAGGGCAGTTGCTCCTCGGCGCCACATTGAAGTTCTCGGGTCTCCACCTCTCTTCGTCGTCCCAAGGGATGGATTCCGCTCGTTCTCTACGCCGTCTGTTCTCCCTCTCGTGTTGACTGAGACCGTCGCCATCCTCCGGCTCAGACTCGACTTCGCTATCGTTGTTCCGTCCCTCCTCTTCTTGTTCTTCAGTTTCGTCGACCTCTGGTGTCTGATTTACCGGGCCACCCCTTCTTCGCTCCCGCCTGATTCGGTCACGCTCCCTTCTGTCCTGTCCCAGTTGTGCTCGTCTCTGCGCCTCAGGGGCTCCCCCGCGACCTTGTTGACGATCAAGAACTCGAGGGAAACGATCTGCCGCTGCTAGACGGATGTCGCCTCCCTATGTGGCTAGTAATGGATCAGGGATACGACTCGACGGAAGTGAACATGAGCGAGAGAGCTGCTTACCGAGACGCCCAAAGCGAATCTGCCGCACATGTCTCTAGATCAAATTGATGGCTGGCAGGTAGGGGGTCTAGAACTTGCGATACGGATTGTAGTCAGTCAGATCTAGAAGCTATACGGAGCAGTAACCCTTGGATCACCCTGTAGCCTGTAGCCTGTAGGCATGCAGTCTTACTCGAGTACGATCGACGGCCGGAGATCGGGGACGGTCGACGCGATTACGTCATCATTCGTTGGGGCAGTTTCATCATCGTCAATGCCCGAGCCTCTCGAGGATCGAGTTTTGGGTTCGAGAGAATTTCATCAAATTCGTAACGGGCCTGCATAATTGCATAACAACGTCCTCGATCACGACTCAGATCGCCCATCCAGATCATTCAGATTCGACCAATGATGACCTATATCATATCGCTGAAGACGATGACCAGCTACCAGGAACAAATTGCCCATTGCGTCTGATCTAGATTGGCAGTTCCGCAAACCGTCAGCAGTTGCGATATCCTTGCGGACGTCGGTGAGACCTTTTCGGGTTGGACTTTTGTGATGGAGACATCTTGATCCTCTGAACTCGAAGAGATGGCCAAAGTGGGACCGTCGAAGTCGATGATTCCGCTCTGGAATGGCCTGGGATCGTCCTTGCTGTCCTCCTCGTATTTGCTCCTCAGGAGAGCGGGAGTTGTTCGTTAATCAAAAGTGCGCCTAGGATCGAGACTGGCTTTGTTTTGAGCTTCTTTGGCAAAGGGGAGGTGCATCTTTTGCCTTTGTCCTGGATGAGGAAGTTTTGAGGACTGTCCTTACCAAACTCAAAGGTAAGTGAGAGCGGTGTGTTTTGCAGCCCGTCTCCGTATAATCGCCAAGAGGATCGGTTCGCAGTCGCCGTAACCATATGTCCCTGATGGACAAATCTCAGCCCGATACGGCAAACCAAGCAACGGATGCCAGTATGCTGAATATGAGTGATGACGGTCACCACGAGACCAGTCTATCTGGAGGCTTGAGGAGTGTTCTAGTTCTCACTTCGTCGCAAAGCTCAATCATAGGCACAGAATGAGGCGGACTGGATTATAGTAGATGATGTAATGCGTCGGCCGGTCATGCGTGTTCGTACAACTGATAATTGGCTACAATGGCGGGCGAAATCTCCCTCTATATTCAGACCACGCTCGATCCATTCCGCTGACTCCGGAACGTCGACATATTGGAAAACCGGGATGTCGTGCCCGGGTTAGTATTTGATTCGTTCATGTTCGCGTTGGCGTTGGCGTTTGCATTCCCGTTGCTCTGTTTCTTGCCCGAAAGCATTTCCTCGGCCGTAACACCTGGGCGCCAGCTGTGCCGACTTTGATTTGTGGGCGTCATCAGACCCTTCCGCACTTTTCTTCGAACTATCCGTTTTGTACTGGTTTGAAAGGCAGAGATCAGCTATAGCATAGGTGGATGTAATAGAAATCCACTCACTTCCACTCTACGAAACCGTAGATGAAAGCGTCTACCGCACCCTGCGCAAAGATGAACCTGTAGAGCGGATTCGTCCAGTATCAGCTACCCTGCGCACAAAGCAGCGTGCGATTTGAATTGCTGTGGACGCTCACCATCGAGATACCGCCCTCAGCGCTACTGGTTCATCCTTACTCGCAAAGTCGTAAATCAACCGCACGAGCGAGACTGAGAATAGCAAGCAGTAGCTACGGAAAATATACGAAGGTGAGTGGATAGATTCTCGTCACGTCGGCAAAGGACTTGTCACTCACGCAAGGGGAAAGTACAGCATCAACATGGCGGTTTTTCGGTTGAGATAGCTCGCTGTTGATTCCTGCTGCAACATGCTATCTTCGCTAGCCTGCCGTCGATCCCTTCCACGTTCATCGTCATCCCCACCCTCTTGCCGCAAGAACTGCCCAAAGTCCATCTCGCCGTCATCCTCCTCTTCCTCTTCCTCCTCCTGTTCTTCTTCACTCGAACCGCCCCTTGCACTGCTGTCTCTGACCGTCTCGCTTGCAGATACAGATTCTCGCGTTGTGTGCATCGATTCTGGACCTTCGACATTGCTCATGACAGACTCTTTGCGAGGATATGTCGGCAACACGAAACTGACCGGTCCAGAACCACGGCGAGAACCGTTGTCCGAGGAAGCGTTGCACGAATCCTTCCTGATGCCATTTTGACAAAAAGGATCGGCTGACCCTCTTCTCATTGCCGGTAGCAGCACTTGCATAGAGGACGAAGTGGAAGGTGTCAAGGTGGTCTCGCTGGGAGGTATTGATGGCGCGAGCGGTACTCGATACTCTTCGGAGGAGTCCTTGGGATCAACCTCCTGCGTGATATAGGGCATTTTGAGATCGCCAGGATGTCGGCGAGGTTTATCAAAAACGCTACTCGAGCGCAAGTTTTCTGCAGTGAACGTCGCGCATTCGGGGGAGATGGGAGAGGGTTCGGTGATCTGGGTTGTCGGCAATGACTCCTCAAAGACGACTGGAGGCAAGAACGGCGTTCCCGAAGATCCTCTTGGAGGAATGACTGTGCCCACCGACGATTCCCTGCTCCGTATGCCTGTATTGTTGTTCACCTCCCGGCTGATTCTCTGCGGGTTGATGGTCCCATCCGTTCGATTCGAATGTGCGCTGGAAGTCGCCCGTTTCCTACCCATCTTGAAGTCTCCCCAAAAGCCGGAAGGAGCGGCGGGCGCAAGAACGCTCGATCCAGAGCCCCCATATCTCTGCCCATCCACCTCGAAAGGTGGCAACTCGAGTCGTTCCCAAGGCGGTATTTCCCCGACATTCCTCACGTTTGCTGATGTGACGCCTCCCGTGTTGCCAATCTGCTCCATCGGTCGTTTCTCTTGTCCGAAATCTTTGCCTTGTACGGCCCTCTCGTCGGCTTGCAGATTACCCAACTTGATCCCGGTACTTTCGGCATCCCTCGTCCGCTTCTCATCGTTACGTTGCAAGACCTTCGGCTTGAAAGAGAACGACCGAAACCCCTCCCTAATCCTTTCCCTAGAACTCGCCCGGCTCCTCCTTCGCAGCCTCCTCAACCTTCCTCTGGTTCCGTCTGTCTCGCCGTCTCTCGTCCCAGCTTCGTCCCCACCCCCATCTATCGATTGCATCGACCCCGAGCTGTCCGTCTGCCAAGTCCCACCTCCCCCAGCGGTTCCACCGGGACTCGGAGAGAAGGACGCCCTGATCTTGTCCGGTCGCTTGAGAAAGACGTATAATCGGGCGTAGAAGAAGAAGATGGCGATGAACACCAAGGCCCGGGGTATGAATTGCATGAGCTCCCCATAGAGACCCGAATTTGCCCCATAGTAACAGATTCCGCCGACTAGTAGTTTACACAAGAGACGCATTTCAGATCCATCAATCCGTCATGTACACATACTGTCGACCTGACTTACCAGGCCAAAACCCATACACGAAATAGGTCACCAGGGATAGCGCAAAACTCAGCACGTAGATGACGACGAAGAACATCCACCATGACCGTTCGAGGTGTCTAGTAACGGGATGAAGGGGCTAAAAGGAAAGGACGTCATGGAAGATGTCAGCGACGTCGTAATCGCCAAGATCTATGATTGTACTCACGTAGATAAGAATCATGTATGTCGCGAAAGCCAAAGCGAACGTCCATAAATGTTCTGCCGAGACCAAATCCAGATCAGCAACCTTTCAACAACCTGTGTCGTCACACATGAATGGTTTAGAGCCGACTCGTACCTGTCCATAGGATTGTGACGAGAAGCAACCCGAAAGCGTCGCAGAACGACGATCCGTGTGGATGGTTCTTGCCCCGAAGAAATTCGGCGCTCGTGCACATTCCGAAGATTCTGTCATGCAGGTGAGTCAGTTCTGAGTAAGTGACAGGACCTGTAAAGCACCCTACGAGACGAGCAGCTTACCCTAGTAACAGATCGCTAAACACCAGACCCTGGACGAGTCTCATCCGTACGGTAGAAGCTCGTTTTTTCCACAACTCCCGCCATATCATGTTACCCAGGATCGCCGCCGCTCCGACCATAGTCGTCGCCTGAAATATACGAACAAGAGTCAGCGGGATGCAACATCGAAAGGACATGGTACGACATGGTCTTGTTGTCGAAACGTGCCGGAAGCCGAGTGGAACTTACGAGGATGACGATGTCGACAATGACGATCCATTCCCTTCCCTCGACCGGAGTCCCCGTGCTGACACCTCCTGCATTTGACGTCTGCGCAGCCGCAACGGGTATCAGAGCGAAGAGGAACGGAGCTATCGCTATCGGGTTGACCATCGTTTTCCAAGACGATATTGGCGATATCCGGAACGCTCTTGGTCGATCAGGCATGGTAAAGGGGTAGAGACGTTGTCCGTGCGAGGTCTTGCGAGGCCATGGGCGGTTCGATCTGCTGGTTCCGACTATCTATGCAAGGTGGTAAGATGCGGCGTATGATCGTCTGATTCGGTGTGCCGGTAGGTGTCGTATCAAGCCAGGGGATTATACTCTGACGGTCCGCTTCCCTGGTTTGTATCCCGTCCGTGACGCTTTCGACGACAGGCAACTATGACGAGCGGGCGAGCGGGGGGGTCCTTTGAGTCTATTGATTATCTCGATTATGAATGGTGGATGATGAGAAGGTCACCTGGGTCACTGGCTGAAACAGAAGAAGAAGAAGAAGAAGGTTGTCGATCCCACTTGTCCTTGGTTGTTGGTTGAATTGGTTGTTGTCATGAACCGATTCCCAAGCGACAAAGTGAACAAAAGCGACAGAGCGAGGATGGCCGAGGGGAGCGAGCGAGGCAGGGATCGTCGCTGTCGTGTTGCGTCCGTCGAAAGCGGGCCGCGGTTCGAGAATGGTCGAGATGCACCGGGTGGCTCAAGTATCCCGTCACCGACAACTGTAAGCCTGGACTTGCTAGGACGATGTCAAGGGCGATCCGAACGACAGCTATGCCCACTAAGGTTGGGTGCATGCATGCATGTCGTAGGTCATGTTGGGATGTGTGCGTGTGTGCATGTGAGGTCAAAGCTTGGAACGGAAAATGCTGCTCGCCGAGCCCTGCCTCTCTCTCTCGCGCGCGCGTCGGTACGCAAGCGCCAACAAGCAAAAGAGCGAGAAAACACGGAAATGGCAAGGGGGGAGGGACAGCTACAAACTGCTGCTCAACCACCTGCCTGCCTGCTGTTTGGTAATTGGTAATTGGTAGCTACTAGTCAGTAGCCAGTGATCGATGACGGAATACCACAGTTGAGCGGTATCGACTGCTCTTTGATATCGTCCGGTCGCTCCAACTTAGTACGTAAAAATTGCTCAAATCCGCCATTCCGGCTAGCATATCGGCAAGAGCAGTAGGTAAAAACAAATCCAAGCCCCATGATGCATACGCCCGCTTTTTCCAGCTATTCCGTAGATCCGTAGATTGCTATCGAGTCCGAGATGATTTTAGATGAAGTACCTCCGCTCGAAACCCATTCACTGATACGAGGCTCGATCTCCAGGATATCCATACGACCGAAGCGCATCGAGGATGGTCCTAGAGAACGTTGCTTTCAGCTTTCAGCTATCAGCTTCGCGACGTCATACCGTTGTTATTGCCGGTCCTCGGGGTTCCTACGTACAAACCGCCATTCTTCCAATTCCCAGCTCGGCCCTGCCTCGGGCAGGGACAAATAATGTCAACGCTCAGCCATCAGCCAAGAGTGGCTTTTCCCTCTGCCGCACGCGAAAGACCAAGCCATTCACGTGACAGCTGCATGTGATGGCTGCCGGTCGAGCAAATAACGTTTCGACTACTCAAAGTCCCGATCGCCTTGACCTACGATGGCATCTCGACTGGCAGGGTATATGGGCCTGGTACCTGTTTCATCGATTTCTGCCTGGCGTGGCCGCTTCCCTTTCCTCATGGTTACAACCCACTTTGACAACAACGGGAAACCTTTTACCAATCCCACGATGTATCCTCCTGGACTGGATCATCTCTTGACCTGGGCTCATGGTCCAGGTCAGTGTCTATTAATCCAGCGGGAGCACGACGTCCGTCACCCTCCAGCAACGGTCCGCCTTTCGATATCAATTCCTTCTGTCGTCGGGTCGGCATCGGCGGGACACGTTTCCGTCCATCGCTTTCACGATCACGGAGTCGACCGTTCCTCGGCATCGATTGGTCTTCGAAAGTCTCACCTTCGGCGGACAGCGAAGGAGACGTCAAGGCCGCCAAGTTGGGTGTAGGCAAGGCTTGCGAGATGAGGTTATAAGTCTCTGCCCTGCGGTATCTCGTCAGGTCAGCCTCCTCATCTCGTTACATACAATCGCTCGGCTGGCTATGCACTCACAGTGAGCTCGAGAAGAACGCGCTCGCCCTCTTGGAACCCGCTTGAACCCTAAAGCGTGCAGAAGTGCGATGTCACGTCAACACCCTATCCCCCTTTTTCAAGCCCACGCGACTGAGCCGGACCAGGTAGATTGTAGACTCACTGTGGATTACTCATCACATCCCCCCACTTCTTCGTCCATCCACCAGGATCTACCATCCCTTCCAACGCCTGTCCGAAGCCGAGTCCATTCAATCCCTCGTGATCCGCCGATCTCTCGTCCATCCGGAACTGGTTCTGTGACGAATCCGACCTCGTTGTCGTACTCGACGCTGCCGACCCTCGTCTGCCCATCACTTCCATGCTCGGCCGGGCTTGCTGAGCTCTCGCCTGGGTCTGGGTTTCCTTTCCCTTGGATGTAGATGAAGCGCTGCTCAGCGGGAATCGACCTGCTGAACTCCCAGATCCGGTTCCTGCAATAAGGCTGACCGTCCTAGCGCTAGTTGTCCTGACTGCTCTTGCGGGCTTGTTACGGTCGGTAGACCCATCGCCATCGAGTTGGGGTTGTCTTTGCGGTTGTAGTTGGGGCTCGGACTGGCCACCGAGGCTGATCGACCCCATCAATTGTCCCAACAACTTCTTTCCTCCCTCGATAGCGACCGACGGGTTGATCATCTCTCCCACAGACAATCCCTCGCCGTCATCTTGACTGTGGTCCCGATCTTGACTTGACTTCCCAAACGGAGGATGCGCTCCAGAGTGCCTATCAGAGGAAGACATCCAGTTGGAGGAGGTGGATGGGACAGACGTCGTCGTGGACATCATGGCTGAGCGGGACACGATGGATTCCCACCTCTTCTTGAGGTCGCTCAATTCGCTTTCCTGGTGAGCGAGTTCTGCTTGACGTACGTCGATGAAGAGAATGTCGTGGAGTCAATTCCAAATCCGATTTGAACGGGATGGATTGATGTGTCGCAGCGATCAGCTGATCAGCTTATGATATGTGGAATGCAATGTACAGAAAGCTTGCCAGGCGTGGCTCACCTTGCCTCATCTCGTTGACCATCGTCTCCTTTTTCGCGATCTCGCTCAATAACTCCGCATGCCTCTCGACCAGAGTCAACGGAGCCGTACGTCTTGGGCCCATTCCCATTCCTGTTCCTACTCCCGCTTTTACCCCTGTACCGCTGGTGGTACTGCGGCCCATCATTACGCTCTTCCTCCTGTTGAACTCATGCTCCTGATCCTGATTCAAACTCTGACCCCTCTCCTGCTCATCCTCGGTTTCATCTACCTCGATTATGCTCCCCCTAGCAGAATCCCAAGAATCTCTGCCGACTTGCTTTTCATAGCTCCTCCGCCTCGCCCGTCTCACTTGGGGCGTCCGTCCTCGAGGGGGCGCTTGTCCTGAGAAAGTTCGGGGAGGGAACTGTAGGCTGACCGGTCGAGCACGTTGGTGCGGATCGAAATTCGGATATGAGTTGGAGTTTCGGTTTGGATAAGGGTCTGATCTGTATGATGTAGGCGAACCCAATGATAAAGAGGTCGAAGCCGATGTTGACGTTGATGTTGGACGTCGAGGTGTGGTCGGAGACGATGTAGACGAAGAAGATGCTGCCGGCAAAGACATCTGATGTGGGTAGTCGGTTCGTGCTGGAGGCGAGTGGAATCGCATCAGAACTGGGGAATCTTGCATGGCATCCTTGACTTCCTCTTCGACATTCTACCAAAAAGCAATCACCCTAGTAAGCTCGTCTATACTGCACGGTGAACAACCATCACTTATGAAATACATCATGACTCACGGAGGTCGTCACGCTACTATGCCCTCCGCCCAAGTTGAGCTTTTTCAACCTGAGCTCTGGCCTGTGTATGGGCGGTGATGAGAATGATGCCTTGGCTGGGGATGCCGGCGGGGTGAGGTGCGGGGTCGCGAACGGGCTGATGTTGTCTATCAAGTTCATGGCGAGCTATACACGTCTTTGCTCCCCTATGGTCTGCTCGTAGTGAGTCGGTCAGAGATGACAAGGTGGGTAAGAGTTTCACGATGACTACATGACTATATGATGCGAGATGATGCCATGGATCGACTTTGTTTACGATTTGACGAAGCCCTAGGGGGTCGGGTCGAGGGTTCTCGGCGCGGAGCCTATTCCGGGGGGAAGCAAGGGGAGGAGGGGAAGGCCGCCGGTACTGCAGTTACCCATCTAATCTATCGCTGAGTACGAGTACTCTGTTGCTCTCTCATCCTCTTGTCTACTCTCGACTCTCGAGCTATTCTCACATCTCTCACATCAGATCAACCTCTGAGCGGAAATCTGACAGCTTCTTGAGAATGGCCTTCCCTCACCCATTCTCTGCCAGCTCGAAACCACTCCCATCCGCCGACTATTGGTCCACGACCAACCCGCTACCCTTCGCGGCTACCTTGAACCAAGGACCTCTCTTCAGCGGGACGGACTTCAATGGCAAGGGAAAAGGCAGGGAGAGAGAGAGGTCTCGAGAGCAAGAGGAATGGCAGAATGGGTCGGCCGCTGTGAGGAGGTCGGATCTGGCTCAAGGTCTGGCCCAGCTTGACCTTCAATCGATCCGGCCCCTACCACCTCCCCGTTCGCCTGGATCGTCCAGTACCTTCTCGCCAACGCCCACAGAAAAGTCTCTGCCTGACGATGACGACGAGGAGCTCGACCCTCAGCTTTTAGCAGAACGCAAGATCGCTCACTGCATAGCTCTCGACGAGCCCCGCTTAGATCTAACCGGAATGGGTTTGCAATACCTTCCGGACGATATCGCCAACATGCGGTACATCTTTCATCTGGAAAGGAGGACATCTGTGTCGATGTCAGGGACGGCGAAGGGCGAAGGTATCGGTGTTGGAGATAGGGATCCTTATAGGACGCCTCCTGGCTCGCCATCCGTCAATAGAGGAAGTTCAGCACGAGCAAATAATCGAGCATCACCAGCGGGTTATCATCTACGCGGACCGGATTATCACAGACCCTGGGCGCGTTCAACCTCCCTTCCAGCGTCCATGCTTCCCACTCCTACTTCTTCAAGCATGACCTTCGGAGAGACGGAAGGAGGTCTCATCTCGCCCTGGAGGCAAAACCTACGAGGGTCTTATTCCAACCCACTCGGGCTAGGACCCCCTCCTTCAACACGATCCGGAGGGGCGTTCGGTGGGTTCTTGCCGCCGGGTTCGCCGGTCCTTGAACGAGACGACGAGAATATTGATGATGATGAAGTAAACGAGGGAGATGGAGATGGACCGGCCGGATTTCCCCGTAGAAACGCGTCAAAGTCCAAGCAGCCCTCGAGTTCTTTAAAAGACCGAGGAGCGGTGATGGGAAGGAGAAACTTGACGGCACCTGCTAGTTCCAAACTTCGGGTCCGGTTCGGAGCGGAACATAATTCGCCGGATGCTACTGCTAGTACTAGTACTGGTCCCGGTGCTGATCCTGCGAGGGAAGGAGGTTTCCGGTCAGATTCTTCGTCCGATGCAGGATCTTCGACGAGGTCAGGATCGAGTTCGAGAGCGAGCTCTGCTTCAAATCCCGCAGCGAGGTCAAGCACCCCGCAGGGTCGGCCAGTCGGTTTACCGACAACACCGACCACGCCTACTCGGTCACCCGTCGGGCACGCCGTGAGATCGACGATCGCTTCAACGGTCCACCCCACTCGACAGGCCGGGACGTTCGCTTCTGCAAAGTCCCTCTCTGCGGTGACTTTCGGTCGATCGCCGAGGGCTCCCGACACATTCGGAGGGGAGCGAACCATGAGGCGGACTCCTTCAGGATTCTATGAGCGACCTGGGGAGACTTCGTGGAGTGGAGAGGGAGGATCGGATTTAGCCCTTTATCTCGGGCACAATGCGATCTCATGGTGAGTCGCCAAGAGCAAGAGGAAGCCAAAAACGAGATTCCCCTGCACTGGAACGTACAGCTGATTTCCACATGAACCGATAGTCTACCTAGTTCACTGTTTCTCTTGACCAACTTGACGGTCTTGTCCTTGCGTGAGTTTGCGGTACGATCTCCACATCGCGGAGATTCGAAGCTCATAGAACGCCCGAACTTGTTTCTAGGCGCGAATAAGCTCGAAAGACTGCCCGCCGGTGTCGGTCAATTGAAACGGCTGAAAGAGCTGAACGTCAGCAACAATTCGATCGTAAGTCCTGCTCGGCTCGAGCCCATGGCCCATGATTGCGGTTTGCTCATCGTGACGGCCCGACAGAGATCTTTCCCTCCATCCCTCCTCGACCTGAGCGAATTAACCGTGTTCAACTGTATCAACAACCCGTTGGTCCGGACCGACAGTCGCATCGAGCCGTCGGGCCGGAGACTCGCACCGTTAGCAATCAAGCTGGACGAAGAGATGATGGGATCTCAAGTACCTTCCCTTCACTCCCTCTGCTTGGCAAGGTTGTTATCGACGAGCGAACCGGATCACATGCCGCCGCTCTTATCACGTTTCGATTGGAGCCCAGAAGGCGGGGAGAATCATGCTCTGCAGAGCCCGGAAAATCTGCATAAGCATCTAAAATACCTCTCCCTGGACAATTGCGCCAGGGTGATTCAAGCGCTCCGGTCGGCGTCGGATGCCAAGCAGGCGAGAGCGTATGAATACAGTCTGCCCGACAACATCTCTTCCCCTGGCAAGAGACGTCCACAGAGGAATAGAAACGATCGCGGGTCGTCATTGAAGGAGGACGCGGCCGATAACCCCTTCTTTAGCCCGTGTCCAAACCCCTCCCACTACCAAGGCGGCATAGCCAAATTGAGTAAGTGGGTCTACCTCCAATCGCCTGCAGAGGAGCGGATACAATTCGTTGAAGTAGCAGGAGAGAAAAATATTCCGATAAAGTGGGAAGGCTGCTGCCGAGGTTGTCTCGATTTTCTCGTCGAGGCAGAACCCGCCGAACAGGATACCGATGGATTCGATGTGGCTGTCCTGGACGATGCCGACCCGATACCTTGGGCGACGCAGTTGTAGACCATAACTAGCCTATACAAGATGGATCGGCGCCGGGCTTCCCATAGCCTGCTCCGGAGCTTCCATTCCCAGCAGCACGTAGACCTCTTCCGGCGACCTGTTCATGAGGGTTGAAGGGAATTCGTACTTGTTCGCTTTGTCCATGACTGCGTCGTGGAGCTTTTCATAATCGCCCGCGAGCCGTTCGAGCGCTCCCCGATGAATCTCCGTTGCTATGCGGGGCGAAGTCAGCAAGGCGAGACGGGCAGACGTCAAGACGTCGACTGATGTCAAAAAGCCTTCCAGGCTTTTCACGGCCAAGGTGATAGCTCGTGAATCTGCTGCAGGTGACCGAGACAGAGGCGTGATCTGCAAGAGGAATTCTGATCAGCCACACGTAAAATCACTTTGACACCAGAAACGCCGACTCACATCGCCTTGAGCCTGATCACGCGTCTTCAGAGCATCGACCACCCCGGTCAAACCGCTCTGCTTGAGCAAATTGCGATAATGCTGCTCCAACAGGCTCCCCTCCCATGTCTCAATTTGCTCCTGGAGTTCTTTGCGCCGAGCAGAAGTGAAGGAGTATGCCTCCAAGACGTGCTGTGTTAAGGATGTCGAATCAACTTTAGCTGTGCCGTGAAGGAACCAGTTCGGTACCAAACAACGACTCACCTGCAAGTACATGGAGCAGTTGATCAAGAAGATGTCTTTTTCCCACTGTCCACTTCCTCTCTTCATCTCGATCATCTGCCGACACATCTCCATCAACGGATCTGCCGCGGCTTTCAGGATCTTTGCAAAGTCCGATTCACGATCCACATCGTCCACCAGCGAGGTATCGTAGACGGACATGATCTCGAGCAGAACATGTGACGATTCTCGTAGCGCATTGGGCGGAGCCAAGTTGTTCTCGGGGGCCTGTGGAAGTAAGCAACGGTAAGCATGGGCGATGTCTCCGGGTTCCTATCGACCTCGCACTCACGTGAAGGAATCTTAGAAGACTTCTTCCTTGGGCCTCCAAGGTATTCAGGAACGCTTTGTGCGCAATGTTATGAATTCTGTGAACACGGATACATATTAGCTTGGCGAGAAAAGCTCATTCTCTCCAACGCGGCACTTACTCGGCAAGAGTTACTGTAAGGATAGCCTCCTCTCCTATCGTCCTTTGCATCGTCACGAGGTAGAACTGTACAAGGTTTGCAATCTTGTAAGCCATAATGACGCCCTCTTGCGAGTTGACGGTGTCTTGTATCCGGATCTGAGCTCGCGAAAATGGCATCACCGGTTAGTGGATAACGCCGTGAGCGAAAGACAGCGCTCTGACTTACCTTGAGTGGCCTAGAGAGACCTTCCAGATTCTTGTCCAAACAGCTCCTCGATAGATCGACTCGAGCTCGTTGCTCCACCTCTTCCGGGTCCACCTCAACACCCTCTTGTGTGAGGTCCGATTTCGCGTTCCCGAACTCTCGCGCCTGCCCGACCATTCTCCTCTTCCCCTTGTCTACATCGAATAGACCGTCCAAAAATTCATTCTCACCCGCTGTTGCTTGATGTACCCAAGCGAGCATGTCCCCGATGTATCGCGTGGGATCGTGTGCGTGAAGTTCGATAGGCCTGGGGAACCCGTCGGGGCCTCCTCTCGTCAATGCGTCGAGAAAGGACTGCAAGATCGATGCTTGTCGAATACTGGTGAGGATTTGAATCGCGTCACTGGCATTGACACAGATTGTTAATGCGTATTCCTGCTATCACCCAGCGTTTTCGACTCACTCCAACAGGCTCTCGCGCGATCGAAGCCGCCGAACAGCCTCTCGTAGCACTCGAGAGACTTCAAGCTGCGTGTCCTTAGTAAACTTTCTGAACTCGAAACAACAATATCGGTGGATCCGATCGAAAGCCAGGTCTTGCTGTGAAGAGGCCAGTGACATGATCTCTTTGCTAAAAGGTGCGTCATATAAATTTAGGGGACGGAGTCGCTCGTTAGAACGCAAGAAAGAAATCATTCCCTCGAGAACGAAATATTCAAGAAGACTCACGCAGCAAGCGCCGGGTCGCGTCCTTCCACTCCGTCCCCCTCTTGACCGTCCTCGTTCTCCCGATCCACCCCGACTCCGTTTTCCGCTGAGCCAGCTCCAACACCAGCGACAACGAATAATCCCGCGCAATCCTCTCGAATCTTCTTGACACGGTCCATCGCTTGAAAAAGCTTTTCGTTGATGGTCACGTCTTTCGAGTTGAGCACATCGGTCTCTTCTGGTGTGAGGGTGAAATGCTTGAGGAATAGGTTGGAGAGCTCCGAGCGCATTTGGGTAGAAGCCCTGCAACCATCACGTTCGTTCAGCCCTGAGATTGCTCAAATTTAACCAGAACCAGAGAAAACAAGACGGATTAGGTCATGGCGGCACATACTGCTGATCCTGAAGCCCCTTGGCCCGCTCCAACAAGCTCTGAGTACCCTTGTTCGCGCTGTCCAGTTCGGCTTGTATCGAGCTGCATCGGGTTTGCATCTCGTCCAGATATCCACGGAGGACTTGGAGTTTCTGTCACGATGGTATCAGAGGATAGGATATCAGCGAACCTTTCAATGACGCTATGAGCCGTCGAGACTTACCTCATCGACCTTTCCGAACGCTGTCAAGAACTTCATGCTGCCCTTCGCTAGTTCCCCTTCGACGTCCTTCTTGAAGTTCTTTCTCGCTCTTGTAGCCGCATCAGGATCTGCATCTCTTAGCAGCGAGCGCATAGCTCTCTTTTCTCGTCTCCGGTTGGCTTCTTCGTTCGCTCTAGTCTCCTTCTCATCATCCGAAGAATCGGAACTATGCTCATCCCACTCATCCTCCTGTCCGTTGGCCAACCAGTATCCATTCGTCCGGCTCGGACCCGCCTCGGCTCCATCTCGAGAATTGGGAATCTGACAATACTTTTCAGAGAGGATCTGAAGAGCTTCCTGAGTGGGCTGATCGAGCGTTGTCCGAGCGGTGATCTTGTACAACCGAAGCGCTATTGGGTTGTTCCGGGTCGTCTGGGCATTGCCGTTTGGGAGGGGTAACGAGTCGCTCGGGGCCGGAGGTGGACTCTGGATCGACATGACGGGTTTGAGGTCTGGTGTACTATCTCCACCGAGCACGGGGTCAAACCCAGTAGCCAGTAGTTATGGTACGAGCGTGTGTATCGATCTGCAGCGCATCCAAGTGAGAGAGGTGGCTGCTGCTGCTGCTGCTTCGGATGCTTATCTCGTTTTGAATTACGTAAGCGAGATCCTTAGGGGTTGCTGCTCATGCAAATTCCACCTCGAGGGAACTCGCCCATATCGTCGTCTTGCCCCATGCTTTCGCTTCGACATACCTCCTTTCTCAGACATTGCCATACATCCAGGCTAGGGAAGAGTTCTATATTGCACACTCTCGAAGCGAACATATGCCGGCAAAGCGAACCGAGTGCTTATGAACGAACCATCTCGCCTTTCTGTTCGCCCCCAAACTACCACGTCGATACACAGCCTGTCCCACTCCCTGCTAGCTACTGGCTTTGGACTAGCTAGCTTACTGTTGGACAAGGATCAAGTCTCTCAACATGCTCTCCTGGATGGGCAAAATGATTGGACTGAACAAGTAAGTGAGCGATCTATTGAAACTAGACGTCGCAATACAGCTTACACTCACTGTGACGTCACTTTCTGACCTATATTAATTCAATATTGCAGCGACGGCAACTCATACTTTCCTGTCGCCCCCAAAGAACCCTTCATTCCTAATCCATCAGAAGTCCTCGAGATCCAGCAGATCCTATCCCAAGTCCTGCCCCCCGAACTATCTTTCCCCATCTTGGAACACGCCGGATATCCACCACCGGTCATCGCCGAGCGGACAGAGACGAAAGTTTACACCGCTAGGTTCGGGAACAACATCTGGGACTTGGAGAGTCAAGAGGACAAGAGGAAGGAGTTTGAGGATTATTGGTTCTATTTAGAGACGGACGAGCTTTGGGGCAACGTTCAGCCGGGGATTTCTGGTGGAGACGTGGAACTGGATGACGAGTCCGAGACCGAGGCGGATAGCCTCGACCCGGGACCTGCTGCACTCGAGATTGATGGCAACAATGGCGAGACGCCTGCGACCGAGGAGCTCGACGAAGCTCCCTTCGAATCCGTCTGGTGGATTAAAGAGATCGTCGTGACCACAACATCTCGTGACCAAGGCTGGTCAGACACTCCGGAACACCGTGGCACGTACAACCAGTCTTACACCTGGTTCGACATCGCTATCAAACGCCCCGTCACTCCCGACGGACCGTTCGAGTATCTCGACGGCGATTTCGAGCTTCAGAGGAACAAGCACGCTCATCCGGTCTGGGAGACGCATACGAACACGCTGCCCTTACACGAATCGTTCTTCAGGCGGTTGAGGGCTGGAGACGTCTTGGTATTATTGGCCAAATCCAGGTACCCGGTAAGCCTCTTCTGTCACTACTGAGAAGCGTTCAAGTTTGCTAAATCGCCGTGTCGTCTCGTTTTACAGGGATGGGCGAATCACGTCAAGTAAGCTTCATCTTCACGCCCGATCAAGTGTTTAGCTTATTGTACGGGCTCTGCTGAATCGATCTCATTTCGCAGGTCTGCCAAGATAGAGATCAAGTATTCGCTGTGATCCCACGATCAGGGCAGATTATTGTAACATGTACACATTATTGTTTCTAGTTGTATTAAGTACCGTAGAGACAACCGAGAAACCGTTTCGTTCTTGGCGCATTGCTGAGATGCATTTCGCGAGTTGTTAATGACTCTTTGGCCTTTCTGCTGCGCTTCGGAAATGGGCCGGGTCGACCTCCGTGATGGTTGATGAGTGGATGACCCAAGGTGATGACAATGGGAGGTTGCGGTGAATCGGGTGAGATGATGACTCTGGTTATTTTCTCTTCTCGCGCAGATCGGTATCACGGGGTTCAGGCTCTGAGGGAAGTGAAGGCTGTCTCCTCTTCCATGATCACTGTTCTCGGCAGATCTGTACCTCCGCGATCGAGGAAAACGTTCCTCTCCTTTGCAGTCGGATCTACCGCATTCCGTTTGACGTTAACAACATGGCATACCAACCTGCTGATGCAGCATGCTTCCTGTGTGACACGGAGTTTCGACGCCGCACGAGTTCGACGTCGGCCCCGTTATAGAGCAGACATGATTCTCGCTCCGCCTCTCTTGCCTCCTGACTGCCTATCTTGGCTGAAAGCATAAGCTCAAATCGATCTTGTGAAAGGGCACGAAGTGGAATCAGATACCGTAGCGCAGCGCCATCCTATTGAAGCGTGGGTCAGCCATGAGAATCGCACGTAATCTACAGATTCGTCGACACATACCGTGCTGACGACTCTCGCTGTGATCGGTTCTGTGGTCGCGCTTCTTCCCCAAGCTGACTATCGATTCTAGTCTCATCCGGCGAGGAGACCGGCTCTTGCTGTTGAGATAACCAACGCCGGACCCCGTCATCCTTGTCGACTGTTTCCACCGGCCTTTTCGCGGGTGGACCACGTTCGCCAGAATCCGTTCGGCGTCGTTTACGTTTCGACCTTCCTTCCGCCATTGCCTCTCGCCTGAGCCGTTCGTTCTCCTCGTCCGTATCTTCATCGCTTGCCATAGCCGCCGGGGCTTTCCCTCTTGCTCCGTTTGTACCCATAAAGGGCCGGGAAGGACCAGCTTGTGGCCTCTCGGATCGTCCTTCCTCTTCCAAGTAAGCAATCAGCTGACGCATTTGCCCGACGTTTCGACTCCGATCGAGTCCCGCAGTCGGAGAAGAGGGTAAAGACGCATCATCGGATGACCGATCGGATTCGTCTTCAACCTTGACCTTTGGGAGTCGTAATCCTCGAGCCGGCTCTTCATCCCGATCCGCATCGCTCCCGAAATCCATCTCGGCGATGCTACAAAGCGCTTGTAACTCGCTTTCGACATTCGCCTCGGTCTGGTTGCGTTCCCGCGCGAACCAGTCCAGACATTCCCGTTTGAGATTCGCCCCGCCATCGACGACCAGATTCTTGAAGACTTGTTTCATCAAGTAGTAGTCGCACCCCAATAGCGCCGGAGCCAAAGTGTTTGGTGACAGAGATCGAGGTTTGAAGAGGCTCGTGAAGGCCTCGAGTTCAGGTAGGGTAACGTGTCGAGCCAAGGGACAGTACTAGTCCATAAAAAGACGTGATAATCAGGTCTGAAGTGTTTAACCAAGCTAAACCGCTCTCCGGGAACTCACAAACTTCTGCGGCCATTCCGCTTCGCCGACTTGCGCAAAAGCTATCTGGCGCTGAATATCCTTCATCTTCAACGCGTGCTCCACTATGTGTTCCTCTACGAATTCGACCCTGACGACCCTCATCCGAGTGTGCTTGATCACCCCACATCCCCTAACTCCGTCGCTACCTTGACAAGCGTGGAACAACGGACTCGCATCCGACGTTCCCAGCTGCTGTAAGAGCGGATCGTCCTGCAGCAACAAGTGGTTCTGTAACTGCCACCGATCCAGATGAATCCTCGTATCGAATGTCCTCGCCAGCGCTTTTAGAGCCTCTTCGTACCCAAACGTCCAACAATGGAGGTGAAAGATCGTATCCGAAGGGAAAGCGTTGATCGTATGGATCAGGTCTCCGATGGCTTCTTCCCTCGAGGGCATATCGACTGATCCTACGAGGAGGCTTGTGTCGAGATATATCCGATCCAATCGACGCCGCAAACCGGATAACCCCCTGTTGGCGAGAAAAGAGTCGGTAGGTATAGGGGGTGGTGGTATTCCAGGCCCGCCTGGTCCAAAGGCTTCAGGCGGAAGCCTCATATCCTTCATGATTCTCCCTTCGCCCGATCTCATCTTGACCGGATAACTCTGCAGAAAAGGCTGGACCAAGGGGTTCCTGATCAGCCCCTGTATGAACCCTTCGTCTGCCCGCATATCGCCCGTATGGAGGACAGACGTGTAGGGAGGAAAGGGGGAGGAGAGGAGGAACATGGATGAGCCCGGGCAGTGGTTCGCGTCGAGCATGACTAGGTTGACAGTAGATGGGCCTGCAGAGGAGGACAGCGTGAGGGGGATGACGGTGTTGTACGGGATCGTTCTCTTGCGGTCGAGGATAACAGGCATAAATCAGGGTCCGAAATTTCGGGTTACCCTCAGGTAAGACGGGCTGAAACACTCACTATGCAGTCTACCACTACGGGAGTCCCGCCTCGATCCAATTCCTTTGCTCTCAACCCCTGATACACCTTTTTCTGCTGAATCCCACTCTCCTTGATCCGCCGATGAACCCAGTTCTCGTCTTGATGTTCCCGCGCAGCCTGCGCCAAGATCGGCTTGATCGCCTGATCGAATTCCGCTCTGTCCTTGCGTCGTTCATAATTGAGTAGCAAGGCTTTCGTGTTTTCCGAACAGATGATCGTACAGTTGTTATGAAGGTTCGATAGTCCGTGTAGATGATCCGTATGAGCATGCGTCAGAAGGAGATACTGGGCATGCGGCGCTCGGTAAACGCCGGACCTGTCCGGAGCCTTCTGTTTCTGCTTCGACGGCCCGGCCTGCGAGTTGACATCGTCCTCGGGAGGAGGTAACGGGTAGGGTATGTAATGCGGTTTGGCGTCTGTGGATTGGGTGAAGCAGTCTATCCGGATCTGAGGGAATTCGAGGACATGACCGTCTGTACAGGAAGAGCATTCGGCATCGTCAGTTGGATAGTGCTTTCGGTGTCAGTCAGGGTCGGGCACGCACGGTATAGCCCTGCCATACCGCCAGAATTGAGCTCGATCGCAACAGGGTCCCGTCTGGCTATCTAAACGCTCACCGTAATGTCAATAGAGCAATAGAATGATGATGATCGTTATGATCATAACGACATGACGATACAACGATAGCAACGATCGTAATGGATGATGATATGACGACGACGCGAGGGCGATACCGAGTATGCGAAATGATCGATGTGCTAATCATTCATTGTTGGGCGTGCATTGCATCGCGGTTTCTTTACTAGAGAGCTGCAACCAGTCACAAATCGAGACTAGGCAACGGACTTCTCCACCCAGGCAAACCTATCCACGAGTAAAAGCCATCCACTATCCTCCTTCGGGCCCTCCTCTGTCGTGTTGCGCACGAGAAGACCATTGTCGACGAAAGTCAGGTCGCTCGAACTCACACCTTGACCGACGACCCGTTCCAAAGACAAGCCCGGTCCGGTCCCCTCTGGTTTCTCCTTCGCGTTGGACGTCGGTTCGACGGCCTTCCGAATTCGTTGCTGATCGGAATGTCTGGCAGGAGGTATCAATGTCAGGTTGAAAGAGGGGGACAAGGGGGTTGAACCGGCAGATGAAGTCAAACGATATCTAACGAGTAGCGCTGTTAGTGACAACTTGATGCGGTTAAGACGTCGGACCTGTAGTCAGACTCACTCTTCATTTCCGGCTTCGAGAATAAGATCCCTTATCCATATATTCTTCTTAACTCCCTCCTCCGGGCTGACACCGAGACCTGCATGATGAGCGATCGCGTCGACAGGGTTGAGCGCATCCGACTTGACAGGTGACTGCACTTCCCCCTCGAGGGGCAAATGCCACGATCGGAGCAATGAAGGCTTGTATACAGAGCTGCCAAGACACCTGATAATCAGCGCGAGAATCGGATGGAGAAGCGCACAGCAGGAACCCACCCGACATGACCAGATCGAAGGAAGGTCAGATCGCTCTCCCTCGACATCTCGTCGACCCCGTCATCCATCTCGAGATCGGTCTGCAGGCCTTCGATCCCGCTGTGTGGCCATGCTGTAGTTCCGTTATCACTGCACAAGTGACCGAAAGCAAGCCGTCTCTGCAGCAAGTTGGCTGCCATACGCAGTTTGCTATTCTTGCGAGACTGAGTAAAAGGCTTCTGTGGCTATCATTCGGTGCAGTTCGCTTGACGTCAGGCAAAATGATAACAAGGCAAGTCGCTCCCGCACTCACTTGGATTCTAGAGACCGTCTCCACCACATAACTGACACCGTCATGGCTGTTGCCCCATCCACGACTAGCAAAACCCGCTCGTTCGGAGGCCACATAGCGGATCAGCTTGGGCGCCACCCGGATCAAAACCTTGAGGTCATCTTGTGGTCGTCGAGACCGTTTGTTCCGTGCAAGTGTCTCCCCATACGACCTCCGGCCGAAAGCAGCAGGTATCGGTCGAAGCCAGGACGAATGAATCATGACGGCGAGGACGTCGGAATCGTCCGTGTAGACGTCGCTCCCCCATAACCGTCGGTCATTGTAACCTGGAATCTGCGACATGATCTTTCTACCAGCTTCCGAGACGGCCTCGTCCCATTCCTTCTCGCCTCGCACCGCCCAGCCTTGAAGCTGATCGGGCGGAGACGGGAGATATTGCCCGGGAATCAAGATTTCCATGGTTCCGCCGATATTGTCCGATAAAACTTGTGCATCGAGTAGCCAATCCCAGCCCTTGTAGGTGGTCTTGCCGAGGGACTGGAGGAGCGCTTTGATACCCAGATTGCGAAGGTGTACTTCAACGGATTCCGATCTGACATCGAGCGTCAGGGTGGGAGGTAGGCTCAGCATGCCATAGTTGACCTGTGGCGCGACCGTTGCTGGATACTGTAGAGCCGCGACGCCTTCCCTCTGATCGCGCGTACCGTTCGTATTTTTGCTTGAACGCTTCTTGCCGGAAGTTTTTGGATCGGCGTCCACTTCCATCTTGTCGAGGTCGACCTCGCGAGAATCCTGGGCGTAAGCCTGGCTTCGCTTGCGCTTGTGGGACTTGGAGCCCGATGCAGATGTTGGTACGCCGTGGCCCAGTGACGCCACCTGTTTCGAGCCTTCATGCGTATCAAATTCGCGCTTGCCATGTCGACTCGAGCCCAGCGGATTTTGGGAAGGCGAACCGGGGGCGGACTTGATTGATTGGTCTATCATGTCAGAATATCCCGTTGCGGACAGGCTACCTGCAGGGGGTGGGAACGCTGCTGGGTGAGTCTGCGCCATCACACTGGATGTGATCGGAGATACCGGTCGATTCAGCACTTCGATCGCTTGTTTTGGCGTGGACCGGCCATGTTCCATGTCAATATCGACGGCACCACCCGCCGCGCGAGATCTGAACATTCCGCTTCGATCGTAGAAAGCGGTTCGCTCGAGTTCCATCTGTCGTCTGGCCGAGGCAGCCATACCGTCCTTACGATCCCTGTCACGCATGGCATCCTGGAACGACGAGTTCGGCATGCCGGCAGGATCGTTCGAGGGACTGCGACGATGAGTCGACTCGGAAGTTCCGCCGACATGGCTTGAAGCCGTGGCCGTACGACCGTCCCTGGAGGCATACGGAGGAGGAAGCTTTGCGTTGGGGTTTCGCATATAGAATGCCATCTTCGAGCTTTCCTTGACGCTGTCGCGTTCGTACTGCTCCCTCTTGTCGTGCTCCGCGCGTGCTCTCTCTTGTTCCCGGTCTCTCTCCTTTTCCCTCTCAACCAGTTCTCGTCTCGATCGTTCCCGCTCTCGCTCCCGTTCCTTTGCGATGGCGATGTCACGTTCTCGTTCCGTAGCAACGAGACTAGACGACAGTGGACCAGGCGGAATCGTCGAATGTAGCGATGAGGAAGACGACGATCCGAGAGGTAGCAACCGATCAGTGGCAAGATCCGTCTTGAGTGACGAGGCGGGGTAATCGTACACGGGCGATTTCCCAGCGGTTCCCGAGCCAAAGGACAGACCTCTGTTCCTATTCCGGTTCGAGTTGGGATCGAATCCCGCATTCGAGGGATAACCAGCCGCGGCACTACCACTCAAGGCAGACGATCCTGCCCTGACGGAACCTGGAGGGACGACTGTCGAAGCACTTCCACTCCTCTCCCGTTTCCCAGCCAAACCTTCCCTTTCCCTTTCTCGCTCCCGCTCCCAGTCCCGCTCGGATTCGCGTAACCTGGCCCGTTCCTTTTGCCTCGAACTGTCATACCCAAACATCGAACTATGAGGCGCCATGAAACCGTATGCGCTTCGGGAACCTCCTGCCGCCCCAGGTTGCGAGACACCGGGAACCGACGTCCCAGCGGGGGCCGCTCTTGCAGGTCGAGGCGAGACGCTACTCCCTTGGCCTGCTACGGGTCTATCACTCTGAACAGACCCACCCGGCCCCAAGAGACTGGATAACTTCATCCCACCGGTCGTAGTGGCTGACGAGGAAGTCGGTGTCGAACCCGAAGCTGCAGGCCCTTCGATCTTGATGCCCGGTGTCCCCGGTTGCGATCCTGGTCCAGGTCGGTCGAACGGACTGGGCAATGTCCGGGAAGTCAACGGATTGAACCCTGCAGACGTGGGTCCACCCGAAGTCCCCGATCCGGTCGACGAAGGACCAAGCCCACCGAGGCCGAGCTTTGCACCAGGACCAGACTTCTGAGGGTTAGCATTACCGTCACCTCCGGCCGACTTTCCCTGACTCTGGCCCTGGCTTAATCCTAATCCTGGTGTACTGGGAACCGACCTCGGACTGGGTAACAAGGCCGAAGGGGTCTTGAACCTGGATCCACCACCTTGTTCTTCCCCCTTCTGACTTGCACTCGCCCCCGCACCCGTACCAGTCCCACTCGTCCCCGACCCGGCCCCGGATCCAGGACCTGTTGCACTCCCAGGTCCGAGTAAACCTCTCCTCCTCTTCTCCTCCCATTCGCGTTTCAGCAAACTCCCCCGCTCACGATCACGCCCTTCCTCGACCTCCCTCTCGCGTTCTCTTTCACGGTCCAACGGCGAAAATCCGGTCCGACGTGCAGAACCTCCTCCAAAGAACGACGCGTAGGGGGAGACGTAGGACGATCCCATTCCGGACCCAGTGGGTTTCGAGGAAGAGGCATTAGACGAAGAGCTATTGGGGTTCCCGCTGTTGTCCGCCGAGCCAGTAGCAGTTGCGTTTCCATGATTGCCCGTTCCTGTTGAAGGGGTAGGAGGTGCGCCGGCACCGGCAGAGTTTCGACCGGGAGGTCCAAACATCGAAAACGGGCTGCGGTATGCGGAATGCGAAGGAGGATTGTTGTGGCTGTGACTAGATGCGGACGAGGTAGGGTTGGGGTTCGTGCTTGCGTTCGAAGATCCTGTTTCTTTAGTTTGTGCCCCGGATGCCGACGAGCTGGGAGGATTACCCGAGCTACCGGAATTGTTGTTACTGTTCTTGGCGTTGCTTGTACCGCTGTTGGAGCCAGCGGGTCCGTTCGGTCTCGCGACGCCTGTTCCGCTACTTCCACCAATACCTCCAGCCGCTGCACCATACCCCCTGCCTCCCCCGATCGTCCCCAAACCGAGTCGACCCATACTCGCATCCCTCTCTCTCTCGCGCTGCTTATGCTGCCCCTGTTCTATCTCACGGTAAAAGTCCTGTTTCTCCCTCTCGATGCGCTTCTCGAACTCCAGCGGGCGTGATAACACTCCCGATCGGATACCGGTATTGCTGCCAATGCGGTCTCTTTCTCTCTCCCTTTCTCTTTCTTTATCCGCCAGCGAGGTAGTTGGGACCTTGGCCGCGTTCGAGTTCGAGGCAGAGTTCGAGTTTGATGCCGAGGGGTCTCGAGGGAAGATGGACGAATTCCTAGATCCGGTCACCGAGTTGGGATTGGACGAAGAGACAGCAGGAGATGCTTGAGGAGGAGCGTGCGCAGAAGGTCCGGACAAGGGAGGATGAGGATAGCCTCGGTTGTTTCCCCGTTCGCGTTCCCTCTCTCGCTCTCGCTCTCGATCACGCTCACGCTCCCTTTCCCGCTCACGTTCTCGATCAGAGCCCCAGATGGACGCAGACGAGGCCATCCCGTATGGATATCGAGGTCGGATGGGATCGTCGGGTGGGAGATATGGGTTGGTCCGACCAGGAAGCCTGATCGTGGTCGATGAAGATGAAGCGGTAGGTCCGGGGGGATCTCGTTCTCCGCCTGGTCCTGCTCCAGAAGCTGAAGAAGCTGAACCTGCTCCTCCTCCTCCACCTCCCGGTGGTCCCGCTGGTGCGGTCGCGGACGAAGATGATGATGCAGTCGGCCTCGCCGAGCCGAGAGGGAGTGACGGGTCTTGAGACCGTTTGTAAGGGTTCATGATGGTGATCGTCCGACGACGACGACTATTGGGAGGTCACCTGTACTCCGGGCCGGCGATGCTGAAAGAAGCCCGCGACGACGATCGATCGTCCTTTGGGTGCGGGAGTCAGCGAGGTGAAAAGTATTCGAGTGTTCTAGTCAAAGGGGACGTTATGGCAGCCAGATAGCAAAAGGAATGAAGGTCAAGTGATCTTGGGGGGAGAAAGAGAAGACGACGACGACGACGACGATGTACGGACGACGATGTGCGATGATGATGGGTTGAGCAAGGCAGAAGGGAGAGAAGGGGAGAGAGGACAGGCGATGGGCAGCGGATGCAATCATCAGCAACACAAACGCAGCGTGGCAGCTTTTTTTCGGCGCTAGCAATGATGGGAGGTCGTCGGTCTTCTCCCTCTACTGCCCCTGCCCCCCCTGCGCCCCCCGTCTTATTAGCCGAGAATCGGGCGAAACCCCGAGATCCACGCGCGCGTCATCATTTAGCATCCAGCATCCAGAGCCAACCGGTTCCGACGGACGCATATTCGAGCGACACGACCGCGATTCGCGCTTCGTTACAGCTCACTAGCAGTCTTGGTCCTCGAATCGTGTGTCGGTACTACTGTCATCGTCTGTGGCCTGACCGTGCCACGAGAAAAAGGTCGATGGTATATGTCAAACGCTCCACGAATGTTCACAAGGATACGAGCTGGTCACTAACGGCATCAACGCAACCCGACTCATCGATAGACGTGGTCAATCTCCTACAATTCCAATTTTTTCCCGCCTTCCTTGTAGCCCGGGCGAACGATCTCGATCATGATTGTAGTGCTGGTGTCCAACCTGCGCCATGAGGTTTCTGCAGGCTTTCCAGGGCTTCATAGCTTGACTATGATTCATCTGGGTCACCAGTTCTCGTATGACATTGCCTCTTTGGTTGATCGGTTCCATAAAGCCCGAGCTTTCGTTCTTCACTGCCTTCCGGGCACGAGCATCAAAGTCCGAGCTCTGAGCGATACCACCCCGCATGTTCGTGGCTCTTCGCATCTGTGTCCATATCCATGATGTCGTTCCGTTCAATTCCGTTGAAAATCATCCTGTCCCCAGTCGATGTCGACACCGCCGGGTTTGCCTGCTTTATCCTTACACCTCACCAACACCGGTCATGAGCTCCATCATCCTGCTCTCAGCTTGGAAGCACTGAGGCCCTTCCCCAAATAATCTACCACGAACTCCCTCATACGTGCGAGTCTTACCGCTCAACTCCAACCTGGGCTTCGACTCCGGCGTGGAAGGCGTAAGTTTATCATGGTCGCAACCAAGTTCGAGGTCGAGGTGGCGTGAATGGTTTCCAGGCTGACGCGAATCCAGGTCCGCGTTCGAAATTTGACAAATGACCCGATCGTCAAGCAAGGTTGTAGGTTTTCCTGCCGAGCGTTCCTATACGTAGCATGTACTTCTTGATGGGATTTCTGTGTACAAAAAGTAGCCTGTCTCGGTCAAAGAAAGAAACCCTTGTTCGAACTTGCCAAGTATAACCTTCAGTCACGAACTCCCGAAAGAGGATTTCATATGCTTGATAAGCCCAACCGGGCGTATTCAACCTTTCGCTGTCGGAATAAGTACTGCAATTGAAACCTCTCCCATCGCCTGACCGGACCAGAAGAGTCGGAAGTTAGTCGGCTAAGCTTGTTCGAGAGGCGAAGTCAAGGGGTTCCTGAAGGTAGACCATGCTTGAAGCGAAGCCGATTCGAAACCAATCGATACAGCGACATCTGCGGTGGAATGGAGCGGTCTCCGACTCTGTGGATGATCGTGAACGAGGAAGATTCAGCAGTCCAGATCGATTCAAGGTCGACCCCGTTTGGGCTCGGGCCGAGTTTGCTCCCGACCCTTCCACCGATCGCTGACACACGGCGACCGCGTGTTTCTGGAGAGAAAGTTCCGCGCCTCGCGCCTTACACGAGGCAGAGGTTCCCTCTTTGGGCGGGATACGCCATCCCACTTCTAGCGGGCCGCGCTTTTTGGCTGGGTCAGAACGAGACCTGCTTTTCGGTGCGAGCGAGTGGTGACGTGGTAATGGGCCATCTCAAGAACTGAAGCTTCGAGATCGTTGGCAGATCGTCAGAGGAGAGCAATTGACAGTCGGTTCTGTCTGACGACGGATTCGGATGCGCAACTCTTCCAACGGCGAGCTTTGATATTACCGAATGCCATACGGCTTCGCCTGAAGATAGCTACTGGAAATTCAGTTTTAGAGAGACGAGGGATCTGGGATCTGGGATTCGGAGTGAGGTTACCAAGATGGCGACTTCAAGGACATCAAGGTGGAGTGATCAATGCCCGCAAAAGAACCGCTTCAAGATAGGGGGCTTTGTCGGGCATCGGCATCAAGGTCCAGCTGCAGGATAGGCCTCAGCCGCCATGACCGCTGGGAGAACGGCTACTTGTTGCGTCGAGATAGTATTCTCGAAGCCGTATGTCGCAGCCATGCTCGATCGTGAAGGCGGACCTCGTGCGCGCGCTCGACACTATTGAAGATATGGTACACGCCGCTATATTGCAAGTCATTACTGTAGAGAATCTGCCCATCAAGACAGATCCGCCTGAACGCCTGTAAGTCACCTCTATTCCATGTGCCGTCGTGGGCCGCTATGCTGCTTTGATACTGACAGGAGCGGTTCTCTTCAATGTAGGATTTGAGCAAATGGGGCTCGAAGCATTGGCTTACATGGAGAAGATAAATGAGCGCGGCGATATGCTTTGGCCTCGCCACGTTACCTCTCTACCAGGTCAGCGCCTGATCCTTGAGACATTGCTGGGTGATGCCGAGATCATTAGGATTGAGCGCGAGCCGCCTTCTGTCCCTCACCGAAGCGCTAGCCTGGTATGAGACAAATATCTTACACCGGAAAGACCATCGTGGCGTTGGTCAAGCATCAATTACCTCTGGTTCACCCGCTCTAGGACTCGCCATCCGGTAGTGTCTACCTTGGACCGCCATGCAGGGCGATGTTTCGGCATGTCCTGCGTTTCAGTTGAAACCATCCCGACTAGTCGGGCGTCTCGCCTCCATGCGCAGATATACAACATCGTCTCTATAGTGTGGATGCCCTATCTAATCCACCCTGTCACAAGACGTACAGCCAGGACAGCAATCACTTTCTGAATCGCGGCAACCATGTGCCGAACCTAGAGCTTTATGGTCAGTTGCGAGATGCAACATGTCACATCTTCACGTCCACGTCCAGAAGATTCAGTTAGATTGGCGGGCGTCTTATAGGGGCGTTCAATTTGCGGGAGGATATCATCGATACATAAGCGGAACGCAAAACGCGGACCGTTGTCGCACTGGCGACCCACCCGAGCACGACCAGAGTACTCGGCCGAAACAGATCACGGCATTATTATGGCAGGCAGTCAGATGGTCGCCCATGCTCACCTCGAAACCGGGAAAACCTGCATGGCAGTATTGGAGCTCAGTCGTATTGGTCACTGATCACTGAATCGCTGGACAGGATTACCGATCGACGACGAAGTATCTGGCACGCTCAAATATCATGCGGTACAAGGTTGCGGAACGAGCGCGCGATACAAGGTCTCTGGTGAAGATGATAAAAATGATCGAAGCCCGGGATACCATTGACGAAGCCTCCCCTATCCCTCCCGGGCCGAAATTGGTCGGATGCCGCTTCTGCGCACGAATAGGACGACAAGGTCAGCATTAGAGTCTGCGCTGATAAAAGTGGGCGAAGGTGAAGCCGGATGGACGAACCACGTAAAGGTGAAGACGGCTGTTTCGAAAAGCGCAACCTGTCAGCACTGCCTACAGACTCGCCATCATACAGATTCACAAACATACCATCGGTTGCACACTTGAGCGGAGATCGGCTCTTCGCGATATACAAGGTCTCTTCTCCGACCTTTCGGTCGATGATGAGAGCGGCTATGTGAGGGGGGCGAAAGTCTCAGCAAGGCACTCAGCATAATGAGGTCTGGGAGAGGTCTTACGGTACCCATGCTACACGAAGATTGTGCCCTTGATTTGGGACGACTAGTTAGGAAAGGACTGAACATGAAGATCAGTGCGGGTCGGTCGCAAGCACAACTGGTTCTTACATTCCGACTGTGCCAACTATACGGGTTGTTTCAAGAGAACGGATCGATTCGAGGTGACGCGTCCTCGTCTCGATCTGGGGTTGGGTGGATGGGTCTCCTAAACCAGAAGTCGCGCAAGGATCAGGTCGGAGATCACTCAGCATTCGCGGGCTAGACGACCTCAACTTACGATCGATGTTTCAAGCTGCGAATCGATCCATCAGTCGTCCGGGACCGTCGGGTGCAAGTCCGTCCAAGAGATGTTGAGGGGGAATGTTACCGAGTCGAACGATTGAGATAGCGGTTGAGTTAGAATCCCGTCGTCCGGCTGCGAGGGAGGTTATGCGACACGTGGCTTGGAGCTTTACCCGGCCAAGGAACCAATTCAACGTCTCAAGTTCTCTATGAGACGTCGAGATGGAAGCTCGGCACACGAATTCTACGCGCCCACCTCGCAGTTCGACGGGTCACCGTACAGACAGAGCTCGCAACCGCCCGAATCCGGACGGCTGCACGTACATTTGTCACAGCTCCATCGGACGTATCAGGTCGCGGCCTTTTCAGAGGCGACGATCCGGGCGGTGACTCGCCAATTCAAGCGAGATCACGCCCCCCGGCCATGGACTACCACAACGACTCAATGCAGAAATCAATTGGTGCCCGCCGGTGAAACGCTGTCGATACCGCAAAGACAGCCGGATCGAAGAGCTACTCGACCCTAATTCAAGGAACATTTCACCCTCGCGATCCGTCGTAGATGCGGCGTGTCGATCCGTGGACAATAGGAGGGCCGAGGTCTCGTCCGTGGTAGTCGATGTGGCCATGGCCACGGGGGGCCCGTTGATGTGGTAAAAGTCGTCCTGATCGTTGAAGCCGCGACTGTCAACACGTTCGAAAACAGAACGAAAGTCAGCGGCGAACCGGACGAAAGGATCAAGAAACACTCGTCGATGTCCGAAGTGGCGGTCCGGTCGGAGTCGTAGTAGTAGTCAACATCCCGTCGTCCGGCTGCCAGTTCATGTCTGCGATGCGCACGGTGGGGACCCCCCAACGACGTCTCAAGTCCTCCATGAGATGTCGAGATGGCGGCACCGTCTACGACTTCTCCGCAGGACGAAGTGGCAGGTCGACGGGTCACCGTTCATCGATTGAAGACAGAACTTGCTTCGACACGCTATAGGGACGAAGCTGGACGGTTGTCTCGTTCTGTCGGACGTTCAACAGATCCCCATCGGTGCTAGTTCAGATGAGGATCCGGGACGGCTTCTGCTCGCCGCCCCCCCCGGCCACAACGACATGGGGCAAGCATCCTTCTGCTTGGATGCTAGTCGTCACCGATGGAACGCTGGTGGGCTCGAAGGCCTGGTGCTGTGCTTGTCGTGGTTCAGATGAAGGGGTCAGCGTGGAGGACCTGATCATATAAATCACCAAATCACCATCCATATACTCGGGATGTGCGTTGCGCTGGCGATGGCGACGCGTATGGTATGGTAAGGGGGCGGCATGAAGGGCGAAGGGGCGAAGGGGGAGGTCTGTCTCGTCACCACACGTCACGACGAGACCGCTTTCTCACGAGCGGTCGCCTAGAGAAACCACAAAACGCTTTCTCACGGGATTTCGAACGAATGACGCCTGTCAGGAAGGAAAAAGCGCTCAAAGCGAGGACACGTTGGCGCAACGACCTCGTCGACATCTCGACAACCGTCAATCTCATCGATCTCATCTACATCCATCAACATATCAACATCATATTCACGTATCACTCTTCCTGTCACGTCCACGTACATCTCTCTCTCTCTCTCTCCTCTCTCTCTCTTTATCTCTCCTTCCAACGTCGACACCGATCATGTCGTTTACTCAGCCCATTCAAGACCAGTTCCTTGCCCTCAGCGGTCGGGATCTTGGTCGCCGGCATCGGATCCTCATCCAAACACCTCAGTTCCTTAAGCAGGTCGGGCCGCATCCAGATGAAGATGAAGTCAAGGATACAGCCGGAAAGCTCTCGGCGTGTTATGAACTGGCCACCCTCATCAACGAACAATTCGGGCCTCCAGGGGCGGTTCTTACACCCGTTGCCATTGAATGGATCGAGGATGGAAAGTATCCGTACTGCGCCCTCGAGGCACCTGACTCTCCTTCGCACCGAGACATGTTGAACACAATCTGGTCTCTGAGGGGAATGTCGGCGCCTGGCTTGCTGTCGAAGTGGCGACTTCGAGTACCAGTGACCAGGCACGGTTGGTACCAGAACTTTCACGTCAAACTCGAGACGACTTCCGACGTCACCGCCATCAGACCTATTCCAAACAAGGTGGTGCAGTCCGGCGGCATCCACATTCTCACCTACGTCGTATCCACGGATCCCCGTACTCCTCCCGACGGATTCGTTCATGAGAACACAAAACGTGTCATCGAGACCCTGACTGCTGCCGGTATGTATCTCGAACATCATGGGACTAAACACCATCTGACTTAGTCCTCACCCGCTGCAGGTGTAAAAATACTCAAAGATCATGGCACGAGTGAGACGTTGCGAGACCACCGCAGCCCTGCGTTCTTGGACTCGCAGAAGATCAGCCTTCAGCGACTCTTGAACCCCCCCATTCCCCGCACCAACGTGCCTGCCATCAGCACTACCGACAAGATGGAAGCGCTTGCGGTCGGCGTTGCGAGGGTCGAGGATGCTGCGGTCGGCGATGCGAGGGTCGAAGATGCTGCGGTGGGCGATGCGAGGGTCGGAGGAGATGCGGTGGGCGATGCGAGGGTCGGAGGAGATGCGGCTGGGTACAGCGCCGAGGTATTTGGCCCAGACCGTAGGAGTCGCCAGATCTCCAACAAGTCGGCTGAGACCCCAAAATCACCACCCGACGTTCCGACCGCTTCCGTAACTCGAATCTCCACACCTTCCGGCGTCTCGAGTGGCGTCACGATCGCTTCTACGCCTTCCGCCGACTGTTACCCCAGCACCAAGTTCGACGAGAGGATTCGCCAGCGATCCGGTGAGAGTGTCGACTCGCTTGAACGTCCGGCAAAGCTGAGGGTGCTCCCCTTGTTGAAAGCGGGCGACGGAGTGGGGAAGGTTGAGGGCAAGGGCGAGGGTGAGGGCGAGGGCGAGGACAAGGGCCGGGACGAGGGCGAGGATAAGGGCGAGGGCGAGGGCGAGGATAAGGGCGAGGGCGAGGACAAGGGCGAGCCCAATGTCTCGCTTGAACCTTTGGCGAAGAGGCATGCCCATGAAGGAGCCGGTGCGTGCGAGGATGGGGGAAAGGATGTCATCGCCAGAATTGCGGAGAAGAAGCTTTGCCTGGCGAAGCGTACTCAAAAGGCTGAAGAGAAGTTGGTAGAATGGCAGAAGGATCTTGACGAAGTGAAGAGGAAGGGAGCGGAGTTGAAGAAGGATTTGGAGGAGGCGAAGACAGCGGAAGCGGTCTTCCACAGTGCGATCTCCGATGTCATCTAGTTACGGACAACTTGTATATCACTCCATATCGAGACATTTACGACGTACACTGAGCATGACTACCCTGCGACCCTTTGCTTGGGCGCCACCTTCGGCCGGCCCCACGTCGTCAAACCCCTACAGATCCTTCTTGCCCTGAACATCCCCGCCGACGACGACCCCCTCTGCAGTAGCCCCCGCTCGGGCAGTCCGAGCGTCCAGTTTGCGCATCTCGGCTTCTTCTTGACGTTTAGCGTATTCCTGACCGGCTTGCATGAGGATGATTCCGAGAAGGCACTGGTAAGTGACGGACACGGGAAGCAGGTCGCGTGAGGTCCGGTAGGACGAGAGCCGGAATGTTCAAGGCGGAACAGCATAGGCGAGACGGCGATGTGACGACAAGGAAGAGAGAGGTGGACCACGAGGAGGTGGATGATGGACCAGACGGAAGATAACGGATGTGGAGGAACACAAGGGACAAAGAGGTAGGATCAGTCTGGTTGAATGCTGGGTGATACGATGCGGTCGAGTGTGACGTGGGCTTACGAATCCGACCAAGGCGTTGCCGGCGCTGAGTACACGGACGGCTTCTTGTTTTTCTTCCTCGGTATAGGTCGGCATATCCGGAGACAGGTTTGACGATTTGACTGGCAGAGTTCGAGTTGCGTCGAGATGAGGCGATGGACCGGGAATAATGTTGAAAGGCGAGAAGGTCTCGTCGTAAGCCATATCGCTTTGACCCTTATGACCATTATCGTCGAACTCACCAAAGACGGGCAGGTTCGGTACGTGGATCGTCAAGTAGATGACGATCGACGCCATGTGTAAGACCAAACAGCTTCCATCAAAGAAGACCGCGCTCTCGCTCCATCCGTGCAGTTTGCTGACGATGGCCAACAACGGGATCCCTAATGCGGTGTGCAAGAGCGCTTTGACGGCCTTGGGTGCGTCGTACCACATCGTGTAGAATGCATAGGCAGATTCGAGGGAAGCTTCCGTGAGGTGGGTGTGGTAGAGGAGAGGGATGTCGATGATCTGACAGACAAAGACGAGTCCGAGGAGGAAAGAGGTCGAACCGAGGATGATCGACTGCAGAAAGGCCATGATGGAGATAGCTCGCCGACGGCACTAGTTCAAAGAGGACACCGATGGTACAGCTCTATGTTGTCCTTGTTGAAGTGCTGGATCGTTACAGACTAAAGACAATCTGGTCTGACCGAAGATGGAAAGAGGTCGAGATAGCGAATCACCCGGTTGGGACGTTTGTGTGTGCGTGCTAGGAAGGCGACGCGCACGGAATTTTGCGTGAAGTCGGATCACAGATGAGGGCGGGGGGGGGGGGGATCCAACCGCCGTTGCCTGTGACTGGTGCCAGCCATGACCAGGCCAACGGGGTTCCTCTATTTCTAAAGACTGAATTAAATCAATATGAGAGGCTGTTCGATGGTGGTCATGGCAGTGGTTGAGTGGCCAGTGGCCCCGGCCAATGCAACATACCTTCGTGGAAACGATATTGTGATCAATTTTTGAATGCATGACTTTTACGCTAAAAAAAACGACCATCTGTTTACTTTGTGGGTCCTCATCGCCCCTCAACTAAATTGCACAGGCAATTTAGTTGCTTCCGAGTTAGTCCCGGCGATTGATCATAAATTGTTGTTTGCGGACCACGAACACTCGCCCAAACCTTCCGACAGTCCCAGAGATGACCTGAAAAGTAGATTCACGGTTTCGGTACTGTATAGTGCGACGGCTGACCAAATTTCGGGTCGATACATCTACTGCCTGGGCGTCGGCATAGCATAATATCGTTCGACCGTGTCATTTTCCGTCTCAAAACGGTGTCCTCCTTTCTATCGACGTATATACTGTCCTGTCGTATTGTAGGCTGCAAGTTGCCATTGGTAGACCTCTTCAGGTGGCTTTCAACTCGTCGCCTTCATGCCAACGGTCATGGGCCGCTTTGGCAAATGCGAAAACGACCGTGCCACATCTCGCACAAGTGGTTTGTTGGGACCCTTCGGTGGTCTCGGTTTCGTACACAGGTTCGTCGTCATCGTCTTCGATTTCGTATGTCGTATCAGACTCGGGGCCCACATCATTGGAGGCAAGGTCGTCGTCGATGTTGTCATTATGGCTCGTCACGCTCAGCCCAACCGTAGCGGCCGTGCCGTCGTCAAGAGGTCGTTCTCGAGGTCGTGTGGATTTCGGGGGTATCTTCTCCGGGCTGGAATCGATCTCGATGATCTCTGGCTCATCATCCACCTCGATAGCCTGGGTCGCAGAAAAGCCTGGTCCGCTTTTCTTGTTCCGCTTGTTCTTGTTCTTTGACTTGATATCGGCATCCTCGCCGTTGTGCGGACTCTTCCGCTTGTTCGTTTCTTGATCGTTTGGTCGTCCGTACCGACCAAGGACTTCCCGCTTGATCTCCGATGGTAGAGAGTCTAGAAAATCTTGATCGGGAGCTTGGGCAGCTGAAGACCACCCGTCAAGGAGAGAGGGCGGTGGCCTTTCGTTCGACAGGTTGACTGCGGCGACGTTGATGCTATCAATAAGCAGAGCGCAGTCAGCCTCTCGATGCACTATCGAATCAGCCATCGCTCGACTCACACATAAACAGCAAACTCGTCCGTATCCTCTCCCTTCTCGCTCTTCTTGATTCCCAAGAGTTCTTTCAACAGCGCCACGCCGACCTTGTTCATGAGAGCGCCCGCTCTATCCGCGATCGCCCGGTGGGTATCGAACACAAAAGCTGGCATGACGACGCTCTTCGAATCCCTCCCTCCTGGGTGGTCCCAGTCGAGCCTGAGGGCGAGCCTGAACTGACGGGGATATCGTTTCCAGATGCGGTTCGGCTCGACCTTCGGAGATGGCCCGGCTGTCTTCGTTTCCGCCTTGTCGAGCGGACACCAGATAGCCCCTCCCGCGTCCCCACCGGTAGGATCATCCATCAACTCGTCTTCCAACCTGTCCAAAAGATCCCTGACGAGCGCCTCCATCTCGTCTCTGATCTTACAGAACCGCCTCCTCATCGTCCTAGCATAACTATCTTCCACGCTGATCTGCTTCGGGTACTCTGGGTTGGGTCTGACGGGTTCCTCGTCTATCCCATGCAAAAGTCCCCAGAGACGTGGTCCCAATTTTGCCTGATCCTTGAAGAGCCTGATGAAATCGGCTAGGGTGAACATGGACCGGGTTTGAAGGACCGTCAACTTGGACGTCTCGAAAGCGATCGATCGGGCTTTGAGACTGTCCATGAGGGTGGAGACCGTCTTGCTCCCGAATCCGTTCAACTTTCGAAGGTCCAACGGGTCGAGGAACTTTTGAACCATTTCCCCCTCCTTGTCGACCTCGTCCCCATTCCCACCGTCCCGATAGTCATACACATGCGCATGATCGTATCCATGACCAACGGGTTCGGCGAGAAAAGTCGTCTGCGCATCAGGCTTCTTGACGCTAGCCACCAGCTTGGCCAACAACTTGTTCCTCGCCACTCCCGCCGAAGAAGTCAACCCGATGAGTTCTTTGATCTTCCTTCTTATGAACCCGGCTAGGTGTCCGGCTACGAGCAACGCTTGAGCGTCGTAGTCAGGAGAGCTGGGACCGGGGACGATCGGACGAGAGGCGGGAGCGAGCACGTGTCCGGGGAGGGAAGAGGGGTTGTAGGTGAACCCAGGAGGATGTCTTTCGGGTGTGAGTGGTTGAGCCGTCGCCGGGAGGGGGAAGAAGATGGATGTCGAGGATTGCCAAGAGGTGGATATCTGGTCTAGGTGGGCGTACACCAGGTTGGTCACATCAATAAAGACCTGATGTCGATACAGATGAGGCAATATAAGCCGCCGTACCGGTTTATCGATCGGGGGGGACAACAGACCGCTGACATACCTCGTCCAGCCCCAGCTTCTCCACGGCCCGCTCTCCTCCCTCTTTCACACCCACGATCGCTCCGACGAGCCTGACCACCTCTCTTGAGAACCTTCTATAGTTCGTCAAGTCCTCTCCGTCCACCAAAATCATTTCCGGTACGAGCTCCTTGGCCTTTTTGATGCTCATCAACTTGGTCACCCCGCGAGCTCGGGCTTCGTAGCTGGTCGTGGCGAGGAGCGACTTTTGAGTGATGCCGACCGGTTTCCCGCGGAGTGACGGATCGAGCACTCGTTCGACACCTAAAGAACCAACGAAATCTTGATTAGAAATAAGCCTCCCATGTGGTCAGGTCATGCCTGGACATGGCGAAACTGACCGCAATAAAAGTTGTCCTGGTCGAGCGCGATGATGATCGGTTTCCGATCGGAACGATGACGAAGAGGGCCGGGCATGCCGGACATGTCGGTTGTGAGTCAGGCTATCGGATTCTCTTCTGCATTCTGTCAGGTCTTTCAACCGCTGTCGTTGTCGTTCGGCTTCGAGGTAAGCTGTCACTCGTGAACAAGCAGCTCGAGGGTGTTGGTCGTTGCATCGTTGAGGATACGTCTTTTGGATCAGAGGTCCCTCCGTCGGCGATCAGCGAAATGCGCGTCGCCCCTCTTCACACTATCTGACTGGATCGAGTATTATATGTAGTGGATATCAATCCTACGACAATTTCAACCACACCGGGTCGCCTCGATCATAGCTATCATTCTGTAGCCGTAATAGAAGATGCAGACACGGAGATCCAAATATCTGACGACAACCGTGCCCCCCAAACGCCATGCGTTTCGCTTTGAAATCTTCGATAGAGCGATCACCAAGAGAGACATACAAATCGACCAGGGTACCTATCATCCCAAACGGTCACCTTCATTCATCAGCACACAACGACACGGTTCCCATGAGCCAGCAGTTCGGTCTACCATGGCTGCAAGCAAGAATACCGCATCTGCCGACACACCTCTAGACATTCGTTGTGAACGAGGCCCGCCTCCGCCAAAGAAGGCTGGCGTTGACATCAGTCAACAGGCGCTCGATGCGATAGAACAAGATCTGATCATAGAGAGCCAGAGCAAGCTAGATCCGGCGATGGTGGATATTCGGCCGCATCCTTCTCTATCATCAGCTGACCGCGAGGCTATCGAGAAGATCTATGAAAGCTTGCTCAAGGAGATACGAGACGAAACTACCGAGATTGGCAAAATTTGGTATGGAATCGCTAGCCATCGTCCCGACGCCAAGGAAAAGCCTCTATCGGATCTTCTCGTTCGACTAAAGAAAATCATTGGACAGCGCATAGCAGCAGAATGTCGCGGGTCCATCAAGCAGGCCGCCCAGCTCTTCAACTCCTTGGGCGATGTCGATATGCGCGATGGAGACGTGCCCAACGCCAATAAATCTAGTACGTGCGATCAAAAACTTGACTTGTTGGTGCATGGAATTGCGAGCGAGCTCGACGATGATGTGGATTGGGCGCAAACCTTGACCTTCGGCGTTATAAAATCTTCCAGCGCTGCGGACTTGAGGGATTTCCTGGTCGGTCAACTTCTTCGTTATGAAGTAAGTAGTGCTTCACTGCGTAATACTTCACTGAGCGCTGGTCTTTACGATAAGTCTCCTTACGTTCGTAGCGCAAGCTCAAACAGAATCATCCCATTACCGGTCGCTCGTGCTTTTTTACGCTATGCGGACCAATCCTTCGCCTATGGTATACCGATCCAGTACGGGTCGGTACCTCGGCCGGCTACAGTTTCAAGGATACCAACGATTTTAGGCAGATCTTCTATATCATCGCCTTCTTCTGCGGCCCAGAACATGACATATCCGAGCAATGGGAGCCACGGAATGGAAAGATCGTCCATATACAAGACGAAATCAGAAGGGAGCTTCCTCCTTATCAGTACAGATTGACCGAGGTCAAAAGGCTGGCTGTCTCGGCCACGATCTGGGGTCGCAGGACCGCTGCATGGTCGGCGAAAGCTGTACCTTTGAGCGAGTCCTGTCCAATGCCATCGAAGAACTATATGGTCATTAAGAGCACATGGCTTCCGTGTGAGCTTCACGACCATGAACTTAATGTACTAAGGAGGATAGCAAGCAACCGCAGCGAATCCAACAAGCACTTCCACATACCTATACCTATCGGAAAAATCGTCAGCGGCAAGACATCAAAAAATCGCGAACAGAAACCGGGCTCCAGCGGGATGGACATCAACAGATGGTACACCCGAGACGGAGGGTGGCGCAACTCAACTTTCGCTACCTTCTGTGTACCGGGAACCCACATCCGCTGCGGGGATCAAAGGCAACATCTTCGGCTGTACCGCGGTTTTTTCGAGATAATAAGATTTCTTGCCAGTATCGGCATCCATTATCGCGATCTCAACAACGGGAACATCATGGAGGCCGCCTTGGATGGGGAATGTCTCGTCATTGATTTCGGCAACGCTCGGATCTTGAAGCAACGTCGGGGTGCTGATTCGAGGAGACAATCTTTGGAGAACGATTTCGAGATCAGTCTTGACGATAGTCGGTCCGGCACCCGCAAATTCCTTTGCCGCAAAATCCATCGCCTTGCACAACAGGTCGATCTATGCCGTCAACATATGAAAGAATTGGAAGTGGAAGAGAAGGATCCCGCCAAGCACGTTCGAGCAGCGATTACGGCCGACATAGTCGCAAAGACGTACGCAGATGTGGCACAGCGCCATCGTCATCACCGGTATGTTCCCTGAAGCGAGAAACACTGACGGAGAACCGTAATAGATCACATATCCTACCTCGATATTCGACAGGTACATTGATGATGCGGAATCTGCTCTGTATCTTATGATATATCAGGCCTCGAGCGAAGCGTCCCTTCAGGAATCACTCGAGAAATTGAGTATGAAGGAAAATTTTTGGAGCTCAGGAATGTGGAACGTGAGTAGACTCTGGGTACCAGGAAGACAGCGCTTCTGATGTCGCTACATTGCTTGTCTCGCTATGCAGGCAGCAGGAAAGTCACTTCCGCTGATTGACATAACGATTTGGAGCTTGAAAAAGCTGGTCGACGAATGTCAGCTCGGTCTGAAGGCTGTCGAGCCGAACGCCGAAGGCTTGGTGGACCCTGCTGAGATGGAATGCTTCGACAACTGCATCACGGTGATGAGGGAGCGCGAGGAGGAGATCGATAGGGAGCGAGAAGCTGAAAGGCTGGCAGCAATGTCGTTGAGGCCGGGTTCCAAGCGGGAAGGCGCTCAACGAGTCCGCGGCAGAAGGTATAAGCGAAGTAATGCAGCTGCTAACGGCAAGACTGAATCGCAGGGATGAGGCTCGATGTATGGCAGCGATGGGACGTAAATGTTATTGCCACGTCCGACCTCGTACATGATTTGAGCCTTATCCGCACACAGGTCTTGCTAGCGCCTTTCGGATCTGGCTTTATCAGTTCATCAGCCTTACAACGATCGATCCGGATTCCTCCTTGCTTCGGCCCGCTACCGTAGCCGCCAACTCGCTGAAGGCGTCTGGCGCGCGTTCGAAGGGTATAACCATTCCGACCTTGGGTTGATATCGTCCCATGACGGGTTCTTCCAGGATGTCCCGCGTGTCTTGACCCGAGACATCTATCTCCGCCCCACCAGGAGCAAGATGTACATAAGAGATAGCCTTTTTGTCCTTCTTTATGAATGCCCGCCGGAGAGCGTGCAATGACGACTTGACTTGGGGACCCGATGCCAGATGATCGGCATCATCGCCGAACAAGGTCACATAGCTACAATAAAAAAGACCATACCGTTAAGAGATGACGGAAGGGAGCAGGCCTGTCCGACTAGCAACTCACACTCCATTCGTACGGAGCACACGTCGAGCGGCATCATAAATCCTTCTTCCACCGGACGTATCCAGAACGATTTCAAACCCGCTCTCGTGCTGTCCGTTGAGCATGATCACAGGATCGTCGGCGACTACCTCCCGAGCGCCGTTGTCCCAAGCGTCATCTTCTGAGGACTCGACGTCGACAGGGACCTGTGCGACGACATGCGCTCCCAGCTGCGAGAGCTCTTGGCAGACAAGCGCACCGACACCTTCATGCGCGTTCATGATCAAGGCCCGCTGCCCCCGTGTGATGCCCATACAAGCTCTGTGAGCGAACACTCCGAGAAGAGGTAGACAAGCTTGTTGCTCCAAGCTGAGATAAGATCCCACCGGAGTTCTGGCAAGGCGGCGACGATCTACGACAATGAATTCGGCCAGAGTACCGCTCTGCGATCGATCCATTCGTCAATCAGTAAAAGACGCGCTGATGACTATCGTGTTGTTAGGCTGACCTTTTTGATGTCGACCAGCCCCATGACCATATCGCCCTTCGTGATCGGGCGGACCTCTGCGCCTACTTCGAGTGCCCTCCCTACAAAACTTCGTCCGGGCACCCATTTCCCCGCTCCGCTGCCGTGTTCAGTCTTCTCCCGTACCATATCAAAGTCGAATCGATCGAGCGCTACAGCATAAACTTGGACCAGAACCTGAGAGCTGCTGATCTTGGAAGGGGGCGCTTGATGTGCCGAGTAGGAGACGGGTGGTGGCATATCGCCAAGGAGATGAGCAGGAGTGGTCGAGGCCGGCCTTGACAATCCCGTCAACGAGAGCCGTCGACCGATATTTCCCTGTGCAGTACCAGACAGGGTGATACTGGACATCGTCGAGCTTGGCATCCCGAGAACCCTACCGTCAAGTTTACTGCTGGTCTTGGTAGGATCCGAGGACGGCTTGTAAGCTCCCATTGGCAGAACCATAGCGCTAAAAATTCGCCAATCAGCATTGGGATGTGATGAGGAACGTATCGGTTCTGACCTACTTATAACCTCCCCTCCCGTCCTCGCCCGTCCCGTCGGCACCCAACAGGGGAACCGGATCACCCCGAGCTGATATTGTATCCAGACCTGCGTCCCGGCCAAGTTGTTCGGGTCTTCTCCACGTCTGCGTCGCTCCTCCATACTGACTCCCCTCAAACACGCTCCCGGCGTAATGGCTCGAACCACCGATTGACCGCGCCTTGGGTTTGTGCATGCCTCGACCGTAACGCGAATCGGTATCGTCGTCGTAATCGCCGACCTCGGAGGCTGACGGGCCGAATGTCGATAACCGTTGGTTCAAGTCGTAACCCGCAGGGAAACCCATATTCGGACGGAAAGACTGTGCCAAGCTGAAAGACGAGGACGGGCGATGTAGTCCTTCAGATCGCGGCGTCATGCGTTCGCTCCTGATGGAGGCGGTTCTCGAGGGGGGTCTCGATCGAGCGTATTCTGACTGCCCCCGTCTCGAGTCGGACGTCTCGGGCTCTTGGACTTCGGGCAAGAGGGTAAGCGTATTGGGCGACAGCTGGTATGCCGGCTCGATGGACATCCTCCTCGAGCCCCAGGAAGACTCGCCGCCGATCATTGGGCCCAGCATGATAGGCGAATCTCCAGCGAGAGATGGTGATCGTGAATGTCCAGGACTGGACGGGCGCGACAATGGGGAAGGTCCGGGAGCCTGGCCCTTTCTCATCAACCTCGATGGGCTCGTCTGTATAGCGGGCAAACTGGATCGTCTACCCTGAGGATAAATTGGTACGGTAGAAACGGGGGCGGAAGCCTGAGAATAGGCCGAAGTCGACGAGACGACCGACTCGGCCCGCCGAACGGGAGGATCTTGCACGGTCGCGGCACCGACGATAGGAATCCACCTCTGACTCTGCTGATCCCATTTCAGATAAGCCGGTTGATTCGGATCCGCAGGCGGGGGAGGCGTCCCGACCGAGGCGTGTGGACTACCCGAGCTCGTCCTGGAAGACCCGTTCGAAGTGTTGTTCCGGAAAGTCGGTCTGGCCGGGAATTGATCCTCGGCTTCCTCGTCTTCGACAGCGTGATCGTCATCCCTCGTCTCCTCTTCCTGTACCCCTTCTAATCTCGATCCATAGACATCCAACGGGCTCTCTTCCTGCTCTTCTTTGAGCGGGGTGGGTGGTTGGATCGACAACATCGGAGGCATCAAGTTGCCCTCCGTCTTCTCCCTCTCCGGAGTCGCATAGTCGTCCTCTGCCTGAGCGTCGCGCGAATAATCGTCCTCGCCGTCTCGCCTGTAGTCGTCCCCGTATTCGCGCTCTTCACCGTGAACATACTCCCTCCCGTAACCGGATCCAGTACGGGGCACCATTTTGTAACTCCTCGAGACGCCCGGGATCGGTCTGACCTTGTCGGCCTTGCTCTTGACCTCCGATACGTCCGACCGATCGTCGTCCGATTCGGACCCAGACTCATCCCGACTTCCACCTCGGGGACGCTCTAAGGTCGATTCCATAGCGGTCGTTCTTGTCCTTGTTGTTCCGGTCGACAACATTGGAGTTGTCGGACGGCTCCTGGCCGGGCTGCCCGATCCTACCCCTCTATGATAAGTCATCCGGGAGACAGGCCGTTCTTCAACACCATGGGTCCAAGGCGAAGCAGCATCATAACTCCTCTGCACTGAACTCTGCGGTCGACCCAACTCGGACATTGGAGGTGTAGATTCGTTACTATACTGTCCAGTGTGTGTTGGATGCCGGGTGCCATTCGAGCCTAAATGGTATTCTGAAGGCGACCTGGACCTCGAATTGTACCCTGACCCGGATGGCGAACCTGACCCTTGCGCGAAACCCGACCTATCCTCAGAACCCAAAGGATTTGCATGTCCGAGTGACCCCTGCGCCTGTCCTTGCAAAACTCCCGCCTGCTTCGAGGGCCCAGCTCGTGCATACGGATCCGTCGAAGCTTGCGAGACTGATCGGGAATCTGTTGTCCCCATATCGACTTCGGAGCCCAGGTCCAAGTCTGAACCCAAACTCCTCTGCTCTTGCGCACGTTCGCCTGTCGCACCCAATTGTGATCGCCCATTCGTTTTCGTTGCTGCGTCTTGCCCTTGAACCTGCTCTCTCCCCATAGGCTCCGGCTGAACGGCGACCGGTGCAGCTGTGACGACCTTCTTCTTCTTCGTCTTCTTCCTCTCCGCCCCGTTCGAGCCTCCGCCTGCTGTAGCTGTTGCAGTCGAACCCGGTGCAGGAGGGGCCAAATCCAATACCGAAAACGCCTGAAACTGCTTTTCTACATCTGTCTTCTTCTTGACCTTTTTCGGCTTTCCCCCAGTCTTGCCCACCTGACTCTGGACAGCTAAAGCTGAGGCTGATGAGGACGACTTCGGCCGGAAAGTAGGGAAAGGCGTAGATTGTAGGTTACTGGCTGGGGCACGTTGCTGTTGACTTGATGATGACGGTGGGAAAGCATGATCGATCGTCTTGACCCGGTTACCTGACCTCCCGTTGACCCCGATCACATGCTCCCCCCTCCTCTGATAAGCACCGTCGTCATCGTCGCTGGACGAATCCTGCCCATACCCATATCCGCCTCTCGAACGCCCTTGCTGTTCCTCCTCTCGATATCGTCGTTGTCTCTCTTCCCGCTCGCGTCGAATCCGAGATTCGTCCTGACCGACAGGATAACCCGTGTCCGGGTGATAATTCGACGTCTGGGTCGTCGCGTACTTGCGGGACGGTTTGCCGAATCCAAGGACCATGTCTGATCGGGGTCGATTGATTTGTGGTAGATAGTGAGTTCAGGGTTGTAGACCAATGGAATTGGGAGCAAGATTCGGCCTGGTTCCCAAGGATTGGTGATGTTGAGTGTGTAGATACGTTGATCTGGATTATGATTATAAAAGGGACTGGTTGGTGTCCAGGAGTAGCCTATGCAAGGGCGTATTATATAAAGGCAGACCGCGTCGTTCCTAGGAAGAGAGCTAGAGAGAGAGATTGGAATCGAGACGAGATTGACGTGACCTATTCTTCTTTTTGGCTGACGAACGACGACGACGACTGCTCTCGAAAGCTTTCGTCGAGGGTTTCGCTTTTCCCAGCTCTTTTGCGAATACCGTCCTCTCCCAGGGCGACGGTGATCGACGGATGTGAATATACTTCCGAAGACGGACCCTCTCCTCTTCCTCTGACTCCCTCTTCTGCCCCCTTGGCTCGCTAGGGCGAAAAGCAAGCAAGGAGGCTGAACCTGACCGAATTGCTTCCGTTTTCATCTGCGTCGCCCTGCTGATCCATCCCTCGCGCCTCGTCTAGCGTCTAGGGGAAGAGCGCCGCTGACGTCGCAGCTGGTTTCGACCTCGCTGACTTGCAATCACAAACGAGACCTCGTCGACATCCGTCGCCACACAGCATCTACCGCTCTGATCTGGTTGGCCACGCACCACTGACCATCTGGTCACCAGGGTTTTGACGCCCCCCCTTGTCACTGGCTCGGGGAATCGAACCTTTTGAGCGTCAGGGTATTTTCTGGCGGCGGACGCATGCCTGAAACACATACGCACGTACATATACCGCCTTTCAGTTCGCGCCATAGCGCCCGGAGTTTCATGACATCCCTTAGACTCTGCTGGAATTCTAACCCGAAGGTGACACTACATCAATACAGGAACGGTCAAAGATCTCATCGACGGGGGGGAAAGGACCGATCTAGCCGGGCCAGAAGTGCAGGACCGTGATTGAAGGGAGGTCGTCGCTACCAGGACGGTCACGATCCCGATGATGATCACCACATGACAGAGTTTTGTCCATCTTCATGAAACCATACATATCGTAATTATGAGAGGACCAATACGCTTCGATTGTTCTGCTGACTTGACCACCTAGGTTGTTCGTCTTGAGCGCTTTACTACTAACAGACGTCCATGTACACCAAATCGAAAAGATCGCCTTGAGTGCTGTTATGTGGTCAATCAGTAATACACCCAACCGTGTGCAGCGTAGATTAAGCCAATCCCTGACTCAACGGTGCGACCTCCTGGTCTTGCGTCTCGAGGCCCATAGCCGCCGAAGGGGGGTCGATCCTTGTGGCCACATAGTAGATTCACCTCGCAGCCAGGTATGAGCGCTAGGACACGGCAGGAGGGCCTGTCAGGGTGGTTACGACACGCGTATAGGATGGTTATCATTTAAACACACTTCCCTCTTTCCTGCCGGACCAGTACCCAACCGAATGAGGGCGAGAAGGATGAATAGGGAACCGAGATCGATAGATGGCATGGTGTAGGGGGTCATCACCCTCATGCAGGAGTTTCCACCGGGTGTCGACCTCTTCCTTGTAATGTTGCAAACCCTTCGGGGTGTTGCAGTCGATTTTGATGAGGGTGGCGATTGAAGGTATGATGATACAGGCCAGTTCGTGATTCGACTTATTGAATGGAGAAAGAGGAAGGCAATTTGCAAGTCGGAAGGTCGATTCAAGTTTGCAATGATTATACAGGTTGACATTAGCGTGTCGATACCATTGGCGGGAATGGCGGGTCGGTACATTGGACCACAGGCAGGCTGCCGAAGTCCTGCTCGCCCTGGCGACGGAAGGTAAGCTGATGGAGAGTGAATCTGTGCAGCTCGAGCTGGCCCAACCTCAAAGATCCGAGGACCTTGGTGGATATAGAGAAGGGACGATTAGGTAATTGCTCAGCTGAAGCTCTTCTTGTCGAACTCGATCCAAACTTGAGGTGATCCACGCGTCAGGCCGCCGGTCCTATCTCGACGGATAGCAGAAGTGATTTGCCAAGATCGAGTCGCTTGATTGGGTTCTGTTTCATGGCATAGTTCAAACTCGCCTGACAATACCGGGATTGCCACTCCTCTTCGAACTCCATGGCCATGGCCATACTGCCGGAAAAGGGCTTGCCCTTAGATATCATGCCGGTGGTGGTGTTGGGCTACAGCGTGGGCGTAGGGATGGGAATGGCTAATCACCAGACTTTGGCAAGTCAGCGATTGACAATGGATGCTAATTCCGGGAGAGCTATCGAGACATACTTGTCTGCTCCATATTCTCCATGCCAACGTCTACATCTGCATCAATCAACCTTTCGACATCCATCTCTTCGCAAGTTTGATCGGTCCTGGCCCCATGTCCTTTGAGCCCACGATGCTGTTCTGACTTGCCCGACCGATCGTCAAACACCGAGCCGTCCTGGCTCTCTGCGAGATCGTTGCCCCGATCCTCAAGCCCCGAGCCGTCCTGGCTCTCGGCGAGACCGTTGTCCCGATTCTCAAGCGCTGTGCCGTCTGTTACAGGAGTCTTTCTCTGTTAGCATCAACCAATCGTCATGTGCTTCCATTGGTACGCGATGCGTGCTTCTCTAGATGCTGTTGGGATCAGCTAACGAGCATCTCCTCTGAAAATAAAACGCCCCAGAGTTGATGATAAAGAGGATTCAGTCGTGATCATGGTATTGTACCCATTTTCGGGTTGAGGTCATGTATGTCGCCGATTTGGATGACATGGCCGGGGCGGGTGTCACAATATTGACCTGGCCTGAGTTGGGTCTACAATATCACCAGATACAAAGTGAGGCATGAGGAGTAGAACAACTCGTTTTGGCTGCATGGCTGTACTCGAGATCCTGAAACGCGAAGGAAGCGATCGCCGAGATTCGTCACGATCGACGATCTTTGGGTGAGCGACAAGTCTCAGGAAAAGGGGAGGGGACATCTACCGAACGACGCTTGAACTTGTGACTAAGAAGCATCTCTTTGCAGCTATTAAGCGTGATCCATAAGTGGCTCCATAGCTCTTCCGCCTCGGCCCACAGACTAATAGAAGACTCGGTTAAATCGATGTCAAGACCGCCTCTTCTCCCAACAGCATAGTCTTCTCGCTCAGGCTGATCAGTCATGGCATCCCCGGCTCCCTCCGCGCTGTTCAACGAGAAACCTCTCCTGGTCAGAAACCCCTCGGGTTCAGGTTCGGCTAGAAGCAGGAAGCACAACCCTATCCTACCTTTCCACAAACAAGTCATCAAAGAGCTAGCTAGTCCGGAAGAGGATGATTTGCTGGTCATGGCCAAGGGCCTGGGTATGCGGAGGGCAAGTCATGCCTACATCCGAATCTTGAATGATAACCAGCTAACCTTGTGGACTTGCTTATTTGGCAGATCATCACACATCTTCTGAAGCTCTACGATGCGCAGAGAAATCTGGTCATCATCGTAAATGCATCGCAGTCCGATGAAGATGGGCTCGGGGAGGATCTCTCTAACTTGGGAGTTAGGAAACCGGGATTGAGACAGGTGGGATACGAGATGAACGCAAAGCAGAGGTACGTATTGATTGGCACCGGTGTATGCTATTCAAGCCATATTATTTATATAACTGCATTCGCACAGGAAGCAACTGTACGAATCAGGAGGTTTGATCTCGGTGACGAGCCGAATCTTGGTCGTAGACATGCTTAGTGAGTATGTTGATCTTTAAAAGTCCCGGTCAGCTCGAGCCTTCCGCCCAATCTGACAACGTTATCAGCCAAGAATATCCCCACAGAATTGATCACCGGATTCGTTGTTCTTCACGCCGAGCGTGTCATACAGACTAGCCTGGAAGCGTTTGTCGTTCGACTATACCGTCAATCCAATCTTGTGAGTATCGCATGTGGCAATCGGTAGCATGAACAACCTCAGCTCAACCGGTTCCGCTGCGAAGAACGGCTTTTTGAAAGGTTTTTCGGACGAGCCAGAAAGTTTCAGCTATGGTCTGAGCCCAATGCAGGGGGTCATGAAGAACCTTTGTTTACGACGAGTACACCTTTGGCCTCGGTGAGCAGTCACGCTATGTACTACCCCACCATTCTCTAATGACCACTTCCGACTTGCGTTTCTCTAGATTCCACGAAAAGGTCCAAGACAGTCTCCAAGCTAGGAAAGCAGACGTTGTGGAACTATATCAACCGATGTCCAATCTGATGCAACAGATCCAAGGAGCAGTCATAGAATGCATGGAAGCTACTCTGGGAGAGCTGAAGCGGAGTTGCACCAATGTCAGTGCATCCTGAGATATGGATTGGATTTAACGACTACGCTAAAACGATCATAATCGTAATCTAGGTCGACCTGGACGACTTGACGGTAGAGAACGCGTTGTTCAGGAATTTTGACCGGATCGTTCGGCATCAATTGGATCCAGTCTGGCACCGAGTGGGAAACAAGACAAAAAAACTCATTGCCGATTTGACCCAACTACGGCAATTGCTAACGTGAGTAACACATCGTTGCAGACCCTGCGTGACCCCCCTCAAGATCGTTTACTGGAAATTATATTTCTAGATATCTGCTGTCATATGATGCCGTCTCTTTCCATTCATATCTCGAGACCATTATTGCGTCAAATTCCACCGATAAGGGCACGGCGAAACAAAATCAGAGTCCTTGGCTCTTCCTTGATGCTGCAAACACGCTATTTCAGTCGGCAAAACGCAGAGCGTACCTGACAAAACCCAGAGCACCTCAGCTCGCTCAAGCGAATGGTGCTGCTAGCACCCAAGATGGAGACGAAGCCGAATGGGCTGCGGTACGAGCGGCGGAGGAGCAAGAAACCCCGGCTCAGACCACGGCCGACCGGAATCCGGGGAGAAAATCCCGTACTACTGGGAAATGGCCAGAAGGGGTTGAACCTATCCTTGAGGAGCTGCCAAAATGGGGACTGCTCGGACAAGTTCTGGAAGAGATCGAGTCACATATCGCATATGAACCGATCGATTCAGGTAAGCTGAAACCCAGCTTCACATGGCAATCCTTTCGCTGACGCCACCTTGCAGTCCACCCCGGTGCCAATACCGTGCTGGTGATGTGCCAAGGCGAGAGGACCTGCACTCAACTGAGAGAGTATCTTGCGACTATGAGCCCATTCGTGCCTGGCATGACCGAAAAAACGGAACAAGCCGGTAGACAAATGATGGAGAGACTATTACGGACATATTTCTTCTGGAAGAACGGTCTCCGAGATATCAGTCAGAATTTCAAGAAGAGAACGACAGCCATGCTGGCTGAAGATGCAGCTGCATCGACATTGAACACCGTCAACAGTCCTGCAAGAGGGGGGTCAGGCTACCAACGGGGAGGCCAGCCTCCCAACAAACGACGGAGGGTTCGAGCTTCCAGTCTAGCAGCGAGTGTGGCCGATCGAAATAGGCAGAAACTGAGGACAGGGGAAGATAAGGAAATCGCGATCGAAGCGGAGATGGAAGAGGAAGCCGGAGGTATAGCGGATTTGTGAGTCGGAAGCGGACGCCAAGCGATAACGAGCTAGCCTAATTAAGGTGAATTACTAGTTTGAAAGCATCTCAACAGCCACCTCCTCCGAACGATTATGAAGATGAAGAGGATCCTCTCGCTGTAGTCGATCTCACAGACGAGACTCAGCAGACCCTGCTAGCACCTTCGGCTCAGCAGAGTTTAACGGACGATTTTGACGAGGTCGCGTTTCAATCGTATTTCGGGTTGATCCCGGCAGAAGACCTGGTCATCATTCGACCGTATTCAGGTGAAGAGGACGAAACGACATTGCAGGATATCCGTCCGAGGTTTATCGTTATGTATGATCCGGATCCGGCGTTCATCCGACGAGTCGAGGTGAGCTTGAGTACCGTACAGTCTCGTTCAGGGTTCTCAAATTCACGATACTTTCAGGTCTATCGGAGTACCAATCCCGGCCTGGGTGTGCGTGTTTACTTTATGATCTATCAAGATTCAGTCGAGGAACAGAAATACTTGAGCGGTCTGAGGAAAGAGAAGGATGCCTTTGAAAGGCTGATCCGGGAGAAAGCCGTGAGAGAGCTCGAATACCGACATCCGACTGATCGCCGCTGACAGAATCTCGTCTCAGAACATGCTCATTCCCATCAATATCCACCCACGTGCGCCGCATAACCTGGAGAGCCGGGCGAGAACGATTAGCACGAGAAACGCGGGCGGAGCAGCTGCAGCCGAGATGTCACGGGTAAGTTCGGGCCGGCCACGTGAGGGCCCGCCGCTGACAAGGATTCCTCCCAGGTCATCGTCGACATGCGAGAGTTCCGGTCTACCTTGCCATCACTTCTCCATGCAGCCGACATTGAGGTCGTACCAGCGACTCTGCAAGTCGGAGATTACATCATCACCCCCACTATGTGTGTTGAGAGGAAAAGTATACCCGATCTGATCCAGAGTTTCACGTCGGGAAGACTGTGAGTAATGTCGGTGTTGAGCAAGAGGTGAGGGAGAGCTAAAGGTCGACACGCCACCATCACAGCTTTACGCAATGCGAGGCCATGAGCGCACATTACGCTCAACCGATCTTGCTGATAGAGTTTGAAGAAAACAAATCCTTCAATCTAGGCGTATGTTGATGTCAGAAATTGACATTGACGGGGCTGGCAAGCTGACATCTGGTGATTGTTTCAGGCGATCGTCGAATCTCGTGCGCTACCTCGACCCGCTCGAGAGAAAGATGCTCAGCCAAGCAAAGAAGGGATCGATATGACCTCGATACACGCAAAACTAGTGCTGCTGACTCTGTCGTTCCCACGGCTACGAATCGTCTGGTCTTCTTCGACTCAAGCTTCTGTCGATATCATCGCCGATCTCAAGATCAATCATCCCGAACCGGACCAAGCCAAGGCCATCACTATTGGAGGAGAAGAGGATTCCGCGGAAATGGGCCCTAATGCGGCAGGAGGAGACAGCTCTGGTCTGTTCAATACCGGACCCGAGGAGATGCTTCGCGCTCTTCCAGGGGTCAATTCAAGAAATTACAAATTGATCTCTAGCCGAATAGCTACTATCCGCGAGCTGTGTGAAATCGAGGACAGCAAAAAGATGCAGGAAATAATCGGGGATGAAGAAGGCGGAAAGAACCTTTTCACCTTTTTGAACAAAGACAGTCGGTAGCACATAGGAGAGAAGCAAACATGAGATGTGATCTCTCGGTCGGCTAGCTGCGAAGCGCCTGTCATGTTTGCACGCGAATGAAACTAGTTGTATCGTGGAACAGCCGAAAGTACAAGCACGGGAGGAGCTACATAAAGGGCCCGAAAGGAAAATTGCATATCTTATTATCGACCTGAAACAGCTGTCCTGCGAGCATACATTGAACAGTCACCCTGAGATTGTCCTGGTCCTCCTCAACCCCTAGCTTAGGCGACTGGTTGAGTTGGGGAATAATTTTCACGTCCGTTCTCACGAAGCGCAAGGTGCACAAATCGAACTTGATCTTTTCGTGTTTTTTCCCTCAAACTTCCCACACTACTGCGACGCAACCCTTGGCTAAGGTCGGTCGAGCATTAGGCTCAACCTCTCTATGCGGTACCGTATGCGCGGGCCCAGCCAAATCCTACCCATCTACAAAGCTCTGTCGAGAGCTTCGATCAGTCTCGTCATCGATCCATCGGTTCACGGTCAACGTAATGCTGTTACCCGATCGCTGCCATGTCGGCGCAATTGGTCCCTTTTACGGTCTCGCCATGCAACGAGGTGAGTCTGTATTGCCTAACCAGTACCGTTCGGGAGAAGAAACCTCAGCAAAGAATGCATAATCGAACAGGCTACCTTTGCCCCTTCGCGCAGCGCTTCATTCTTAGACCTTCCACCAGATGCCAGGAGGAGAGGCCCCACAAGATGAAGATCGGATATCGATTGCATCGCTTGTCTGATTCGGTTCGAGAGAAGGTATACACTACACGTTTGACAGACACATCCTTGCCTATAAGATTTCGAAGAAGAGCCGGAAAGGGTCCCGCAGAGATCGGTACCCGATCAAGCGGTGGAACCGTAATGAGGCTGGGGGTGGACCGGTTGATATGCTACCGGGAAGTAAAACGAGCTCCAGGAAGGATCAGCTGACGAAGCTACAATAGTCAGAGACGTTGGGAATGAGTCGAGCTTACCGACGCCGTGCGCAGGTTCGAAGTGCCCGTTACCGAGGTTGACGTAGTTGCCAGGTCCGAACCTAGCGTCAGCCTCCATCTGCTTGTAGATCAGGCTATCAAAACGAAGGCGAGCTGATCAGTATTCGGGCAAGATCGATCCATTTCACAAAGGGAAATAACTGACTAGAATGCGTGGATGTGTCCGGGAATGTACTGCGATTGATTGACAAAGGGATAAGAGTTGAGCTTGAGAGATAAAGGAAGCCGGCCAAAGCCGAACACGACGTACCCCGAGAGCGGTCAAGAGGATGTTGCTAGAGTGGAGATGGACGAGGTTAGTGGCCATACGAAAGTTCAGTGTTGTGGGATTCGGGCTTACATCAAGAGGTCACAGCCACATCCCGAGATGAAGAACACGGATGCCGGCTAGAAAGGTCGAACAAAGCCAAAGTGGTCAGTCTTCCGAGACGATCACGCAAGTAGGAATGCCTCCTTACCGGGAAGAGGATCGCCACGAGAACGAGGATGATATCACTGCCGCGAACCATGATGATAGATGTCTATGTGGAAGGTAGTAGGGACTTGAAAAATATTGACAGGCAGGAAGTCGAGGTGGATGTAGCTGTGTGCAAGTTCAAGAGAGGCGATATGCTCCCCAACTATGACGTTTGATTCGATCATCTGGCGCGACGCGCTTCTAACGGGGGGAGGGGGGGTGGGGGGAGCTGGCTCGATTTGCTTCCGGCGTGCAACAAAGTAAACACAGAGCCACACCTGAACTTGGAAATCGTGTCCAGGATGTTCTCGATAATCTTCTTGCTTCTTATGTCTGTTCCTCCATTGCTCACCTTGAGATGACTCTCAGCAACTATCAGATGTCCTATAACAACCCACTCGAGACTTACCTGTCCGCGCAGGTTCAACGACCGCCTCCGTTCATCTACCTACACCACCCATTCCATACCTCCCCGCAAGCTCTACCGGTCGTCCTCGCTGCCCCAAATGATACAACCGCTTCTCTCCCAACTTCGCCTCCGACCACCGCCAGAGTCCATAACAACAAGATCGTCTTAACTATCCCTGCCTCGGCTGCCATCTCTCCTAAGACGCTGTACACGCTCGTCCTTCACCTCGTCCGCCTGTGCCTTTTTCCCGAGAGCGTCCAGCGGGAAATCGAGGAGAAGGGAAAGGTCAGGGAAGTTTATCAATGGGATACTTTCGTCAGAGGTCTATCCCGTATCCTGGATGCCGATGCTAGTGATGTGCAGAAGTCTGCAGAGGAACGGAAAGTCCACGCAGGAGAGAAACGAAAGCGAGCGAATGAAGGCGGCGATGAGCAAGATCGGAATCAGGACCAGCCAGGCGAAATAATCAAACCCAGCGTGACGATCCGCAGGACTCTAGTTATGATCTGCCAAGACGCTCATCTTTTGGCCAAGAACATCGGGATCGCGTTCGAGAGCCTGCTCAGGCTATCAAAGATGGTCAGTCATGTCTGTCTTGCAGCTGTGGATTGCCGCATAGCTGAATCACAAATTGGTGGTTGATCACTATCAGATGGAACATCCGACAAGCCTGATTCTGACCTCTCCCAAGGCCTGGGATGATGTCAGGCCTGTCACGGGCTCGTCGATGGAGCCGCTCGGACTGTCTTTACGGCGAGAGACTAAAGAAGGTGAGTTTGACGGGTCGGCAACGTGATCGATTCTCGTCACTTACGTCTCGCTTGGCTTGTAGAGGTCATCTCGGCACTGTTAGCTTTGGAGCGGGAAGGCCCAGTCGAAATAACTCCGGTCTATCCCTACTTCTTGTCGCTGTTATATGCGACTTCGGCGCATCTCGTTCCTCAAGACTCAATACCAACGCTCACTCGACTCAAGAATGCCTTGTGGCCAATCTACACCGCTGGCTTGGAGGCAAGACAACCTTCCATTTCAAAAGTTGATGATGATGCTATGCAAAAGGACGAGCCGACTAGGTCGGGGCTTAAGGTCACGACCTCGCTCTTGATAGAACTGAAGAACCGATCGACCTATGCGTTTGCTCTCGCCAACGAGCACTTGATCTCGGACAAGATCCCCGTCGAGACGTTTATCCAGGCTTTCAGGCAGGAAGATCAGGGGTCAGCCGAGGGACCAAAGACGGATGCAGAAAAGGCATTCTTTGACTTGATCCCCGCGGCCACCCGGGGCCAAGATCAAGCGGTAGCCGGACCGTCGGTACAAGCTCCTGTCCCCGTCGTTCGCTTGAACGCCAATCCGATCATCCTCAAACCAGCCGTGCCTGCCTTACCGCTCTATGCTAAATACCTCGTCCTGGCTGCCTATTGCGCGTCATACAACTCGGTCAAGAGCGACATGAGGATGTTTGGACGAGGTCCATTGACGAGCGCTTCTGGGCTCAAGGGAAGGGCTGGTCTGGGATTGGAGAGGAACACGCCGGGTTACGAGGGTGGAGGCAAGGCGGGAGGAAAGACGGGGCAAGGACTGAAAAAGGTCAAACTGGGGAAAGTCGGCAAGGTAAGACCGGAATCTCGTCATATCTTTCACAAAACGACTGTCGGTTAATAGAGTCGAGTGATCATTGTTACCGTAGGTACCTCAATATCTCCTCGGTCCTCGGTCATTCCCGCTCGAAAGGCTTCTGGCCATCTTCCAGGCGCTACTGTTCGAACACGGGTTCGACCCATCACAATACGAATCCGACAGCGACAACGACGACCTGATGGAAGGAAACTGCATGGAGGAACGTAATGACGATGAAGACGAGGACGACGCTTTTTCAGACGTCAACAGACCGGCGGGAAAGCTAGACTTCCGAATAGAAGACGATGCGGGACGAGCGGAGAGAAAGAGGCGGGAGAGGGAGCGACGGCGGGACAAGGAGAGATTGAGGGATTGGGAAGAAGAGGTCGAAGAGATTTCGAGAAGCGTAGGGTTGTTTGGTCTAGTCAGTCCGCGTCGAAGTTTCCGCTTGACTGCAAGACCGCCGTCGCTCATCCCCCCGTTCGTATGACAGATTCCGGAGCTCGAAAGCATGCGTCTGCTTCAACGGACGACGCCCAAAGATCGACTGGACCAGATCTTGATTCGGTGTGAGGCTCCAAAGGACATGGCCATGGCGTTTGCGCGGTCATTAAAGATTGATCTTAAGGGGTATCTCGTAGAATCGGAGTAATGCTGGAACTAATAGCAGGAATTTGTACGCAAGCATTTATGAGGGATGAGAGACTTCTTCTCTAGCGGGTTTGGCATAGATCGCTGCTTGCAGGCAGACAGCACGTTGGCTATGCGCTAGTGCCGTTAACCTGGTTGAGCGTACCTCCTCGCCTCTTGACGAATGTCTGAGTCATTTGAAACACGACCTCATGATCAACCACAATTTCGACTGCCTCAAGGAGCACCTCTTTCCTTGCTTTGCTTGAACTGACCTCGAGATCCCCACCGGTCGCGACGCCCAAGACCCACTTCCTCTCTCTATCGGTAACGAGTGCGAAATGCCCTTCTTGGCGTTGCAAGAATCCTTCGAGGTCTGAGAGTGGGGTGAGCGGGTGTATGACTTGGTAGCGGTGCGAAGAGGGTCGGACGGTCGTGCTCGACGAAGGGGAGGAGGGAGGGTTGAAGGGCGGAAAGAGGGTTGTGTGTTTCCCTGCCAGAATACCAGGTACGAGATTTATAGCGTAATGTCAGCCGTTGTTCAAACCCAGCCATCATACCCACGCATATGCTGTACTCACGAACAGGATCGTCCTGATTCGATCAGACAGAGATCAAGACGAATACGTTTTATGTCATTACTCAGCACTGATCAAGCCTTTGAGAATCGTAACAAGACAAACAAGATTGATTTACCTCTTTAGCACTTCCAGCTTCGAACTTTTGCTTGAGGCCAGACACATCCAGGTAGCCAATAGGCTTACGCTTATCGTTCAGGACACTGCCGGTCGAGACAAAGAAGTTGACATCAGCGCAGGCGGTCTCGGGAAGCCGTCTCGGCGGACCCCTTACGGGAGGTAATCGAATTCCCGCTCATAAGCAGCTTCCAACGCCGCAGTAGTAGGTGCGTTCTCCGGTAGACAGAATGCTGGAGCCAGTTGCAGGTCCTGTAACACCAGCTGAATGAGGATCGCCTTGTGCAGCTCTACCACCTGAACTCACTTCTACTACGGCTCCTCGGTACTTGTCGGCTGGTGTCATTCTGCGAGTCTAGCTTTACTTGATTGTCTTGGTTAATCCGAGATGACTCAAAAGCGCGACCTACTTTGCGACTCTGGAAAGTTTTTTCGACTGATCGATGATGGAGTCGATGTTGTTCTTTGAGGTGTGATCACGAGCACGAGCGATCACGAGCGAGCGATCAGCGAGCGCTTTCGGATCAGACGGACGGCCACCACCGAACATCATCACTCCCATCAGGATCCGGGAATTACTTCCGGTCGGAACGGCTGCGCTAGACGCTTACGGCATCTCATCCGCTTCTAATTGGCTTGAACGGGGAATGTGCCCAGCGGAGCCTTATCGAGCGAGTTGCAAGGTTGAAACTCAAAGGCATCGTCAAGTCAAGGTAGAGGTCGACAACATTCCACCTTCTACTACTTGCCTTGTGACGTCTGCTCCCCTTGATCCTCTCTCACACCATTCTGGTCGCTGCATGTCAAGCGCTCTCTGCATCGCATTCAGTCGAGTCAGCAGCCGAGTCAACCGTACCTCCATCAACCAGCTCACGCATCACCACTTGATCAACACCCGGACCAACTACTCCTCCCGGACTTTCGTTACCGCAACTCGCCCCCACTTTGCATCGCACAACAAACGCCCTCGAATCCCCTTTCCCAAAATGTCTGCCATCTCTGAATCTGATATCCTCGCGCGTCTGGACAATCTCAAGATCACTCACGAGCCCGTTGTCGAGCATGAACACTGCCCCGGTGCCGCCGAGTGGGACGTCGTCCTCAAGGGCAAGACCGAGTGGAACGGCAAGAGCTTTTCGCTCAGCAAGACCGTAGGTTCAAGCTATATGGGGTACTGACGCTCAGACCGAGCTGATCCGGTCATGTCCGTCTCGTAGCTGCTCTTCAAGCCCAAGCAGCCCAAGAGCGCTGCGCCTACCCCGGTCATGGTGATCGCCAAGGACACCACCGAGACCTCGTCCGCTGCCATTGGAAAGCTCTTGAACATGAAGGACCTCAGATTGGCGCAAGAGGAACTCGTCAAGGAGGTCTTGCCCGGTTGCCAGGGCAAGGGAGGACGTGAGTCATGCGAGAGGTTGGGCTCATAAGTATGCGCTCATCATGTCGCTGACCAACATCCTATTCTTCGCTAAACTTCATACAGTTTCTCCTTTCCTGCTCCCCGGTCCCATCCCCTCGACCCTCCACATCCTGGTCGACAGCTCCATCTCATCCTCCTCCGACCTCGTCGCATTCCACACCAACTCGTGGAACCGAACCTTCCTCATCCCCGGAACCTCTGTCATCCCTTACCTCCAGTCCATCCAGTCCCCTGAATCTGCCGAAGACCCCAACGCGCTCAAGAACGTCCAGATCCGTGAGGTCGACTTTGCGAGCATGAAGAAGGACGAGGTGGCCGAGCGGGGTAACGCGGCTCCGGTCGCTTCGGCGCCCAAGATCGAGAAGAAGAAGAATGACGGCAAGAAGGAGGATGCGTACGAGATGGCCGTCGCTTATACCAAGGAGGGAGACTTTTCCGGTTGGTATTCGGATGTGAGTGTCGGCTGAGTCGGTCGAGGTCTCATCGTCGGAGCTTGAAGACCAGGAGATCCTGATTGTGGGCTTGTTTTCCTGCAGGTCTTGGTCAAGGGTGACATGCTGGACTACTACGACGTTTCGGGTTGTTACATTCTGAAGCCCTGGTCATACACCGTATGGCAGCATATCCAGAGTGAGAATCAATAAATCTCTAGAATCAAATATCGCGACACATGCTGAATCCCATCCGCTCTTCTCCCTATCTCGGCAGACTGGTTCGATGCCGAGATCAAGAAGATCGGTGTCGAGGACTGCTACTTCCCCATGTTCGTCTCATCCGCTCGACTGGAAAAGGAAAAGGACCACATCGAGGGTTTCGCTCCCGAGGTCGCTTGGGTGACCAAGGCCGGTCAAAAGGATCTCGAAGAGCCGATCGCCATCAGGCCTACTTCCGAAACCGTCATGTACCCTTGTGAGTCGGGCACTGTGCGCTCGCTATGGTCGATCACCTACTGATTGTCGAGGCTTCGCAGACTACGCCAAGTGGATCAGGAGTTACAGGGATTTGCCCCTGAAGCTGAACCAATGGAACAGTGTCGTTCGATGGGAGTTCAAGAACCCTCGTAAGTCGATCTGTATGAATACAGCACATCGCCTGGTCGACCGGACCAACTGACAAGCCCCACGATCGACCTTTGCTAGAACCCTTCCTGCGAACCCGTGAATTCCTGTGGCAAGAGGGACACACCGCATTTTTGACCCAAAAGGAGGCTGGCGAAGAGGTCTTGACTATTCTCGACCTGTACCGACGAGTATACGAGGAGCTCTTGGCCGTTCCCGTTATTCCCGGTGTCAAGTCTGAGAAGGAAAAGTTTGCCGGTGGTCTGTACACCACGACTGTCGAGGGTTACATTCCTACCACCGGTCGAGGCATCCAGGGTGGAACTTCGCACTGTCTCGGACAAAACTTCTCGAAAATGTTCGACATCACTGTTCAGGACCCCAACGGGAGCGGCGACAAGATACACGTATGGCAAAACTCGTGGGGTCTCTCGACCCGAACGATCGGTGTCATGGTCATGATTCACGGAGACGACCAGGGTCTGGTAATGCCTCCTCGAGTATCGTCCATTCAGGTCGTCATCGTCCCCGTCGGTCTCAGTGCCAAGCAGACGGACGAGGAGAAGAACACGATCTATGACGCGTGCAAGAAGATGGAGGGCGAATTGTTGAGCATCGGAGTCAGGGCCAAGGCGGACCTGCGAGATGGATACACTCCCGGGTGGAAGTTCAACGACTGGGAACTGCGAGTGAGTCCAGACGATTCGACGGGACATTCAGCCTAAGCTCGAACCACTGACGCCCAACGCACGATCTTCGTCAGGGTGTGCCCATCCGACTCGAGATCGGACCCCGAGACATGGCCGCCAAAGAGGTCAAGGCGATCCGACGTGTGGACGGCCACAAGTTCCAGATCGCCAATGACGACATCAAGACGACAATCCCCGCTACCTTGGAAGAGATTCATCACTTGATGTTCAACAAGGCCAAGAAGGCTTACGACGACCACATAGTCAAGGTCGACAACTTTGACGATGTCGTTCCCAACTTAGACGCCAAGAACGTCTTGATCTTGCCTTGGTGCGAAGCCGAGGCTTGTGAGGATGACATCAAGGACAGGAGTGCTGCCATGTGAGTGGTCTACAAGCGCCAGACGGAGACGATGAGAGTACGACGTTGATCATTTGTGTTGAACACACCTTGCAGCTCGAACCAGAACCAGGCGGTTGACGACAAGGCTCCTTCGGCGGGTGCCAAGTCACTCTGTATCCCCCACGACCAGGCTAGGTTCGGAGATTTGCCCGAGGGTCAAAAGTGTGTCGGTTGTGGCCAGCCCGCCAAGAGGTGGACCATGTTCGGAAGGAGTGAGTTTCGAGCGGACGTGACACGACCGAGGTAGCAAGCCTGAATGAAGCTGAGACTTTCACTCTGTTCTTTCCAATAGGTTACTAGGCGGTCTCTGTCGAGGGCGATCACGATTTTACGTCTGTCACTTGCGCTGCCTGAAGAAAGATGTCTTGTAGTACTGGCAAGAGGGTTCACATCATGCATCTAACTAGCCTACGCGACTTTCCATTCCAACCATGAGTCCGTCAAGGGTTGTATCTATTTTCACCGAGACGCATGGATGGGTGGTGGTGCCTGACCCGAGAGGCTTTCCCATCTCGCGTGCGTCTCGTTATCTCGCTCGCTCGGGGATCGAATCAGCCGCCGCGGTAATCGATCCATCACGTATCACCCTCCGCATTATTACATTCTCTCGTTTCTTATCTTTTGCGAACTCACTCCACATCTGCCCGGTGAGATCGGAGTCAGTGTTCATATACTTTTATTCTGAACCTCGTCTCATCCCGGATCTGCAAGTTTGGACAGCTCTTTTAGGTCGCGAGTTTGAGCTTCGAACGACCAAAACGACCTCTATCGAGTGCCGCCCACCATGAATGCCGAGGTCATCAGCTCCCGCAAGAGGCTGGGTCAGGTTGGCGCCAGCATTTTCTGGTGCTTCACGACTGCCGGGGTGGTATTCGGTGAGAGCAACAGGGCCTGAGCTCGAGATGGCCAAGTGTGATCACTGACATACCAAGGACTTTGCGCGCATCAGGTTATCCAGCGTTGAAACCGGTGCTCGTGGACTCAGCGGTCTACTCGGAGCTCTGCGAAGATGGCGTCAAGTATTGTGCAGCGAGCGATACAAGGTAAAGACTATCAGCCTGCGCACCGTCCTCATCTCTGAACTTTTCGGGTTTTCTGCTCATGTAGGATGAATTTCATGTTCACCGTAGCCACTGTTATCACCAATGTGAGCGCCAGCTCGTCTTACGGCCCGTGACGAAACTGTTCCACCTCCGAGCTGTCGCTGATGGTATACATCTCCGTATCGCATGAAATAGGGCTCGGCATTGGCTGTCGGATCTATGCTAGACTGGCAAGGACCTCGCTCTACAACAATTGCCGGGGCTATGGTCTTTCTTCTCGGTAACTTTTTGTTCGGTGTTCAGAAAGTCAACGGGGGTGAGTCCGCAAAGGTATTTTCCCAAACTACGCATATCCTATTAGCTGATGAACGTTCGCCTTATCGCTGGGAAACAGTTTTTGACACTTATCTCATCGGATACAGCCTCATAGCTCTCGGCTCAGTAGCCATATTTCTATCGCAATTCCATCGTAAGCCTATCGCTCATATTTCGCCTGCGAAGCCATCATCTCACTTTCGCGCCTGATTCGCTCCGCAAACGACAGTATCAAACGCATTCCCGCAGTACTCAGGGGTCATTCTGGCAGCCCTGACGGGAGCGTTTGACAGCAGTAGCGTGCCGTACTTGATCTACCGGGAAGTGTTCTTTAAGCTGGGTGAAAGACCTAGTCTGTGAGTTAGCATGCGACGATTCCAATTCTTCGGGTTGACTTGGTACTGACAGGGTCTATCGTCATTCAGCCGGACGTTCTTCTGGCTGTACACCTTATTGCCTATCGCGTAAGGAGCTATCCGCGTCAGCAAGCGTTTTCCAGGGTCTTGCTTAACGAGTTGAAGCTGTGTCTATTTTCAGAATCATATTGCAACAAATTCTGGCAGGTCCAAAAGAGATCTACGTCCGGACTGTCACTCCGGACCCCTTCGTAACCCTCGCAGACGATGATGATCTGGATGATCTCGCTCGGGCGCGATCACCCCGCAGGGTATACGACGGGGAACAGCCTGTCTACACCCCGTCGGCTGATCCAGTTGCGTCTGGATTCTCAAGGCTGAGTTACAACATGCCTACCAACCCGAATGGGTATGTGGACGAAGACGAGAACATCGAGATTCTGGATCACGGCAAGGGGGATTTAGTAGTTGGCGCCATGTTCTCAAAGACGCTGAAAGAGCAGTTGAGCAGTGATTGGTTCTGGTAAGCTTAGCCTCCGCTAAGCTAAGACGAGTCAAAGGGCGCGGCTTAGCATTTATGATCTACTTGCAGGATCATATGCGCCTACTTATTCGTTCAGATGTTGCGAACAAACTATTACTTGGCTACAGTGCAGGTATGAGCCAGGGAAAAAACGGTGCCTTGGAAAATCATGAGCAGCCAGACTCACCGTGATATCGCGTCTCCCCCCGTGATCGCAGTCGCAGCTAGAGTACTACACCGACGCTCTATTGGCGGACACCTTGACCAGAGGTGAGCAATGGTCATGTGAACTGTGTAACATGACAAGTGCCGATCTTTTTGCGTCGTCCAGCTTTTACCGTGCTACTACCACTCGCGGGAATCGTAGGGATCCCCTTCGTGGGGAAGCTGTTAGATACGCGGCCGACTATCGAGACCAGCTGGATCCTGCTCGTTTTCGGCGTCAGTTTCGGTATTCTCACCATCATCCCGCGGACCGTTCCTCAATTGATCGGAATAGGCGTCCTGGTCTTCAATCGACCTCTGCTTTACACCTACCTAAGCGACCTTTTCGCTAAAGTTTTCGGTTTTCAAACCTTCGGCAAGGTATACGGATTGGCGATGACCCTGTCGGGCATTGTCGGGCTACTGCTCACTCCATTCGATATCTTCACGAAGGACCATGGTGGTAACTTCACGCCGATCAACATCGCGCTGATGATCGCTGGATTCGTAACGAATGTGGGGTTGACGGCGAAGCTGTATTTCCATGTACGCAAGGGCAGGATCGCCTTGCCGTATGACGATCACTAGTGCTCAAGACGGAGGAAGGACGGGATACAGAACGGCGCAATTTGCCACCAAAAGCATTAGACATGGGATTGCGCAATTGTCATGAGATCGTTCGTTAGGTTTTGTCATACAACATATGTCTCGGCGGGGCAATTCGCCTACCGCTCAGAATGCACTACTCGTTCTGAAGCTTTCCACCTTTTTCAAGACGTCGCCGACGGTCCTCTCCAAATCGCTTGCCACCTGCTGTTGCTTGCTGTACGGCAGGGCAGAGAACGCCTCGCATAAATCGCCGTCGACGACGGATTTTACTGGCACGTAGTATCCTCGGTAGGAGATGTGACCTCGACCGGTCAGCGATACGCCAAGGGTCCGCATGTGCTGAAAGGTTAGGAGGGGCCAAGTATCAGAATGTGTACTCGGTAAGCCTGAGATATTTATCCAGAGGCTTACCATTTCCAGCGTCGACATGAATTCGATGTCGTCTTTGGTCTGGAAAGGAATGAGTGCGCCAATCGACCCGCTGATTGTCGTATACACCAAGACGTCCCTGCCACCGGATACTAAAGCCACCTTGGTGATACTGAAAAGAACGATCAGTGATCAGCTTGGTAGCCCAAGAACAGCGCTAGCTCGAGGCTACTTACGACGTCACCACGCTGCCAACGTAGTAGTGCATCAGAAGACTGGTCTTGTGCGCGGCACCCATCAAGTAGCTCTTCTCGTGCATGATACCAGCACCGGTGGGATCGTCGTCGACCGACTGACTGACGTGATCGGGCAGCCGGTTGATAAAGATATTTCCAAACTTGTCTCCACACGCCACCGTTTCGTAATCCACCATTTGGGTAGCGGTGATCCACCTCGTCTGCGTATCGTCAGCAAAGACCAAGAGTTGTCTCGTGGGGATAGCCTTGTAGGCGACAAAGAATGTCGACTCCTGGATGTCTCCTACAATGATCCTGGTTCCCTGCACGTTCAACGTTAGGATTGCAGTAGGGAAGGTCTGTGGTCCAAGATGTAGTCAGCTAGGTAGAACCATCTTCTTGCAGTAGGTCTGAACTCACGTTGTTCTCGCACTTTCGGAGTAGCTGCTTCTTTCCGAGCTCATACAATCGCAATGCCTTGCCGACTCCTGCAACCAGATGCCCTTGGAAAGCAGCCAGAGCCATCGGAACATCGTCGACAGGGGTCTGGATATCGACAAAGAAGTTAAGAACGAAGCCTGCGGAATCACAAAGAGCTTAGACTTGCCTTGTTCACAAACTCGAGAGATCGGCCGTCATCGCTGATCTTGTAGACCCTTAAGAATCCCTTGCTGCAAGTGCGAGGTGCGATAGTAACCTCGACGGCGGTACCTACTACCAGCATGATCTCGCCTCCACGCTCGGCAAATGGCACAACAGCGACGCTGAAGGCAGCCTCGTTCTCGTCAAGATCGATGGTCTGTAGAGATTCGGCCTGAAGACGATGTGATGTCAATCAGCGATGACTGTCCATCAGTAGAGAGCCTCTGTTTAGCTCACCCCAAGCGGATCTACGACCCGAATCAACGATCCCCATTGCCCTGCCTCAGCTTTGGGCCGACCGAACTCGGCAGCCGGGAGTTCAAATACAGACATATCAACTTCCTTGCCCTTCGAGGTCTATACGGAAATATGCGGAAATGTACAGTGTTTAGCTATGTTCATGCTGTTTCGCGCACATACACCAGCATACCTTTTCGCCGAGGATCCTGTCGATGGCAGCTTGGCCGTAGCTGCGGTGATCCGTCTCGACGATGTAGGACAAGGGGTGGTAAGGGTGAGAGGAAAACCTTCGCGGGGTGTAGGTGAGGGGAATGACATCCTGCTTGAGTTTCAGACCAAGCTTGGGGATCATGAAGATTCTATATACGAATCACAAATCAGTACACATGATTTGACGGGAAGGCAAAAAGCTCTAGCTTACCGAAGTGTGTTGCCGGTAATACCGATCAGTCCATCGGGACACAGCTCTGCCGAGAACGATGACGCGTGCTCGAGCGTATCGTAAATTAGCGGCGTGAACTCCAGACGGTCCTGATATGTGTAGTTCAGCCAAGCCCGGCTAGACAATGCCATGACGGCCGGAGAACCATGTACGGTGGTCCTGAGTAATTTAGCTGGCTGTGATCCCAGGAAGCTGTCGTGCCGACCCTGTAAGTGTCTTGTAGATCATTGTGGTCTGTAAAGGTGTGGCTCACCGCTGTCTGGTATCGGTCAACTCTCCGTTGACGGGGTCGACAACGGTCCTCAGCAAGACACCGGTCTGCAAACCGATGTTCAAGAACAAGGTCGGCCTGTTCTTGTCCACGGTAGTGTCGAAGATCTCGGCAAGACAGATGGACGTTGGAGGGGCCGTCAAAGCCTACGTGAGGGTGAAGACGGTGAGCGAGGTTCAGAATGACTCTCTCAGTAGAATCACTTACCTGCAGACTGAGTGTCGTAAATGTGTTCTCCATCTCCATCGAGATGATGTGGACGGTTTGGTTCTCACAACCGACAGCCTGTAGGGAGCAAGTTTGAATACAGCCGGGACTGGTGAGCAACAGAGAGGAGGATATCGGCTTACGAGGAACGGCGCCCTCTGCCTTCCAGCCGGGACTTCACCAATGCTCAAGCAAGTTGCGTTTGCCGGCAAAGACTTTCGCTCATCAAACTCTCCCAAAGTGCCGTCGGTATCGACCTCGAAGTAGATCAACTCGGCGGTGTTCAGTGCGAGAACCACCTGTCGCTTGTTGGTAGTCGCTGCAATGACCTGTGTTCCAGGGGGACACGACCAATCGTTGATTGTCTTGTTTGGTAGAACGTGTCGAAGACCAGTAGGGTGGACCTGAAGCAGCCCGGAGTCTCGAAGTTGCTGTACAGCTATTGTGGGACCTGATGACAAGAACCCAGTATCGTGTACTTCTTCGATCGTTTCGCCGATCGTTAGCACCAACGTTCCGTTGACGAATGACAAGACGATGTAGGTGTCGTATTCGTCTGCAAAGCGATAGAATTAGCCCCGAACCCAATGGATAGCGCTGACAATGCGATGCACAAACTCACCCTCTTCGTTGACCTTGACGGTCCATACAGCGTTGGGCGTTCCGGGAAGACCCGAGTTGACCAGTTCTTGAACATCGAGACCGTGCCTCAGAGTTCGGAACGTACTCCTCGAACCACGTCCACAAGCGGCCAGAATTTGAGGAGTGTCCGAGGCTACGCCCAACAGATTCGAGATCTTGGCGTCGATAACAGGATCGAGCGAGTCCATTGAATCGGTAAGGAGCAGGTTCTCGAGTGGTCGAGGGGTAAAGTAGGCGAGGGGCAAGGCCTCGTCGATCATTCCGTTGTTGCTGTAGTTCGACGAGATCCATTCCTCGTCGGCCTCATTGTCACCCAAACCTTGGAAGTGGTAAAGGTTGCTAAAACAGAGATACACGATGATATCAGTTGACATATCCTCGCGATTGGAGTAGCGTACCACACGTACTGGTTACCAAACTCGCTCGCAGCAAAGAGGTAACCGCTCTTCAAGATACACAAGCTGGTCGCTACGGGAATCGTGTCGAAGTATTTGATTCGCATATCGATGACCTCTTCGTCCTGATGCTCGATAGTGACCTTGAACATGTCTCCATCCTCGCTTTGAAGCAAGAAGAAAAAGGCGCCCTGATGGATATCTCTCTCAAGTCAGCCTAAGTGACTGGCAATTCGCAATGGCTGCGCACGAACCTTGATCTTGTGCATAACGGCTGACACGATAATCAACCCCCTTGGCTCGGCATTGGCATCAGCTAGGGGGTTCCGTCGTCTCGGGATAGGTACCCGATGTGCCGGTACATCCATGTTCTTCCAGATGATATGATCCTCACAACAGACTAACACCCCCGAAGGTCCGTCAAACTTGTCCGTCGTTGCGTTCTGTCCACCAGGGACCTGTACGAGCAAATTGGCTCGAGGATCCGTCGGCTCGCTCCACTTCCTGACCACGTGATTAAGACCCAGGTCGAGCTCGTAGAACGTCAACATCTTTTCCGCCCGCTCGAACGCCTCTCCCGTCCAGTCGGCATCGCTCTCCTCGTAGCTCGTCTCGAGACATGCATACATCGGGTTATCGAACCCGACATCCACTCCGATCAAGGCTGAGATGATGGCGTTTTGTTTGTGTGCCTCTAATGGCGATGAAGGGAAGAGCTTTCCCTCGCTATTTCGATTCAAGACGTAGACCAATTTTGATTTTTCCAAGCTGCGGATGAGACGTTCATTTCGTAGCAGAGCGAAGATCAGCCAACACGAATGGAGAGACGTATAGAAGCAAGGGAGACTCACGCTCCGAGCATGATACTACGGCCTCTCGGGTCCACTCCGAGCCATTGCCCTGGTACCATCCTCCTTGCTCCACTCTTCCCATACGGCTCTTTATGCAGCACCTCGAACCTCGGCGACGGCGTCAAGTGGAATTCAACAATCGCCAGGTTCCCGGAATCCGACCCGATGATCAGGTAATCTACAGTAGCGAGCTCCCTCATCAACGGCCAACCCACAGACCACAAGGCGAGCGTCGCTGATCTGCTCACCTTTTCCCTGTCCTGTCAATCGGAATGGTACCATGCTCCTGATGCCCGCAAACGCTTCCGAGCTATACAGCGTGTCCATCCGCTGCGTCGTCTCGTCCAACTTCAAGATCTCTACCCGCGTTCCACCTCGACAGACGGCAATCTCCTGTTGCTTGTGGGTCCCTGAGAACCCACCGATCACCGCGTGGGTGATCGAGGTGGGTGGCTGAAGTGTGAGATTGAGGAGATGCATCTTGAACAGTCGAAGTTGTTAAGGGTTCCTCTTTTGGTAATGTTATATCGCGAGCTTCCCTCGTGAAGATTTCGGAGAGGCGAACAAACTGGTGACTTCTACAAGGAAATACTTCGGCTGATTATGTCTGTGCGCACAAAGACGCTTCGATGCAAGCAACCGAACAAGATCTGGCTGAACATGTCGATCTCACCAAGATCGAGGAGATGAACCTCTATCGATGGGTCATTGCGCATGGCCGGCTGCGCTTGATCGACGCGCTTCTACGTGTCAATCGCGTCAGATCCCTTCTCAAGGTTGTGTTTGGCGAGAATGCCATGTGGGCAACAAGTCCTTTTTTCGCAAGAGCCTGGCAGGCCTGGCAGATGTACGTATGAGTAGATATGTTCATCCTCCTGGGCCCCAATACATAGGAGGAAATCGGAGCGGTATATGACGATCACGAAAACGTTGCGAATGTTCACGTATCTCGCGTTGCGGTGGCAGGCAAAGAGAAATGACCATGCCTTGTAACAGCACTGATTAGGGTTACCGATATCTCTTCTGCACGCTTAAGAGCGTACAGCTCGAACCAATTAACAACAGGTCTCTCTAGCTGATCCATCGAAAGTCCCGTTCTCAGGCATATCGACGGGGGCTCGCGGCCGGGTGTTTCACTTTGCCTCGATTGCGAGCAAACGTCCAGCCAAAGGGCATCCCGATATTATGAGTATCAAGAAATCTTTTCTGACCTTTGACCCGCTCTCAGCCCCTTGTGCACATGCTGAAATGTCACGACTTGGCGTCGTAATGGTATTTGACGAACGTGTCCCGCTGTTGAGACTTTGACCGTTTCATGTTTCGCCCGCGTTGATTTGATCGCGATTGCCTCGGCATTTTCGGTCAAACCCGAAATCGAAAGGAGGGTGACAGGACGGTTTCAACCAAAGGAACGTCTCGTTGGTTGGTAGACGGCACAGAGGGTATGTCATTATTATTAAATAGACCCCCTGACTACGAACCTTCAATCTAGTTAGAGTCTGAGGGAGACCGAGTCTGGCTGAATATAGTGAAAGTCCCCCGTTAGCCTCTTGTCAAGCGGTCACCATGTCTGGAAGATCGGAGAACACCTCGTCGGTGGGCAGCGATCCAGCAAGGTCAGTGGGAGAGACCAGCTAGCGAACGATGTTTCGGCTACGGCCCTGATTCGTTCTTATTCGGTTCAACTTAGACCTCCGTTGATGGACAGTCCTATCAAGAGGAACTTTGACAGCAACATCACCCCGTCGTCCACGCCTCCCCCCCTTCCTCCCAAAGACGCTGGTACCTTGCCTTCCCCTCTAGTCAAAGCGTTCCAGGACGAGAACACCGCTATACTGCCGGTCTCCAAGCCTGCCAATGTCTATCAGCATGGCAGTATCGGGAGGAACACTCAACGGTTGAAGAAGCTGCCTTCCTTGCACGAGATCGGCAAGGTGTACATCGAGAACGGGGGCTCGCCCGTGAGCAGATGTAGGTATTGCCGCAACAGACTCGATATTGATATTCTGGCTGAAACTCGGTCACATTCCTATTTCGCAGTCAACCCGACATTTCAATCACCATCCGGCACTCTCTCTTCGAAGAAACCTACTCTGGATAGACTTTTACCGGTAGCTTCAACCCCCTCCCAATCGAACCACAAAGAGGCCGACAAGCTGTCCAAGACTCTCAGCCCATACACCGCCGACCTTTCCGCAGAGAGTCCGAGCAGACTGAAGCTCCCTTTGTCAGCCTTGACCAGGGTGGATACCTTTGCGGTATCCGACAATACTGCGAAAGGAGGTATGACGAAGACGACTCCCAATAACGGAGCAAAGGAAATCGCTGTGCCTGCTCCTAGAGCTGTGAGGCAAACCATCCAGATCCCCACGATCGATCCGAGCAAGGACGAAACTACCCCTCATATCAGCGCTTCCATGTCTTCGGCTCTCCCCACTCCCCTCATCACCCCACAAGACGGCAAGAACCTCGGCGTTCCCGATCAGGTCAAGATTATCAATCGGCTTGGCCCCGGCGAATCGGTCTCACCCGCCGATGTGCCTGGAGGAAACTACGTCAAGGGGTACAAGAACGTTCCTAGCTGGAGAGAGGTTGTTGATATCAGAAGGGCACAGCAGAGTGGCGAGAAGAGGGCGAAGACCATGGAAACTCCAGCTCTTGCTCAGACCCCTCAAGCGACTTCGGGCGTAGCCGCTTTGCCTGAGCGAGACGTGAAACACGGATTACATCCGCTTCAACATACCTGGTCGGTCGCCGCGTTCCGCTTGTCTGTGCCACGGTAGCCGCTGTGCTGACTGCATGGTTGTAAACAGGACGCTCTATCATGACACAGGCAGACCGATCACCGACCAAGACATGTTTGTCTCCCAGAGCGGTACGACCTTGTCGATGAAGCTAGGGAGGACGATTGGGGACGAGAAGAAAAACAAGATCGAGATGGAGTTCGAATCGAGGTTATTGATCCTGGGAGACTTTCGTACGGTAAGTCAGGTCTAGATTCGCGGAACCAGAAACCTCGACTGACATGGCATGCTTGGAACAGGTTGAGGACTTCGGCAAGACGTTCGGTCAAACACCAGATCAGAAGCGCAATTACCCCTCACAAATGAACTCCGGAAGCAACCTACATCTCTTCAAAGTGAGTTCATATAAGCTGGGTAAGCTGAAATCATATCGATGCTGATATAAGGATGAATGAATCGCCAGGACGGTATTCGACCCGTAAGTGGTTGACATGTCCTCGAGAAGCGATGTCAAGCTCAACAAGAAGTCGCGATTCTTAGATGTACGAGGACCCAGCCAACAAGCAAGTGAGTCGCAGACAGTTGGATCTTGGCGCAACAAGGTAGGATTGATGGAACCGCTTCTTCAGGGTGGTCGGTGGACGTTGGTCTTACAGAATCTCCCAGGACTATTGGATCGCGTTTGGCAAAATCTAGTCTGCGGAATGATCGGAGAACAGATCGACGAGGGAGACGATATCTGCGGGGCGGTCATCTCGATCAGGCCCAAAGTGCAGAGGATTCAGGTCTGGGTGAGGAACAAGAACAACTTCGATACAGTCGAACAGATCGGTCAGACGCTGCTGCGAGTACTGGACATTGCCGAACCCAATGTCGTTACCTCGTTCGAGTTTGCGGTAGGTCGACAAGCAGTGTCTGCAAGAGAGTAGCTGCTTACGACCACGATTCGTCAGGGCAACTTGGGTCCGCCTGCTTCCGATCGTCCTCATCTGCAGATCGGCAAGGTGATCAAGAACGGTCCGAGGCTGGCGCAACCGCATGGACCACCCGGAGGATTTGGAGCGGCCTCTCGCGCATCTTCGCTGATGGGTAGTGCACCCTCGAGCCGCCGCAATTCGCCTACTCAGAGCGGTTTCGTGAACCCTTTCGCCGGACCACTCGGAATGCCCCAGCCTGGATCGCCCAGGACGAGCTCGCTGAGGTCGGGACGCTCCGGTGGCACCGGATGAGAGCAGCTTCTTCATAGTCTCACATGCTTGATTACATGTATCGTCTGTGTATAGTCATCGAATCAAGCATGTTTATAAGCAGTGTTGACAACATGAGGATCTTGATGCGGCACCCCTTAGCTTCAGATCGCTGCAGGTAACGACGCGTGTTCTCGTCTTGGGCTCGTCCGCCCCCTTGGCGTCTCATCACCATCCCCTCTACCCCCGAGTTCTCTGCTCCGCTCATTCCTCCCACCCATCTGCAGTTGGCTTAACCGATCCGTCAACCCGGCATGGCTCAACCCCTCTCTCCGTTCCTTTGGCGTAGCGGCTCCTTCGGCTACCAGATCGTGGACGTGTTGATATCGATACTGCTCGACCGCACTGTCCTTCCGTAGGTATTCCGGAATCTTGCCCTGGTCCCGCATCTCCTCCTCTTCTTCCTGTCGATGTCGCTCGCGCCGTTCTCCGGGGGTCTCTTGTCGGCGCATAGCAGCCGGGATAGATGATGATGTGGACGAAGAAGAGATGTAAGACGAAGCAACGTCGTCTTCGTCGGTATCATCATCATCTACCTCCATCTCGCCATCCTCCTCCTCCTCCTCTTCCATCTCTTCCTCGGGCTCTTCAAGGATGATGCTGTCGCTCAAGCTGCTTCCAAACACGTCGCTCGAAACGGACATGTCGTCGTCGTACTCCTCATCCTCGTCACCCATGGCTTGATCCGGTGCATCTTGTAAGGGCATGGTCATACCTAGGCCAGTGTCTGTCTGACCGAGTTCAGAGCTGGGAGGATCGAATTTCATACGGGAGATCAACCCGTTCCTATTCCGTCCGCTCGGGCTTGTACCCGAGACGTTCGAGTCTGGTACGCTGAGGTTGCCGTCTGTGTGTGCCACTGCTCGAATAGGGACCGCCTGGCTTGTTGAGGAGGAAGAAGGAGAAGCCATATTCGACGCCGCCGCATTCGAGCTCGAGGTAACAGGCAATCCAGCTCCAGGACTAGCTGGCGATAGACCCGCTCCTGATCCTGATGCGCGGGAAGAACTCGACGAGGCGTTCGAAGAGGAAGACATCCTTCGAGCCTTTTTCCACAGCTTCTTGGTCCCCTTTTTTACTAGATGGTGGATCTCTGGGGGTTCTTCGGTTCTGAGTCGATGTGATCCGGGGGAGGGTTTCATGCGGAAGGGATCAGCTCGGATGGTAGCAAAGGAGAAGGTTGACCGTGATTAAAAAAAGAGCATGACGTGGAATCACTCACTGGTTTCGCTGCTGAATGTTTCTCTTGTACTCTTCCCACTCTTCATCCGTCATCATCAACACCTGTCCCTTGCCCTTCCCTCCCGCACCCCCACCGCTAGGTCCGGAACCTCCTCCACCGAGCCTACCCGCGGGACCTCCCTGAGTCTTGAGCATGTTACTTCGCGCGGCGACTCCGAGAGTGATCGAACGGCGTCGCTCCAGCTGAGGAACGTGTGGGAGGGGAGCGAACGAGACGAGAGGTGATCGGGTCGAGCTTGAGCGATGTAGGCCAGATATCGAGGAGGATGAAGATGCGGATGAAGCAGCGGCACCGACAGAACTCCCACGTGATCGACGGTTGAAGGTCGCTGCTGGTGGACCGGGTTGACGGACGTTGCTCGACGGGACATCCTTGATGGAGAACGAGCTCTTGATGGCGCTGGCCACCCTAGATCGATTGCCATTACTGCCATTCAGTGCCGCCAATTGCGACGCGGGTAGGCAAGAAGGATCGTTTCGGTTCAAGAGAATCGATCCTGGAGGTTGGGTGGGTTGCAAAGATGGGTTGGGCGGGTCTAGCAGTGATGACGAAGAGGTCGAGGCTGTGGTTGATTGCGAGGTCGCGGATTGGTGCCTCGCGAGGTCGGTCGACATGTTGTCACGACTATCCAATGCGGGGAGATCGTCGTCAAGGCTGGGGCGGATGGAGCGTTCAGATGATTGTGAATAGTACGGTGTAGCTAGTAGTATGTTGAAGTAGCTGACGAGTTTAAGGATGAGAGCAGAGTGGCCTCTAGGGATTACATGATCCAAACCTGGGCCCGTCCTTGGCCCAGAATTCCCCCTAGGGCAAGCTAGCAACTACCGCTTTCGCTCTCGGCCGTGTGGGGCAATCACGATCAACGGGAACAAAAGCGAAATCCAAAAGTCACGTGACCTTTCAGACAATGGCCGCCGGCGGAAGGGGGATGACTATATTCGGATGATCGCGATCCATAATTAATCAACCGCTCTCATCCTGCACATTCCCCGGCTGTGCTCCTGCCACCACCGACGTCGTCGCGGACTCGACTTCGGTGATCTTATTGAGGGTCCTTTCCATCTCCTCGGCCTGCCCGGGCACCAGCTCGACACCGTCAAAGAAATCGTTGTCCACGATGAAATCGATCGCTTCCGTGAGCGTCAACAAGGTCTGTTGCATCGGTCTCTCCAGCATCTGTCGAGCATGTATTATGAGCGCCGTTCTTTCAAGCATGTCTGGATGAAGCAGGATACTCACGGCACCGAGGAGACTGGGCCGGGCGAACGGATTGATGGGGATCGATTCCACTGACGTATCGATCGCCGGCTCCCTTTCCTTCCCGCTCGCCTGTATTGCCGGAACGCCGTAAGAAGAGCCATATCAGCTGCCCACCCCATCCTTACGTGACGTAACCTATAGCGAGACCGCGAGAGATCTGCCGGCTGCCTATCCAGACGCTCACCGTATGTTCATATCGACACTTGTTCCCAAACTTGCACCTCCCCGTTCGAGCATAAGACCTGCAGACAGCCCGTCTGCCTGCAGAGACCATGCTGGAGTCGGCTTCATTCGTTTGTAACGAAGCCTTGGTAGTATCGATGGCCGCCACTCGAGTTCGGACGTCGTGCGTCTCCGGTGGGGCGTCGTCATCATCGTCCTCTTCATCCTCGTCGTCGTTCCCGGTGTCGACAGCGTCGCCTTTCTGTGAAGCCTCTTGATCCTCCTCATCCTGGTCGGAGTCAGTCGATCCGTCTTCACTAGACTCCTCCGAATCATCATCGTCGTCCTGCACCTCTTCCTGGTCGTCCCCCTCTTTGATTCCTGCTCGGCCTCCATATCCGCTATCTCTGCCCCTCTGACCTCGCCCTCTTCCCCTTGTTTGCCCTCGCTCGGCGAGTCCTCGACCACGTCCAGTACCTCGTCCACGTCCCCGACCTCGACTTCGGCCATTGTTGCGTCCTTCGTTCGGGTCCAGCTCGCCTCTGTCGATTTTCTCCTGTCGTTCTTTCTCCTATGGGAATCGAAGACGATCAATGCAAGCGTACAGTGTCATCCGGTGTTCAGCCAATTGTCCTCAGAATGTCGTTTGCTATCCCCAGGCTTGACGCAAGGTCATGACGGGACCCTACCGGCTTACCTTTTGAGCTACCCTTGACGAGGTCGGCCAACGAGCTTTTCGCTCAGCGATCCACCGGGCAATGTCTTCGTCCGTCTCCAGCACAATCGAGGTTCCCGTGATAGCAGGACGTGGACTACCGGGGATATCATCAGTTGAAACAGATCGCCGACAAGTGCAGATGATGGTATCGATATCGCTCAGATCAGCCTCATCATCTGGACGCCGTGTACCATCCCCCTCGAGCCCGAAACTCACCCTCCAACCCGTCTCGCAGCCTCTTCCTCCTCCTCGCTGACCTTGACCTTGTTACTATCCTTGAATAGCAAGTGCCGATCCTGTTCATGCACGATCACCTCTTTATCAGGTCCCACGTACGCGCAGCCGGGGGAAGTACAGTTCCTCCAGAACCCTTGTGAGGCTTCGGACTGGCCCTTTCGAAGAGGAAGCTTGGTACGTGTAGGGATTGTTCCGCTGGCAGTAGGAGCGGCATTGAGTTTCGGTTTGATATCTGTCGATGGCGCGGGATCATTAACTGAAGGAGGGTTTGGACGGGCTCGTTTAGCCGGTCGAGATGATTCTGTATTGGAGGACGGGGTTGGTAACTTCGATGTCGTGGCGATAGGCTGCGGTCCTGGTTGAAACCGCTGTTGCTGTTGTTGTTGAAGGTAGGTCGCAGAGTAAGAGTACCCCTCGGGCGTGTGCGTAGGTATACCGTAGACGGGTTGTTGAAAGATGGCCTGACGGAAAGCCATGGCCGGGTTGTAGTGTCCCTGAGGAGGCAGGTAGCCTGGTATAGGTATGCCCGTCGGTGCGTACATCATCGGCGCCGGTTGCATAAAATTCTGCATCATCGGTAGACCTTGAGGAATGTGTGGTTGAGAATATGAGGGTGGATGTGATGCTGCAGATACGGGGATACGGTTCGTCTGATACGTCATGGGGTTGGCAGGCAACGAAGGGTGCGGGATGAGTGGTTTCGAGCCGCCCTCGTTGCGGGTTTGTTGTCGAGGTGGCATAATGGTGGGGTTCTTGTGTGATCGCTTTCAAGCACAAGTGGTCCCTGGCTGGACAAGAGCGGGATTTGTACATCGAGACGTGAAATCAAGACCAGAGCACTCCTGAGGTCGAACGAGGTCCGTGAGCGACACTTTGAATGATATGATAATTTCTAGATTTGGTTCCGAAGATTTACCCCCGGAAAGGCGTTCCTCCTACGAAACCACGTGACGATGAAGTCGGTGTGTCATGCTGACTGGCTAGCATCGTCACCCAGTAAGGTCGTCATTTGTTATAACAGACTACTGGCTGCACCTTTACCGAATGACTGCGTCATTGAATGACGAAGCTACCAGTCAGGCGTTTGCGAAACCTATATATATGGGCAGCATGCAACCCTTGGTTTGCACACGAGATCACTGCAACGGTTCAGTTGTTCCTTACATTGCGCTTGATCCAGTCTGAATCCTTGCGTAGTCTGCTCAACATGGAAGAGCCGACCGCTCCCACCGTCTCCCCACCCCAAGCTTCCGCTAATCACACCTCCACCAGTACGGAACGTGATGTCAGATACTCGTACACCAGGGCTCGTCCTGGAATGGAAGAGTGGCTGAAACCGAATCTGAAAGACTTGACGTACTTGAACGTGTCTGTCGGACAGCGCTTCAAGCAGGGAAGATACGTTATCGTTCGAAAACTAGGATGGGGATCCTTTGGTACCGTATGGTTGGCGCGAGATCGAAAGTAAGCGCACTCTATACGTCGTTAGAACAATCGACGCATGCTGATGACGTTTTTGCCACTGACACAGAGAAGACAACTACGTAGCATTGAAAATCCTGACGTCTGAAGCGACCGGGATGTGCAAGATAGGCTCTAGTGATGAACTGGTTTATGCGCAACAGATTGTGGATTGGGGACCACCCGAAGACTGTTCGCCACCATGGAAACGCCACATCGGTCGCTGTTTGGAAGTCTTTGAGCATTCTACCGAGGCGCAGGTCACTCACGCGTGTATCGCGATGGAGCCTTTAGCATGGGATTTGTTCGAACTGTCGACGCGGAGTATCTCCTCTTGGCATCTGCCTCTCAAAATTTGCAAGAACGTCGTTCGACAGCTACTTGTCACTCTGGATGGGATCCATCGGGACATGGGGGTCATTTTGGTCGGTGCGTCGCCTCGAGACGGTCAGCGAAACGGTGACCCTGATTCGGTTTGCGACGCAGACCTCAAACCCAACAACATCCTCATTCGCCCTCAAGAGGTCCTCCCGATCATCCTCGACGAACTTATCAGCGAGCCTCCCGAAGTTCGCATAGAAAATCCGGAAAGATATCCGGTCGGTTTGGTCCGATACGACTCCCTTCCTTTGCCGCCGACGAGGGGCGCAAGTGAGTACAACCTCGCCGACCCACTCGAAATCGTCATCGTGGACTTTGGTCGAGGTAAGGTCTAAGGAACGCATCATAGAATCGTTCACGGCTGTTTATCGATACCCGCCTCTTCGCTATAGCTCGGAAGCCAAACCAGATCTTCCCGGAGGATATCCCACATTTGGCCTACCGTGCACCGGAGGTGTATCTCGGTTATCCGTGCGATACATCATTGGACATTTGGGCATTCGCCTGTGTGGTGGGTGACAGGGTTTGGAAGATGAGTCATCGTTCAGCTAGAAGGTATAAACTTATCGCGTACCATCCTACTGCTCCTAGACTTTCTGGTTGGTTACCGGGTTCCATGCGTTTGACTGGCGTTTCGGCGGTTGGGAAGACTCCGAGACGGGTCTCGAGTGGGGCCTCGGCGACATACAGCTCGGATGCATGGCCGACAAGTTCGAACGGAAGATTCCGATTGAAATGAGGGAGAAAAGTCAGTACTGGGACAAGTATCTAAATGAGGAGGGTTAGTGCATCGAGTGCGAGCAGTAACCGATGCAACGGGGCTTATCTGTGAATCGTTCCAGGAAACTTCTTGCATTACAACGTCGGGAGTGAAGAGCGAAATTTGAAAGAGGAGATGATCTTTAACAATAACTTGGAGGGCCTTCCCGAGATTCCCACTGAGGAGATTGAAGGGTGGCACAAGTTCCTGTTGAGATGCTTCCAATTCCAACCGGAAGCGCGTCCTACAGCGGCCGAACTGCTTCAGGATCCCTGGCTGACCGAAGACTGAGCGGGACGGGCTCGCGCGGCGGATGGTTGTCTATCGAGATATCGAAGTGTCGGAGCGACAACGTCGAGGATTCTAGACAAGTTTCCTTGTAGAAATCACCGACCGATCTTGTTCAGCCGGATTCGGCAATCGTCACTATCCTCTTCGAAGCTTCTTCCCCCCGATATATATGGAAAGCCATGTTGCTGTGATTGCAGTATTCTAAAGAATCAGCGTTCTAGGGTCCAAATGTCCTCCCAAGTGAGAATCTGAGAAGTCATCTGATACTGTCTGAATCGGAGTCTTGATCGTAAATGCTCGAGGGACCGCGCTTCAGCGATCAACATCCGCGCTCGATACTTAGAACCACATAAGTTTACCATGAGCGCCATGCACGCGTAATTCTCATCCCCGCCAGTTCTCCTCCGAGATGTCATGCATGCTCGTTCAGAGAACCCGATAGTCATTCGAAGATCGTTGCGATTGATCGAGCGCCGTAGAGTATATTCGACTTTCTAGGTTTGTTTCCGATGGTTTGTCTCCGAAACACCTCGGCCGGCGGGCTCGTTTGCGAGAATCACGATCATCCACTCGACGCCCATCTCCTCCTCTATCTGTTCCAAGTAGTCGTCACGCCTCTCCCAAGTCGGCAAGAATGATAGTCTAGTACGTGTCACGTTCTCGTATACGTGATCTTACCCTGCAGGACCTAGCTGTCATGGGCTCGTCCGACGTGATCGCCGAGGGTTCCTACCCAGCTCCTCGGCAATGGCTAGATGTCCCCGCAACAAAGGACTACTCGCTTGTGTTTCCTATAGACAGGTCGAAACACAAAGTAAGCTTTCAGTCTGAGTTGAGCTTGCATCTTCTATCAGGCTGAGGCAAGTTTATATCGAACTGATCTTTCTCGTTTGCCAGGTCTTACTTGGGCTCAAGAAGCGAGGCTTCGCCAAAGGAATGTGCGAGTCGATCCTCTAACCTCGATCATGAAGCTTCAGTCCTGAGGTAGATCTGGTCTGACAATCAATAAATCTGATGATCTACGGGAATATCCTTCGATCACGACTGGCAGGTGGAACGGGTTCGGCGGGAAACCTGAGCAAGGGGAGACGATGCTCCGATGCGCAACACGAGAGTTGACCGTAAGTCCTGACATCCGATGGAATTGCTCATCAAATTGGATGCGTTCAGTTGAAATATCTCTCATCCATTTGCAGGAAGAATCAGGCCTCATCCCTACTCGATTGATCGAAAGGGGCACGCTCCTGTATTACTCGCAAAACGCCCTCATACGAGAAGGAGGGGACCACGCCGTAAGGGTCTGGTTGTACACTTGTGAAACATGGACAGACGAACCCATCGAGTGAGTAGACGCAGATTAGTCTAGCTGATCGACTGCAGGAAATCCAGGTCTGACTGTGTGCGACATGATAGAACAGAAGAGATGCAACCTGGATGGTTCTCCTTCCCTGAGACGCTTTCCCAACCGTTCGATGCTCTCCCGTGGACCGAGATGGTAAGCTTCATCGAACCTCCCGGCCGTAGTGATTTGCGGTCGCTGATGTTCCGATTGTCTGCATTGATGTTTTTGCGCTCCCTCGACTGCATCAGCACCTGGAATCCAGACTGTTCCTCCCTACCTTGCTCCTCCTCGCTCCCGATCTCGGCCAAACCCTGTCCGGCCGAGCGGATTTTTACCCCTGCGACCCAGACTCCCAGCTCGTTCGGAACTTGACGGCCAAGGGCGAGAAGTTGGACTTGAGCAAGAAGACGGTCCTTGGAGACTGGGTGATGGGGAGGTGGGTGTTTCGGGTCGAGTCCGCCAGTGGTGAAGATGAAAGTCAAGGAATTTGAGGTGAACAGGGCGGATCTTGACCGACAAGAACGATCGCTTGTCGGATAGATGTTTTATCGATGTGATGGAGATGTTAAAAAGTGATATGATACAATGCGACCTCTGTCTAGCTGGAATCCTCCTTTTGGCCTACGTCCGTCTTCCGCCTCTGTCTCGCTGCCGCTCTTTGTCAATGCGTCATCGTCAATTGAATGTATCTTGAAACAGTCCGCTTCGCCTTTTTGTTGTATATTCTACATGTGACACGTTTGCTTCGTCTTCGTCTACTTTCCCTGCATCTGAGCTGCATAGTCGAACAAATACATGACACGATCGGGTCAGCGTGCCCTTTCGACCTTCGTGATATCCCGCATTGTAATCGCCTCGATAGGTCAAGGCGATAAAAAAGGAGGGCAAGAACGCTGTACTCACCAGCGTTCTGTTCGGCAAACCTGGCTCCTACTCGTTCGCTATGCTTCATAAACTTGTCTACGCAGTTGGTCGTGCAGGTCGACTATCGTGGACGCAGGACATAACAGGTAAACAATCCCCAGGTCAGCGTCTCGGAGTATACCGATGCCGGCCTTGGCAAGCTTTCGAAACTCACCTCCCGACCGGTCAAAGCCTTGCTAGTAAAGTCGGTGATACAGGTGTTGAAGCATCGTTCTACGAGTCCCGAGTAGAGCTTCATAAAGTCTTGCATCTGCTTCTTCTCGATGATCTGATATCGCGTGAGAATGACTGGAGGTTGGTACCGGCACAGGAATCAAACAATATGTCACAAAGAATAGAGTGGCCGACCTTGTTCATGTGGGCGGCCTCGGCCGGGTTCAAGTTGTTCATGTCCCTACAGAGAGCATCGCAATGAGGCGTCAGAGAAGAGTGGTTAAAGCTGAAGCTCGAGCTCGAGCTTTCCGATGGTGCATGTTGCGATGCCTCACATTTCGAAGGGTTTACTACTGTCTCGTTGAGGTTTGGGTATGGGGCCAAGGTACGTTTGGGCTGAGAGTTACAGAGGATCGAGATTTCTGGAATTGAAGCAAGTTTGAGAGATGGTCGCTGATCGCCAAAAACCCAACTGGAGGGTGAGGGTTTGGTGTACGTAATCAGTTGGATCCGCGATGGCTCTGTACACAAGTCACGTGATCTTGGTCATGGCCGAGCTCGGTTATGGGACGTTGACCGCGTTCGAGGCGAGTAACCGGAGGGGGAACAGCAGTGAACAGCAGCATGAGCAGGTTATAGTGGATCAGCAACACCGATATTCAACAACCACAACTTGCACACCAAGTCTTGTAATTCACCGACTGCTACCACGAACATACAAAGCACCATAACATGTCTACCAACACTTCGTCCCACCCGGTCACCACCTACATCGGCGAATCGGCTTGGTCCCTGGTGCGTGCCGACGCTCCTGTCTGTTTGTCCTTACACATGTCTAATCTGCCTTTTCGAACGCGATATCTTGTCCTACAGATCGAGCCCCGCTTCTCCAGCTTTGCCAAAAAGACTCTTGAGAACCTCATCGACTTCCTCGAGACCGAGTGCCTCCCGGCCGAACACCTCTACCATGCGCAGATCCCTCACGACCCCGTCCAGAGGTGGAAGGTCATCCCGCCTGTCATGGAAGAGTTGAAACGCAAGGCCAAGTCGAGAGGCTTGTGGAACTTGTTCTTGAGCAAGCTACATTACCCGGAGCATGGTGTGGATCTTACCAACCTGGAGGTGAGTCTACGCCTATAACAGCATGACATCGTGATAATCGGCTGACCCGTCGGCCCTTCCTTGTATAGTACGCCGTCATGGCCGAGATCATGGGTCACGCACCCCTCATCTGCCCCCAAGCGACCAATTGTGCGGCCCCAGACACGGGTAACATGGAAGTCCTCGCCCGTTACGCCAACCCGGAACAACAGAAGAAATACCTCTTGCCCCTCTTGGATGGACAGATCAGGAGCTCGTTCGCCATGACCGAGTTTGGGGTCGCCAGTTCGGACGCGACCAATCTGGCCACCAAGATCGAGAGGAAGAATGGAGAGGTCATCGTAACCGGCAGGAAATGGGTGAGCCGGACGGGGATCGCACGAATAGGATCGGAAGGCTGATGGGATGTTGGTCTCGCAGTGGATCTCAGGTGCAGGTGACCCTAGGAATGCTATCCATATCCTCATCGGTATGTTTCCGTAGGGCTTTTGAGACCTCACCTCGCACCTGCTCATCCCGTCCCCGTCTATCAGGTCTCTCGGACCCTGAGAACCCAAACCCTCACAAACGGTTCACGATCGTCTTGATCCCGGCCGACCACCCTAGCGTCAAGGTTGTCCGCCCGATGCAAGTGTTTGGATACGACGACGCTCCCGAAGGACACTGTGAGGTCTTGTACGACCATGTCAGGCTAAACGAGAAAGAATGTCTGGTCGGAGGTTGGGGACGCGGATTCGAGGTGGGTCTGCGGGGTCGCGGGACAGCCTAGTTCTCACGAGGACTACGGTGCTGAAACTTTCCCTTCCCTTGTCTCTCGCCAGATCATTCAAGGCCGACTCGGGCCCGGTCGAATTCACCACTGCATGCGATCGATCGGAACGGCGGAGCGCGCCCTGAACATGATGCTCGAACGGGTATCCGACCCCAAGCGAAAGACATTTGGCAAGCTGCTCAAGGAACACGGGACGATTGTCGGAGATATCGCCAAGTCTAGGTCGGAGATCGATGCAGCGAGGCTGTTGGTCTTGACCGCGGCGCATCGGATCGATATCGCCAGGGCCAAGGGGGCCATGAAGGATATCGGGATCGCCAAGGTGGGTCAACGACGGGGGTTCGAGACTCCAGACTGTACGCTGACAAGAACCCTATAACCCTATCGTCATCATCTCCAGTTCACGGTTCCGACGATGGCGCTCAAGGTGCTCGACCGGGCGATGCAAGCGTTTGGCGCCGAGGGTATCTGTCAAGATCAACCTTTGGCTCAGATGTTTGCCGGATTGAGAACCCTGCGTTATGCCGATGTGAGTTTCGATAGCTTACGACCGCCCATTGTCGCCCGAGACCTACAGCTAACCCTTTTTGACTTCTGCGATTTAGGGTCCCGACGAGGTACACATGCTGCAGATCGGGAGAGCCGAGTTGAAACGCGTGCCTATGCTCGCCGAACGCAGCAAGCGGATCAGGGACAAGCAAGAAGCGTTGGAAGGCAAGGGCAAAGTTCAGGCCAAGTTGTAGGCGACGGCACATGTGTAGTGACGACTGTGTAGGAACATTTTACGCTGAGGCGCTCTTCGTTGTAACAATAACAAAAAGAATAGCAGGTCTGCAATGTCGCTCTGCGGGGAGTCGACGCGCGCAAAAGTGACCGTACGTAGATCAAACAGAACCGTCACCGCCGACCGGAACCATGACCTCGATTCCTCCCCGAATCTCTTCTCCGCTCGACTTTCTCGTCTTTAATTGCTCGAGCTTTTGCTTTCGGGTCGATCACCTGAATAGAGCCGCTAACATTTCAGACAGGCATCTCGAGTCGTCGTACGTGCAGGACAATGCTTACTGTGTAGTCACTTTCCGCTCGTCTTGTCTGCTCTGCGTCGTCTTCTTTCGTCGCTTTCAAGGCGTGGGACATGAAGCCTATATCGTCGTCAATCTCCAGTCCACCGGTATCATCATCCAGACGTCGTGTCTCTTCGCCCTCCTTGCCGTCTTCGTCGTGCACAGCATCACTCGTACCCGCCTTTCTGATCTTGCCCGTAAAGCTGCTCAGCGCGCTGAGCACATCATCCTCATCCTTCTTGCCACTACGCTTCCCACGTCGTCCAGCCGAGTATTTGGCCAACTCCTGGTCGAGGAACGAAGGGCCAGACCGCTTCTTTCTTGGTGCATCGTCATCAGAATCATCGGAATCTGAACCAGCTCTCCGCTTGTCAAGTTTTCTGATTTTGGCTTGCATCTCCTCGATTTGGGCCTTTCTCGCATCACTAAAGGGAAGTCGCTTGAGCATTTGTCACTAACGCAGCGCATTCATGGAACTCACGCTGTGTTCTTCTTTTCAGCATCGTGCTTCGCTCTGATGCCAGATACATCGCCCTCTATATCACTGTCCGTCGGCTTTTTCACCGGCCGATTTAGTTCGACCGGTTTCTTCCCGATATTCCGCAGCGACTCCGGCAGCTCGACGTAAGTTTCAACGGGTCTCCCCGCGGCAGCGCTTTCATTGGGATCAACGACTGTTCAAATGAAAAAAGAGTCAGCGCCCGATTTCGCAATCGTGAGTATAGGGTGTAACTGACAATCTGGTCGCGCCATCACCTTCTTCTTCCCCCCAGCGAGCACCCCGCTATCCTTGTCCTCCTCGTCCCCAAAACTTAAAAGACCTGTGTTTCTGTAGAACCTCGATTGTTTGAGCTCAAATCACCGCGGAGCTCTGAAACCGTGAACTGATACCGACTTTTTGGCGCCCTTCCGCTTGTCCAACCGCTCCCTCTCAGCATTCGCCGCCTGACGAGCTGCGAGCTGTTGTCTCTTTTCCTCCGCCGTAATCCTGGGCACGATATCCGTATAGGGATTCTCGATGATCCGTGCCGAGGTAATCTTGGGCGGGAAGAGCGGTCGTTCTTGCTTGTCGAGCTCGAGGTTGGCGATTTTTAGAACGTCTGAGAAATCGGGGAATCCAGAAAGTTAGTCAGTGGCGAAGAGGTAGTTCGCTCGAATCGAGAAAGCTCACTGTAGATGGTGGGACCGTTAACCCTCCCAAACAAGGTATGTTTATTCTGCAACTCATCGGCCCTGTCTGCAGCACGTCTCACAGCGCAGATGAGCATCAGTCCTGCCTATTTCATAGCAAGGATCGAAAGAATCGGATGCGCTTACCTAATGTGATGAACCATTGACTCGTATTAGACCTCTTGTCCCCGTTATTTGCGAACGCTATTAATCCTCTTCGATTGAACTTGAGCCTGGAATGCGTTTCGTTCTCGAACGGTTCTACCGCAAGACGAGGACTGAGTCAGGTTCGTTAACAGTCAAGTCGTTGCTCAATGGGGCTCACCTCCGTAGAAAGACTCTCCTCCCATCCCTGTCCCAGTAGGATCACCCGTCTGCGCGATAAACCCAGGCACGATCCGGTGAAAGATCACATTATCGTAATAACCTGTACAAGCCGTGTTACCGTTAGCCTTGTGCTTCCGGCGGCGGGTTGAAACCATCAAGGTCGCCTGACCTTCCATGATCAATGCCAGGAAATTTCTGCATGCTTTCGGAGTTTCCTTGCACCAAAGTTCGATCTGTATGCATGAAGAGTCCACGGTCAGCTTAACACGACTGAAGCACAATATGGCTGATAATTCGTCATAGTTGACGGGACTTGCTTCGATTTCCCCCATTGTCGTTTCAATGATGACCTTTCCCGTAGGAGGCGGCTGCAAGATCAAACAAGTCATTGTGAGCTAGCCTGTGATAAGCAGCTCAACTTGCATGGTTCGACGTACCTCTGTTGTATATCTGCATGTTTGCAGGTTGTGAGGGATTCGTGTTTAGCTTCTTTCCGAGATGTATCGTTGCCGACCAGGTGCGGAGCATTGTTCGACTCACAAGCTACTCATGGCAGACTACCCTCTTCCTTCGATGCGTGTTCAGTGTATAGGAGTGATCCTGGCTTCTAGGGCAGAGATTGTTATTAGAGTACTGTGGTCAACAATATAATTGCGTACTTGTACATCTTAACTTGACTGACCTCGGGGAAGGTGCATGGCCCGGTTCACTTCGAGTCTCGGCTCAAAGCGATCTCTCGAGGGCAAGTCCCGTTATCGCAACGGAACACCGAATACGATACAGACTGAGATGACTCTGGATCTTGTAAATCTAGACACTTGACCCGCCTCGTAACCAATGAACAGTCTGGACAGATAGATCCAACTAGCGATATTTGAAGATAGTGATACACCCCCACCAAAAACTTCGGAACCATAAGCATATAGCAAACGGAAGCTCGCAGGAACTTGCAGGATGAGGTTCGCTATCCCAGATTCCGATAGCGAGGAAGAGTTTGTCGTCCACGATACACCTATGTGAGTCGGTATCCAGCAGCACAATCTTAGAAGTTGAGCTCAGCTTGACTTCGTAATGACCCTGCTTACTTCTAGACGAACTCGAACATATCGCAAGACCCGCAAGTCTGGTTACGGAGTCCCCTCAACTTCCGGACGAAGTGACTCTGGTTCTTCCAGCGGTAGCGGTCCAGCGGGGTTCACCTCGACGAGCGACGAAGATGACAACCTAGATGATTCCGTCTCGATATTGTCTTCGGGGGATGAAGAGGTCGATTACAGTTTCCGTTATCGTGAGGCGAGCAGCACCCCAGCCGGGACAAAGCTGAGACTGGCATCGACGCCGCGTTCGAGCTCGAAATCGACTCCGGCGATCCAACTGCCGACTCCGTCTGCGCAACAGACACCATTGTCACAGACGTCGAGACTCAAGATTGGGCTGTCCAGGCGGTCGACTTTAGGGTATAAAGGGGGTCTGGCGGTGCGCGAGGATGAGTGGGAACGCTGGGAGCGGATATCGAGGGAGCAAGTAATGGTATGTCCTGTCACCACTGATTGAACCCAAAGGTATCTGGCTGATACCCCTCTCATCTTGACAGCTCAAAGCTCGGGAAGACTCGCTGGCTTTCAACCGTGACCTCGCTTCAACGCCTGAAAAGATCAAACAGGCTTCTCACGTCCGAGAATCTCAAGCGATGACCGAAATACAATCCTTGTTATCATCACTCGAGCTCGAGCGGACGGAGGCGGACAATCAAGCGAAACGAGAATTTCACGCTCGTAATCAACTCCTCTGGGAAGGGATCGACAGGACGATCGCTGCTGTCCAGGCTGAAAAGAGGCGGATAGCGGAAGAGGAGAAACGCCAGGCAGAAGTACGGCGGAAAGAAGAAGAGGAGGTCCAGAGGAAACGGGATGAAGAGAGACGAAGGGAGGAGGAGAAACGGAAAGCCGAGGAGGCCCGAATACGCGCTGATAAGGCCGAGCGGGAACGCCAGGAAGCTGAAAAGGCCAAGCGGGATGCCGAACTAAAGCAAACTCAGGCAGAGGAACAACAAAGGCTCTTCGAAGCCAGCCGAAAGAACGCCGAGCAAAACGCCTTGACGAGCTTGCAAAAGAACGAACAGAGGTGGGAGAAGTGGGTCGAGCATCAGCGGAGGACCAAGGTAGAGGTCATCGAGCGGGTCAAGGCGGATGATGGGTTGAAGAAGAATATCGGGCCGATCAAGAGGAAGATAACGAGGAGGATCGGGCAGATCGTCAACACGCGCGAGTCGATCGTCAGCATTGTGAGTTCTCAATCGTCCGGGTTGCGTCCAACGAGTCCGCTGACGCTTGTCCGAGTGTGTACATGGCTACGATAGACACAAGCCATCCACGAGGACCTCTGCGCGGTGCTATCCCACCAAGCGTCAGCAGCCGAGCCCGTACCATTTTCTCGCGACCTACCAATCGCCTACATGTACCTGTTGTCGCACATCTCGAAAGCTCTGCTCCATCAAGCAGAGAACGAGGTCTTGGCCAAGGCCGAGGCTGCATTCCCTCTGGCAAAATTAGTCGTAGGGCTGATGCTACGGGGTCACGCAGCCTTGGGAGAGGTCTTGATTGCGAGGTTCGTGAAAAAGTGTCCTTGGGTGCTGCCATTCTACCCAGCCAAACGCGAGGTTAGTCTAACCCTATTACCGCTCAAACACGACCTAGAAGCTGAACGCGTATGATTCGACATGCCAGGGTCAACCTCAGGCAGAGTACGAAGTCTCGCTCGGGCACAAGAAGGGAGACGCCAACGAGGATACGGTCCAGTACAACAACCGCATGTCAGCCATAGTGACCCTTTACCTCGCGATCTGTGCGGTCGATATCAAGACGATCGTGCCGACCGTCTTTCCTCAGCCTCAAAGTCAGCAACAACTGGACAAACTGATCCAAGCCAATTTCCGCACGTCAATCTTGTGGATGTGGACGGCGGGGATCTGCAAACAACCCTTGCCCGCCCTCGAGACGGCACCGCAGTTGATGGTGGCGGCTTTCGAGATGGTCGGGCAGGATCTCGTCAATGCTTACGGTACCCGGCAAGTCGGCAAGATGGTCCAGGCCATTCTGGAGCAGGGCCTCGGACCAGAAGGTGCCAAGGAGGGCATTATCTCACAGAAGGCATTGGCTTCAAGACAGCAATTGCGTCTGGTCTGCGAGCCCTTCATGGCGAATGGTCAATTCCCTGACAATCCTGCTAAGATTTGGAAGGCGTGATTTATACCACTTGCACGATGCGCTACGAAAGCAAACGACCGAATCTAGATCAAATCTGTATCACACGTAGAATTGTGAATCGAGCCTTTTTGTTTCGCGAATTATCGTTAATCAGGGACATTCACGTCTAGCTACAAGTTGCTCTTGATCTGATCGGACGCCACGATTCACTTCCTGTTCTTCTGGAAAAAGTGGATGAGACCGGTAGTCTGTGAAGGTAAATGTCGCAGAGCCCAGATAACTATGAGCATCGCCGTCTACACTTGCGACAATCGAAACAAAAGCGACGTACCGAGCTGTCGTGACCCTTGACCTTGTCGGCATCTCCCAGCTGAGCCAAGATATTCTTGGCCAAGACCTGCATCGCGCCAACGGTTGATCAGCACTCTAGTCTTTACTATCCTGTGAAAACGCCTTTTCGCCCAGGAAACTCACCTTTCCGAGCTCGACACCCATCTGGTCGTACGAGTTAATTCCCCAGATGGCACCCTGGACGTGGATCTTGTGCTCTGCCAATACAATGAATGACACCTCGATCAGTCGACTTGAAACAAGGCAAGCCATATGCAGAGCGACACCTACCGTAAAGAGCGATCAAGCTACCCAGAGTCTTGGGGGTGAGCTTCTGGAACATGATCGAGTTGGTAGGCTTGTTGCCGGCAAAGATCTTGCTCTTGACGAGAGCATCGTTCTTGGCCTGTTCAGGTCCGAGCTCCTCGATGACCTGTTCCTCGGTCTTTCCGAAGGCGAGGGCTCTGTGGGCGCGAAGCGGGGAATAATGTTGGAATCGATCAGCACACAATTCTGTAACACAGACTTGTGATAAAACCGAGACGTACTCAGGCTGAGCGAAGAAGTTGGACAACAAGATGCTGTGGTGGTTTCCGATCTTGTTCTGCGTCTCGACGGGCGCCAAGAAGTCGCTGCAAGAGAGTTCACGAACGGATCAGAAATGCTGTAACTAGGTGTCGCCAGCTATTGCTGCTGTTCGAGAGGAAACTCACCAAGGAATTAACTTGGTTCCCTGGTGGATGAGCTGGTAGAAGGCGTGTTGCTATGATACGAAACTCTCTTCATCAGCTCGGGGGTCGCAAAGTAGTCCGCGTACAAACAATTCTTGACTCACACCGTTGGTACCGGACTGTCCCCAGATGATGGGCTGTTCGATTGGAAATACAGAGGGAAGGACAAGCGTTGAGCCATTGCCCATCCGTCTCCCTGCCTTGAACTCCTGGCAAGTCGCGATCGGCTTACCCCGGTCTGGTATCCGACAACGTCACCCGCCTTGGTCACGCTCTTTCCGTTCGACTCCATGTCTCCCTGCTGGAAGTAGTCGGCAAACTTGTGCAAGTACTGGTCGTAAGGCAACAAAGCCTGAGTCTGGGCGCCTGTAGGTGACGATGATTACATTTTCATGAGGCCCGGGCAATCAGCTTCAGCCCAACCGAGTGGCTGCGCAAGCACACAAGACTGACCGTAGAAGTCGTTGTACCAGATTCCGACGAGGGCCAAGATGACCGGCAAGTTGTCCTCCAACTTGGTCTCCTTGAAATGCCTGTCCATCTCGTGGGCACCCAACAAGAGCTGCTCAAAGTTCTCGTACCCGATCGACAAGGCGATGGAGAGACCGATGGCGGACCAGAGCGAGTATCGTCCGCCGACCCAGTCCCAGAATTTGAACATGTTCGACGAAGAGATCCCGAACGAGGTCACGGCGGAGGTGTTGGTGGAGAGGGCGACGAAGTGCTTGGCGACGTGTTCCTTCTGCGAGGGGGTCGGGGGGCCATATGCAAGTTTGATCAAGCGAGTCAGCAAAAAGGCGATGATCTGGATAACATCACCTTGACGTATCACGATGCACTCACGTCCTTGGCGCTGGACAAGAACCAGTCCCTAGCCGACTCGGCATTGGTCATGGTCTCCTGGGTGGTAAACGTCTTACTGGCGACGATGAACAAGGTCCTCTCGGCGTCACATTCCTTCAAGACCTCGGCGATATCAGAACCATCGACGTTGCTGACAAAGTGCATCTTCAAGTCTCGCTTAGAGTAGGGCTTCAAGGCTTCGGTGACCATGACGGGGCCGAGGTCGGAACCGCCGATACCGATGTTGACGACGTCGGTGATGGACTTGCCGGTGTATCCCTTCCACTCGCCCGAACGGACGGCATCGGAAAACTGTTTCATGTGGTCCAAGACCTCCTTGACCTCGTCGGCGCCTTCCTCCTTGATGTCAAACTGACCACCAGCCTGGGGGAAGACGTTTCGGAGGGCGACGTGCAAGACGGCCCGGCCCTCGGACGTGTTGATGTGTTCTCCCTTGAACATGGCGTCCCTGAACTCGGGCACCTTGGCCTCCTCGGCGAGCTTGAGCAACGTCGACCAGATCTCGGGAGTAATCAAGTTCTTTGAATAGTCGAGCAGGATCTTGTCCTGTTCTCCGGACGAAGGGGACTGGTAGAGTCGAGAAAAGGTCTCAAATCGAGAGCCAGACGAGGCATCCTGGGCGAACAAGTCCTTGAGGGTGAGCGAGGCGTGTTGCTCGTCGTAGATCTTTTGCAGCTTTTGCCAAGAAGCGTATTCTGTCGAGACAAATTCCGGGAAGGTAGGGATGATGGGTAAAGTGGAATGTCAGCAAAGGCAGGTTCGGATAAAAGGGTATGGTTTTCAGTTCGCAGCGGTTAGCTTACCGGTAGCGGGTCGTCCGTCCATTTTGTTTAGTATTTCAAGATTTGTTTGTTTGGTATGAGACAGTGGAACGAGGTGTATGTGTGCGTGGTATCGTTATCTAGAAGAAAGTGAAGGATGTAGATGGTGACTTGTAGCTGGTAGTTATCGAGTTATCCGTCGAGATCCGTGGTCCCATCACATCACATCATCCGAATTCCGAAGCAGCCAGGGACGAGGGTCGACGAAGAGTCTCACCTCTTTTCAGGAGCGCATTCATCATCATCCATCCATTCCAGAATCTCCCCTCTTCTCCCGCTCCCGGCCTATCTACCCGACCTCGTCCGGTCCGGAACCGCCGTACCCTCGTACAGACATCCAACCATCATGTCCAAGGTGCAATCTAGAAGCTAGAAGAGATTCAATCGAACTCATTTACTGATCAAAACATGACCACCCACACAACGCGGTCCGGGATCGACGATGACAACGACAACAACAATCGGCCGGACGCCCGAGCCTTCCACCGAAAACACGCCGAACATCTCACCGTCGCTGTGGATCCCGAAACTTGAATATGTTCGACCAGCACGGTGAGCCCGACCAGACCGAAGGTGACGGCGTCGCTCGTACTGCAAGAACGTAATGGATGCGATCGACGGTGTTGTATGATACAGTTTATAAACGGACACGATCCGGGCTCTCGAGATGTTTCGAGCGTAAAGCATAGGTGTAGGTCGGATGCAAGAGTAGGAGAATTTTGTCGGACTTGAGAGGAGATGGGGTAGGTTGCGGTCGTAGGTAGGTAAGGTGTCCGAGAAGCAGTCGATAGGGTTTGATGATAAGCGAGCAGGTGGTGGGCAGGTCTGTAACGTCGCGTCTGACGTATTGTAAGAGGTTTGCCAGCGTGCAATTCCTGAGTAGCCTGGTGGAGTATGAAACGGCCGGACAAAAGGGACGAGCCGTAGAACCTTATCGACCTCCCTTGCCGCCCCTGCCTCGACCTCTGCCCCTGTTCTTCTTCTTCTTCCCCCGGCCACTCTTGCCCCCGCCGCCGTTCGCATTCCCGCCATCCTTGTTGTCCGAACCGGGCGTCGTCGTCCCCGCCGGTTCCTCCTCACCAGACTTGTCGACGTCCTTGTTGTCAACAACGACCGCGGCAGGTTCGTCCTTGGTCGGTTGCGCCTCGGGGACTGCAGGGCTGGCCTCGGTTTCAGTCTCGACTTCGACTTCGATCGGCTTGTCATTCGTCTTGGGTGCGTCAACCTGAGCAGACGGACCTGCCTCGCCGCCAGCAGCAACTTTAGCAGTAGAAGGAGCAGGAGCCACAGTGACCGGCTCATCCTCCTTGTCCTTCTTCCCTGTGCTCTTCACGCTCGCATTACTCTTGATCGTCCCGCCGGCCGCAGCAGCGCTCCCGACCGAACCCTTCTTCCCACCTTTACTCCTCTCCCGCTCTCGTTCTCGCTCCCACATCCCACCCAGGTTCAGGTTGACTCGACGCACACCTTCGATCTGCGCTTGCTGAGTCTGAGAAAATGATGACGAGGTACTGCTCCTCGATCGACCCAAATCCGGTCGAGCGTTGGCATTGGCATCCTGATCTTGACCTTGATTTCCTGCAGAAGTCTCGGCGGGAGGCAAGGAGATGACAGGAGGAGCTTCGGTTGGCTCTTCCGCCAACGATGTTGGGGAAGAGGTCGTCGATCGGGCAGGCGGCATGTCCTGCTTCGAAGGGGTCGGACGACGGGATTGAGAGTAATGAGGGGTCAAGTTAGACTGAGTAGGATGATTAATCGAGATCATCCGGCTGCGAAAGGAAGATTACACCAAGTATGATCAAGTCAATTCGGGCCGTCCTGTCTGGTCGACGAGTGACGTTTCTTGTGTGCTCACTTTTCAACTGCGCTGGCAATACTTTGTACCCTCAATCTTCCCTCTTCACCCAAGACGGCATGACCCTGTCCTACAGCTCCGTACCCGACAGTACTGCCACCTACACCGGGTTGCGGTGCTTCATACGAGACGATCGATTGCGGCTTATTATTGTTCGCTCCGGCAAGATCCTCGTGTACACTGTGAGCTAATAGCGAGTTGGTCTCCGATCCTTCCTGTAACAGTCGCAATCATTTCGAAGGCCAGGCCGAATCGCTCATCAGTACGCCTGGATCAGATCGTGATAGTGTTCTTGTGCTTATCTCTAACTCACGCCTTCATCGTGCCTCGTCCGTTTCCGAGGGAAACAACATGCGAAGGCCGACCAGATGCCAGACATCTTTCTTGACTACAAGTCTTGCACTCTACCGTGCGGATGAACCTTGTGTTGGCCTGCGATAGATGCCTTTTACGAAGAATGATGGTCGACTAGGTCGATTTTGATGACCTCCGTGAGCAGATGTCTGGTCGAGCGGTCCGTTGGAAGGATCTCGCAAGAATACCCTGGCAAGGATTCGATACAGGGTCTCCAGATTGCTGGCTGGTGAGCTTGTGAACGATGTAATTGAAATCAAGTGAAGGTTGATGAAAGATGACTCTGACACAGTTTTTCTCATGAGATCCGGCCCAGTGCCGAGCCTAACGTCACCCCATCTCCGTATCCGCGCGGTAAGCGGGCACCAAGGTCAACCGAGGCTGCATCAAGCACCAAGTATCATATACATTCAGGCTTCGATACTGTAATATATTCTGCTACGACGATATTCAATCTACTCTCGTGTACTTGCTCCATCTACTTGGCTTTATGGATCTCCCGCAAACTCTGACTAGCCGTCCCGTAAGCAGGTCGCACTAGCAGCGCATCCTTGTCACCCGCGCCCGCCTGCATATCATCTTGCTCGTTCTCTCGAGGCGTATATCCCGCAGACCCTGTACTTGTCCTTCGATGCTCGGCAAAGTAATCATCTTCGCTAACGAGCTCTTCGGTCTTCGGGAGTGGAGATCCAGGTGGGTTCCCGGCAGGGTCCATCGTTCCCGCAGCCGACTTGGCGACCACGGCGCTCACCGCGGTCGTCGGCGTTCCAGGCTTGAACATCGTATCGGGTCTCGCACGGATGGAGAGGATTGAAGCGCTAGATGACGATTTTCGACTTCGTACAGAGTTTCGCGTTGTTGAAGATTGAACCGGCGAGCTAGACATCGAAGCCGCAAGCTCGACGGTCACGTCTTCATTTGGTGTGTCGAAAGTCTGCTTTGGGAACGGGATGCGTGCCGCGTCGTCCTCGTTGGCGGTAGCGATATTCAGCGGAAGATCATGGTCTTCCATTTTCACGTAATCTTCATCCTCCTTGGCTTCTACTTGGACAGTTGATGGAGACTCCGGCTCCCCGGTTGCACTGAGGGCGGTCACAGCGGAGGGTGAGATCACGACTGTCGCCTCAACTGTATTGCCCTCTGGTTCTTCAGCCTGCATGAAGACCTCGGCCTGCTCCGGTCGAGGTGTGGTGTCGGTCTAAGACGAGCAGTTCAGCTTCGCGGTCTATCTTGAATCTAGGTACCGCATCGACGCACCTCCTCATTTCGGACAGTATCTCGCTCCACACCTGGCGAATTATCGTTGCTGACAGGCATTATCTGGTCTTGCGGCACACTTTGTACCTGTTCATCGTTCCTGGTCGAGCCATAAAGCTGATGCCCATGTAGACCGTCAAAGACCAGGGTCAGGAGACCGATGAGTTCAATCCCGCTCTTGCTGAGTTGCTGCAAAATCTCCTTGGCTTCCTCGAGACCCGCTTGGACATTGACGAGCACAACAGCCGCCTCCCCATCGTCATCAGCGTCCTGCTCCGGGTCGACCTCGAGACATTGCTCGATGAGATCCTTGATCTTGCTCAAGGCTGCATCCGAGCGTATGTGGACGTCTTCGGCTGTCGTCGCCACATTCTGGACATTCTTGGCCAGGCCAGCAACATCGTTGCCAGAGGACTGGGTATTCGCTCGATCACTTGCGCCCAACGACATCAATAGCCTGATGCAAGCCTCAAGCATGATTTTGCTACGCTCGTCCGACGATTTGCGGAGCTTCGCCTGCAGGCGAGTCATAGCGACCCGGCTTGGCGTCCCGCGGGTGGAAGGCCGGGTCGATGTCGCCGTGGATATGATGGATCGCGTTGGAGATGGCGCTCGACCGATGGCGTGTGAATTTTCAAAGATGGACGATTGTGACGTGCCCAATGGACCGCTATTTCGAGCGGCTTGAAATGAAGATTCTGATGGTCGCTGATATCGAGCCAACGGGCTGTCCGGCAGACCATCGAGTCCATCGTCCCGACGAGCTGGCAAGTACACCATGCTTTGTCGGTGAAGACGGAGATGAGCTGGGGCTATCTTCGGCTCCTCGATGTCCCTCAAGTAGGACATGGAAGTCGAGGGTCGCATGTGACGACTGGCTCGAGAAGGGGCACGAGGTTCGGATGAGATCAAGGCGTGAGACCTGCGGGTTTCGTCCATTCCACGGACCGAGTCGATCGTTGTTGATCTAGCGGGAGTGTGCAAGCTCGTCCTAGGCAACGTTTGCTGAGAAGAGGATTGCAAGAGCTCTTTGCGTCTGCGTCTGCTTTCAGCGAGATCGTTCTCGTCCGCTATACTGCTAGTGGAGATAGTGCTCTGAGGACGAGATCGTTCAGGGGTTTCTGAGACGGGGCTTGCGCGCGATATGCTTGTTAACCTGCTGGACCCTGACATCATCGAGCCAGAAGGTGAGGTGCTACTCCTGAGGTCGCGGCGGCTAGAAGCTTCAGTCACCGATAACCCAGATCTGTCTTGAGAGCGGCCAGATACCGATGCGCTGATGGAAGGAGACCCAAAGTCTGAGTGTCTAGAAGCCGTATCGTATCGAAGCTGATGTCGCTCTATGGTAGAGGGGCGGGTAGGGGTAGACTGTGGCGGAAGAAGAAATAGCCTTTAGTATCGGGATCGAATGTTCGGACGGAAGTGCTCCCATGGGTACGAACCATGTCGCTACGGAACTCGGCTGGTAGAGCAGCCCTTCTCTTGCTCGATGGATCATCCCCGGATCCCAGGCGACCGCTCCCGCTCCTCATCCACATATCAACCTTTGCTTCAGCAGGCATCTCGTCCTCCGGATCTGGTTGTTGGGCAACTCCGTGTCGTACGGAAGAGCGGGACGAGGCTAAGGTACGAGATGCGTCTACTCGCAGCTCGCTGCGGTCGAATAGGTGATCTCTGTCCGCTGGACTAGACACACGAATCGGTCGATCGTCTGCATTCGCTCGCGATCGCCGATTGTTCTCGAGTCGATATGTCAAGGTGTCATCGTCCTGACCGCCAAAGTCTCGGACTGTGCTGTTCGATACGCTCCTGCCTGCGCTGCTGCCGTCGCCCTTGTCCCTGGACGACCTGTATGCATCCCCACTGGATAACAGCTCGTCGGCCCCATGACGGCCGCTGCGCCTATCGTCGTGACCGTGAGCTTTGCGAGACTTGGTCGGATAGTATCCATCAAGAGCAGCAGATGCGGTAGGAGTAGGCGTCCTTGACGGGGAGGTGTCGTTCGGGGAGGAATAGGCGCTCGACCGGTGCGAGCGCGAAGATTCAGGACTTGCTCGCAGATATCGTCTTTCGCTTGGTGAGCCATGCTGACCATTCATGGTTTCGTGAAGACCGTTGTGCTCCGAATGCCGGGAGTATGACGTTGAAGGGCGATAAGGAGAATCCCTTCTAGGTAAAGCCGTGTCTCGCTTGTCGAAATCGTATCCAGTTCGCACAGCTCGGACGGATCCATCCAAGATCGTAGACCGTCTCCCCAATCCAACATCGGCAACTCCGCCTCCAGGTCGAGACCTCAGTGACGAGCTTCTCGCTAGGGGAGAAGCTGAGCTGCTACCTTGCAAGCTCAATCGGTTCAAGCGTGTTCGGAAGTCGTCAGGTTCGTTGTGGAACGATGAGGGGGAAGCAGAACTGTAGCGAGAAGATCCAGCATGATGCTGCCGCGAGCCATCGAGCGACATTCTACTCGGACGATAGCTAGAAGGAGGTGTCTGGGATTTAATGTTATACGGTCAGTAACGAGTTCAGGTCTGGGCCTTGAGATCCATTGAATGACCCACTTCATAAGTCTGGCGTGATCGCAGTTCGTGACTTCCTGTGAGTCTTGACGGGGTATCCATGTTGACGAACAAGCTCAATGACTCGTCATGCTCTCGTGAAGTCGGTAAAGCAGTGCCAAGCAGGTGAGAGCAAATGCGTTCAGAGGCTACTGCACTGAATGAGTTGTACAAGCTGAGAGTTAGGGTTCTGAACGTTGTTATGGATATGTTCGAGCTTCTGCGCGATCCGCACCGTACGTGATCGGCTTGTTTTGTTGATCTTTTCGACATCGGAGCCGAGGAAGCCTAACCCAACTTCCGTCAGCCGTGTCAAGAGGGAGCAAGGGCAGAATCCGGCTTGATTCAGGCTAGAGACAGTAGTGTTCTCCAATTGTTACATGGGTATCGATATTGATCGCCTCGACGCATCTAATATTTGGTACAGCAGGCCGTCACCCCTCGCCTTAATCCCCTCGAGTGGCCTTTCTGTCCACCATTCGTAAGCTGATCGGAACTCTCTCTCCATCCTTGGCGTCGATGAGAACATCGCTCCGGCCACCAGTCGTCGTATGATGTGTCGTAGGCTCCGGAAGGAAGAATTGTTCGCCATACATCCCGGCAAGAGCGATAACCATCCCAAATGTTCCTATGTACATTCGGGTTCGGGGTGCAAGTGCTTGAAAATAGCATCGAATCAGACCGAGTTCTTTAGCCGACTTGAGATGGTACACTCACAATTGTAACTCTGCCACACGCCCTTCTTCCCTGCACTGCCTTCAACTGGTGGTGTTCGTGGTGATGCAACGCCTGGCGAAAGATCGCGAACAATCTCCCCGGTAGGAGACCGCTTCCAACCGGCCTTGAGAGGAGCCCGTGGCATCCCAGACTGCGACATGATGTATGCTAGAAGCTGCCGATAGCTTAGTAGGCGATGTTTTTTGTGGCTGCTAGAACAATTTCAGAAGACAGAATCCGAATGCAGGTAGAGATGATGGGCCGATTCAGTTAGGATCGTCTTCAGTCTTACAAGATATGGAAGAGACGCGCTGCCGAGCCATGCCGGCTTCCGATCCCGCTACTGCGACCTTGAAAGATCGACATGGCCTTCTGAACCTACTTAGCTGCTGTTGCGAGCACTCTTCTCTGCTATCCAGTAAAGAGGCATTTGCCAGCTAACGAGCACCAGAAGCGATCATATTACACGAATCGATATCGATCCCAGATCTTCCCCTCGACATATACATCAGTCCCGTTGTCCCATTGCCATGCTAACTTTGACCTCTCAAGTTGCCGTCTACATGCATGAACCAGCGTCCAGGCCCGTTCTCCCATCTATTTCTGCACCCGGGTGAAGACAGGGCTCTTCTTTTCGTGCACAGGGACCTCTCCCTCTGGCGACCCTGGGATAACCTTCTTCAGGCCCTGGCAGGCGCAAGAAAGGCAGGAAGGCAAGGTCAAATTTCAGACGAGGGCGTAAGAGAAAGACTCCTTCCGCCGATGAGACGTACAAGCTTGTCCGCTAGGCATCGGTTAAGCGCTCCTTCCTGTGTTCGGCAAGCTTGGTAGTACTGAGGAAGCGTAAATGCAGGCATGAGCGGGCATGATCGCCAGAATGACCTTACCAAAGCTGATTCAAGATACCTACCTGGTTGTTCTTCTCCAGACATTGCCAATGAGCTTCAAATTGGGCGTTGCAGTTTTCTCGAATCTTGGTAATACTGTCACATGGATTTCATTCGAGATGAGCTTCGGCTGCCCGTCGAGGCGAACATAGCGCGGTATGACCGTCACTGCTTACATTTCTGCTGCACATCGGGTCACTTTTCTCCCTTCTTTCAGACAATGAGCCGGATCTCGGTTCTCTTGCTTGCAAAGCATAAAGTCCTCTGGTATGACGAGCGGGTCCGGTAGCGAGATCATTAGCTCCGGTTCCGGCCCAGAGGTTCCTGACGACGCAACGCACCGTTGACATCCTTGCAGTATTGTCCGATCGCAAACGAAGCACTCTTCAACGGGGCACTGGTCACGCCCAGCTCGTCGACATGGGGTACCGACGAAGGAAGGGGGTTAGGGTCGATGTAAGGCCTGTCCTCGAAGTTTGCCGTTCGGTGAGAAGCCATCTTGAGTCGTGTTTTTCCGGCAGGATTAAAGAGTTTTGAGGAAGGCCAACCGGTCAGACAATCTAGCGTGACGAAGTGATCGAGTTTGTAGAGCAAGTGTCAGCACAAACTGCATAGCATACATAGACATCGACATGGTCATCGTAATTGACAAGTCCCGGACCAGCGAATGGCCAATCTGGGATAACCGACGACGAGGGATCTCAGGTCAAATCGCGCGACAGCTTTTTGCTTAGGTAATCACCAGAACCTGCCTCGAGCTCGCTAATCTCAGACTATAGAAGCGATGAGATGCGAAGGTGTTGAAGCTATCCGTACACTCAGAATTAAGATGGACAATAGACAACCCGGAAGGCGGGGGATGAATTAGTTTACAAACTGCCGATGATGTCTGCTAGTCTCGCAGTACCGCTCAGAAGCCTCCCCGCCCATTCGATTGACTTTTGACAGTGAACTCTCCTTTTGGCACAAGGTCCTTACTGTGAGTCAGACAAGAATATAGTCAGTATGTGGTTGAAAGGAGCGACGTTATGGTCGAAGCATACATGGTGGTTCCCTTTCTCAGCATCGTCCAACTGTTATGAGCGAGATCATGATCAGCATCATCTCATACACATAGAACGGCTCTCGGAACAGGCTTACCGAATGACACCCGGGTCGTTCTTCAAGCTCTCGTTCAGTGTTGCCAGCACAGGGGGTGAAGTATCGAAGAGCATGCTGAAGTGGCTGATTGTGACAAGCGAGAAATTCGATGTCAGCGAGATATCCGGCAAAAAGTCTTGCAAACTGTCCAAGCCAGAAGATCAAGTTGTGTCGTGGAGTGGCCGCATTATGTTCCCATCATATGCTCTCGACAAGATGGATCGCTTGCCTATCTTTAAAAGAATGGGCAAGTCCGTCCGATACGGCCATACATGGGCAGCAAGCCATAAGCGTGGTACTGCTGCCTGGCGTTCCCGAACGATTTCCATCTCAGCAGGACCCTGATCTTGTCCTTCAAAGCTCCAGTCTCTTCGCATAGAAGCCAGTCCGCAGGTGGCTGCCGTAGTCGCAGGCTGAGCCCAACCCAATTGCATATTACTCACTCTCCTTCCGTGTAATACTGCTGGTGCCTCCTCATCCGCATCGGTAGCGTTCTTGAACCGAGGTTTCTGATATCCCGCACGACCCCTCCTGTTCGCATCACTCGTGATGACAAGTTGGTGATGAGCTGGTGCAGTTCCCGCTAGATAAAGTACTAGGTTGTCAGTTGAGTCCTCCCATCGTCGGTTGAACACCCGAGTCTATCTGTCGAAAGCTCACGTTTGGTGGCGGAACATGGGCGGCAATACAGACTAGTTCGTAGAGAGGCATGATCGTAGATTGCAAGAGTTGACTTGTTGGTGCTGATACGCTTTCCGTTTAAGAAGTTGTTGAATTGTTGCAGGCTTGATCATGATGATCGTCGTTGATCGTTGAATCTTGTCGGTGCCGGCCCGCTCGACTTTCCCAAATCAGACTTTCACGTGACGCGATGTCCCCGCAAACGGGTCGCAGCATTCCACGTTTCATCTAGCGGCGGACGAAGTTATCAAGGATCTGTTGTGGCCTTCACTGTAGCACTTTTGTCATTCCTTAGCAGGCAAATCAGTGGTATTCCATGATGAACGTGTATGTATTCAGAGTTGCGTTGCGACAGCGATGTATGTGCGATCGCGCTCAGGGCACGATCTCTTACGGACACGCTCGAGCTCATCCTTCATCTGCCGCGTTTCCTGGCAGTCGCCAAGAAAGCACAAAGAGCGGCCAGAACCGATTCGGAGCTCGCCCATATGTTTGCAACAAAATTGGAGACAGCGAAAGCTGTATTTGCTGAACCGCGATCTCTACGGAATCTCGTTTTCTGCGCGCCACGATAGTTTGGCCACTGAAATCGTAGAACCGGAGGTCTCTTTAGCCGCTCTATCGTATGCCACCGATATGAACCGGTCAATCCCTTGAGTTCCTTTGATAACCGGAGCGTAACCGTAGAGAGTATGGAGGTTTCGATCTAACAGTGAAAGTATGACTCATGGCGGTCCGTGCCGCTATCTCTTGACCAACTCTATAGAGGAATACCAGGACGGAGGGGAGAGCCGGTTTGGATGGGAAGATTGGGAAGAGAGGGACGAGGACGAGGACGAGGACGAGGAGGTGGAAGATGAACCACTCGCTACCACCGCTACTGCCTCAAAGGCCAAGAGACCTCACCTTGAGCTTCCGCTTGGAGCCCTCATGCGATGGGAAGGCAAGAAGAAATATATGAGATGATTCAACAACAGCGACTCGCTTCCTCCTTTTGTCTGCAAGAGTCGGAGTCGCTCCGATAGCAATCGTGGCAGATTACATTCGTTTGGCAATACTAAGAGAGTAGAGACCGTTAGACAGAAAACCCTTCCCAATGCGGCTTCCATCACGACCGTTGTCTACTCCACCTCATCATTGCCTCAAACGGATCGAAGGACATGTAAGTACTGGCCTCATTCTGTAAGATGATGTTTGCTGAATCTTGGAGGGTCGAACCAACGCAGAATCGGCTACTGATGTCTTGGAATGCCTGGACAAGGTCCATGTGCGCAGTAGCAACTCCAGAAAACGTTGAGAGGTGAACTGGTTGCTTGAAATTCTTGATGATCTTGACAAAATAAGTCTCTGTTGCGGAACAAATGATGTTGCAACTTGATCACCAATAGGAAACCGTCAACCGATTCGAAACCATTAAAGATCTGGATTGAACGGCACCGATGCCGACCCGGAGTCTGACACCATGATCACGGGGGTGTCTACCTGTGAATTGACAACTAACGCAGACCCTACAGAGGACAGACCAAGAGCCTCAAGATGCGATGGATATCGCAATGGATTCCACAGAATGATACCCGAAGGTTCCACCCGCCCGCTCGAGGTCCGGAGAAACTCTCTTTGCCATTGAATACAGACGATAGCACGGCTCTTGGTACGCCTCGGCACACACAACTCTACCCACTACAGCCGCGCTCACGTCCACCGAAGGGCATCATGATAGAGTTCTGGCGGCTCTCTCATTTATGGCTGAAGTGGTCCAGCAAGGATTGAAGAAAGCCTCAATAACGAGATCGTAGGTGGGCCGCAGTACAGGAGACGATGCAGCGTCCGTGAATTTCAGAAGGTCGGGCTCGTCTATCCCTTACCACACACCGCCCCTCGTGTCCAGATGCCTCGCATGCTACTGATCTCGCATTCCAAACCAATGGCGTTCGATGTATTTTCCATTTTTTGATCGACATGCATTCATTCCATACACGTCGCATGTTCTGCTCCTTTCTCTACATGAGTGCCGTCGCTCTAGTGCGCTGCGGGCTTGGCATCCTTCTCGGCCTCGGCGACGAATTGCTTGATGCTAAAGTGCGCAAGCGAAATAGAGCCGGTGTCAGTCAACCACAAGGTGGGGGCGTTCACGGGGCATCCTAGACTCACAAGTCCTCCTCCTCCCTGTTAATTCGGCGTGTCACAAAAAGTCAACCATAGAAGAGTCGCCAGATCAGTAACGTGTCTACGAGTTTACGATTGAAGCAGCGTGCGGATGTCCAGCTAGGCAGAGGACAGACAGGGTCCGATGTATTGGGGAATGACGGTTCAGCGACGACCGGTCCTCGACGACCTGGATGTTTGTAACTAAGTGCCCAGTCTCCTCTCTGGCCTGCTCCTTCGGCACCCTGAACCCGGCGACTTCCTTTTGACGTCGACCTGCCCATGAAACCTTCTGCTTAACGGCATCATACCATTTATCCGGCGATCCCTAGCCGTTTGCTCTCGACAAGCCAGTCGTCACGGCGACCACACGCAATTCCCCGGGATAACTTCCTTCCGTTCGTAGCCTCGCGTCGATAGAGGAGCTGACTGATACTCACTTGGAGCCAGTCTCGATGTTCTTCTGCTCGGCAACGGGAGCAGGAGCCTCCTTGCTTCCACCGCTCGAAGCCATGGCGATGGCAGCGGTAGAGAGAATGGTACCAAGAGCACTTTATCCGGAGGAGTAGCAGCGGTCAGTATCCCTCGTGATCCTTCTTGAAGATAACCTGGGTTGGTAACAGTAACATACAGGTACTCGTTCTGTATTCATCAAGGGCAAGTGAATTGGTTTTCAGTCATTGCCAACATTGTGCCTGTTTCGACGGGGACTGACCTTGATAGCTCGTCCAGCGATAACGTAAGACATTTTGAGGAGTTTTCTAGCGACTTATGAACGGATTATCTAGGAGCTAGCGGAGAAGGTCGAGGTTGCAAAGGCAACGACCACTGATCTATCAATCGTTCATGTTTGCGAGGTCGAATACGGGAACCGTCCCCGTCGCTGTCTCTGAGATCGCGGGACGAGGGATGATCGATCGGGTCTCACGCGTTTGCCAGGTTTTAAGGAAGCATCGCGCGATCCCCCCGGGAGTCCATCAACCTCGAGCCTCGAGAGCTTGGACTTGCGATTAAATACGGTCCTGAAGGGTCAAAGTGTCATATCAAGCTGCAGGTCGACCTTTCGTAATCGTGTGCCGGCAATCGACTACGCAGCGATCATTAACACAGGTCTCTCAGCTCGGGCACAACTTGATCCATCTGAGATCAGAGACTATACGGCGAACGCGGCTCTGTCGCGCATTCAAAGACGACCTCCCGTGATACGTCATACCTATAGACATCTCTAAGACAGCTACCTTCCACGTTGCATCTGTGAAGACGCTCGAGCTGGAACGACTTCGAAGTGTACGATCCTTGGTACGATAACATAGCTTGTTGAGGGAATCCTGTTCAAGATGGCTGGGGTCATGTGTAAGTTCCCGCTGTGTATAGGCGCTTGAACCCCGTTAGCTAAATAGCTCATACGATTGTTCATCTCGAAGACGATCTGGTCATCCTCTTCTGGAGGGTGGTCATCAACATCTTTTTCCGAGAGATTCGGTACGTTCACCCCGGGACCCTCTATCGATCTCAGACGGAAGACTGATTTTCGATTCGCTGGTCTCTACCCTGCAGACCTCGCGGAACCTTTAATATCCCTAGAGAAGGTCCCGTCATCTTTGTCGGTGCTCCGCATCATAATCAGGTATGGCTTTCCGATTCAACCTGGCTCTTACTCGGGGCTCAACACCAATGTCCCCTGTGATACAGTTCTTGGATCCTTTACTGCTGTCGTCGGAAGTACGAAGAGAATGTCCTCGAAGAGTGGCTTTCCTGGCAGCGGCGGCCGTGAGTCGAAAATAGAATGGACTGGACAAAGTCCCAAGCTCAAGCTCTCATCCTTGTGTATTTACAGAGTATCAAACGGCTGTTCGTTGGAGCTTTCATCAGGATGCTCGATAGTAGTAGGTCGTGCCGGTTTCGACATCTGGGTAGGTTATGGCTGACCCATACGTCTCCGACGTCCAGTTCCGGTAACTCGAGCTGCTGATCTGGCCAAGATGGGAGTCGGCAAGCTATACATCGAAGAGTCGGACCCGTTGAGGATCATCGGTGTTGGCACCCAGTTCAAGAAGCAATGTGTCGTTAGGGGTCAGCTGGTACTACCCAAACATGTGGGCTATGCTCAAGGCGAAATCGCCGAGATTATCAGCGATACAGAGATTCGGTAAGTCTCCCCCAGTAGTCGTCTGATCACCGAACGACACGCTGAAATTCGGATCTTAGGCTGTCTCGAGAATTTATCTCTGCCGGAAAGGGAGGCGCTTCCGATGTGCGAGCTACCCAAAAGGTCATCAGCGAAGGCGAGGCTGCGAAGGCTCAAGGAGAACCTGGACTGGCATTCAAGGCCCTTCCCTATGTCGATCAACACGAGGTCTATGGCCACGTATACAAGCGTTTGGAGGAGAACGGTACCATCGGAATCTTCCCTGAAGGTGGTTCTCACGACCGGCCGGATTTGTTGCCGTTGAAGGCTGGGGTTTCGGTTATGGCGCTTGGAGCCATGTCACAGAACAAGGACCTCAAAATCAAGATCGTACCCGTCGGACTTTCCTACTTTCATCCCCACAAGTTTAGATCGAGAGCCGTGGTCGAGTTCGGGACACCCATCGAAGTCCCTCGGGAGTTGGTGGCCCTCTTCGACAAGGGCGGAGAACAAAAGCGGGAAGGTTGCGGTAAATTATTGGAGATGATTCACGACGGATTGAAGGCCGTCACGATCCGAACTCCGGATCCCGAAACATTGATGGTAGGCCGGTCGTGGGGTTCTCACTGACACCATAGCTTACCCCATTCGCCGCGGCCATAGGTCATTCACGCAGGACGAAGATTGTACAAGTCTCCGGGTCAACAATGGACTCTTGGACAGGTCGTTGAATTGACCAAGCGCTTCATCGAGGCTTACCAAGTCTACCGAGACGAGCCTAGGGTGATCAGGCTCACGGACAAGGTTCGACGATACAACCGGAAATTGCGTGATCTAGGGCTCAAGGACCATCAGGTCGAGCGCGCGACTACACAGAGGAAACTGAGGAACCTATTGTTGCTTATCTACCGATCGAACTTGCTGCTGGCATGGGCGATTTTGGCCTTGCCTGGCGTTATCACCCACGCTCCCATCTTCATTCCCGCCAAGATGTACAGCAAAGTTAAAGCCAAAGGTATATACCTAGTCACCTCTATCTACCCCTGCAAGCGCGCTGATTTTCGATATCATCTTGCAGAGGCTCTTGCGGCATCCAGTGTCAAGATCGCGGCGAGGGACGTCATCGCGACCTGGAAGATCCTCTTCTCGCTCGCTGCCACTCCAGCTCTCTACATCGTGTATGCCATCCTGGCGACCTGGCTTGCCTGGCGAAACGGGGCATCGTCCGCGGTCGTCAAGTCGATGCCTGCCCTGATTTTCATCATCATGCCGTTTTTTGCGATGAGTTCGCTCAAGTTTGGAGAGGCCGGTATGGATGTCTTCAAGTCAGTACATCCTTGCCTGCTTACACCGAACATCATCGCTCATCCCCCTTCCCTGCAGATCATTACGACCACTTTTCCTGTCCTTGTTGCCCGGAAGTCAGAAAGAGCTCGAAAAATTGCGCAAAACCCGAGAATCGCTCGCCAACGAGCTGTCCGAGGTGATCAGTTAGTCGCACGCAATCGCATCAAGTTCACCAGAGCGACAAACTGATGAACCCTCGTCCACGTTGTAGATGACTTTGGACCGAAACTTTGGGTAAACTTCCACCAAGTAGGTAGATCTGCGCACCACCATGCGCTTTTCGAAGCTGACCGATCTCCTCCCCTAGTCCCGCCTTCGACCAGCCGCTTCGGTACCACAAACTGGCGAGAACCCGGGAATGATGTATCGCAAGGGAGATAGCGCCGACTCGTCCGTCTTGTCGCACCCCATGTTGTGGCTCGACGAGCGGATATTCGGTAAGTCCGACGGTCGTCGGCCGGAAGATGACAACCGGGCTAATGTATGAACGTTTCGAAAAGGCTGGAGTCGATCCGCAGCGAAAGGACCCAATGTCTGGAACGCCAAACCCAGAAGTGAACTCGGCAGCCCACCTCTGTCACCGACCGAATCCGACACTGAAGAAGTGGGAGGTGCAGATGTCGACTATGACGACGTGTTGGCGATCATCGACACTCGTCGATCGAGAAACGACGTACGGGCCGGTGGTACGTCGTATTCATCCCGCAACCAGCCTTCGATGGAATACAGCCCGAATTACCTGGAGAATGCGAACGATGATGCTGTAAGGCGACGAAAGCCGAGGACGAGGGCGGAGAGCTTGAACCACGCCGTCACGGCTGAAGAACTGAAAGAAACGAACGCTCGCGAGGGGGACGCGACCTTTGCGTCAGTCGCATCGGAGTTGAACAAGGACGCTGACACGAGCAAGGGCGACAAGGAAGAATGACAAGGAAGAATTGCGGTAACGTCGTCCATGGGAAGTATAGACACGAAACGAAAACGTAATGCAAGATGGAAAGAACATCACTTTTGTACCCGTACCTAGAGGTTATCTGTTATGAAACCGTCATCATTCGATCTCATCATCGTATATGCAGACCTCTCAACTCTCACACGGTGAGCTTGTTCAACCTCAAAAACGTCTCCTTTCTCTTGGCCCGCTCTGCCTTTTTCTGGTCCCTCTTGAGCTTGGCCGGGTCGATCTCGACCTTCCACCGATCGTTGACGACATCGAACCTCCCTCCGGCCCGCTTGGCCATCCTAGCGATCCTCGAACGTTCGAACAAGGCGTTTTCGTAATCGCTCTCCGCGGCCTCCCGGACCTCTTTGCTCGTCCTCCCTCGCACTGTCACCCCGCCGAGACCGACCTTGGCGAGCGTGCTCTCCAATCCTGCATCACGTCCGCCTTCTCGCCACTGTTGTACAGCCTGAGCGGCGTACTTTTCCTTTTCCTCCCTCTCGGCCTCCCGGGCCAAATTCCATCCCTTGGTCGCCTTGGCCCTCGAGAACCTGGGTGAGAGTTCCTCAGAGAGGTAGAGCGGCATCATGCTATCCACGTCGACGGGGACCTCGGGAACGGCATCGAGGTCCGAGGCGGCCTTGGCGTTCAAGTTGATGTACGCGTCCGAGATGGATCGAGGCAGCTTGTTGACGGGTGCTCGGGAGGAGGTGGCCAGAGGTACGGTGGAGGAGTTGGACCAGATAGAATCGGCGGGTACGAGGGCGACCGTGCGTTTGGCCACAGCGTCGCTCGTCGTATCCGTTGCCAGGGCTACCAAAAGCAAATAGCCAACCAGAGTCAGTTCGACCGTTAATCAATGACGCTTGACCTGGATTGCCATCCGGGACTCACGCTCGATAGTCTCGGCCTTGGCAAATGGCGGCCAAAGGATCTTGATCAACCCCTTCGACTCATCAATCTCGTATTGATCCGGATCCTCGGCTCCCTTGATCTGTCCGGCGGCAAACCTATCGTATCGGTAGAGTCGCATCCGCTTGTCCCAGACGGGTTTCGAGGTTGCTATCCGGCTCGCAAAAACGCTGAACGAAAGACAAAAGACGATTCGTGCGTCAGTGATCATACCGCCATCGACACGACCTCCTGCTTAGGAAGCGGCAGATCGCGAAGACTCACCTCTTGCCTCCCTTTTCGTTCCCTTGATCGATACAGAGCTGGACGTTGGAATAATGGATCGGTCGGCTGACGTTCATGAAATTCCGTTGACCCTCGAATTCCCTGCGCTCGGTCTCTCCGGCACCGGCGGGAAGCTCTCGAAGGATCTGGTTCGCTTTTTTTTGCTGTCAATCCGGTTTCCCAAGAAGGAAAAAAAGCGTGCAATGAGGAACATTGATTTAGTTGGCGACTTCGATTGGTCTTGCACTCAAATTCGATCAGCGAAGACTCACGGTGACCCCGTTCAACCGGAGTTTGTTCCTCTCCAGATCGATCTGAGTGACCTGATGGACCTTCCAGCCGTCCTTGTCGTCCTTTCCATTGACGTACTTGTCCTCGGGTTTACCGACGGTGAGCCGGACGTAATCTCCTGTACGAATGTTCCATCGCGCTATCCGGTCGTGAGGCTGGACAAACTTTTTCTTGTGCAAGACTCGAGGTGAGAACCTGTGAGGAAGAGGACGAATAGGGTTGAACATCGTCGAACTAGCCTACTGTGAAAACCGTAGAGCTCACCTGCCGACGAATTTATGGGGCAGGTTGCTCTCGAGGTGGTGTAGCCCTGGAGACGACAACGGAGATGTGTATTTTCAGCGGGGTCTCTCCGTTATCGACGTTGTCTTCACTCACCTTTCGGGAGAGACACAGCGGACATGGTGTACGGATGGATTGTGTGATGAGGTCTGAATGATGTAGCGATAATCATACGAAGTATATGGACGATTACGATGATCGATGATCGATGTGTACATTCGTTTTCCCTGAGCCCAATCCCATCCAATAAATATGCGCGTCGCCTCTTCGTCTCTCGTCTCTGTTTCTGATCCGAAAGCGCACACATCGATCTGACTCGAAGGTGTTGCAAGACCATATAGTTATTAACAATCGACTTGGACCGACCTGTAACATACAGACTAGTCGTCCAGCAGTTCATAGTCTTCATAATCCGTAAACATGCTCCGGTCAGGTCTAGCCACGAGCCTCAACCAAGCTCGTTCCACCGTCACCCGATCCACCCTGATATCCACACGACCGTCGCTATCTTTATCGGCCCAAAACTTGCCCGCAACATGGCAGGTCGGTATGCAACAGCAGCGATTCAGGTCGCAATTGGCACCTCGAAGGACCAAGTACCGTAAAGCTCACAAGGGCCGGGTCGCTGTGAGTCTGACTTGCAGGATTATTGAGCAATGCATTGAAGTCCAGCGAGCTGAATGAATGCACGTTGTGTTCCACCTGCTACAGCTTCCCACCGGCGGTTCGACCAAGGGAACAACGCTTCAACTCGGCTCTTACGGTCTCCGCCTCCTTTCCTCCGTCCGCCTCACGGCTAAACAACTCCAATCTGCCGAAGTCGCCGTCAAGCGAAAGATCAAGGCCGTCAAGGGTGCCGAATGCTGGATGCGAGTCTTTCCCGACGTGCCCGTCTGTGTCAAGGGAAACGAGACGAGGATGGGAAAGGGAAAGGGGGCGTTCGAGTATTGGGCTTGTAGGGTACCCCATGGGAAAGTCGTGTTCGAGGTCGGAGGTGGTGGGATCCGGGAAGAGATCGCTAAAGAGGGTGAGCAAGGCTTGGGGTGTCTTTTTCGGACGATGTTCTCGGAAGTGTCCGGCTCACACTGTCTCATGTTTGCTTCCAACTCTCATCAGCTCTTCGACTAGCCTCTGCGAAGCTTCCTGGACCGACCGAGTTCATCTCCACCTCGACCCCTCCTCGACTGGGTAACATTGCCGATGCCAACGCCGCTCCCGTTGCCCCTATCGCTTCCTCTCCCACCAATTCCACCTCCTCCTTGAACGGGATTCCCTCATCGCTCTTATCATCAGGTGCGCGACCCGCTCTGTCTTCACTCTCGGCGGGACCTGTGCAAGCGGCCGTTAATGCCGTAAGGGCCAAATCGACTTTTACGGGCGCGGTCAAGCAAGACCCCATGACTGGAGAGGTCATCAGTCTGCCCGATCTTGACGTGAGTTCTCCCCAGGTATCTATTTAATGAAGACGTCCATTGACTGAACCAGCATATACCGACTGCGTCGTATCGCCTTGCTTGATTCCCCTTCACAGGCCTCGCTAGTCAAGATCACAAACAGCGCCACTCCGAAGACCCCCTTGCCGCCCTCGAAACTCGTCTTTGGCAAGACGTTCACGGATCACATGTTGACGGTGGATTGGAACAGTAATACCGGCTGGGCGGAACCCAAGATCGAGACTTGTGAGTTGGACCGCGTGATGAGGTGGAGGTGGGAAGAGAGCCGGTGTGGGTTGCTAAACTTGGTTGGTCTAACTGGCGCTATTGTGATTGCGCGTGACAGACGGACCTCTCAGTTTGGACCCTTCTTCCGTCGTGTTCCACTATGCCTTTTGTCTGTAAGTGCACTTGTCCATCCAATCATTCCGATGTCGATTCCAGGAGACCTTGAAGTCGGGAGACAATCGGCTGAGACCTTCTTTGTTACGTATCATCTGATTAGTTTCGAAGGGATGAAGGCTTATCGATGCGAAGATGGGACTATCCGGCTCTTCCGACCGGATATGAACATGCACCGGATGAACAGGGTTGGTTTTAGTCCTCACATCGCATCAGAGACGCTGTCCAAGAGTGCTGACATCAGGTTTCACCTTGATCTCGTCTTACGTCAGACCGCCGCCAGGATCGCACTGCCCACCTTTGACGGTGAACAACTGACCGAGCTTATCAAAAAGCTCGTCCTCCTCGATTCCCGTTGGATCCCTGGCGAGCCCGGATACTCGCTGTATATCCGTAAGTCTGGGCGGACATTGTTCGATTGGCCGTGAGATTTCTGTTTGAATCTTCCATGCTGACTCTTCTTGGCTTTGTTCGATGCTGCAGGTCCTACCTTGATCGGAACACAGAGCGCTCTAGGGGTGCACCCTAGTTCGGACGCCAAGCTGTTCGTCATTTGTTCGCCCGTGAGTTAGGCGGTCTTTCTCTTTCATCCTGTCTGTCGCTGTGGTACTCATCGGGACTTTGTTCGCGGATCATAGGTCGGGCCTTACTATGCTAGTCAGTCCATTCCGAGACTGACATCAGGGTCGTGTCTGCTGAGATGCTCACCGTCGCCTCGCATTTACAGCCGGTTTCAAGCCCGTCTCGTTGCAAGCTACGACCAAGTATGTACGAGCGTCGCGAGGTGGTACTGGATCATACAAGCTTGGAGCCAAGTGAGTCCCGTCGTCCTGCATTCGAATGAAAAACCTCAAGTCAGCTTAAATCGGCCCTATAACGCTATAGCTACTCGCCAGGCGTCATGCCCCAGCTTGAAGCCGCCAAGCAGGGTTACGCTCAGAACTTGTGGTTGCACGGACCTGAACACTACTTGACCGAGGTGAGCACCAGGCGCACATGGCATATAGCGAGATGCGGTCTGCTTATCGTAGTGTCGCACATCGCAGGTCGGAACGATGAACCTTTTTGTCGTCATCGAGAACGAAAAGGGCCAGACCGAGCTCATCACCCCGCCCCTCGAGGATTTGATCTTGCCCGGTGTGACAAGAGACAGGTGAGTCGAGCGAGACTAGTTTCATCGCGACGCCTTGCTAACGCACTTCTTGTGACGTACAGCGTTCTGACCATCTGCCGTGAACACGCCGCCGGCCAGGTCCAGGTCGAGGGTCTCCCTTCGTCCGACTTTGTCGTCTCGGAGAAGCACATGACCATGCCCCAGTTGGTCGAATACCAGAAGCAAGGCAAGCTTAAGGAGGTGTTTGGAAGCGGTACCGCTGCCATTGTCAGCGCCGTCAACAAGTAAGTGTTCGAGGCGCTTTATCCTTTCGAGCATAGTGACTAACAGCTCCCATTGATGTCCATACAGCATCGGCTACGAGGGCACCGATATCCCCGTACCCGTAGGACCTTCCGGCTTGGGCAACATCGCTCAGGCCGTCCTTGACCGAATCCAGGCCATTCAGACCGGCAAGATCGATCACCCCTGGAGTGTGATCGCCGGCAAAGCCACCAACTAGATGTACAAGAACATGTTCGGGTCATGTTGTGATTGCCAAAAAAGGTGGCGACAGTTTGTATCATCATGTCAGTCGAATACATACAAATTGCGATAATCGGCAGCCCACGGCTTGCTTTCTCCACATGCGAGGGTATGGGAGACGGAGTGTAAGAAACCCCAAAGCGAATATGAATGACATCTGACGATGCAGAACTGAATGGTACGGTCTAGGATGGCAAATAAGTATGCCATCGTTATCTTCTCTTCTTCAACGTCTCCTCGAGTAAGGAAGCGTGATTGGTTTGGTGTTGCTGGAAGTGATCAGCGGATGGGGGTCTACATGGAGACAAAACAAGAAAAGATCAGCCTTTGACCCGGGAAGAACATCACCAGGGGACATTCCGGTGACTTACCCTTCGGTCACGGTGGTTGTCGAGAATGAGAAGCCCCTGCCGTCCTTGAGTGGGGTGACCCAGGCCGAAGTCCCTGCCGGCTCTTTCCACTCGAACGGGTTTGCCGCAGCGGGCCTAAGCGATCGACTTCATATACTCAGCCACTGTTCCTATCGCTGACAGCCAACAAAGATGCATAACAACCTAGACTTACGCTTTGCCCCCGACCTTGCTCGTCGACCCGATTTTCCACCCTTTAGGCCTATCTAACCCTTTCCAAGCGGAAGCCGAAGCCGCGGCAGCAGCCTCCTGTTCCAGCTTTTGTTGATAAGCCATCCATTCCTTCTGTTTCTTTAGTTGTTCCGCGGCGAGTTGACGTTCCCTCTCTTTCTCCTTTTCCTTCTCCCTTTCCCATTCGCGATCCTTGTTCCGACCCCACCCGAAGCCCCAAAAACCGTCCGAACCCCCGCTCCTAGATCCACTTGCAGCCCCGTTCAACCCAGCCCATCCGTTCAGCCCGTTCATGCTCGTCGATCCGGGCAGATGTCCAGCGCTGACCAGACATTCTCCAGCTTTCCCCTTGACGTATCCCGCAGTGCCCTCGGGATCATTAGTAGGGTTCTGAGAGAGATTCTGGAGAGTGGAGAGAATGGTTCGGGAGCGAGGTTGCGTTCGAGGGAGATGCAGACCGGATTGCAGGAGGTAGTGAAGGATGTCCAGAGACTGGAGGATGAGTGGAAGTGGGTATCAGTAAGTGGACGACGAAAGAAGAGGGGTCTACTTCGCTCGACTTACCTTGATGTTCCAGGGCCAGGCGCACTTCATCCGTTCGCTCAATACGTCCAGCACGATCTCCAACAACTCGCTGTTCCGTCCAAATCCAGCATTCAAGATCAGCCTCATGCCCGTCCATGTGAAAACGCGAGACTGACGGAGCTTGACAGTATTGAGCGATCGCTTGTAACTGTTCCTCCCCAGCGAAATCGGGGGAATAGTTGGTGGCCTCTTCCACGTAGTCCTGCGATCATCGATGACGGGACATGTCAGTGCTGTACCATCCTCGATCGATAAAGATCGTTTGAGATATGACAAGCGGAAGACTGACCTTGACGACCCGCTTGAGCATGGCTGGGTGGTAGAACGTCGCAGAGTCCAACGGGTCAGTCTGAGGTCGAGGTTCGGGCACGGGGGCAGAGTTCCAGTGTGACCAAGGAAGTCCCATCGTGTTGGATGTCCGGTCGTTGGGTTAGTGTCTAGAAACTGTGGGGTATGGATCGGTTGTGTGGTCGAATTGATGACTGTTTGGAGTCGAGTCCGTTCGGACAGGATGTTCAGAGAGGGATGATACTTGACTGTATTGGGTTTAGGGATGGTGATGATTGGTGGCGAGGGATAGTGACTCGATGACGGGAAGGCGATCGCTGCATCTCTATATCTTCGTCGAGGCTGTGTCGGAGCTATGCTTTATGCTGGTGCTGTGTTCGTGAACTCGATCGATGATCAGATCCACCGTACAGTCATCTTTGAGCCTCGAATAGGATCTGGTATGACTCGACTTGGATGTCCGTGACAAATACCTCAGTATGAGCGGCGACGGTGTCACTGGGATTGAAGGGGGGGATGCTAAACCGTATGAAGCGAGCGAGCGTCGTTGGACTGAGAAGATGCGGAGGAGGATGATTCATCTTTTCTCCTGATCAAATGCTAACACGGCTCCGATCACCGTCGTTTATCTGTTCGATCGATGGAAAAGAAAAGCGGACGGACGGACGGATCCGAAAGAACAATTCGAGCCAAAGGATGTTCAAGCTGCCAACTTGACATGATGATTCGTTGACTCGCATCCAATAATAACGCCGGCGGTCCACCATCTTACACCTTCAGTCCGAGGCTGCCTGGTAGCTAAATGAGCCTGGGAATCAGAGAGCTCGGTCAACATGTGAAGTTCAAACTCTACGTGATGGAGCGCAAACGCGATCACGATCAAGATTCGTGCTTGACCCGAGACATTTCTGAAACGGTCCCCGCGCGATGCGGCAATGTTTCCGCCTCCATCCCCCGCACCCCTCGGCGTAATTCTGGGGTAATCTCCTTTCCTGGATGCCGGCATCCACGAGAGAGCGCCCCTCGGGAATGGATCCGGCGACGACCGAGTTCATGCATCTCATGCATCTCATCAACTGCGACGACTGTTCGCTGGATCATGTCGACTTGATCACATGTACGTACACAGTTGTTCGACCTTACAAAGTAGACCTGTATCTGACAAGCCTACCAAAGATCAGCCCTGAAACCCCTACATCTGCTTCTCCAAAATGTCCGAACAATCCTACTACATCGGCTTCGACGTGTAAGCAGATGCATTCCCTCAAAGGCACCCCTACCAACACCTTGAAGCTGATGACCAAGGCGGATGATGCTGTCGTATATACAGCGGGACTGGATCTGCTCGAGCTGCTCTGCTGGATTCAAAGGGCAAGATCATCGCTGATGCCACCGGTAAGCCCATCACTCCTCGCATCCATCACGCCAGCATTCGATACATCGCATAACGAAACGAACCTAACTCTTTCCTTTTCTGCCCGCTCGACATCTAGAAAACACCAAGACTTACCGTTCAGAGACCGACCACAGGATCTACGAACAGTCTACCCAAAACATCTGGTCCTCCCTCGCCCTCTGCTGTAATCGCGTCCTCTCTACGTCGGGCATCCCGGCGTCCCAGATCAAAGGGATCTCTTTCGACGCTACCTGTTCGTTGTGCGTCGTCGATGGACAAGGTGTTCCCGTCTGTGTGACCGAAGGCGAAGGGTTAGGGAAATCAGGCGAGGAGGCAGGGGATAGGAATGTGATCCTCTGGGCGGATCATCGGGCCGAGGAAGAGGCGGCGTTCATCAATCAAACGGGGGAAGGGGTCTTGGGGTTCGTAGGCGGGGTGATGAGCGTGAGTCGATAGCCCTCTTCCTGCTCTCTTTCGACGGTTCTTGTTTCGACGTACCCGTTGGAAAGTGTCTTACTGTGCGATATGACTTGACAGCTCGAGATGGAGATCCCAAAGACCTTGTGGTTGAAGAAACACATGAAAGAGGAAGATTTCGAAAAGTCCTTCTTCTTCGAGTGAGTTGTCGCCGTCTCCTCCTTGCCTGCCGTCTTGTCCGATTACTGTGGCCTGATTTTTCGAGACGATTCTTTTCTTTCGCTTGCGGTTTTCAGCCTCCCTGACTTCCGTAGGTCTCGTTCGCACTTTACCCCTTCGCGGCACGACTGACCGCTCCTACTGGATTTGACAGTAACCTACCGAGCGACCGAGTCGATCGCCCGATCCAATTGTTCCCTGACTTGCAAATTTTCCTACGTCTCGCCTGGCGTCAAGGTCAAGCATCTGGATGGAAAGGAGGAAAGCAGTGAAGGGTGGAGTGCAGGGTTCTTGAACAAGATCGGTTCGTCCATCCCCCATCCTCCTCTTCGTCCAGCCTGTAGTGCTGCGAACTGACGCTCCCCCTTGACATTCTGAACTCTTTCCGCATCCCTCCGGTTTGGTACTGTAGGCCTCGAATCCCTCGTAAAAAGGGATTTCGAGCAGGTCGGCGGTCAACCGGGTAAGAACGGGTTGATCATGACCGCCGGACAACCGGTAGGGACCGGATTGACCGAAAGGGCCGCCAAGGAGTTTGGCTTGTTACCTGGAACTCCTGTTGGGAGCGCTGTTATCGATGCGTGAGTGTGCGACGGGTACATCACATGTTATTCGGGTCGACGCGAGGCTGATGAAATCCTATCGGCCGTGGTGCGTATCTTCGCTTGATAGATACGCCGGCTGGGTAGGAACCATCGCTGCCAAGTCAAGTGCGGACAAGTCGACCGAGAGGCTCAAGCTCGAGGAGAGCAGTCATCGGCTGGCCGCTTGTGCAGGGACGTCGACTTGCCATATCGTCCAGGTAAGTCGGGTCTAGCGTCACTTATAAGCACGTCATATCGATCCAAGCCGGTTCTGACGATACTTCAACTTGCGCCTTGATAAGAGCGACAAGGGCGTGTTTGTCGACGGGTAAGTCTGTCCAAACAGTCAATTCGAACGGAATGAAACTGACGACTTCACGTGCGACAGGGTTGTAAGCTTGTTGAAAATCTGATTGTCGTTCTGACTGTCGAATCAACTGATTTCCTGAAAATCCAGTGGGGACCTTACCCTAACGCCGTCTTCCCGGGCTGGTGGATGAACGAAGGTGGCCAATCGTCTACGGGACAGGTAGGCCAGCTAGCTTGATTGCGATCACCGTACGCTTCCAAACTTACTTTCCCTCGCTCGTCAGCTTATCGACTTCATCATCAACACCCACCCGGCATTGTCTAAAGCGCAAGAACAAGCCAAGGAAAGCGGCAAGGGACTTTTCGACTTTTTGGAAGACAAGCTCGAAGAGTTGAAGAAGACCCGAGGTGTTTCCAGTACCAGTTAGTCGAGAGCATTGCTAAGGAGAAAACATCAAGGGCTAATATAGCTCAAATTGCCCTTTTGCAGCGGAGTTGACTAAACACCTTCATTTCTACCCGGACCTCGTGAGTTTTGGAAATAGGTGCTGGATGAAATGGCTAGTATGACTAACAGTAGTTTCCTTTACAGCACGGTGAGAAGCGCTTGTCGATCACTTGATTGCTCACTCGCTAAGGTGATGATTTGACCACTCTAGGCAATCGATCTCCCTTGGCCGATGTCAAGATGAAGGGCATGATCACTGGCCTGACGCTAGACAGCGGTGTTAATGACCTGGCTGTCAAATTCCATGTCACGCTCGAGGTGCGTTTCCTCTGATGATACGATATCGGCAGTGTAGCTGAGGTCTGTAGCGCATACAGGCCATCGCACTGCAAACTCGGCATATCCTGGACGAAATGAATGCCAAGGGGCATGTTGTCGATTCCATCTATATGAGCGGTAAGTGGTTCAATGATCACCGCATTGCGTACCCCTTGCCTGACCTCAGTCATTGTGTTTCCCAGGATCGCAAGCAAAGAACAAGCCTCTCATGCAGCTCCTCGCATCGGTCTGCAATGTGGCTGTCTTTATCCCTCCCCATCCGTCAGCAGCAGTGGTGATGGGCGCGGCGATGATGGGTCGTTGTGCGGCCAACATTTCGGAAAAGCTGCAAGGCAAGCCCATCGAGACTCAGGAAGAGCAAGACCGAATTGGTGTCGAGATGCAGAGCGAGCTATGGGACGTCATGGTATGTCCACTGCCACAGAGACAGAGCTCGCCTTAGCGAATGATGCTCATCCAACCGTTTAAATGTCCAGGCCGAGATGACTCCGGAAGCCACGGCGGTCATATCTGACGCCTCTGATCTGGAGAAGAAACTGCTCGACGTCAAGTACAAGATCTTCCGTGAATCCATCGAGATTCAGAAACGCTGGAGGGACCAGATCGATGTTGTAGGCAATTGACGATGCGAGTACAAGCAGACGGTATATCGAGGAATGTAATCTTGTCTACATGCGTACAGGAAATCATGGATCCAGACATGAGCGTTCAAGGTATTGACTACACGATCCGAGGAACAAGATCACTTGACCGAGAATGGTTATTATATATAGACTGCAAGCGGGATCCGTCGTCATCGTCGAGGAGCAGAGGTGCTACCCGGTCTAGGTCATGCAGCGTGTCGTCGTGCCCTCGCGAGCTCTTGTTGTATGGTCTGTCTCCCCTGCTCAGAAAGCTTGGGTTGTCCAGAGGAAATGTCTTGCTCAAAGTAGGTCGGGATGTGGCTGCATGAGAAGGAGAGCCGGATGAGACGCCGTTAATCAGGACTTTATGAGACCGAGGCAAGAGCTCACGTTCGACCCTGTTGCTTCATCTCGTGAGATCGATCACGTTGAGCCTGAAAATCGTATCGGAAAGTTGGTCATGATCTGGTGGGAACGAACACAGCTGAGATGGCGACGAACCTGTTCGATGATTTGCTTCTCCCGCGTGGCTTCGCCCCAGTTCTTGCCCACGATATGTCCCGTGACTTCCCTCCACAGATTCCGACTCTCCCGCTCGGTCTGTTCCTCAAGCGGTCGGACGTCCTTAGGCACCAGATCAAGCTCGTCCATGTCAATGATGATACGCCATTCCTGAGAATTTGCACAGGAATCGCAAATCAGTTCGATTATCCCGAGACTTGTCACCTGCGCTTTCGTTTCATGGCCCACCTTTTCACCCTTTCGCCTCCACTTGATCTGTTTCCGCCACGACCCTTCATAGTTGCCCAATATCCGGTCAGAGGGCACGCTCTTGATCTTGCTCCAGGCGACCTCGTCTGCTTTGCTCGGGTCGTACTGGAAGACGATACCTTCAAGCGCAAACTTTGGCTTGCCCAACCAAGACTACGAAGCGGGTGCGAAAGATGATCAGCGCCGAGCGATGCTATGCGAGACCTAGCGTTGTCTCTCACCTCATCCTTATACTCAGTGATCGCTTTCAATCTCAAGCCTGGTTTGTCGCTAGTGCACGTGATGACCGTCTTGTCGCTGATCTGTGAAGCCCGAACAACAAGAACGATTCAGCTTCAGATTGGAGAACAGGTCAGTGACAAATATCACTTACGGTGCCATAGTACTGCCCACGCATGATTCCGTTGACCTGAGCGATCGGATGAGTAATTTGATACGTCTGCATTCATGGCACGGTGTCAGTCTTCGTCTACGCATACACTCTACGTGGCTCTTCAGATTCACTTCGCCAGCTCCTGGTGATGGGTCGGATAGCTTGATAAACAGTCCTTGGTTGGCAGAGCCGGGGGTAATTTGCACGCCTGAAATCACAGAACGGTCAGCTAATGGCCTCGACGAGACGCGGCATAACAGAGACGCCAGACACTCACATGGGAAAGATACTTTGGCCGAGATCTGATCAACGCAAGACATTTCGACACCTCGCTGAGGGCAACAGTAGTATGCCGAGCTGATAGGAGGATGGTGCGAGACTTGTTCCGTCTATGAGGCCAGATTCCAAACAGAGCGAACCGGTCAGTCTCAGGCGATGTCGATGAACTCTTTCGATGCGCCCGACAAAGCGAGACGTACCAAGTAAACGACCTCGACTTTCTCGTCCTTGTCCCGGATCGTCATCCCTGCTACGGCCTTTTCCATATCCTTGACCGCGGCAATCTCAGTCGAAGACCTAGCCGAGAATGCTCGACCGAGCTTCAACTTGGACGGCGTCGGGAGGATCTTCGAGCCTGCGTTACCTGAGGCTGTCTGAGATGGAGATCCAAGAGACCTGACCGAGCTGATATCAATAACATCAAGTCCGTCAGTCTTCTCTCGCCCTCTACAAGCATATAGAAGTCCGATTGTATAGCGATCAACTATTGGACTCACACATCGTCTCCAGTCTCGACAGCCGCAACCATAGGCGTACTCATCGCGCTCATCGCGACCAACTCTCGCTCTCCACCGTTCGTGCTCGGATCAAACTTGTAGGCGTTGATCACGGGTGCCTTTGTCTTTGGATCAAAGGTAACAGGTGACAAAGACCAGTTGCATTGAAAGTGTTCGCCTAATGTTGGAATTGAAATGACACATATCGAGAAATGAGTCAGAGTACTCTCGGCCGATTCGTATGGTAAAACTCACCAAGGGTGGAGTTGTAGGGTTTCCCGATCTTGTACCTGACAAACTTGAGCTGGTTCGAAAAGCTATACCGCATGACGGACAACATCCTCTCCAGCTCGTCCGGGGAGTCTCCCATACTACTCGCGCAAAATATCGCCGAACATATCCAACCGCATCGCAATGAGCCTCGGCGTTGATTGCGAAGAGAAGGGGATCGAAGGGGACTGACCTGGCAAAGATATCGGGTCGGTCGGCGTAATGCCAGTATTCCAGATTAGGGATCGGCTCGAGCAGAGAAGCCGGGAGCGAGAGTCGTCTTTTAGAAATCCAAGGTCAGATGCAAGCCGTCAGCAGAGCGCACGATTGGGAAAGGAACTAGCGAATGAGACGTACAGGTTTGCAACATCGGACACACCGATCAACCTGTAAACACCGTATACAGAGCCATTATTTACTCTGTTAACAGGTAGTCAGAAAAGGGAGTGCAGCGGAGAGACTGACTTCTTCAATAAACCGAGGATGACCTTCACTTTGCTCTCTCCTCCTCCAGTCTCGGGTACGACAGCGGGAGCTACGAAAGCGTTCCGTCATCGTTTTTCAGCGATCAAGTTGGAATGTAGTCCGAGGTCAAAGGAAAAAAGAGAGGAAAGTGTATCAGCCAAACTCAATGAGTGCTATAAGGCAGCTACTATCTCCTTGTAATTCTAAGATGATGTGATTGCGCAAAGAGGGAAAGGCGAACTCACCCGAATCGTCATCTTCGGTCTCCAGCTTGCTCGTGTCAAAGCCTTTGAGCTCATCGGCTGGAGTGGTAGCCATGCTTTCGTCTCGCTAATCTGATGCTCAATACTACTGATCTGTAGCCTAATAGACAACTCGTTGATGTGGTGCTGTGAATATGGACAGGGTAGGTCGAGGTCGATCCGATCCGATGGTTGCGAGCTCGAGTATACCGTTCGCTCGCGGAGTTCGGCGTCTAAGGCGCAACGTTGGTCGGTGGCTAGCTAGCTTCAGCGCGGATTCGATCGAATCGGTATGGCAGCGTCGAGAGAACAGTCGGGAACAGAGGTTCCAAAGTCGGAGTATGGAAATGTTCTGAACGAGAGTCTCTGTGTTTAAACTCGCTGTTCGTCGCTGTTCGAACGTTTGCGATTCCCCCGATTGCCCGAATGAATGGATGAATGGCATGAATGGAGTGAGCGGAAGCAAAGCTTCACAAGGGGGAAGGCGCACGGAGCACAGGAGGCAGGGGGCGTTTGGGGTATATGGAGAAGGGAGGGCCTAACGTAAAAAGATGATGTCACTCCTGGTACACTGACCCCGCTTGCGCTAATAACAGATCGCAAGGGGGGGAAGCGCTTCTCTTGGCTCTGCATGGACCCGCGGGGTAAGGAGTCATCAAAGTCGCAGCAATCCTTACGGTCAATCGAATATCTAACATGTATAAAAGGGTCCCAAAAACAAGAGAAATTATATAGATCACAAACATGACACACTCCGTCCACCTCTATGACGACGGCTTTTCTATTGCTGGTTCTGCTTGGTGTAAATGTAATGAAGCGTATCGAGCATCTTGCTCGAACTCCATGCTTGAGTCTCACAACTGTCGGCTATGGATCAAAGTAGCAAGCAAGTAGAAGGGTCAGTGAGGTCCAGCTCGAGTCTCGCGAGATCACGCTCGGTTGGCTAGCAACGTACCACAGTAAGCGCCGTGATCATTCTGGAGCTCGGGAAGACCTCTCCACTTGTCGGTCGAGATGTATTTGCGGTGGTTCAACAACCATTCGGAGATATGATGCAGAGTCAACTGGAAGTCCTGCTTGCCATCCCCGGCGAGCTGATCAAAGTGCAACCACGCCAACGCAAAGTCGCCCGAAGGCCAGAGCCATGCCGGACCTTGGTGATAGTTCCAACCCTTGGCGATCGCCTGATCGTCCGAATCGTTCGAGTTGTGGTAATCACCTCGGTAAGCGGAATCGGCCGGGTCGAGCGTCCTCATCCCCAGGGGGGCCTTCAAGTGCTTGTCGGCCAGTTTGAGCGCGATCATGGCCCTCTCCGGGGTAAACAGCTCGGGGGCGTTGTTCATGGCGATGGGGAAGTTGGATCGGAACTGATAGGAGAGGGGGGGGGGGGGGTCAGTCGCTTCGCAAAATACAGATCCAACGGGCTACACCGCGACTCACCTGGTAATCAGACCATTCCCTGTCCTTGGGAGTACCGTAGACGTCCTTGTAGATACCTCGTCGGTTGACCATGCCGGGGTTAATGTCGAACGAGGCGTCCTCTTCCGGGTTCTCGGGAACCCAGTAACACCTCTCAAAGTTGGCTTGAAGAAGATCCGCCCACTCCTTGTAAGTGATGCTCTTCTTCTGGCCTTCGACTGCGATGTCACAAACGAACAGAAACGATGATCAGCATTCAATTCCCTTTCCGAACTCCTTTGCGTGTCTTGCGTTCACTCACTGGTGACATCGACGCCCTTGAAGGGGAACAAGCCCTTCTTGACCAACCCATCCACCCAGGTCAGGGTGCTCTTCAACAACCCGGTAATTTCGATCGGAGCACCATCTCGAGGAGTAGCGGGCAAACCCTTGTTACCAGCCTTGTCCGAGGATCCCATCTTGTCTTGCCAGGTACCACAGTTGTACCTGTTTCCACCAAAGATGATACCGGTCTTCCAGTCAACCCAAATCTTTTGGTCGAATCCTTCGTCCCTCATGTCCATATCCAAATTAGGACCAGCGTTGTACTCTCGGAACTCGATACCCTCGGCGTGACGCTGCAAAATCTCCTGGACCAGCTCGGCCACGGTGCTGGAGTAGGCGTAAGCCTTCTCGTCGTCCCAAGCGACCCAAGAGTCGTCTGCCGGGAACCTCCGCTTGACGCTGTCCTTCAAAATCGCCTCGCCGTTCGGGCACATTTTGGTGTAGTCCTGGATGTTTTGACAGAACCACCCTGTAAAACAGATCGGGCGATCAGTATTATGCAGATGACGAACGCCGTCCAGACTTCTCAACTCACAAGGACCGTCTCGGCAGTTGTATCGCGGGTTGCGGCATGAATCGAGCAAGTTGGGGATGAGACCATGTTTCAGGGTGGAACCAAAGGCCAGAATGTGGTCTCGAGCGGCTCCAAAGTCGCCCGTAGTGAGGAACAGACCACGAAGCGAGATGAACTGACGTAAGAAGAGATCAGCACCCTGTACTTGTCTAAAGGACTAGCCCTACTCACCACATCACGTCCCCAGCATCGCGCCCAACCAGCGGAGAAGTGAGGTAGACCGGCAGCGAGAGAAGGCACTGGCTTTGACGGATCAATCGAGGCGGTGTTGACCTGACCGTACATCTGGACGGCACAGAGCGCCAGGTCATGGGTGAATGAGGTTCCGGAGGCCACAAAGTCGGAACACTGCTCAATGACCGATTGACGAGCGGCCTTGTAAGCCTCGGAAACGACCATGCTAAAGTACTTGGGGCGGAGGAAGGGGGCTATCGATCGTTCGATAAAGTCGAAACGCTCCTTCAACCAATTGGCCGGCTTTGCGAGACCAGGGAAGGTGTCGGTTTGCCTAGCAAGCACAAAGAGGATTGGCCACTGCTATTTGCCAAGGACTCGACCGGTATCGAAGAACTCACTTTTCAAGTCGGTTGACGATATAATGCATAGCCCAAGGTCCCTGTCGCAAGTGAGCGCACAAGGGGTGTCCAAGATCGTTGTGCTCCATGATATGACGAAGATGAGACATCCACCCTTCGAGACCACAGTAAGGCATCGGGCCCAGACCGGGAATGTCGTAAACACCATCGCCGCCGGTGGCATCCTTCTCCTCACCATCAGCTCGGTGCAATACGACGTTCAGCTCGACACGGTTGAGGTCGGCAAAGGCCGCGATGGCGCCTTCGATGATGGTCTGATCGAGATCGCTCTTGATGTCGTCCTGCATTAATGGTCCCAGTCAGCGAGTGATGTCTGGGGGAACGTATTGCATACTGAGCTCACCTTCATCTCGGTCTGGAAGAGCAAGATTGAACCCGGTTCGAACTGGTTGGGAACAACAACCTCGGCAAACGATCCGTTCTCGTCAGAGCCAGCGCGGACTTCGCACTCGGTAATCTCGACGAGCTCCGAAGGAATACTCTTGAACGTCTGGTCGCTCTCATTGAATTGATCAGGGTGGGTCTGCAACGAGGCACCGCAAAGGAACTTGACGTCTTGTCGGCTGAGCTTGAAAGGTGCGACTGTCACGGAAAAAGATCATCAAGACATCGCCATGTTCAGCCCAGGTCGATTTAGAGGAACAGCAGGATGTAAATCAAGTGATACTTACTGTTACCACGTCCCGAAGCACCCTTGTTGAAAGCAGTGTGCGCCACCAAAAGGTACCCCTTATGCGAAGAAGGGTGAACACGGTGCATGACGATGTACTAACAGTCTCGATCCAAGTCAACATAATGAAGGCCACATCAGCGGAACATCGCCCGACTCACGTCGTTCTCTTGGTGTACATGGCCCTCGACGTAGCCACCAGTGGCCAGCTCACGGTGCAAGCTGTTGAGGACGCGCTTGACCCTTCCGATACCGTTCTCCTGGTCGGCCGTGCTAACCTCATACTTGCGGTTGTCAGAAACCAGGTTAAGAAGCTTAGGGTACAAGTCGTCGAATCCCTTGGTGGAACCGATCGCCGCCGAAGTAAAGGTGACGAGCGCTCCTGTGGGCAGGGCGTCTTCGGCGGTCCGCTTGTCGGCCGGGGTCTCGTTGTCGTGGGTGACGTCGTAGAAGAATGCGTGCGGCTTGGAACCGGTGAGCGGGGTAACGGTCGCTTGACGGATAGCGCCCTTGCCGACGGGAGAGACAAAGTCCTCTTTGCTGGAAAGACAGGCACCGCTCATCGATCCGATAGCCTTGGTAACTCCAAACTCGTACAGGCTGTGCAAGCATATCGTCACAGTCAGTCATCGAAAATCCGACGAAACAATCGCGGTCTACTCACAGCCCGGAAAAGTCTTTAGGGCTACCTCCATTGTAAGCCTCTCGGACGAGACTGTTAATCCCGATCTGCGAGACAAACTTCAAGTCCATCTCCTGGCTCCCGGTGAAAAGCTCGGCCATAACGTAGAGGTTCGGGTTGACGGCTCGTGCAGCGTCGATCATGTGTACACCGACGGCGAGCGGGGTCGAGTGGCAGTTGTCCAGCCTGAAACCATCAAACAGCTCGGCCAACAACTGGCAGTACGAGGTGATGTGGTCCCACAACCAAGGGTTGTCCTCCTTGCTCTTGCCGTATCGAAGCTTAACACAGTCGCCCCAAGCAATGACCTCTCGTCGGACGTAAGCCTTGCCCGGGTACTCGGCAAAGTTGCTCAGGGGGTCGGCCGCCCAGATCCATCCGTTGTTAGCTAGCGAGAGTGCCTCTTTGGGGAACTTGGACGTCTTGGATGATTCCGGGACATGTGTAAAGTAGTTTTCGATCAAGGGCGAGCTAGCCGAGATCTCTCCCAATCGAGGACCGTGGGCGTCGAGTCGGGTGTACTTGAGTCGATCGATAATGTTGGCCTTGGCGGCCTTTGCATCGTCGTTGGCCTCGGCGTACAGATCGACATTGAGGATATCGGCAATCTTGCCCCACGTCTCGGAGGCGTCGGCGTTGGGTCGAGCGGCCTTGACGAACCCGGCGGCGACGGCAGGGTCGGCCTTGGTGATGAATCTTCCACCGTAAGATCGGTATCCAGTAAGGACATCGTTCCTCTTGACGATTTCTACCAACTCGCCATCACTCTTTCCGCTGACGTCTTCCCCCTTCCACTCCTTGGGGCTAGCAGACCCGACAGCCTTTTTCTCGGCCTCGACATTGAGCACGTAGAACTGCCACAACTTCAGGTCTTCGATCACCTTTTGTACGGCCTCGCCGATCCGGTCGAGGTCGCCCTGCGATTCGAGCTTGGTGGGCAAGCCGAGCGAGGCGAGTTTTCCGGACAGTTCGATCATCGCCGTATCGAGCTCCCAGGCGGGAGTCAAGTGGGGCGAATTGGCCGGCGAGAAACCTACATATAAATCGCGTTCGGTTGTTAGCAATAGCTTTGTCATTTTCACTCCGCCACGCCTTATCGACTAACCAGACTCGGGGTGTTCCTCCAACCAAGGCGAATTGTTGGCAGTGTGGTTCAACACGACATCGGTCAAACTCCCCAACCCGTATTTTTCCTTGGCCATGTTCAACGCTTCTTGCACCTGCTTAACCCCACCATCCTTGTCCCCGTCCTTGCCTCCCTTCAACAGAGCCTCGTCGATCGTCATCTGGTCGTAAATCGAGTAAGGGCTCCCAGAAGATCCTCGGGACTGCAAAGGGGTGTAGTGGATGAAATTATAGCCCCTCCTGGCGGCCTCCTCGAAATGCGCATCCCACTCGTTCAACGGTCCTTGCCATTTAGCAATGATCGACAGCATGGCGATCGAATCCAAGGGCAAGTTTTCTGTCTTTTCCGGAGCGTCGACCTTGCCGAGCTTGGTATCGTGCAGCAAGGCGTTGGGCTTGTTCAGAAGCGATTCGCCCTCGAACAACGACGATCGGATGGGAAGGGTGATGATCGGGTCGACGTTGAAGTAACCTTTCCGGCTCTGTACGCGTTTACTGGAAGCATTGGCGGAGTAGGTCTCGTCGTACTCGATGTAGTAGCAGAACGCTCCAGGAGCAGAGATGGGTAGGTCGACCTTGATAGGCCTGTTTCGAGGGAGTGACACGGGTAAGCAACGGGCCTCTACTTCAGACGAAAGAGATCTGTATGCGCGACCGACTCACTTGGTCACATCTCCAGGCAACTTCCTCTCCTTCCAGACACCTCGCTCAAAGGCGCCACCGTCGATAGGGAAATCCGACTTGAGCACTCCATTCCGAGTGCCGACCGAACCGGGAGACAATGAGATCCTTAGGATGTACGGGGTGGTTGGGGGAGGTAGCCGGATGTACTAAAATCGATCGAATCAAGCTCACATAAGACATCTGTAACTACAGCGGAATTCCGGCTGGCTAGAAGGCAGAGAGTAGGACTCACACTCCTAGCATCGTTAGGCCCACCATCGTCCTCCAAGGGGAGCTCCCAGATCTGGACCTCTTCCTGCTGTTGTCCCTCGGCAGAAAAGTAAGCGATCGCCTCATCTGCCGGGGTCCTAGGCGTTCGAGGAGTTTTGCCCGACCCGCTGGTATTGCCGGTGAACGGGGTCGAAGCGGGGAGAGAGATCTCGGTAGGTCGGGAGGAAGAGCTCGATTTCGAGATGGAATGCGAATCCGAGGACCCGCCAGTGACGCTAGGGAGAGCGTTGGCTACAGCCTGAGCGGCCTTCTTGATAGTTCCTGCCATGTTTGAGGTTGATCGTTCTCGATGCAAGCTTGTATCCAGCGAATGAAGGGTAAGTTTCGAGCTGTTGATGACGGTAACGATCCGGTCTAGTTGCTGATGATCTGCTTGAGAGTAAGCGCGGAAAGATGAAAGTGGGCAGAGAGAGCGAGTGTGTGTTTGAGAAAGAAGGAGCGAGAGGAAGAGGGTGTGTGTGCAAGAGGATTCGCTTTACCCTTTCACAATCCGAAGAAGTGATATGGGTGTGTGTTGTATCAAGGATTTACGTTGACCCCTTTGTGACTTTGCGAAGTGCTGTCCTCTCCCCCCGCGGGTCCCTCTCCCTCAGCAACATTCATCAACCTTTCGGTCAACGTCGCCCAAACCGGATTCTGATCCCGCGAGTGAGCCATCGACGTCGTGGCGTTTACCTTTTGCCTGTCATCCAACCGAAGACGTGGGGAAGGCAAGACATCGCGATCATCGTCAGTACCGCTGGAACGCTCAGCCGCCCCCCTGCGCCTTGCAATAGTTGCACACGGGATCGTCACTTGCACTCGTGAACATGGTCCGTAGATTTCCGAACGGTAACATTTCAGTCAGACGTGCGATAGACATTGGTATTTCATTTCAGTCTACGTCTACGTTGCAGCAATTCGCGAGAGCAGGGAGAGTGGGTCCGATAGTGAACGTATGGTATCGTCGGTCTTGTATTTGGGGACCGGGCGATGGTTGGTTTTAGTTTGTGTGGGTGGCTGTTTGTTGTAGCCGTCGTGCTTGATCGTCGTTATAAAGAAGAGAAAAAGAGCCATATTCGCTGGCGGATCTCGAGAAGACACGAGGGGTGTCTATTCCTCCCTCCTGCTCCGAGCCGTCGTCGCATCTACCGTAAAAGAACACAAAAGACAAGTCCTCGAACAAGCGCCTAGGCCGCCGCAGCGACCAGGGGTGCTACGTCGCCGATCTTGTCTGCCCGCGAGACATCCTCCAAGCTCGTCATCGAAGCCATCGACCCGTGGCCACCTCCCGTCTTTCGTAGTCGGGGTGCACTCCTGATGATCTTGAACTCTTCGCTAGGAGGGATGGCCAGTGTAAACTTGTCGGGTACGTAACACCCAGGCTGGTGCTTGGGCTTTTCCTTCTTCGGCAGGTCTTGCAGGAAGTCGACGTCGCTCAACTCTCCGTCAGATAGTCGGCCAGAAGAGTACGAGGCAAGCGATGCGACGTCCTCGTTGGAAGAAAAGGCCGAGTTGGCAGACGAGCCCGAGAGCGATCGCTCCCTGACCTTTTGCTTCAAGTGCTCGACCTCCATACCACCCTCGAGGCATCCGACTCGCATCATGGCCAACAAGTTTTGCGCAGCGTGACTGTGGTCGTAGACACCTCCGTAGAAAGCGGTCGTGGCGTCCTTGCCGATAAACTTCTTGAGAGCGTGCTGACCACCGGGGTGGTCGTCCATGAACGACGAGACGTCGTGGATGAACCCGTGGACGGCGATCAAAGCTCTGTTCTTGGACTCGTCGACAAAGTCGTCCCAGCTGACGACCGGCAAGTGGTTCGAGTCGGTGGGCCATTCGATGACCTCACCGGCCTGCGCAAGCTTCTGCAACTGCATGGTGTAGATTCCCTTCTTGATCTCGTTGTCTGGGAACTTTTTCAAGTGCGAAGCAAGACCGAGCAACTGCGCGGTGGCAATAAACCACTTGGTGGGGTCGTACTGGTTCCACTTGATGGCGTTACGGTAGTCCATGGGGAATTGGTCTATAGGTGATGACGTGATTCAGGTCAGCTTCAGGATATCCAACGTCCTCGTTGCAGGATCCGGTACTCACGGTGGAAGTTGTGGTATCCCTCGCCGATAGTAACCAAAGCGGTGATGAAATGGTCACGAGGGGTGTGCTTGTCGTCGAAAGTGTGCTCTCCGAGCCAATGAGCCAACGAGTTGACACAGAAGGTGGACTACAGATGTAATTGCTGTCAGTCGAGTAAAGCAACAACACGTATGAGATCAACTACTCACGTGGTGAACAAACAACAACCTGGCAGCACCGGCAAAGAAGAAACCTCCCTTCCAGTCGCCCCAACCGAGACCGGCAACACCCATGGGGAAGAACAATCCCATGACCAACAGAAGCGACAAGTAGTTGTTGTGCTGCCACCTGACGACCTTGCTTCGGGTCAAGTCGGAAATGTCGGCGACACCAATCTTGGTCCTAGGCTTGAAGATCATCCAACCGACGTGTGCCCACCAGAACCCTTCGTGGGCCGAGTAAGGGTCGAGGCTGGTGTCGGTGTAACGGTGGTGTGCTCGGTGACCTCGGGACCACCATTTGATGGAACCCTGGACGGCTCCGGCTCCCGCACAGGCGAGGATGTATTCGAGAGGACGCGAAGCGGTGTAAGATCGGTGAGCCCACAGTCGCTACAAGAGGATGAACAGCGTGAGCAGACCGACGACATGGAAGGTGGATGACTGTGCAGAAATACTCACGTGGTATCCGGCGGTGATTCCGAGACCGGTGACAAAGTAGTACACGACCGACCAGATGGCGGTGTACGTGTTCCATTTGACGTTGAACAGACCGTAAATGGTCAAGGCGGGGGTGACGGTCAAGGCCAAGAAGGACACCCATCTGAAAGCAGACAGGGAGCACGTCAGTGTGTCGACTCCGAGACGTCGAGTCGTTCCCAAAACTCACTGGATATTCTTGTGCCAGTTGGCCATCGTAACAGGAGGCAGACGCTTCTGGGTCTCGATCGTCCTGGTAACATAGTTGTCGGGGACGTCGAGATCCGAAGGGATGTCCGTAGGCTCAAGAGGCTTTACGCCGAGCTTGGTCTCACTCTTCTCCTCCTGAGGGATGGGGACGGGATTGGTAGGCGCCTTTCGGTGCATGGCTGCGAAAGCAGTGTCGGCCATCTTGACAGATGTGTTGGTGGTGATGGCAAGTGAAGATTCGATAAGGGGTGGGTGGATGGGGGGACTGTGCGTGTGATAAGATTTTCTTGATGGATACTAGTTCGTGGATAGGAGGGTGAGGTTGATGAAGGGGGATTACGGGGAAAAGACGATCAAGTAGTTTCCTTGAAAAGAGAAGGAGAGGACGACGGGATGAGATTCGCCACGGTTATCCTGGAGTGGTCGACGAGATTATAAGGGCGAGGGTAGGTCAGGAAGCGATGGTCGTGTGGGGAGGTGAGAATTGCGAGAGAGAGATCGCGAGAGCGAGTGGAGCCAAGTGCGACCGAGGCAGGTTGGGGGCAGGGGAAGAGACCGGGTGAGATCGCCGGATGAAATTTCCCCCAAAGTTCGGAAGAGAAAGGAGGCGGAAAGTGCCGGCATTTTACGTTAGAAATCGCTTTCTGGGTCGGACGATCATCACGTGATTCGGATCATTTCCCCAACGACAGGGAGACACCGGTTACTCGGGACTCGACGCGTCATGCGCGTCATCGGGATCATCGGCCATCGGGCGGGTTCGGCCGATGGCATTTCGCGTTTCAGGTTCTTCGCTTCGACGATGTTCTGGCGGACTCCGCGCTTAGCAAATTTTGCGTCAAGACCTCGATCGATTGTACATTCACATACTACAAGAACACTAAAGCCTTTCTGCATGACAAACCCCCTTGGAAACCAACCCTAATTTGCTAGATTTTGCGACATCTCTAGTGCAACCTGTTGACATCGTGAGTCTCCTCGTGAGAAAGCTCGCCCTTGAGTTCGTTCTTTTCGTCCACAGGAGTCGAGGGTTGCTCCAAGGCGGACTCGGTATCCCCACGGGTTCCCTGTTTCCAGTCGTAGTTGGAGAAAGGCACGATCAACGGGCTCTCCTTGAAGAGACGATCCATAGATTCGAGGGTTCGCTGTTGGTATAGAGGGCAATTGTCAGACTGGACGACTGCTTCAGACGCAAAGCGAGGCACTCACGCCGGCGGTTTCCGGGAAGAACAGCCAGATTACGAGAGCGTTTGAAAATCCACAGACGCTGAAGACGATGTAGTACTCTACGCCAGAATGGGTGCGTAACCGGTTAGCACGTAGATCGGGCGGATCGCCAGTAAACCACGAGTCATCTCTTGTACGCACTCCAGTCTACGCGGAAAGAGACAAGTCAGCGCAAGATCCCGGTCACGAGTTCGGGGAATCGACTGCTCACCGATTGCTTTGAATACCTCGGGACTGATTTGTCCAATCATGAAATCTGGTAGATAGTACGCAAGAGGTTAGGTAGCGTCTTGCAGTACTTTGTCGTTGCTGAAGACCTACTGGCAATCCAACAGGACATCGAGGTCAACGCGGTAGCTTTGGCGCGAATCGCAGTGTTCATAATTTCGACGGGCTATTGGCGCGGATAGAGTCAGCATGCGAGTCCTGGGTAGCGGAATCCTCCCCGTCAACGATCAACGTACGTAGGCCCACCTGCGGCGCGTGTGAAAAAAAAAGGCATAATAACAAGGTTAGGGCACTTTACCCTAGGATGGCGATAGGAGGCGAATTCGCTACGTACGAGAGAGGCCCAATACATGCACTGTGAGGTTAGGAGAGAGTCAGGTCAGGTCGTAAGTCCGCCTTGACTGAGTCTGCCACTGACCTGAAGAAAACGTTGAAAATCCACGTCATCGCGACAAATGCATAACCATCGCTCTTAGTGCCGTTCCCGTTGGCAAACTTGGCCTGAATGATACTGTCAAACGACGGTTGTCCAGTGTCAGTCGGGCTTTGTCCAGGTCCTCTCGGCGATGCACTCACGTGGCTCCGATGAAGGTGCATCCTGAGCCGATGTTACCGATGATCATTGGCCATCGTCGTCCCGTCTTATCGATCCAGATGACACACGCAGCCTGCGCGAAGAGCGCTAAGACACTGTTGATCGATTGAAGCAGGAAAGTGGTGTTGGGCTTGAAACCGACTCCAGAGAAGACACGGCTGTTGAGATAGTAAACTGTGTCAGCGATGCGAGTTGTGCAGGGGTATAATGACGGCTAGACTTACGCAGAGTAGTATTGCAATACGGAGACACCGGTCATCTGAACGGAAAACTGAAGCGTGACTCCGAGCATGACCTTCCGAAGGTTGGTTCGGTCTCCGAAGATCTAACCAGGTTGTGAGGGATGAGCACGGGAATCGAGAGATCTGTATGTCTGTTCGACCAACGAACCTGCCTCCAAGCGCTCTCGGCGTTGGCTTCCTCCCTGACCTTGAGGCGCATCTCCTTGAATTCCTCTTGAACGAACGCGTCGTTTTCGTTACCACGCGCATGGAGTCGAGCGAGGGTGGTCAAAGACTCTTCTTCTCTGCCGACGATCATCAACCAGCTGGGAGTAGACATTGGCGTTAGATCAAATCCTTGATTGATACATCCCCGCAGTTTGTCAGACTCACCGAGGAGATTCGGGAAGCAAGAAGATCATGCCAGCCAGGGGGATCGCAGGCAGCAATTGGAAGGCCAGCTACGATCCAGCAAACGAGGTTCAGCGGTCCTCGAGGGGTGAAGACGTTTGTAGAACCAAACTCACCGGCAAACGCCACTGCAAAGCAGTACCCTAAAGGATGTAGTAAGATCGGTCATGGTCAATTTGAACCGGCTTCAACGGGATCGACTGCTGATCAACTCACCCAACTAGTCTCGGTGGTAGCATAACCAATCCAACCGGCAATAAAAGCACCGATACCCAAGAAGAACTGTATGAAGGCGATTCGGTCAGTACAGCGTTCAACGGTGTCTCCGTGGAGGACTACTGCACCTACTTGTTGCAAGGTGGTCAAGCGTCCTCGGATGGAAGGATGGGCTGTAAAAAACGATATCGTCAGTTTATCCATTTGGCTTTGATGAGACTCTCGACAAGGTAGCTTACCGATCTCCGACTGATAAACTGATGTTCAACAACGGTCGCGCGAGAATGCACAAGCGAGACGGGGCAGGCGGGGTCAGTAATCAAGCGCACTGTCTCCAAGATGAGAAACAATCCTACGAGGGGCGAGCAAGGACTGCAGCAAGAATTCGTATCAGACGATCGACCTCACGGTAAAGGCAGCAGGCTGGATTATCAGGTCAGGCTTACCAACATCCCGATCGACAGTCCGGCGAAGAATCGACCTGCCAGCATCATCTCCCTGTTGGAAGCTGCGGTCTGCAGGATCCCTCCGAGCAGAAAGATGATAGCTCCGACGAAGACTACGCTCATGTAAGAATGGGGGGCAATGACGGGGGAAGACGTCAGCTCTGGGCATTCATCAGAGTGTAATCCGAAACGAGGGACTTACTGGCCATTCGACGGGAAAACTTATCGGCGATCAATGAGGCGGGGATACATCCACAGAACGCTCTGTCATCACGAAATCCGGTCAGTCTACGCTCGCATTACAAGTCAGTCGCCGGATCCGCATGACTTACCCAAGAGTAAGGGATGAAACGATGAATCCTTCAAAGGTGGGGTTCGGGTTATCGGTGACCTGTAAGTCCAGTCCGAGTTGAAGTCAGATGTTTGGCTCAGCACGCCCTCAGTTACGCTCAAGCGAACTACTTACCCTCAAGAAGTCTGGAGCGGGCAAGACTGTAATACAGATAGAAGCAGCTGGTTTAGCACCACGGTCTCCCGAAATGTGAAACGCGCAAACGCCAACCCGTCCCGCGCGTCAAGACTCACCAGCGGCGATGACACCGAGATCGTAACCGAAAAGGATCGAACCAAGGCTAGAATAGCAGCAAATGAAGGGTTAGGCTCGAAGCCAATATGAGAGACAGGAGTGACTGCTCACGCTGCGAAACAACCGCATAGAAAGGTGTAGGCTTTGGGCGAGAGAGGCATGGTTGTAGCTGTTGTTGCGCTGTTGTGACTTCTTCTTCCACAAGATTAGTTCCGGCTGATCTGTTGTCAGCGGTGACAGACTGGATTACAGACAGGACGTCTGGGGTATTATGAGGGGCACCAGATCATCCTTAATATATGCATGCCTGGAACACGCCCTGTGGACCGTTACGATCAGCAAGGACCTTTCCGGTCTGATCTCGGCATATATCGAGCGGAGAATATGGAACACGGAGTATCGAGATCATTGTGCAGGCTACAGATGGCAAGACCCGAAGGGAAAGTGTATGATTGTGGCGGAGGACTTGCGGCTCAGGCAACCAAGGATTTTACAACATGGCCCTTGGCTAAGACAGGTATACTCCCCGCATTCGGACCTAGAAAAGACCGGAACGCAGGGCTATCAGGTGAGCGGGAAATATGCCATCGAGCCCGTTGTCCGGCATTCTTCTGTCGAAGTGTGTGCGCCCAGCAGACTGTGAACTGTAAATCGTTGCAAGACTGTCCCATGCCCATACCCATCGTCCACCATGGGTGCGTTTACGACGTCTACGATCCGTAAAAAGCGTCAGATTTCGAGCCTAATATTTAAATTCGACGGGCCTACGTCGTCGTTTTTGCGGCCACAATTCTCGCTAGCGTTTTCTTAGTCGTTCCTGTGGCTTGAAAAACGTGTAAAATCTGTCGTCCGAAATCTGACCAAAAACGAGCGGATTTTGCATCAGATTTTGAATATTACGTTACGGCGGGTACAGAGGTTCGGTCTTCCTGGGTCGGCTAGTAAATTGGCTGGTGAAGTTGGAATGTTTGAACTATCTACCTGTCTCGCGAAGGTACAAGAACACGAACGATTTATTAGCAATATGTCGAATACACCCCACCAAAACACGCAGTCGACTTACCAAACGTACGCTGGCTACCCCTTCGTTACTGACGTTCTTAGAACGTACGATGTAGGCTATAGTAGATCGTCAGCGACGCCGACGTCGATGGCGGGAACGTACGGCACGCAAACTCACCTCTCGCCGTCGAACACGCAATCCTCCCGAACACCCTCGATAGCACCGTCTTCCCAGTTCGATGAGCGAGGATTCAGAGTACCTGAGGCCCCCCAGCCAATCAGGGAACAGTCGTGGTCGATGACGCCGTTTGCTGATCAGCAGCGTCGGTCGATGTCGATGATGTCCTCGATATCTTCAGTGTCGAACGCGTTCGCGCGAGGTGACGATCGAGCCGGTCGACCTTCCGAATCAAACTCGACAGTACCAAGGACTCGCTCCCGTAGTCCTACGTCAACGTCAGGTAGTCAGCCGAGCCAGGAAGGTGGTAAACGGAGGAAGGGGGGGAGTCGCTCTGCGAACTGCGTTTGGGACGAGGAAGACGACCGTATTATCGTAGACGTTCTGCTCGAAGCTAAACGGTTGGGGGAGGTGGCCGATAATTCGTTTAAGTCCGCCGTGTATCAGAGGGCGGCTGATCAGTGTAATAAGAGGCTGTCGAAGGGTTCCGAGAAGACTGCGTTGAAGATAGGCGAACACTATCGTTATGTAAGTATTTGATCAAATATAGAGGCTCGAAGACTTACGTTTGCCTCTCGCTAGCTCAAAAACCACTTCTACCAGCCGATGTCGGAGTTGGCAGAGATATCAGGCTTTGGCTGGGACCCTGAGGAGGAGTGTATAACAGCGCCAGACGATGCGTGGCGAAAACTAAAGGAGAAGGGAGTAAGTAGATGTATGTCGACGTCGATAAGTCGACCTTCGAATATGCCCCTCCTTGTGTGCTGAGACCTCTCGCGTACCGTTTTTGCTTCCGCACAACTTCGTCCCTCCGTGTCGATAATGCGATGTGGTTCTCGATCAATCTTCACCGTCGAATAGCTGACAAGTCCGAGGCACGCTAACCTATATAAACTAAGGGGCGTGAAGTGGGAGCTCTACCCTGACTTTCATGAGCTTTGCAACGGCCGTCTGGCCACTGGTCGGTCAGTAACACGCCCTCAAAGGAAGGACCGCAACCAACGATCAGAAAATGAAGAAGAGGAGGACGATTTCGACGATATCGACGTTCCCCGTGGTAGCGACAGCCAATCAACGATTGGGTAAGTCTAGCTTCGGGATATGATAGTGGGGTACTTATACTATGTCGTGTGAAGTGCTTCGCCGCTCCCGACAACGCCAACACCGACAAAATCGACATCAAATTCGACATCAACTCCGGCTCGACGGAGGCGACCTAAATCGAGTCGTTCAAGCGACGAGAGCTCGCTGAGCGCTATACATCAAGACCTAGGCAAGATTCTTAGGGGAAACCCTCAAGCGGCTGCCCAAGATGTGATGGAGAGGGCTCAAGCGGCTTGCAAACGCCTCTCGCTCGACGAAGACGACACGTTCCTATATTTGAACTGGCTGATCGAACATCGAGAGAAGGTCACGATGATTCAGGCCTTACCCGACAAATTCCTGGAACGCCATATAACTAGCACGCTAGCGAAGGAAGACGGAAGGGTTCAAACAAGCGGAACGGGCGAATAAATGACCTCATCGCGGTGGGTGAAGATTTGACGATTTTCACGAAATAAATCGATATACGTAAATCGAATACTGACATCACCTACGACGTCGTCGTCGACTCTCTCGTTCTAGTTCCTCGACATACCCCTCCCACATCGTATCCGCCATAGCTCTACGCCGTCGCTCCGCAGCAGCCGTCTCTTCCCTCGTCGTCATTCTCTCGCCGTCGCTATCGCTATCGCTATCGCTATCACCCTCGTTCCTCCGCCGTCGACGTCGACCTACTACAACGACCTCTCCGTTCTCGTCTAAGGCCTCGTCAATCAGGTCGTCGCCACCGTTTGACGCTACGTAATTGTGTAGTACGCAGCAGACGTAGATGATCTGGATCTGTGTTTCGAGGGGGTAGAACGTTCCGGTGACGAGGACCTAGTACGGCGACAGCACGAGGGGGATGTACGTCAGCGAGAACGTTCGTTGTAGTCTTATAAGGTCGGTTCTAGATGAATAGGTCGGAACATACGGGATACCGCTTCTTAACGACACCGAAGACCCTCTCGACGACGTTACGGAGGGACGAGTGACGTCGATTGTATAGCTCGAGCGGTGTTTGCGGCCTACGACGTGACGTGGATACTGGTTCGGCTGCTGGTCGGTAAGAACAAGGCCTGTACTCACCGTAAGTTCGAACGAGACCACTCTTGTAAGTGGTATCGCACCCCCCGAAACGGTATTACTAGGTTCGATCGAGAGGGGTATCCAGCGTCGCCGAGGTACCAATATCCATCCGGTATTACTAGATCCTCTTCGACGGCCCTGTTGTACACCTTAGCGTCGTGAGCAGATCCTTCCCAGCCAGCTAGAACGTAGGTGAAACGTCCAGCGAAGTCGACGCAGCCGAGAACGTTGGTCGTTATGTCCCCCTTACGATTTCGAAACGGAGGTTGATCGATCGTCGGAACGGTGACCTTGATGTGTGTACCGTCTATAGCACCGAGACAACGTTCCGTAAGAGGCAGATATCGCATGTCCTGGTACTGTTCGAGGTTCCGGTCGATAGTGGCGGGCGTCGGCTGCTGAACGTAGCGATAGTAGAACGTAGGGTCGAACATAGCGTCGAGGACTTCATGAATCGTGCTATCGTCTATATGTCGGCGGATTCTTGTCTCGTGGCCAAGTATTACGACCAGACTACTTACTAGCTGGCCGTACGCAAGCTCAGTTGAAAGATAGACCGTAGTTCTCGCATATGAGCACCATGTCGTAACATCCATAACGTTACCGCTATCTTTACTTTCGCCGGGAGGTGTCGAGTCGACGAGACAAGCTGTAGGTCCTCTAGTTCTCTCGATAGACGTCGGAACGTTTCGGGCGATAGACCTATAGCGTCCCAGCACCGTTCTGGGTGACCTCGTTCCCACGAATGAACCTTCTCGACGGCTGTAAGTCGATCTACAAGAATCGGCCGTTCGTAGAGTCGAGGTCGATAGATTTGTCGCCAGAGATCGAGATATCGGGCGAAAACGTTCGCTGCTTCTCTGACATCGTCTTCATAACGTTCTTGATCGTCCTGGCTATCGTCTGACATCTTATAGGGCGTATAGAATAGAAATTGACGAAGTTACGAGTCGTTGATGATGTCGTCGACACCTCGATCTAGAGGTCGACATGTACGCTCGAAGGTGATCGAGAAGTCTCAGCTCAAAATCGTACGAAAGTGAAATTGACGAGAGAAACGGCGTAAAATGTGCCAGATTTTGGTATTTTGCGCCATTCCACGCTTACAGCCACGCACGCTAACAAATCCGGAAAGACGCAAAATCGTACGAGGATTCGTAAACGCACCCATGCATATGGCCATACGAGGCGCAAGGAACGGACAACGGAAGGAACCTAATTTGCTGCGCCGGAGATGGTTGGCGCGGTCCGGGCAGATTGATCGCCGCGCTCTCCCGCTCGGTAGTCTTGGGCGTTTCCTTGGCGATTGCTTCCCGTCAAATCTCACGCAGAGGATGAGAGACAGTGTCGGTGGCAGGTGACCGGCGAGTATGAACACAAACAAAGAGGCTTCGCACCCATGCTGTATTGTCGTCCATAGTTCTTCCCGAATATACACCGTTTGCTTTCACTGCAGTGACAAGAGGATTTTGCAGCGGACAGAGGGGACCTATGAATGTCCGCGAGCAGCGATACGCGCATAGAGGGTGGCTACATGGCTTGTGTCCAAGGTATGTCGCTAACAACCTGTACATAGCAACCTATTAGACGCGAAAGCTCTCATGGGTACCTCCCGTTCAACGTGTAATCTGAACCGAAGCAGCTGTTAATTCACCTGGAGCAATGCGCATGCTCAAGACCACTCACGTCGCTGGCCCGGGCTAGGGATAGGTCTTTCTTTCGTCATGGAGGGGAAGTAAGGGGACGCTCTTACTTTTTGCAGCGTTGCCGCCAGACTTTGCTGTATTTTTTCTTCCCCGGTCATCGTGTGGGTTATGCCAAAGGAGTGGTGTATTCTCTGGGATTCGTGTGATTGAGTTTGGTCTCGATAATGACTGGGCGAGCTCGAAGTCGAGGGTATTCTATCGAGTCTGTCGAATACTACATCAATTTAGGCCTTTTCTTCTCTTTAGCCTATTGCGTTGTCCCGTCGAGTTGCACTTGAGTGCTGCAACGTCACTAATAACAAGGCAGACTTTAAATATCACAATAGGCGTTCCACATCGTGCTCATTTCATTTGGATCTCTGATGGAAAATAAGAGTTTTGGCACATTGGCGGGCCTTTCTGGCGGTAACAACTATGCCTTCGATGACTTTGGCTTTGAATTGTACCTTATACTTGAGGTCAGGCGAGAACGGCTTATCGCACGAGCCTGCTTACCACGAAGGCGATGGAGCTAGTGTTTTCATCGATACTTGTGCTAAACAGTTGTTCGTTCGCATTTCTGCCGGACGTTTAGTAATCGATCGACTGTCCAGGAATCATGCCAGTGGAATGCCAAACCTTGAGCGTGGGGATGATGGGAGTACAATACTCTGCACAGGCCAGGAGAGATGTCCCGCATCCCCATGCTCTCTGACTTTTCCTCTTTCTAGCCACTCGTCTCGCCAACCCACTGCTAGCAGGCTGATCGTTGTCGCTTTTCTTCATATATCGTCCATCGACCCAAATCAAAAGTTACATGCACGTCCACTCCGTCCATTCATGCGTTCATCCAGCCCCGACTCCCACTGTAGATCCAGATCGTCTGCCCCTCCAGCTGTAAGCCCGGATCCAAGCTCCAGCGTGACCAATCGACCGGGCGACAGAGGTGAAAGTCGACCTGCCCGGCTTCTATCATCTACCGTCTATTGTCGGATTTCGGGAAGGGCGGGATCGTTCTTGACGACCAGATCCGAGAGGTTGACGTCGTCTCCGACGGGTCGACGATGAGGCGGGAGGGTGTCAAAGTAACTGTCCGATTCAACGTCCGAGGTCGAGATCGTTCGCGAGCAAAGAACAAAGAGGGCGCGGGGACATCAGCTTTCGAGTCTTGTACCAGACGAGCACGTGGCTAAAACCGGAAAAGGGGAAGACAGGGAGAGAGGAACTCACGCCGGGTTCTTCATCCTGTAAACCCTCGGCCTCTCGGCCTCTTGGAACAACAACCTATCCTCGGCGCTCCTGACCGTCTGCTCCAGATGCTTGGCGTTCCTCCTCTTCCACTCCTCTGCCGGGGTGGTGATCCGGGCGAGGAGCTTGGAGAGGTAAGGGAGATCTTCGGCGGGTTGGTTGTAAGTGGAGGAAGAGGAGGGGGAGGTAGGGGTGCTTGGGGGAGTAGGGAGGAAGGAGTAGGCGAGGTAGGAGAGGGTCCCTGCGATAAGGGTGTTTCGCCAGGTGGGGTTCATGAAGCCTGTAAGAACAAGTGCGGGTGTAGAGCGTCAGTGAGAGCTACCGTAAAGGTGATCGATTGGTTGGAATCCATCTTGTAGAAAGATCTAGATAGATGAAGGGTAGCGCGGTCCATTGAGAAGAGGATGACCATATCGTGTTGTTGACACGACCAAATATCATGGCTCAACATGGCTCAAGAGCAATGATGCCAAGCCTGACGACTCTTGCAAGTCTTGCTTCATCCGCTTGATGACGTTCCCCAAGTTCGTTCCTCATCCTTTCTGCAACCGATTCCTGTTGCGTGCGTACTCCCTCCATCCTAGAACGCCTTCCCGCTTAAAGAAAAGAAATTGGTCTACACTCTACTCACTCTCTTTGGTGTAGACGTTTGGGTCCTCGGCCTGAGCTCCATGTCCGTGAGCGTCATGTCCAGCAGCACCTCGGACGGGCGAGCTGGTCACCAAGGTCCTCCTCGCTTGTTGTCGTACGGCAGCAACAGCGGGCCTGGCTGAGAGGATCGTCCGGTTCATTTTGTGGGGGGGTCTAATGGTGTGAATTGAACAAGGTAGACGTGACGGTCGAGCTGTATAGACGAGGTAGAGGTACTGAACGACATGTAAACCGAGATCGTCATTGGACAAGGTCGAGGTCGAGAGTGAGATGTTCCAGTTTTAAGGCGAGGGCGGGGGGCGACGCGTAAAACCTGTCATTTCGCTTACGGCATCGATCTGTGGACCGCTAGCAGCTAGCAGCTAGCAGACGGATATTCTTGTCCATCCTCGACACTACCTGTACATTTTGGGACTCGCAAAGTTTCAACGTTACCAAGTCAAAAGCCTCATAGATCATCCAGATCAGAAGAATCTAAAACGATAGTTCAGAGCGCCAAGATGAGCCTACGGTACGGTGGTAGGCACCTGTCCACTGCATTCCCGCGCTGTCGGACGAGATCGACCGTGGCCTCGTCAGGATCTACCTATCGTACTGCGTCTTCCCTGGCGATCAGCAGCAACGACGACGCTACGGATCGAGATCACAGTGGAACGGTATTACAGGAGGGCCAAGATAGGGTGCAAACTCGGGACTTGCCTGTGTCTACGTTGACGGACAAGGACAGCTTCCTCGAGCTCGAGGACGACGAATACCATCGTGTGATCCTGCCTCACCGTCAACCTAAACCGTTCGTGGTTCCATGGCCGACCCTGCTACCTCACGACGAGGCGGAATCCGCCACCTCCGATACCACCTCTCCTGCCCAAAGCAAATCCCCGGAACCCGTCGTTTACCTCCCTTCCGCGGCCACGGTGACCTTGGCCGAGGTCAAGGCGAAGCGCTCTTTGGGTCTCGTGACTACCCCATGTGACGTTCTCAACAAGGCCGTCCGGAACAGAAACTACCAGGACGCCAACAAGCTTCTCATCGAATTGGAAGAGCTCGAGATCCCTATCCGTGCGGATGAGAAATATATCTACGCCGCGGTCAAATCGCTACGGTCAGAGATCAATCCCTGGATCCCGACCTCTGATCCCTCTGATCCGTCTGCCAAGGCGCGAAGACTCGCTCTGAGTTATCTCTCGCACTGTCCGCCCGTCAGCCATCAGCTCCACATCCCGGATCCCGTTGAACGGGTCCTTCGACGGCTCTACACAGCAGCGTTTGAGAACAACCATATCGCCGACCTCGAGTTTACCGAGCGTCTCTTGCTCATATCAGCTAGCAAAGGTCTGATGGGACTGACCATCAAAACGGGGTTATTCAAGAACTGGTTAAGCAGGGTCGACGTGGACAGGGGTTACAAGGGCATCAACGAGATCATCGAGCGGTCGGCCGGGGCAGCGGGCATCAGCCTCGAACCGCGATCCCGGGAGGAGGCTGCTCGACATCGCATGTCCTACGCCGAGATCAGGTCGAGAGCGGGGTTGAAGCTACAGGCGTTCAGGTTGCGCAATTTCCATCTCCGGACCTTGATCGTGATGGCAGAGCGGGCTTTCAAGCGATCCTTGGAAGAATCCGAATTCCAACCCGTGCCGGCTTCCACCGATTCGACGTCGATGGAGCAGACCCAAGCGCGAACGGATGAAGGTCGACGATACCTGGATCTCGCCAAAAGGATTTTCGTCTCCGGTCAACGCGTCGGGATCGTCTGGGAAGACCGAACCAAGCTGGCCATGCTCGAAGCCATCAAGACTTATCTGCCCGATGAGTCCGGGAACGTCTCTCTCAAGACGATTATCAAGCCGTACGCCAGGCAGAGGGACCATCCGGATCCGATTGCCTATACGACGACGGCGGTCCACAGGCGGAGAAGTGGGACTGCGACAGGTTCCGACGCTTCGACCGACCTTGTTTCGGGCAAACGGATCCTCGAGGTGGTTCACGCTCGGGCGCACGGTCCTCTAAAAGCGCTGGCGGATGTGCTCCTTCGTCTCGAAGAGCGGGGCGACCGCCCCTCCCTCCTCCGTCGGATCGAGAATCGGTTCCTGGACTCGCCCCCCGAGTCAAGAGTCATGCCCTGGAAGATTAACCCGACGACCCGGTCGTACTGGTACATGGCACAGGTGGCCAAGCTCAAACGTCAAAAGAGATTGGGCGAGGCGATCGCGCTGTTCAGGCGACAATACCTCTGGGTCGGTTTGCCCAAGCTGGAAGGTCTCAAGTTCGTCCAGCCGATTGTTGAACCTGCCGTCAAGACGAACGAGGGCTGGCAGAGACCAAAAATTCAACCGAGCTCGCTGGCGATCACAGGTATTCTTGCCGTCATCGTGGCAAACCTCGACCGCCCGGACGCATCCCTGCTCATCCGTCTACACGAACAGCAGATGCAGTTCGCGTCGACCTACGAGCACGGCGATGCGTCCACCGGCATGCACAAAGCCAGTCATCTACCGTTCATCATGGCAATGACGAAATCAGCAGGCCCAATCGAGACTCAAGCCTACCTCTTGAGCCTGGAAGCCAAGGGGATCTTCCCGGGCATTCCGAGCTGGACCGCTGTCGCCACAGACTTCGCTCGACGTGGGTATTCCCATCGAGCTTTGATGATACTCAGCGCCTACCGGTCAGGCTTGACGGCGGATCCGTCTTCTCGGCGAGGCCGAAGGGGATCGACCAGAGTAACGAGTCGGGCAGGCAATACGCGCATGTTCTTGGCGGTCGCTGCCATGCATCTTCGCACAGGCCGGCGTGCTAGAGCCCAGGAAGTCATCAGTCTCATGCGTGGTCAGAAACCCTTGTCGATTGACAAGGCTCTCGGACGATATAGAAGTCGTATGCGGCGCAAGATAGCATGCTCTAAAGCCTCCTTGTAATTTGCTTATACATGTTGACGGGCTTTGTCTGTACCCGGCCTCTACTCGGCAATGTCATAGATATTTGCTAGCAATGCAAAGCGATGTGATGATCATCGGCTGGTATGATCACGAGGTCTAGTTTCATCATGCCCACGCTCTAATCTATCGCGGACGTTGTCCTGGCATGGGTGCGGTCGGAGCTTGATGCATCGAGCCGTTCATGAGCCCTGGCCGCGGTGGCAGGAAACCAGAGCCAGGTAAAGGCCGCACCGGAGCTGCATATGGTAATCGTGCACTGTTCTGCGCGAACGCGGGCTGGCCGTAACCTGAAGGGCCTCCAGGTCTGATCGAAGGACCCTGCTGATACTGGCCTTGTTGAACCATGTTGCCGTATGGGAGACTGTTGGGTGGCCTGTTTTGAGGCGGTCCTCGCGGAGGGTTGAAAGACATTTGGGGGGCTCGGTTGGGCGTGGAATGGTTCGAAGTATTGTTGAAACGGCCGGCTCCGGGCATCTGGGCGACCGGAGCAGACGCCATACCCGAGACGTTCAACAGATTCGGTCGAGCCATCATGGGAGGGTTTCCCATGCCGCCCGCTGGCATCATAGCGTTGGCGTTTGCCGCAAACATGTTGTTGACAGCGGCGTTGTTGACAACCTGAATGTTGTTGACCATGGCCTGATATGATCCGACGTTCTGCCCCGCAGGAGGGTAAGCAGGAGCAGCCATCGGTGGTGGCTGCCCGAATGTGTGGAACGGATCGACAGAGATGTCATCGCGCATCTGCTTGCTCATGGCGTTCCGAGCCATGGAGCCGCTTTCTCTGGAGTCCTGCCTGAGAGGCGCGATCCTGCGAGGGGAAAACGGTCAGTGTGGGTTGCTCTCGTTGCACCCTACTGCCTGCGCCGACTGACATATCACGAGAATAGCCCAATGACGAATGAAAGAATGGGCTGGATCGTGCATCAAGTGCGGTCGGCCGTTTGCCTGGGTTGAGCTCCAGCAAAGAGCGGATCAGAGCTTCTAGCTCTCGCTCGGCCTTGAAACTGAACAAGTTGTCCGTGAGTATCAGCGTCTTGGTGCGCTGACTAGCCTCGACGGAACTTACAGATTCCAGTTGGCCGTGTCGGTATTGTTAAATCCTTGGTGAGCCTGCTGCACAATCTCCTGGACCTTGATGCTCTTGCGGGTAAAGCTCGGATCATCTTCCTGAACATCGTTATACTGCAGAATCGAGTCGAATCGTTCCCACGCTCCGTGTTTGGGAGGGCCAATCAGGTAGAAGATGCGCAACAACTGATGCGAGTTTGATTTCCCCATGATGAATACCTTGCCCGTAAACATCTCGGCGAGGATACATCTGCCATTGGAAGACTACGTCAGTGCGAAATTTTAGCTTGCAATGTAGAGATAGATATGCTCACCCTATACTCCACATGTCAACTTCCGGACCATACATGGTTTCGCCAACCAACAGCTCGGGTGCTCGGTACCACCGAGTGACTACCATATTGGTATAATGTGCATCGTCGGATGTGAAGGAGGGCCGATCTGAGGATAGCGCACGTGAAAGACCGAAGTCTGCAATCTGGAGCAGACCCCTGTTGTTGATCAGGATGTTCGCAGTTTTGAGGTCCCGGTGAACAATCTTGTTCTGGTAGGTTCGAACCGAGGCATGTTAATACGTCGGCGGGTCACGAATGCCTACAGATGCATCCTTACTCTATGCATTTCCGCCAAGCCATCGAGCATCTGGCCCGCAAACACCTTCAGGTTCTGCACAGTCAAGACCGACTCTGTTGAATGGATATAACCGCAAAGATCGTGCTCCATATACGGAAACACCAGGAAGATGTTGGCCTCGGCGTCACCTAAAGAAGCGGGGAAGACCCGTCAGTTCACCCCTAACAGATCAACCTTGAGACGACTAACCGGCCTTGCGCTCGACGATCATTTCTAGCAGAGGCACAATGTTCTCGTGATTCAGCATTTTCAGGTTCTTGATCTCCCTCGCCGTGGTCGTTAGCATCTGGGTCACAAAGTACGTTAGTTCCCTCTGTTCCCGGTTTCATAGCCAAGCGGGGTCAGACCACTCACGCCGTCCTTTCTCAGTTCACCGCTCTTCTGTTGAGCTTGCTGCGGGTTTTGTAGCAGTTTCAAGGCTACCAGCGTGCCATCGGAGAGTCTAGTGGCCTTTGTAACGGTACTAGCGACGGAAGGAATGAGCAGGAAATTGGCATCAAGTATTGACCTCGATCACGTACCCAAAAGTTCCCCTTCCAAGAGCCCCATCGTTCGACTTGACGACTTTGTAGCCTTCTAGGCGACCGAGACCAGCGAAAGCTTTCCCGTAGGCCTTCGTTTCACGCTCAAAGTCCAGTCGCTTGCCCTGGCCGAGCCCTATCCTCGAGCGATCGGGGAACAAATCACGTCTGTGTTTCCTTTCCTGCCTGAATTCTTCATCTCGATCTTGGGTTCGGACCGGATGAACAGGTATAGGCGTCGGTATGCGGGGTTCGCTTTTTATGGCCATGAGTTCCGGGTTAGGGGTGACCGCACCAGCTGCTGGCAGAGGCGGTAGTGGTGCTCCTCGCAAGGCGCCAGAAGTTCGAGGAGGAGAGGGCGCGTCAAGTGTGGACGGCTCTTGTCTCGTCAGCTTGGGCCGCTTGTTCGCCCTATTCTGCTCATCGCTGACTATATCAGGCGGAGGAGTTTTTCGCTTCTTTGGCGGAGAGGGAGGCGGTGGCGGGACATCTGGCAGATCAGGTGGAGGGGCAGGAGGCTCTAAGTCAGGCTGTACGATAGTGGCGGTTCGCCCTGAATTTCGCTGCGGTGCATGAGTCCATGCGATGGGCGATCGGGGTCGATCTTCCCCGGCAGGACGAAGAAGTGGTGATCGGGCGCCGCGATGATCCTCATGATATCGATTCCGCACACGACCATCCTCTAAATCGCGCTCACGGTCATCGTATCTTTCTCTTTGCTTGCCACGGTGGCTGTGACCACCTCCTCTGTATGGGACATCCCAATCATCGTCGTAATCCCGTCTCCCACCAGCTCGGTAAGGGTCATCGTCGTAGTCATCCCGCCGATAAGACCTCTCATCAGGTCTGTATCTGTCATGGCGGTATCTGCTATCCCGATCACTTCGGTGATCGTCATAGCGGTCCCGTCTGCCATTCCTGTAGTCGTCGTAGTCCGGCCTTTCTCTACGGCTGTCGCCACGATAACGATCTCGAGGTTCGCTTCCTTGCGAGTCACCAGCATTCTCGTAGTCCAGGCCACCGTCGTTCCGTCGGATGCGGGATGAGCGATGATGATCCCGATCCCGGTCGTCCTCTGGAAGACGACGTGACGTGCGTTGTTCCGGCCGATCTGAAGTATCTCTCGTCCGATTGTGGCCTGATTCACCGTTCTTTGCTTGCTCTGCTGGTCTTGGTATGCCGCGAGAGGGACTCTTCATGTGGTCTTTGCTTCCATTCTTATGCCGAACATGGCCGTCAGACTCGTCGTCAGAATATCGCTCGGACCGCCTTCTCTTCCTCTCTGTATGGGATCGGGAATGACCTCCGTCCGATTCGCCTGACGACTCGGCGAGCTCCCCTTTCGATCTCCGGCGATCCCTCTTTGCCGATCTCGAAACATTGTCATGCACAAATCCGTTTCTGGAGAGTTGGGGGGATGTAATCTGATCGCGCCTACCCGTAGAAGCTGGTCGAGGCGTCATCACAAGGGCACCCTCTTCCGATGGAGATGATCCAGGTAGGCGGCTCCTGACAGTCCGGTTCGATGACTCCTTCTCTGCCTTTGAAATAGAAAGGCTATCGCTACTACCATTCGCGTTGCCGTTACTATCACGAGGGGATTTTTGCTCATCCTCGATTGTCAAATCGATCCCATGTGGCTTTGTGGGAGTTGCCTGAAGGTTTTCCGTCTCGCCTGGAGAACTGTTCGCATCGCGAGGGAGAGAGGCGCCTTTGATTGACAAAGATGGAGCGGCATCGGTAGCTTGCCTACTAACCCCGATGCCTTTCTCAGTCGAAGACACCCCCTTGACGAATAAAGGAGAAGTGGTATTCGCAATCTGGCTGGAAGATCCGTTTTCTCTATGGATATGAGAGACACCCTTGATAGTCAAAGGTGGAGTAGTAACGGTTTTGTCGTCGACATGGCCATTTGTGGGCGACGGAGGTCTTTGACGATTCCCCTGCTCGGATCGCTCGGTTGCTACGGCCGTTATAGACTGGTCTAGCAGTGACCTCCCGACCGGTTTCTGAGGAGACCCGGGTCTGGAAGCGTCGGAGGCTGACGATTCATAGTCGAGGTCCAGCGGCATACTGGAGATCTTCTGATGAAGAACGGCACCATGCACTCAGTAATGTCCCTACAGATTCCGTCTTTCCAGTGCGAGGTTCGCTAGTCACCTCTGAGTTCCCACTGAGTCGGCGGACCGCGCAAGAGGAGAAAGAGGTCAAGAGTGGCTGCCGTAGTGGGTTATCTATTCGCTAGACTGTATAATTGTACCGGAACAGCAGTGTGATGCCAGATCAGGTATGGTCATAGCAAGTGCTGAGCAGCAGTTGTACGCTTCTTCATCGCAAGGAACTGCTGCTCGTCAGGTGAATTAGCGCGCAAACCCGCTTCCAAAAGCGCAAAGTGGTCTGGACAAAGGAAACGAGCATTCCCGCTTGTCAATGTTCTGGGGAGTTAGTTGTAGGGGAAATGGTATAGGTCAATCCAGAGATATACGAGGGGATCGCGGAGTAGGTTCTTATAGACGACAGTCCAGATGTCCATTTCTATATGCGAGATGGACCTTTGTCAAACAAGGACACCGGCTGATTCGAACCCTCTGGTCTCGCCGTTAGCGGTACTTCAGGTCCGAAATCTTCGCTCGACCGGGCGGTGAGAGTTTGTCGAGGTTGATCAGTCATGTGAGACCTCGTTCGAGGTTCTGGGAACTGGACCATGGGCGGGTCGAGGTAACCGGGTGGAGCTGCCGCCACCGTCAAGGCCGATGCATTTGAAGGTTGACGGCCCATCGCTGGCACATATGGATTGGGTTGAGGAAACTGGTTGTCAGGTGGAGGCCGACCTTGGTATCCTGAAGGTAGGTCCTGCATCGCGATCGATCCCATATCGCCTGACATGTTGACAGAGGATTGGGAAGCCATCCCCGTCTGGTTGTAGCCAGACTTGTCGTACGGTGTCGAGTAGGTCCTGTCGAGAGGGCTGCCAGCGGGAGCTTGAGCATTGTATAGAATCGGATCCGTGGTGTCATCGAGTGATGTCGTGGCAAGGAGAGCGGGTCGCGATACATGGCGCATACCATCCTCTGTTGGTGGTTCTTTGGGTAATGAACTAAGGTCCATCCCTTTGTCGGCAAGCGCAGCTCTACAAGGCAACCGAAGTAAGCGTGACTTCACCGGCAAACAGTTGTGCACTGAAACTCACCTTCGAGCCCGCCAAACCGGAATCTTGGCCTTGTTCATCTGTGCGTAGATGTACCACATGGCACCGATGGTAACAACAGCTCCGACGGCCAGTACCGTATAGGACACAATCTTGTCCTTGCTTGACTGGTCTTGTGCACCGATCAAGACACCCAGGTATACGATAGCAAGTCTGTTTACTTCATGTCAACTTCCTTCTAAGAGAATCGAGGGGATATGACAATGGCACTTACTGTTTGGGAAGGGAAAGCGCGGTCCCTACGGCGAAAGACAGGACTGACATTCCGCACGTCGAGAAGATGGCCGTCAAAAAGTGACCGGGGATCGCACTGAATCGAGCTGCGGAAGTTTGAAAGGTCAGCCACCGCCGGCACGAGTGAGGGTGAGTTGAAACAAAGTTCGACTAACCGATCATGGCTGAAATGCATCGTCAATTGAGTAACCGTTAGCTCTGCGTAATGCGGTGCACTGCTAGAACACCAACTTACCGACTTTGAATCCTCCCTCACGGATGACATGCGCCATGAGCGCATAGTTGAGATTTTTACGCTCAAGTTTAGCAGCATATCCGCGAAGGGTGTATTTGAACAGGAAGAAATTGCCCATCTGTGTACCGACGGTCTCATCAGCTTCGATAAGTTCTTGCTTGATGACAGAACCAGCTCACCTCTCCGAGAAAAGTCCCGGCGCACACGATGGCGAACCCGATCCACAGGCCCCATACCAGACCGCACAAGAGGCAGACGACTTCGCCTCCAAAGAGTGGAGGGAATGATACGACGAAGATGACTCCGATCGGGATGGCCCATCCGCCGGGTAGTCTGTGGTATCGTATTTGGACAAGTCAGCGGCGTCTTTCGCGGCAAGGATAGATGTATCGACTCACTCTTTCAGCTTCTGAGCATAAGGAGTTAGCCACTTCACGATTTGATCGTGGTAGATAGTGAAGAGAGCAGCGACGACTGCGCATAGAGCGAGGATGATATACCATTCTACGGAAGATACAGCCAGGAAGCGGTCGTGTGAGCAACTCTTGTCCTCAATATAACATAACGGCTTCTTGAGCAGTGCATACGTACTCCACCATTCTTTCCGGATCCAGAACCTCCAGCTTTTCAACTCGCTCCAGTTAAATAGACCTCGCTTGAGCATCTCCTTTTCTTCTTCGTCCAACTTGCGCTCCTCTTCGGCCTTAAGCATCCTCTCCTCTTCCAGCCTCTTTTCGTCTGCTTGCGTCAGGGGGGCAGGTTCGCCCAAGAACGATGCCATGGAGAGCCGTTTGTTTATCCTCTGACTGATCCTTTTCGCTAGAGGCTGAGTCTGACCATTCTCAGCGTTTCCACTGTACATATAAGGCTGATGCTGAGGATGCTGTGCCCCGTAAGCGGATTGTAGTCCTGGTATCGACTCGTGAGAGGAATCCGATCGGTAGTCACCCGGTCGACTCGGGCGTACTGGCCTCTGTCCCGAACTGCGCTGTATGTCGAGCGAATACATCTTCGACTCGTCGTAATCTTCTCCTTTACTCGAAGAACCGTAACCAGAATCCACGCTTTGCATGGGTTGATGCTGTCTTCCCTGGTCACGATCTCCTTGCCAAGTAGCTGTTGTCGTAGGGAGACCATGTTCCTCGCGATAGGTGTTCCTCTTCATCATCTCCCGTTGGGCACGAGCACTCATGCTGGGGCTTCTCCTAGGGAGGTTGAGGTTATTCCGCTCCACTTGCGACGGTCGTCGGAATGGAGGAGGATCATTTTCAGGGGGAGCCTGGATGGGTCCCTGTCCGGGCAGGGGAGAATTGGGAATGGGTGGAGCTTGAGAAGGAGGATAGGTGAATGAGGTAGACGAGAGATTTGGGCCGGTCTGAGGGTTGCTGCCCGCCATATCGGTGGGTTGACGGCTCATCTGCAGATCCGGCACAAGTTTGACCTGATCAGCTAGGTACCAGAGATCGCGATCAGGCCGTTCAAGCTATTTTTGACTTACCGAAGGCAGAGGTGCTAGAGTGATGAGATGAACGTGTTGTCGTACCAGTTCTGGGAGTCGTTCTGAAGGTTTCCAGTCGTATGATGGATGGGGCGTAATATGACTAGTCGTCGTGCTCCTTATGCCGCCGTCTAGGTTGTGGAAGGGAAGGGGGTTTCTCTAGCTGATCGTCGTTGGTAGGTTCGTGTCGTCTAGTTCCGAGCGTAACTGCAGTCCAGCTGCTATAGCTCGAATGTATACTATATGTAACACTCGAGAGGAAAGTAAGGGGTGACACGTTGGCGGTATCCGGAGAAGCAAAGGGGAGAGTGATCAAAGGAAGATGGAGTCGTCCTTCAATTCTCAAAGCTGAGTGTACAGTAGTATGCCTGGGGAGCTGGGAGCTAAAGGAAGGAGATGCTGATCGTTTGCACAGCTTCGGCCTCCGGCGATGAAACGCGTTCGGTCCCGGCTCTTCTTCGTCATCACAACAAATTCTTGGCATAGCCCCCCTCGGTGCGCAGTCTTCTGATTTACAAATGATCATACAACTACAAGGTTTCGCAGACTAAGGCAAGGAAGCCAGACGCTACCTGCAAATCCCGGGATGTACGATGGGGTGTAGAGAGGCACGCTCGAGATTGGATGGAAAACGACATCACGTCCATAAGCTCACCTGTTGTCACTCTGATTTCGGGCCCGACCCCGTATCCTTGGGTCGCAACCATAACGACCATGGGGTTTTGCGATCGGCCTTCTGTCCGGTACCTGGTTGCTTGTAGTTGACCTTGATACGAGCGCTCGCATACGAGCGGACCCAAGGCAGCCAAACGGGGACCGGTGAAGCTGAGGTATTTGTAGCGAAGCGCCGCAACGCCGGGCACAGCAGAGAAACGCGATTTGCCTCCGATCCGTTCACGGTAAACGACGCCCAAGTAAGCAGTCCAGCCTGTCTGTGCTGTACACCTGTACACCTGCTGAGACTTGAGACCGGGCGATTTAAACCTCGTGCACCAGTTTGATCGACATGCGAGCCCGCTAGTTAGCCATCCCCGGTCGCCATCGTAGCCTAGGTGCGAAGACCGCCGGCCAAAGGGGCCTGTACTTCCTCGACAAAGCGTGCGCATTCATGCGACATTGTATCTTCGAGTCCACCATCGTCCGACCTCAGGGTTACGCCAGTGAGCCTCAGGGGGTCGTACCCGAACGTTAGAAGGGACCATCAATCCGTGAGAGAAAGAGCGCCATAGGCCAACATAGTAGAGGAAGAGAACAATTTTTTTTGTCTTTCGAGATCCAGAAAATATCCACGTCCAATCCCCGACTTCTGATTCACTTCAGTCCAAGCATCCGTCGTTTCCACCTTTCCAGAAGCGAACGTCCTGTCCGAGCCATGTTGTCGAGCGAGTCGTTGACCGGAAAGAAGTGCGAACAGAGCTTATCGGTAGCTGCAGAGAAAGAAAGGCGGGTCGTGGCGGAAGGCGAAGGGATGAACGCAGCGAATGATGAGAAACTTTTCACATGGCACAAGTAGAGATCCAAGTCGATCCAGAATGGCGACCGAATAGGCGACCAAATTCCAGGTCGGATCTAGGAGTTGTTCACACTTACTCGCGATCATCGCCACGCCTGGGAGGGGGGAGGTCCCTCTCCCTGGAAGGAGGAGGAGGGCTTCGTCGGTCGTAGTCCCTGGATCGAGGAGGGGGCGACCTGTCCCTGTCCCGACGAGGAGAACGGTCACGGTAGTCACGGTCACGCTCTCGGTCGTCGTACCTTCCGCCATAGTCTCGACGGGGAGGAGGGGATCGACGGTCCCTGTAGCTGTCTCGGCCACCGTATCCGCCTCGGTCATCACCACGACCACCACGGTCGTATCCACGGTCGTAGTCTCGGGGAGGAGGTCCACCTCGGGGAGGCGCCTGGAGCGACATGTACCAAAGAGGTGAGAAAATGCAAGGCGAGATCATGGCGGTCTGCTTCAAACTCACGTCGTCAATGATGATGTCGACCTTTGCACCACGAATGGTCTGAGTGGAGAGACGGTCCATAGCCTGCTCGGCCTCACCCAAGCTGGCGTACTCGAGGACACTGCGAGACGGAGACGCAAGGTAGCCGAGGTCAGCGATGGACGCGATGGCCTCGAGCGATGCGCTCATAAACTCACCCCTCTCCAGCACGGTTGACATCAGCAAAGATGACGGCACCACCCTCACGACCGAAGTCCTTCAGGTCCTGAGTGAACCAAGCAAAAAACGTAAAGGGGTCAGTTCACTTGTATCTGGGTCGTCTTTTCGATCGTCTTCGCATGGTGGAGACGCTCACCTGCCAGCTGACGTCCGGGCTCAAACCTCGAATGGTAAGCCGAACGCCTCGACCGGGAGCAGGTCCTCGTCTAGGAGGAGGAGGACTAACATGGCCATGCAAGCAAGGGTTTGTTAGCTAGATCTCTCGAAGCATACGAGCCTCGATGATATTCACCCGCCGTACGAGTCGTAACCGCCGGGCTCTCGTCGAGGACGAGAGTTCTCCTTGGCCTTCTCGACGATGATGCTGCAGGGACCATATCATCAGGGTCAGATCGATCAGGATAAATGAACAACTCTGACGCGACTTACTCGGCTCCGAGCATGGGCTTTCGGGCATTGTGAGCGACAGCGTCATCGGCATCCTGTTATCAACGGCAACAACATATAGTGCGCATTAGTTGCGAAGTTCGGATCGTAATTTGTAAGCGCGGTACGTACCTCAGGGCTGCCAAACTCGACGAAACCAAAGTGTCCCATGATACGGCAGTCAGTGAACTGGATGGGGGCGAAGAACTGATAGAGTAAATAGGTCAGTATGATTCGGATAAATGCACGATATGATGGGACAAGCGACTAACGTCTTCGACATCCTTCTTTTCAGTGTCTATGGTAAACCACAATAAGAATGATTATCGGTCACGGGTCTACCTATTTCTCTGCGTAACGGATCGACTTACTGGGAGGGAGACGACCCAAGTAGACTCGTCGTCCACCGGGGGGAGGGGCCATTCGATCGTCAGACATGTTGCAGAATTGGTTGTAGTAGTTTTTATGTGGCTCGATTGCAAGAAACGAGTTGAAGAAGAAGAAGAATAGGTATTTGAGGATTAGATCGACAAAGGGCACAGGGGTGAAGTCCTTTCGATGCCAAGCTGCAAGCTCCCCCTTCGCCGCGTCAGATCGATTCGAACGCTTTCTCACGCGTCGAGATGCGCAACCTTAGCAAGGGTGGAGGCCCCGATGTAGAGGTGAGGTAATTAGTTCGGCATTTCTAACAACGTTCAGCTCGGTAAGTCCATGTTGCACGTTGTAGGTAGCTGGCACATCGGACTAGAACCGTACCCAACGATTCAACATGACAGACACTAGCGGAGATCGTATTGCCCTAGCAGATGCGATCTCAGTGACGTGCTTTACCGGGTTCCTGGTACGCTCAATTGTGCCCTTGACTTAGATGTCTCCGGCGGGCGAGCTGATGTCTTGCGTACTTTGCTTTCTTGTTGGTCAGGGAGCTGTAAGTCGTTCTTGTTGCGCTTCAGATGTACCGATCGTGGGACTGATATCTTGACTCTGAACTGTGTCGGCACAGGGTAAAACATCAACGATCTTGGGACTGCTTGGCGAGTTACCGAAGGATTACAGGGTAGTGCTGCTTAAGAACGAGTATGGGGATGTCGAGTGAGTCTGTCTGTACTATAAGCTCAAACTGCACATTTCGGGCTGACCGAATCAATCATATGAACAGAGTGGATTCGCTGATAGCCAAAGAGTCCTCTATCGCTGGAGTTAGCGAGATCTTAAACGGCTGTCTGTAAGCCTAAACAAACATATATCGGATCCCGGGGACGTTCAAGAGGTTGACGATCGTCTTGGGTCCACAGGTGTTGTGAGTAGCTCCGGGACAAGATTACACAGTGACACGATTTGATGACATCTCGGCTGCAGGCACACTCGTCGGACAAATTCAGAATGCTATGCTAGAGATTAAAGGTAGGTCGAGCTGTAACTACCAATTCGTATATTCCAAAGCTGAACCGCATTGAGCACACAGAGAAGATGAATCCTGATCGGATCATCATCGAGAGCAGGTAAGCGGTTTGCGCCCTATGATCGGAATCGTCGTGCTTCATGCTAAAGATACGTGTTCAATCGGCTAGCGGATCTGCCTTCCCGGCAACGCTGGCAATCAAGGTCCGAGAGCTGGCCCCTCAAGGCTTCAAGCTAGATTCGGTAGCTACTGTCATCGATTGCGTCAATTTCAAGGGTTACGAAGATTCAAGTCCCACTGCCAAGGTCAATATACGAGGCTGAAGGGGGATGGTAGAATAGAACCGGCTGACATCACGCACCCTAAACCACAGATTCAAGCCAAATACACCGACTGCCTCTTGTTGAACAAGTACGACCTGGTTTCGGAACGGGAGCTTGACTCCGTTTTGGACCATCTTTACGAACTCAATGACGAGACACCCATGATCCGAGTATCAAAATCAACACCGCTCAAACCCGAGCTAGTCTTCGGGCTGGACACCAAGCTCTTTGAGAGAGGAAGCGACGAGACAGCGGATTGGGACATGTTGGGGGCAGATGGCAAGAAGGAATCACACATGAATGAGATCGAGACGAGAAGTGTATGGAAAGGCGGAGTTCAGCCAGGGAAGGGCAAGAAGCGGCTTGCTGCGGGGGACGGTCACGCTCACGAGCATGACAAAGGACAAAAATGCGACTGCGATGGGACGATGGATGCTCCCGAGCGGGCAGGAGAGGGCGAAGAGGTGCCCGTTGATTTGCAAGTACTGGAAGCTGGGCTCAAGAAGCTTCCTTTCGAGGTTTACCGGGGTAAGCTGTTTGCCAAAAAGGTCAAGACATTCGTCATGCTCAAAGATCGCTTGATTGATAGTCAAAGGGTTCCTGCGGCTGCGGGATCAGGAAGATTCAGCAATACACGTCTACGCGCTGAATTGGGCTTTCGGTCGGTTCGAGTTGACCCTCCTAAAGAGCCTCGATACGCTGGAGGATTTGAAAGGAGTCAGCTTGCGGTTGACCATGATGGGTGCCCGAGGAGAGGTTATGGTACGGGCGAGAAAACTCGCAGAGATCCTGGGAGCACAATGCGCATGATAGCATGATGTAGCATAGATGAGCGTTCTGCCGATTGTCATTAGAAGTACGAGACCAGATACATAGTAGATGCGGCACAGCGGATGTTCCTGGCCTCACTAGCAACAAAGCCGCGCTTCCGCAGCGAGGCCTTGTCGGGCAACCCCGGAATCCGGTCTCGCGTTAGAGCGACACATTTCCCCTTTCTTTCTTTGAACGACCCATCATTTTCGTTTGATCAATCGATGCCTCGACGTTGAGGGTGACACTGCTACCTCAAGGTTCCGATCCAAGATCGCGCTATTCTCTGATACTATCATGCTTGATTAGGCTAGGATTCCTCCATTCGAGCTAGCAGACAGGAGGTCCGCAAGCTCTACAGTCAGACTCGGACGTACTTCCCTTCGTGATCAAACCCTTTTTACCTGGAACGCAAATAACGTTGGAATACTTCCCGCCATGAACAAGTTAAAACTCGTCTGGTGGCTTCTCAACCTCTGCCTACTTGCTGCCGGCGTCGTTGCCATCGGCTATGCTGCAGTCGTATCCAAGGGTGAAGACTTGTTGATCTCGATGGCCGTGACGAAGCACGATGAGAAAAGTCGGTCGACCCAGAAGCAGTTGCACCAGCTGTTTGACATTGACACTATCAACCCGTTCTACTCGACAGTCGGAACCTTCACTGGAGCATGCTTGCTGGCAAGCTTTCTCCTGTCGATCGTTGCAATCACAAGGCCCGTCTACCGGAACAAACTCCTGATCGCTTTCAACTGGACGCTGGTCGTCAATATGTGCGTGGCTACCGCCGTGAGTGAAGCCGATCTTGATCTCTTATCCCAATGCTGAGCGAGCCCATATTGCCATGTCCAGGTCGGCACCAGTATCTGGTTCGTGTCGTTGCGACAGCGAAATCATTTTGCCAAGGTTTGGGTGAAGCAGTCCCCGAATGAACAGGCCCATCTACAGAACAAGGTGAGTATCGATCGCTCTCAAAAGGTACCCTGTACTTGCGACCAATGCTAACCGTACCTGGTTCATTGTCACGAAATTCAGTTCTCATGCTGTGGCTACTAGTAAGCATCTACTCAAAGGTTGTTGCGGCGTGGGCTCAACATCCTCATCGCCCTAGCAACGCTACAACGGAAGGTCTGTTCATGACAGCCCTCGGCTTCTGCGCCGATACCGAATTTGCCGAGGCACAAAGGGGATGTATCGACGAGATAACGACTCGAACGGATTATACTCTGGAGAACGTTTTCACGTATGTCGTCACGTACAATTGAGGAGGAAGTCTCGTAGGATGCTGATGCAGTTTGTTCATGTTTCTCTTCATAGTTCCATCTACGGGTTTGTCGGCATTGTGGGAGCTCTCTTTCTGGCCACTGTTTGCGTTATCAACGAGAGGAAGCTCGAAGTCCGTTTCGCGAAGATCGATGCCAAACGTGGCGGCAGCGGATTTGTGTGAACGCTGGACGTATTAGCTCATCTATGATCCATGATATACCTCATGCATTACTTTCTATACGTGGAAGGTCAGGCAACAGCGAGCTTGGGGCGTCAGGACTGCTGGCTCGATTCAGGTTGCAAGCATAGTTTGCGAGCGGGAGCTTATGGATGAAAGGGTTGTTTAGCTTCTTGGACAGCAACGGCCTGCCTGGTAAGGGCAGCCCGAGGTTGTGTAGAAAGCTCTGCCTTCTGTTTCTATTGGCCTCAACACTCACTGTACACTCGTCACTGACGGTGTCACGATCCTCGCAAGAGCCAACTAAAAGGCAGATACATGTCAGGCTGCCTTGCTCTCGGAAGCCCGAAGTGAAACATCCTTTGGCTCGCCTCTTGCTTCCGCACCGAGCCAGGAAATGATGAACAGATCGAGCAGATCGCAATCGGCTAGCGGCTAGACTGACTACTTATTTATCGTGGATTCATGTATTGTACGCTTTAATTACCCCGTCCATTTGGCCCCTGGTCGAAAGCTCTCGATAGGTTCACTGACTTCCCGGTCGAGAATCTCAATTGCGACAAGTATCTCCGTAACAATCACGAGTCACCTGCGTTCATCTCCAAAAAATCGATATCGGGGTTCGCCTTCGGAATATAGCAGAGATGATACCCGTTCCACAGCACAAGTCGTACAAGTTCTATCTCAAAGACTATTCACTGGAGACCGGACGAGACCTGAAGTGTCAGAGATTGGCGGAGGCCATCAAGTCGGTGCTGGTGCGTATGACAGTATCACGATCTCAAAGCGTCGCTGACCTCTCAGCGTGCTGTGATCACTTCAGGACGTGGACCAACAGTCACGGTTTGATGGCGCTCAGCAAATCATCAACTATCTTAGCGACGTAAGGGTATTATGACATCACTCCGAAATGCCTTCTTATGCCGACACGTCCACAGAACTTGCACACTCCCGACTTCCCGGCTACAGCCAGCCTGTTGCTGAAACTGCTCAGTGACACCGTCCATAGTTTAGCCATCTCAATGAAAGGAGGTCTCTCGAATGAAGAACAAAAATGGGCGACTGTCGTGGAGGGAATTCTAGAATGGTGAGTTGAGGTGCCGGTCACCGGGAACGTGATGTTAACGGCGGTCGATCACTCGCAGGTTTACCGTAAGTCAAGCGGTACGACATATGATCATTCAAAGCCATTGATGCTACACTGTTGAGATACGGACAGGCAAAGATCATGAACAGTAGCGATAGCTCAGGTCAGTGCTCTACATCTGTTCGTAGCAGGATATGCGACTGATACTTGATGCAGAGGCTTCTGGGATCGCTTTGGATGTGGCTCCACAAGCGATAGAGCTCTTGGAGTCCGAGCCTGCTTTCGAGAAGGCTCCTGGTACGATCATGGCGGTCAGTGCTTCGTACCATCCTGAAAGCTATCCGCTAGGGCTAATGTATTCGAAGCTTAGGCAATCCATCTGGTTTATACGATTATCAAGAAAGCTTCCAGTTTCCAACCACGAGTCCTAAAAGATGTGCACATGTGAGTCTGTTTCATGTAGCCGTCATACTCGTTATTGACCTCATGATATAGTCGAGCTTTAGGGGACCATTTCTACCGGTGCGAAGGTGAGCTCAAAGAGTACGAATCGCTGCAGCATCGCGAGCTGAAGATGGTCCTTTACAGACCCAATCAGTCGCTTTCAGGCCTTAGCTCTCTTCGCTACGATCATGCAGACCCGCAACAAGGGCACCATCCAATCGGACTTCAAAACATTCGCAAAGTCGACTCTAGAAAATGGCGGATCGATGAATCACCTGCAAAAAGCTCTGTCGGAGTACACCAAATCAAGGGTCTTTCAAGAGGTCAGTCTCAGGGCAATTTGGGAATATTGTTCGAGGCTGTTCACGAAACGGATATAACGCTTGTCTAGCCTATGCTTGTGAACTGTATGAATCAGTTCTCTGGGCTCTACAAGTAAGTCCTTTGCTACCATTGGATGCGACTCGAAGGTTGACATCAACAACAGATCTCAAGCGTATATCGTTGAAATGATACAATGCAGGGGAAAGAAGTTACTGGGCGGTTCTTCGATCGTGGTGTTTGTGCAGGAAGACAGCCTTCATTGGGGTGGAGAGGACCTAGGGATACTGATGAAGCAGAAAGATGAAGACGAATCCACATCCTACGCAAAGAACACTTGGGGCATTCCGGCTTTGAATGTCGCTCAAAGCGGTAAGTGCGTTGTCAGAACCTGATTCATCGCGATGCTCATCGGTAAAAAAATCCTGAACAACAGGGAATACTTTGATACTCAGCGCAGGAAGCGGCAGACTTGATTCTTATCCCCCTGAGAAGCGACTTCCCGGCCCGGTCAGGTTGCAGATGCGACCACGAGATCTGGACTCCTTGAAGGAAGAGCTCCTGTCGAGGAATGCCGCTTTGGTACGTATAAGGGCCGACTAATGTACCCGCCGGACATTTGCGAATTCACCACGGTATAGCAGGCAAGCCCCGCAGATCTCGTCAAGCAGAAGGTTTCGGCCGGTAAGGAAGCCGCCAACCTGACCCGGAAAGTCCAGCAAGATATCACTGTGCACAGCGAGAAACGACGCGAATCGAACACAGATCAACAGAGTCAGTATAGCGAGGGGGCCCCGGCCTCGCGGTCTGGATGGCTGAGACCCAAGTTGCCTGTCGCAGACCAGAGCGTATCAGCTCCTTCGAAAGCGGCTACTCTTCCCGCTGGAATGCAATCGAAGATCGTCGAAGCAGGGATCGAAGACGAGAGTCTTCAAGAGTCTGCCGGACCAGCTCCCAGCCGACAACCCACCCGGCAGCCGCGTACTCGACCTCAACCCCCGGACCCGAAGAAGGTAGGATCTTTCAGAATCTTAGGTAAAAACAACTCCGACTCACCGCCGTGTTCCAGGTTTCCCGCGCACATCAAGCAACAGCCGACCCTCCACAGAACAAACCATCTCGAGTAACGAGGGCATCTAAGAACTCGACCCAGGTTGGGGAGGTACAAGCAGAGTCCCATCCCGTGGCGAAGTCTATCGAAGGGGATCAAGTGGTCAGGATCGCCGCGACACCCACACAGCATGAGGCATTACCAAGACACGACCCGGAGCCTTCCGATCTGGAGCGGCAGGAATCTCCCATTGAAGAGTTTCCAGATTCTCCGGTCGTCAGCGAGAACCGTAATCGAGTCAAATCGCTAGAGCCTGAACTGGCGGCTAAAAGGCAACCGGTCAAGACTTGTGAGTGACTTCTCTCATTACCTCTCAAGTGCAGCAACCTGACTTAAAATTGCCGCCTTTCAGACGGCAAGTCCCCGCGAGGTCCCAAGAATGTCGTGACGCCCGTACGGATAACTCCCAGTAGACAAAGTCGCAAGACGATCGACGAACAGGTGGAAAATATCTCGGGAGTAACAAAGAGAAAGGCCTTCACTGCATCGAAGACGACCGATAGACCCGATGAGCCTCGAGCACAACCGACGAGATTGCAGGTAAATAGCTTCTCACGGCCTATAATGTACCCGAGGCTGACATGGTCCACCTAGATGCAAGAGGCGTTCCAGGCGCAAGCTGGACCAAGCAGTACCCCGAAGGTGAACGTGAAGCAAAAACCACAACCTCGACTTTCCCCAGATGCGCCAGAAGTCGAGCCCTCCGTGCTCGATCGGCTCGAAGATAGGGAATCGCCAGCCAGGGAATCTGAAGAGGAACAGATCGATTCTAGTCAGGAGAATGACAATTTTGGCGGGCTTGACGACGTCTTTACGGATCACAATACTGTAGCGACAGCGAAGCGCGTTCCCTCTCAAGCCATAGCGGCGCCAAAGCCTCAAACAGTCGCGACGGCAGTTCCTTCCGAAAAGCCGGTCGTTGAAAAGGTAGGTTTCTGGCGGCATCTTTCTTCAGTGAGCGTCACTCACGAGTATACAATTCAATAGAAGAAGCCTACCGCCCACCCTGTAGCTCCTCTACCATCAAGTTCCTCATCGACTACCACGCAGCGAGTAATCAGGCGCGCCATCCCCAATCATCCGCCTCCGACTGGCTTGACGGAGCCCGAAACACCTACCAGAAGTCAGAGGACTTCTGGCAAAGTCACGTCGCTTAGTCGGCTTGTCGCAGAACGAACAACCAGACAGCGTCCGGAGATCCACAAGAAACCCTCGATCAAGCCAGCGGCTGCCGACGAAAGCGATGATGACGAACCAGCGGTAGAATCTCTGAATCAACAATTCATCCTTGCAGATATCGGTGGGTAATGATCCTTCTAGCCTTCTTGTCTTGTCGTTGCCGGTGGCAGATCTGACTTTGTACGTCGAGCAGAACGAGACAGAGAGAAGGAGAAGGAGAAGCGCAGGAGGTCTATCCAGGAGATGTCGCAAGATAGTCCTTGTCAGGACCAAGCGGCTAGATCTGATGACGAGGCAACGCTGATCGGACCTGCCAAGAAGAAACAAAAGCTAACGGGGGGGTTGCAGCCTTTCCTGGTCGATGAGAATAATGCAATGGGTACTGTCAGGAAGGTCAGTGCTCCATGTGTGCGCCTCATGTAATACTTCGTTGACACGTCATGCCTCTGACTTTTGTAGTTGATGGACAAGATCAATCAGGTAGGCTTCGCCAATAGCGTGGCTGTAACGGGTCGCTCATCAGAAAATACTTGGGACAGACCGTGTGGGATGACTTTGCCGCTCAGTCCGCAGAGGCTCCTATCCAAGCGAAGCAATGCCAGAAAGAGTTGATCGCCGAAACGGACAAGACGCTCGTCGATTACACTAAACAATGGTACGTCTGTTCAGGCGTCTTGGTCTGGAATCATCATTGACACCGACTCATGAATGCGAAACAGCCTGGAGATTTACGGTATCTGGTACGAAGAGAACGAGTTTCGGAAGGCCCAGGAGAACGATCTGTTACAAAGATTGGACACGTCGCGCGCCACCGCTGTCGAATCTCTCAAACAAGCACAAAACAAGATCGCGGCCTTGACTACCGGCAAGACCACATTGCGCAAGACCCTTTTCGCTTAGCGAATCATACGGTATATGTTTCGTCGCATGATTTTCTTTTTCAATATGTCTGCGGTTTCTGAACTGCGCCGAGCTGTATTCATACTAGCTCTCGATCACCTCGTCCGGGCAGATCACCATGTCAATTAGTTCATCATTACCTGTCCTAGGAACGCTCTCATTTGCGATCTGCTCGTTCAGCGCAAGAGCAACTATAAGAACAGATTTCTGTTAGTTTGACAGGCTGCAGGTGTACAAGTGAGGGAAACTTACCGAGTACAGGCGGTTTCTCCCCTCTGCTTGCTGCGAAATTCCGATAACGCTGGATGTACCGATCGTAGTACCCCTTGCCGTGCCCAACCTAGACACGAAGCGGCACCGGCAGTCAGAACAATGCATCTGCTGCCTCGCTGTCGAACTTACTCTGCCACAGCCGCGATCGAAAGCGACTCCCGGCACAAGAATCATATCGAGTGGCTCCGCTCCGACATCTTCCGCTGCGGTTTCTTACGTTTAGCCGACTAACTGATATCATGTGATTATCTAATCGTACCGTCTTGACGTCGAACTTCTTCCATCCCCTCCTGCCTATCAAGCCGAACGCGACCAGCATCCGGAATACCCCACTTGTCACGGGGACATCCTTCGAAGTCCTGGCGAGTATACAGTCTCAACATCCGCATGTCGTTTTCCGGAGCGGGAGGAGTATGTCTGTCTGCTCCACTTGGCTTGGGCATGGAAGAGGGTATAACAGGAACATAAAGAGGGATGTCTGCAGACGGAAGCGATAATCAGCTTCCAGACTGTTGCAACTCGGTTCGCGAGATACTTGCTGGCAGAGAGGATGTCTTCAACAATGCCAGACGTCGACAACTCTCCATTCTCCATTGATAGGTAGCAGGAAACTCCTCGGATATTCTTCAACAAGCCTTTCTTATGAATCATCTCCCGAACAGCCTGGGCTACAGATTCCCGTTGTCAGCCAGAAGTGGCTGCTTAGAGCAACCTTAGTAGATTCACATTGTCGCTGGACCTGAGCTTGATCCAGCTGTTTCAGCGTCGCCGTCGTAGCCTTCCGCAGAGCCTTTTTGAGGGAAAATACCGATTCCATATCGTTTGTACTCATCGGTAGCTATGGGTCCGGCACGTTAGCGTTGGCCAAGTAGATTGCAGCTACGTACACACTGCAGGGAGGTGCATAGATGCATGACAATCACAGTGACAGTTGAGCCGAATGAATGACGCTCAGAGTTCTCGAATTTGCTTCCGCGAAGGCCGATGACCCCCCCTCAGCAAGAGATCATGCTCAAAGCTAACCTTGATCTGAACCCTCATACTATCACTCAGGTATACATCAAGTCAGCTTCGCAAGAATTCAACTCTCCACAATATAGCTCAAGGCTTCGGTAAACACGAATCCGCTTCCCAGCCATGCCCATCTCCTTTCCGCAATCCGGCGCCGGCCCATCATCTAGACCCTCCAACGAATCGTACCCCTCGTTCCCCTCGAGCCTGCCCAGTTCCGGCTCGGAATCAGGATCGGACAGCTCCAGCGACTACAGCAGCGACGAAGAAGACGAGAGGGAGCGTGCGTTGATTAGGGAGGAATGGGAGGAATCACTTCGCCAAATGCAGATGCTGTTCTCCATCGTGCTGGTTCCGTTCTTTGGAAAATGGATGGGTCGAAGGTGGAGTTACTGGGGTGAGTAATACAACTGCTCTTCTAGCCATACGTACCCAGCTGATCATTCTGCTCCCCTTGCGATCACTAGCCTACGAGAGGTACCATCAAGTGGGGTTGGGGAAGAAGTTCTTGGGACTGGCATAAAAGACGCTGCACTTTTGGTAGCAAGGCCTTATGGCAACACGGCACGGCACGATATTAGGCATCCCGATCACGACAACAGCCAATGAATGGTCCTAGCGGATTCCTTTCCTTCTCCGAATGCAATTTGTATTTGATCATCTACGTGTACGCCTTACATTATCGGATCTAGGACGGACGATCTTCCGCTGTCGGATGTCGTCTATACACCTTTCAAGGGACGATGCAGGCCGAGGCCTAAAGTCTTGCTTGCGGATTTCCTCTATGACTGCATCTCCTTCCTCGAATCTGTGCGCCCTGAGCAGGCCGGAGAGGATGATGAACCATGTGTCGTCGTTTGGTGTGATTCTTCGAGCAAGCATAGCGTCGATGATGGTTCGCCAGAAACCAGATGGGCTGCCACCAACGTTTCCCCCGACCCTCTTCACTGCCTTCTTGACCTGGGCATCCACATTGCTGTTGACGATGGAGCGCAGGATCATATTGTAGGTCACGATATCCATGTCGATCCCATCCCTTTCCATCTGTTTGAGTATCGTGAGGGCTTGCGGAACCATGCCTGCCCGGAAGTATCCGCCGAGCAAAGCGGTATAAGTGACCGTCGATGGGGTCAACTTTGAAAGTCGCATTCGTTTGACGAGCGCGTCCGCTCGAGCCATGTCCTCTCTTGTACCGCTTCTCGCGAGATCGCCTATCAACAGGCCATAGGTGTAGGAGCTAGGTTGCACCCCGTCCGCGTGCATAAGGTCCAGCGTGTCCCTCGCTACCTCTCGTCTACCGCTCTTGAGTAGTCCGTCCACGATGGTGGTATAGGTCACAACATCAGGCTTCAAGCACATGCTGGAGAGTTTTGCCATGAGGGAAGACATCGCCGTGATGTCGTCTGTGGCAACGTAATGCTTCAGCATGATGTTGACCGAGACGATATCGGGATTGTAAGGCGTCTTGGGATCACAGATCGTTTCGAACATTCCAACAGCAATCTCGGCGGCCCCCGAAGCCTTGGGACTGTTCAGGAAAGTGGTCATGAACACGTTGACCATCTCGATAGGCGGGAACGGACCCTTTTGTTCAGCTGTAAAGGCTAGCAATATCAGCTCGTTGACCGATTCGCATCTGGGTTATTCCACTTACAACCTGATTGTTCCATCCACAATCGACGGCACTCTTCATCCTCGGCCAAGTCTTTCCAGCACTGTCTGACTGCGTCGAAATCGCCATGCGCACCCAACCCGACGATCGCTAATTTGTACGCCTCTAGATCCCGTGTCACGCCGTCCTTTTTCATTCGATCCCATGTGTACTTCAATTTGCCCAGCATCGTGTCCCCGCCAGAGATATTCTTTGCCATGGCGGTGTTATACCTCCCGCCATACACGCTCAGAATCGTGTGATAGATGGGCAGCGGTGTTGGAGTCGGGAACAGGGCAAAGACCTCCTCCAGAGCCTTTCCCACTTCTGGTGCTTCCTGTCCGAAAGACTTCGTACGCAACAGGACCTGTAAGAAAACGCATAACGTCTCCAGATTGTCCGGCGACATCGCTGAGCTGTCTTTCTGGGCACGATCCTTAGCGATCTTCCATAGTTCCAAAACGTAATCTAGGTCTGAGCGGGACGCCGCAGCTCGGACGATACGCCGCAGGTGGTCCTGTGACCGCATGTACGCCGAGCTGACCAGTTGCTCCGTATACGCCTGCATTGCTGATACGCCCGCCTCGTCTCCTTTCTCCGTAGACTGGGCAAAGTCATCCGTCGCTGGGATCTTTGACCGATCGATCGCATCGCTCCATATCCGGCTCTCATCCGGGTACACACCCCTGAGGAGTCTTATAAGGCCCAAGTTCAAGGTCTCTGTCGGCAACATAGCTCGAAGTGGTGCTTCTGGCGTTCCGAATTCGTATGAGATCCGGGTCCACAGCGCAAGGAGCTCTTGCATAGGTACGCGGAATCTCTCTTTCAGGGAACCAGCCAACAGTTGGCGAGTCTTCACGTGGATAGTCACACTGCTTTTGATCCCAACACCGTTGACGATAGCCAATTGACGGGCGACATCCCAAAAAGTCTCCTCAATCGATCGGAGGATTTTCTCGGCTGCTTTGACTCCCGCTTCGAATGATGCAGCTCGTTCGGCGATAGCCTGTTTTGTCCACCTCGACAGTAGCTCCTCATAAGCCGATTGAGCGCGCCTAACCAGATTTTCCCTCTCCTTTGCCAATCCCACCGCTGATCCGGCTAGCGTATTGGCGCCGAGTACAGGTTCCTTTTTCTGCAATTTGCCCGCGATATGGAAATCCCGCAAGCTGGAGCGCGACCTTCCTTGCATGTGTGATCCATCGAACGAGTGCACGTAACACCACCTGGCGACCTGTTCCAACCGGACTTCGTTCTCGGCCAACGCTTCTGGACTTGCTTCCCGAATGTACAGCCCGAGCGAGTTGGCCATATGTGGGACATAGGGTCCCATCGTATCCGAGATCTCAGCGAAACGTACTGACAGCTCGAGATTCAGCCGCCTATCCGCTCGGAAGTGTGTCAACTTTCTCTGCTTGGGCTTACCCGATGCAGAGTCGCCGACTCGAGTTTCGCCAGCCGGGTCGTCTGCACCTGTGGTAGCTGGACGTTCCGGCGTGTCGTTGACTTCCGTTTCCTCCACTGCTTCCACCGCCTCGGTATCGATCGAGAATCCATACCGCTCGACATCCCTAGCTACCACCTTTCTTTCAAGCTTTTGGAGCAAGGGAGCCATGATGGAGACCATCTCCAACACCTCTGCCGACGAGAGTCCCACGGCACGAACGGGATCGAGGTTCGCATTCTTCAGGGGCCCAGGTATTAAATGTGTCGGGATAGAGGGAAAGAGGATAGAGTGGATCTTTTTGCGGTCGGCTTCGTGTGTTTCGAAGCCAACGCTGGGGTTTAGGGCTGGTTTGGCGGTCTTGCTTGAGCCAGCTGAGCTGACGGTGTAGCTACGTCTGCAATCTTGAACTGCTGAACCTAGTTCAGGACTAGACGCACACGGAAGCGCATCTCGAGAGGACAGCTGCGATCAGACGACTTAGCTTCGGATCAGTCAGGTGGTCATCTTCGTGGAAGCTTACGGCTGGTTGCCAGAGACGAGCTACTCGTATGGTCGAGTGCAAGTTTCTGCGAGCTAGAAGCTTGGTAGCTAGCTGTCTTCGCATTCCTTCACCGTCTGCTCCTCCTAGCCACTAAATGAGGGCGGGTCGTCCTAATACCTATTGCTCGGACCAGTAATCTCTGGTTGTTCAGGTCCGTAAAGAGTGATGATGATGAAAGTCGAACAAGATGTTGAACTTTGAGAAATGTGTTTCAAAGCAAGGTTCCCCTCTTTGACCAACTTGTCAGGTTGACTGACAACTAGGACGCGCCAACTTGCCCGGGTATATGATGGAATGGAACGGCATATCATTCCTGCTACTTTATAGGCCTACAACCCTTCAGTTACTGTCCATCGATACGGAAGCTCCCGAGTAATCAGCATATTTAGGATGGTCAGCGTATCTGTCAAAGCGCCCGGCAAGCCTGCCACTCAGGTCGACTTTCCTGGAAAGACCGCCGAGCAGGTGACAGTGCTTGATCTCAAAAAGGCCATCCGTGCTAGAGGCATCAAAGTAAGTCTATTCGGTTCCACAACACATTCGCTTGACATATGACTGATAACTGAGACTGCGTGTTTCCAGATCGCCGAACTTCGTCAACGTTTGAGTCTTCCGGATGCTGCAGACCCCAAGGCGAGGCCGGCAGTCTTGTCAGAAGACACGCATTCGCTCGCCAAGTACGGGATCAAGGAATCTGGCAGTGAGGTTAGATGTAAAGATCTCGGTCCGCAGATCGCATGGAGGACGGTTTTCTTGGCGGAATATGTCAGTAAACGATCACGCCGCAATGATGTTCATGAACTGAGATTCTCACGACTTTACGCAGTTCGGACCCATAGTCATCCAGCCGCTGCTCTATCACTTGTCCACCAAAGGCCACACTCTGTACGGCGCTCTGCACAAAGCTGGGCTCTCTTTCCTCGAAGCCACTCCCGCATACGAGCCATCGACGTTGCAAAAGTAGGCGAGCAATTTGGGGCAATCGTGAGGTGGATCGTGATCGCTGATGTGGTGCTGCTCTGCTACTCCAGGACCGTCCTAGCTCTGATCGTATTGCATTACGTCAAGCGTGAATACGAGACCGTCTTTGTCCACAAATTCTCTCACGCCACCATGCCGTTCCGAAATATCTTCAAAAAGTAAGCCGTCGACTCGATTTGTGACGGTATGAGATTCTGCCTAACGTTAAATTGCGCCGCCTTTTCACGAAAACAGCTGCAGCCACTACTGGTTGTTGTGTGGGGTGATGACCGCCGCTTCCTTCTTCCGACCTCAATACGGTGCTGCCGCTGTCAAAGGGACCGTCTTTGACAATCCGATCTGGATCGGAGCTTGGTCTCTGCTCTGGGTCGTGAGTCGCTTCTTGTTGGGACCTCGGCGAATTTGGGTGTGAAGCTGATCCGTACCGGCTCTGGATAATAGTATGGAGAGTTTTCCAACTATTTGACGCACATGAACCTTCGTAGCATCAGGACTCCTCCTGGTCAACCTCGAAACTTCCCCAAGGGATACGGTTTCGATCAAGTCACCTGTGCCAACTACTGGTTCGAGTCCCTCACTTGGATCGCTCTTACCGCCATGACCTGTGATGGAAGCTGTACGTCCGGCCTTGCGCAATGCAGCCGTTACGTCCGAGGCTGATTTAGGCTTGTTTTCCTGTAGTCGCCTTGTTCACGGCGGTCTCTGTCGGGCAAATGCTGCAGTGGGCTTTGAAGAAGCACAAGACTTACCGCAAGGAACACGGGAAGAATTATCCCAAGAGGAACATCATGATCCCCTATATCTGGTAGATGCGGGAGTCACGACAGGATGTGATGTACCGTGTCACTATATGCTATATGTATGCATCCTGTGATAACGGCGATCATTGCCCAATGCTCGTGTCGGCCCCATGCTTCAGAGTCTTACATTCTGCCTCTTATCTTCCGCATAACACTCCTCTTCCGCGTAAATATTGTCTTATTCTCAAGCTCCTGCTCCAAGTCTCTTAGACTGTGATCCAGTCGTCTGCACTTGAACGTTCACATTTGTAACGACAGCACATTGGCTTCCCACACCCCTCTACTCGACACTGGATATTAGTTGTTTGCTCCTTGCTCGGCTCAGCAGGCCCACTTACTTGAGCCCATTCATCCCTATGACCCGTCTACCCTCCGCTACCCATCGTTCAAAATCTCGGACCGTAATCCGACCGGTCCTGAGAACTCCCCGTTCCAGCAGATGTCGTCTCATAACGCCAGACAAGAAGGGAACGGTATCACTCTCTTCCGGTGTCAACCATTCAGGACTTCCGTCGCCGAGCGGGACGTGAACCGCAATATTGGCGAAAGAAGTCTCCGAAACCAGATCGTTCTCCCTGGCCGTGGATCCGGGCTGTTGCCAATGCATTATCGTATCGAACGGTATCGCGATCCCCGCTTGGCGAGCTAGATCTTCTACGCGGCGCGAATGCACACCAAAAGCTGTTAGCCAAGGATATCTGTCATGCACGAAGATCACCTACTGGTTTGTTGCAGCGGTAGCTCGTATATCTCCCGCCTGGTTGTTTTGATCCGATACAAGTCTTCGTACGTCTTGCCTGATGTACAACTCTCCGGGTTGAGCAAGACGTCATAGCGAGCCAGCCCTAGCTGATCAGGGTGAGTCGCAAAAGGAGCTGAAAAGAGACAAACCCTAAGTCGTGAGGAAGATCTCTGCCTTCAAGCACGATGCACTTACGACTTGAAGCAGGTAGTGGGACTGCTTGAAGGTCTAGCTGGCCACCAGTCGAGAGTACCGCTCGAAGCTACAATCCGCTTGTCAGACAAGCAATCAGACGGACGAAATACCATGAACTCGTACCCTATAATCGGCCGGAGACTGTTCTTTCACAAAGTCCTGGATTTGGCTTTTCAAACGCATCCTAAAGGATGAAGACCCTTGCATCGCATTCTCGTAGCTAGCCCAGACCGATTCAAGCCTATCAAGGTGTTCCTCCAGCAATGGAATATTGCAAACCTGGGTCATCGTTACGGCGCATCGCATGGTCGTGAGGAAGCCAAACGAGGGGTCGGAAAGGATATGAAGTGGTATATGCATAGGATGACCTGCCATATGTGTACAACAACGTAAGAACCTCACTGCTACTTAGATTGTAAAGGAATCCTGCTGACTGTACTGGCCATCGGCATCCGAGATATCTCTGATTTCCATCGTCCACCAGACGGGGCGAGACGTCCTCACGATCACCCGCTTGTTATTTGGGTCAAGGTGGTTTGAAGTCGAAATCTGAGTGGAGAAAGCCGTCTGCCAGTCTAAATTCAGGATAGCAAGAATGAGCCAGCAGCCGCGATGTGTGCGTCATGATGCTTCCGCTTACCAAAGTCCCACCTCAACCCTTTCGTTTCGACGTGGCTGGACTCGATGCCTAGGGGCAAAACTCCGCATGTCGGTCCATATCTTTCGTGGTCTACCTCGATGATGTGCTCTCCCTGGACGATTGTAAATACATTTAGCAGATGTGTTTCGTCTGATTCATTTGAGTTCCGCAGGCTTACGACGTCGAGAACCCAGGCGACGCAGTTTTCGCTGATAACCCTGATATCCTTGGTTCCATCTCCTTTCCCGAAATCCTTGTATAGATCTTCCCCTCGACTGTTGCTGACCAGTTCGTCCCCCATAAACACCTTGAAATCACTTCCCTGCCAGGCGGACGTGCTTGCTTCCTCGTCCCTCTCGTTCCGTCTCTTCCCTCCCCTGCGCAATTTCTGCAACAAAGCCAGGACATGGGTGGTCTGGTCGAGACGTCCAGAGAGACCGCCCAAAATGATGATGGTAGCCGCTTCTGTCGCGGTACTCCGGCTATCGATCTCCTCGATGCATTTCTGCAAATCGGTTGTGTATTCGCTCTCGTCGTGCAGAACGACCGTGTTCTAGATGGTTACTTGTTTCGATTAGCATCTGAAATGCGCCCATAGGAATCGGTTGACCTACTCTGCTCTCGTAAAAATTCCGGACGTCGTCTCGCAGGGAGTCCAGGTCTCCCTTGATTGCGTCCGGCAAGAATCTATTGACACAGGACCTTGTCAGCCTCGCCAGGGAAAACATGCGAGTCATCCATACACTCACCGCTCTCGATCGCCCTCGCTGAGTAAATCGTACAACCTGTTTGCTCCTCCATCTGCGCAGATCCGGTAATCGCAATTATCCCAGAGCTTTTCGAAGATATCGCGGCGCGTAATCGGTTGGTTCAGGATGATCAGACTCTGCTTGGAGCGTCCATCCGAAGCTCGTGAAGAGAGGATATCCGCACTGTTCCAGCTGGTCGAGCCGGCGCTCTCGTTCTGAGTCTCATTTGACAGTGAAACCCAGAGCCAATCGCAACCCATCGTCTCGAGGTGTTTCCGTACGCTCTGAGCGAGAATAGAGCCAGCGTCCTCGCGGATGAAGCGGCCAGGCCAGGTCGAGGTAGCTTGACCGAAAGGGACGTCTTTGAGCTTCTTGTAGAGGTAGGCGACGTCGTATGGATTGAGAGGAATCTGACAGACTACTGTGTTCAGCTTTCTACCTGGATCATCACCAGGATAACGGGAAACCAAGCATACCATGTTCGGAACAGAGTACTGGAAGGTAAAACCTTTTTGCGTAGGCTGGACCATGGCTGTATCTGCACAGAAAATGATGCCGTCTTGACGGCATTTAGCTGACGAAGCGTGATCTGGTGAGGGCTCTCTAGATCGATCCCAGTAAAGCACTGCAGACCCCTCAAAATGTCTAGAACGTATAGAGTCAGTCAATCCAGATTTTTGCGATGTCTTTATCGTCTGAACTCACCCTCCGCATCGAAGCGCTTTAAGGTTGGATGTCAACTCGTGATCCTCGTCGTACCAAACGATCTCGCCTTCTTTGACATCCGAAAGGCGTTGATACCACTCCTCGTCTTTACCGCAGACTACGAGAGGTACGGACAGAACCCTAGCCCATGTCAAGGAAGTGGTGTAGAACTGAAGAAAGAGGCTGTTCAGCTTGACAACCGTCCAATTTGGAAAGATACCCGTCGACTCACGTGAGGGTGCGAGATGACGATCGCTTTGAGCGGATTCTTCAAGCCTTTCAGTTCCGAGACGAGATTGTGGGAGAGGAAAGCACAGCAGTCCCAGATGTACGACCCTTCGGCCGTCTCGATCAAGAAGGCTAAGGCAATCGTGAATGATTTAATAACGCAATCAAAGTCGGTGTATTACAGGCGCACTCACGAGTCTGCCCAATTCCGAAGGCGGGTGTCGTCTTGATGTACGAGATCCGGTTGTCCTGGCTGTCCTTGACCAATTCGTTCTTGTGGGCAGAGTCAGCCAGCTTTCTCAGGCAAGACCAAGCTTGACCGTTCGCTGGAACGAACTGCCTGTGGGTATCAAGGTATTCATGAATATCGAACGGTTGCAAGCTGTCAAGTCACAAGGCAGCTCACCTGTCGTCTTCGCAGATAGGACAATCCTCACGAGCAGCGGGATATTGCGTCCCACAAGCCGTGCAGATCGGCAAGTCGGCGTCCTCGTCCCAAGCCGCTCGGCTAGCAGCAGAAGCCGAATCATCTGCGTCGTTCGATTGTCCCGCCGCCGGTTCTGTTCGACCCTGTACCCCAGCCGCAAGAAGAGCCTTGTAGAGCCCGTCTTCCTCGCCGATCTGGTAAGTCAGGGTCATCTTTTGCAGTAGAGATTCGTCCGCTGTGGAACTCGATTGTTCTAACTGCAACTCGAGCGGGTTGAGCGATCTTCCAGCTTACGCTGCATAGGAGTTGCAAGACTTACTAGCGAGATCACGTCGTCCAACAGATGAGCCTTGCCCACTTCTGCGCCCATAAAGCCTTCATTTGTGAGGGAGACGATATGCACGTGCAAGTGATAATACGACGGTTGGTAGTGCAGGAACGCCCTCGCCCCTCCCGGTTGCAAGCCGTACTTCTCGACGACGACCTGTTCTCCGGCCTTCTTGATCTTGCGCAGGAGGTCGAGGTCGGACGGCCGAAGGTCTCGGATGGATCTCAGTCTGTGGGTGTGGACAATTGCCGTCAGATACTAAGCTCAATAGGTCTTGTGGTCAGCTGTGGTGCGCTATGGTACCAGTCTTCCCACCGGGACATACGAGAGCACTGAGCGTCTTGCCGTCCCATTTCATATCGGGCAAGATCATGAACCCGGTCTCCGGATCCGTGTCCTCGTACACGATCTTGTCCGCCTCCTTCTTGTGCTCGAGAACGTTGTAGACCCTGCGATCCGGAAGTTCTTTTCAAGTTTAGCTCAAAGCGGAACAAGAAGGCGTCTGGACTGGAGGAGATGGACTCGCCATTGGATCCTACTCGGAGGAAAGCTGTGGATATAAGGCTTGACCACGTCTCGGTATATCTCGGGCGTCTCGTTGATCATGAATCTCTTTTGGGTAGAGTACTGCTCACAAGTCGATCATTACGAATACCGTAAGTATACCGGGAAAACATCTGAGAAGAGGAGCTACAGCTTACCTTTTTGATATGCGTAGCAGTACACGGATGAATGATGTTGACCTTGACGTCGGCCGCTCGGTCTTGTCCGTACCATCCTTGAGCCCACTCGTACTATGATACGCGACAGATTAACAGCCGCACGTTCAAAAAGTCAAGTAACTACGTACGATATCGTTCTTCTCGAGAGACTTGACCGTGTCTAGCTGCGCAACCAGAGGGAACTGACTTCCAGGCGCTTCAGGAACGTCGAATGCGACCCTTTGCAGGTGGACGATCGCGGGTTCATCATCGATCTTCCCCAGAAGGTAAAGGTAGGGAGACGTAGTACCTATTATGCAAATAGATCAGTATCGGGGACGCGGTTATGGAGTCTTGACTGGTTGTTTATTCACCTTGAGAAAGGACGCGCTCGAACTGGAATCGATTTAGTTTCTCGGCGAGTTCCGAGCGAGATGGTTCGCCCGTCAGACTAGCAGGCAGCAGCATGGACTTGATGGTGTCCATCTTGCAGGTTGAGAAGCTCTTGAATCGTGGGCTATACTAGTCTTGTACGCTTGTACGCTTATACTTTTGCTAGCCTCTCAAGGTTGAAGGGGAGTTCGATGAGATTTCAAGGCCCTGACATTCCTCGACATTGTCCGAGCCAGATGTCGTCAGATCCGAAATTAGAATCCGCACCGGTAGCTGTACGTAAAGGACTGATGAACTGAACATGTATCACGTGACCTCGATGTTCGCGGCCGATACGCCTTTTCATTCGCGCGAGATAACCGGATCACCCGGCGCGATGACCCGGCCGAAGAGATAGGAGGGATCCCAACCTCAGGGATTCACGGGTCCTTCGACGATCCGGGAGCAGATTAGCTGCCTGGCAGCCTAGCTAGGCGGGTACTAGGGGTCGTGGTTGTGGGCATTTTCCAACGCACACCTCGAGTCAGCTGCTACCATTCAAGCCACAACCACCGAGGTTTTCCAATACGGCTTACCATCATTATCCGCTCTCTACATCATCGATCGTCCGTCCGTTCCGGGATCTAGAACTTGACCAGGTAGATATAGACACGATGTCCATACCCGGTCGATCGCTCCGACACCTGAGCTGATGACGATATACCGATTAATCTCTAGCAACTAGCATAACCTCTTCCTGTTGAACATACCGACAAGCCAGATTCATTCGCACCATGGCTTCTTCACTACAAACACCTACTGGCATGTCCATCCGAGGTGAGCTATCTTGCTTGTGCACTGAGGACCAAGTCGGTATGGAGCCTAATCGCATCTCCCTTTCATCGCCCACAGCCGAATCTCCTTCGAGCGAAGCTACTTCCAAGATCCTCACCCCCGAGGCCCTGAAATTCCTCGCTACCCTCCACCGAACCTTTAACCCGGTCCGGAAACAACTCCTCGCCAACCGGGACAAGGTCCAAGCCGAGCTGGACAATGGGAAACATTTGCACTTTTTGCATTCCACTCAGAAGATCAGGGAGGATGTCGCTTGGCGCTGTGCGCCTCCTGGGCCGGGGTTGGAGGATAGGAGGGTCGAGATCACGGGGCCTACGGATAGGAAGATGGTCATCAACGCCCTCGGATCGGGAGCCAAGACGTTCATGGCGGATTTCGAAGGTGAGCTTGAAGGTCGTGTCACCACGTCGAGAGTTACGGGAGCTGATGTCTTTACGCGTCTTCGGCAGACTCAAACTCGCCGACCTGGAACAATATGGTCAACGGTCAGGTTAACCTCTACGATGCCATCAGGCGACAGATCGATTTCGAGCTCAACGGCAAGCAATACAAGCTCCCTGAGAACCCCGCCGTCCTGCTTGTCCGGTGAGTGCCCGCCTTTTTCGTTACATGTTGACCAGAAGCTCATCGTCTCCGAGCTTCAACCTTCATCGCTATCATAGTCCACGAGGATGGCATCTGGACGAACCCCGAATTCAGGTCGATGGAGAACCCTTGTCAGGATCCATGTTCGATTTCGGACTCTACTTCTTCAACAACGCTCACGAGCTCGTCAAGCGGGGCAGCGGGCCTTACTTTTACTTGCCCAAGATGGAGCACCACTTGGAAGCTAGGTGAGCCGATCAGCCCATGCGTATCCCAATGAATTTCAGAACTTCGAACTGATACACGCTATGACACCGCTCGGACAGGTTGTGGAACGATATTTTCACCTTTTCCGCCGCTTACATTCGATTCCCCTACGGAACGATCCGGGCGACTGTCTTGATCGAGACTATCCCGGCAGCGTTCCAGATGGAGGAGATCTTGTACGAATTGAGGGATCACTCGGCTGGGTTGAACTGTGGTCGATGGGACTACATCTTCAGCTAGTAAGCACCACGTTGCTCTTAAATGGGCTGGAGCAATTACTGAGCAAACGTAACCTGTCTTCGTTTCGCAGCATTAAGAAGCTCAGAGCGTCCAAGACCTATGTCATGCCGGACCGAACCGATGTGACCATGACCGTCCCCTTCATGGAAGCCTACGTCAAGCTTCTCATCCAGACTTGTCACAAGCGAAAAGTCGCCGCCATGGGAGGCATGTCGGCTCAGATTCCTATCAAGGGGGACGACACCGCCAACGAAAAGGCCATGTCCAAGGTCAGGGCCGACAAGGAGCGAGAGGTCAAGGCGGGTCACGACGGGACTTGGGTCGCTCATCCTGCCTTGGTCAAGATTGCCATGGACATCTTTGACAAGCACATGCCGGGACCGCATCAGTACCATATTCGAAGGGAGGACGTTAGGGTGACCGAGCAGGATCTCGTCAACCCGTCGGTACCCGGTGCGATTACCGACAAGGGTGTCAGGGAAAACATTTCCGCGTGAGTTCGAACGAGGTCTTTGTTTTTGTCATCCAACGCCGGGACTGAAGAATACGTCTTGTTTCAATCGAACGACTACAGAGCCCTGTCATATTGTGCCGCCTGGATCTCGGGTAACGGCTGTGTCCCGATCAACTTTTTGATGGTGTGTTCAGGTATCCATATTCTTTAACCCTGATACATTGCTAAACTTGTAGTATGACCGTCTTTGCAGGAGGATGCGGCAACCGCCGAGATCGCTCGTGTCCAGCTCTGGCAGTGGGTCAAGTACGGTAGCAAGACGGTATGTCAAGATCGAAACCCTTGGAACGCATACAAAGCCTTGCTTACGCTCGCGTGTCATCATTGCTATATGGTTGCTACAGGATTCTGGCAAGACGATCACCTCGTCCCACCTTGGGCCGATCTTTGACGAAGAGGCGCAAAAGGTGGCCAAGATCGCCGGCATCTCGACCGATCACGTCAACGTCGCCAAGGGGTACATGATGGCGCAGCTATCGAAACAGTGGCCTAGCGACTTCTTGACGTCCGACCTTTACGCTCAGTTGGATTCGAACTTGCCCAAGGGCAAGCTATAGGCTAGCGTCAGAAAAACAAAGTGAGCAGAAACAGGCAAAGGTGGTGGCCCGCTAGTATCGAACAGGAGTATATAAGCGAAAGCGAATCAGGATCAATTGTATGAGTACCGAATGATATGACATCAGCTGTTGCGAGTCGGACTTTGGGGACCCCGGAATGGCTGATCGGAAGATCGACCTCGGCCTCTGGTCGTCGGCATCGCCTTTCCTATCGCATGGGGTAGGGTACCATTTCGAAAGTACTTTGCCCCACGCAACATCGAGATCGGGAACTCCAGTGCCCAATATACTGCTTACATTGTCCGACCCGCACATTGTCCGCATCCAATCGATCTAGGGGATGACAGCTGTCCGTTTTTTTCCAAAGTCTTCGCGCGCGAAAGTTGGGAAATTCGAGACGGAAGCGAGTTGGAGCGCGACCTCTGCCAGCACACTGCAGACGTCATCACGTTCTCGCCCGGTGAGTTGAGAGGGGGAGGAGTGTGATCCGAGGGCGAATCAATGGGGGGCATCGAGGGGAACCCAACGTGGGCAGCAAAGAAAAGAAACTGCCCGAGTGGACAGGTGGTCTGGGTCGGGTCGGGGCAAAGCAAGGCAGCGAACGAGCTGCGTCTCGCTGGCGTTTTGCCTCTGGAAATTGCAAAGACTAGTGCGGGCGGCGAGTGGGGTCTCGATAGTACATAGGGAATCAGATGAGAACCGATCATCCACCTTCGTATCGTCAGCCGAGAGTTCCGTTCGAACACGACAAAATCATAGACTTGGCCTAGGTCTCTTTTGCTTGAAGAAACGGCTATCCCTGCACAACAACGAGAATCGAGACTCCCCTCCCCTTCCCCGGCTGTTTCGCTTCCGATCCTACCCAAAAGCACGGCACTACCCCGGGCCGGCACTTTGACGTTCTGAGCCGCATCGCGACGTTTTGACTTGTGGAGATCGAGTGATATTTGGGAATTTCTGAACAACCAGGACACACCACTCGCCATCCCCCTTCGCTCCCATCTGCGTTGACACCCGAAGCAGTCAGCATCAAACACCCAGAGAGTGATATAATAGGATCGATCCCGAATCTGTCCGAATAGAAGAAGAAACTCGTCGTTAATATAAGGTCGACACTCGCCACCCCAAACGGAGTTTGTATTCGGTCGGCTACTTGAACCAAGGCGACCTACCAGGACCGAACTCGATACATCATGTTCCGTCGACTCCCTTCCGTGTCCCGACGGACCACCATCGCCACCGTCGCTCTGACGAGTACGGCTTTGAGCACCTACTACCTCACCAAACCCATCGCCGCCGAGGCCGATCCTTCCGTCTCGATCAAGCGAAGACCGGGACCGTTATGGTCCGCTCCCTCGAGGGAAAAGATGCTCGAGCACTTGAGGTCGTCCGGTCGATCGCTCGTCGCCCCGGCGCCTCCTAGCGACTTATCCATTAGCGAGGCCCCCACTGGGGTCCAGGCCAACCCGACCGCGTTGACCGCCGAAAAGGGCAAGGACGACACCGACATTTTCGACCTCTTGATCGTGGGTGGTGGAGCTACCGGTGCCGGTGTCGCTCTTGATGCTGCCAGTCGAGGACTCAAGGTCGCCTGTGTAGAGCGAGAGGATTTCAGTTCAGGTGCGTCTAGAGCGAGGTGCAGGATAAGACCCTTTGTCATGGCATGCACGTGGCTGACTCCCGGTTACCTTTTTTTCGGTTTCGCAGGAACTTCATCGAAATCGACCAAGTTGGTTCACGGAGGTGTACGATACCTCCAAAAGGCCATCTTTGAGCTCGACTATGAGCAGTGGAAGTTGGTCAAGGAGGCTCTGAGGGAGAGGAAGATCTTCCTCACCACCGCTCCTCACCTCTCCCACATGCTTCCGTGAGTATCAAAAAGGACTTACTCTTCCCTAGCGCATGTGCTGATGAGCTTGTTGTCTTGCAACAGCCTCTTGTTGCCCATCTACACTTGGTGGCAATTGCCCTACTACTACGCCGGATGCAAGCTGTACGATTTCCTGGCCGGTAAGGAGAACATGGAGTCGGCCTACTGGATGGGTCGAGGAAAGGCTTTGGAAGCTTTCCCCATGCTCAAGGATGATGGACTCGTCGGAGGTGTCGTATACTACGATGGTGAGTCCGAGTTGTCAAGCCCGTCTCAAGGTGACCAGGCCCGCTCACGTCTGCCTTTTGCAGGTCAACACAACGACTCTCGTATGAACATGTCTTTGGTCATGACTGCCGTTCAGCACGGTGCCGTCGCTGCCAACTACACCGAGGTCGTCGCGCTTCACAAGAAGCCCTCGGCCGCTCACGGCGGACAGCCTCGAATCTGCGGTGCCAGGCTCAAGGACCGCATGACCGGTGACGAGTGGGACGTCGAGTGCAAGGGTGTCATCAACGCCACCGGACCCTTCTCGGACGGTCTGCGAAAGCTCGACGAGCCTACCGTCAAGGAGATTGTCGCCCCCAGCTCTGGTGTACACATCACCTTGCCCAACTATTACGGACCCAAGGGTATGGGTCTCTTGGACCCTGCCACTTCGGACGGACGTGTCATTTTCTTCTTGCCCTGGCAAGGAAACGTCATTGCCGGTACCACCGACTCGCCCACCGACGTGGCTCAGCACCCCGTTCCCAAGGAGGAGGAGATCCAGTGGATCCTGGACGAGGTCAGGAGGTACTTGTCGCCCGACATCAAGGTCAGGCGAGGAGACGTCTTGTCCGCCTGGTCAGGTATCCGACCTCTTGTCCGAGATCCCGATGCCAAGGATACTCAGGGATTGGTGCGAAACCACATGATCAATGTTTCGGATGGAGGTTTGTTGACCATTGCCGGAGGAAAGTGGACCACTTAGTAAGCTTTCGACTTGCCAAACATATACTGCACCATCCATCGGTTCTGATCAGTCCCTACGTCTTTTCCATGCAGCCGAGCTATGGCCGAGGAGACCGTCGACCACGCCATCAAGGAGTACAGCCTGAAGCCCGAGGGACCTTGTCTCACCGAGCACATCAAGTTGATTGGAGCCCACGCCTGGACCCCGACCATGTTCATCAAGCTGATCCAGCAGTTCGGTCTCGACACCGAGGTCGCCAAGCACTTGTCGATGACTTATGGTGACCGAGCCTGGACCGTCGCTTCGATGGCCACCGCAACCGGTCAGAGCTGGCCCATGCACGGTGTCCGACTGTCCAACCTCTACCCTTACATCGAGGCCGAGGCGCGATACGCATGCCGAGCCGAGTACGCCGTTCACGCGACCGACTTTATCGCTCGTCGTACCCGATTGTCGTTCTTGAACGTTCAGGCCACTTTGGACGCCCTTCCTCGGGTCATCGAGATCATGGGTGCTGAACTCGGATGGAACCAGAAGCGAAGGGAGGATGAGTTTGCCGACACCTTGGTCTTCTTGGAGAGCATGGGTCTGCCCGAGGTGAGTTTGCGACCGGGCGAATTGCTTGTCAGCGGGTAGCATTGACTGACCGTGACTGGCTTTTCCATTTATAGCATCTGCGAGGCTTGAAGCTTACCGACGTCGAGAGCAAAGCCATCCCCGCCATCACTGGTGTCGGTGTCGGACCTCTGGACCAAACTCAGCTCTACATGCGAGCTCAGTTCAACGCCGAGGAGGTCAAGGACCTGAAGGAGTCTTTCGAGAACCTCGACACTGACCACGACGGCCACATCGACGAGCATGATCTTGTCAACGCCATGAAGAAGATGGGATACGCCGAGAAGCCTGAGATTGCGCATGAAATCATGAACGAGGTCGACTTTGGCCGCAAGGGGAACATCGAGTTCCACGACTTTTTGGATGTAAGTCGCAAGACTTGAGTTCAAGTTCGGTTACCTGGTTGTTTTTACTCATCGCCCGTACGCCTATCATCTCCTAGATCGCCGCTGGAATGAAGGAGCTGCATCTCGACAACGCATTTACGCATCTCGCTGGGATGGACAACGTGTCTCACGAAATGTCCAAGGAGGAAGCTATCGGGAAAGCTGCAAATGATAGCAGCTTTGCGCGCTCACAGAGTCGAGCGATACCGATCAGCCGCACAGGCGGCGGTACATAAGATGAATGTCTTTTCGACAGGCCTTTGTGGTTCTGTGATGCTTCTTAGCCGGAGGTGGAACACGAGCAGCCTGGCGACAGATTAGTACTTATGGATTGCGCGGATAACACATAGAACGAAACAAGGAACAGACCGGTTGTAGTACTTCCGTAGACGGATCTCTTCTTGCATGACTGAGATAATGATAGGCATTTGCATTCAGGATTGGGCCAGTGGTCAAGAATATAGGCGACAAGCCCGAAATCGTCTTGGGGTTTCCGGTGCTTCGATTTGCTTCCGCCCTGATGCGCGGCGGTACGGAGAGCGCCACCTCAACATGCTCGATGAGCGTTTGATCCGACCAGCATGATGCGGGTTGAAGTCAACGTACAGAGTTGACCGGCTCACCAGACGATGACACGATCAGGCTTGCGATTGAAGAGGTGGGCAAAGAAGCCGGGTATGTCGGTCCTATGTCCTGCTAAACTGGAGCTCAGAATTGATCCCGAACCCATGTTTGCAAGGTTTACTTATATGAACCAGATTGAATTATCGCTAGACTGCAGCGACGAGGTCTTTCGCTCCCAGACGAAGAGCACACCTGAAAGAATCATGACGCGAGTGCTTTGGCCTACCGCACATGTCATTGGATACGTACTTAGGCCGAAGTCTCCTGCGACAATCGAATCGGATCAAAGATGCTCTCAAGAGACTTCAAGCGCAAAAAGAAGTATCACATCCATTTTCTCGCAAGAGCTGCGCCCTTAGAACTGCCGCCAGCCGCCACATCCCCAAACAGCCGAAGGAAGGCGGAAAAAAACTGACAGAAGCAGAGGCGCAAGTCATCAGTAACAATCTCTGAAAGCTCAAGTACCCGAAGTTCGAAATGGCTGTAGACGCGCTACAACTATCGAAATTTTAATCGAAACGCCACTCCTGTGTTACTAGAGTGCAATGTACAAAGAAAAGGAAAAATGTATGGTCAGCGACGAAGATGATGGTGTATCCGCTAACCACATGGAATGTCTGTTCATGAACATGATGCATGAGACCCTCCAGGAGGCGGGAAAGTCGGCAGCGGCTCCTGCACAGTACACTCGGCGGCTCTTCGCCGTTTTTGCTCGATATCGCAGTCTCGCGACGACGCCGCTTCAGCCAGATTCATCTACGCAGACCTGCAAAACGAGGTAAGCCTTCTTCAGTTCTCTGAATATCTCCTTAATGTCGAATGCTCAGAGGCGTGATGTTCCTAGCTCTGGTGCATTCCGCCGGGCCGGATTCAAGACCACGCATGACACGAATATTATTCTATAGATCTATCTCTGCATATCATCTTTCCGAGAAACCTACAGCCACATCAAGCTATCAACATTCCGGACTCTCGGCCAGAATAACATATTGACAAGCGTACAGTCTCCCGCTATGAACGGTAACATATACGATTTATTGTTAGCGGATGATGATGGCAAGGACGAGTTCGAATAGATCGACTTGATTGCGAAGTGAGTTAGTCGCGGCTTATATTGAAAACCTCTACAATACCTTCGTTACTGACCTGACCACACAGACGCAGGAACCGCTTCCAAGTTCCTTATGATAACAATAAGGAGTTCAAAAGATGAGCAAGTTGTCACCTGGAACGAGAAGTGAGTTAGTCGCGGCTTATGTTGCAGACATCTACGATACGTACATTACTGACTTAACCACCACATGGCTAGCATCGCATCAAATGGAATAGGCTAAAATGGCAAAACTACCGTCAAGCGGCCTTTGGATTAGTGGCAGACCTAATGTGTTTACCAGACTACTAAGGGAAGCATTCGGATCTTTTTGCGAGTTCGCACCCCGCCTTGGGATTTCGTGTTTTTGCCGTTTGACAAGCTTACACTGCGGTAGCTACGTGTGTTTCGGGTACCAGCTCAATCGGATCAAGTGTCGCTGAACGATTGTATTGTCATTGATCGCAAGTCTGCTGGGGCTGACGTGCGCGAAGTCTACCCTACATTCGCCCTACATGTTGCATAAATTATCTCAAGACGTGATCGCCTCCTTACCCCCGACCGTACCGGTTCGACCTTTCACACCAAACGTAAGCGCATATCCGGGTGGCAGCTTGGTCCCGTCGGCCGGCTTTTGCAAAAGCGGCCAGCTTGCCGAAGAGGCTTTCTTCAGGTTGAGTTCGATCTGCAGACCGAGTTCCGGTACGGCCTCAGCTTAGGGTCCATAACGAACAGATACGAACTTCAGCAGCTCACCTTGGTTCCCAGGATCTTGTAGTCGCTCCCTTCCGGGTCAATGTCGTTGTACAGGTCGACCCTCTTGATACACCGCTTGTTGGCCGGTAGGTACAGGTCAAAGTCGACACCTGTGGCCGTCAGGACGACAGTAGACTTGGTCTTATCCACGCTGTGTATCAGAAGAGGTGAGCGGCCACTCCGGTAATAGTGTCATACTCTCGATCTGATCGAAGAGATTTACCCCTTGGCGAAACAGCTGATGATGACCTTGTCGGGCGTCTGATAGTGGTCTAGCCTGCAATCCACATTCTCTACGTCGCCCGTCGGGGCCGGATCGAAGAACTGGTGCGAAGTCGTCCGACAACCGGGAAGACGCAAGAAATCGTCAAAGTCGAGCACCCGGGGTTTACAGCAGAGGAAACCCTTGGAGCCTTCGAGGAAGCTAGGCTGTATGAAGTCGATGCATCAGAACCCAAGACGATCAGCGTAGCTCAACACGCCGTCTTTGCACTATGGCTACTCACAGGACCAGGGTGATAACTACACTCTTGCTCTTCCTCGAGCTTTCCCCTGCTATCTCTCCTCGCCGCGTCCTCTCCCTCCCATTCCTTTCCACAACCTTTCCGCTTACACCTCGTCCCCTTGCTCACCGGCCGAGAAGGCTCGTCGACCAGCTCGTTCTTCGCCCAATCGATCTTTTCCGACTTGACTATAGTCGGTTTGGAGGTAGCGGTAGGAGTCGGTGCGGTGGGCTTTGAAGTCCCGTATGTCTCGGTGATACCGTTCGTAGCAGAGGGAGCGGGCGAAGACGAGGTAGAGGTTGAAGCGGGTGGTTGAGCGTTGGGTGAAGGCAAAGGTTGTGCTGCGGCTTGTTTCTCGGATGTGTGAGGTCCCCTTGTACATCCCTGCGAGCCGATGACGGGGTCAGCTCAGCTACTCGTTCCTAGTTAACAGCCTTTGGATTAGCAATCATGCATGAGCCACTCACAGGAATCTTCATAAAATCATCAAAATCCAAGACCGGCTATCAACAGGAGACGATGGTCAGCGCCATTCCTGTTGAGCTCGGTCATCGTATGAAAAAGCCCACCTTGTTGACCTCTTTGCAACAAGCTGAACAGCGGGAAGAGCAGCAACGCCTAATTAGCTCTGGAATTTGCTTTTGCGGCGTTCCAGGCACTTACACCACGCCTTTGTTCCCTCATGAAAGACCTGACGGAATGCGATGATGCGAATGAGTCGCAATAACTAGGCTCGACTGCTTTACTGGGTACTTACGGGTCCTCCGGGGTGATAAGCACAGTCCTGCGAACCGGTGGCAGCCGGGTCGAACTCCTTGCCGCAAGAGGTGTTGGTGCACTTGGCCATGTTTGCAAGATGGTTTTTTAGTTAAGCTCTCAAAGCTGCAATAGTCCACAACGATGTGCTCGAGGTGGTTGTTGAACAATAAAATACGATGACCTGCATCAACTTCTACAGCCAAGTTGCAAGTTGCTCTCAGATTTCTAGCAAGCTCGAGCTCTGCTGCAGCTCGCCGGGGCAGAAGCGGAATCAATTCCGGATGTAAATGTCGAAGTCTCCGGAAGCATATTTCCTCGGTCGAACCCTCAGCAGCTCGCTGAGAAGCAGAAACTTGCAATCGACTACTACGACAACTACTACGATTGACTTTTAATTCTGGTCGAGCTATAACACATAGCAATACAGACTTGAAACTCGATAGAAGTATCAGTCTTGATGTCTGCTTACGTCCCGCCATGGAAGCGCAAGGCCGTCGCAACGACCGGTGCCTCTCCGTCAGCTGGACCCAGCAGCGCCGGTCTCCCTTACAAGAGGAACGAGGACCCCAGCTACTCGCTGACGGATATCGTTGAGCATTTGGGAGGGAGAAAGATGGGAACCATCAACCTGTTTAGCTATGGTCCCCCGCCGGCGGTCAAGAAGAGCGTCAAAGAGATGTTGCAGGAGGAGAGGGAGAAGGAGAAGGCTCAGCGGGGATTAGAGACCACGCCGACGGCTTCTTCGTCGTTGACGAGTTCGGATGCGAGCAAACCCGCCAGCAAAGAGGTCGCACAGGAACCTCATCCTCACGGTCATCTCGTTTCTTGGATCCACATCGTCCCCGATGCTCATCCCATGTTCCTTACCGAGAACGAGCTCTGGTTCCACACCAACTCTGACGTCGTGGTCAATCACACCGAGAACCTCGGTCGGCCGATCCCGTTCTTTGGTCAACCGACCTATGACACTAGTAGTGGACTTTCTCTTGAGGTCTCGAAGAATAGCCGAGCTCCCTTTTATGGATACTGGTGAGCTAGCCTTCAACCGCTTTATTACTCCAGGTGTCAATCTAACGATACATTGACATGCTTAGGACTTTGAATTCGTACCATACCGTACCACCTACGAGCGACGAGCTCAGAGACCTTCTCACAGCCAAGCAGGAGAAAAACAACTATGGCCGACAAGGCCGCACCGCCGAGTCGTGGCGGAGAGCGATGGACGAGAGCTGGATCAAGGTCAAGGTGGAGCGATACCGACCGGAAGCTGGCGAGGAAGAAAAGTGGAAGGATCCGTTACAGGTCGATTTTGGTGGCCCAGGGCAGGACAAGGGAGAAGCTTGGTTAGACTTTGTCCTGAGGGATGTTGCATCCAGGCGACCGAAGGAGACGGAACCTAACATCGGCGCAGATGTCCTGGTGAAACCGATTGCTAAAACGTCCATCGGTGGCCCCGCTCCGAACCTCCCGGAGCCTACGGTGCCCGTCATCCCGAGCGAATTCAAGGACGATCAAGAGGAAACACCGGAAGCTCGGGAACAACGCATGGTCCACGACGTGTACGAGACGATCGCCCCTCATTTCAGTCAGACGCGGTACAAGCCATGGCCGATCATCGCTAGGTTCTTGTCGTCCATCCCGGAGCACTCGATCGGGCTGGATTCGGGAGCAGGGAATGGAAAGTACTTGCCTGTGGTACGTGAGGGCAGTAAGGGGAGCCGGATGATCGCGCTGGATAGGAGTTCGGGACTGCTGAGCGTGGCCAGGACGCAGAAGGGCGAGATCGGCGATGATGTCGTAGGCGGTGCCGAGGAGTGCGTGCGAGGAGACCTGGCCTTTGACGGGTGGAGGAAGGGCATATTCGTGAGCCGCACCAGACGTGTTCGTCAAGCTAGAGAGGGCCCCTACTGACTTCACAACAACTTGGCAGGACTTTGCCATCTCTATCGCTGCGGTGCATCACCTCTCGACCCGATCGCGAAGAGTTCAATCCATATGCTCGCTTCTGCTCCCACTTTACCTCTCGCCCGTTGCCCCTTACTCCAAGTTCATTGTCTACGTCTGGGCTTACGAACAAGGAGAGAACAGTAAACGCAAGATGGGCGTGTTAGCGAGTCCTCCTGAGGATCATGATGAAGCCACTGGATCGAATCCCAACGGTGCCGAGAGGAAAAAGGACCAGGACGTATTGGTTCCTTGGGTACTACAGGGTCCGCAGGAGAAAAAGGTCAAACAGCCACGACCGAGAAAAACGAAATCCAAGCCGAACCGAGGAGCGGCCATTGAGATGGGCCACGCCGGCCCAGGAGGGGAGACGGCATCTACCGCCATGACGACAAGTAACGACGACGTTGTATCACGACCTGATGAAACGACTGGAAATCGCAATGAAAACGCCGAACCACCTGCGGTACCCGAACAAGCTCAGCCGGAACGACAGGTGTTTCATCGATATTATCACTTGTTCGTCGAGGGTGAGCTGAGGGAGGACGTTATCGCTGCCGCTACTGGAATGGGCTTCGTAATCAGGGGCGAGAGGGACGAGCAGGACGGCACGAGGAAAGGTGGGAAATGGCTGAGAATTATCGAGGAAGGGTATGAGAAGGACAATTGGTATCTGGAGGGCGAAGTCGGAGTTTACTAGGATCCGAACCCGTAGAACTATAGGCTATAGCTTGGCCGAACTGTTTTCATATTCTACGTTATAATCACGATCTTGTTAACGTTACGAAACCCGACTACTTACCTTGATCTCAGCAGTCGCTATGCTGATCATCCCCAATTCTTGATCTCGGGATGTCGTGATTCTGGACTCAAGTTGCTCCAGAGTTTTCCCCGAGGAGGATTTTCCCTGATTGCAAGGCGAAGTCAGCAGCACACCCTTGGGTGCAGCTCTGTAGCAGCGTAATTCTGGAATGCTCACTTGATCTGATCGGTAAGGACCGGTTTAGACGGATCTTCCGCTGAAGGCTCGACGTGGCTCGTCACTTCGATCATCGGAGCCCGCTCTCCGCATCTGAAACGACACGATGATATCAGGTCTGCAGGACTGTAAGGCAGCCTTTAGTCAGGACAGCACGAACTCACTGCCTGAATATCCGCTCCAACGGCCAACACGTGATCTTTCCTCCTCGGGGCGAGCATTGATACTGGGTCAGCGCATATAGCTTGCAAGGTGGATCCTGGTCGTCCGAGCTCATGGTCGCTGTATCTTTCAGAGCAGCGATCCTCAACTCGGGGTGGATGGGAGGCAGTCGATGAGGATCATAACTCGCCAGTGCAATCAACCTCTGATCTCTGACGATCGGTCTTCCCCGTGAGCGCGACTTTCACATGTCAAAAGAGGGAAAGCTAGGGCATATGCGTCGTGCATCATGTGGCACCCCCAGCTTGCTATCTGAATGGACCCGATCTTATAGTCCATTCAGCTGCTGTTCAACGTTGACTGGTACCGCTAGAGACTCTCTCAACAGATACGTTTGACAATAGCGCAACAGAATGAATTCGCCTTACCCGTCTCGAGAACACCTCGATCGGTTAATCAAGGAGCTCGTACAGGAAGTCGCTTCCGCCAAGGTCGAAGCTTCCAGGCATATCGTGTTCCTGCAGGGAGAACACGGTCTCAACAGACATGATACCGACCGAGAACTTCCGTTCAGACAAGAGTCCAACTTTCACTACTTGACGGGTAGCCTTGTCGCATCTTCTACCTTGATCGTCGATCTCCCGCTGGAAGGAGGAAAGCCTGGCTCGATTACAAGAAAGCTCTTTATCCCTGAAGCGACGGCTGAAGCGAGTCTCTGGTCGATCCCTCCTCCCAGTCTCGATGTCGCTGCTACTCGGTGCGGCTTTTCGAGGACGGATATGGGATACTCTGGAGAGGAGGATGAGCAGTACCTGAATGAGCTCTTGGGGAATGCGGAGAAGACGACGCTCGTCCATGTCTTGTCTACGAAACCGCTCGACCCTCTCTACCCCCAATTTCCGTCATGGTTGAGCCAAATGTTCGACTCCAAGGACGAACGCGCACCCTTTTTCACTAGCGAATACCTGCTCCGCGCTTTACACCGTGCTCGACTGATAAAGACTCCTCAGGAGATCGAGTACATCAGGGAGGCCAACAGGATCACCTCGGGAGCTCACGAGGTGGTCATGCGAGAGCTTGGCCGGTTCGCCCGTCGAAGAGACGTCAATGCCGTCGGACCGGACGGCAAGGTCTCCACAACGAAGCGGACCGGCAAGGAAGGGTTGACCGAGTGGGAGATCGAGAGCGAGGCGGACGCCGAAGCCGTTTTCGTAGCTACATGCAAACGGGCTGGAGCCGATCAGGCGTACTTGCCGATCGTCGCTTCGGGTAGTCGAGCGAGTACTCTGCATTATGTGTGAGTCACCTTTACGCGGATTTCTTGAGCGTAATCGCTGATGAAGTGTACCGGAATCTCAGCTGCAACGATCGACTTTTCCCTTCGACCACCAACGTATCCCATACCCCCGCTTCAGGACAGTTCTCGACGACAGCTTTGACGCACGATGCCGCCGCGCCCGTCTCTGCCTCCTCCTCCTCGTCTACCCCTGCTCAAGGTCGAGGGTGCTGTGGCGACAACCCCTCGGAATCGTTCGACGATCTGCACAACGGCCCGTTCTTGCCCCAGGTCTTGTTGATCGACGCGGGGTGCGAGTTCAAAGGGGGATATGCTTCGGATGTGACGAGGACCGTGCCGGTCGGTAACGGTGGAAAGTTTACTGAGGAGGGCAAGACGATCTATTCGATCGTGCTCAAGATGCAAAAGGTGGGCCCATAGCAGCGATTCATCATTCCCGTTGTGATTGCGCTGATTGATAAGCGTTTGTTGACGATCACAGGCTGCAGAGGCACAATGCAAAGCCGGTATCCATTGGGATGAGCTCCACTTGCTCTGCCACCGGATCTTGTGCGAGGAATTCTTAAAACTAGGCATCTTCAAGGATGCTAGTGTGGACGAGATTGTCGAAGCGGGCCTCACTCAAGCGTTCTACCCGCACGGCCTCGGTAAGGCGATCCGTAAAACAGCGATGGCTTGTGATTTTGTGTTAACATTCGGCCTGTCGCTTTCCTGCTTTAGGTCACTCGCTCGGACTTGATGTCCACGACTCGCTACAACTTCTCAGGAGCGAATACCTGGCGATCCCCGAGAATTCCAAGAAGTTCCACCACGTCTTCAAATACCTACGAATTCGTCGACCTTTGGAGACCGACATGGTCTTGACCATCGAACCGGGTTGCTACTTTTCCACGCAGCTCATGGACCAATATGGAGTACGAAAGAGCCCTTGGGTCGACTTGAAGACGCTCGCCAGGTACATCCCCGTCGGTGGAGTTAGGATCGAGGACGCGGTGGTGGTCAGGGAGGACGGGTGCGAGAACCTCACGGTCGCCGTTCGAGAGGTGGAGGATGTCGAGGCCATCTGCTCGGGTCGCGTCTGATCCCGTGGACGATGTATCGGCCAACGCGCCAAACGATAGAGACAAATAACAGATATATCAAACATACTTGGGGTTAGGTCAAGGTAGTTAGTGGCTTTGTGGCTCAGGGTGCCGTTTCGGTAGGCGGTGATCGTCAAAAAGGTTTGTTCTCCGGCACCCGGAAGGATGCGTGTGTTTTCGTTTCGACGCGTGCGGGCGTGTTTGAAAGGGAGAAGGGAAGTAACTTAGCGCGATCAGCTCGGGGACCCGCTTCACCTGCCTGCCCGGGCTCATTGTCCTCGACCATCATGCCTCGATACGTCCATAAACATCCTGATCTATATCTCCCCATCCGTATTGCTCGACTCTTGATAGTACCTTGTCTTGCTACTGTGTATCCCGGTCTTCTTCTGACACGGCATCGTGAACCAACTTCTACTACACTCGTTTCAAATCCCCTCGTGCATCCCATCCTAAAGAATCAGCCGAGCGAGACCGACCACAAACAACACAAAAGGACAAAGGATCCTCTTGATCAAGAACCGGTTCAATCTACCATCTCAAGGTTCACCGACTTAATCGCCCTCGTCCTGGTCTCGAGATAGCAAGGTTCCAGGCATCGTATGCAAGGTATCCGAATCGGCTGGCGGAAAGCGTAGATCTAGAGATTGCCCTGACGGCTATCAGCGTCGAAATCAGGCTCGATTTACGTTTGATGCGGAATGTCGCATCAGCTCGACGGGTCTAGTAAGCGGATCGATGTAGATAATGCTCATTTTCAGGTAGACATTCCAGCTGATTCAGCTTGATCACTCTCTGATCGACCGGTATGCAAGTAGACATCAGCGACATGCCGGCCTTGACAAGCTCCTCCTTCTCAAACACTTCGACCTTGCCTAGGACCCCGACCCATTCCACCTCCTTTACCACGCCGTTGAACAAGGATCCGAACGTACCTGTCAATCCCATGTTTCGTGACGCCATGAACGCCTCGCCAGTCAATACTCGTCTGGCACCAACCTCTGCCTCGGTTCATACCAGCTCCAGCGCCCCGACGACGCTCGCAGCGAGTCCAGGTAGTCCTGCGAGACGCCCGCAAGGTGGAGAGTCGACGACGGTCGATCATGCGATCAAGGTGGCAGGAGGTGACTTGATGAGAGCGTTGAAGTCGCTAGTTGAAGAAAGGAACTCGCTGGTATGTCGGAATGCGACCCTGCTGCTCGGCTGTAGCTGAATTATCAAATCGTCAACAGGCCATCCAGAACGCTCAACTGTGGAAGATGGTAGAGAAACGACAGACAGAAAAAACAGGACTGCGGGACAATCTCAGCAGAGTTCAGAAACGGCTCAAGCAATTGGAAGATGAAGCGATTATGTCCAGCACGCAGTCGTCCCCTCAATCGGGTCTAGGCGAATCTTCGTCGGGAGAGGGCGAGAAGCAACCTCAGAACAGGAGACGAGCTGGGACGATTACTGCTGCCAAAGAGAATCGGCTTCAACGACCAGAGACGGGTCCGAGGTCATACTCGGATCGGCACGATCTGCCTGTGAATCGGAACCGAAGAGATGGTAGGACATCGCCCCTGCCAGACTCGGAGATGCCATTTCGGTCGACGAAAGAGTCGCTCAGCAGGATCGAGAGCGCCAATTCTTCCCGTTCGGAAACCTCGGGACGGTCCGGGTATGGAATGGATGGTCCAGAAGAAGATAGTCCGAGCAAGATGAAGACGCCGATGGCTGCACGGGATAGAACTCGATCGACCGAAGAGGACGAAGATACGCCCACCGGGAAACGCTTACAGGCGGGTCTGTTGCCAGCTCCGCCTATGCTCAACACACCGACGTCTTCGGAAAAACGCACGACGGGAGACAGCAGGATGGCTTTCGAGCCTGAAGTGCGAGAATATCTCGCTCTGGCTCAGACTCCTCCGGCCGGCCGAGAAGCATTCCCCAGTATACCTGGACCATCGCGACTCGGCTCGGGCCTAAGTACTGGGTCGAGTGTAGCTCCTTCTAGGCTGTCTACACCGCCTCCTTTGGGAGAAGGTCTTCCTAGCTTGATTCCAGCTTCGCCTTACTCTGACACGGCCGATAACAAATCCGTCACGGATGCGAGCGGCTTCAAGACTCCGGATTCCAGTAGGCCAGACGATAATGCGGGAAAGATTGAAAGGCACGATGCCTTGTCGGTGAAATCTGCCCCTGAAGTACGTCCATTCGTCGGTCATCAGGTCGATGGCCCCCCTACGCCGAATAGCATGCAAGCCGAGCATCCGGGTGCAAGCCGAACCAACTCGACCGAGCAGGGCAATGTGAGCAGCAAGCCGTCTGCGACATCAGTACGGCGGCAGGAATCGACACGAAAGCCTGCCGGTGCCAAGCAAACCCATATACCGCGCCTCGTACCACGCCTGCTTCCTTACACTAGATGCTCCATCCCGTCCAGTCGGATTGTCCCCAACACGCTCGGTAAGGAAGCTCTTTCGTTCATCGTCAGCATACAGCTGCGCCCACCTGGAGACTTGCAAGTCTACAATTGGAACGTGGCCAAGTTTTTCAGCTCTTTTGTAGAGTTGGACACGAGGTTACGCCAGAAGATGAGCAAGAAGGAGCTCAAACAGGCAAAGTTGTCGAGCCTGCCGGAGGGTCGAGCCTGGAAAGATTACGGTCCAGCCAAGATGGACAGAATGAAGGTCGGTCCAGCTGAGCGCACCTGTTGTACGGTCATCCGCCGTGCACATTGCTGACACTGACTTGTACCACAGGCTACCCTCGAGACATATGTGCAGAACCTTCTGGCTTGCCCGTTAGAGGACAAGACCGAAATCTGTTCTTTCTTGCAAACGGACGTTGTCGGTCAGCAGGACGAGGAACGTGGCGCGGGGATGCCCAAAACGGGTTACCTGACGAAACGAGGAAAGAACTTCGGAGGGTATGTAGCTGGTCACTTTGCGTTGGCGTCGCCGTGTTGACTGATATGTTTCCAGGGTCAGGTGGCGCACTCGATTCTTTGTGCTTGAAGGGCCTGCATTACACTACTACGAACAGCGGGGAGGGGCGCTATTAGGGTCCATCCCGGTCGTGGGCGCCAAGATAGGGAAACAGCAACAGGATCGGTCGACCGATGCCGAGGACGAGAAGGCGTACCGCCATGCGTTCTTGCTGATAGAGCCAGGTTCCGGACCGAACAGCAGCGCGACGAGACATGTGCTCTGCGCCGAGAGCGATTCAGAAAGGGACTCTTGGGTTTCAGCTCTGATGCGTCACGTCATTGGCCAGTTTGACGAACCGGGCCGCATGAGTACTTCCTCGTCGGCGAGAGAGGAGCTCAGTAGTGTCGCCAACACTCCGACTCAGACGCAGCCCAATCCTCCTCGCGCCTCGACTAGTTCTAGTGTGCAGGATCTGCGCGGCGTATTGTCACCTAACCGACAGAACAGCAAAGACGATGTCGCTGTTTTGCGAGGGACCGCACAACCTATATCCGCCTTGTCTCCCAATGGAGCGAATTCCAAGCTCTTCAGCGCTGGCCCCACCCCGTCCTTCATCAACAAACGAGAACAAGCCGCTCCAAAGCCTGTCTTGACAGAGTCTCGATCGGAGCATCGTCAATCTCCTCAACTGCAAAGCGGACCCTTCGATGGCGGCGGGGAGATATCCAGTTCTCTGCCTTCACACCTTGACACCAAATCTGTCTCGCTCAGTAGCCTGGCAGACATTGTAGACTCGCCGACACAAGAATCGCCGCAGTCTACCCCTGTACGCCAAAAGAGGCAGAGTATGATGCCAGGTCGCTTGGTGAAAGAGCGCTCCGAACCGATGAGGCCTTCTTTGGGTCCATCCCGTCTGCAGAGCGGGCATTCGCATACATCGTCTTTGGAACGTGATGTACCGAAAATCGATCGAGGGAAAATATCTGCTCCCAACGGCGGAGTCGTTATACCCCAAGGCTTCATGTTTGGGAATAAGGACACAAGCAAGGAGCCGGCGGACCGAGAGCGCAAAGTCAAGTCCCGATTGTGGGGTTTCAACAAGACCGCTGCTCCAGCCGTTGTGAATCGACCTGTCTTTGGCATTCCTCTCAAAGAGAGTGTGGAGATCGCCTCGGTGGCGGGGCTGCCTGCGGTAGTCTTCCGGTGCATCAACTACCTAGAGGCGAAAGGAGCGCAACATGAAGAAGGAATCTTCCGTATGAGTGGCAGTTCTGCTGTCATTAAAGGCTTGAGAGATCGCTTCAACGCTGGTGAGTTTCCTTCGTTGAGCGTCAGCAGCTACGCTAGACTGATTCCGAGGAACCTCAGACGGAGACTACGATCTTCTCGCTCACGACGAGCGATGGGACTTGCACGCGATTACCGGACTTTTGAAGATGTTCCTGCGCGAGGTGCCTTCCATCCTGACCCATGAGCTGCACATGCATTTCCTCGGAGTCACGGGTCAGTCTGATCCCGTAATATCAATGTCAGCGGGGACTGCATCGCTGACCCTTACATTATACAGATTTATGGCAGACCGAGGCGCGCATCCAAGAGCTGACTCGGTTGGTGAACCTCCTTCCGATCGAGAATTACACCCTGCTGCGCGCGCTCGTCGGCCATATCATCCTGATCTGCTCGCATGCCGACGAGAATCGCATGGGTGTCAAGAATATTGGCATCGTCTTTGCCCCGTCGCTCTGTGAGTAGTCAAACGAGGCCATTCCACTGTCACAATGACTAACGCGAACGGGGCTCGTATGATTAGACATGCCGGCCGGGATTCTAAGCGACATGATACAGCAATACAAGGCGATTTTCGAAGGAGAACCCATTGAACTTGGTCCAGAAGACTCGACGCCTCCGCTCAATCAGTCAACTTCGGAGCCGTCGCGGACAGAGCGAGGAGTCCCTGCCGATGCGACTCAGGCATCAGAAACGACGAAGCGGGGCAACAGGAACAGCATGATTTATGCAACCAATTCGGACGTACTTTTAAACTCTGTTGGACGCGAGCTGACTGGTGAGTTCTGGCTGAATACACTCATGACGAACGGCTTCTTAACGCCTGGCGACTCTCGCTCTATCACAGAATCAGGCGATGCTGAAGAATCAGACGGTGGCGAAATCGTCGCATTCGACGACGACGACGAATATCCGCTCTCGTCTTCCGGCGGCTCACCAACGCTCGAAGGACCCACACATCGTGATCTCTACCGCATTTCAGAAGCGGCATCCGTGATCTCGCCACGCCTGCAAACGCCGCAGCAATCTCCAGGACTACCTAAATCGCCTCGCTTGGCCGATGTGACGAGCGGTTTCAGCACAGACGGCATGCGATAATCTGTGAATGTCACGACAAGTTTCCCCTGCTGGTCACCCTACGTATACCCTTATAATCTATGATCGAGGTTTCCGGCCTTTTCCACCACGGTTGAGATCCCGCCGGGCACATCGCCTCTTGTATGCGCAATCGATAACGACGCTTAAGCTATGACCGAACGCCTCGCGATTTAGTGATACGACCCGAAGACGGCTAAGGGGTATGACCTGGTCTGGAGTCTGTGATGCATCTGGGATCATCTACCCTGTGACAAACCGCGATGCCTTGACATCAGAGAAAAGCATCACATAGACTTTATAATCTCAAACATTTCCCAGGCACGCTAATCTTGCCCAGCCGCCCCATGACAGCTGAGACAAGGAGACCCTGTCGTGACTCTTGGTTCTCAATCGACTTGCGCTGGGCAAATGACTCTGGGCAGCTTTAGAGAAGGTTCTTCACCTGACGTCTAAGCCTTGCAGACACTTGACCTTGCAAAAATCCCCACGAAGGAGGAGGTGAATGTCAAGGGGAGGCTCTCGCCCTGATATACGACATCAAATTACGCACGATAGGTACTTGGCGGCTGAGCTTGAAAATGTCACCTCCTCTTCCGTTGCCGTAACCAAGCATCAAGGCCTCGAGTGCCTCAGAAAGCTGTCTCACCTTCAGGAGCGCTGCGTCTCGCTCGCGCTTTTCCATCAATCTCCCCTCTGCTTGCATGACTTGTACGGACTGTGACAAGGCGTATTTACAGTAGGATCTGACACAAAGTATGAATTGGGTTAGATACCAGCATCATATCACGTTGGCGTTGGCGGAAACTCGCCCATGCTTGGGAAACACGAATACCCCTTTTAGCTTTGTCTTCTCAGTCTTGTAAGCGATATCCAAAGTGGCTGATGATGGTGCTACCGAGACCGTCATGGTGGTCCAAGAGATATCTTTGACACCAGCCATTGCCGATTGAAACGCTTGCGAGCTTCCTCCACTCGCTGCAGATAGCCTTGTCTGCATATATAGACGGGTCTCAGAGGGGCTGTGTGAGTCGACTATAGCATACCCCGGTGGGTGTACCGGTGTGTATGCTATGTTCGACTCACAGCTGGGACCTCGTGTAGTGACGCGCTTCGTGACCTGCGACCGATCAGACATGCCGGCGCAAGTCAGTCAGAGTGGTTCAAAAGCCCACATAGGGAGAGCGTCCCGAGTCTTGCGGGATGACTCGGGAATGAATGGCATGCCCGTTTTATCGAGGGAGGATCATCTATGTCCCATCAAAACCGCTATTTGTTGAGATCCTATGCAAGCGCCCTACCCGGAATGGCCAAACTGGCACCTTCCTGCGGAAAAATGTCCGAAAGACGTCCTCCTGGCTGCAATGATCATGCTAGGCTCTTGTTATAACACCTCAGTCATTGGCCATGACGCCCACGGTCACGCTGATGTCGCTAAATTGCTAGCAGAACTCATCAAAGAGGCTGGAAAGAGGGGATGACCCGTGACATTGGTCGGAAGTGGGGGCTGAGCGGTGCCGACCCTGTCGAGAGGAGATCATGCGATATTGCCATTCAGGTGATGTGCGCACCAGTTGCCTATTCTGCTCGCCTGCCCACCCATCGGATTCTGAACAACTGGATTCTATTTGATAATGCTTGTGATACGATTATTACTATTTGGATACAGCGGTCTCCGAGCACTTGGAAGAATTCTGAACCGTTTACGAAGCAACGATGGCACCTCCGTTGACGTGGATAGACTGTCCAGAGATGAAGGATCCGTCGGCGGAGGCCAAGAAGACGTAGGCCGGACCGAGCTCCGAAGGCTATAAAGAAAAAGGGAGGAAACATCGTGAGTACGATAGACAGGAGGTGTTGAGTGAAAATCGGAGAAGAGACAAACCTGTCCGATCCTTCCGATGGGAGCAGGGTTCTTGAGCCACTCGGACAAGGTTCCCTTTGACATGGCGGCCTCTTGCAAGGGAGTGTAGACCTACGAGAGTAGCAAGTTGTCAGCACTACTATTTTGATGAGCGCACCACGACCGCACTGTCTACTCACGGGTCCGGGGCAGACGGCGTTGACTCGGATTCCCTTGCCGATGAGCTGGTTGGACAAACCACGGACCATACCGACCTGAGCGGCCTTGGTCATGGTGTAGTCGAGCAACGAGGGGGGACCGGCGTAGGCGACTTGCGAAGCGGTGACGATGATGGAAGATCCCTTGCCCATGTGGGGGACGGCAGCTCGGGTCAAGAAGAAGGTTCCCTTGATGTTGAGGTCGATGGTGTGGTGCTGCGGAGGCGCGGGGTTAGCGAGACGAAACTTTCAGTCTGATTGATTTGCGGCGAGCCGACTCACGAACTGCTCGTCCGAAATGTCGGTAATGTCGGGGCAATCGTACATGACCGAGGCGTTGTTGACGAGGACGTCGATTCGACCCCAAGCCTTGACGACGGTCTCGACGACTCGCTTGCATCCCTCCATGTCACGCAGGTCCTGGGGGACCAAGAGACACTGTCGGCCCAAGGCCTGGATGGTCTTTTGGACCTTGTTGGCGTCGACCTGCTCCTCGGGCAGGTAGTTGATGGCGACGTCGGCACCCTCCATGGCGAACATGACGGCGGCGGCTCGACCGATACCCGAGTCTCCTCCGGTGACGAGACACTTTCGGTCGATCATCTTGCCGGCGGGCTTGTACGAGTCGAAACCGTCCTCGGCCTCGACGTCGGTGGTCTTGACGTCCTTGGCCATGTCGGCCTGGATACCGACCTTGCGACCCTCGTCACGCTGAGAGTGGTCGGCACCCTTGAACTCGTCGGGACCCGGGTGGGCACCGGCTTGTCCGGTCTGCTGCTGGGCAGAGTTGGTAACGTCCGAGACGACTTGCTTGATGGCGTCCATAGTGTGTGTGTGGGTGTTTTAGTGTGAAGTATTTGTGAGGGGTGTGGAAAAGAGATTGGTTTGGTGTAAGAGGAGAGGGGAGATGCGAGTTGTGTGGGTGGCTGAACCGTTCTCGAACCAGATATATATATATACTCTTCGCTCTAGCCTGAGGCGATGACCTGGCCTCGGGATCGGACGATTGACCCGGGTGATGATGCATGACGAGTGGTGCTGGTCGCATGTGGAGGTGCAGTGGGCAGGGCATACGACGGCTCAAGGGTTCCAACAAGTTTCGTCATCGCTCGTTTCAGTTCCGCGCCCACGCGTGCCTGAGAAGGGGGACCATTGCCGCATCGCCCGCACCACACCGATGCTCGGTGATTGTCTGGCGATTCGACAGTCGGGACTCGGTTCGTCGATTCGACACAACTTTCGATGCGGGGGGAATGACGTGGACTTGAATACTCGAGTGTTCCCACTGTACCACTGTACGAGTACGAGTACGAGGCGAGAGACGAGAGGCCGGAGGCGCTGCGACGTCGGACGCATCGTCGAGACTGAGCAGTCACCGGGAAACGGTGGAGGAAGTCATGGGCTGTGTTGTGGAACGTTCAATCTCGCAAGCACGGAAACGTCGTCACATGCGACACATGTGGCAGATTGCAATGCGAGGACGAGCGATATGTCTGATACCAGATCTGAAGCATGAGTTGTGCGCGACGGCGGGGACAGCCCAATCGATAGGCGCCAGCGGGAAAAGGCGGAGAAAGGCCGAGCTGTAGTCACCGTTCTGAACCAACCTTGCCATGGGTAATCAGTTGGCGTCTGATATCTCGATCAGCCAGTGTCAACGCCCCCTAAAAGGTATCACAGGTGATCCATGGGCGTATGGGCATTGTACGAGCTGGACTGGAAGAGGGCTGACTGTTTTCGAAGCGTAAACCGCCAAAAAAGACCGCAAAAAGGGCAAAAACACTGGGTCCCACCTGTGACTCGAACACAGCACCCCTCCCATCCGAGTAGGATGTTTAATACCCCTAAGGGAGGATCATAACCCCTAGACCAGCGGGACCTTGATGTTTGGGATGTTCACAGTAGAAACAGGTCGAGCCAGCGATAATCAGGCCCAAAAAGCCGCACTGCTCAGCATGCTTGGCACTTTAGAGCGATACGGGAGGTCATAACCCCTAGACCAGCGGGACCTTGATGTTTGGGATGTTCACAGTAGAAACAGGTCGAGCCAGCGATAATCAGGCCCAAAAAGCCGCACTGCTCAGCATGCTTGGCACTTTAGAGCGATACGGGAGGTCATAACCCCTAGACCAGCGGGACCTTGATGTTTGGGATGTTCACAGTAGAAACAGGTCGAGCCAGCGATAATCAGGCCCAAAAAGCCGCACTGCTCAGCATGCTTGGCACTTTAGAGCGATACGGGAGGTCATAACCCCTAGACCAGCGGGACCTTGATGTTTGGGATGTTCACAGTAGAAACAGGTCGAGCCAGCGATAATCAGGCCCAAAAAGCCGCACGCTTCGCGTGCGTGGCGCCTGCGGCGCCCTTCTTTCCCCAGCTGGGCCTCGGTACGCATTCTTACTGATAGGACCCTCTCTCAGACCTTTTAGGAGATGTCCTTGCAGACGTCCAACTAGTACCCTGCACTAGTTAGACATCCACTATTACATAGCTATGCCTACCGTTACCTCGCCCCAGTCTCGCAACCTTATTACCTCAAGACCCCAGAGATCCACTGCCGGGCCTCATAGAAAACCCCGTACGCCACGCGTATGTATTGAGCTGTTGCCATGGATCTCACGTGACGCGCCCGCCCTAGCAGTGACAAGTTACTCCGGAAGCCACCTCACGTTTCGAGAAGCCATCAAAATGTTGAAACCCCTCATCCTTCCCACCGAGACGTTCTCGGATCTCGGCAGTGGCCATCTAAAACACGTCTATTCCGTTTAGATAAACCCTCATCTCACCCCTCGCGACATGGCCAGCTCGGCTGAACGCAGGAGGGACTCAAGGCTCGACGCCCTTTTTGGCGGTGGGCCGGAAGGCAAGCCCGACTTGGAGCAAATTCGCCAGGCCCGAATCGCCGATCGGCAAGAACAACTCCGGTGGATGGTCGACCAAGCTTTGGAGCGATTCGAATCTAGACGCACCGATGTCTCTCATGATGGCATCATAGGCGAGTTGAACCGCCGCCGAGAGAGGTGTCACCTGCCCGCCATCGAGAACACGCTCTTGGCCGACGCTCTGCAGAAGAGTCACCCACTTGCCGAGCTGTTTTGTCAACTTCTCAACGACCCACTCGGCCTGGACCCAAGTGGTCACCCTGCTCTAGAGCTCGCTACGGTCGAGCTCGACGACGTTGGCAAATCAGGTGGAGCTGCCAAAGGCGAACAAGGTGACACCGAGACCTACGAGATCGAACAAGACGAGGGAGGCTTCTCGCTCGAGGTCTACCTCCGCATCGTCCGGCTCACCCGAGAACGCTCTCTCGAGCTGCTCGAGCAATGGAAAGATCGTTATCCCGTTGACTGGTGGCATATAGGTACGTCCGCGTTCGAACGGAATGCGCAGCCCCGCAAATCGCTAAGAAGGTGTTCCGTCTGCGCGCAAACCTCACCGTCTAGAGACGAAACGACAGGCTTGGGAAACGGCAGACGAGATGGTATCGTGGATATATGCGGGCGCGACCATCGCCACTACAGGTACGTGTTACTCAACCGAACGCGAATGCAAACGCCTTTAAGCAAACCACTGACGACTGATTCCTCTCTTTCGGTACAGCTCAAGGACGGCTTCAACACGACGAAACCCAAACGCAAGGTAGACGAGCGCGATTTTCGAGCATGCTCCGCCCAGACGAGTCCTTCACCGTTTATCGCATCCCTGCTCTCGCCGTTGCGGACCTCGGTAATACGCCTGGTACCACGTGTCAAGACGTGTGGGACATTCACCCTGCAGTACTCGTCGAGATGGACCTGATCGCTGCAATGTCTCGTGAGCTGAGCTTGAACTCGGCATTTGGAGGTCCATCCTTTGTGCGATGGAGGGATTCCACCGAGGTTCGAGACATGGTTGCTATAGTCGATTCTCTGCTTTCCGACACGTCTCCCTCGGATCAAGACCCAGTCGTGCTGGCCCCGGATCCAGCGTTACGAGAGGAGTTAGACGGACACTACAGGTATGTCTGCGCGCAGAAGAAAGATCAGGGTTACAAATATCTGACAGAATGTTTCCGTATGTCAATCATTTCGACTCTATAGGATGATGCGCGAGGTGGCAGCCGAGGAGCACATGAAGCCGATCTCATCTAGAGCTCTCGAAAAAGCAATCGACGCGGCGAGCCTCACAACGAGGCGGGTCGGTGGTGATGGTACAAGTCTCTTTCTCAATGTCGCCAAGGATATACCTATAAGAGACGCTTTCTCGAACGCGAGTTGGTACGGACCCGTAGCTGGAGCCGCATCTCGATATTATCGATATGCGGGCCCAGATCACGGGCCATTTGTCGACTTCTGGGCAGTGTGCATCTGTCACATACTCTTCCGGCTCTTCCTTGGATTCTTTTGGAAGACGCTCTCTATCCTGAGACCAAGGGTCATCATCTGCCAGTCGGACAAGGTCTGTCAGATCTTGCGATCCAACAAGGCGTCGGTTGAAAACGTGCGCGAGCTGAGCGGCAACTCGGGATCGACCGAGGACGACTGGACCGACCAGGCTGACGGCGATTTCATTCGCTGTTGGTTGGGGAAAATTACCCTCGTTCAACTCGCCGACGGCCAGTGGTCGCTGCTGTTGCATCGGTTCCACTGCGGCTTGATGTCGTATCGACCCGACCTCACCTGGCACCTGCATGAATTGAACGTCCTGGTCGCTCTGAAAGGCAGGATCCTCTTCGAGCTCGCGGCAGACCAGGCAACGTGGAGCAAGTCGGCTGCGTCCATAGTACAGGTCAGTTTACGATCAGCAGGCACATGTTTTCAAGCTTACTTTGTTGCTGACATTGATGTCTCGTCTGCCTGCATATCCCACGCTACAGAAGCAAAGCGAAGAGCTTTTCGAAACGATCGGCCTGAAGAGTCTTTGGGAAGAAAAGTTACAGGTGCAGTCGCATTCAGACGGAGCCCCCATCCTAGCAAATCATTGACGGACATATACTATCTCGGCGAAACGCTCGCTCGACAGGTGTACCTTGAACTTCAAACCGGCATATTCAGTCTGTCACGCTGCCGAAAATCCGATGAAGACTTCGATCAGCTATTGGAAGAAGCTCTGATTCGGGGTGCCAGAATGGCTCAGATCCGTCAAAGGACCCTGGATGCAGCTGTGACTGCAGCTGGAGAGCCTAGTAGCGATGAAAGATTGGAGCAGATTCACGATCTCGCCCAGTCTTCTCACGCACCTTGCCCAGACGGCATGTCGGTGGGAGATTCGGACTGGAAATTTTGGCTCGAATCGAGAAAGATGGGCTGTGTCCTTGCCGAGTCGGCTAGGCGTCTCTGTCTCCAGCAAGATACGGACGAGTTGAAGCAAGCAGCCGCCCGGGCTAGGAAAGCTTTGGCAAATGCACAAGACAGTAAGTATCGATTTGGTCTCCAATTTCTGTTGTTGCTGCCTTGTTCGCCGGCCGAGTCCCGATTTGGTACACAGAGCGTCGTTTGTACCCTGGTTACACGTCATATCATAAACCCGAGGACGTCTTGATGTGGCTCGCCAATGTGAATACCGCGACTGCAGCCCGGTCGAGTGTGGTTACAGGTGCGTGAATGGTGGACGTAACCCTCGCCGGCACGGTTTCTGACACAATTCCCGGTCCACCACAAATACGCCCAGCAGGATACAGGCTGGTCACGTGTCGGATCTGTCACAAAGTCGGAATCATCAAGGGCCAGATGGCTATGCATTTCTGCATGAAAGACGGCCAACTACTTCAGGGGGAAAAGATCACATACAGAGAGCCACACTTGGAGATCGTCAGGTTGCTCATCCCTGCACAGCTTCTAGTCCACCCGGTATTCGGCACGCGACTACAAAGTTGGGCGGCGGAAAGGGGTGATACGATCTCTCTGGAAAGGTCAAGATGCTGTTACGAGAATGACATTCCTTCCGGTGCGTGCTTGTCGCCATACACATAATCGGTTCCACATCTTGACACTCGACACTTCCTCATTGGTCACCAGTGCTTTACATGACCCTGAAGGAACAGGAGAATCTGCCGGAATTTGCGGAATTTTACCGACTTCAACAGGTAAAGCCCGTGGTCTGAAACGGCACCCGATCCGTCATGGCCAGCTGACTATGGTGTACGTTCGAGCAGATCGTGGCCGTTACTGTGGAATACCAAGTGACCAACGGTCAAAAGACACTGGAACAGATTCTTTGGCGTCCACACCACGACGATCACATCATCAGCCGGCACTATTTAACAATGGCCAAGATCAACAAGCTGGAACGCAGGCGACGAGGCGGAGGATCAGTATCTCCAGACCGCCAAGACGATTTGCCTCTCGATTACACACCACCAGCCTTCGACCCTTTCACCTGGAACTCCGTAGAGGACTTGGAAAGTCTCGATACTTAGTGTGAAACGACACTGTCTATACGCGCGCGCTTACGCCACGATCCATTCACGATGAACGTTTACCGGTCTATGGGCCACCTATGCAAATTACGACGTTGTACTGTCTATCATTATGTTGCTGCCTTTCTCATAGCGGCGCAGTGAGTCCTTGTCGTTGAGATGGCAGACCTGCCTGCCGGGGCTTGTTGTGATTTAGCGCGATCAAAATGTGAGACATGCCTTTGATCAAAAAAGTGTGATGGGAGCGTCTTAACTGATTCGGAGGACAACGATCGCAAACATCTTGACATGTCCCGTATACTTTGTGAACCTTTTCTGTACACTATTCAATCACATTCAATCATGCCAGACATCCCCTTTGCTGAAAAGAGCTTCCAGGATGCAGGCAACCATGCCAAAAGCTGTATCAAATGCACTGTCGATGGCGGTGAGTGTTTCACATCATATTTCATCAGTGCAAAACCTCACAATTCGGTCGTTCAGGTCCTAAATGTACAGGAGGACCATTCTGCGGAACTTGTTCCTCTAGGGGCTTAATTTGCGTCTTTCCACCCCCAAGAAAGGCAGCACAGCTCGCCAAAAAGCACCCTAAGCTGCTGATCAAGAGGACCGGAGAAGACAGGTGAGAACGCATAGCCTGAGCGTCGTTGCCTGGTATCTCACCTTTACCTTGCCCGATGTCCAACCTTTACTCGTAGGCCTGGACAACAGAAGCGACAGAGGACGCGGTGATTGAAAGCTGCTGACCAAGAGAACTGAAGATCGTAGGTAACATCTTATAGCCTGAGCGTCCTTACCCGATATCTAACCTATACTCGTAGTCCTACACAACAGAAGCGAGAGAGGCAGCTGTGACTGAGGTCGAGACAAGGACGTTGTATTCATATACTCAGGCCCGATCGTACCGTCGCCATATCGTAATTGAGGTTCTGAGCGGCCTCCCGATGAGAAGCCTCTCCAAGCGAGTTTGAAGTCCCTCGTCAATGCTCTGGTCAATGCGCTTAGTATCCGACCTACTCGCACATGCGGAGCTTTCCACATCCTGTCCTGTCTTTCCACAGTTCTGGCGGTGTCTAGTCTCGTCCTCAAATAGTACCAAGTACTCGATCAATCACCCAGGCCTGCGTTGCGCCTGTCGGCGCCAAGACCTCTGTCTGCAATGCCTTCCATGCAATACAGCTCCCGAATGTCATCCTTCACCTGCTGCCTCACACGTAACAACACTGTCTGCAGCCGACCTGATGTCACGATTCTATATGCGGCTGTTAGTCGCTCATATCAGCATATTAGGCCCTGCTGAGCTCACCGCTCTTTCCACCCGGGACGGTGTCCACGGGTTCGACGTCTCGACGGGCTTCGAAACCCGGTCGCGTAGGGTTCCAGTTGTGACTCGAACACGGTACACCCGCCGGGGTCCAACTTCCAAGACTCGCCACGCTCGAAATCTTGCAGAAACCTTCTCTTTTCCGCGTTTCAGTCGATCCCCGCGGAGTCAAGGGGAAACCTCCCGCAGCGACGCGCCAGCCCTTGAACTCCTTGCGGCGTCCTTTGTGGTCGGCCCCTGGGTCACCCTCACCGCATCCCTTTGATACGCCCCCGTTTGATAATGTTCCACATTCCCCTCAAACGTGTTCCATCTTTCGCATATAATCCATGTCGCACAACGATGTTCTGTGACCAAAATTGGAGACCACTTTGCGCCAACGCAGGAGTAGATCGACAACTCGCGCCACTTCACATTCGAAACCATGGGCGTCGGAAGCTATACCAACGCGGCTCTCAGCCAGCCTGTCATCGCCCTAGGTATATCGGGTCTCAGTCTATTACTTCTTGTTATCGTCCTACTCTCGGTACCGGGGCCCGTCGAGAGCCTCTACTGGTTCGAGATGGACTCTCCAACTGGCGAAGGCGCGGTACTCAAGACGGGAGTCAATGGGTGGTGCTGGGCTGGAGTAAGTCGAGGTCAAGATCTTCAACGCTTTGTAGCGCGAGCTGAAACTCTCGACTCGCGTATAGACCAGCAACTGCACCTATGCCGCTTTGAGGTAAGCTCGAGTTGCGCCTGGGACCTTCTGATAGCCGGTCGCTAAGTCGAATCACATCGCCACTCCAGCGAAAATCCCTACCTAGACCAAATATTCGACGTCGGTTCCGCCATTACGGTCAAAACCCTGGTCCCCTTGTCCTGTTACTGGACGATCATCGCCGTCGTCTTCTGGGCAGTCTTGACGGTGACCGCGCCTGCAGGCTACAGGGTCATCGGCACAGAGCACCTGGCGCGACATCTCTATTTCAACATAATCGAGGTGGCCGTGCTGTGCATGCAACTGGTGAGCTTGTTCCTGAATTCCCCATGATCGACAGTTCGATGCCTAAAAACTCCTCTTCTTCTCCTGGACAGTTCGGCTGCATCCTCGCATGGCTCGCGTTTGGCTCAACGCACAACTCGTTCTCCACCTTGAAACGCAGCAGTGTGGAGATTCGGGCTGGCAATGCGATGTCGACCATCGCGGTCGCCGCAACGATCTCGATGCTAGGCTTTGGCCTGGGCGCATACGGTATCCATCGACGTATCAAAGAGGCCGACCGGGTGTGGAAGGAGGAAAACTACCACGCCAACCTGGTGAACATGCCTCAACCTGAGCTTCCCGGCAGAGGGATCGAGAACCGCCCGGGGTCCGGAATCATTGGCCAATTCCGCGCTTCACGCGTGTCGTCGTACGCCGAACAAGACCCGCAGCAGATCAAGGCAAGGTTGTCCGACTACTCCGAAGCCCAGAGAGAAAAGGGTTCCATGCAATTCGGTACGCGGACCGCTCAAGGTCGAACCATGTCGGAAAATCCCGCAGTCGTAATCGTCGATGAGAGAGGCGAAGAAAGCCTGATCAGCGATCAAGGACAGCATGACAAGCTCGACGAGGAATATGCTCACCAGGTCAGAAGGTGAGCGAGGTGTGACGTTCCGCCGCCGGGGACACCAGTCGACCTGCTCGATTTTGCCAGGATGAGCCTATCTGAAGCTGGCCCCTACACCGCGGCAACCAAGCCTCCTGCAGCTGCTTAGTAATGTGACGGCGTGCCCATGTCTGTTGCGGCGTTCTTATTCGATTTCTTGCATGTATATCTTGTACCCTTGGCCCCTGAACCACCGGTCTTATCACTTCTTCGAAGCTGCTTGCGCCGACATTGGTGTACGGATTATGGCTTTGCGCCGTAGAATCGTATAGTTGTAATTGTACATTCGACTGACATCGACCTCTCAATATAGAATACACTGTTAGCTCACACAAGCAACAACTCGTATTGTACAACATTCGGTAGCTCGTACGTCACCCATCAATTTGGGGCAATATCGTCCTGTGGTCGTCGTCGTTTCGGCTCACGCCGCTTCTTCCTGGACTTCCCGCCGCGTGTGATCGCCCTTGATAGCTTCCTCAGAAGTCGTTTCGCCCGCTGTAGCAGCCGGTCGAAGCCTCTGCAGCCTCTCCTCGATCTCCCTGTCCTCTCGCGCTCGTTCCACAATTCGCTCTTCTTCCCGCTTAGCATCGCTCTGACGCTCGATGTCCTCTTCCCGCTTCTTCTCCTGCACCAACCCTTCCAACTCCTTCTCCAGGTCGTCCTCGTCCACATCGACCCCTGCACTAGACCCGGCGAGGGCCAACTGACCGCCACTCTGGATAGCCTGATCGATCTCCTGCTGGTCTGCGAGAGCGTCCGCCAAGGCATCCATGGTCGCGTCCACGCGATCTCGCTGAAGCGCCGGGTTCGACAAGACGGAACGCAGGGTCGAGGTCGACATTTCGTAGGCCTTGATGATCTGGTCCAAATACAATACGAGAACACACGTTACCAGGTGAGTAAATTTCGGATAACCGATTCGACGGGGACTCCACACATACCTCGGCGTCCCCTTGGGCATTATCGATTCCTCTTAAGACCGTCCTGAGCTGTTCGGCCGCCCCGACCCGTTTCTCTAGAACACTCTCCAGTTGCTTCTTCGATCGGAGGTATGAGAGGGCGATTGTTTTCTGGTTCTGCTTCAAGAACGTCGAGGCTTTGGTCTGGGCACTGCAGAGAGAGAGGCGATATACCGTCAATTCGGAACGATCACTCTCCATTTTTGACGATGCGACGGAGATGAACGAGGAGAGAAGGACCTACCTAATCATCTCCTCGTGAATACCTTCAATCTGCCTATCAAGCTTGTCTAGCGTAGCCATGATCGCTACCGTTCCCCGATCCGCTTCTGTGACCTTGACGTCGCTAGGGTCTGTGCCTAGAGGTACGATCTTGTAGACCTGTTATCCCAAGCCGATGATGACGGGACAGCAGAATGCAGACTTTCGCTGGTCAGCCACAAGTGCTCCTCGAAGGTGTAACTCGGCCTGTTGCTTACCTCGCCCTTCTCATCGGCCACTAACACCTTCTTGTCCCGTTGCAGATACCTCAACAGGATTTTGCAATCTCTCTCGCTGATTCCGACCTGCTCTTGATCTTTGCTCGACCCCGAACGTGAACAGGAAGGCAGTACCATAGTAGAATATCGGCTGAGGAATGAGCTCGTAGTAAGAAGGTGTGCCGATGGGGTCAGAGGTGGGGAAGAGGCGAGGTGGGAGATCAAGTTCTGAGCGACTTCCTGATGGGTTTAATAGGGAATACAAAAGTCAGATGGTCAGTCGATGATTCATCCAGATTGATCAGAGAGTAATGCTCCATCGTGAACCAGGCTCACCTCGACCAACCCAAGATGAACCACCCTGACGCCCCTCAACCGTTTCCATATCTTTTCCTCATCAACTCCTTTGGGCGACGACGAGGCTCCGAACGGGTTCAGCTTGGAGAGACCCCACCAGAGCGGAGCGGTTATGAGTCTAGAAGTGAGCGAAGGGGTTTGAGAGATGGGATATGGGGAAGAAAGGAATGAAGGAAGGGGGAGATAATTGGGTGGCGTTGACGAGAGTTGCGAGTCCTACGGGACGACAGATGGTAAGGAATACCGCACGCGGAGATTGAGCTGATCAGCACGAGAACAAATCGGTAGCATACCTGAACACTGCAAACTCAACTCACGACGACGCTTGCTAACCCTTTTGGCCTTCCCGTCCCCGTCAACCCGCCCGCAGTCCACTCGAACGCCCTGCCTAATGCCTCCTTGTCCACCTCGAACCCCAGCCTGTCGACCGTCGTCGAGTCCGAACCACGTCCGAGCAATCCTTCCCTGAGAGATTCCTCCAATACCGAGGACCACCATCGTAGATTGGCTTCGTAACCCGCTGGGTTGGTCAGCTCCTGGTTAGAGGTGAACGTATAGAGGGCCTGTAGACGGGGTTGCGAGGGCGTTTGTAGGGTCGATGAATCTTCCAGAAGTTGTGCTAGAGAAGTAGGTGGAGCCATAGTGGCTGTCGAGATTTAAGAGATCTTTGTAAGCACAGTCTCAAGATGTTGGTTCAGAGGACATCGCATATTGATGAGACCATCCTGATGGCGAGAATGATATGTTTACGAAGTCGCAGACTCCATAATCACGTTGCGGATCGCTGACATAATGCGTATTCGTTATACGCGTCCGACCCGAATGCCGTCACCTTTCCCGGCTGACGTCACCCTGCTATGCCCGAGGGGCGATCTGACCCGCCTTTGCCGAAATAGCACGGCCTCCCCTCTCTATGTCCCCACGATATACACAAACTACTATCAGAGCATTCATCATCATCATTCCATCGCCTCATCGTCTCCAATACTATCACATTCATATCATACAGTTTGACCTGTCCCTAAGCACATATCCATACCTCCTCAAATACCCTCCCTCAACAACCTGACGTTCACACCATGGGCGAAATCGAACTCGGCCAATACATCGTCGAAAGGTAAGGTCAAAGGTCTTGATCGAAGGTATGCTGTTTGTGCAGTCCTTACACTGACTCATCGATCGTCGACAGGCTCAAGCAACTAGATGTCAAGCAAGTCTTCGGTCTTCCAGGTAAGCCGGACGCTCGTTGTCGAGGAAGTGCCGTTTGTCTATCCGCTCTAAATGCTAATCGGTATCGCCGTGCGATCATTCGTTTGTAGGCGACTACAACCTTGACTGGCTGGACTTCATCGAAAACGACAAGGTTAGTAGCTGAGACTACCTCTGTTCAGTTTGAGATTTATACATAACGTCTACAACTTTTCTTCCTCGCAGGACATTCACTGGGTCGGATCGACTAATGAGCTTAACGCTTCGTACGCGGCGGACGTGAGTTTGCTCAAAAACACCTTTCGAACATATTCAGTTTGATACGGATGCTGAAATCGTTTGACCGTCTCGAACAGGGATACGCTCGAGTGAAACACAGTCTAGGTGTGGTTGTCAGTGAGTACCAAATGGGTTGAATGTATTCCGGAGTAGACTTTATATACCAACTTATTTCCTACGCTGTCCCATTTTCCAGCCACGTTCGGTGTTGGTGAACTCTCGGCCTTGAACGGTATCGCAGGCGCCATGTCTGAACGTGTCCCCATCTTGCACTTGGTCGTGAGTCCGCTCGACAAGCCCAAACTCGCTCGATTATCTTGAGGAAGATGGCTAAAGAAATGCCTGTCACCTCATCTGACAGGGAGTCCCCTCGACCTCGCTCCAGGCTAACAAGGCCATCTTGCACCACACCCTAGGCGGTTCGGGCACTTTCAACTCGTTTGCGGAAATGTCCTCGCATATCAGCAGCGCCGTCGGTATCCTCAAAAAGAACACCGACTGGACGACCGAGATCGACCGCGTCATCACTTGCGCTTTGACCGAGTGCAGGCCCGTCTACTTGACCCTTCCGACTGATCTGGTTCACGCCAAGGTCTCGGATGCGCCTTTGAGGGAGTCCAAGCTGCCTCGACCTCATTCGGCGCCGGTCAGCGATGAGCTGGGAGACGAATCGACCCAGTCGGACGTGCTGAAACATTGCATCGCCGAGATCTCGGAGAGGTTCGAGAAGAGCAAGAACCCTATCGTCGTCGTCGACATCTGCGCCGACAGGTTCGGATGCGGGCCCGAGCTGAAAAAGTTGGTCGAGGCTACGGGAGTTAGGTTCTTTGCCAGTAGGTGGCCGGTTGAAAGATATATTGGTTTTCCTGGCTTGGAAGCTCATATTATTTGTCTCGCAAATACACAGCCCCTATGGGAAAGTGAGTCCGGTCGACTTGCTGTAGATGCCTCCTTTCGTGCTCTCAAGCTCACCCAAACTGATCATACTTGCAGATCGGTGTTGGACGAGGATCACACCCTGTTCGGTGGTACCTACGCCGGTGCAAACTCGCTCCCTGCCGTCAGACAAGAGATTGAGAATGCCGATTTCGTCTTGATGGCCGGCAAGTTGGAGAGCGACTTCAAGTAGGTCGTGCTGAAGGGTTTCTCGCCGATAGGAATCTGGGCGGACATAGGGCTGATTCTGGGTTGAGGGTTATTTTTACAGCTCCGGAAGCTTCACCTTCCAGTTGCCCGTCAAGGTGGGTGCTTAGTCATTTCACTCTCGCGGCCAAACATCTAGCTAACGCTCATGTTGTAATCGTCCCAGGACACGGTCGAGCTCCACTCGTTCGAGACCAAGATTGGCTACGCATCTTATCCCGAATGCGACATCCGGACGATCCTGCCTCACCTGACCCGAGCACTGGGCCAGATCGTCAAGAAGAACGGTGGACCCAAGCAAAAGGACGAGAAGCTTATCGAGAAGAGCAAGAAGCAGAGGGAAGAGTTGGGTCAGGTGCCAGAGCCTGACTCCAAGGCTATCAAGCACGATTGGTTCTGGCCCAGGATCGGAGCTTTCTTGCAGCCTAACGGTTAGTTCAACCTCGTATCCGAGTTGGCAGGTGGTCGGTGAAGCTGATGTACATCCAAAAAAAAGATATTGTTATCGGAGAAACCGGCACGAGTAGTTTCGGACTCGTAAACGTTCCTTTCCCTAAGAACGGTTCATGCCTGACTCAGACCCTCTGGGGTAGTATCGGATGGGCTACCGGAGCAACTATGGGCGCCGTTGTGAGTCGCTAGCATGTCATCAAGCCGGGATTGTTGCTTACGCTCTGCTCTGCCTTGTCGACTCAGCTCGCCGCCAACGAGGCCAAGGAGAAGAGGAGGACCATTTTGTTTACTGGTGACGGGTCTATCCAGCTTACCTTGCAGGAGGTCGGCACGATGATCCGACGTAAGACCTGCCCGTACCTCTTTGTGCTGAACAACGATGGGTGAGCCTTGGTTTGAGAAGCGTGTTATTAACGACGACTGATCGATGTGCTCTCATTCGTTCTCTAGCTACGAGATCGAGCGACAGATTCACGGTCCCAAGGCCGAGTACAACGATATTATGATGTACGACTGGCAGAAGATGTTGCCGTTCTTTGCCGGAAAGAGCGTTAGTAACAATGGCATCGAACGTAACTCGGAACTTTCAAACTCATGGTTGCATCCCTCACAGACCCACCCTTACCAATCTTTCGAGGTTCATACTCCGGCCGAATTGGATGAACTCCTGAACGACAAGGAATTCAACGTGGCCGACAAGCTGAGACTGATCGAAGTCTACATGCCTCGGGGCGATGCGCCCGCCGGGTTGATCCGCCAGGCTCAGTTGACCGCCGAGGCCAACTCGAAGATTTAGAGACGGCACTGGCGTGTTGTCTCAAGAGTGACAGGAGAACCAGCAATATTCCAATCAAGTCAAAAGTCAGCCATTATAGAGAGCTACTAGAAACCGTCGATACAACTTGTCAAATAAAATAGAACCGTGTGATACAGTCAACAATACTCCGCTCGTCTCGTTCAACCCAGGACGACCAAGATTTCGTCCAAAATCTCATCTACCCGCTCGTCCTGCCGAACCAAATTTGACACCGATAGCTTGTTCTTCTCTGGCCGATAAGTGCCGGCGGAACCGACGGTGGTATAGAGGATGCGTTCCCGAAGCGGTCGCAATTCCACCCGATGCCTGATCAGGTTTCTCCATAGCCGTCGAACGTCCTCCTCGGTGGCATACCATTCCTCCCTCTCCATGGCCTCTTGCAGCTTTTTCCTCTGATCGTATTCTCTTCCCTTGATATCCAGATTGAGAAGGTCGGGTCGCCACGAGAAAGGCCGAAAGAGGATCCTTGAGATCCTGACAAAGGTTTTGAAATCGCTGATGCTGGTGCTGCCAAACGTGCTGTACAAGTGCGGGTGATGGACGATGGTACTGGTCAAGTCGGATATCCGGAAACGTAAGGGAGGGTGCATGTGCGTCTTTTCCGAGAGTCGACGCAGTGTCCGGAGTAGCTGTAACGACGTCAACCTGGATAAGTCTAGGGTTTCGTCATTGATCACTAAGCGATGTTTGCGTACCTTCCCGTCTATCAAGGGTTCACCCTGCTCTGACTGTACCGAGAAGTCTTCGAAAATTCCACCGTCTTCTCCCAAGACCGTCTCCTCGGCAGCCAAGCAACTAAGCGCAAACTTGTCGATGAACCACCCAGGAGCCTCGCTATTTCCACTCTCGGCCACTCCCGCATCGTCCCTCTCCCTTCTCGCATTCTTACGGCTCGACTCTCGCTGAGGGACCCTGAGTGACCGTGCCCGTTGCCTCGCACGGCGCGGAACCAACGAAGGGCGAACGTAGATCAGAAAGAATCCTTCAGGAAGAGGTTGAGATCGGTCCCGTTTCCCTTCCTCTGGCCGTGCTAAGGGATCGACCGCCTCTTTCCCCACATCGACGTCGTACTTTTCGACCCATTTGACCTGCCTCTCTTCGAGGATCTCTAAAAACTTGAGGTACACGCCATGTCGAGCGTCTTCGAGGCCTCTAACCACAAGGACTTGGGGTATATCAAGCTCGGCTTCGTCGTCCCCATAGATCGAAAGATTCGACCGGGTGGAAGCTCGAGAAGTGTTCGAGGACACGGTCCCATCGTCAACATCGACGTCGACGATCTGCGCCGCTTGATGATGACTTTCAGATGACATCGTGTTCGAAGTCTTGTTCGGAGGGGGGAGGACCGGTTTGGTCGAGTTGGCCTGGATCGCTTCGTCCTTCGGGCGATGTTTGCTAGGCTTGAAACGTGGTGAACGGATACTGCTTGTATGTACTGGTCCTTGGTGGTGCCCTGGTTCTACTTCCTGGGCTTCGCCGTTGCTGGTTGAAGATTCCAGTGCAGCAGGAAGTGGCAGTGAAGGGAAGACGGCACAAGGTAGCTCGCTGGCGGTCCATCGGGATGATATTTTGCTCGCCCTACACGTCAAGGCAAAGATTGCTGTACATATCTATGATCGATGAAGTCAACGCACCGGTCACGTCGTTTCGGATACGGGATCGACCGACTTACGATCTTACACATTGACGAGACCCTCTCGAGTCTATCCTGTAACCGTCTCTCCCTATCCTTCCTGCTCGTACCCACTCGCCCATGAATCCTCTGCCGCCCGTCGTCATCTATTTCGTCCTCGATATCCACATCCACATCGACTATCAAGTTCCGCTGACCAGCTATCAGGCACAAGAGGATTCCCAGAAAGATGTTCTTGTCGATGACAAGGTCGTCCGGAAGATGTGATTCGAGGTGGTGTATCAATCGAGCGAGATAGTCCCGAGACCCTATCAGAGGCAGCATTTGAACATGAGGAGGTACACCTGACGGATCTAGAAGGTGACATCTAGCTTCAATGTTCAGAGGTTGATGAAGATGCATGGTGACGATGGAGGTGAACATGGGCAGGACATGGGTAGGCGATGATGATGTTGACAAAGTGATGATCGCTAAATAGCGAATATGCGTTATTTCCAACGACATGGATTCTGACGTTTCATCCTATAAGCTCTACATGCACACCGTGCAAAGTCAGCCTGTTTACTCCGGCCTGAATAGGTTCATCACACCTAATCTCACCCTAATCTAATCCAGGACCTAGCTCAAACAAGGCATAAACAGGTATGGATGAACCTATTCTGCTACTGTTTAGGATGGGGTAAACAGGCTGACTTTGCACGGTGACATGCAATGCTCGTGACGCATTCAATTTGGATATGACAGACTCCTGCGGCTTGAAACTTGGCACACCATACGCCTGCTGTCGAAATGCATGTCTCATCGAGTTCCGCCCAACAGCTTTTCTGCCCAGAAGACGGCCTCTCTCAGCCAGACTACCATTTCCCGTAGACCAGTGGGCTTGTCGTCATTGCTGACACTATTGGACGTGACTTTATCGACCTGCTTTTCCTCGACTAGAACTCCAGATGCGGCGAGATCTATAGTTAGTTGGATAGGTCGACGTCTTGAGCTGGTTGTATCTTCACAGGCAACGACGAATGCACTGGACTTGCCTTCGACCTCCCGCTCCCACTTCGATATCAAATCCTTCAAGTCCTTCAACCAACCCTCTACATCCACACCTTGCCTGTCCTCTTCTCTATTGATGCGGGCCGTTTCGTTTAGTCTCGTCCGAGCCCCCTCGTCCATATGCTTGCGCGCCCTTTCGTTATCACGGGCGATATCCTCGGCATCTTTGCGACTGAAATGGTATAACATGTTTGTACTCCCTACGATCCACTCAGGGTAGATCGAGTCGGCTATCTCTAGCACGGTCGCCGTCCGGATATCGGACTCGGTGGTCGGAAGCCCAAAGATTGTAGGTGCAAGCGTTGTCCAGAAACTTTTACGATATTCCTTTTGATCCTGGAGTTTTGCCCCGACGCGGCGTTAACTCATAGCGATAGGTCCTAATCGTAAACGAACGCTCACCATCCTAATTATCTTGCTCAGATCCTCTGAAACAATCTTCAATCCTATGGTTCTCGCTTCCACAAAAGGGTTCATCTCCGATATGACCTGTATCCGCCATCCATGCGGTATGCTCAGCTTCTTACAGGAACGACCGAAAGTGTACAAGACAGCAGGGAAGACGCACCTGATCGCACAGTCTGGCCCATCCCTCAGGAGACCCGACTAGTCGGGGAACCCGACTAAGCAGCCGTTTCAGAGCGAATTGTCTAGGTGATCCAGGGTTTTGTGTAACGATTGGCATGATCCACTATCATCGAGAAGAAGGCGCGCAATTTGACGATCCAAGTACGGAGTTTTCAGCCCTTGTGAACCGAGGCCATGTCTGACGGCGATGAGAGCAGGAGAGGAAACCGAGATGACTCACCTCGATAACCATCTCCGCCGTCTCCTCCTCCAACCATATATCCCTCACGTTTCCATACCACTGTCGGTCCATCCTTATCGTGTCTACCATAAGCCAAATCCAGGTACACCCAGCATCGACTGCCAAGCCTTGCGTCGCAGACCCCAACGCTGCGGTCGATTGATCCAGCATCATACGTTTTTGTTCTTTCAGAGCTTTGATACGTATCTCCTCTTCTTCCTGGTCGGTACAATTCGGGTGTCTCGATGTGTCCGCATTCAGGTACCTTGCTGTAAGCTGGACTTGAGAGGGCGAGGTTAGGAGGATGAGTGCGGTATGAGGTAAGAATCCCGTTAGTCGGTGTGTCACTAGCTGAACGAGTTGTAGTGTGGTTCCGTAGCCAAAAGCAGCCAGTGCGGTCTGTCACGAGAATGACCAGATGAGCATCTCCACTCCTTGCCATTCGTCCATCTCGGCAACTGCGACTGACCTTGATCGCATTGCCTACCTCCGCTTCGACTCCGGGTCGCGCATCGTCCTCCTCTTTGAACCTGTCATAATCGCTCGCTGCGTACGACCCGCCCCTCCCGCTCAGTTCGCCGCTATACAGCGTGAACCATCTATCCAACGCCTCCCATTCGAGTTTCGAGTGCAAAAGGACCACCGCCTGTCCCATCGGTCGAATCACTACTGCCTCTAACTCCTCCTTTGTCTCTTCTCCTCCTGCTTCCAGGGCTAAATCGTCCTTATTCCGAAGTTTGGGCTTGACCGCCCCGGATTCCCACACGATTGTACAAAACCTAGCTGTCCCGATGATCAATCCGCTCAAGCCCGAGATGGAGTATGATGCATCGGCATTGACGGCCGTGTAGACTTGTTGTACGAATTCGCCGAGAGTGAGGAGGATTGAACGGACGGGCTCGGAGGGCGGTTTACGGACGGAGGGGTTGACGAGTGCTAAATCATGGAAATGGGCGTAAAATGATTTGCAAGTCAGAACTTGACGTTTTTTTGTCTTACGGTCTCTGTAGGAATCAATCCTGACACTTACCTCGACCAAGCACTTCCAGGCAGAGTAACACCCTTCGGATCAACCCGTCCAATGTCGTCCTGCTCTTCCCAGCTAGACTGGCCTTGTTCCCACTGACAGCACCATCGTCTCCAACATCCCCTGCTTCTTCCTCGTCATCATCCTCCAGGTTCAAGTTGGCGAGAGCCAGATCGCCCTTCACGCTCGGGCCCTCTTCCTCTTCTTCATCGTCACTTGTATCTTCATCCTCGTCCTCGTCGAAAAGGTAACAATCCTCTACATCGGCAATAGCTCTCTCCAGCCCTTCTCCAACGGCGAGCACCATTTCTCTTGGACTAGCATGGTTCCCCAAGAGTTCTGCTACTTTTACGAGCTTTTCGTGTGTCAAGGAGCTCGCTTTTGCCGAGGTAGATTGACCTTCGAGGGTCGGGCTCGAAGTGAAAGAAGGCGCTTGGGAGGTAGGTATCTGGGTGTGATCGGCTACGGTAGCGAGGAGGGGCAGGATATCAAACAGATCGTCATCCAGGATTCTTCCCTACGATGCAAAACGTCGCTGATATCAGCCTCTTTGTGGGTGTGGATCAGGATTTCGGTCAGTCATTCAAAGGGGACTTGCCCGTCTAACTTTCAACTCGTCCGGTGCATTTGCGTAGGGAGTCGCCCATTCGACGTCGGTGCAAAGCTTCTCAAAACGTTCCAGCTCGTCGTGTGACATTTTTACTAGACCTATCATTGACGACGATGAGTAGGTTGTAGCGACTACAATTGTGGGGAATCGCAATCTGGTTCTGACGTTCTGGATCCTATTCAGGGGGCTCAGATACCGTCGCCGTTGAAAGGGGATGATGAATCACACAAAGTAAACACACAAAGGGGGCTGACGTAATCGCATATTGCCCCTACTGCGCCCTGTCGTGCAGGTCTGGCCAGTCGACTCGAGTCTCTCAATGACAAAGGGACTGGCCTGGGTCATCGAGTGTGTCAAAATCTTGTCACGGAATTGCTCGCCGGAACCGCTGCGGGAGTGTTCCACATTTGAGGGCAGGCGAGTCTTTCTCTTACCTCGACGAAGTGTGCGTCTTTCTTTTCTTCCCCAATGAATAGTATTGGGCGTGGTAGAAACTTCCCTAGCTTCCCTATACCTTGTCGGCATTGTCATTACACATGTGTTTTGTTGCTATAGAACGTCATTGCTTTCTGATATCCATTCTACAGTATTCGATCGCCACCGTCCCCAGCTCTGCATCGAATGCTCAATCCTTTTCGAAGCTCGCTGCGAGGTAGCATAGCATCGCCAGATGAGCCCCCAGTGTTCTGCCGCCTAGAGATGTGATCCGAGGATCATTTTGAAGCCTTATGCGGTCTGTCTTTCACCCCCCGAACAGATGTTCATCTACGCAGCCGCAGAGGTCTGTTCGATACGTCGTTGTCGTTGATCTTCATGCATTGTCGGAGATCCGACCCGGCCATGAGATCGCGGTTGGATCGCCCTCACCCCCAACCCTGAGTGTATCGTATCGGTTGACCTTCCACTAGTCTTCGATCTTGAATGGCTCTGAAATCTCGCGAAGCCCGACGAATCGTTGAACGAGAGTGTTCAGACCGTCGGTTCGCCGAGTTGTGCGTCGACCCATCTGCGAGACATTTCGGTACAGATGCTGGACGTTCCGATGAAGACGGCCGACATCGTTAAAGGCTAAGATTGACTGGAGTTTCCTTCATGTGCGCATATCGTGGTGGGACATGCCCTTCGTTGGAACCAGACCTGATGTATCGACTATCGAATTCCAGCTGCTGCTATCGTGGCAATCGAGCCAAGGAGGCTGGACATTGGGTTCTGATATGGAGAGTGATCCGTGAGGATGAACGATGTGTCGAGTAAAATGGATTGGGAAGCTTTGAGCTGGAATGTTGCAATATGGTCGTTTATCTGTTGCATCGCTCGAACACTTTGAATACTTTGAACACTTTGAGACGTTGCAGCATCGCCGCAGGTCCAAAGAGATTTTGGTTGAACGACGTTCTCGTTCTCGCTTTCCCGCGATCACCGGGACGGGACCATCGTCCGCATGCGTCACCCCGGGTATTCGTCATGTCGAGATCTGATTGGCTGTGATGAGAGCTCCCGGTGTTGGCGATCTGTGATCTCTGGCCAATCAGATGCCGGGATCTTGCCCAGAGATCTGGCAACTTCCTTGCGTCTGATGGCCGGATGATGCCGAGATTGATCCGATCGACCCGGTGCAAGCGATCGATTGGATCGGATGCAAATGCGGATGAATGATCGGAAGATGAAAGATAAGGAACACGCGGGGTGATCAGCGTGGAAGAGGAGGAAGGGAACAGAATAGATGCCGAAGCAGCCAAACAGCGAACACGATTGGATTGGATCGGGGGGTCGAGGGCGAGTGGGAGCGGGGGGGACGGAAGGGAGCGGGGCAGGCTGAGCGAACACCGGGTGAAGGTGTGGGTGACTGGACTCTTATCTTTTTCGGGTCAGACGTGGGTTGACGGGCAAGTATATAGAGCGTCACCTCGTCCAGTTCACATCGAACACCCAACCCCACCTCGTCGACCTACTCCTCTCCTTCTTTCTCTTTCAACTTTGCACCTCGCAACCACCTTCTACACCCTTACACGACCCCTTACCACCACCTTATAACGAAGATTATGTCCCACCTCGCCCCCGAGCCCGAATTCGAGCAGGCCTTGCACGAGGTCGCCGCTACCCTCGTACGTCCCAGCCCCTCCCGTTTTCCATCTCTCTCCTCGCTATTGACTTCGCACTCACACTTTTCCATCTTGTCTAATTCGACCCTCGCAGGAGCCCTTCCTCGCCAAGAACCCCGAATACCGAAAAGCCCTCACCGTCGTCCAGATCCCCGAGCGTATCATCCAGTTCCGAGTCACCTGGGAGGACGACCAGGGTCAGCTCCAGGTCAACAGGGGTTACCGAGTGCAGTACAACTCGGCTTTGGGACCCTACAAGGGAGGATTGAGGTTGCACCCCAGTGTCAACTTGAGCATCTTGAAGTTGTAAGTGTGCGAGCGGGAAGCGTATCGTGCACCGCGGAGCTCTCACTTACCTGTGTCTTCTACCTTTCCTCTCTGCTTCCTCTTCCGCCCTTACAGCCTCGGATTCGAGCAGATCTTCAAGAACGCCCTTACTGGTCTCAACATGGGAGGTGGAAAGGGAGGATGCGACTTTGACCCCAAGGGAAAGAGCGACAACGAGATCAAGAAATTCGTGAGTTTCCTGGTGGTCGCCCCCTTGTCGTCAATCGTCTCTGACCAGGAGCTAACCTCGTGCTTCGCTTCGCTCGCCTCTTCGTAGTGCTACGCCTTCATGCTCGAGCTCTCCCGACACATCGGCGCCGACACCGACGTTCCCGCTGGTGACATCGGTACCGGAGGTCGAGAGATCGGTTACATGTTCGGTGCCTACAAGAAGTACCGAAACGAGTTTGCCGGGATCCTCACCGGAAAGGGTCTCACCTGGGGTGGATCTTACATCCGACCCGAGGCTACCGGATACGGATGTGTCTACTTTTTGGAGAGCATGTTGAGGGACATGGACCACACCGACTTCAAGGGAAAGAGGGTCTTGATCTCTGGTTCCGGAAACGTCGCCCAGTACGCCGCTTACAAGGTCATCGAGCTCGGAGGTAAGGTCTTGTCGCTTTCTGACTCGACCGGATCCTTGATCTCGACCAACGACACCGGGTTCACCGTCAAGGACGTCGCCGAGATTGCCAACCTCAAGCTCGAGCGAAAGGCCTTGACCGCGTTCAGCAACACTGGCAAGTTCGAGTGGCACGAGGACAAGAGGCCCTGGACTTTGGTCAACCGGGCCGACGTCGCCATCCCTTCGGCTACTCAGAACGAGGTCAGCAAGGAGGAGGCTCAGGCTTTGGTCAAGGCCGGTGTTCGATACATCGCCGAGGGGTAAGCTCGCCCGGTCTCGCGCGCTTTGTCGATTTCCTCGAAACTGATCTCGATTCATTCTTGGTTGATCGACAGATCCAACATGGGTTGCACCCAGGAGGCCATCGAGGTGTTCGAGGCTACCCGAAACTCGGCCAAGTCATTGGGTGACCAGATCTGTTGGTACGCTCCCGGAAAGGCCGCCAACGCCGGTGGTGTCGCCGTCTCTGGAGTGAGTTCAGGTTCCGCCGAATAGCATCTGCTTCTTGGTCCAGTTTGCTGATGTTTCCACCTCGCCCTGCTCGCAGTTGGAGATGGCTCAAAACTCGGGTCGTCAACAGTGGACCACCGAGGTCCTCGACCAGAAGCTCAAGGAGATCATGGCCAACTGTTACAAGTCATGCTACGAGGTCGGCAAGGAGTACTCGGAGAACGGTCAGACTTTGCCCTCGCTCCAGGCCGGTGCCAACATTGCCGGTTTCTTGAAGGTCGCCAACGCCATGAGGGACCAGGGTGACTGGTGGTAGTCAACTCGACCTCCCCGGCATCAAAACCGAGTCGAGCCAAAAGGAAATAGAAACGTAACGAAATCAAGGGTCTTTTGTGTTTGTGTGTCTTTAGTGTTCTAGTTAGAAGGGGTTTCTTTTGTAGACGGGCCACATCCCTGCCCCACCCTCCGCGCCGAGTAGAGCGGACGGCGCTCCCCGTTCGAGAGAGAATTCGTCCTCACGGGTCGAGCTACGCCATCAAATATCATCTCCATCATCACGACTGCTGTGACCATCGCCAATGTGGTTGTCTCTATTCCCTGCTCATCTTCGGTAATGACTTGATGGGGTGTGAAGGTGCCAAGGCTCCCTGCTTATGACAGCGCAGGATTACCGGGATCTGCCGGATGAAGTAGCAGCTAGGGTGGGCGGGTCAAATGTTACTAAAGTCCGAAGCGGACGACTGAGGTAAGGCGGGATGTTCCCGCTCTGCGAAGGATAAGCGGTCGCCGAGTTCTTGGTGTGGTCTTATATTCAACGGACGTACCGTCAACGGTTCTGTAGATCTGTAGGTTGTGTCGAGATAATACTGCCGATGGCTCTCATCTCTTACTCTCTCATCGGCTGCTTCGAGGGCGCTGCTACTGTCTGCTGCGCACCTAGCATATCCACGAAATGGCTATAGCAATATTCTCCAGCGAACTCAGGGCGGATTTTAGCAGACAAGATCTCACTTCTGCGCGGGGAACAAGATGACAAGAACGGCTTTCGCACATACTCGCCAGCCTACCTGAATCCCAAAGCATCCAGTGACTCGCCAACATCGCTCGCAGCACGAGCCTAGAGTCTTGCTCCTGATGCCAATGGTGTGCTGATGAGGCCAAGGGATGGGACACCAAGAGACCAAAGAAGGCTTGATGCCCTTGATGGTTCCTTCAACTCACTGATCGCGGTTGTCAATAATAATTATATATGGATGGACAGTTTGAAGCCGTGTAGCCATTTTCGAAGAGAATCTGTAACTGATAACTGATCGTTAGTCTTTCTTGCTAAGTTTCTTCGAGCCGTGGACCGACCTACAATTCACGGCGTAGGCCTAAGCTGATGTCCCGCTCCTCATCAACAAGATCAACCACCGTTAGTCGTCATCGACCGATGGTTTTAGCGCTGTTGATCAGCAGATCACCCACGCGGGGAATGTCTCACTCGATCCATATGACGACGCGACCGAGACAGAAATCGATCTCGGATCCACCCGGACCCCGATTTAGGCGAGGAAGTCCGTGCGCCCCGTGCACATGATCAGAAACCCCTTTGAAACAATATCCCGGGACTTTTCTGTGTGTCGATCCTCTCCGGTACATGGGAGCCGAGCGCTTACAGGAAGAACGACGACGACGACAGCGGAGGTCGCGCGCGGAATCAAGAAAAGGATTCGCGTTTCAGCTTCGATCTCGCGTGGGCGACGACGCTGTTGCACTGTTGTTCGTCGTTGGTCGTCTTGCTGTGCTACCGCTCGATCACTTGGATATCACTGGAAACGTTCTCTCATGGCCACGGCAGTCTCCGGCCAGGCATTGCTGTGCGGGGACGCTGGAGACGGGATTGATCGGGATCCTCTCTGAATCAAGTCCGATCTGCAACGGAGAAGCTGGGAGCAGGCGGCAAGTGGATCGTCGTCGGCGAAATTTTAGCTACGCCCAAGCTCAGGAACCGGTTGTTGTCTTTCTATTTGCTGTCGAACAAGAACGTGACCCATGACGATTTTTTTCCATCATCACGTTATTTGTTTTGCTTCGATCGGGAATTTGCTGTGTCACCCTGTTTTGTGGTGCCGACGTGCCGAAGCTTCTCGAGCGAAGAAGTGGGTATATATGTATGTGACGGTGGCTATCCCCTCGACGTCCCTTCCGGTGCCCCTCACACTCTTCACTTTACCGCAACCAAACTTTCACATACGCACACACACGGCTTCTCGCAACACCTCCTTATCGCTGCGAACCGATCACTCTCCGTCCGCTACGACACCACATCATCATCTACTACCAGTCAACCATGTCTCAAAGCGGCAACTCGACTCCCAGGTCTTCCCTCTCCTGCTCGGCCATACTCGAGGGTATGGAACGTAACGGACTGTATCTCGGACTTGATCAACATGGTGGACTAGTAGACTCGGCCGTAAGTTCATCATATCATTCTTCAGCATATCTTATGTCGCTGAAGCATCGTTCATGATACCTTCATGCGACAACAGAGACTCGGCCTGGAAGAAGACTTCCGAACTCGTCTAACCAGCTGGTTCTACGCTCATCCCAACTCTGGTTCACCCTCCGCCGAGAACGTGTCCCGGGAGGACACGATCAAGCTCCAGGTCGACGCTCTGGTGAAGAAGTTTGATTTTACGATGAGGTGCAAGGACGATGACAGGGAGTCGATGTTGAGGGATATGTTGGATCTGGCGAGGATGATGGCTGGTAGCGGGTGGTGATGCGGAATTGATGGGTGAGTCAATCGGAAGATAATCGTTCCACCGCATGCAGCGACTGATTGTCGATGACCGTGTCGTGCATCTCAGCTTCGGTCACAAAGCCCACATCACCCAAAATCACCACTGACGAACAATATCAAACAAGCCAAAAAATTCCGTCACACACCGCCACGCCCTTCATGCCTCCTAGTCTGTGACTTGCTTACGACATTACGATTGTATTAGTACGACCCTTGCACCCCACCGTCATCTTCGTCGCCGTCCTTGCTTTGCCTTGCCGAACACTGTACTTATCTATCACATCACATCACATTACGCATGTCATCAGTCACCAGTTCTCTTTCGAGTCTCGAGTGGTAAAACATCGGTCGTTCGTTCATAAGGTGATCTTTACTGTAGGACCGTCCGCTAGCCGTTCGTGTGGTACGTCAGTTAGGCTCTATCTCAGAGACTCAATTTCACATGATTTCTGATCGCGTACACGCCTCAATTTTAAACATATAATTGGGTTTCAAAAGGTCCGAATGGTGACGACACTCGTACTGCCAGTGTTGTAGGTATCCTCCCTTTCGTCAATGCTGTCACTCAGATTGCTGATCGACTCGATAAAAGATAATACCAAATCGGGATTCGCTTGCATTTCCCGGGCCATGCGGGCCATCGCCGCTTCCACTGTCTCCACTGCAACACCTTGCTCACGAGCTTGGGCCGCAATGATTTTGTCCAGAAGATTCCCCGGCTATACAGTACGCAAAAGATACCCTGTATCTTAGTGTTGGTCTTCTCAACCTGAATAACGAGCACTCACGGTAGGGCGGACAGTCCTCTGTACCAAATCCTCGTCACTCGGGTCAAGGTTCACCCTCATCCAATCAGGAATCTGGTCACCAAACAATGCTATCACTTCGGCCATCTGGACTCTACTGTTCTCAAGACGTATCGAGACAAGTCGATTCAAGATGCCCAGAGTGTCCGTTTCCCAAGAACTGTATGCTCCATACCGCCCCGGCCTCCACCATACTTTCCAATAGGTCTTTCCACTTTCGTCCCACAGATAGAACGTAGACTGTGCGAGGAGCCTCTTCAGCAAGTTGTCGTCCGTCTCCTCGAAAGCCCTGATAATCTTAGGTTCAGCCCAATTGGCCGTCTCAGACATGGTAGGAAGATGGATTGTTGGCGGGTGAGATCAAGCGATCTTGTCTTGAACTGATTCGGAGGTCAAAAAAGCCGCAAAGAGAGCGCTGATTTATATGCTGCAAGGTGGCTTAGCCTTCTTCGTTCAGTGACGACTTTCAATGGCCAGCCAACAAAGGAGGTAGCGCAAACGTCATGTGACATGGTACACATCAACATGCCTTGTGGCCTCATGGGCCGGTCGACGACCGAGAAGCTGACACAAAGGAAGCGTCTGCCTTATTTCATCACAAGATCACAATCCTTACGCCATCGCACAATGGCAGAAACGTAGAGCTGCGGAACCGTCTCCCCCGAGGAACACAGAACGACCTTGTACCCAGAGTGCCGAGAATCGATGCGTATAATATCGTAATATCGACGCCGACGGGCCGACAAGACGGGTTCGCCCGTTCGTCCGTCTCTACGTCTACCCGGGTCTTTCTGTACTGTTACATTCGGAAAACTGGCCAAGGTTTCAATCTCTAGAGGAGAAGCGTTCGTCCAAGGGAGGTGGAAGGATGATGAAAGAGGCTCCGTCCGTTCGGTTCTTGTCGTAAAAATGTAGGCATGGATGGATGATGGGCGATGTTTGTGAGGAGGAAGTGATCGGTAAGGCGATGTAGAAGGATTTTGTTGGGTTCCTTTCGGTAAGAATCGTACGATTTGGTGAGGGCGTGGGCTTGCGGTCGAGCGCATGAATTAGGCCATGTCGACATCCGCGGCTGCACCTTCCCCTGTCGTCCCCGCTCCCGCCGGCTCGTTTGGTGCACCTGCGCTCGTAGCTCCAGCAACAGCGGCGACAACAGGAGGAGGAAGAGGACTGTCCAGCAAGAGGTCTTTCCCACCCACGTCGAGATCCTGCATCGACCCTGATCCTCCAGCCATCTCCGAGCCAACATTCCCACCCTGAGCCTGACCCGACGCGTCCCCGGCATTCGATCCCCAAGGGTTGGACTTGAGCTCGCTATCCCAAGGGTTGTTGAACCTCGTCACCCTAGGCTTTTCTACCAAGACGTTCCTGATCAGTCCGGTGAAATCAACCACAGCAGGCGGTTCTGCTCGACGGGCCTCGTCCTCGTATTCCGTGTTGACGTAGTACCCGACCCGGACGAATTCCTTGTCCCGGTAAGACGCCGTAAGGATGAGGACGGTCACGCCGAGGATCTCTTCAGACGAGGTCGATGGGAGGAGAGAAGGTTGAGGTGGTGCGCAGGTAAAGTCGAACGAGTTGACGCCGATAGGTACAGGACCGACTGTTATGATTGGGGAAAAAGAGGGGTTCAGCTTGGTTCTAAAAGGAAGCCTCTTGGTTGATATCATCGCCTCGAGCTAGACTTACCCATGCAGCTGTCCAATTCCTGATCGTACTCTTCCGACTTGGCGTCTCCTACGTAGAGCAGTTTCCATTCGATGTCTATCGGTATTCACGAGGATGAACCAATTTGAGAAGGAAGCGACCCCGTGATGGATCGTAACCGAAGAAACGGGCCAGCAAGGTATACATTCCAGCAAACAGAAACGATCCGAATTGGTGAACAGAGGACAAGAGCAATGCAACGTATCATCAGCCGCTGTTCATTTCCTCAATTCAGACGCCAATCAAGACATCGAGCACTCACCTTCTTCCAGCCCTTCGACACACTCAAAGGTGATCCTAAACTGATACTCGTCATCAAACCTCGCCGGGTTGTTGAGCAGCTGGATGTTTCTGATATTGACAATAGACTGCGCTCATCAACAAGATACAGCAGACGAAGAGCAGGTATCAGAGAACGTTGGTCAGCCTGAATGCGGGAAGAGCGGGAAGTGAATAAGAGGAATGTGATACGGACCATGTTTGATGATCGACTCGATCGTGGGTTCTTGTACGTGCGAGATTGGTTCTTCTTGTGAGTGTTGCAGTACGTAGATGGATGTCAGATGATTTATGCGACGCAGATATAAGAGTTCGTAGTGATCGTCAGTCAAACGGAGATGTCGAGAATGAACAAGAAGAGAAGAAGAAGGAGAGAGGTCGAGAGGAGCAAGTGGTCGAGACGCGTCAACCCTCATCCCCCTCCATCCACCGAGCGGCGACGCGTAAAGACGCGTTCAATCAAAGAGAGTCTGTCGTGATTTGCTTCCGCGAGTCATTGGCTTCTTGGACGAGCGGACCTACCTGCACCGCCTGACCGATTGCTAGACCTGCAAGGTCCACTTTACCACGAAAAAATGTCGATAAAAGGTGGACATGCCAAGCCCTCCCCTTTGCTTTGGTATTCTAAACCACCTTTCTACCATTGCGGCTCAAAACACCAGCCAATCTTCTCCTTTGGAAGCCTTTGCAATGCAGAGGACACGCTGACCTTGCAGGTCTTTCACCATGTTGTCAAAAGTTTCACGGCACTAAGGGTTGTGAGCCAAATGTGAGACGTATGGATCAAGGTCGCTGGGTTCGTTTTGCATGCGTATGTGTGTTCCTTTTACAAAATACAACCTCGTCTAGATCTATGCTATCCTGTCGATATGCTACAATGTTCTCCGAATGCCAAGTCCTCCGTGGGCTATGCTTTGTCCCGTGTGCTGGACAATCTGCCAGGTGTTAATGCAGTATGCTTGATGCTCGTCCTGGTTCTCTTCTTGTTCTTGAGTAATGCACCCTACCGTCTAGCTTTTACCGCCTTTCGTCCCACTTCCCAAGATCTCATAAAACGCCGCGGCAGGCACCTATCCGACCCGACCAATCCGATGAATATCTTCAGCTGACCCTTCAGCCTGCCGTCGGGTATTGTGCCTAGACTCACTTCGACGTTGCCTGCGCCTAATCGTTTTAACTTTGCTTTCCCTCGTCGTTGTTTCCTTTTGGATTTGAATCAGGTCAGAAGGGGACAGAGAGGGGTTCGAAGAGAGAAGTGTGTGCAAGAGAAGCGATTATTAGCTTGTGGCCTTAGCATGCAATTACGCACTGATCCTCATCTCAGGCAAAAGATACGCACTCAAGTTGTTTCATCTACCCATCCCAACGGAAAAGGATCCACAATCAGCTTTCTCATACACCCGCTTCTGAATACAGGACCTCTTCCCCATGCCACACTGACCTTGCGCTCGTAATGCCCTCCATAAAGCCCAGCCGTCACATCCTTTTTCATCGCCGACAAGCTCTCCCGCGCGATGATCTTGGTACCGATAGCAGCCTGGATGGAGACTTGGAAGAGTTGTCGCGGGATGACTTTTTCTGCAAGGCGTGAAGGGATCGTCAGATCAGACCAGGTCGGATGTGGTCTGGCGCTTTGATATAGCGGACGCAAGAGAGAAGATGGGTCCACTTACTTAGTTTAGCAACCCACTCCCGGCCAACAGTCACGGCCGATGCTCGGTGTACAATCACTACATAAGACACATCCAGGGTCAGCGTTCGTCCTCGACTGCTATTTGACGACTTGTAAACTGACTAGCCAAAGCGTCCACCGGAGAGGAGTTAACCAAGAGGTTGAGCTGAGAAAGAACCTCTTCATCAGGCGATTTGCGTCTGTTTGGACGAATCCTAATGACGACCCACCTTGATGAGATCGCTCGAGGTATACCCAGCGTCTTCATAGTCAAACGAAGCGTACCCCTTGCTCCTAAAAGATTCCGCATCGTAGCTTTCAGCCACGCACCAACGTGTGTCAGGCGAAGATGCACCGAGACTCACCGGCTCTTGAGCTTGCTGAAGAATTCGGTGGCGATCTCGCTCAGAGGGAGTTCGTACCGCAACGTAGACCTCCCTGAAGCTTCGTCGTAGTGATAGTCCAATTGAATGCCCCGGTGCTCGTTGCAGAGCTCCATCATATCACCCACGTGTTCTATCAATTGCCATCAAACGTAAGATTCGTTTGCTTATTCCGTAGGTGGAAGAGGGACTTGCCTTGTGGCGAAAGAATCGTTGCATGGACTGAAGACAGAGAAGGGAATCAACTCAGAGCCAAGTATACAAAGGCACACGGCCGGTTTACATACCGATAGGTTCCTCCACCCGGTCTATTCGCATGATCGCATCATGGTTGTCCGGGAACAATGCAGGATTCGAGACGATCTCTTCCCGTCCATTCTTGTATACCACTGATCAACCATACAGTGCGCATCAGTGCTCCGCCTTGTATATGTGTGTGGGCACACTCACCTTTATATGGCACGGTCGGTGCCGTCACGCAGACCTCGGCACCGTATTCGTCTTTGAGTCTCTGGACCAAGACGGACATGTGTAACGTTCCCAAGAAGCCCAATCGACATCCCTGTCCAAGCGCTGCCGATGATTCTCGCTGTACAGTCACTGTGTCCGGGCCGCAAAAACTCAAAGTTAGGCTAAACGTAGAGGAGATGGACGAGACCGGGTTCGGTCTTACCGCTCCGGTCGTTCAATGTCAACTAATCATAACAAGAAGCGCAAGTCAGTATCATCCCAACGCTTCGAGAGGTTACCCGGATCAGCCTCACCCTCCCGATGGCTTCCTCCAGCTTTTGGAAGTCCGTTGCGTCCAGCGGAAACACTCCAGCGAACACCATCGACTGTAACGGCTTGAATCCCGGTAACGGCTCGATCTTAGTATTTGGATGCGTCACCGTATCCCCCACGTGCGCTGATTCGTACCGTAGCAGACACATGGTTGGAACGATATCAGTAACGCCATCACCTGAATCGATATCGGTCTGTCCCGAAGATTCGGCTCACCTTCCTCGAAATCTTTCAAGTTACAGACCACATACCCTACCTGGCCCTCATACAACTGCCCCGTCGAAGTCTCTTCAGGGTGAAAGATCCCTACTTCGAGGACCTCGTGCTTCTTGCCCGTCGACATGAAGACCAGTTTGTCGCCTGCGAACATCGCCAATCAAATAGCAATCAGCTAACTAGCGAGATGTGATATATCATGCCTGGGGCGTGGGGTGGACTTGCCTTTCTTGACGGTCCCGGTGAAAACTCGGATCAAGGAGACCACACCCCGAAATCGATCATAGCTATCACATCCTGAAAACATCAGTCGACCCCTCCCGGCAAGGTAGATCGATTGCCGACCGTGTTCGGGCATGACGACTCACTATGTATCGATGATCAACCCTCTCAATGCATCCGGATCCTCCCCCACCCGCTTCAACTTGACCTCCTCCGCATCCTCCCTGACATCCGCTCCACTAAGCCTAGCCACCCTATCCAGCCAGTCCCCCGGTGGTGGCAGTTTATCAATGACCGCTCCTAACACATCTCTTACCCCTAAGCCGGATTTGGCAGAGATGTGCATATGCGAATCTGCGGGGATACCCAAGGTGGATGTTATGGCGGCGGAGACTACGGCGGGGTGGGCGTGTGGCAGGTCGATCTTGTTCAAGCAGGGGATGATAGAAAGACCCTGAGCAGAAGCCGACCGCTCGACCGCTAATGATTGAGCTTGAAGACCCTCTGTTGGACGAGATGACGATAAGCGGTGGTACCGAGGTTAATTATAGTCAGCATTGTCATAATCGTAAGTCTAGCTAACCCTTGGCAGTCGATGGGCACTTGACTCACGGCTCGCATCGACCAACAACAAACACCCCTCACAAGCCCCCAAACTCCTCGAGACCTCGTAACTGAAATCCACATGCCCCGGGGTGTCGATGAGGTTGATCAGGTATTCTTGTCGGTCCGTGTGTGTCCAAAGCATGGAAACCGTTTGTGCCTTGACGGTGATGCCTATATGCGATGGTGAAGTTATGAGACGGGATGTGAGATGAGGAGGTTTACTTTGAGGAATGGGGTCGGGGGAAGGTACGGACCTCGTTCTTTCTCTACTGCCAACTACGAAATAAGCAACCGGACGAAATTTCGATCAGTCCACTTATCTAGGATGATGATACAGACGACCACAGAGCTTACCTTGTCCAAAACCTGATGGTTCCCACCAGGACCTCTCGTGATAGTCCCCGTCATTTCCAGTAGCCTGTCTGCTAATGTAGATTTGCCGTGCTACAAAAACAAGCATTAAGACAGTCAGTATGCCATCATGCGACAAGAGACCCAGCTTGAGAGCTTGAGGGGAGGAGGGACTTGCATCGATATGAGCGATGATCGAGATATTCCTGTTCGTCCGTTTGAAGAAGCATCAAGAGGTTCAGTTAGCTTCTCACATTGCACGCCATCATCTCTTAGCATCTTGCGCACCTGATCTTGTCTTTAGGAAATATACTCATATCCCTGACCTTGGCATGTGGATCTCCGGCCGATTTGTCCAGGTTGGTGATCTTGCTCATACCCGGGTTGACCGCTGTCGATGCTTGTCGAACGTGGGCAGCGGCATTGCGAACCGGCCGTACCGCGCGGAACCGCAAGGAGAGTAGCATCAGAAGCCTGGGGCTTTAGCGAGGTTGTACCTGAGAAGATGTCGAGATTCACTGTTGCTGTTGATGATCTGCTCGCTGCTTAGAAAACCATACACTTTGCGATTGTCGTGCACCGCTTGCTCGATATCGCTCGACTTCGCGACTTTATCAACATTCGATGCCTCTGAACCATAGATGCGCGTCGCCTCCACCTGACCTTACGGCATTACATCTGCATCCGAAGATCGATCTCGATTTACTTCCGATCAGCAGCAGCGGCCGGATAACGGTGGAATCGTCATCTCCAGATTTCTCTACCTCTATCCCAAATTCGAGCAGATCTTTGAAGCTCATTACGAAAACTCCAGACCTCTTTCAACACCTAGGATAGCAATGACCATTCCACAAGACACCCGCCCCGTTAAACGAATAGCCGTCATCGGCGCCGGCGCCGCAGGTATAGCACAGGCGAAAGAGATCCTCGAAGCCTTCCAACACGGAAAGAGCGAGTTTCGAGTCGATCTCGTCGTCTTCGAATCGAGGTCCAAGATCGGTGGTGTATGGTATGAAGTGTACAGTCCCTGTCCCCGGTATGCACTTTTAAGCTGAATGACGGTTGTTTCTGGGTATATACTATAGGTTAGAAGACCCGGAAGCGGGCGAATACAAGCTCAAGTATGATTCGAAAGGGACGACTCGGGCTTTGTCGACTCGATCCGGATCAACCCCTTCCCCGATCTACGCAGGACTCCGAACGAATTTGCCTAAAGTAAGCCTGTCATTTGAGTCTGTTCTGTCCGATTTATGGTGCATTTCAATTTTATGAGCTAATCTATGCTGTTCATGTTATGCTTTCGCCTTACAGCAACTGATGACCTTCCGTAACCACCCGTTCCCGACTGAGACCGAACTCTTTCCCCGTGCATCCGACGTATGCGACTACTTGATCTCATATGCCGAGATGCACGGAGTCGATCGATTCATCCGGTTTGACACTACCGTCACTCGGGTTCGAAAAGAGGGGGACGCATGGGTCGTGAACAGCCAGACAGCGAAGAGGTCCGAAGGAAAGGGAAAAGTATCAGATGAAGATTTAGTAGAAGATTCGGGAGATGATATCAGGAAGAGGGAAGAGAGGTTCGACTTTGTCTCGATCGCCAATGGACATTATGAAAAGGTCATGATCCCCGAGATCCCCGGTCTAAAGTGAGCGCATGCCATACGAGTACTTAATCGACAAATATGAAAACCTGGAGCTGATGATGAGACGATTCTGACGTCTGCGCTAAAATGGAATAGTCGGTTCGAAGGGACAGTATTGCATTCGAGATGGTATAGACGGCCAGAAGAATATATCGGCCGAGTGAGTTCAACTTTCGAAACGCGTGTTTATGCAGCAAGCTGATCATACACCGCCTTGATTCAAAACGTATCTCTATAGCGGGTCCTGGTGGTAGGCTCCTTTGCCTCAGGGTCAGATGTTGCCCGCGAACTCGCCTCTGTCCAGATTCCCACGCAAGACCTCCCGGAGAGCATGCAACTCGCCCGAAAACGTAATCACCTATCCCACCCGGACGTCCCCGCCGAAGGTAAAGTCGAGGTGTTCCAATCGTCTTCGATGTTGCCGAACGACAGGTCGCCGTACGGGAAGAAGGAAGAAGAAGGTCGACCCTGGACAAAGTATATCCAGCATAGGCCGCTGATTGAAAAGATCGAAGGTGGGGTCATCCATTTCAAGGACGGCTCGACATTGGAGGATATAGATGTCATCATCTTTGCCACCGGGTTTTACTACCAACTCCCTTTTGCCAAATCCGAGGATGCGCCCTGGAACGAGAAACGAGTATGCGAGGAGACCGTCGGGGATGTCGATGTCCTGGACGAAGTCAACGGGTGGGAAAAGGGCGGGATACAGGGCTTGGCTATCAAGGAGTTGGACGAGATCAAACTGTTCTTGAGAGGGGATCGGACGTGTGCATTTATCGCTTTACGTGAGTGTCATTTTGGCATACGGCCTAGCCTTTTTCCAAGGCACCTGAAAGTTGGAATTCACCTCGTTCTCTGGCCATTTCTTCCAGCCTACTTGGTCGTGCCGTTCCCGCTGGCCGAGATTCAGTCGCACCTAACAGCTCTCTACTGGGCTGGCCGCTTATCAAACATCCCCGACTCGTTCTCCGCCCCATCAAGGGAAGAAGAGGCTGTGCAACCGGACGACAAGGCGAAACCTCAACAACAACCTGGCCATGAAAATCAACAAGCTGCGAACGATACGACACACGATGGAGAACACGCGAAGCCTGGAAACCCACCGGTCAAGAAGGATAAGCGGCATACCGAGAAAGTCCGGGGCGACCTGGTCTTTGGATTCCCTTACGAATATCGGTACGAGAACTATCTGCTTGGACTGACCGCCGAAGCGGATGGTGGCGAAAAAGGTGGTTGGGGCAGTGTAGAAGAATGGAGGTTCCCCTTGCGCAAGAACAAGGCATTGCGCAGCGAGGTCCTTGGGTATTAGATGGGTTCACTGGCCAAAGCGCAATTGTGCTCGATTTCATCGTATATGAGACAGACTATGCATACATGCGAGGTGAAAAGCCAATACACAGCCAGGGAGAGCCCATGGAAGAGGGAAAATATACGAGACAACCGAGCTGTGCAAGTGTGAATCTATTAACCGTATTAAAAGGCACAGGCGGGATGATGTGTAGGAGAAGAAAAAACGTTTGGTGTAAAAAAATTGGGTCGTAAAGGTGTAAACGTGAAAAGGTAAATGATGACGTCCGCGAGTTGTGGTGACCGCTTCGAGTGCCGGACAAGGACTTTGCAGAAGCGGTAAAGGTGAATATAAAGTGGGTGTGCGAGTCCAGAGATAGCGTTGGAGGCTGGCCGGAAACGATCATGCGATCGTCGTCCGATCCTGCATCACTGATGTCGTGAATGTGTCGTTTCAAAATATGGCCAGGTCTGGTCACACAGCAAGACAACCGTCGATCAGTCGCCAACCCTTCAATCACCACCGTGAATTTGTACGACTATCGACTCACCTTGGGCGACGTTTGCTCGAGCCCATTCTCCGGCAAACTGGGATGCTCGCAAGAACTTCTTAGTCGCGTACTTTTTGTACACGTACTGTTCCGCGAACCCGGGAGCGGCGATGATCTCGGTCAAGATCCTGGCACCGCCGAGCAGCTGGACTTCGGTGAACCCAGAGTAGTAGACGAATCCTTCCGTCTACAACCACAAGAGGACGAAATGTCAGTCACCGCCAGAGGAATACCTTGTGCTAGCATCTATAAACTCACCCATTCGCCTGCCAACATCCTCCTGGCCAGGTACATCCCAATCGCAGCAATAACACTAGGTCTCGCTCGGAGGAACCTGTGGTCGAGCAGAGTCACCTCCATCAAGTACTTGGACAAGGTCCTGGTCTGAACGTCGTAGTCGTCTGCCTTGGAGATTTTTCGGACCCAGCTGTACGGCGAGCAGTAGGACGAAATGTCAAAGTTCAAGGTCTGTCGAATGGGGCGGTCGAGGCATTAGCATGCGTGTTGCTTTCTCGTAAGATTGCAAGCGCGACTTGCCTGTAGGATGATTCGCTCTCCCTTCAAGATCTCATCCTTGTTGTATCCACCTTCGGTCATGTAAACAAACTCCTCGACACTACAGCGTCCCATCCAATCAAATCAGCTTCTGCTCCAGATGTCTCAACCCCGACTTGGCGCTCACCTGGGGGCAAGGATCTCCTCATACTTGGCAGCGATAAACATGGCAGTGACCCCGACCAACTGGAGCTTGATCAACGAGACGACCCTAGCGGACAAGAACCTGTCGACAATGTTGACGGCGATCCAGAGCGTCTCGGGCAACATGTGGTATCGCAGGTGGACTTGGAGCAACCAGTCAATGAGGGTGGTTCGCATCCCCCTGTGGGACGAAAGAAAAGAAGAAAGCAATGAAAGGCGACTAATCAGTGCCTCGCATCAAACCGAAACGCAACCTATCCTGCAAGCAAACCGACTTACCAGTCCATCTCGTGCTGGTGATCCATGTAGTTGGCATTCGGCAGACTCTCCACCTAAAATCCCAACCCAAAGCGCTTGTATCAGCTCTGCCTCTTCGCCCTTGTCACCTAAGCCGAATGCAAAGGACCCGACCCCGACTCACCTCCAATTGTCCCATGAGCGCAAAGATTTCGTCGGCATACTCTGCCACCATCGTACAATCCAGCTCGTCGACCTCGTCCACGAACCTCGACCTGACATCGTTCAACTCGGCGTGAGCCAAGTAAGCCTGTTCCTTGGTCAAGCACAACCAGTCGTCCTCGTCCACCTGGGGCGCGACGAGCGTAGCCGATTGGTCGTATGTCTGGTGGTGGTCCTCGAGCTCGTGTTCGTGTTGATGTTCGTCGTATTGGTCGGCATCAGGAGCGTCGGACAACAACTCGTGAGCGGACGCCTCGAGGTGGTAGTGCTGAGATCGCTGAGAACGTTGGAGGTCCTCTTCGGTCTCTTCCAACTTGGGCAAGACGTCGACGATCTGGTGGTGCTGCTGGAGCTGGTGTCCGTGGTGCATCTGCTGAGTCTCCAGCTCGTCCTCGTACCGAGCGGCCTCGCCCGCATCCATGTACCTGCTGCTCGAAGGATGATCGTCCACCTTGCCCACTCCCAACTCGGTCAAGGACGGCGTCAACCCGCTCCCCGTTGATGTCCCGCTGAGCTTGACGTGATCGCCATCCTCGTCGACCGTGTTCAACGTAGGCGCGTCACTGAAAGGAGCTTCGGGGTCGACAGACGGTTGACGTGATGATCCGGCGGCATGTCGGCTGGTGCTGACGTTGCTGTTGTTGGAAGTGCTGGCGATGATATTCAACGAGTTCGAGGTGCCGAGGGGGACAGTAGGTACGCGACGTTCAGGCTTATTGGTCACCGAGCTAGATCGTGTGTGCTTGGGAGCCTTGCGAGGGGGTTGTGATTGCGAGTCCTGTGTATGTTCAAGTGCGGATAGTAGTTCGAGTTAGAGTCAAGTTGTTGTTGGTGTTACAAGTCCAGGTTGGAGTCGAAAGGAGTCCACGTAATCAGACGACCGACGATCAGCCCTCTATCGCCCCCATGACCCCATGACCACTCCTCTTCTCTTCCCGTCAACCATCGTTACGATCAACGTTAACGATATGATTGTATTCCAGTAAAGGTCAAGGTAGTCGTCGATGTTGATGTCGATGTCGATATCAAGAGTCGAAGGTCGATCGACGCGTAGAAGATGAACCAACACCATAACAAACTCCCCCTCCTTTCCCGCGCGTGTGATGTCACGCACACCACCCGGACCCGATTTACGAACAACTCCATCTCCAACCACTATGACGGAATGGGGAAGAGAGAACAAAGAGACAGAGAAACGCTGTTACTGACCTTGGAAGTGAGAGCGGGTCGTTTGATTCCTCCCGTAGGTCCGTTGATGTTGACCTGTCGGACGCCGAGGACCTCCACCTGTTGCGCGGGGAGGAGGACGGTGTTCTTGACAGGAGCGTCTTGAGCCTGAACAGCGGGGTTCGGTTTGACAGGATGGGAAGTAGGGATAGAAGAGTTCTCGTCTTGATAAGTCCGGATGGCTGTCCGGGTTCGGGTCGGCTAGAGGTGTATCGATGTTAGGAGTGTTGTAAGGCTACGCGGAAGAGGCTGGATGTCTCGAACTCACGCGGACGGCAGCCATATTGCGGGTTTGTTTTGATGCAAGAAGGACGTCGAATTGATGAAAGTAGTAGTGTGGTAGTGGTAGTAGTAGCTTGGTCCGGTTGTTTGTTGTCGCAAAGTAAGAAGGTGGACCGGGAAAACGATGTCGGTTGTCGGTTGAGCGAAAGGACTAGGGGAGTCGAAAGCAAGATCTGCGAGCAGCGGTCTCGGTGAAGGGAAGAGGAAAAGATCCGAGGCTTGTGGCTAGAGTCGCAAGAGCTGCTGTGTGTGTGTTGTGAACTCGTTTACCTGGATCGAGAGTAGGTGTGGTGTGTAGTTGTTGTTTGTTTGTAAAGGAGTGTAGACGAATGCTTGATTGTGAGAGATTGTTGTTCGGGGGCTCGCTCGCTTGCTTGCTCTCGCTTGCTCGTTGATTATTTGTATGAGAAGAGGGGGCGCGCAATGTTGTTTGGATTACGTAAGGGAGGGCAACGGGGGAGGTAGTCCGTCGAAGGCGACTTGTATGTAAACTATCCTAACGTCATAATTACGTACAGCCATACCTCTGTTGTGTTTACGATTCGGGCCGGGGGGACCATTACACACACAATCAGCAACTTGCACATGCAAGGACAACGGGGGAACGACTCGCACGTCTGGTCGATCCAGTGTTCACTACTTCCAGCATCTCGAACCCACTTCATTCTCTCTTCATTGTACCTCGCTCATCTCAACCTCGGAATTGGGACCCTCGATCGCGATCCCGGGCAGGTCGACATGCCTTCGAAACAATAACAACCCGGACCTCGTCCTTGATCAGACCTTTTAGTGGCATCTCTTGCTTTGACTGGACTCGCCTCGAGTCTATCGAGATATCATTCTCAGATCCCCTATATATAAATACTCGGAGTAGGCACTCAACACCTTGCTAAATCGTCAGCCGGGAGTTCAAACCGAACACAAGCTACTCGTGAATGATGCTCGACATCGAGATCCCCAAAGACACCCCTCTATTCCGAGCCTCCCTCTCGAACCTGGAACATCGCGCCCATCTCCTCTCCAAGTCTTGCAAATCCACTCTTGTATCCGCTCAACAGGTAGTGGATTGCCTAGAAGCGTTGAAGAAGGCCGAGGGGGTCTTGTTGGAAGATCTGGAGAGGCTGGATGGGCTTCTCTCTTCAGGCTCAGAATCGGGTTCGAGCAATGACCTTGGAGAGGAGCAAGTCGATGTCGATGATACTACCGGAGCGAGTGATACCAAGAATACGGACTCGGGAGCCGGGGTGGTCAGCGACGTAAAATCCTGGCTAACAAGAAGGCGGGAGGAAGAAAAGGAACGTCTGGAGGGCGTGCTGATGAGCCGGTTGAGAGGGTTGAAGAGTCATCTAAAGGGAAGAGGAGTGGGTAATGGGGTAGCATTGGGCGGGTTCGAGGTGAGTTCAAGGTGGATGATCAAATCAGGATCTTCTCGATAGTCCGGGGGCTGATTCTATCGGACGCCAAATGTTGCGTTATATGTGGAATTATAGGAAACATCGAAATTGTACTATCAGACCCTCTCTCGCTCGCTCCTCCCGTCCAACAACCCTGCCTCCTCCTCATCCTCATCCAAGACCGCACATGTGGACTGCGAACCCACTCTCGAGACGGTCACCGTTCGAGAAGTCCTCGACAAGGAATACGATTTGGAACGGTATGACATTCATTCCCTGTTCCTCTGGGCTTGTCCGCCGACCAGCGTGGAATGTCTGGATCTGAAGGGGTGTTTGGACGTATGGATGGGCGGGGTAGTCCAAGGTGACGGGGAAACGATTTCGACGTCGGGGTTGAATGGTACGACAAGGCCAAGCAGGCTAGAAGGCGGGAGAGAGAGGGATAGAACGGTATCCTTACCAGGCCCTGGACCGGGGACGAACGCCATGTCCCGGATTCGATCGAGCACTAGAAGGTTGGTCGGGCCGGAGATGACCCTCAACGAAGAGATCGTCAATTCGGATGGTTTCATTGACCTGGGTCGGGAACCATCTGGGTCGGAAGAAAAGACGCCGACGGTAAAACAACGACAACAACAGTCTGCATATTCTTACCCGACGACGGCCAGGATACGAACCAGGTTGGCAGTCCGGTCAGCGAGGTTGGCTAGTCAGAGGGAAGCTTTGGAGAGTTCTTGGGGATATAGAGAACGAGTGAGAGCCGAGCTCGAGAATCAGGTGGAAAGGGATGCAGAGGCATTGAGAAACAGTCGGTCGGGTTCTGCAGGGCTTTCGGGTACCGGAACGTCAGGTGTGGTAGGTGGGCAGGGGAAGAAGGATAGGAGGAAATCGTTTGGCTTGGGGAAGACGGTCAGCGCGTTAGATCCAGATCGAGCGGGGAGCAGTACGGTGGGCGTCTTGGAGGGCAAGAAGAAACATCGAGGGATGGGAAGCCGGATAAGGGGGATGATCTCGTCCGCTTCCTCGATACATGGAGGGTTATCCTCCATGGTCGGGCACAATAGCAATAACAACAAGGATGAGCGGGATCGGGCCAAAACTCAACAGGGACATAACAATGTATCGGTTGGGATCGAAGGTCCTACCGCGGTGTCGTCAAGTAGAATGTCACTGCAGATCCCTTCTAGGGTCTCACCGGCGCTGGAAGAGATGGAGGGAGAGGAGACGTACAGACGACCGAAAATGTCCAACAGGTTGTCGCTGCAGTCGGTACCTTCTCGGCATCAAGACGGACGTCGTTCGCCATCCGGAGCGTCTCTTTTCACGCAAGAAGGTGATCGGCCTGCAGGAGGCCTGCTGTCTCCTACGATATCAATAATGACTACGGCAACAGAATCTGCTGCTTCCCATGTACCGACAGTACCGTCCTCTACTGCACCCACGCCGACGATGGCGGGGTCTAAGAAATTCCCGACATTCCGTGATTTGCAGGACCAGTCTGCCGCCGAGATGCTCGAAGAGGAGATGAGGCGGGTTCAGGCGGGCAGAAGGAAAGAAGGCCTGGTCTGGAGTCCTGGAGTCTGGGAAGGGGTAGGAGTTTCTAGTGGACGACACGCTGGCGAGCGCAAGGAGAAGGTCAAATGGGAGAGTGAGTCTGGCAACCCCAGCGATCGAGACGACGAATATTCCAGCTGACGACGGAGAGGCCTTCACAGGTTGTTGGATGGTTCTGTCATCTTGCAAGATGTACGAGGTGAGTTATTTTCGACCTGATCGACTCAACGCACGGCCCAGCTGATTCGACCCTGTCTCACGCTTTGTAGTACCGGGGTGGGGTCTCGAGTAAGCTAGGCAGCGCCAGTCAGGTCATCGACCTACGCTTTGCCACTGCTCGGGAAGGTCGTGATACCGATAGGCGGTATGGTAAGCTGTCGCATATGCACAAGATCTACCTTGATTCTTCTTCGAACTGACGATGTATTGCGATAGCCTTCGAGATCGTGACGCCTACGCAAGGAAAGCGGATGTATCAGGCAACTTCTGCCGAGGAGATGAAGTCGTGGCTTTATGCCATATCGAACGCCGTCGAATCGGTATTGAACGGGACCTCGTCGTTTCGCGACATCAATCAATTGGTCAACCATAATCGTGATTCGGTGGATGAGCACGGTATGTCTACTGGTCCATCAGAGAACCCGATCGGACTTGGATTTCCCAGTCTCTCGATAGGAGACGCGGATGATCCGATATCGAGCTGGCCGAAGCCGGTCACCAAGAAGCCTTCTCTGAAAGAGGCTCTTCGCCAAAGCAGAACAAGTCTAGGATTCGGTCAATCGAAATCCCGATCGGATCTGAGCGGGCTACTCAAAGATCACTCCAAGTCTGGTGGTGTTGTGCGCAATACTCGGTCCAGCTTGAGTGTACCGAGTCATCGACCACATCCTGCAGCCCTGGGTAGTCGCAGTCGGCAATCGAGCCGGTCGTCGAGAAGCAGTGGGAGAGCATTGTCGGTGTTTGAACACAGCGATGAAGGTGGTCGGTCAGTCGACGCTCCGGCAGCCAGAGGTAGTCTTCCTTCGGTACCACCCACACAACATCGGAAAGGGTCTGGATATTCAATGGAATTTGACGACGGTATGCGACGAGCTATCCTAGTCGCCAATAATAGCGAAAACGAGGACGGTTTCGTCTCGCCGCCCGCAGACACAGGCACTGGACAGGTGCCGCTAAAAGCTAGACCACAGTCGGTCGGCCAGTTACCCTTGTCGCGCACGCCAACTCGCGTTTCCCAAATAGATGCTGACAGGCAGGTGGCCATCGCCGATATGGCCATGCTCCGTAAGGTGGCCGATCAGCCCAGCAATCAAACCTGTGCGGACTGCAGACGGTCATTGCGAGGAGAATATACACAGCGCTGGGCGACCGTTTCGCTACATAATCACCCGATCGTCATGTTCCTCTGTCAACGATGTGCGGGTATCCATCGAGGTCTTGGGTCGCACGTCTCGAAAGTGCGAAGTCCGGATCTTGACAAGTGGACAGAGGAGATGATCCTTACCGCCAGGTCTAGCGGGAACATGCGGGGTAACGCGGTTTGGGAGAGGACTAGACCGGATGAATCCGATCTTCAGGATCTGTAAGTGAACTCGATTGATACCGGTCAATATGGCGGAGAGAAAGACTGATCGATCTTGTACGCATGATTACCAAAGGTCCCTCTCGGCTCTCAAAGCTCACATCGAGAAGAAATATTTACACGGCGTCTGGCTCAGCCCAGAAGATCGCGCTTTGTATTTCGACGAACCGCGCGGGATCGCCTTATAATGCCGTATCTCGAATGTATATACAACCCGGTCATACCTATCTCTTGAAAATTTGACCGTCATACTTTTGCCTATCAGTAAAGTTTAAGACGTCCGCTACGCATCATGGTAAGACACAGACCAGCATAGAATCCTCTCGAGCAGACGCGCACATCAGACACCACCTAGAACAGCCGTTCACCACGATTACCACTATGTCAAATGCCACAACACGGGATCGTAGGCCTCCCATTCATCGTCAGCATCCTGATGATTCTCCCACTCTCTCGGCTTGCGCAGCTCGCTGGCCAACAGGACTTGCCTGGTTGATCCGGAGATGCCATAGGCATTGCTGATGTTGCTGTTGTAGCGAGTGGTGGTCAGACACCACAGGTTCATAGTTTGAAGAATCTAACTGTTTGACTAACCCCTCAGCTGCCTCGACTTGAACTGCGCACCTTGGCTGGGCTTAGTCGACAAGCCGACAACGGTACTTTCGTTGGTGTTGCAGTTGATCCCCATGGCCTAGAACTACCCTGATCGATCCTTTCCTCGACTTGCTGTTCTTCACGAGTCGTAGATCATAAACCTTGGGGGAGAAGCCATGGAAGTTGCTGGCAGTTGTCTCACTGAAGGTTTCATATGCAACAAACGCGCAACATCATCAATGCCGCGCCGATCGATCAGCCCGAGACATTGACCCATCTTCGGGTGCCTGATACGGGAAAACGCGATTTTAACGTAATAATAGCTTCCGCGCCGGCCGGCCGGGTAATAAGAAGGCTGGGAATTTCGCTTGGGATAGGGGGAGTGTGGGAAAATGGACAGGGTGTCGGTCGATAGCAGACCCCATCAGAGCTCATACGTCTCTCGAGCATTACCATAATCAAGGTCGTAGAGTCTGCTTGGGAAGCGTTCAGTGACGCCTGAGCTCCTGATGATCGGCAGGCCATAGCCATCGGAAACTCGCCAGGATGCATCCGGACCCTACCAAGATCAGCAATAACCCGTATCCTGTCAACCCCGCTGGATTCCTTATCGGCTCGTTCTTTGGCGTGAGTGCGGGATCCAGACGTGTCTGCTTCCAGAATGCCAGTCTCTTCCCAGAAAGCTCCGGTCACTGACGATCGGGCTGGTCTTTTGAAACAGGCGATCCTCTTTGGCGTGCATGCCTCGCAGGTCTATCGATATTACTCGACGTACAGCGGGGACTCGCTACGCTACAAATGCCTCGTAGGGTGGATCTTCCTGCTCGGGACGCTACAAGTCTTGATCCTCGTAGTCAGCTCGTGGAAGTACTACGTGGATGGGATCTGGAATCCAGAAGTTTGGGGAACGTTCTGGTGGCCCCTGAGCTTTCAGGATGGGCTCGTGAGTTTTCTAAAGCGTATAGGGAGTGGACGACGATTCAATCTCCGCGGTATCTTCGCAGATACCTCTGATGGGATTCACTTGTCAGCTGTACATGGGAAGACGTGCATGGGTACTGTTTGGTCGTAAACGGTGGTTCGGAATCTTGATGGTGGTCCTTCCGATAATCACCTTGTTGGCGGGGATCGCGTGAGTTTCGTCGCCTATAGCAGCTCCTACATCTTTGAATAAAGCTGATCTCTGCTCCTTCCAGTCTCGCTATTACTGCCTACCTTTGGGCCCATCGTCCATTCGTCTCGCTCGAAGAGTTTAGAGGCCGTGTCATCGGCGTCCCCTCCCAGGTCGTCGCTATCCTATGGATGGGACTCTCCGCTATCACAGACGGGATCGTCACCGCCTCGCTCTTGATCTACTTCTGCCGGGTCCAATTACAGGCAAGAGGATCCGGTCGGAAAAGGATCGTACAACGCCTAGTCGCTCTCACCTTGGAGACGGTGCTCTTGACACACGCATGTGCTGCGGTGATGTGCGTCCTCTTCCTCGCCAGTCCGGCTCATAGGCGAACGGAATCGGCGTCATTTTGGGTGTTCTTGGGGACCATAACAGAGCTGTATGCCTTGTCTCTGCTGTTCACGATCAACTCGAGATCGTCCTCCGGGATCAAGGACACGCCAGGCCAACCTAGGAGACAGGAAGAAAGACCAGGACCGAGCGGTCTGACCCGATTCGATCCGGCCGACACTTCGGCCTGGGACAAGGCCGTTGAAGGTCCAGGGCGGGACCATCTTCCGGTCATGACGTACGATACGAGTTCGTCCGACCCTTCCTCTGGCACGGACGATACGCTTGAACACAAACACGCCAGTTACGGATCGGGTTCTTCCCGGACGAAGTGCAATAGCGAGCGGATGATGGAGGAAGGCCAAGGGGGTACGCGGTTGGATATCGTCGAATTCCTTCAAGGGTCGAATTGGGAGGACGAAGAGGATTCGCGGCGGCTTCGCATGAGCAGGAAGCCGGATATATGAATGTACATTGTACGAGTCAGTTGTAAGGATTAAACATAGATGACAGAATATACCACAGAGCATAACGCGATCAGGATCAGTTGCAAGAATCTTCTTTCTCTCTCTCTCTCTTGGACCACGCTGAACAATTCGACCCTGGTCGCTCACATCACTCACTCAAGGTCAATTGAGGCGGACGGGCATCACCTGGCACCGAGATTTTCAACTCTTCGTTCTGAAACAGTCAGTCATCCTGTTGAGCTGTTGAGCCGTTGGACTTTCGTGCTTCTTGTCATCGTTTCTCCACCGCCCCTCCTCCCGCAACCATGATCCCTCCTTGATCCCATAGCATATGTATCAATTCACGATAGATGTTAACCTATATCGATCACAAATCTTATATCGATTCGTATAGCTTCACATTGCTTCGCCACGGGAATCCGAGGTTTTTCTTATACGTCAAACGCGACTCCACCCGAGCTGAAGTAAGTTTCAAGGTCCACCGGCCGTATTTACCTCCAGCCTGTTCCAGTCCAGTTCAATGCGAAGATCCCCAGTAAAGGAGATGAACGGGATGAAACACTGACAGGTGAAATGCAAGAAGATCAGATCCGATACCAGTATCATTGTAGGTGCAGCTGCCGTCTGTTGCGAATCGTAGTCCGCTAACAGGAACCGCACATACTCACCTGTGGACATCCAAATTTTCTTCCATTAACACGAATGTCCTCAGGAGACCTGGATATAGAATGGCGCCGACATCTTCTCGCGCGTGTTACGCGCCACAGGGCTTTCGACCTTGAGATTGATCGTGTCTATTCGTTCGACCCCCCAAGGCGTGCCGGATCGTCCCAATTTGAAGATCGAGGGGGTTGTTATAGAAATGTAAGCTTGTTTATGTCTTGAGCCGGAAAAGTATCGGCAGCGTTCAGCCTACATTGACCAGATTTCAAGGAGCCTACGATGGCCTTCGGACAGGTGGTCGTGATGCTGGACAGCTTGTTCGACAAGGTCGTTTGCAGTCACTTTCAAGTTCGAGGAATAAGGCAAACAAACCTGTCACACAAGGGCGGGAACTTGGGCGTCATCAGCTGTGCTCGGAAGATCAAACCGGAGCAAGCTATTCGGCCGGATCATAAACGAGACATTTTTTCACCCTGCATGTCAGCTATCTCAAGTGACTTTCTCCTACGGCACTCCTAATCATGCATCCAACTAACCCTTAGGATCGTAGCTCAACTTGACCACATACGCAGCGGTACTCCCAACGGAGAAAGTTTGATTGACCGCAGGGACTGCCAACGAGGCGACACACGCGTTGAGGGTCGGGATCTCGGATTTAACGTAGACGTTGGTGGCGAGCACTTTGGTGAGCGTCTGAGCTGGGTTGGTTTGGTTCTTCAGGGTGACCGTGACCGAGTCTGAGTTGACATATCGGGAGGGATATATCGTCAGTAAGAATTGCTGCGGCCGTGCTTTCTCTGCAGGCGCAACTGAACGTACGGGCAGTGGTACCCTTCCAAAATGCGGACGGAGCACCACAACTGATATCATAGAAGCTTCTTTGAGCATATTCAACCTCTTCTAGAGTCGGATTGATGCCTGAAGAGCATTGAATGTTTCCCGGGTTCAAGGTCCAGTTGTAGTACAGCTGTTGACAAGGAGCGACGTCGTTCTGTCTCGCGATATAAGCGTATTCGAGCCCGTTGAAACGTTCGATCGGGATGTACGGGTTGGTCGAGTTGCTCCTATTGATCACTAAGTGGGTGTTGAGGCATTGCTGAACGTCAGCGGCTGCAACAAAGTTGCAGAGAAGCAAAGGAAGGAGGGTGAGAAGCAGCATCGTAGACGTTTTATATTCTGTTTGATTCGTGAGTTGGTGTTTGCAAAATGTTGCGACTTACTATCGGATGAAGGTCTTCCTCTCTTATATATATATACTTCTCTACGGTACACTTCCTTTCCCCTCTTGATCTCTCGGCTCGCATCGCAAAGTCGGGCCCGGAACAATGAGACAGACCTCAGGTCCCATCGTTCCTTCCTTGGCTTTAAGGTTTGGCGGCGAAACTCTATCGTCGCTGGGCTCAGGCGTCGCGTGACAGGTGAAGCGCCTCTTGATCTATCCTTCACACGGTGTCAGCTGATCTTGGAAACAGTCTGTAAGCATCGGAGGGAGGGCGCAAGGGCGAAGCGATAGAGGTGATCGGTTATCGGCTATACGTTCTACGGTAACCGAAATCTTCTCGGTAAAGTTTCGCGAACCTTGTCGATCAGTCGTACCGCGAAGATCTCCGCTCATCCTTGCCGCGTTTTGTTCGTACGATTGTTGCTCATAAGTAAATGTACAGCCAGAGAGATCACGGATCAACGCAGAAGCCCACTCAATCGGAATATCAACCGGCTATCAGAGATGGGCTGCCTATCTCCGGCAGCTTCTCAATTCGATCGCGTGCTCTACGTGCAGGAAGAAACAACTTGGACAAGAGCGGTAACTCGACGGATTGACTGATCTTTTACTAAGATTGACTCGCCCTGGGTATATGTTGTCCTGTGCATACGTAAGGAAAAAGAAAACAGCGCCCTTCCGGCACGGGGCAAATCATCGTGGTGTTCGACAGATGAAACGTTTTTTGTAGGCGTACTTGCCAATCGTACGGGTCACCTTTCGGACTATCGCCTGTTCGAACTTAGTAAAAACACTTCGACAACTCGAGCAATGACATTCTAGATCACTATGAATGCCCTGTTGTTATCGATGGTACGTCGCGTCAGGCATATAATCAATGAGTCTCGCTTCAAAATCCTCAACGAATTACCTGCGACACACACGTTCATTGAATTTCCTCTAATTCCTTCCTTCAGACAGGCATGGCAACAGACACCCTGCCCTGCGTTATGTCTTGAGTTGTGATCGGCAGATGCCATACCCCAGTCGCAGCCCATTTCGCCGATCTATAAATTTATCCAATTGCAATTCGCAATGCACAAAGAATTGACTAATGAAACAATGAAACGCGAATCACAAGACCTGAGGAGAGGAACTGTTTGACAGCCACTTACACTGCCTCCGCAATTTTGCAGGCAACCCGGGCATCTTCGAAATGGGGGATATTGGTAAAGGATTCGATATCCACACGGAACAGCTTCGCAAAGGACAACGCCATTGCCTTGTGGATCCGTTTCTGGACTTCTTCCGCGATTTCTGACGGCCAACTCGTGAGCGCCAGGTAGGGTACATAAAAGTTCCATCCTCGACATGGCGTACGCTCAAGACTATGTGACCTGGGGGCTCGAGTGTCAGTGTACAGCAAACGCTCAGGGTTCCATCGACCGTTCTGATCCGGATTCCCGGTTTGAACCGAAACATCTGAGTAGAGGTGACGTAATCTTGTTTACTTTGTGCATTTCGACCGGGAGCAGATCTGTAGGAGCGTCCCCTTGAACGGAAAGCACTACATCATCCATCCCATCGAGCGGTCTATCTTATGCACGTCAATCAAGTCGACGGCCGACTGTGATATCCGTCTGTAGCTGTATCGAGATAGCTGAACACCTTTTGACATCATGACCGCGCTCAAAGTAGCCCTCAAGGGGCCTTCGTTGCTACTCAACCCCTCTCTAAACAAGGGCTCGGCGTTTACCAGGAAGGAACGGGAAGAGTTTGGACTCATGGGTTTGTTACCTATCCAGTCAAATTCGCTCGAGGAGCAACAGAATCGTGCATACGAGCAGTACCAAAACCACCAGTCGAATCTCTCTCTAAGAACACGTTCTTGCAGAGTCTCAAAGGCAAGGATTTCAGGGAGACAGCGAGAGTAACTGGTAATGTCCGCTGATTGTGGCTGTGTCGTGACTGTCCTCAGCCCAGAACTGGGTACTGTTCTACTCGCTCATCATTCGACACCTGAAAGAGATGTTCCCTGTCATCTATACCCGTCAGTCCTGTTCGGGTCTCTGTTTAACCGGTCTGGCGCCTGACCAGGCCTACGTGCATGTTCTGGTTGAATTCGTAGCTACGGAAGCTGAAGCGATAGCAAACTTCAGCCACTTGTTCAGACGACCCGAGGGTATCTGGCTGTCTCCTTCTGATGAGGAGCACATGGAACAATCCTTGATAAATGTCATGGATGGCCAGGAGTTTGATCTAGTTGTGGTTTCGGACGGCGAAGCTATCTTGGGTACGTCTCTGACATATGGTAACTTGGATTCGTTTAGCATCGAAGACCTAAACCGACGATACCTGCTTCTCGATCACATATCCTGCGGAACGAACGGTTCGGATCGAACAGGCATCGGTGACCAGGGCTCGGGAGCGATCGGAATCAGCAGGTCCGTACAAATCCGCCTGTTCAGGCGAAGCCGAGCGAATCTGATACCAAGGCGTCGATCGATTTTGCTGAAACAGCGCCAAGGGGATGATCTACACTCTCGTCGCCGGTGTCGACCCTGCCAGAATCCTGCCTGTCGCTCTGGATGTAGGAACGAACAATAAGGATCTCCTAGAGGACGATATGTACCTCGTACGTTCGGTATCTACATCTGAAATACGCGTGGACAAGCTGAAACGGCTCTCGGTCCATAGGGCTGGCGTCATGAGCGTATGAGGGGTGAAACCTATCTGAAATTCGTCGACAAGTTCGTCAGCTTGATAAGGAAACATCAACCGAATGCTCTCTTGCACTTTGAGGATTTCGGGGTGGATAACGCGCAGAAGCTGCTAGACACGTACCGCGACGAGCATCCGGTCTTCAACGACGATGTGCAGGGGACTGGGGCAGTGACAGTGAGTCTTTGTGGACAGGCGTATCAAATCTGCCACACTGAACCGCGCAAGGTCCTTAGCTCGCCACCTTACAAGCGGCCTTGATCGTTACGGGCGGGAAATTGTCGGAACAGAGGATCATCAGCTTCGGAGCCGGGTCAGCCGGGCTCGGAATCGCTCGCCAATTACGCGACGCTGCCATTCTCCTCGACGGCGTGTCCGAGGAAGAAGCCAACAAGTTGATATTCCTCGTCGACAAGCACGGACTCTTGAAGCAGGGTATATCGGACAAGATCAGGGATGGAATCGACAGGGGTTTCGTCCGAAAGGATCGGGACGAGAAGGACATCGGAGAATGGCCCGAGGGGGAGAATGACCTGTTGGAAGTGATCAAGAGGGTCAAACCGACGGTACTGATCGGTACGAGCACTGTTGCTGGAGCTTTCAACGAAGAGATCGTCAGAGCCATGGCTGAGGGCACCGAAAGACCCATCATCCTGCCGGTCAGTGTCGCGTGTGCCCCAGTCACTAGATTCAGCAGAAAACTGATGCCGCAACACGTCACCGGTAGCTCTCCAACCCGACCTCGAAATGCGAAGCTCATCCCAAAGACCTTATGAAGTGGACCAACGGAAAAGCTCTCATCGCCACAGGATCACCTTACGACCCGGTTGACATGCCGGGTTCATCTGAAAAGTATGAGGTCGCCGAATGCAACAACGCTCTGGTCTATCCTGGGTTGGGGATGGGAGCAATCGTCAGCAAAGCAGACAGGGTTACCGACAAGATGATCGTCGCGGCGTGTAAGGCGCTTGGAGATATGAGTCCGGCGAGGAAGGATCCCAAGAAACCGCTACTTCCAGACTTTGAAGGTGATTAGAAATGTCTTTCAGAATGAATGGCCTAGAAAACCGTTCTCGGCTCACTCATCGCATATGTTTCCGTTTTGTTTCTTATATCTTATAGACGCACAAGCTGTGAACATGGAAATCGCCCTAGCTGTCGTCAAGGCAGCGATCGACGAAGGTATCTCGGACTTGAAGGTCCCTGAAGAGGATCTGCGCTCCTACTTGGAAGAACGAACCTGGAAGGCCGAATACGCCGAGTATAAGTATGACCCTGAAGGTATCGCTTTCTGAGGCATGAGAAGCACTATCCAGACGATTAGATGTGTACCGATGCTATAGATTGGCGAAGGAATGGTCCCCAAAAAGAAGAAGCGAAAGGTTTACCTGACATGTCTCTCGCAGTTTTGTCATAGCGTACGATTGCGATGATGGGTATTTCCTAAGTATCTGTGGCGCCATGTTGTTGGGATCTGTAGCCGGGTGAATTGCCAATGCATTCCTATTCTGCCAGATCGATCCGGTCCGATACCTTTTCCGCCCTGCCTTGTTTCAATCGCAATTCAAACAAAGCCACCTCAAACACGAGTGATCAGATGCGGCGCCAGCTTCATCCGAGGCCACGGCTCTTGCCCTTGAAATCAGTGTGTGAGGAGAGAGCGCACATGCTCGGTGATTGGCAAAGCCTCGGAAGATAGATGTCGAGGTGTGCTTCATCTTCCAGTCCCGCGTCGCAGTCAAAGCCTGCAGTGGAAGGCAAACCCTAAACGTTGCTATCCATTTTTCTTTTCAATGATATGGCCGTGGTCTTTGCCTTGGCCAGCGCCTCGATGCCATCACAAATCCATCAGAGGCTGGCTACCGGGCATAAATACCATGGTTGATGGCAAAGCAGGAGTATTCTGATCGAAGATGAGAGTCTTCTATCATCCGTTTGGACCAGCTGATGTGCTGTATTTGCCTGCTGAAGTGCCCGTCTGCTCCCTAATCCGTGTGATCTCTCCGCTCAATGTTAAGCGTCAGCTTGTCTTGTCAGACAGACCTCTAGAGCCATACTATCAGTTCGCAGACTTCCGGCATGATATGTATACCACACGTGGGACGGTCATCGAGGACAGTCAGTTGAAACGAAAGCTAGGCCAATGACGACCACAACGCCTCGAGCGATCAATTCGACGAGGATAGTGATAGTTGACACAGCGTCTACTGTACAGCAATGTCACGAACGAAGGCGTCTGGTTACAGTGTACACGACCCAACCCTGAAGACTTGAACGTGTACTAACATGGTCAAACTATAAGATCGAAGTCGCGCACGGTCTCACCGCGGAGACTGGGACGGTTGTGTGCGTTGCCCTAGAGATCTTCCATGCTGAGGAGTGTCGGAGTGGACTTGCCCCCCACAGAAGGTCTGATTGTGCGCTCCGTTGAATAATCACGAAAGCGGTCGAGGCGACTCGCCTGGAAGGATCGAAAAATAGGAGTTGGACTCTCATCCGGACGTCAAGAATACGACAAATGATCAAATGAACGAGCGGCCGGGAACGCCATCGGTGATCGAGACGTTTGCCGTCGGCCTGTCATCATCGGCCAGGACGATTGCGCTAAGGTGAAACGTCGAAAACGTAAACGCCAAACGCCAAACGAGATTGAAACGAGACGAGCTGAAACAAGAAGATGACCCCCTCTTGCGCCCATGCGCCATGCGACAATACGATACACCTTTGCCGGCGGCTTCCACGTTCTCACATTCACGTTCTCAGGGGGGGTGTCGCTCGTATAACGCACGCGCTCTGGATTCCCAACGCCCGGCACGTCATTGCATTTTCCCCCTCTCTCCCTTTCCCGTCCCGACCTGGGGCATTGCCAAGCGGAAGCAACGATCTGCTCGTGCCTGTGTGTTCCCCCGCATGGAGCACCATGGTGACCTCGGGCACAACGAGTGGAGGGCACAGGCAGCAGGGGGGACAGGAGGGGGAAGAGCGAGTGACGATCCCATCCTTTGACGGTCAGCACCGACGACTGGCCGAGTAGGTGCAGGCGTGTGTCGACGATATATGATCGCAGCCAGAGGAATGAGAAAGCGAGGTCGCTCATAGCGATCATAGCTCACATCGTCCCATCATCCCAGAGAAACACACCACTGCTTCGATACTCTCCATCGTCCTCGTCGGTTCGGTTGGCCGAGTACGATATACCCTCGCGACGTCCCAAAGGACCCCTCTCGAATAAACTTGTCCGTCCGAAACGGAGTTTGACGATCCAGTACGAAACGAGGGTGACGACGTGACAGTATCACTTGATCACTTGCAAACGAGTGATCGAGTGATCACGGGACGTAGGAGGATCTGCAAGACAGCAAGACAGCGCATCCCGGTCAGACGATCACACGACCGGGACCCTCTTCTCACATCAACAACACCCCGCTACCACTACTGCGAGCAAGACTTCCTTTAAAGCTCAGGACCACCTCGCAATATCCTCGTTTCCTTCCCCGATATACACATCACACCTGGGATCTAACATCCTTTGAGAATCTCTCACCGCGCACGTTCCATCTCGCATTCGCGCTCCCTCCTAGGAGAAGAAATAGAAGAAGCGAAGAGAAGGTATAAAAGGGAGAAGCATCAGAGAGAAAAAAAGACAGCGGGATCCACCGAATATATCTCAAGTTACCCCGGATTAGCTCTTTCACCTACGAAAGATCCTCTCTGCCTTGAATCTTTTTTGTCTGTGAGGAAGATAGCAAGAATACAACAAGGCCGAGGCCGAAGACTTACGAGGCAATACGCAGTGGTGAAGAAACACCTTTGAGAATCTTCATATAGCATGCCTGAAGATTATGGACACGGAAGGAGCGGCTCGGGTGGGGGTTCCAGTGGAGGGCTGCAAGGTGAGCCTGCTAGAGAACGGCTTCGTTCGAGATTTTTGGTATAAGAACTGCCGATACTGATGATCACACGATATGACCCACCTTTGACATGTAACATCGATTCCACCAATTCAGCCCCTCGTCATCACACCTTGAACGCCCTCTCTCCGCTCCAATCGTTCTCCCCACTTCAACCCGTCAACATCTCCGAACGACAATCGCAATCGAGACAACACTCCCGACACCCCTCGTACAACTCTGTCTCCTCGGTCGGGTCTTTTGGATCGCCTTCGTATTCGACTTCGTTTTCCGGAGGAGGAGGCGGGTTGGGCATCACCACCACCGGCCATACGGGACACGGAGGAGGTCATAGGATGCCCCCGTTGTCGACTTACAACCTCAACCGGAACAACAATGGACCTTCCAGCCCTGGAGGTCCCCTCGACGAGACTCCTTACCCCCAAACACCCGGAGGCGCGAATGGAACTGGAACGAACGGGGAAACGCCTTCACCCGCCCGAGCTAGGACGCCTAGCGTGACGAGGAGTCTGTCGAGGAGAGAGTCTATCGTCGCCAACCAAGGCTTGGGGGGGATGATGAGTCATTTCGACCTTTCGGGAGGTAACAGCTACCAGTCCGGCGGAGGGTATTCCCCCGGGTTAGGTTCGCCGTTGGCTGGGTTCGGGAATGTGGGACATGGACCTGCTTCTGGGGATCGGGGTGGAGGGTTTAGCAAGTTGACGCTCGTCAGGGCGCCTAGTAAGGGGAAGAACGCTGGTAGTGCTGGAGTTGGAGCGAAGAAAGGGGAGGATGCGAATGGGGGTGGGAGTGGGGCTTCGACGCCGGGTAGAAGGTCAGTCTTGCTCCGGTTTCGCGCTTGTTCAGGCTTTCGCTTCTGGAGGAGAAAGGTACAGGGGCTGATGAAGAATATCATTTTGACATCGTTGACAGGCGGACCAAATCGTCCAGCAACCTCTCGCCGTTCTCGTTCACGCCTTCGTCCTTGACGAGCAGCATCTCGGGTCCAGCGAATTTATCTTCCCTGCTCTCGCCCACGTCGCCGACCCCGTTCGCTCGATCTCCCGGCCCAGCTGATTTCGGTGGAAATGCCAACCCCACCAGCAATAACAATGGTCAAGATTCAATGGATTCAGCCGGCCTGACCAAGGGCAACTCGACCCCGGTGACGAGGACCAGTTTCCTGTTCGATTCGGCGTATCACCATCATCAGCCGAGCAACATTCACGAGGGCGAAAAGGGGCTCTCGCCTGAACAGGTCATGCATATGGCTGAGAGTCTCAAGAGCCCCGTTTTGGCTTCCTCACAGAGCGAGTCGCAGTCTCTCCCCCGGCGAGTCGGATTGAGTAGGAGTAGCAGCCTAGCCAGGGGGACTTCGTTCAGTATGAGGAGGGAGAGCGATGCTAGTGCCGTCTCTAGGGCTTTGGATGGGCAGACTCAGACTCCAGTCCAGCAGCAACATCAAGAGATGGAGCTAGAACCGGTAGAGTATGTGGAGATGAACGAGGACGTCTTGTTGCCCTACGTCGATCGACCGAGCGAGGTCGCCGAGCTCGTGGCTCAGCCTAGCAATGTGAGTCGGGTTGTCGATATCGACTGACCTGTTCATAAATGTGTGCTGACATGTGAGCGATCTGGTAGTATGAACTCTTTGACATCATCCGTCCCACCTTCCCCAAGGAATCCAAGGCGGCGGCTGATCGACCCGACTCGTGGCGCGCCGTTGATCCGGAAGACTGGACCTGGGAAGAGTTCCAGCAACATCTCCGACTCTCCCGCGTTGAGAGTGATGATTACGAATGGATCAGACAGGCCCGTCGTTCCGTCAGGGCGAGGAGCGAGGCTCTGTGGGAGAGGATCGGGATTTGTCTCGGATGCGACGGGGATCTGCTCAACGCAGGCGAACAAGAGCCACATTTGACCACTGCTGCGCTTAGCGACGTGTTTGATGGGAGCACCACCGCAGGGAGTCCGATCTTGTCGGCTCATCCGGACGACCATTTCGGGTTCGGTCACGTCTGGGTCGAGGGGCTGCAAGCGGTCGAACCGGAAGAGATGGAGATGAGTGATGGGTCGCCGGTCAAAACGGCGGAAGACACCGCCTCTCAGGACGCGCAGAGTCCTCTGCCCGGTATGGCACCCGCCCTGATGGACGTGGTCGAGGAGGAAGAATCGCCCGCTAGCGAATCGTCGCACAAGAAGAAACCGAGTTTGACGCCAGCTCAGATCGCTGGAGGACGAGGCGAACTCAAGGATCCGTTTGGCAAGACGAGCCCTACCGGTCCTAGTCGCCAGACCGATCTCCCTGGATCTCTGTCTGATGTCAAGCCCAAGGTCCGAGCGAAATCGTTTGTCGGCGTTCAGATCAGCACCTCGCCTTCCCTCCCCAGTCCCGCTCAAGTCCACCGGCCTTCCTACTCGGGATTGCTCCCAGGCGGACTCGAACGTGGACCGGGTCACCCGCTGTTCCCTTCGTCCTTTTCGACCCTGTCGATCGCGCCCACGTTGCCCAACAACAATCCGGCGCTCAAGGCCAGCTTGAGCTTTAGCCAGGCTTCCGACGCGATGAACCAATCTGCGCACGGTAATCCGGCCAGGGCCGCGCTGCAAAGCATGTTGGGCTTCAACAGGAAGCAGAGTAGGAGCGGCTTGAGCGAGAGTGAGTCCGAGAGCGAGTTCATCACCAGTTGCCATTGTCATTGATCTCGTCTTCGTCTTCTCCCAGGCGCGATCACGTTCGGTAGCGGAGATGACTAGTCCTCGTTGCGGCCGCTATCATCAAGTCTGACCTAGAACCTGTAAATCTGTATACTACGTGTTTCCCGAATCTCTTCCCCTATACCTCTCACGCCCAAATTCGACCGTCTCATTCCCATTATCCTGATCTGCCGCTTCGTGAACTCGATGACATGACCTTATATTACACATGACATGACGTAAATCTGATCGACCGCTGATCAGCAACGTTCGAATATTCGGTACAAAGCCTTGACATCGGCTAATTCGGTGATGTGCTTGATGGAATCTTTCGGAAACTTGGCGTATCGACGCATCGCCGGGAACAGGACGTGTTCCAATTGATGCCTCGCAAATTCGTGGGCGTTATTGTTTCGTTGCTGCTGAGTCGTATCAATATCGTCGGCAGGCATTTCGGCGTCGTCTTGCTCGGAAGTAGGGCTCGTGTCGTGAAGAGCGGACGGTGCGTAAAATCGTGCCAGCTCGCGTAGAAAGGTGTCGAAGCATGCTTGCTCTGCATTCCAGTCGACCTGGCACAGCATTCGTAATGTCAGTCCCGTACGTAACAAAGGTATACTATTCGTGGTGTACTCACTCGTTGGCCGAGACACAACATGAAGAACGGCAGATGTTCAACCGGCGGGCTGTAACCAGGCAACAAGGTGGGCAGAGATACAAGGCGGCCCTGGTCATCGATTTTCATTGAAAAGTATTCTTCCAACATCTCTTTTCGCTCCACCAGGAGGTTCGTCGTTGACTGATAACACGGATGGTTGAAATCGGTTCAATGATTCGCGATATGAAGGTTCGTACAGGCCCACCTCTATGATATCTTCGGGGTCAAGTCCCGCTTCCACCAGTTCTTCCTCCGCGTCTACCGCGATCCTCAGCAGTTCTCGGATATCCAGGGCGGGTTCGAGAATCTCGCACCCGTAGGCCCCGAACTGACGCAGGCCTAAGTGGTAAAACAGCTCTCGCCTGGACAAAACTCGAGGTCAGCTTCCCGCCTTCAGATTGACGACCCGGTGCAGACCCACGCAAAGTGTCCATAATGTATCATGTATAGCTTGGTTTCGTATTGAATCAAGGCGTGAGTGGTCGTATCTGTGACTCCGACGAATTTGTGCTTAGCAAAGATCGCATCAATTCCTGTCAGATAGAGCCGATTGTCAGCTCATGCTTTGCATACACTACTCGCTAAATAATCTCACTAGCGTCTCCATTCTTCTCGACCAACTGCCTCAATTTCTTGATGCTCTTCAGACTCGTTGTTGTTTCGATAATATTCCTGCTCAAGCCGATGTCATCCTCTTCGTCTTCTAAATCTACGATCTGCACTTCTGGCGCGATGGAACCCGCCTGTGCCGTGACCGTCAAACCCTGGCTGAACATCCCGTCCGCCGTCTTACGCCTTTTCGTTTGAGCAGAATCCATCTCGTCAGGATTCCGCTTGGCGAACTGCGACATCGATTCCAATTTCCGATCCGATGGGTCAATGCGGACCTTGTGCTGGGGTGCCACTGTTTTTGGTCCGACTCGGGGCACTAATAACAGCACCACCATGTTAGTGGGGCAGAACCTCCGAACGATCCTTAGTTGACTTGCCTATATCGCGCTCGACTGGCTTGACATTCGGCTCGGAGGCCCCGGGCAACAAAGTCTAGCACGGAGGATGATCAGTTATCGATGCTGGCGATCTTGAGGGTGTCAAGCAAGCCTACTTGGACGCTATAGCTTCTTGAGGCGTTGGCGTTTGCTAAAGCCTTCGAGATCTCATTCATCACCAGCTCGACAACGGCATCTTCGTCCAAGAAGTGAACCTGCCGAATAGAGCGCGTGACTTCTTGCTCAGGTGCTTTTCTCCTTGTGCCACTTATCGGATCGCCTCACCTCGGACTTGGTCGGATGCACATTGACGTCAACACGATGTGGCTCGATCTCCAAGCTGTACGTATGACGACCCCTAATCAGTCGAGCGCATTTGCGATCGCTCGAATGACAACGCAGACTTACCTGAGATACACGAACGGGTACGAGCCCTTGGGTAAGAAGGCGGTATACAGCGCCTCGATCGCTTTCCTAAACTTGTTTGATTCCACCAATCGATCTGTAGACCCAGAACCGCAGATCAATACTCGCTCAGACACTTTCCGTGATGTCTGAAAGCGCTTGGGCTTGAACTCACTGTTGATGAACAACAACAAGATTCCCTTCTTGCCATTGTGCCCCGCCCCGCTCGCATACCCGTGGACCTTGACGATCCCAAACTTTTTATCCTCAGCCGGACCGAACGCAAGGAGTTCCCTCGAGAGGGCTGAACCGTACAATAAGCCGATATTGCTCAAACAATTCGAGCCGGATGCAGTTGAGACTTCCGGCTGATTGGTACCATGCTGAAGAGTCATAATATCGATTTATTGTGTTAGTCTGCGAAAAAGGTCGGCAGGAGCCGACAAGGACCTGATCTTATCTCACCTTCTTGCAAACCCAAGCGACGTGCGGGTTATGCACCGCATACCTCGTCACGACATCGATGATCCTGTTGTATTCGTCCGCTCCCGATTTGAAGCTCTTCCTCCTTAACGGAACGTCGTAGAAAAGGTCTTCTGCCTGCAGACGGTACAGTAGCGTTACTACCTGATCAGGCGCGTGCGCAGAAGACATTGATAAGGGCGGGTCGGCTCACGGTGATGATGGTACCCTGGTTGGCAGCAGAAGGTCTCGGATCGGCCGATCCCACTCTATTTGGCGCGACGAGCTTTCCCTGGCTATAATGCGCCCTGGATCCCCAAATCAATCCGACTCGGTCTGTCAGCAACTCAACACGCAGGAGGATTTTAAGCTCAAGCCTTCGACTCACTTCCAACCAGTCGGTTCTTGAGCGGTCTTCGTGATCACGCTGACCCTGCTGACGAAACTGATACTGGCCAGCGCTTCTCCCCGGAATCCATAAGTGTTGAGCGATTGCAAGTCGGAGAAGGCGCGTAGTTTCGATGTAGCGAATCGCTGGCATAATAGCGGGAGATCTTCTTTCTGGAGAAGACAGATCCATAGCAATGGTTTCAGTAGCGTTATCATATGAATTGAGAATATTATCGCTTACCCTGATACCATGCCCGTTATCGGTGATCATCATGCTCTTGAGACCGCCATCCTTGGCCGTAACCTTGATGCTGGTGCTTCCCGCATCAAGCGAGTTTTCGAGCAATTCCTTGATAGCGTTGGAAGGTCTGTGTATGATCTACATCAAAACCAAGAAGTGATTGTCTTTCAGAGACCAGATAGGTAAATAGATGTCCGGAAGACGATCTATACCTCTGCAGCTGCAATCTTGTTCACGACGTCCTGACTGAGCTGCTGGATGGGCCTTGGCCCAGCTACCGGCCTGGTTTCCAGATCGTCCACTTCCATGAGGTCTACGCTATCCAATCATTCTAGGCTTCAGCTGGCGTACCAGGCTGAGTACGCTTTCTTCCAGATCGAATATGTAGTAATTTGTGTACAAAGTCATCGCACTGCTGCTCCTGCTGCTCGAGATATCATCGACCTCCACCGGAACTATAATCTGCTTCCGGTGATCTTATCCTCGGCCGATTCGCCTCACGCCGGTGGACCGCACTCATCACAATTGCATGTTCTTCAGTGTCATTCCTTGTTCCTCAAAGTAGTGAAGTCCCCTCCCCCTTGTCCAAGTCACGATATTCAAAGACGACAATCACAGCAGTCCTCTTACTACCAGAGAAAGGAGAACGAGAAACGTTGAACAAGAACCGGTTTTAGAAAGCTCGAAGAGACCTCCCATCATGATCAAGGTGAATCATTTTCCCTGCTTATCAGCCTTGTATAGCCCGAGACCGGCTCTGACAGCGTCTTCATTCCATGGATACTGCTACTCAGATCTGGACCGTCAAAAAGGATGAGCAGGCCGCGGCCAAGAAGAAGCCGAAGACGTCTGCCGCTCAAGTCCGAGTACAGAAGGGTGAGTCATTCTCACCCCAGAGACTCTTACCTTAAGGATACTCATTCTTTGTCAATCTGTTTGTCTCGATATATCAGACCTGACTGAGCTTGATCTACCTCCTACTATGAAGACCGACTTCCCTGACCCGGCCAATCTTTTGCACTTCAAGATCATCCTCAACCCGGACGAAGGTGCGCTCCACGCCGGCATCGGCCGAGCTCTTACCACTCGAGATCGTATGCTGAGATTTGTCGACCTGAACGTTATATAGGGTTCTATAAAGGCGGATCGTTCAACTTTACCGTCAACATATCCCCCAACTACCCACACGAAGCTCCGAAAGTCAAGTGTACCCAGAAGGTCCGTTCCCACCTGGTCGTGTGATATACCGGCCGAGGCTAAGATTTGTTGCTTTTACAACATAACCGATAGATCTACCATCCTAACCTTGATCTAGAGGGGAATGTCTGCTTGAACATTCTGCGTGAAGATTGGAAGCCCGTAAGTCTTGGACGAATCGCCTACGATCGTTCACCAGGGTCTTGGTAGCTGATTACATATTCGCTGAACCTGAAATCTGAAATCAGGTATTGAGCTTGAACGCCGTGTTGGTCGGGTTGCAGTATCTGTTCCTCGAGCCGTGAGTCCTTAATATAGTATTCAGATCAGAGATCACGGGCCTAACGTTTATCTTGTTCTCAGTAACCCTGACGACCCGTTGAACAAAGGTACGCTCAAACGTTGCTGAAATCGCCACCATCTGTACAGCGCCGTTTACTGATTCGACGTACATCATCAATGCTACACCATACAGATGCCGCCGAAGACCTTCGAAGAAACCGTGATCTGTTCGCCAAGAACGTGACCAATTCTATGCGAGGAGGAAGCGTAGGACGGGAATCCTTTGACAAGGTTTTGGCCTAGATGTTGGGAGGCGTAACATCTCGAATATCCTCATACGTTATGCAAGGGGATGGGCTCATCCTCGTAGAGCTTATTGTAACTACACTATCAATCTTATGACGACACTTCTTCCAGCCTGACCCAAGATTCAAGATCTCAGGCGGCATTCTTGCTATTCTTGATAGTTTCGTCGAGGACTCGTCACGCAGATCGTGTGACCATAGACTTCGCGCGGCTTTCGCCTTCTTTTCAACCTCGAGCAGCGAGCAACTTGTAATTGAGCATGATGTGCAGTTGAGGCTCGCTCCCACCAAGGTGATCTCCCGTGTTTAGTAGATACAAACATATACATTCACGATCCTCACACTACGAAAATGTCTGGACGAGCACCTCAACAGCCTCTCGCTATCGGCGCCGGAGCTTCCAGCCCCTTGACCTGGTTCTGGAACGACCAGGTCGTCAACCCTGAACACCGAGCTGGTAACATCAAGTGAGTCTGACCTGGCTTTTCGTCCGGAGACACGCCACTAGTCCTGGATGACTGACAGCACATTCTTGTGGGCGATATACAGCATTGCCATCGGTGTCACCACCTTCGCCCTCGGAGTCCTCGCCGTAAGGAACTTTGGTGGAATCCTCGTTCCCGGGTTCTAAGCCCATACATCATCACGGCGTCACACGAATGAAGGCGATGGAATAGTCTGGAAGGGTGCAGGAACGGTGGATCCAGGAAGGAAGGAGTCCTGGATGAGGAATGGCGGGATTCTCGGCAAGCCTTGGCGGCTTTGTATCAAATAGTAAATCACAACGACGACACCTAATCGATCATTCAGCCTCAATCGCCTAGGTTTTCAGATCGTTGCTGAACATAAGGAAGCTTCACGTATATGAACTGGTCATCCCTCCGGGTCTCAAGAAAAGGCATCCGGCTGCCGTCATGATTTGCAAAGAGCGGCCGGTAGGCAGAGCCTGTTGGTGGCGCTCTCCGGGGATAGTAGAATATCAAGGTATACGGCGTCGCTTGCACCCTCGCTATATCTCATCCGAAAAACAGAAATGATTGGTCGATCCGAATGGAAAGACTTCAACAAAAGCGACCGACTTCGCGGCCCTGACCGTAGGCAAGGTGGCCCCTATGGCAAACGATGCTTCTCGGTGGCTGATTCACGGGATCCTCTCGAGACTATCTCACTCAGCTAGTCGATCTGGGGCCGAAGCCTTATGCTTCATGGTGAATTTGACGGTGTGTCGCGCGAACTACAAGAATTCGAGCCCGATTCCTACTCCTAGACCTCTTGCCCATCCTTCTCCCTTACGGCCAACAAGCGGGAGGGCTAGATTGACCTCGATCCTGATAGGATCCAGCCTGTAGAGCAGCCCGAATCCTGCACTCAGGTTCGGTGATGAGAACAGCTTGTTCACGTTGTTTCCGAATGTTCGCTCTGCAACATGAGACAACACTTCAATCTCCGAGCTCTAGCGTGGTCGACGGGAAGTACTCACGACAGTCCCATGCGGTGACGCGGCCAGTGTTGATAAATCCATGCAGCTTGACGGGCCATTCAGGTTTGGCGGGGAACGGCGCATATACGGACAATCCCGTAGCGAACGCCAGATCACCTCCAAGGGAGTCGTCTGAGGTCACCGGTATCAGTATCGCGTGACCGATCTTGTAACTGCTTTAACAATGACTTACGACCATCCCGCAGTCCCATACCACCAATCCTCCATCCCCGTACGCTGTTGGGGCCTCCCAAGAAGACCCTGTCAGGCAAAGCGGTCTTGCCCGAAGGGGAGAGTGGCACGGAGATGGTCAAGAGGGATGCAATGGAGTAATGCTGAAAGACATATTATGTTTGAAGCCGCGTAAGCTCATATGATCTACCCCTGCATCTCGATCGCTTACCCAACCGGAGCCCGGCCAGATCATCCTCGACAACTGGGTCTGAGCGGTACTTTTGAAGAAATTTGCCGATGGCGAGCTACATGGGAGGCCCGCGAATTCCTAGAATATCCATCGCAATAGCTGTTAATGGCCGTACTACAGCACTTGCTAATCACAACTTACATGTGATACTTTCACCAAAGATCCTCTTGACCCCGTCCAAGCATCATCTCTCGTATCGCGGGTGTAGGTATGCACAAGACTGGCTTTGGTCGAGGGGTAAGCTAGTTCTCGAATGCTGAATGGAGGCGTTTTCCAGTGAGATCCCTCTCATGTACAGGTTCGGTGAGCTTGCTACACTCACGAGATGGATGCTTTGGGAGTAAGGTTTCCGATCTCTCTGTTGATGAACTCGTATATCAGGTCGTGAGTCCCCCAAGGCGCTCTAGCCTACAACCCAAATGCGCCAGGGGAATCACATCAGGACCGAGGAATATGTCAACAAGCGTTGTGAGACTCACACTAATCTTAGCTCGACCCCCCTCTGATCGTTCTCGGTGGGCGGCAAAAGCCGTGTTATCCCGATCAAGAGAGAAGGCTGACAAGGACAAGTTGAGCAAAGGCGAAGCGAGCAAAGGTGTCGATAACGCGAGCTGGTACAGGGAAGGGAGACGATCGCTCTCATCAGCGAAAGCTCCGAAGGCATTGTGCATATCTTCGGTTGCTACCGACCTGATAGGCAGATTTCGTCTTCGTTCCATACGTCGCGTTAAACTCAACCGTCTCGGCACCCCCGAAGACGTTTCGCAGACGAGCAGTGGCGTTCTATCAGGTTGCCCAGAAATACCAGAACGTTCTCAGCTAGATTCGCGGCAATCCCAAGGACAGTCAAGCGACTCACAGCACCACCTTCTCCCCCACCAATCTCGGTACCTCCCTTCAAGAACAGCCTGCCCTTCTCTCTCACACCCAGCACGAGATCTACATCCCCAACAGCCCCACCTTCAGCAGGCTGGAACTTGACGTCGACATCGTCATGGAAGATGTCGAAACCCCTCAGATGAGCGGCCATGGCTTTGGTGGTCAAGAGGATCTCGTGTAACGTCTGAGGTGGATTAGGAGCCCCGCTAGTAGTTGCCGGGTTCAGCCAGGGAATCGAGAGCGGCGAGGTAGAAGGTTTCGAGATGAAAGGGCTAATAAGAGAGTTAAGGAATCCTGGTCTCGTGACTCGAGGTGGGTTTGGGATCCTGATGGACGAGATGTGTAACGGGTGGTCCATAGAGGTTTCGACCTGCATCAGGCGAGTATATATAAGCGATGACCTTAATCCCGCTTGATTCAGCTCGAACTTACGACCTCATGCAACCTCCGTTGCATCTCTTCATATTCCCCGCGCAGCTTGCGCTGGAACTCTTCTTCCTGCCATTGTCTCACCTCTTCACCCTGCGTCTCTGTTCAACCGGATCGCAGGTAAGCTCGGCCGTCTCAACTTTTAGCTATTCCTGCAGCTCACCTCTTCGAAACACTGGCTCCCTAGCATCTCTGAAGATGTTACTAGCGAGAGGGGCGGCTAGTCGAGGTTCCTCCGTCCGAGGCTGTGTCGGACAGTACGACAAAGATCGGTGGTTAGGCTCAACTTTCGGATGACGAGTCAGGGCGGTCCATGGGCTTACCTGAAAACCGATATCCACGTCAACCTCTTCGACCGTAGCCGACCGGTTCTCCTGAGCGTGAGGATCCATCTTGGTACGTCCGTTGAGTCCGTCAGGGATTCGAAGATTCAGCAAGCACAGGTACAAGAATAGCAAGAATGAATAGAAGATGCATCGACCTCGGATATTCTCGATCGACCGTTAGCTCTCGGCGCCGCGGATTGAGATCACGTGATGTCGTTCGACATAAGTAGGTAGTAGACTGCGTAAGGGTAATGCATCGGACAGGGTCAAAGGTTACAGGTATATCTATTTTACAGTGGAGACCGCAGTGTTCGTAATCGTCAAGGACCATCCGTGCCAGGTCTCGTCTACTCGCCAACCCGGTAGGCGACCATTGCCTATTATACACAACCGAAACAAATCCGCTCTTCAGTAAAATGTCGCTGACATCTCTCCACCCCTTCTACGTCCTTCTCTTCGGGCGCACTCACCTCCATCTTGTGCACATTGGTGCTGAAACTCCTCAATCTGACCTGCTCCACCTTGCCCTTGTCGATGAGATGAGGGTCCGCGTCGTTCCACTTTTCAGGCAGAGGCAAGGGGTCTTGTGTCGATGTGTAGGCCAGCAAGGTGAAGGAGCCTACATGAAGACCGGTAGCCAGAAGGGAGTATGAACACAAGATGGAACAGGATCTTGATCTCCTGGCGGTATCGGCATCGATATCACGCCACTCACACTCTTCCTCCAAGACGGGCAGGAACGTTACGCTCGCCGTGATCTGCTTCATGATCTCCCTGATCTCGACCTGAACTTCCTTCTCCGTCTTTTCTTTCGGTTTGCCAGAAGCCGCAGCTATATATGTGTTCGAGACGTTGTATCTCGTGTCAGAGCCGTTCGTCATTTTCCAAGCCGTCATGAAAGGCAGAACTTACCGCTCCCGCTCGACTCGCCAGTCCCGTTCTCATCCTCGGTGATGATATCAAACTGCCACCGTTCGACAGTCTCCAACGTCTCCTTGGAAGTGATCGCTAGTACCAGCCTCGTGATCGTCTTTTGCATCAGCCACTCTAGAGTAGACCAGAGATCAAATCGAGCATCAGCACAAAACTGTCTCCATAATCAGATAAATACATGGCAATATCCAGACTCACCGTGAACTTGTTTCAAGATCGTCTCCAAGTATGCCTTCAACTCCTCGTCCGCGGTAATGAGCATGGGCAAACCATATTTCTTGACCATTCTATATATGTTTCCCGTTGCAAACCACCCCCATTTAGCCACGAACGATGAGGAGACCGTGAAGCCAAGCAGAGACCAACCGGAAATCATCGGGAGGGTATATGTTTCTCTGATACAAGATACTGTTGATCCGGTAAAGACAAAGCTGGCGATCAGCTAAAGCGGCCGGCTGCGGATGAAAGGTGGAAGGACTTGCCTGTTGACAGAGTATTCGAAGAACTCGGTGACAATCTATCAACATCCACCGAACGAATTCGAAGGGTTCAAGTCAGCTTCCTTGAGCTCCTCACTTGATGAGCAGGAAAATGCAGCGGTTTGATCCCCGGATGACCGGAACTCCCGAGTTTAGAAGCGAGATGCCCACCTTGGTAGAACCTTTGAGCGAGATGGCCTGGTTCGTCCTGGTCGCTTGCTTCATCGCCATCTTGAAGAGGTGCTAACAGTTTTCGATTTCTAAAGATTGAGCCGACTTTCTTTTGTAGCTTGCAGCGGTTATTGCAGGACCAGTCGATAGGTTGGACTTATTGTGATGACCCGTATACATAGAATCAACGACTTACGGTAGCTGCTTCAAGGAGATCAAGCAAGTTCGCGCGAAAAAGTAAACAAACAACAAAATACAACAACCGCGCAATTCGCGCAAGACCACAAACATTCCCATGCTCCCATGCATCCCATGCCATCTACGCAAATCTCCAGAGATCCTTTTCCCATTGCGCAAGATCGAACCGCTCGGCACTGCAACAGAGACGAATCAAAGGTCCCTTATCGAATTCTTTGTGTTTTCCTCTTCCCTCCTCCGCTATTCACTATGCATCTACTACAACGACTCCCCACTCGCCAATTCTCTCCCGTCCTAACTTTTTGCGCCTGCACAAGTCAAAGAGACGACTCGAATCTAGTGGTGGTGAGCGGCGTTGGGGTCTCCCTGGAAGTCCATCCTGTGTGCGACAACATCGGAACACAACCAAAGTCAGCATTTCGTGTACATCCTCCCGACGGGTTGTGATGGAGGCGAGAGAGACTCGACGTACTTGTAAACACATCCACACTCGGGGCACCTGTGCTTCTCCAACTGGTTGTCCAAGCTGTTCACCGCCAACGGGGAAAGCCGTCAATTTCTAGATCCTCGCGCAGATTGGCACAGATCAGATGCTCACCTCAACCAGATGGTGTCGTGAGAGTCGGTGGGGAAACCGGTACAACCGATCTTCCTCTCGGGGAACTATCGGTAAGAAATGTAGGACAAAAAGATGGGGGTCGTCAGCGATTCGATCCCGGTTGATTGGGACGGTCGCCTGACGGCCAGACACGAGACAGTTCGCGAAAAGAAGATGGAAAATTCCAGGCCGGCCGCTACGACATTCCGAGAGATCGCAATCCGCGCCGTCCTTTTGCGTTCGAGAGTCGCTCATTCAAGCGACCCTCACTCGGCTGCCCCTCCTGACGGAAGGTTCTGACTGAGACTTAATCTCCCAAGCTTTCTTGTATCTTTTCCTCCATCCCCCTCATTGACGCGTACGGAACTTTCTTAAGCGAGTGCCAATTGCAGCCGTATTGGCCGAACACCCAATAGGTGAGGAATGAGGCCATGCAAGCCGGCCTGTTACACCAGACTCATCCGCCTGTCCGGCGTTAGGGTCCACGTATCTTCCCGGCTGGTTATCGCATTCGCGTTTGTCTTGCTCCTGTCTGCAGGTCTTCTTCCGTCATCCCGAGCTGAGGTGATCTCCCATCTGGGGAGATATGCCACCGATCGGACGGTTCGCGGGTCTCGTTCGACGGCATCCACAGCTAACTCGCTCCTTGCGACATTGGCCGGTTCGCCTACGACCTCTCCACTGCCCGTCGCGTTCTCCACGTCCTCGCATTCTCCAACCGAAACCCCCAATCCCCCTGACCCCTCCCAGGTTGAAACCCCTCAAATCCTGAAAAAAGGCGACTCACCAAACTGTAGACCGAGATCGGCTCCTTCATCGTACCCAGCCTCTCGACCTTCAAGGGTTTCATGTCAAAGACGTCTACGCCGTCGAGCTTGCCGAGGAGTTCGAATCGCTCGAGACCGGTGGATTGGTTTTCGCTGTAGGGTCGGGCGGTGCATGTGGGGTCGAACGGGGAGGGTGAAGGTGGGTTGGAGGATTATGGCGTTAGGGAATGGTGAATGCATCAGGCAGATGGTTTGGTAGTTCGGGTGAAGATGGATAGATAACGCGTATGGAATGGAAACATAAAACGGCAAGATCAGCACTCATTATCGTGACCACCCCACATTCCATGCGAGAATCGAGAGCTTACTCGGTAGGCACTTGACCGGCGGGGGAACCCTATGTACAATAAGGAATTGGGACGGGATATTCGTCAGTCTAGCTGTACTATCGCACGGTATGGTTTCGTGTGAAAGACCGGGAGTGAGAGCGGAGATGGGAAAGGAGAGGTCGGAGGTTCTATTGGGGTTGTCTGGACCGTTTCGGCTATTGTTTTGTCGGGGATGACTTTGTAGAGCTCGGGATTCGAGAGATCGGTCTGTTGTCCTCCTTGACATCGTTCTCTTCAGGGGCCTCCATTTCCAACTCCAGACCCCTAAACCCCGTCCTCTCTTCCCACCAACCGACCAACCCTCTTCTCTCCATCTCAAGTCCAACCCTTATCCATGAAGCACTCGGCACCCCCTGCCACTCACCTCTCCCTGAAGCGTAGGAGGTCCATGTCCGGCGCTCTTGATGGCCGAGACGTTGAAAGCCCTGACGGTCGACCTGGCGTTGAATCCAGCGGTGGTCGAGGTCTTGATGGCCGAGGCGGTAGGCCTGAGGAGGGAACGGAAGGACGAGCTGAACATCGTGTGCGCTCCGGGGTTGTGACGCTATGCTATGCTCGATGATGGGGGTCCAAGGTGCAACTTGGTAATTGGCATAATTGGTAATTGGTAACGAGGGACCTGTTCGTTGCGAGTTGAATTGATTGTGGTTCGTCGAATCCCGGAGAGAACCGCGAGAGAGCGAGAGAGCGAGACGAAGGGGGGAATCGCCAGTTTCCCACGCGTCCAACGTGTTTTCGCTGGATCATCTTAAAAAGTGGGTGCTTGTCAGTACGTAAGTATGACGCTATTGGTTTACGGTATCTTTGAGCTTAGACTTTGGGTCGACCTTGAGGTTGATCATATCCAGCGAGCAGCGAGAGCATTCTGGAATCGTCATCTTCTCGAATTGATGGAATGTTTGGGATCACAGCGCTCATAGCTAATGGTTAGTTAGCTAGCCTATCAACGAGCCTTGACAGTCGACATCCGCAAAACATTCAACGATCTAGAGCGTAGTCTCTTGCCAACTCGCTCAATAAACCCACTATACCGTTCGAGCTAGACATACAACACACATCCACGCTTTGCCATCATGCCTCTCAACTACAACAAATGGGACAAGCTCGAAGTAAGTCAGACCTCCGGCGGAAAACCTCAACCTGTACAAGAGTTGCCTGGCTGATCAACCTCGCTCTGGCCTGCTCTTGTAGTTGTCGGACGATTCCGACATCGAGGAGCATCCCAATATCGACAAGAGGAGTATGATCAAGTGCGTTCAAGCTGGTCTTTGGCAACAAAGAGTCGGATCGCGATCGACCACAGGATCACACGTTACTGATTCTTTAAATTCAACTTGGTCTATTGCAGCTGGAAACGCCGTGACATTCTCGAGAAACGAGACGCTCGTCGAGCCAGGATCGCCCATTATCAAGCCGAGATCGCCCTGAACGACGTGTTACACCCTCGACTGGTCTCTCTGAGGGAATCCATCACATCCGCCACGAACTCCACTTCTACTTCATCATCTTCTTCGTCCAGTTCGGCTTCGCCCCGAGGCATCTTCAGCCAAACGGTAGAAAAGCTGAAAACCTCCCCTTCGCCGGACAAACCTCCTACCGGGCACGAAAAGCAACCCACGTACGACGAGATGATCCTGGACCTCCTTATCAGGATCTACGCTTCCGCCAAGGAGACGCTCGCTGCGAAGTCTGATGCGGACGATCAGGCTTGGGGAGAGGTTTTGGGAAAGGAGATTGAGAAGCATGAGGTCGAGTTGAAGGAGAGGAATCAAGAGTTGAGGGGGTTGGTCGAGAAGGAGGAGAAGGAGCAGGGGAGCAAGATTACGAGTGATGATATCAAGGAAGGGTTCTCGTCAGGGGTGAGTGCTTAGACTTTGGTGGACAATGATCTGAGCATGTTTGGCTGATTTGGATGAGAGGGGGACGTGTTTACGTAGCACATCAACAAGGCCTTGCCTTCTCCTTGGGAACAGGAAGAGTCGGAAAAGAAGAAGAAGGCGACCAAACCCGCTTCAAAGTCTTCCACCGTGTCTACGATCGAGGTTCTCAACCCGTCCGCATCTTCCTCCTCCACCAACCAGAACTCGGCATCGACTTCCGGCCCGACACCGGATCCCGACGACCAAGAATCCGAACCCGTAGAGGATATCGAAGACCTAGACGAACCCCCTTCGATGACACCTAGTACGACGGCCTTTTCTCGTCTCCCTCTCAGAGGATACACCCAGTCCTGGGAGTTCATCCAAAAGGACCCTTCGATCCTCATGGAGCGAAACACGGACGCCCTCTTGGCCGAGGCTTTCGAGGCCGAGTTGAAGGGAGAGGGCGAGAGGGCGAAGAGGTGTGTGCATCAGGGGTTGATGATCCAGTATTGTCGGAAATTGGGTAAAGATGGGGTGAGGTTGTTCTTCCAGAGGTGAGTCTTGAGGTTGAACGCTTGAAATCTATCTTCAACGCTGACCTTCGAGATCGTTCGCAGGATGCAACAAGGCGGACCCAAGGCGGAGTCCGTCTTCCAGACCGACGTCAACGACACATACAATCGAATGTCCACCCGATGCGCGCAGATCAAGATCGAACAGGCTCAATCTGGCGGAGGGGAACGCGAGACGATTCAGCTCGTCGCCGAAGATCCTAGTACCAAGATCGGGTTCAACATCCCAGACGGTCCTGTCCCGGAAAACCTCGTCATCGAGGGTTTGGAAGAAGGGCAAGAGGTGGATATCGAGGAGATCAAGGTGTTTTTGAACCAGAAGTGGGAGTATTTCCAGGGGTTCCCAGAGAATCTGAAGAGGGCGATGAAGTCGGAGAGTCTGGACGAGGTGAACAAGGTGCTCGAGAGGATGAATTTGGAAGAGGCAGAGGAGATTGTCAGGAAAATGCAGGAAGGGGGGATGCTGAGCTTTAGGTGCGTTTTCGCGGATCGTCGCAAACATTTCCCTTCTGAATCGTGGTAGCTGATGTCCGTGTTCTCCTTTCTGCAGTGAAAGTGGAGTGCGAGACATGACGGGCAAAGATTAGACGCTGGGACTGCGATAATGACGACGACCACCATTTGCGGACAAGGCTCGCGAGGTGATGTGGGAGTGGGTAACGAACATGTAATGAAACGTCTATCAGATATGTGAAACTCGTCGACGGTTGTCAGGGGCGGAGAATCTCATGAAAGTCGATAGCAAGGTACTATTTCTCGGCGGACCAGGTCGCCGCTGATATTATTGTACAAAGTGGACCGCAAATTCAACCTGAACCTCGCCCCATCGGTCCAGGACTTTCCTAATCCCGCTTGATGGTGTCCGTCCGCATATAGCTTGTTGTGCTGGCTCGTCGAGGGTCTAGACTGGTTGATAAATCCATTTCCCAGCCGCAATCGGCTCGAAGAAGTAGCCTCGCATCTCGTCATCTCTAGCGGGTCGTCGCCTCAGACCCCCGCCCACAAGGCGCCCAGGCGAAGGACGTTCCGGTACCCTTACCGCACGATTCGATGTACACTAAACTCTCGGCTGGTGAAGTCATCCATCAGACCGTCTTCACCCTCCATCATCAGTCTTATCGCTTGTTCACGCCGAGCATCGACGGGCGGGTTCGGCCTAGTCGATGTCGATCTCGGATTTGCCGGGACTGGTGTTATCGGTTCTGTCGTTGTGCCGCTTACGGCCGTCCTACACAACGTTCCCCCATAGCGATGGTGAGCAACGGTGATCTCGACTAAATATGTAATCTTGGCGGAATGATCGAGGAGAGAAAGGACAAAAGGCTCACCCAGGTACCCCAAACACCCTGATCCCACGGACATGCGTGTCTTTGCCATTCAGGTGATTACCGACGATCTGGACTCGAACATGGAACGCCGGCATGGGTGGACTGGATGGCGTGGAAGCGTAACCGGTGTATCAGCACGATCGGTGCGAAGGTGAAAGCACGGCGAGATAGTTATCACTGCATCAGCCGATGTTCTGCTTCCAAGTTGAACAATCGATAATTCGAACGTGTCAAAGCTCACCCTTCTTCCTTTTCGACGATCGCATCCGCCCCCTCGCCGATCTGTCGGTTAACAGTGCGCAACGCGTAGATCCCCCACCCGTCCGGTTTATCGAGGTGGAGCGAGCGGACCTGCGAGGAGTTTCAAAGGGATTATACGAAATCCAAGCAGGGATAGAAAGATGGGGAGCGAAATAGGAGAGGCAAGAGAATGATCAGCCGACCATCCTGGACATATTTCAAGAATGAAGAAGGCATTCCGGTTGCCCACCTCGACAAGGTCGTAATGGCTCGTCCCCAACAAGATCCCGATCCGCTCAGGGGTGTATGAATCGTCGTTCGAGTGTGAGAGGCAGATGTGGACCGACTGCACAAGACAACAATAGAAGATGGTCAGCTTGAAGCGGCTCGGCTTGGTGGTCACTGAAGAAGTTGTGATAAGGTTGGGGCTTACGGAGATGTAGACTTTACGGGGGAAAGCTAGGTCGATGTTGTGCGGCTGAGGACCTTCTGATCTGAAAACGAAGATGAAACAAAAGAGGAAAGATTCAGAATCATCTCGTCAGCGATTTCCGATTCGAAAGAGATCCTTTGAGGAGGAAGAGCTCACTGCCAGAAAGTCTCTTCGTTGCCATCACGCAAGTGTTGCAAGCCGAACCCGAATTTGCGGCTGGATACGCTCCATTTGGCGAGGTTGCCGATATCTATCACAATCAAGCAGATCCGTTCAGTCGTCGTATCATAGGCAAGGAGGAATAGCCTGGGTGTAGGTAAGCTGAGGGACTTGCCATAGGAGACGAGAGACATTTCGCGAACGAGTTGCGAGGTATTTTCAGGTTGGTGTCATTCCGTCGTGGTGGTGTGTACGTCCCAGCGAAGAAGGCGAGGGAAGGTAATCTGATACCACTGGGTGCTTCTTGCCTCGCGAACAAATTGACCTCTTTCTGAGTAGCCACAGCTAGCATGTATATATACACACACAGTACACAGGAGATCCGACGAGAGGTCAAGCTAGCTGTGAGCACTACCTCTCACATCGTCAACAAAGGAGGTTCGACCCAACTTTTGCTTCCGAACTCGACCTCGTCGGGTCAGCAGCAGGTCCAAGGTTCTAGGAGGGGAACTTCAATTCGACCTATGTTGTCGTCAATGTTATAATAGTGGCAACTGCCTTGATCGTCCTAGACTCTCCTCAGTCCGTCTCCATCGTTACAACATCACTGCCGGCTGCTAGACGCTGAACACCCACAAAACCAGCAACAAACCCCTCCCCCCGACCCGATTCGTCATCAACCCCGACGACAGACCCTCATTCCAACAGAATCCTTTACGCCGTCATGTCCACCTCAAGCACACAAGTGGAATCCTATCAAGGAGTCTTGCAGAGGTACAAGGTCCCGAAAGGTCCTGATCTGCCGATCTTTTTGAACGGAGATCTGAACAGCGACAAGGCGGTGAGCGATACGGACATCTATCCAACTTGTCCTGACATGAGAGGAGTAAGAAGCTGATATTTTCACTTTCTTGGTTGTGGCTACTGACCTACTGGTTAATAGTTGATCATGATGGGCGGTCTGTATGATGGGATAGTCAGTCTACCATATCAAGCCACTCTGAGCAAGATGTGTTCCGAGATCGGGTGGACGGCGTGAGTTTGATACTTTGCCTTCCTGGCCTGCTTTCACTATGAAGATGAGGCTGAGATCTTATGTTATGTCACACATGGATCGGTGACGAATGTTCAGTGTTCAGCCGTACTGGACCTCGGCTTTACATGGGTTCGCGATCGGGTCCTTGAAGCAGGATGCGGAGGAGCTGGAAGCTGCCGTGAAACACCTTCGAGCGCAAGGTGAGGACGCTTCCCGATGTCGATCTCCAGCTTCTCGGACACCATTAGCCGTCGTTGTACCTCAAAGCAAATAATCTGAAGTAATCCAACTGTCTTCGAACCCGCAGGCAAGAAGACCATCGTGATCCTCGGTTCCTCCACAGGCTGTCAAGACATAATGACCTACCTCCTCACGCACAACACCTCTACCCCGATCCAGGGCGCTATCCTTCAAGCTCCCGTCTCGGATAGGGAATGTTTCGACGACCCAAAAGTCATCAAGGCGGGCGAGTTGGCCGAGAAGATGGTCAAGGAGGGGAGGGGGGAGGAGATGGTACCGAAGGAGGTGGCTATGGAGGCTTGGGGCATGGAGAGGGTGACGGCTTATCGGATGTGGAGTCTGCTTTGCGTGGGGTGAGTTTGGCTGCTATCACGACGCAAGGCAAGGAAAGGATGCAATGTTGATAGCTGATCGATGGGGAATCCTAGCGGGGATGATGATTTCTTCAGCTCGGACCTGCCTGAGGAGCCCGAGGAGAACAAGAAGGAAGGAGTGAGTCTTGACCTTCTTAGATCGTCTGATCGCGCTGCTTACATACCGACGCTGCACCGCATGCAAAACGCTCCTTGACCGAATCTCATCGTATCATACAGCCCTCGCATCGACCTCTCTCGGAAACCTTTGGCAAACTCCCCACGGACACACCCTTGCTCTTCCTCTTCTCAGGCAAAGACCGCAGTTTCCCCTGGTCCAAGACGACCCCGGCTAAACAGTTCGAAAGGTGGGAACGTGCCGCTAACAAGGACAAGAAGGAAGACGCCGGGGCGAAGGTGAAGATGCAGTTTGGGGTGATGGAAGGGGCGAGCCATCAGGTGGACGAGGTCGAGTTGCAGCCGAAATTTAGGGAGGCAGTGGAGGGCTTCTTGAAGAGCGTGTGAGGCGGATAAATCACGATACACTGCCGCGGTTGATAGGAGAGCGACTTGTTGAAACGTATTCTGGGTAAGGGTAACGATATGTTCCGGTAACACGTTGTCATATCACTACGATAGCATATATGCAGGTGGCTTTTGTAATCGAGAACCGATTCCTCCAGAGCTGCCACCCAAATCAGACCAACGCAGATACACAGGACATGTCATGTGGCCGTTGATATTTGCCTTGAGAGACGCGTTCATTGTTGCACGACGGCAGATGAGTGAATCTATGTGCCTAAAGTCTCGGCCAAACCCTGACCCGTGTTCTGATCAGTTAAGTAGCCAAGTAGTAAAAGAGTCGCGTTCTTCCACGTATCACGTGCAGAGTACTGCTTCGCTTTCGTTCGTTTGTTCACTTTTTGGAAATCGTATGCTGATCTCTTCTCATACAAATGAAACACACCCCAGCACTGCTAAGTTAAGTAGGCCCAGTAACAAAAAGGTCAATCCACGCCTCGTCAACCTTCTCCCCCCAACTTCAATAATCCATCCCAACCACCAATTAGGGACCCTCTTTACGGATTGGATCCCATACCCTTTCCGACATTTCAAATCGATCCCGACCCCAACTCCACTGGCAACCCGATACCCAAGTTTGGGCAACCTTCACCGCAACGGCTTGATGTCCCGCCCATCCCGACCTATGTCAGAGGGGACCATGTCTGGAACATCAAAGCTTGAAACCCAAAGAAACAGGCCGCCCACCCTCTCTGTCAAAGGTTTTGGCTTACCGGTTACTATCCCCTTCTTCCTTAGCGCATTAAGAAGCTGTACCCGAGGCAGCAAGCTCCTTGAACGTACCAGGTGGTGAGATGGCATCCGTCTTATCGACGAATGGTAGCTCATGCGGCGCGATGGGTATGTCATATTGCATTCGGTCAAGAACGTCAAGACAGACAGCGACCGATCCCGCTGTCGAGCAGAGCATTATTGCTATCATGGCCTAATGCTTCCAGAAGTCCACCGCTCCTCCGACAATCAACTATCGTCCGCCCCCCTTGTTCCGCAGATAGTCCTTATACAGTTCCTCTACAAATTCCTTGTCCGTCTGCCGAGTCATACCATATCAGCACTCCGCCTTTCAAGCGGCTCTGGGAGCAACGAGGGCTCACGTGGATGCAATTCAACAAACCCCTGACGAAATCCCTCTGACCCTCTTTACTCGGCTCGATACTCTCCGATTGTATTCCCCTAGCCTCAGCCTGACCTCCTTTTAATGCTCCCAGGATGGCCACCCTTGCCGCCCCCTTGTCGAAACCTTCGTCGCTCGGCTCGACATTACGTTCCGACGAGGGGATGTACCCAGAATCTCCCTTCTTTGCGCGCGGCCGTGAGACCGAGGGCGAATCCGGTGGAGCTCTTCGTGGAGGTGTACCCGTTCGAACGGGCGTGGCAGATGTTTGAACAGGAGACATGACACCGAGGAGTTGTTTGAGCGAGGTAGATGGGTCCGAAACGGATGCGGTCAACCGTGAAGGTTCGGGGCGGGGCGAAGCTTGAGTCTGGAATTGTTGGGCGCTCTGTGACGAGGCCAAAGCTGGCGACCTTGATTGTATAGGAGGTGTTGATGGGGCTACGGTCAGACGCGCCAACAGGTCCATCATCGTAGGCTGTGTCGGTACTTGATTCGTAGATGCGGTAGTCGGATCCGTGGCACCAGATCCGCCGTCATTGCTGGCCCGGTTGATAGATCTGACCAAGCGAGAGGGATACGTCGAGATCCCCTTTCTCTCAACGGACAGGTAGGAAGCGCGACCTTTTTCGATACTGACTGGTTCATGACGTCGATCAGCCGTTGAGCCTCGGGTTCCCCTCCTGCAAACCACAGTCCGTAGATGCCTATCAGAAAGATTAGAAGAACATCGGTTTTATCAGCTCCTATCGTGACCGAATCTGTCGAATCTGCTGCCTGCAAACGCAACTCACCATCGTGCTTCTCGTCTCCTCCCGAGACGTGTACAATCTGCCCCTGGATATCCAATTCGGTTCCAGGTGTCAAGTGCCGTATAAAGTTGTTCATTCCATTCCGGTTCAATACGAGCAGTCCGTGCTGCGGCACAGTCGTCCTGTCGATATCAAGGTCCAGGTCGAATTTGACGTTCCCAAGAAGAAGATCAGCTCATCAGCCCAAATCCATGTTCGACCTTGTTCCCTATCGCTACGGCGAGACTCACCTCTCATACACAAACAAACTCCCCTCGATTCCCTCCTTAGTCCATTTCCCACCGAGGTATTTGTACAGGACCACATAGCTCGCCGAATCGAGGATTGTCCGGATGGTGGGGTCACACCGTTGTAAGGTCCTGAGGTTAATAGCCTGGCGTGCCGATTCAGTCGTCGTCGCTGCCATCTTGGCAAGATATGGGATATGGGACAGCCTCTGTGAAACCGTGTAGATACGGTCAAGATGTAATGAATGTGGCAGCCCGTTATCACGACAAGAAAGGGAAGTCCTGATGTGATTGATCAGATCAGTGACCCCTGACCTCGGGACCCGCTACGGATGACGACTTCGCGACTTCGCGCTTTCTATAGTGAGCCGTTTGTTCCAAGCGCCTAGAAAAACAATAATCGGCGGTCGCCGTCGCCGCGCGAGATCTATAGTCCTTCCTCTGACCAAAAGCTCCCAAAAAGGGATCATAATCTAAGTTCACTATCAAGATTATCTTTCATATTTTCATTTCATCTGGACCATTCAGTCTAAAGTTAGCCTAACTCAACTTAGCCTAAGCTTCCCTAACTCAGCCTCCTTACCCTATCAGCATGCCAGTCGATAACACTCTTGTGCTCCAAGCCAAAGTGGCTGCATACGTCGCCGACATACACAGCCCCGTTCGAGACTTCTTGAGCTGCGAGCCCAACGAGAGAGACCCCAGTCTTGTACCAGGCTTTCTCCATGCCCTCGATGACTTAGTCACTTGGCTTACGAGTGAGGTCAAGGGAAAGTTACCGCTACAGGTGTACCTCGATCATACGCATGGGTCTATAGCTCTCCGCGACGAGGTCTACGCCTGTCACCAAGGGTTCCTCCAACTACCTGTCGCCAACACCTCTCGTGCCACTCGCACTCTTCGGCCTGAAGGCGGTTTTGTACTTGATATCTGTTATAGCGGTCACGTGACGCGTCGGACGCGCCGTACGCGATTCCCGTATGCGACTCCCGCCGGGGGTACTTTTCGGTATTGTTATGTTGATGTAGAACTAGTACCCTTGTAATAGCTCTACATCCGTTATTACATTTAGATGTCTACCCATACCTTGCCTCATTCCTGCGTCCCGTCAGCCTGTCCAGGGGGATCCCCGTCGGGGGTCGCTCCCGGGCCTTACAATATCTCTCCCGATGCAATCAAAGAATATGAAGACATTGGGTTTACGGACAAAGAGATAGCAGGATTTCTTGGCTGTTCTCGAAGCACAGTCATTCGTAGACGGAACGCTGCACAACCCTATACAAAACGACAGGCAAAACACTTAGTCTCAGAGGACGATCTCCGACAGGCTATCAAGAATCATCTGAACCAACTTGATGGCGATATGCTCGGTTACCGTGCAGTTCAAGGCCATCTTGCCAGCATCGGCATGAAAGTCACCCGTGAACAAGTACGAGCTCTTCTTCGGGAAATCAACCCAGTATTAGGCTTGCCTGCAAGCCTGGGATAGTATCACACGGGACTAGAAGGTAAGGGTAAGGTAATGAATGTAATAACGGATGTAGTACAACTGGTACTACATTACAGTAACACATAGGGGGTGTTCTAGATATACTCCGTACGGAACTCCCATCGGAGGTCCCTGTAAAACTACCCGACGCGGGTGTTCGGTACGCGTACCGCGGATGCCATAACAGGATCCCCCCCCTAGGCCGAGATTCCAGATCGGCCAGCGCCGGTCGTGTTTCATGTAGGCGCCTTTGTTCTCTCCTTTCGTTCCTCCCACCGGTAAGCGTTCATCGCTTACACACGTCTACCTGTTTCACAGGGGTACCCGAATTTCGGGCCCGATGGGGCGCGTCTCGCTGTTGTTCTTTTCTTTGTCCTTGCGCGGACATCCGTATGGGCGCATGTCCGACTCGTTGTTCGGGAGGTGTAAACAAAGGAGACCGTCGTTGATGTTGACGTCTGTACCGCTGTTGTTGTACGATACCCTCTCTCCATATGCCCATATCCATAGCAATAGTATTGTTCTAGTTGCTCTCTTTGCTAGTATCGCAATTCTTCTTTTGTTTGGGCCGCCGCAGCAGCAAGGATGTAGGGTATAAAGGGGTTCGCGTTCGCGTTCGCGAGGTGGGGAGTAAGTCGTAGGTGTCCTTCGCTACTACTCACTTTACCCCTCCTACGCTATCTACCCCCCGTCTACCTTTACGCCCTCCTCGATATGCCTGTCACTCCCAAGACTACCAAGAACCACGGCGACAAGCCGTACCAACCTTCGCCTTCGCGGTCGACCGCGAAGCTCGAGCAAGACCGGCGTCGGGGTTTCGTTTACCCCAAAACTCAGTCCGCCGACGAGAGTGAGTGGTGTTTGTTTTGCTGAGTCCGTCGGGGATAACATATCGGGCTATCTTCTAGAGGAACAAATCCACCAAGAGGAGTTGGGTCGTACCCACTTCAAGGCCGGTAACGCCTTCATCGAGCCTCTTGCGAAGGCGTGGCGGGAAGGGAACGTGGCCTCGTTCGATGGTATGATGGTATGTTCTTTTTCTCTTTTCTATTCCCTCCATCGGGAACACGGTTTACTGACTCCGATTGTGCGTACGCAGGCCAACTTCCGTGGTGGTTGGAAGTGGTGTTGTCTTAACTGCTTTGGTTATGAGGACCGCTTCCACCTCTCCGCCGAACACGACGTCCCCGGGTACACCGACAAGGACGGTAAGGGGTGGTACAACGTCATGGAGTTCAACGGCATGTTCGTCTGCCGCCACCCCGTCCCGGAGGCCGGGAAATCCACCAGCGGCGGGAGCTCCTGCTACTGTTGCCGCGGGACCAAGTTCAAGTGCGCCCCTTTGCCGTCCGCCTACATGACGGTTTTCGACAAGGACCACGGGGTCGTTACCCGGTACGAGGCAGCGTGCGAGGTCCTGACCATCCCCAACGTCCCTCACGAGGTCGCCATCGCCGTCGGGGACGAGTTGCAGCGGCTCATGAATCGCATGGTAAGTTGTTGTTCCGGTTTGGATCCCCGACGCAGGTACTTCTCGGAACTGATGTTTGTACCCTGCGTAGGTCCTCCCCTTACTCTCCAACAAGACCGATTGCTTGGTGGAGAACCGGTTCATCCCCGCCTGGCAAACGTACCGGGACGCGGAGATCCAGAAGCACAACGAGGAGTGGGCCAAGAGCCACCCCGACGCCGCCCGCAACCCCGATGGGAGCGTCACCATCCCCGAGGCCGACGAGTGGCCTCAAAAGGAACCTTACCGGCAGTTCCTCTTCCAGGGCCACGGCGAGGACATCGGGGAGCCCATCCCTGCGGCGCCCACGGAAGGTCCGGCGGGCGCTGCGTACGACGACGACGTTCTCCGAACCCCCACCCCCTCTCCCCCTCCTTCCCCGACTCCCAATCCCGCTTCCGATAAGAAGCAGAAGAAGAAGAAGAAGGAGAAGAAGGTTGTGGATGTCTCGGACGACGACGAGTGAGGGGTTTCCGGGTCTTTTGGAGTTTTGTCGTGTTTGTATTCTCCGGATTGTTTTTACGTCGGGATCTCTTTTTCTCTTGTATTTCTGATATACCATAATAGAGTCCCGACTTCATCTCCTTCTCTCTATGTGCGTTTACTCCTCGCGAGGGACTTGTGCGTTTTGCTCCTCGCCAGGGACTTGTGCGTTTACTCCTCGCCAGGGACTTGTGCGTTTACTCCTCGCGAGGGACTTGTTTCAGGTTGTGTTCTTCAGTAGTATGCGTTTACTCCTCGCGAGGGACATGTTTCGTATTGTACTTCTTGTACGGTTACCTTTTGATGGTGTATACTTTGGTGAGTGTATCTCTCGTAGTACTGTGAAGTCGGGTGCTTGAAAAAGTGAATGGTGATAAAAACATCCCCGCCGGTCCTGCCGTGGGGGTACAACAAATGATGAGCCAATAACAACACAACCGTACGTCTAATCAGTCGGGGTCCAGAGCAAAGGCTGCTCTCCGTTCTGCCTCGCGAGCTCGGCTTCCCAACCTCCCTCCGGGACGGTCTCGACGGGTTGCACCCGGGCACCAGAGACGTTCATCCGACCGTTGTTCCTACCCTTGAACCAAGCAGGGGCAGGGACCCTCTGGTTGGGGCAGTTGACGGCTACGTGCCCGTGTTGGAAACACCGGTAGCAGGGGTCGTTCCGCCTCATCCTGCCCGCATCAAGTTCCATGGGAGCAGCGGTGGAGGTGTTGGCGGCGGGGGTAGGAGTCGCAACGGTGGTATTGACCACAACGGGGTTACGGGGAGCGGAGTGGTTACTCGCTTGTCGGTTACCGCCCGAGTTGTAGCGGTTTCCCGAGGACATATGCCTTCTAGCATCCGCCTGATCTTCGTACCGGCGGCATTCCATTTGGAATTCCGCCAAAGTCATTGTTTCTTGGCCCGGCATAGGGACGATGGCGTCTTTGAACGCTTGGTTCAGGTTGGCCCTGAACAGCATCCGGCGAGAGTATTCGCAGACGTTGGGGAGGAGGGCCAAGAGGTCGTTGTACTCGGTGATGTACGTCGCGAGGCTCTTGGTGCCCTGCCTTAAGTGAACTAATTCGGCCTCAGTTGCCGCGATGTTTCGTCCTCCACCATAAGTGGAGATGAGCAGTTGCTCGAACTGCTCCCAGGTAGCCGGCACTCGACCCATGGAGTACTCCCGGGCCCAATCGGCGGCCTGTCCTTCCATGTACGACTCCGCGTACATCATCTTCAGGCGGTCGGTAACGTAGACGCCCGGTTTAACCTCGAATTCCCGGTTGCATTGGTCCAGGAACCCTCGGACCTTCTCCTTGTTGCTGCCATCGAACTTGTCCGGCGTTCCAAACTTAAACAGTTTGGCCCGGGCCTCGTCCGACGACGACCGCGACTCCCTTGCCCTCGCCAACTCCAGCACCTGGACTTGCATGTTGGCCATCAATTGAAAGAGGGCATTCAAGTCCGGCGCGGCGGCAACGGGAGCTGGGGTGGCTGCGGGATTGCTCGCAGGAGAGGTTGGTACCACTTGTGGGGGGACCGTTCCCATGTTGTTGGCCGGCGTGGCCTGCGTTTGAGGTTGCTGGTTGGCAAACACCCGCAATTCGTTTGCGGTGGTCTCCGTTCCGGAGTCCGTCGTTTGCAACCACAAAAACCTTCCCTCCCCATCCACCTGCTGGCTTTGTCCATCCTCGGACAGCACAGGCGAGATCCCTGGCGGGATTCCTTGGGGGGTCCCATCGGGACGAAAACACTGGGTGAAGGAAGTGTTCATCGCGTAGGGGTTTCTAATCGGGGTGAAGTTTGTAGATCCGTTATTCTATTAGGCTTGCCTGCAAGCCTGGGATAGTATCACACGGGACTAGAAGGTAAGGGTAAGGTAATGAATGTAATAACGGATGTAGTACAACTGGTACTACATTACAGTAACACATAGGGGGTGTTCTAGATATACTCCGTACGGAACTCCCATCGGAGGTCCCTGTAAAACTACCCGACGCGGGTGTTCGGTACGCGTACCGCGGATGCCATAACACCCAGCCTCTGCAGCCCTAAGAAGAGCCGTTGTTCGCAATCGACGGGTCTACAAGGTTCCCTTCCCTAATTCGCTATGGCATATCGACGGCCAGCACAAGCTTATCCGATGGAAGTTTGTTATACATGGGGGTGTAGATGGGTACAGCCGAGTGTGCGTCTTCATGAAAGCTAGCGACAACAACAGGGCCGAAACTGTTGAGCAGCTGTTCTTGACTGGAACTGAAGAGTGGGGATGGCCTCAACGAGTAAGAGTGGATTACGGTGGGGAAAATATGGGCATATGGAAGCAGATGATTGCAATTCGAAGTCAGTCAAGCACCTGTAATATGTCTACCTTATCCTGACTCTTTTACTTCGTGCTTTAGATACTGTAAAGGCCCCCTTCATCCGAGGAAAGTCGACACATAACACTCCGATTGAGAGACACTGGAAGAGTGTGGGGGAAAAGTTTACACAAAAGTACTCCAGGACCTTCGCCGAACTTGAACGACTACATGACCTCGATGTCGATGATCCAGTGGACATCTTTTGCCTACATCATTGCTTCCTTCCCCTCGTAAACCTTACAATCGCCTCCCATGTGGCTGCACATAATCACCACCCTAGCGCTACCAAGGGTACAAGAGGCTGGTCACCCCTACGTACATGGATCCACGGGAACGTTGAGGCAGCGAAGCGGGGTATGGATCTTGACTTATACCCCACGGATGGTTTGGTAGATGGCAACGGCTTCATCGATGAAGTTCTGGAAGGGGAGGAGGACGAGGACGAGGACGAAGAACAAGCCGAGGTCAACCAGATGCAAGCTGCAAACTGGCCTTCCGAACAAGAACGAGCCGATCAAGACCGACCAGTCGGGGATACAGACCCATATGTCCAAGTCGAGCGGTATCACGAATTACTACCACCACTGCTGAAGGAAGAAGACTTTCGGCAGACCCTTCGTCATCATTTCCCTCCTCCCACTCAGCACAGTGCCGACGATGTTGCCGATGACGCAGGGTTGTTCAGTACAGTGCAATACTTAGCCGTTAGAGCATGGGTACACGATTCCCTATTAGCCAGGCAAACGGACGAGACGTTGTAATCGATGACGTCGTGCAGATCCATCGTATCTTAGGCTAAGCATGACTTAACTAGCCTAGCCAATCAGACAAGCAGTTGAACAAAAGAATTTGATGGGGTTTCATCGTCGTCGTCCTATGTTTGTCTAAGCGAACAACACAACAACAAACAACAAAACTACTCGCCTTCGTAGCTTCCTATATACCTACGACCTTCTTGCCTTCGTACAACTTGTTTGCTCTAACTTTGCCTATCATTAGTTTCGCATAACTTTCTCGCAATCCTACTCCTACATTACACGTACGCAACCTCTAGCTTCAAAATGCCTACTGCCGAAGCCATTGCTGGTAAGCTTCTACGCATACGTGTTGTGAGGGGTTGACATACCTTTACCGACATGCCTTTACCCTGATAGAATTGACTGAGAAGATGGCTACGGCCACTGCTACCGAGCTGGGGGCTCTCTCCCAGACTTTGATCGGTAAGTATACTTTAGCTATGCCTCTCATCTTGTTGCTAATGCTACGCATGTGTACGAACAGCCGAAGTCCAGAAGAGGTCGAAGCAGGAGGAGGAGGAACGGGAGAAGGAGAAGAGGGCCGAGGAGGAAAGGGAAGCGGTCAGGCTTGTTAGCGTGGTAAGTAATCGTGCTAGACTATGACTAACTTATACAAAGCTCACGGTTGGTGTTTCACTTGCAGGCCGAGACAATCCGGGAGTGGCTTCCTCAACAAGGACCTCGAGGGTTGATGAGGGCGGCGTTGGCTCGGTGGGATGGTGAGTTATAGTATACCTGCTGCACTAAACATCGACTGGACTATCGTTCTACTAGTTATACTTGGGCTAATCTCGATTGCACGTACGGTATCTTTTGCTTAGCGCAACATCCCGAACACGCCACCACCACCACCACCACCGACGAGAAGGCCGAGAAGACGGTCGTTCCCCCCGTCCCCCAACCCCCTCCCGCCGCCGACTCCTCCTCCTCCGGCCCCAGTCGAGAACGCCGGGCCTCGACTCCCTTGAAGGACGTCTTAAAGGCCTTCGTCCTGGCCGCCACCCCACAGAAGAAGAGGAGGGTCGTGGTTGAGGAGGATGACTCGGATGACGTCGAGTACCTCAGGGAGGACGGGCCTTCGCCCAAAAAGGCGATCAAGTTCGCCGCGAGGAGGAACGCAAGGGCGGAGAAGGGGAAGGGGAGGGCCAGTCGGGTGGAAGAAGCGGAGGACGAGTTCGGGGAGGGCGACGACTTTGTCCTGCCTCTTACGAAGCCCAAGCATTGGAAAGATGAGGCGTGGAGACGGGCCAACGTAAGCAAAACTAAACCCAGTCAAGGCTAAGTTAGGCTAAGTTAGGCTAATAACCCTTGTACGAACGTCTTTGTAGAAGGCCTACGAGATCATGTCCAACCCGGACGCAGTAGTGGTCCCCGACGATTGCTACTGCAAGACATGCAATGGGCGAACGCGATCCGGTGCGTTTCCGAACGACAAGCTTCGGGTGGCTTGTGACAAGGCCTTCGACCATTGCGTGGTCATACCGGGGGAGAAGGAGGCCTGTGTAAGGTGTATCTGGAGGTACGGCGAGCCCTGCGACTTCGAGAAGAGACCATATGTGGTCAAAGAACGCAAGCCGATGATCGTCAGGATCACCAACCCCCTCCCCGCCACCCCCGTCACCCCCGTCACCCCCACTCCCGCCGGGCCCGCTAGTCAAGCTCTGGCCCAACTCCAGCCCGCCCTGATGGATCCGACCACGGGCAAGTTCTGGTTCCAGGCTGGAGGTTCTGGTAGTTAGGCTTTGTATCTTTTTTTTGGGTAATACGGGTTCCTTTTTTTGTTTTTTAAAATACGATATATGCACAATCAGCCTGAATAAAGTACAAGTTAGGCTAAGTAGTCTTGGTAAGCCTAACAGGCCTATCCGAACGTCTAAGCGGCCCAACATAAGGCGATCTCTTCCTCTTTTTCCCAACTTTCGACGAGGACGCTGACGCAGCCGGAGTTTCAGCTGAATCATGTTGAACTACAGCAACGGGGTCGACAGGGATTGTGTTTTGCACCTATTCAGTGTTCAGTAATCAGTTGAATGCAAAGACGTCGATCCCGATTGTACAAAAGCCCAATACTCTTACAGGATTTTCAACGTCGGTGCTTTGTAACACTATTGCTTCCCCTACATCCGAGTCATGTTCTGAATGAACATCGTTCCGACCATCCTCGCTTAATGGCCCTCCAGACATGGCAGGAGGACTGGGACTCTTGGCATTGTGATCCCAAGCAAACTCTTCAAACGACGGAACAGCAGCAGCACCAGGTTTATGGGTAGATTGGGTGTCGAGTTCGTAGTCACGGTGTTGATCCAGAACTTGGGCGATGACGCCTAAAAACTGGGTGGTACCCATGCTCAAGAGCTGACATTCGCATAGATTGTAGAGATCAGGGATTGTCATTGCCGATGGTAAGGCTTCCGGGGTTGTTCCAGTCAAATCTAACACGATTCGATCAGTCATTGCCTGAGTGTATGTGTATAGCAAGAACGCTTACCCATGACTTCGGTATTCCCAATGTTGGCCGGTTTCTCCGGGGGAGGGGATGTCTTAGCCTTAGCCTTAGCCTTAGCCTTTGGTTGTGGCCTTGTTGCTACTGGAGGCGAGGGATCAGGGGTATAGCCTTGAGGTACGTCGCGATTGTCCTCATCGAAGCGATTTTGAAACCCAGCGCAAATTCTAAGGTGTGCGCCATGTCGATCGGGGGGAAAGCGGCCTGGACACCAATTGCACTGCTTAGGTACGTTTGGATCGTCTAACTCGTTTTGTTCCTCCACATCAGAGTCCAACTCCTGCTTTGCCTTCCCTTTCCCTTTCGCCTTACTCGTAGGGGGAGCTTGAATCTCCACCTCCAGATCCCATGTGGCAGGATCACGGTCGAGGGCGTCGGCTAGCTGTTCACGGAACGCTTTCTTATCCTCCAGTGCATCCGCCCATGTGGCCGGTACAATATAAGCCATAGCTTCGTCCTCAAAAATGTCGGCCAATTGGGTAATATCCAAATCCCATGGATTATACGTCAAGTCCGGTTGGAACTTCTTCGAACTGGCGGTAAGTTTGGCCCATCGCCAAAGATGAGGAAGGGGCTTGCTAGCAGCCTTGAAGACTCCCTCTACGTAAGAGGTAATCTGTACCGAATCCATGTTATCCAAGAGATGGAGTTTCTGGATGCACCGTAAGCCTTCCAAGCATTCGGTAAGTGCCGCAGTGCGACCCCTCTTGTTTGTCTCCAGTACGAGCTGCTCCCGTACAAACGAACCACAAGGAATGAAAGCAACCTGTAGTATGTTCTTGTGAGCAAAGGATCCCAGAGTTACAACGATATGCTTACTGACCTTGTTCTTTCGCCCAAGCTTCTTCGGCTTACCAGGCTTCACAGATGCGTGTATAACCTGTTGACCAACGCTTCCCCTTATCTGAAACCCGCCTCGGCCCATCTTCTTGAAGCTGCCAATTCCGGATATCCCTCGACCAGGCAAACTCTGCTGTGAGAACGTAGCAGGAGCCGAGCCAACCATCTGCTGAACCCTGCGAGCCTGGGTCAAATAAGGCGCAGGCGAAGCAACAGCTCTGGTTGCACCGGGTGTCGAGATCTCTGGAATGACTTCTTGAACATCGTCTTCAACAGTAACCGACAGAGATTGACGGACAGGGGGGGCTGAGGGAAGAGGAGCAGGACTAGGCTGTGTTGCACCAACTGGCTGGGCTGGAGCAGCGATGGGAGTAGGGGGAGTCGCTGTGAGGGCCTGGAGAACAGCCTGAAGGTTGGCGATGATGTCGGCAGTGTTGTTCATGACGGCTAGTAGCTAGTAGCTAGTACAAGTAAGGATAAGGTAGGCTAAGTGGACGTTAGGCTTGTTAGGCTAATCGAGGGGGATGAAATGAGAATATGAAAGATAATCTTGATGGTGAACTCAGATTATGATCCCTTTTTGGGAGCTTTTGCTCAAAGGAGAGGGTATAGATCGATGTCGCGCGCACCTAGATTCGCGAAATCAATAACAAATCGGTCGATTTTTGATATTGCGGAGATTCAGTCGCTTGGAACAAACGGCCCGGTATAGCTTTCTGCGTGCGATGGGCGATAAGCATCACTCATATCCTTAGAACCTCAACCTGGACCTGACAAACACCTCGAATGATCACTAATCGAAACAGTAGTATAATGGTAGCATGAAAGAGACATAGTAAAAGCTGAACATAACGTCCGTGCAGAAGAAATAAACGAAAACACGTCGGCCGGTCGTGAGTGGGAGGGGAAACGAAAAAAGGTGACTGTATGACCATCCGTATCAAACGTCGTTTCCGTCTCTCCAACCGAAAAAAACGAGAAAGATCAAGAGGCTAGGAGTTGGAGATCCAGAACGGGCGACCTAGCGCTCTTTTCGTCCTACATAAATCCCCTGTTCCTGCTAGTCATCGCTCGCAAAGCGATCACTGAGCCTGCTGAGCGCTCATGACGACCATGTTGCCCAACTGCAAAGTGACGTCGCTCAACATCTCCAAGTTGCCGGTAGCTCCGGTATAGTTCTCCACACCAGAGGCGGTCTCGGTCGCGCTGGCACCGGCAGCCGTGTTGGTCCTGGTGCCCGTGGCGGCGGTGGACGAAGCGGCAGCCTTGCCGAGAGCCAAAGAGCTCATGGAGAAGGTCGCGGTCGAAGCTCGGGAGGACGAGACGGCGCTGCTCGAGACGGCCGATGAAGACGAAGAGGACGAGGCCGACGAGGAAGGCGCCGGAGTGCTCGACGAAGACGAAGGAGTAGGCGTGGCAGACGAAGATGAGCTCGAAGGAGGAGGAGCGACGTAAGACGACGAGGTGGAAGTCTCGGCCTACGATCATGGATCAGGTCGGGATCAGCTACCGTTTCGTCTCTCCAGCATTTATTCGGTCGAGTTACTCACAGGAGGAGTCCAAACCGAGCTCGTGGTGGGAGGAGGAGTCCACGAACTCTACTCGCGGGTACAGGAACAATTCCAGTCAATAAGACTTGCCATATTGCCTGCAATCCAACGCCATCAAGTGAACTCACGGTAGGAGGAGTGTAAGCCGGGGTCGTGCTGGGCGAAGGAGGAGGGGTGTAAGCCGGGGTAGACGAAGTGGTAGGCTCCGGGGCCGGGGTCCAAGCAGGGGTGCTCGAAGTGGTAGGCGCGGGAGCGGGAGGCTGATTACAGCATATGTCTTGCGGGTCAGTCCGGGGCGCAATAGATAATGAGAAAGTGAAACTGTAACTCACGGCCTCGTCGTTGAACCACCAGGTGATCGTGGCGACACCCTCGTCGGCGGAAGCGAAGTTGCTAAACAGAGCTTCACTCATATCCAGCCCTCCATAAGGACAAGTCGGGCACCTAATCAGGTCACAAGAATATCAAAAATGAGCTCTCTGACACCCCGGGTAATGCTTCACATATCGCCTGCTTTTCAGGTGACTCACTCGTCCTTGATGGTAGCGACGGCATGTCCGTTCCTGCTTCCACCGGTGATGGTGATACTCTTGAAACACTGAGGTCCGGGGTATCCACCTCCGTACTGAGCCGAGTTGAGCGCGACGATGTAAGCCGGCTCAGAGTCGTACTGCCCACAAGCTCCCAGTCCGATCTATCGCAGAGAACCACAGAGAGTAGAAAGGAAAAGGAAGATCAGTCATTCCAGCCATGACCATGTTTGTTTCGTTCGCGGGATCCAACCCCGGAATCGGCGTTCTTCCGACCGGTCTAAAAAGACTCACGGCGTAATAAGTAGCCCTCATCCCGCTAAACGCCCTCTTGCCCACAGGTCCTCCCCTAGCTTCCAGATCGACCACGCCTTCTCCCCTCCTGACCATCTCCCCATCGACCTCGACATGAGACGAGTTGCCGTTCGGGTACCCTTCGGGCTTGGCGATGTGGGTCGTGTAGACCTTGGCTCCGGGAGGAGGTTGAGGCTGATCCTGAGCTTGACGGCCAAAGTGTTGCGCTCGACGGGGTCGGTTACCGTGGCCCAATGCGTGGGCGTTCCCGCCGATAGCTTGGGTCGTACCGGACAAGGCGAGGAGGACGGCGGTAAAGGTGGTGAAGGTGGGGAAGAACATGTTTGATGGTTGATCTGTTCGATTTCGATTTCGATTTGATGAGGGCTTGTGTAGGTGTACGTGTAACGAGGTATTATACGTCTACGACTCCGATCTTAATCTCCGATGAAGAGTGAAAGTCCGAGGTAGAGTAAAGGTAGATGTAGAGGTTGAAAGGAACTCCTTTTTCCTCTCGAGTACCGAAAACGAGCGTGTGTCTTTCAAACGAAGGTGGGTGTGAACCGAGAAAAGACGACGAGGTGGAACTAGACTAGATGACGATGATGATGACTATCTCGAGGTTGTGTCGATATCGTTGGGAGTGGATATCGCTGGGGCCGTGGTTATATACCTCAGGGTTCGTGTGAGACTTGGTTTTCTATTTGATCTAGTCTGATGTGATCGATTCGGTCGAGTTGCAAGTTGCGAGTTGCTGCTGTGCTGATGGATTGCGTTCGTGTTTGGTAAGAAAGGAATGTGTGATCCGGACCTGGGAAAGTGAGCGTGGGATGCTGGCGAGCTGTTGGGATCGATGTCGGGTCCGGTGTTCTTGGTCGTTTGTCGGATGTAGGAGAGGGAGTCCTTCGGATCGATTCGAGGTCGAGATCGCAAGATCGAATTTGATAGAAATCGATTGATCAAAGGAAACGTCGTCGTCGTCGAGGGTGCAAGGTGCAAAGGGGGGTCGCGACGTGCACACGCCACGCCCGGAGCTCACACAGCGGCACAGCAGCCACGGGCGAGGGGATGGTTGAACGACGATCCATCTTTTTTGTTTTGATTTATTGTTTTCGCGCTAAACTAAAGATAGACAGATCGCGGGAAGTGCGATCCGCGGATAGAATATACATTTCTTATTGCGCGCCAATGTCTGCTGTGAAACGCCAAATTAGCAAGTATGAACGTATGATCCAATCTGTCGTATGCGATCTTGAAAGTCACATATAGTTTGAGGTCGCCTGTGTAGAAACGTCCATCGGTATGCTTAAATTATTATTGTTAGCGATCAGCGATGAGCCAGATTCTGCTCAGCTTGCGTTTTGCAATGCGTTCGAGCTGCCCAGGCCGGCGGACTTCGTTTCACCGGCGTTGTTACATGCTTTGCTATCAATCATCCCCCCCCCTGCTTCCAGGGTTAGATTGCGAGGACGGGGCTGTTCGAGAATAGTACATGTTCGGGCCGTAGCGGGACGGGGGCGGTAGGGGGAATGTTTCATGTGATAACACTGAATCCCCCTGTATCTCCGGAGAGAAAACCCAAGGCAAAAGTACAAAGGCACGCCTCAAAGGGAACGCAACAGTCTGGTGGCCAGAAATTCGTATATTAGACTTCACTGGACAGTTGGATTCTCCCTCTCTCAATCCTCTCGAGTCTGTGATATAGAAAATCGACGTTCACGCACAAAATCGTCAACATGCTGCTTCAAACCTGTACACTTTTCGCGCTCGTGGCAGGCACGACCGTCTCCGCAGTGTGTACCGGTACCGATACGAACAAGTGGGGTCCCTACTGGTCCGTGTTCCACGGAGCATCGGTCAAGTGGGGAGGCGACCAGCCCGGTCAGCCGCTGACTGGTGTAAGTGTTGCATTATCGTACATGCCCGGAGAATAGCTCGAACCGTCAGACTCATCGTTCTCGGCGGATCACTCCTAATCTAGCCCTTGGAACCTCCGTTTCCAGTCGACGGCTATGTCCCGTGCGCCGACGCTTGTCAATTCGGTGAGCCAGAATGTTGGGCTGGTACTTCAATTACTTACTGCTACCGCTACGATAACGATGGACGATCCGATAGACAACGAATGCCACGGATTCGAGTTGTACGACGGGAAATGTCACAAGTATAGTGTGTTGGCACACAAAATCGATGCTGGGCAAGGAATTGTCGGGTTGCAAGGCGGAAAAGGCAATAATGGTATTGATATCAATACCTGTCATAAGGCGGTAGCCAGTAAGTGGCGCAGCACCGCTTGGTAGCTGGCCATTCGAGTCGGTTTCATCGCTTATTGACATATCTTATTGTAGTGAAAATCGCTTCGGAAGATCAAGAGTGTTGCGAGATCTATTACAGGTACGTCGTTCGCTACTATCTTTTGGTATCTACAGACTTGGTCCATCTTGTTCGCTGACGAATGTGTCCCGCCTTGCCCACGAAAATCACGGTACGACACAGCTGGCGGGAGGGAGGCGCCGGAAAGCCAGAGGGTGGATTATCGGAGCTCGGTGACGGCACGCGTGTGTAATGCCTGTGACATGTTCACGTATCATGATATATAGCGTGGCTATCACTCACCTCCCCACAACTACAAGATCTAGCTTCTTACGCGAAGGGAGAAGACAATGAGCATATATCGCGCCCATATCGGGAGCCCATACCTATAGCTTTGACGACTGCAGACCTTCACGCCCGCGAGCCCCTCCTGATTCGAGTCCATTCTTCCTACTATGCGGTATCAACCGTAACTTGGTGATGGTTGTGCTTTGCTTGCAGCGCGGCGAGGCTCGCCCAGCTGCCCTCGCACGCTTTGTGCAGGCTTACCACATGAAACTCGATAGTGACCGTTGTTTGATGTAGGGGCGCAAAGTGATCCCCTTAGCCTTTCGCTCTTGGCAATTGAAACATCAAATAACTCTGTCCTCGTCCCCGGGCTGCTGAAGGCCTTTCATCTCAAAGGGAAACATCAAAGGGGTAGTCTTGTGGCAGGTATAGATAGTATAAGAAGGTCTTTAGAGTTACTCTCTCGTCCCGTACGACAGGACTCACTTGCGATTCCCTTCATCTCGCGCGAGCTTGAAAAGAGATCCAACCTTGATATATTGAAGTCGACGACCATCATGCTCTTCGAATTCGGCACTATCCTCGCGATCATGGCCGGGTCGACCCTGGCCGCGGTCTGTCCAGGCTCGTCCTCAAGGGAGGAAGGCGACCCATTCTCCGTCTATCCCGCCTCCAGGGCGGTTTGGCCAGCTGCAGTGAGCCAGAAAGGACACTTGCGTCTTGCTCGTTCTTTTTGGCTGACAATACGTCCGATGGACTAGTTTAAATACGAAATGGCGGGCAACAGGATCGACTGCGCCAACATCTGTAAACACGACACCACCTGTTTCGGTTTCGAACACTCCAAGGGTAACTGCAGGATTTTCGATCAGACCCCTATCGGACTGAAATGGGGCAGCGTGGACGTGGGTATACCTCATTATGAGTGTAAGGACGGGTGGTATCTCAACAATTGGTCGCGTGAGTTTCTTTCTTCTTTCCGCTCGTCTGAAGGAGACTGTTCGGTGGATGCGTTGGTTTTCTGACGTGATCCCTTTCGCAGAGGGATTCAAAGGCGGACAATGCTGTGATGTGTGGATGAATTGATGTTCCTCATGACTGGGACGTGTCCGTCCTACCAATGGACGAGTCTTACTGTATCAGTGATAGGTTTTTTTATTCTTCACCCGAAGCTTGACGCTACGGAGAGGATTTCGATCGATTTGAAAGATGGCGACTTTGGGTGTTGGCGTCATGGACACCCGCTCGTGTGTCGAGGCTTATCGGCTTGCCGCCGTCAAGAAAGTCCTACCAAATGCCCTCACAGCCGATCAAATCGGTACTGCCGTCAAGAAAATTCTTTCAAATACCCTCACAGCAGATGACGTCAGTACCGCCGTCAAGAAAGTGCTACCCAATGCTCCTACCGCGGACGATATTGCAAAGGCGGTCGTAATGGTTCAACCGGCGGTTCCGAAGGAGGATGCCATTCTGGAAAGGGTCTCGTCAGCGGTCAACTCGATCGTCAAAGAGGTCGAAAAGATTTTGCCATCCGTGCCAGCTTTTACTCTCTCGACTCTCCGCGTAACGCTTGTTCTGATGCAGGTTTTTGAAAAGAGAAAAAAAAAAGCAAAATGCCTACAGACATGCTGACAAAAGATGCTCGATGAGCAGAAGTACAAGCAGTAATAGCGCCGACTGGCCATCCTCGACGGGATGGACCGGAGACTTTCTGTAAAGGCGTATCATCCCGGTCGCGACGTCGCCATGCCGAATGATCGTACACACAGGGACCATCTAAATCCTCAACAAGTATCATAGTCGAGACTTGTCAATGTTTCTTGATGAGCCCACGAGTAGCTAGTAGGCATGTCTCAATGCTTTGAGACTAGAGAAGAGGCTTTTACCACATGGAGAAGGTTAGTATATAGTCGTCACGTCAACACTGAATCTCTTACGTGATATCTAGGTCGAGCTGGATCGTGCCCTCCAAGAAGCGAGAAGCTTTGGATACATATACTACAACATCACTCAACTTCATATTTGTTGGGTATTCTCCGATGATTGCGGACCCGTCAATCGCGCAACTGTCATATGAGCGGGTGATATAGTCATGTTCCCTTGCAAGGACTACCTCGGTTCCTCTCGTACCAGCGACAATGTCTGGGTGCTGGGTTAGATATGACACGATGAAACGAGATGGATGCGCCATCGTACCACAACCCCGAACCTGATCCTCTCTCCAACTCCTCCCCAACTCCCGCACTGTCTCCCCCAAAAGTTCGGTTGGGGAGGAGCGTAGCCCAGGGGCGCGTGACCGAGGCTATCGATTTGCATCCGCCACCCCTCCCACTCTCCTCTGCCGCTGGCTGTCACGCGTTTCCCCCATTCCACTGCATTCCGACCCGAAAGTCACCAGCGATCCAGCTCGACCATAGCTTCATCAACATCCATCGACCAATTCACACCACATTTCCTCTTCTCTCTTTACATTTCAAAACCACCTCTCCCTCTTCTTCTTCTTCTGATTAACACCCAGAAAAGAAACAAAACCACCCCCCTACTACCACTTTCACGAAAAAAAACTCGGTCGGGGTCACATTTCCCAACAACCTATACACCCACTCTACCTTTTTATACACCTCGTTCTTTTTCCCTTTTTTCGTGTGATTCAAGATGTCTGCTAAACGTGAGTAGACTCGGGTCTCATTCTGGGTCTTGTTACGGGTTTTTCGAGGTTGGGGGGGTTTTGGTGCGAGGATGTCAGGGGGGGAGAGAATACGTTGTGTGCGGATGTGGGATGAGCGTGGATGGAGCTACAGCTCGAGATTTCGAAAAGGAGCAGAAGAAGTCGAATATTTGACAGTATGACGAGGGTGGGAATGATGGGTCGTGATCCTTGGGAATCGACCATGGGCGAAGATGGGGTGATCCGGGATGACAGTTCTGGTGGTGTCTCGATGCGGAGCGCATTTCATTTGAGCACGAGCTGATCTCTTTTACTCTCTCCTCTTTCTTGCTCATCTCCCACCTTGCCCGGAATCATACCCACATCCTAAACATCACATTCGCTCTCTGCTCTGGACCTGATCGAAATGATAAACGACCGTACGACGACCCCCCGCAGCCATCCGAGAATACGACGCCAAGCAGCTGCTCTCCTACTGGTTGCCCCGATCTCCCGTTCCTATCCCTTGCAAGGCCGAGTCTTCCGTCGCACCGGTAAAGGTCGCTCAGGTTCAATGGTAGGTCGTCCTTGTGACGTTTTCGTCTTTTTGAAGGGATTTGTGCTTATTGCTGGTTGTCGTTCTGGATTCTTTGCGAAAATAGGGACTTTGAGACGAAATCCCTCTCTCCCCCTGTCCAGCCCGGTCAAGGGTTGCCCGAATGGGTCTTCACTGGTGAGTCCAACCTTCACACTGCTTAGCTCGATCGGTAGCTGATCTCTGTAACTTTGACCTATCTCTTTACGCTTTTACTCCCACAGACAAGCTCGTCGCCAAGCCCGACCAGCTCATCAAGCGTCGAGGCAAGGCCGGTCTCCTCTGCCTCAACAAGGACTACCAGGTCTCGGGCGACTGGGTCCAGGAGCGAGCGGGCAAGCCGTGCACGGTCGAAAAGACCACGGGAACCTTGAACACGTTCATCCTCGAGCCGTTCTTGCCCCACCCCCAGGATTCCGAGTACTACGTTTGTGTGAATTCGGCCCGAGAGGGAGATTGGATCTTGTTCACCCAGTGAGTTCGGATTGGCGCATCGCAAATGATGTGTTGGTGCAACGTACTCATTGGGATGTTCTTGTGGATTGCAGCGAGGGTGGTGTCGAGGTCGGTGACGTCGATGCCAAGGCCAAAAAGTTGTTGATTCCCGTCGACGGTAGCGTGAGTCCAGGGTTTCGTTCGATTTTCGGTCGAATCGCCTCGAGCTGACCTATTGGTTTCTCCGTGACCCGGCAGTTCCCTTCGCGAGAAGAGATCATCTCGACCTTGTTGCCCGAGGTCCCTGCCGCCAAGCAGGACACTCTTTGTGACTTTTTGATCAGGCTCTACGCCGTCTACTCGGACTTGCACTGTGAGCACCGAGGCCAAACTTGTGTGAGCGAGTGATCGTCAGCTGACCGCCATGTTATCCACCCCCCAGTTGCCTACCTCGAGATCAACCCCTTGATCTGCATGGACGGTGTCGACGGACAGGCTCCTCAGATCTACTACCTCGACATGGCCGCCAAGCTCGACCAGACTGCCGACTTCCTCTGTGGACCCAAGTGGGCCATCGCTCGTGACGCCTCGGCTCCCGCCGCTGCCAACGCCCCGGGTGTCAAGGCCGACCGCGGTCCTCCCATGGTCTGGCCCGCTCCTTTCGGTCGAGACTTGACCAAGGAAGAGGCTTGGATCCAGAAGCTCGACGGATCGACCGGTGCTTCGCTCAAGCTTACCGTCCTCAACGCCGAGGGACGAGTCTGGACCATGGTCGCTGGAGGTGGTGCTTCGGTCGTCTACTCGGACGCCATCGCCGCCGCCGGGTTCGCTCACGAGCTCGCCAACTATGGTGAATACTCGGGTGCGCCCACCGAGGGTCAGACGTACGAGTACGCCAAGACCATCGTCGACCTCATCACCCGGGGTCAACCCCACCCGGAGGGCAAGCTGCTCATCATCGGAGGAGGTATCGCCAACTTTACCAATGTCGCCGCCACTTTTAAGGGAATCATCCGAGCCCTCAAAGAGTACCGTGAACCCTTGATCCGACACAAGGTCAGGATCTTTGTCCGACGAGGTGGTCCCAACTACCAGGAAGGTCTCAAGGCCATGCGTCTCCTCGGAGAGTCGCTCGGCGTCGAGATCAAGGTCTTTGGTCCCGAGACCCACATCACCGACATTGTCCCCATGGCTCTCGGAGTCGAGCGAAAGCCTCACGAGGCCCAGCCTACCATCGCTTCGGTCACCGAGGAGCTCAAGTCGGGTCAAAAGACCCCTTCGGCCGTCCCTGACGCTCCCGAGGGTCTCGGTTCCGTCAAGGCCGACGGGTCGCGACACCAGCCCAGCGACGACATTGTCTCGTTCAAGAACGCCACCGGAGACGCCATCACCGGTCGACCCTCGTACAGGCCCTTTGACGAGAACACCCGATCGCTTGTCTTCGGTCTCCAGCCCCGTGCTATCCAGGGAATGCTCGACTTTGACTTCTCTTGTGGCCGAAAGACCCCCTCGGTTGCTGCCATGATCTACCCCTTCGGAGGACACCACATCCAAAAGTTCTACTGGGGTACCAAGGAGACCCTCTTGCCCGTCTACACCTCGATCGAGGAGGCCGTCCAGAAGCACAAGGACGCCGATGTCGTCGTCAACTTTTCGTCCAGCCGATCGGTCTACGCTTCGACCTTGGACATCTTGAGGTTCCCTCAGATCAAGGCCGTCGCCCTCATCGCCGAGGGTGTTCCCGAGAGGCACGCCCGAGAGTTGCTCCACTTGGCCGAGAAGAAGAATGTTCTCATCATCGGACCCGCCACTGTCGGAGGTATCAAGCCCGGTTGTTTCAGGATCGGTAACTCGGGAGGGTGAGTCTGGGACGTGGTCGGCGCCGATGTTTCATGGACACTAACCTCACATGTACGTTTCAGTATGATGGACAACATCATCGCTTCCAAGCTCTACCGAGCCGGATCCGTCGGTTACGTCTCCAAGTCGGGTGGAATGTCCAACGAGTTGAACAACATCTTGTCGTTCACCACCAACGGTACTTACGAGGGTATCGCCATCGGAGGTGACCGATACCCCGGTACCACCTTTATCGACCACTTGCTCCGTTACGAGCAGGACCCCGAGTGCAAGATGCTCGTCCTCTTGGGAGAGGTCGGAGGTATCGAAGAGTACCGAGTCATCGACGCCGTCAAGAAGGGCATCATCAAGAAGCCCATCGTCGCCTGGGCCATCGGTACCTGCGCCAAGATGTTCACCACCGAGGTCCAGTTCGGTCACGCCGGTTCGATGGCCAACTCGGACCTCGAGACCGCCGACGCCAAGAACGCCGCCATGAAGGCTGCCGGTTTCATCGTTCCCGACACTTTCGAGGACCTCCCCGCCGTCTTGAAGTCGACCTACGAGAAGCTCGTCTCGGAGGGTGCCATCACCCCCAGGGAAGAGCGTGACCCTCCCAACATTCCCATGGACTACAAGTGGGCCCAGGAGCTCGGCATGATCCGAAAGCCCGCCGCCTTCATCTCGACCATCTCGGACGAGCGTGGTCAGGAGCTCATGTACGCCGGAATGAGGATCTCGGACGTCTTCAAGGAGGAGATCGGTCTCGGAGGAGTCATCTCGCTCTTGTGGTTCAAGCGTCGTCTGCCCGACTATGCCTGCAAGTTTATCGAGATGGTCCTGCAATTGACCGCCGATCACGGTCCCGCCGTCTCGGGTGCCATGAACACCATCATCACCGCCCGTGCCGGCAAGGACCTCATCTCGTCGCTCTGTGCCGGTCTCTTGACCATCGGTGACCGATTCGGAGGTGCCCTCGACGGTGCCGCCGCCGAGATGACCCGTGGTCTCCAGTCCGGCATGACCCCTCGAGAGTTTGTCGACTCGATGCGAAAGGCCAACAAGCTCATTCCCGGTATCGGACACAAAATCAAGTCCAAGACCAACCCGGACTTGCGAGTCGTCCTCGTCGTCGACTATGTCAAGAAGCACTTCCCGGCCACCCCTACCCTCGACTATGCCCTCGGCGTCGAGTCGGTCACCAGCGCCAAGAAGGACTCGTTGATCTTGAACGTCGATGGTGCCATTGCCGTCTCGTTCTGCGACTTGTTGAAGGGAACCGGTGCTTTCACCGAGGAGGAGGCTGCCGACTACTTGAAGAGTGGAGCGTGAGTCTGCAAAACGCGTTCGGCTGATCGAGATCGGAGACACTCGTGCTGATTCATGATGTTTGCTATTGACATGCTGCAGTCTGAACGGTCTGTTCGTTCTCGGACGATCTGCCGGTTTCATCGGTCACTTCCTCGACCAAAAGTTGCTCAAGCAGCCCTTGTACCGACACCCCGCGGACGACATCTTGTGAGTTTGACACGAGACGCTTGAATCGAATTGTATCATGCTAACGATATTCTGCTCGACTTTTACAGCATCAACCTCCCCACCCAGGACCGAGTCATCGTCAACAGCAAGTAGACGAGTCTCGCCGGTCGACACGGGGTCGAGTGCGGGTTGTCCCTCTCAGTGGGCGACACGCTTCTCGGTCTCGTGGCCTTGCCTTCTCCTCATCTTTAACGTCCTCATACACCACACGCTCTCTTTTCTTCCTCGTCTCTCTTCTCTTCTGGGTCTTATCGTCTTTTCTTCCTCACTTAGAATCGAATCCTAATGTCGTTTTACGAGATGTGTGCCGCGAAATGATCTATATACAAGACACACCATTTACGTCGTGCTCGCGTTGGAGGTATCGAGTTTCGAGCCGGTAACTGGCAATTGGCTGCTTGGAGTCGAGTTTGAAGCAAGCAAGGATGAAGCGTTGATACCAAAGGTAGGGTAGGGTATGGCGAGGTCGTCGATGTGATTGTTCTCCTTTTGTTCTCTCGATTTGTACGCGGTCGCGCGCGTGGATTCGTCACGCTTCCTTCCTTCCTCTTTGTCTCCCCCCAGCGACCTCGAGCCTTATTGTCCTCTTCTTCCTCTTTTCTTCTTTCTTGTCTCTCTGCATCGTATACTTTTTCAGCTATAGTCATAGAGAAAGGACACTCGCTATATCTCTTTCAAGATGATTGACATTCAAAATTATCCGTTACATTCGCGATTCGTAGCTCCCGCAATATCTATATCGATATCGAATCGCACGAATCTACGTTTACGAACATGGCACCCGCTACCCAGTCCGACTATTATTCCTTTCCCACCCTGGTAAGCCGACAATCGTCAGAGGCTCCTACTTGTGCGCGATACTGGTAAGCTCGTTATCTGTCTATTCAAGGGAAAGTCATGGGCGACCCTGATGAATGTAGTTGTGGATGAATAGCATCATCTCGGGGAACACGACCGAATGTCCGGGCGGTGCTCAGGATCTCGTGTGTCTCTGTCAGAGTCAAGTCTTCTTGTCCAGCGTTACAGTCAGTCTACGACTCGTCTTCGATATTGGTCTGATTAAATGGTGGTACTGATAGTATGTTCTTTCTGTTTGACAGGACTGTGTGACCGCGACATGTGAGGGGGACACGTTACAACAAGCAGTAGACTATGCTGCGTATACCTGTTCGCTCTACGTAAGTCTGCCCCGAGTCCTTCTTTTGCGGTACGTTTCCATCCTCTTCGTCGATCTGACCATATCGTCGTCTTGTTTAGGGTATCGATATTCCGGCCACCACGATCGGCTCGCCAGCGGCGACGACATCCATAGCGGCACCGGTGAATACCGCTCCTATCGCACCAATTATCGATAAGACCCAGGTCACTTCCAAGATCGACATCATCGTGAGTACACAGCCCAATCTTTTTGGTGTCCGGGTTCTTGATCTTGATCCTGATGTTCATCGTCGGACACGGCAGATGGGCAGCGTATGTGCGGTGTTCCTTGCGATCGCTTTCGCTGTTGGGTTTTACGGTTGTTTCAAGCGGAACAAGATCAACAAGGAGGAAGCTAGTCGGTGAGTCTACAGGGCGCTCAAGAGTCATATATAGTCATGATCTCGTAACCTGAAGCTGACAGGACATCTTCTTTCACCCTTGCTCTGCAGCACCAACTGGACGCAGACAGGATCCGTCACCTCCCCAACCTTCAACCCGGCCAAGTCTTACAACGCTTTCGACATCCCGGCCAACTTTGATCCTACCCGTTCGTTTGGCGGTACGGCGGCCCACCAGACTCAATCCGTCGGACGGGTCGCCATCCCCGGTCTTGGGATGCGGGACCTCACCCATCTAGACCCTCGGGACGTGAGGATGCCCAACGAACCCCCTAGGTCGGCTTTCGGTCGGTCGGTCAATTTCGCCGATAAGGACGCGGATTTGTTTAGGGACGACGACGATGCCGACGAGGACATGGTCGACGGGGCCGATCGATCGAGGACGCATTTGCCGCGTTTGAGCAACCGGGACGCTCTACTGGAAGACGACGACGAGATTACCGGGCTGGATTCCGATCGAGTGCGGCCCTCGACGTTTGTCAGCAACCGGCTTCAACCTGCCGAGAGCTTGCATACGCTGGGCGAGTCGGAAAAGGACGATCAGAGCCCGACTTATTCCGACACCCGGTTCGTCGTCAATACGCTCGAAAAGGGGGACGGGCGACGGGTGTCTGTCTCGACGACGGGGTCGGACGAAAAGCAAGAGGCAGATATTTGGGGTCGGGCCAAGTAAATATGCCTGCTCAGGGCGATACTTAGCAGTACGTACTCGACATCTGGTGACATAGACATCGAGTATGACATATGTGTAGTAATAGGTTATCGACTGTATTAGGACCTTGTGCTTGTGCTTTTGGGGTATATCACATCAATCAGAAACATATCACCGAGACTTTCTGCATGACGACTATCATCAGACGACTCCTCGAGCAGCAGGAGTCATGATCTCCCTAGCCTTGCCGTTGGCCGGCGTCGTATCCCTCAAGCTATCAGAATCCTCGATGATGCTGGCGGTCGTGTCCTCGTCGCCCTCCCCAGCAGACATGTACTCGTCGTCATCCCCAGGGACGACCGACAAGTCCAACTGATCCTCGAGCTCGGGAACGAGAGAGACTCGCGACCTCGCTTCCCCGTGCTTGACTCGAGAGTCGACGCTGGCTCGGCGGTGATGATGCCCGTGACTGGGTTCCTCCATCTTGATGACGGTCGTGATCGTCGCCAAGACGGTATTGGACCTGACTCGGTGGATGGTCCTCGACCCGGACTTGGGTCCGGCAACGGGGGTGACTTCTCCGTCATCGACTGCGGAGATAGCGGTACCGGTCGTAGCGACGGCCGTCTCTCCAGCCTGAGGTTTGACCTCTTCTGCCGTATCGCCTGGCTGACTCTCCGAATGGGCTTTCTTGACATCGCGTCGGGACCTCTTGGACTTCAAGGTCAACTTGGTAATCGACTCATCGCCCTCGTCTCCCGCGTGATCTTCGGCGACCGCTTGCAGCGCCAAGTCCAGCTGGATGACAGCGACATTCCCATGTTTCAGTGTTCTGGGTTTCTGCTACTCAATTTGCCACACGCGCCGCTCACCTTGCGCTGAATGCTCGCCATCTTCTCGGCCATCTTTTCGCTCTTGATCGTCAATCGCTGATCGAGCTGTCGCAGAGGGTCCCTGGTCGAGCTATTGGCAGTAGTTACCGAAGACCTCCTTTTCTTGATATCTCGAGCGGAAGCACCATCCCCCTGAAGAATAGACGGAACTCGTACAGGTTGTCCATCGTTGGACGAAAAGGTCACCATGGTGCTCCGCTTAGCGCGATGATCGCCAGTACCCTTCCAAGCGGATGGAGAGTGCCCAGGTTCGTAGGCGATAGCAGTGGGAGTACGAAGGCCGTCGGTAACAGAAGCCATGTCAGACCTGTCATCCAGGATGTTGACCATGACGTTCTCGATCTGAAGCTCGATAGCGTTCATGACCTCGTCTCGCTCTTTCTCTAGCTCCTGGATAGATATATGCATGTCCGATAGTTGTTTCATGGCCTCTTCCTTGGCGTTCTCGGTCTTTTTGAGTTCTATAGATCCCGGAAAGGTGCTCAGTTGGAGAAATGTCGCTAGCACTTTCGGCATTCTTGTCACTTACCATCGTAGAGCGCGGTATTACGTTCTTTGGTCTGATTGACGACCCCACTGAGACGCTTGGCTTCCTTCTTTTCGGCTTCGATCCTCGCTTTGAGTTCGGCCGCTTCCGCCCCGAGGCGATCAGCATACCGCTCAAACTTTTCGAAACGCTTCTTCCACTGTGGATGCTAGCAGTCAGCTTCGTTTGCGGACTAATCGATGCGATCAGTCTACTTACCGCTTCGCCCTCTCGAATCAGGTGAATCAAGCGCTTATTGATGCGGGCCACTTTCTGCTCGAAATCGTCTCGAGCTTGAACATAGTGAACTGTGGTTGGGCAGAACATGTCAGTACAATTGGGTAGACCACGGAGTTAGCTATTCAGACCCACGAGCTCTGTTCCTCATGGCCTTGCGAGCGAGTTCTTCTGCCACGGTAGGGCGACTTTGGCGAGCTGGGCTGCCCTTGATCAGGCGCTGAATGAAGGTAGGCTTCTTCGACTGCGACAAAAGTGGTGCATTAAGCTTCGGTCCTGAGGTTAAAATGCAGACCACGGACCAACCTTCTCTGCGAGGATTTGGTTGAGCGTGCTCATGATGTCGGTAGTCTTCCACCAGGCGGGAGCTCGGAGCGCATCACCGAGGAACGCAGGATTCGCGTAACCTAGCGCATTCCCGCAACTGGCTCGCACCTTGCCGCCAGGATAGGAGAGTTTCAGCTCGCTGGGAACCGAATGGTCCGCAACTGAACCAATAGAAAGTCAACTTTGAACGTCCGAAGGTGTAAAGAGGCTGAAACGTACCGTAGAAAGATCCGAAGCAGCTCAAGATGCGCTGCCTCATCTTATCACGTATAACTCGAGGTGAGATGACTCCAGGCGGCAGAGTAGGGTTGGAAAGATGGCTAAAGCGGTCGTCTCGGTGTCAGTCTGCCGTTGTCTTGCTGTTGGTCCATCACCGTCCTCACTTATTGTCCAGGTCGACCACGAGCATATCCGGCATAAAGTCAACCATGCCGCGGCACTCGGCATTGATGCCCTGTATGCGAGGGCTACTTAGCACTGCTAGGTAAGCTAGACCGAATACGACTTACCAAGATATATGGTCCAGGGTCTGTAACAGAGAGAAGAAACACAGAACAGGAAGAATGATGGGTATGGATTAGCATTCTCTAGCTTACAATACTATAATCTGGGTGATTTCCGAATGACCAACTCACCCTCGACCAACACTGTGACATCCCGCTACAGAAATATATAATCAGCATATTTCCACAATGCTCACAGCCTACCCTGATACACCTACAGCGTGAAGCAGTGGCAAAGAAAGTCCGCGCCAACCTCTAAGCTCGGCGACGTATGTAAGGTCTTTGACCGCCAGACCCAGAGCTTCCGGGTACCTGGATACGAAGACAACTCTGCCAGGATTGGACAGCGCCACCTACAAAACATCGTTAGCATCCGCACGGTCATCTCTTGTATTCCGACTCACATCCAAGATCGTCAAGATGTTGTCAACGCTTAACATCTGCCACAAGGGCCATAGCCGATAGTTGACGTGGACGAGACCGGTGCGAAGGTCCACCGAACCAGGCATGTCCGCGTTGATTTCGACGTGAGTATTGCCAGGCGAGCCAGCTAGCAGCTTGATTGCGTCTCCAGCTCTTGGAGTAGGGTAGTTGAGAATGCGGGAGATTTGCCTGCGCTTATGGTCTGAGTAAACGGATCATACTCGTGACAATCTCAGTACCACTTACATGGAATGAGCTTTCACGTTCTTGGAGAACCTTGCCCACGAAAGCTTGAGATAATCGATCATACAATCGTAAATGGGGTATTTGGATACTGTCGGCCTGCAAGGTTAGCAATCTTGATCGATCTGGCCCTAGATCATAATCAGCACCTACCCAATGTCAAGGAATACGGAATCCAGAACATGCCGTCTGCTTCCGCCTGGAATGCATCGGCGAGTTCTCCATCTGCGTCACTGAAAACCAATGACTGGCTCAAGAAAGAGCCCCTCAATGCCTGTCGAGGATTTCTCGCTCCTTCGTATTCGGAATCGGTCCAAGTAGGTTCGGTCTCGGATCCGCTCTTGTTACCAGAAACGCGACGTCTCATGTTGATCCCGTCGGAAGCGCGAGAGTTTCGTTGAGCCGGAGCCGCGAGAGAGATCGAGGACGTCCCCGCCATCAAGGTCGATTCGTCCGCAGCGAGGATGTCTTGCGCCGATGTGTTCAGCTTCTTCTTGACGAGACTCAGGCGCCTAGCGCGTTCCGGATCTGCGTGGTTCCAGACGGTCAAGCAGACGCCGTACCAAGTGGTTTCCCGAGCGGTATCGTCATTGGTCCTGTTACCGGCCAGGGGTGAGGACTGCATAGGAGCCCTGGTGGAGCGTCCAAGACTTCGCGTACCCATCAACGAGTTGTCCTCTGGAATAGTAAAGCTGAAAAGGTGGGTCGTTGTCGGGGGGGCCAACGTCGAGTTGACAATTTCGACTACGGAACGCCAGCAATTTAGCTGTGCTCCTCTTTGACTGTGGTCCTAATTTGGCACCTACCTTCTCGAGGATGAGAGTACTTTAGCGACTTGTTGACGATCTTGTGCAATTTACCACCGGCAGCGGCTTCCAAAGGCGACCCGCCAGCCTTGGTATCTGCCAAACTGACAAAGCTGTATGCAGCTCGGGAACTCTCTGCAAGCGAAGTCATCGAGGCGCCCGCGGAGCGGAGGTTCGGGTCGGGCGGGTTCTGGCAAAGTTCACGAAGGTCAATCAAGAGGGTACTAAATCCAGCGTAGAAACTCTTCTTACCTGCCCGCCAAATGTTCTTCCTAAGACCTCGGGCCTGAATCGACAAGGCAGTGCGTCTTCGAGCGGTTCGACCCCCTTGATCGCGTCTTTATCCGCGAGTGACCAAGATTTGACGTCCTGGTCCACAAGAGCTGTTCAATCAATCCAGTCCAATTCTGAAAGAACAAGATTTGAACTCGCCTTAGGTAATCCGCTGACCAAGTACAGAGCACACAAGGTCGATCCCTTCAAGATCTCCTCCGCCGAGGCCTTGTTCCCGCCATTACCATCTCTCGCTCCCAGACCCGCAGTGAAACTCTCTACAGGGCTCTTGACAGATCCAGTCTCCATGGTCGGATCGAAAGGGATCCAACTGACATTACTGTCCGCCCTCCTGCCATGAGCAGAGGCAGCACTGGCTTGCGAGTAAGTCTGTCGGTGACCCTGGTGAGGGGGCGGGGGAGCTTGACGTGAGTGGCCGTGATGAGATTGGACGTTTTGGGAGAGGTATGGTCCCCGACCTAGATCTTTGGCGAGGAAACCTTCTCCGGGACTCAAAGGCGGGCTGGCTGCGAAGTAAAATCGGGTAACGTTCAACTGCTGGATATAGGAATAGTTGTGTTCGCTGATTCATAACTTACCTGGAGAGACGTGTTCCAAACCCGCCGGCTTCTTGACCGACTTCTTCCTAGCCAAATGTCTCGCTTCTGGTTCAGTACTATCCTCATCCTCTTCTCCCTCTCTATGAGTTCCAAGCCTGTATCTTCCCGAGTCATACCCTCCTGTCGAACTTATTTGTTTCCTCTGTGCATCCGCCGACCGACTTCCCGCCCCGTTCTTCCTCTGCCCTGCTGAGTTGGAACTAGCGGTCTTTCCTGTCCCACTTCTTCCTCTATTCACAGCGTCTCCAAATCCCTTTTCTAATTCCTGTTGCAACCTCCCGCTGACGAGCGACATGGTTTCGTATCCTTTCTGGTCGGCTAGCTTTTTTTGTTCAGGTGTAGATAGCAAGATTGGCTGGGAGATGATTGTTCCTCGTTTCTTGTGGTCTCCTTTCGTCTTCTTGCCTACCGAGTTGGATTTGTCGTCGACGACTGTTGTTTTCGTGGTCGACCTGGTGAGATGGTTCTGCGAATGGCCCTGCGCACACTCTGAAGCAGGAGACTTTTCGGTAGACCCAATGCTGGATCGCCTGAACGAGATCTTCCTGGGTAAATGCAGCGCCTGTATGCCAGTACCCAAGAGGCTGGTATTGAAGGTCGTCTGATGGGGTCGATGACGGACGGGAGTGGCAGTCTCGGATGACCAGCGGGAGATGCCTTCTCGCTCAGATTCCGAGTCGAGCCTACAACTGTACATTGGCAGCTGCGTCAGATGGATAGTTCAGACAGCGAACGCAATTGCACTTACTTTGTAGCTGATCTGATCTGCGATCTAGACGAAGGTGTGGACGGGGGTGGAAATGCTGGCAGACGATCCCCACGGTCCTGGATTGACATTCGGTTTTCACTTTACGAAGCCGTATCCGTCTTTGTAGCTTTATAAACTTTCGTTGACGAGAGCGTTGCAACTCTTTTCAGTCGTTCCTGCTCGACGACGACGTGTTCGAAAGTATAAGTCGAGTTTGTTGTGGTTTGATCAAACTCCTTCATGTCAATGTCGAACCGTCCCCCATGCCCCATGTCTTCGTCACACGTCACAGATCTCACACCGTCTCCCTTGAATCCCTTGATTCTTTGATCCGAAACAAAGAAAATGATCTCGTGATACACAGAAAGATGTGATCAACCCGAAACGCGATCAACACGCGACCGTACAGGCGTACGACCGACCGCCAACGCGCACAGACCCGCCGATCCACCGATCCACCATGACGCCGAAAACGACCAGCAACCACGACGCCTCGCCGAGTCAGAACCTTCTTATCACGCTATATCAATCCAAAGGCCAAAGGACCCTTCTATCGTTCAGCTGCTAGCCTATTCTGATGGTCTCTGCCTCCTTGACGGTGTTGCATTCTGTCTCACGAACTCCAATCGCTCTAGTTTGAGACCTTCTAGCCTTCCCGGTTGTTTCGGCTCACCGGGCCGTCCTTCTCTCGAGACCGCTGCTTCTCGTTGCCCCATGAAGGTTTGCAAGCGAAGCTGGCGATAACACGAAACTCACTCGATCACTCGGGTGACATTGGGATAATTGCGATGAGACACCGGCAATTGCGAACAACAGGGCTGTTTGTCTGATCGCTTACAGCCGGCCGTCGGGCCGTGGCACCGCAACGAAGCTGAAACGCGAAGCAGACGATCCAATCAAAATCCGCGCGTGAGAAGGTCTTACATCCGCGGTGCACAAAACAAGGGCAAAGTCGAAAACTTTTCAACCTGGCTCGGGCCGATGATTGCTGCTGTTTATCATGTGTTTTCATCATTTTTGTGTCTTTTCGTTCTATGGATGTCACGGGCAAGGACGACATTCCACAGGTCGTCATCATTATCAGAAGAGAGTGATAGGAGGGAAGGAGGGGATTTGGTATGGACGGCAAAAAGAGAGGCTGAGGAAGGGCATTGCTGGCAAAATCTACCCTCGACAGTAAAGGTTGGGGAGGGGGCAAAAAGGACGCGTAGCGCGTAGTTTACAACTCTGCAGGTGAAAGAGGGCAGTGTGTATAGTCAGCGGCTGTCCTGTCTGTACCTGCTGCAAGACGAGTACTTACTCTGCATGGCAGCAATGTCGGAAGACTGAACGTACTCCTCGTGGTCCTCGGCGATCTCTATAGACACATATCACATGAGCTGCTTATTCACCTGCTGTGTGTTGTGAAAGCACCCGACTCACGCTCTTGCAGCTCGTCGAGCGAGATCTTCTCGTCCTCGATGACCAAGTTGATCTGGAGCATCTTGATACCGTAACCGATGGGGACCAACTTGGAAAGACCCCAAACGAGTCCGTCCTTCTCGATCGACCTGACGCCGGCCTCGAGGGCCGCCATGTCGGTCTCGTCGTCCCAAGGCTTGACCTGCATGGTGACGACCGACTTGGCGACGGGGGCGTCCTTTCCGGCGGCGGCGTTGGCAGCGGCCTTCTCGTCCTTCTTGGCCTTGTAGGCGGCGACTCGCTCAGCCTTGACTCGCTCGGCCTCGGCATCGTCAGCCTCGTCGTCGGAACCGAAGAGGTCGACATCGTCGTCCTCCTCCTCGGCACCAGCAGCGGCGGCCTTGGCGGCAGCGGGCTCCTCACCAGCGGGCAGGGTCAACATGGGGGCCTTGGAGGCGTCACCCTTGAGGTTGGCGTGGTCGGCCTCCCAGGTGGCAATGTGCTTGTACCATCGGGCGACGTGGGGGTAGGTCTTCGAGTCGGGGGCGGCTGCAATGGCGGCGAAATGGAACAGTCAGTTCAAGTGCGTTCTTGATAGAAGAATAGGCTAGACTCACACTTGACGACGGTGAAGACACCAACATCAGCCTGCGAAGGCTCGAATCTTTTTTAGACCAAGAATGGCAATAACATCAATCAGCACTTGTCTTCGATAACATGTCATGCGGCAAAAACAGAACAAAGAGAGGGACGTCGAAGGTCAGAGGGTTTGGAGGGTTTTTGTCGTCAATACGAGTGAGAAAGTATGGGCGCGGGGTCTTAAGCCGTCCCCTTTCTCGGTGTGTCGGAAACACGGACCAAAACAGCTATTCATCATAAATAGGAGGGTGGAATGGAGATCGCAGATGGGGGTCCGAGCAGTGGCAGTAGGAGCTGGAAATGTGGGTAGACGAGGGGGGGTTGCGTAGATTCGGGAGCCGGAAAAAGATGCTCACCCGTCGATGTAGGATCGGACCGAGAGGTGCTCGTCGAGCTGCTTGAGGGAGGTGAAAGACATTTTGTTTTGGGGGTTCGTTAAAAGATCTAAAGTTGGCAAGGAACGGACGAGAAAGCGAGACCCAGAGTCAGCTTGCGGTTCTTCCGTTTTCGCTTCGAGTCGAGGCACTGCCGAACAAGATATGTTGTCGAGGTGTATGGATTCAGACGTTATATATTAGGCGATAGTGTTTGGTTTCACGGATCTCGCAGGTCCTTCCGACCCTCAGTAAAGGGGAAGGAGGGAACCACGAGACCCTCAATCGCAAATTACTAGTTGAGCATCAAAAAGAGGAAAGGAGAGGGGTATGTGCGGATCCAGCGTCGCAGGGAGTGACAAACGAAATGATCCGGCGTACTCACATATAATCTGAAGACGATGAAGAGAGAGAGGAGATCGGGTACGGGAGATGCAGGAGGTGATATGAGGTCGATGTTGATGATGCCTTTTGAACGTGCGAAGGGCGAGGAGCTAGGAGAGTAGGTTCGTGCCGTGGCATGGGAAAAGTTTGAGAGGAATCGCGTAAACGCGTGGAGGTACAGGGGGGGTCGTGGTCACATGAAAAAAGCGCATTCGTCCACAAGCGCGTCGCCCAGGACGCCATCACCTGCAGAGTGGAATGTCTGTGAACTATCGCAAGATCTGATTGAGAACGTTCCGAGAACCGATTCAGTCAATAAATGATTCGCACTCCTCGACTTTTACGAGTCCTCGAAGGTATCTCCGGTACATCGCTTCGAGTGCGGTAGGGCCGTGCGAAGCAAGCGACTTCGCTGCGCCATCTAGGTCATCCAAGAGAAACTCGATCGCAGCTTGGCTGGCTCAGTCTGGCCCAGATTCAGGCATCTACTGGAATCTTTATACAATAATACATCTCATGAAACAATCCATCTCAAATCTCGATGTCTCGTTGTTGGGATCTACCACGTGACGCGATTCATCAAGCGATCTTCCGAACGCTCACAGCCGTGGTCTACAGTCGCAACTGAGCATGGAGGGGACGTTTGTTCTGAATTGTGGTCGCCTAAACTCCGGCTGAAAAGTAATCCATTAGCTGAAGTTCATGCAATATGTTCATGCGCTGACCCACTCAAAGTTGGTTGGAAGAATCGACTGGCTAGTACCTCCGAAAGCTACATCCCACAAATCCTTATTCTGGCAATCGAAGCTAGCGATTTCGGACCTGAGGAAGTCGTTCTCCTGGAGGACTGCGTGATAACGTCCAAGCAGATATATGTTGGCTTGGTCCGCTATGCTCAAGGTTCTAGCCAATTCCTGAGTCCCGTATACGGCCCTTTCCATGTCCCGTATATGCTTTGCGTGTCCTCTTCCATCTGCGTTGAGCTTGGCATTCACAATCTGAGCTGTCCTCAACTCGGCTTCCAAGCTCTTGATATGTGATAGCAAATCGACATCGGAAGATGGGGATGACTCCGCTCGAATCGAGTTCTCAGGTTCCGAGGTGTGAGCCTTCAAGCCCGGATTGGATGCTGTCTGCATTCCGTCTCGCCGATCAGGCTCTAACGAAGAGATCGTAGGAGCAGAGTTGTACTCCGCTGAATCAGGCCCCTCTGTTTGAATAGCGTGATCCTTAACGGCAAATCTCTTGAAACCGTGTTTCGTAGCTACGGTCGAGGGACAGCGTCAATGTCAGCCCGAACATAATGAGACGCGCGATTCTTCTTACCTTTGTATTCGGAACTTGGTGTACCTTCGGTCGCTGTTCCAGATTCTCCTTGCTCTCTAGAAGAATCCTTGTCCTCCTCGTTATGGTGCTTGTCTATAGGCTGAATATCGACGCTCACGATCTCGCTGAAGTTGAGGGATCCGAGGTCTTCATTCATCTTCGAGCTGTTCACTGTTAGCCGATGGACGTCGGATAGAACAGGCGATAGTACTTGTACAATCCTGAGGTTCAGACTGAGCAGACCAATCAAGAGGTACTTATAAGGTTACCCAATTTCACCGGGGTCGCAGAGATCGCGTATATATGTATTGGGGATCGTGGATGGCGCAAGAAAACTGACAAAGGAGGTCAATGGAGCGCGATGGCATCATGTGACATCAGCGAAATGTATCTTCAAAGGCTGCATAGCCACATCGCGTAGAAACCTAGTCAGAGCCTGTTATTGCGACCGCGAGTCTCGTTATTCTACATCAATCAGTCGTTGTTGCCGACGATGTCGCTAGCTATGACAGGCTTCTGACGTCACCGATTTCTTGCAGATTCGAAGCAGAGTGCACATAGCGCCAGTTGGAACAGACCGGCCTGAACCAAATTATGAATTTGCGTCAGGCAAGATTTCGCGAATGTGGCATCCGGGCGCGTGATGTATCCACGCGCTCGTGACTGGCTGAAACTATTAAAGGAAGGCATCTACGAGTACTCGTCAATAGAGAGTCTTCAACAATGCTGTACGGTCATTCGGCCGCTTGGTAAGGGACTATTTTCCTCTCCTTTCGACAAACGGTTTGTCACTACGATACGGCCTGTCGCCAAGCTTTTCAAATGACAAACCTTCGCCTTGAACAACAGACACCGACGACAAGGATTTTGTCGTTATCTTCAATTATCTGGCGACGAGGAGGGAACTTCCGTGTGGATTTTTGCATGCAGAGTCAAGCACGGAACAAAGGTCATCCTTTGGTTAGCACACCTTATTCCGCGAGTACGAGCGCTCGAGTAGCGTTATTTGCTGTACCGGCACTGGATGATATCCCCGATACATCAAATTCACATCCTTTCTCTTTACATACACCCCTTCGAAGATTTCGGTAACGTCCTGTCATCTATACATACGACCCTCGCGCACAATCGAAGCTTGACCTATGACCGCTTGTCCATGCTTTGTTCCCGCCAGCCATATCCTATCGCAATGCAGGCACGCTCAGTCGCAGAGCACGACTACCGATCGGTACCTCGACTTCCGAATGAAGATTCCGTTTGACCGTGCGAGAGTTCACTAATCTTGTCTTGTAATCTGAACGTAACCACGAGGTGTCAGTGAGTCTGGGCGGCATAAGATCATCATCATCATCAGCTGACCTTGCGATTTCTAAGGAATCACGGTGATGCGAAACGAGCAGAGCCTCATGAGATGCGAATATGTTGACGTTATAGGGGGTTTCATGATCGCGAAATCATCTTCCACCTCATCTTTTTTTAGCAAAATTGCTACTTTCGGAAATACGCGCGCGACGCGTCGAACGCGTGAGAAATAGCGAAAACGCGTTAGATGAGTTGAAAGTTGATGTGCTAGATGAAGGGGGTCGGAGGGCCATTCATCTAGCAAATCAACTTTCAACTCAACTAATCATCTCAACGCGCGCGCGCGGCGGAAGCAAATCGGAACCAAATGCGGATGCAATGCCTCCGAAATTACCGAATCTGGTATTTTCGGAAAGATCAGATGGAAGATGATTTCGCGATATTGAAACCCCCTTATGTTCAAAGAGCTCGCGATTTTTCATTTGCAAAGAGGATATGGTCCTTTGGTCGTCTTGGTTTGAAGCAAACAGATCGCGATACCTCTCAGCTATGTCCGTGGCATTTTTTACGATCTCATCATTGTATCTTATGTACTTCTCTGTCAATGCTTGGAGAGATTCAGATGGCGGGATCTCGGTTTGGGTGGAGGCGTTGATGCCTTCAGGTACCGAGGTCGGCCTAATGCTGAACACTGTCGCGGGACTCATGATCGAACTGCTGGACCATTGTATTGGAGGCAAGGAGGGTGAAACTAGATTCGTTTGGGTTGCTCTTTCGGAGTAGCCTGTGCTCTGTTCCATCGTCGTAACATCACCCGCAGCTATCCCGCTCCGCTTCTTCTTCTTCCTTCTTTGTGCGGCCTTAGATGATAACGATGAAGCTTGATTTGTGAGTGTCTCAGTGCTTTCGATTGCATCATCCCGTGCAGGTTGGTCTGTCAGTGTAACGGGCACATGTTTCCATGCTTCGTTGGGAGCGCCCCGCTGGAGTTGACCACAATCGAATAGCTCTTGCAAGAGAGACCCGCAGCAAAACAAGCAATCCAATCCTCTCTCCTCGTGAATGATACCTACATGAAGGAGTCTGATGATGTCAAGCCCTTTCATATCATCTGGCGTGTGTGCTCACCCGAACTTGGTGCAGCACCCCAGAGAAGATCGTGACGCTGTTTTTTGTGCCTTGTCTCCAGCTCGTGGAGATGGCTCCGCACGACTTTGTCATCCCCTATCAGAAGCAGCATTGTGTGATTAGCTATCGTCGAGAGCGATTTCACGTTGAACTTGCGCTTGATCTCTAGTGCCTTTCCAGCGCAAATGGTCATCACTAGTGGTACAGCTTGATGACATTTTTCGTGAAGTTCAATCAAATCGTTTGGCAAGCTCTTCGTCAATGCCTCGAGTTCGCCTTGGTCGGCGTCTACCCCTGACCGTCGAGCCTTTTCCAAACTCGCCGCTACTGACCGTTCCAGAGAGGCCAGAATCACACAGTCCTTGTTCCGGCAACCTCCAAGATCCAAGTAGGTTCTCGCTATGCGGTATCCGGCCGAGTAAGGTCGACTGACTATCAGGCTTCCTCAGTCCGCGCTACTTACGCCACAATTCTTCATTCCCCCACGAGGCTGACCACCATAAGGGTTTCCCATTGAGCTTTTCGTTCTCGATTGATATTCACGATGTAAGGCTCACCAGGATTGATCTTCAACGACTTCATGTGACGGGTAGCTGAAAAGGAAAGATGAGTATTATTGATACCCAAGTTAGAGTTCAACGGGCCACGTACCGGATAATAAACCCTGCTTGGAGCTCGTGTATTTATTCTCTCTCCAATCGCGGGCGGTGTTTTTTTGCGATCACGTTTCGGCTGCAGGGAGAGACAAAGGACATCATCAACAGCGGCCCACCCGGAGCTGACTTCGATCCCAAGTTGGAAATATCGATCACGCCAAAACATTTTCGTCCTTTCAAGGACCGGGGTACGGTGCAAATGTGCCTTTGAAGACTCGACAGTAGGTACTGTATGGTAACGGTCGAGGCGGTATCCACGAGCCTGCAAAGACCGGCCCTGCTTGCCTTGAGCCACTATGAAAGGAGGTCGATGATGTCAAACGATACCAGACAGCCAGCCTAGCAAGATGCAGATACGTTTCGGCAGATCGCTTGTTCGTAGTGAACGGAGGATACGACTTGATGTACGGCTACACTTCCAGCTCATCCAGACGCTATGTAGGCAACGCGATTGTGCTGCTGTGAGTACCGAATCTTCCTGCCAAGAGCCTGGTGTCAGAAAGGAACTTCGGCTATGTGTGGCGACGCATGCGGAGACGATCCGACAGCAAAGCAGCAGAAGCTATCCTAGGTCGTTCGATCTTGAAAATATCTCTGTGTTCATATATTCGATCATCCTCCAGAATTTATACTTCTCTCTTTAGGTACATCAGTCCGAATCCACATTTCCTCTCTTTAGGTACAATTCGAGTTGTTCGCACCGTGATTGCTCACGTGATAAACCTGTAGCCCTTGGGGATACCTTCGAGGGACCCCTCGTACGGCTTGTCCTCCTCGTCGAGGCGATCAAGAACACGGTTCTGCCATTTGAGCACAAACTTGATCGAGATCGCGCCCGCAGCGACGGCGAAAGAGAAGGCGGCGATGGTCGAGCCTCCGTTGATGTACTTGGGAGCGTCTGAGTCCAAGAAGAAATAGGGACTGAGAGGCATCATACATGTCAGCGCTTGCGTCAACGATGCTACCAATTCTGAAGACCGACCTAAAGAAATGACTGGAAATGGCGAATGATGAAGGCGAGTCAGCGCGCTAGTTTGAGGCAAATACCCACATCGTCGATGTTTCGACTCACCTCGCGTTTGCCAGACCGTTGACCAGCGATAACGCAGCAGCTCGTTTGATTCTGGGCCGCGGAATGGTTGCGGTAAGCCAACTGTGAAGACAATCAGGAATGCGAGGCCCAGCTGGGTCAGCGATCCGGAAGATGTGCGTTCCGGTTCGGCGAGGACCTACCTGAAGCTAAGGTTGAAAGCTATCGTTATGACAGAAAAGGTTAGAGGATTGGAACTATCGAGTCGCCATGTCTTTTGACGTACCACAGTAGCTACCCATGGTCAACATGAACATGGCCGTGTAGCGTCCAGCGATATTCGTATCAGGCAGGGCGATAACCAAGATGTTACCCAGAGTCGAGATGAGCATAGGAATAGCGATATGCAATCCGCGCTCCTCGAGCTTGGAGGACGAAACCGCGACTCCCAAAGATGCGAAGAACGCGAAGAGATAAGGCGGGGCCGTCAGAAGCAACGTCTTGTTGCGGTCGTACCCAAGAGACTTGACGATTGAAGGGAACTGAACGCGATGGCGAATGTTAGCTGGCGAATTCGAAAGCTTCGCGCGCAGCCATGCGGCTTACGAAGTACGAGAACGATTGACTGCACGAAATGAACATTTGTTGGAAGATCAGCATCAGGATCTGTTCGAAAGCGAAGACATGAATGGTCAATTACTGTCGTAGGATATCTTCTTCGACGATTTCAACTTACCTTCCAGTCCTTGATAACCAATTTGGCCCCCTTGACGAGCGAGGTCTCTCCGCCCTCGTCGGGCTCTCCATTGGCGTCCTGAGTAGTCCTCCAAACGGCGAGACGACGCTGCTCTTCGGAGAAGAACTTGGTCTTGCTAGGGTACGAGGGCAGGATGAAGTAGACGGCGATCCCGACGAAGACGGTAATGGCGCCCTCGACGATAAAGAGCCACCTCCAACCTTCGAGCCCTCCTTTGCCTTCGAGTCCAGAGACCAGACCAGCCGCGATGAGGCCACCGAAACTGTTCGACAAGGAATTCCCTCTGCGAAAGATCCAACTTCAGCTCAAGTCTCACTTGTTCCTCAGCGATGCTTGCGCCACTCACGAGTACATGATAGCGATTCGAACCTGAATGAAGCACAGAGGAAGCAGCGACTTGGTCAGCTCGTTGACTTCGTCTTATTGGACATATCTACTAACTGCCAGCTCCTTTCGGGTGTAGAAACTGGAAAGAATAAGCAGAGCGCCAGGGAAGAAGGGCTGTTGATCGCGATCATATCAGTCAATGGCTTAACGTTCGCTCGGATTCTGTAGATATCTTACAGCTTCTGCAACCCCGACAAGGAAGCGCAATGCCAGCAATTGAGGCGCAGTCTTGACGAATCCACAGCACATGGAGACTACTCCCCACGTGGTTACCGCGCCCGTCAAAAACAGGACAGGGGGAATCTTGGCGAGAATGAAACCGGCGGGAATTTGCATGGCCACGTAACCGATGAACAGGACCAAGCTGAATGCGCGCCGAAAGATCAGCTGTGGCGCAAACCTGCTGAGAATCTGGTTACGTTACTTACACGGCATTGTTGTACGTCACAGGTCCGAAGCCGAGATCCTTGGGCATTCCAGAGACCTTGGCGGAGGCAATGTTGGACCGATCGAGGATATTGAGCTGGAAAACAGGGTTAAGGTTAGAGTCACGCGCGCCGAGCTATGACGCCGAACGTGCTTACCAAGAAGAGGAGGACCAACACCGGAAGGATCCTCCAGTCGATCAGTCGCACCAACTTCTTCGACATCTGAGCCGTCTCGGCCTCGGTGTACCCTTCAAACTTAGTTTCGACCGTGCGGATCGGGTTCGCGTCGGCCGCCGCCTCTTCGAGATACTCGACATCGTGCTTCTTGTCGGTCGAAAATTCCCGGGTAAGCTCATGGGTCGGGGCGCTCATCTTGGCAGGCCTTGTCTCTCGGAAACTTGGCTATGGTATCCGTTTCATCTCCATTATCTCCGTTGTTCAGTCACTGCGAGACCGGACGAGACGGCTTATATGATTCTCTTTGGGTCGCCACGGGGGGGTCGAGCGGGGTGTTAGCGCTGCTGAATGTGGCTGGTGTGGGCGATCCACATGGCGGATGCAGCTTGAAGGATGAGAAGACTCCGCGGGGCAAGACGGACGTTCACAACGATTGAGCCGAAAGCTACGTCGGCAACTGAAATCGGTTCACCCTCGTGTACCACCTGGTTGTGTTGTGGTTTGGTGACTGTGTTAATGTGAAATCACCTAGTGGGTTCAACGAAGCAATACGTTAACGCAATGTGCAGTGGAGCCGCAGCAACCTAATCGATACCACCTCAAGAAAGTTGGGATGCTAGATACGCGTCGCCCTAGCGCGTGATGGTGCCTGTTCATCGATGATTGCCAACTGCCAACCGCCCATCACCTCCATCACTCCATCATTTGATCATCTGTTGATCGACGGATGTCTCGGCTGCCCATCTCAATAGAACACGGCCAAGAATCCACGAAGGTGGTCGCCCACATCTGCAGCCTCATTTTGGGATATCGTCACGTTTGTCATTCATGATCATGATCTATGTACAATTACGAAGGAAAACACATAGCCTATGCCTTGACGGTAACAGCATCAGCACTGGGAGCGTTCTTGTTGCCAACTCCGTACCAGTCGTGGAAGCCCTACGAAACGAATGAGGATCGCGTCAGTCAAATCACTCGGAAGATCTCGAAGATGCAGAATACAACGCCTTGACTCACCAAGTCCCATCCGAACAGGGGCGTGTTGACTCGCTGTTGCTTGCCGGAAGCGGCCATGCCGTCCAAGGTCTTCATGTCCTCGTCGTCGAGCTTGATCACCTTGAGGTTGTCGGCAATACCTACGGGATGTCGGGATGTCGAATCAGCTCAAATCCCAGAACCCAATCAAACATGTCCCTAAGAAACTCACGCTCAGGGGTGACCGATTTAGGAAGGACGACGACGCCTCGGTTGACCTGGTAGCTGATACAGATGGTAGCCACGCTGACCTTGTTCTTCTCGGCGATCTTGATGAGCTGCTCGTCCTTGAGCAGAGGAGCACCGGTCGAACCCAAGGGGCAGTAGGCCTCTAGGAGGATACCCTTGTCGTCGCAGTACTTCTTCAGGTCGTGTTGAGGGTTGTAAGGGTGGAGCTCGACCTGGTTGATGGCGGGGACGACTTTCCAGGTCTTGGAAAGGTCTTCGAGGTAGGGGATGGACCAGTTTGATACACCGATCGCCTTGACTTTGCCTGTGGGCGCGAGGAGATAGGGGTCAGCTATCTGGATGTAGCTTGAAGAGGTATTTAGATAACTTACCTGATGCGTGCAAGGCCTCCATCTGCTTCCAGGTCTCTTGCTGGTTCCACTCTCGGTCGACCGATCGGCTCCCATCCGGGTTGGTAGGCAACAAGTTGGAGGTCTCGTTAGGGACAAGTCGTCTATCATAGAACGGGTTGATCAATATCTGGCTCCACCGTTCGCCTATGTGTGCTGTGGAAACTTACACTGGCCAGTGAATCAAGTACAAATCGAGGTAATCCGTGCCGAGGGACTTGAGCGATTGTTCGAGCGACTCGGAGGCTCGGTCGTGGTAGGTGTTCCATCTGTGTCGGGAGCGAGCGAATGAGCTGGGCGTTGCGATACCGATCGCGCGCGGGAGGGATGATGCTTACAGCTTGCTAGTGATGAAAAGCTCAGATCGAGGGATACCGGACTCTTTGATACCTTGGCCGACTTCGTCCTGGTAAGGTGGACGGGTAGCAGATCAAGGCGTTAGCGGTCGCTCCGTCTGATAGTGTTCACACCGTTTCTCACCTCGTTTTGGTCTACATGGAGGAAGCGGGGACAATCCGGAATCAGAAACTGCTCCGTTGAACGCGGGGATCACTCCACCCTGACTTACAGATCAATGCGCAATCGATGTGTCGATAACCAGACTTCAAGGCGTGCTTGACGGCCTCCTTGACGTGACCGGGGGGAGCTTGCCACGTTCCTACAGTGTGCACGGTGCTTGAGTTAAGGCTGCGGCAGGAAAATAGATAGATAGGGGTCACTCACCGAGACCGACGGAGGGGATGACGGTGCCAGTGTTGAGCTTGAATTCGGTAGGAGCGGACATGTTTGCTATGTTTTGGAGATTGAGAAGAGAGTGTAGGAGGCCAGGAGGGGTTCAAATGCAGAAATCAATGAGAGGTTGTGGGGGAAAAGACACGAATCGCCCGGAATCCGTTCGACGCTCTATATACTACCTCGCGCACCAGCTTGAGCTTGCCCCCGCTTCGGCTCGGACCGATGTTCCGGCGTTCCTCTCCCACGTGTTGTGTGTGGGTGCGCTATGTGGGTTCAATGGGCTACCGGTCTCCCATCTCCCAGCAACAAGTTATAATCCAGTCATATCCGACGTTTGAAAAGGGTCCTCTCTTTAGTTTCGTATCTTGGTTTCCGATCCCCGACATATCTCCTTCTCCTACAGACTCTGTGCCCGCCTCGCTTACGTAGTTGACAGACGATCAGAGGAACGACGATCGCGATGCATCAACCACAGCAGTTTCACTTTCAGTCCATGACCGAGATGGTCGAGGTCAGGGCGAAAGAGACACCGGACAAGGAGATCGTCAGCGTACCCGACAAGCAGTTCAAGTTTACCAGCTATACTTACAAGGATATCAATGAGGGTGCCGATCGACTAGCCCACTATTACCACGACCAAGAAGGGCTCAAAGTCAGGAACGTCGGCGATGTAGATACGAGGCTCAACACGACGATCATAGCGCCAAGTGCTATCGACTATGCTATTCATGAGCTGGCATTCGCCAAGATGGGTTCGTCGAGGTCCCTCTTCTCACCCCGAGTTGAGAAAATTAGCTGACATCTCTTCTGGCTTGTCACAGGCCACACCTTGCTCTTCTGCTCGGTCAACAACTCGGTAGCAGCAATCGCCCACCTGCTCAAGGCAACGACCGCCTTGTACATGGTCGTACACCCCAACTACCTATCCAACGCAGAAGAGGCCGTACAGCAGATCACATCCGAAGGAGGGAAACCACCGAGGATAGTAGCACAGGCTCAACGCCAGGTATGGCGATCGGACGAAGCTGTCGAGCCGTTCCCGAGAGCTTTGACACCGGAGCAAGAGGCCCCTCTGCCTGTCTTCATCGTGCATTCGAGTGGTTCTACCGGTTTCCCCAAGGTAAGCTCTGGGTCTACATACTCCATCTCCTCCAGTTCAGGCTGCTGACTTGGCAGATTGTGGTCCTCTCAGCCTATCGTCCTCTCCCACCGAGCATCAGCGTTCAACGTAGCCGGAACCGGTTTCGGCCTGGAAGCCATGACCACCCTCCCTCTCTTCCACAACCACGGCCACGCCTGCTTCTACCGAGCCATTCATTCAGGGAAGAAGCTCTCCCTCTTTCCAACGGAGATTCCGCTTACTACCAACAATATCATCGCCGCCATCGAGAATGCCAGAGGGGTCAAGGGGTTCTATGTAGTACCCTACGTGTTGAAGTTGTTAGCGGAATCTCCGGCCGGGATAGAGCTTCTGAAGGGGTTCGATTTGGTCACTTATGGAGGTGCCGCTTGTCCCGATGAGCTTGGAGACCGACTCGTCAAGGAGAACGGGGTCAAGTTGGTGGAGCATTATGGTCTGACCGAAGTGTGAGCGCAAGGGCGATCAGATCGGTTCGAAATTTCGGCTGATGGTTCATGAATTGTGTTCACCATAGAGGCCAACTTGGAACATCGTACCGAGACTTCGAGAACGACAAAGACTGGAACTACATCCGATTCAGTGGTCCTCAGGTCAAGTCCGGCGTCGCCGACTACCTCAAGTTCATCCCTCAAAGCGATGGCGGGTCGTTCGAGGTCGTCGTGACGGACGGTTGGAAGGGAAAAGTCAGGTCCAACACCGACGACGGATCGTACGCGACCAGCGACCTGTTGGTAGCACATCCTACTATCGAGGGAGCCTACAAATTCGTCGGCAGGCTGGACGACACGCTGGTCATGGTCAGCGGGGAAAAGACCAACCCGGTCCCTATCGAGCTCACGCTCAAAGGAGGTTCTCCTTATATCGCCGAGGCTATTGTATTTGGAGCTGGCAAGAGTCATATCGGGGCGCTCATCTTGCCGACAGAGCTCGGAGCTGATCTGCACCACCGGGAACTCTATGCCAAGATCGCCCCGGTGATCGACAGCGCTAATGCCGAAGCGCCGACGCATTCGCAGTTGATGCCGGAGATGTTGATCTTTATCCCGGCTGGCACTACTATCCCTCGAGCGGACAAGGCATCCATCATCAGGCCCAAGGTGTACAAAATGTTCGAGGACCTGATCGAGGAGGTGAGTGTAACGTCATCGTGTACCCACCAAGGCAAAGCTGACATACTGCATATCGAGCAGAAATACGAAAAGTACGAGCGTGGAGAAGCAGCTCTGCCAGGCGAGGAGATCAACAGGCGTCGGTTGACAGGAGAAGAGCTGGAGCGCTATGTATCTGGTTTGATCCAGGAGGTAGCCGGATCGACGGGCGATCTAGGGCTTGAAGACGATCTCTTCGATTATGGGTGAGTTGGTGTTTGCGAACGATATCTTGACGGGAGCATCGATGTTAACCGAGACCAAACAGATTGAACTCTCTTCAGGCTGCAAGGATTCGAACCACTCTGCAGAGGGAGCTCGAGCTGAATCGCACGATCCTCCCGGGTAACGTGGTCTTTGAGAACCCCAGCGTCAAGCTGTGAGTCTTTACTCGTCAAAGCCCGATATCACTCTCGATTCTGACGACATTTGTCTGCTCTTCAGACTCTCGGGTTACCTCGAAGCGGTAGCTACAGGCCAGAGCAACGCTTTGCGCGAGACTCTGGATGCGGACCAGATGAAGGCGATGCAGACCCTAGTCGAGAAGTATTCGCACTTCGCGGAGGTGACCTCAATAGAGAAGAAGGCTCCCGAAAAGCTGACAGTGGTAGGTATTGAGAGCGACAATGAGCCAGTCTCGCTCGATGCTGACCAGCCTTACCCCGGAAACTTTGTTTGTCAGGTACTGACCGGAGCTACCGGTAGTCTAGGCGCGCACCTTCTCGACCAGCTTTTGACGCTTGGTTTGGTGGCAAAGGTCTTCTGCTTGGTCCGAGCGGCGTCTGAGAAAGAGGCTTTGCAGCGAGTCGACGACTCTCTGGCACAGAGACGGCTGGCGGGTCTAAGAGAACGCGGCCATGGCAAGGTCGAGGCATACCCGGCGGACTTGAGTCTCCCAGACTTGTAAGCCACGGCCAAATGCTAGACATACTGGAATGATAGGCTTACCTGCTTGTCTTCCAATAGTGGTTTGCCCTCAGATGTTCTGACCAAGATTCAGGAAAGCGTAACCACAGTCATCGCCAACGCCTGGAGTGTCAACTTTACGCTCAATGTCGAGTCGTTCGAGAAAGGCAACATTCGAGCGGCTTACAACTTGTTGAACCTGGCCATCACGTCGAGATGCGGGCGACCAGCCGATTTCTTCTTCTCCTCTTCGTAAGTCACGAACTGCATCGAGTCAAGAGCGAATCTGATCTGATACCAAACCCGTTTCGACATGTAGCGTCTCGGCTGTAGCAGCTCACGCTGGAGCTATCAACGCCGAAGTCGTCTCCGTAAATCCTGCCGACGCCCAAGGCATGGGATACGCCCGATCCAAATGGGTTACCGAGAACTTGGTTGCTATCGCTGCTTCGACGAGGAAGATTCGGGCCGAGACGTTCAGAATCGGTCAGATGGTTGGAGATACGGTGCATGGAGTTTGGAACGAGACAGAAGCGATCCCCTTGCAGATCAAGTCTGCTCAGTCGGTAGGAGCCATGCCGGAGCTTTCCGAGGTCAGTGGGGCTGCGAGACTTCCTTTATGGAAACGATACTCATCTGATCTTCCATCGGCATGACAGTCACTTTCCTGGCTCCCGGTTGACCTCGCAGCCAAGTCTATGGTAGAGATCATCATCGGAGAACAGAGACGTCCTTTATGGCATGTCCTTAATGGCAGCAAGCAAACAACTTGGCCGACAGTACATAAAGCACTTCGAGAAGCTGGGATCGATTTCAAGGTCGTGCCCCCACGAGAATGGATGCAGGAGCTACGAAATTCGTCGTCAGACCTTCAAGCCAACCCCACTTACAAGCTGGTAGACTTCTTTGGCGCCAAGGTAAGCGATAGGAGGAAGAATGCGCCTAAGAATAAAAAGTAGATTGACCTAATCATTCTTGCGATTCATAGTACGACTCGGAGGTCGTAACGAAGAGAGCAGGATATAGCATCGAGGAGACCTCTCGAGCGTCTCCAACCATCGCCGGCATGCCCTACGTGGACGAGGCGATCGTAGGGAAGTTCATTTCGGCATGGAAGACGACGGGATTTTTGCAGTAGAGAGGACGATAGCGAATGTGATCGGACAGAACAGTGTAACTCGGATATTGTATACCCTGATCTGCTCTGAACACGAGCTTCGATGATAGATGGATTTACGGAGTTTGAATGGTAGAAGCGCAGCGCCGTTGGTCGCTGGCCTTGACGCGGCGGACGTGACTGAGCATGTGGGTCCAGACAAATAGTGCCGATGCATTTGTTGATGCAAAGATCTCGTTCAGAATCGTGAAATGATATGACGCTTCATTTCGTTTGACTACTGGCTGCTCGGGCTGAAAACCTGGGCTTGCAGTCATTGCCTCATGTCAGAGTCTCCCGGGAACGGGTCCAAGACTCGCCTCGCTGTCAAGGGGTACCCATGCGAGGACCCCGGCTGTATTAAGACGTTTGCAACAGCGTCCCACAAGAGACGTCACATGCGTACCCGTACGTCGAAAGTCACTGCGTTGCCGTAGAAGCGTAGATGCTAACATGTCTCTGAGATTCTGAATCAATCAAGAACAGATACCGGCAGCACTCCCCACAAATGTCGATTCTGTGCGAAAAAGTTTGCCCGCAGCGATGTACGCAACCGTCATGAGATTCTGAGCCATCCAGCCGAATCAGCGTCTAGCAAGGCTGCAGGAGATTCCAGTACCAAAGAGCAAGTTTAATTGTTCCAGCTATTCCTCACGTTCTGTTACTGAATTGGCTGTTCAATCGTCTTCGCAGGCCTTCTGCTGAAGGGAGTCACAACGCACCAGGCCGACAGTACACCGACGCTTCGCAAGAACCTAGTTCGGCATTGTCTGAAAACCGCATGTCAGAATCGCCTTCACGAGATCTCAACACAGGAATGGAAGAAGAGCGTGAGGCTACCGTCAGGGACATGTCGATACAGGCCGATGGTGCTGGCAGAACGAGCGGGACCGAAATTCAGCACGGCGGAAGGGATCACTCGGCATGGTTGGAGAGACCGACTTCTGACAGGACGCAGGAGTACGGACAAACGATGCGAGAAGACCTCGAGGACCCTGTTGCTCCCATTCGGTTCTTGCACGCACAGCAGCAACTGTACAACAGGATACCCGAGCAGATGCCCATGAACGCCCTTGCCTACGGCCAGCCGGGACCTCCATCAACGTCTAGCGTACCGCACGCGGACTATCGACAAACCGTTCAGCAACAACAGTCGTTCAATCAACAGACACATCACGTGCCATCGGGAATCTCATTACCTATTGACGATGGTGGCATGTTCAATAATGTCGACCTAATCTTACAAGCGGCAAGCGAGCGACTCACGGATCCCGGCAGCGGTGGTGAGAAAAGTTCAATTCCAGAACTTCACCAGAACACATGGCTGATTCCTGAGACCCTTCAGTTTCAGGTAATATTGCTGCACCCGGTGTCGTCGGCGGACAACCCTCGCCAAGCGGCTTCCAATTCAACCTCGAATCGCCCCTGGACGGCTTACTGACAGAAGAAATGCTGCACGATGTCTTTGGTTGGGGGGTCGGAGCGGAAGACTGGCAGAGTCAGAACCCGCTCATGTACGATATGCTCGACTTCGGAAATTTGGAAATGAACTTCGCACTGGGCATGGGTCGGAATGGCTCGATGGAAGGTATTGGAGAAGGGTCGACTACGGGAATGGAGCGGCTCGGTGTACCGCAGGTGTCTTGGGCGGACCAGCGCATGGGAGGATCCTTGCACGGACCTAATGCCTATACAGGCGGCTCTACATCGCACGGGAACGGGAATAGTCCGCCTGGACCGGTAAGGCAAGAAGACGAGACGGCGTGGGTGAGTGAACCCTTCACCAGGGCTTTTTGGGATATCAGGTCGTTTGATATCCGCTTCCTTTCGCTAGCCTCATGTCTTCAAACCCACAAACAGCGCTCAGCTACGGCGACTCGCCCTCAGCCAACCAGTCTCTGCCCCTCAAACAGGGCTCTTCGGACAGGATGATCACCCTTTCATCGATCCTGAAAAGGTAGGGACTCTCGTACGACTAGCTCATGTTGCCCATGAGACTCCCTACGGCAGTGGAATCGACGTCAACAACTTTCCAGATGCTTCAGTCTTATCCACCTGTATTACGCTATACTTTCGCCATTTCCATCCCGTCATGCCGATCCTCAGACAAGATGCATTTGTCAAGGCGGCCTGGAGCGGAACAAAAGAGCGCATAGGGAGACGACCGCAAGATGAACCCCAACACGCTCTTCTCATCCTGACGATGTCGGCTATCGGTGCCACCTACGGATCCGAGGACTGGAAACCGTTGGCTTCTTATCTACACGAGTTAGGCAGGCGAGTTGGAAAGTATCTTGTAAGTGGGCACGTGCGTGGAATAGATTTTTGACGTAGAGCTCACCTTCTGTTCGTCAGCTTGACAGCGATCCTCGATCCATGTTTTCTATTCCATACATTCAGTCCCGCTTGCTTCAAGCCTTGGCGGGCTATGCCAACGGATCGAGGGAACTCTATCTGGAGGCGGAAATCTCGCGTGGTCTGCTTGTTACAGCGGCCCGGCGATTACACCTTTTACGGCAAACTCAGGGAAGACCAATCCGGTTCAATGCCCCCGAAGCAAGCACGGCACCCAGTCGAGCAGATATGACAGCCGGTGAACAGGTGTCCCGTTCGTCTATCCTTGCGAGCAATAATGAAGCCTTGGCCGAGAGCCTCCGGAGAGATCAGGAAAAGCAATGGAAAAGATGGCTAGAGGAGGAGGAGCGTTGCAGGTTGGGCTGGGGAATCTACGTGAGCTCGATCGAAAGCAATCAACGGGTTTCTTGTGATACTGAATATTACGCCCATAGCTCTTCGACGCGCAGCTGGGCTGTCTGCTAGGTATACCTTGCCAGATAGCGACGTCAGAAATCGTCAAAAGACTTCCGAGCGACGAAGAGATATGGGAAGCCACCACTGCGTCGAGCTGGGCAACGCTTAACACTACCCAAACAAGGTCTCCGACGTCAGCGGCTACCTCAGCAGCGAGCGGCTTTTCAGGCATACTCGCAGCTCTCTTAAAATCGAGAGATCTTCGAAGCCGTCTGTCTGACTTTGGCAGCAACGTTATTGCATACTCCCTGTATCGCTTAAGTGACGATTCGAACAAGATCGACCGCTTGTTCGGGCTAGAGGAAGCTACGTCGCCTGAACTCGACGGTTCGATGTCGGCCCGACACATCAATAAGCCCTTCGGGGTCTTGGAAGCTCTGGCTGAATCCTCTCAAGCGAGGGGTGTAGCACGTTCCTCGTTCCTGGTCTACAACATCGCGCTGCACCACCACGCGCATTTGCGATTCATTCACCCCGACTTTTTGGACATGGTCCGGCTTGCAGCAGGAAAACACCAGACCGAATCGAGCCGCCGAGAGTCTCGAATGTGGCTGAAGCATTGGCTGGCAGCTTCGGAGTCCCTTGCGAGAAGGATCTTCGCGCATGCCGCTCAGCTGTCTACCTTGCTCGGCAAGTGGACATTCGATGCGCCGTGGGAACCAATCTGGCTTTTGGATTGCGCTCTCGCGATGTGGGCTATTTTACAGTTCCTTCCCGAGGCGGTACCTCAAGCGGGACCAGAGAGGCTTTCGAGAAATATCATCAAATGGGACGATTCGCCTGACCGCTGGATCAAAGAAGGAGGTCCGATCCGATTTCAAGGCATCGGATATGTGCTCAACTCGGAGAACATCCTCACGGACTTTATCGGCAGGCTCGAGGCGTCTCCCTGGGGACTGGGCATGTTGTACAAACCCGTGGTAGCCCGTCTGCTACGAGAGTCGCAGTCTGGGGCGGCTGTAGATCCGTGAGCCAGGATGTGGACAGAGCTGTGCCGCTTTCGCTTTATTCCAGATCATGCTTGGGCGAACAGCATGCGGCCGGACAGCAAGCCAGTTGGCTAGTCTCGCATGATATAGATTCTACATGCCCTCACCTGCTGCAGGCTGAAACAGCGAATATGTTCAAGGCCAGCGGGCTCCTCGATCCATGGTCTACAGTACATGCAGATGGGCCAGCCGAACGAGAACCATCTTCCCGCCGCGTCAAGGACGAAAAGGAATTTCAACATCCCCTACTCCGGCATGACAAGCTTTGACTGTGAGACTGTATATCCTTCTGGCTTTGCTGGTATGCATCTTCAAGATCAACAGTATAGAGTCTGAACTTTTGATTACCCATTCCGTCATTGGGAGCGAGACGATGTAACCAGCAACTGAAGACGAGTTTGCTAGCTGCCGCATGAAGGTCTTGCTTCTGACGGCCTTTCACTGATGCCATCCTCACGCAGACATGTCGTCCATTACCGATATCATCCGTCCTTACTTCAGCCCATAGGGTTTTACCTCTCTTTGGGTAACGGATGATCGCATCAAGGCCCTCGGAGACTGGCCTCCAGGTCTCTATCACGCCGCTTCCGTCGCATCCGCGTTCGCCAGGGACATCCATAAATTAGTGGAGGGTGACATCAAGGTTGTAGAGACTGGGTGGGGACATCAAGGGTACAGGCAACAACGCCAACATGTTGCTTTCCTGTTGGATATGCCAATGTACCGACAATATACTTCTTGTAGATTATATCTCGCTCATTGCCTCCCTCGAGTGATTTCTCCATGGCGCTCACAGCAGGGGTATTGACAGGGCGAATCTGTCAAAGCCGCTTAATGATATTTTGATAGACATGAACTATCTCACAATCGAATGATCAAGGCCGGCGGTACTTGAAGCCAGATTTCAATTGTTCTTGGTGTACATGATGTCCCTTATTGCCACGGCGAGACGCATATACATGATGTTGATTACAGGCCGTTTGTTCCAGACCATCCGTCCCCCACAGATTGTTGCGACATCAGGTGAACATCGGCAAGATGACTCTTCCTGTGGGAAGGCGATCCATAGTTCGAAAATGACGCCCACAGATCCGCTCCGCCACCATGAATCCACCTGGACGTCCACGGTTTCTCCCTCCTCTCCCCTTCAGCAGCCCCCGCTTTAAGCCTGTCCCTTGCTCTGAAAGAAGACCTTCCACCAGTTCCTCGCCTTTCCTTGTCCTGCACGCTCGACACCCTGGACTAGTCGGGTGTAGTAGAGTGGGTCCGTAGGTGGGCTGAGGGTTCGGGCTGATAGGGGGTACTATAGCAGAGGCAAAAATGAGTTGAGAAACCCAAAGAGTCAGTGAGGATTTGATAGACCCAAGTAACAGCTGTTTTCTTCCCGGGGCTCACCTTTCGGAAAGCCGTATCCTGGTTGATCTCCTGCATCGCCTTGAGCGATCGATCCAGCCGGGTGAGATCCCCGATCCCGAACCCGAGCTTGGTCACTTCCTCCTGAGACAACTCCTTGATCGCGCTCGACTCGGCGTTCGAAGCTCCGACAGTGGGGATAGGTCGCTTGAAAGCCCTCTGTACCAACGTCTCGAGGGTTTCGGGGAGTTGTAGTGATGGACGGAGAGGATCTCGAGGTATCGATCGGGCGGCGGTGAGGAGGGAAGAATAGAGTTGAGGTACGGAGATGGAGGGGAATTGAGGCATGACGTGTGTGTGGGTCTGATGCGGGTGCTGATTCGAGGAGTAGGAGATGAGCTTGTCAATGTAGCTGGCTATGAGTAAATGGTGTTGGTAGTATGGATACGAGGTTAAAGGTCGCAAGAGGCAAGAGGCAGGCAGTTGAGTGTGCAATCATGATACAACTTGGACTGAATCGAAACTTTGGGATCGACGACCGAGCCTAGGGTACTCCCGCGCGATCGACCTCCACCTCCCTCTCGGTCGAGGGTGTCCAGTCAACGGTCACACATTTCAGCATCTACTATACCGACTGCCCTCTCATAATGGAACCAATCACCCAGTCAACGCCAGTCCCATAGTCCGTATGACCATGGTCTCAAGACGAAAACTGCTGTGATAGACAAATCGGAACATCGGAATCACGACCACATCTGTGCGCGCTTTACAAACATGCCTCGGCCGAGCACGACTACCAACTATGTCAATCCTACGGGCAAGAGGAAGGCTGTGACGATAGAGATCAGCTCGGATGACGACAACGACGGAATGATCGACAAGCTCGTCTCTGGAAAGAGCTCGAGAAAGACGGTCAAGAAGCCAGAATCGAAGAGGCCAGCGATAACGCGCAAGAGCACTAGCGGTTCTGCGACCGGTTTTGGCGGGGTATGTACATGGAAGGATACGATACGAGTTTCAGGACGATTCTAGTGAAGTATGGCGTACTGATTGTTATCTTTACGTATGGTATGCCAGTTTGTTTCTGCTTTCGATCCCCATCCCAATCGTTCAAGCGGATCTCAAGAAAGCGGATCTTCTCGGTCGTTCCAGCCGCTCAAAGCACCTCAACTCGACCGGGGAAGTAGTATACAACCTTCGGCCAGCTCGTCCACTTCGAAGACCGTTCCGGCTCGTAAGAAGGGTTCTACACGGGCAAGGGAAAGGGAAGAACCGATCGTCACGGATCTCGTCTCGTCGCCACGGTTCTCGGCGGACGATGCTCTGGTTTGGGAGCCGAGCGATTCAGAGGTCGAGCTCGTCTCCGGGACGTATTCCTCTCGACGGAAAGCCTCTACAAGCAAGGCTAGACTCCAAGACTCTGAGCGGGGGACAAAGAGGAAGCGCGAGATCGTAGGGAAAGCAGATGAGATGCAGATGGATGAGCGCGAGGGTTCACAGCCGAGTTCTATGTGGGCGGATCGATACGCTCCTACGACAATAGTAAGATGGGTATGCTTTCCGCCTGTGTGTTTCGAGACACTGACAAGGGCCTGCCGTGCTAGGCAGATCTGGCACCTTCCAAGACGAGGATCAGTCAGGTCAAATCTTGGTTGGAAGAAGCGCTATATGGGCGTCCGGCAGGGCTGGATGTCGGTGTGAATTTCAGCAAGCAGGCAGCCGAGCGAGTGAGAAAGTATCGAGTGAGGCATCTTTCTCTCTTACCAGTATCTGGTTTGTGGTCTGATGTTTGTTGCCTTTCAGCGCATACTGCTCTTGACCGGTCCGGCGGGTGTCGGCAAGTCGACCAGCGTCCGAGCTATCGCTGGAGAGATGGGCGTCGAGGTGATAGAATGGAACGAGGGTTTTGAAGATTGGGGATTTCGGGGAGATGTAGGTAAGTTTATCGGTTGTGATGCGGGGTAAGGTCAAATTACAGCTCGTTGACTCGCATTCCGCCGCACAGAGAGAGAAAGTCTGACCAGCAAGCTCATCACGTTTCTGTCGAGAAATTCCTACTCGTCTCTTCCCATCGCCGGAATCGAGGACAGTCGTCCTTCCATGTCAAGTCAAACCCCAGCCACGGGTTCCACGACATATCCGCGGCTACTGCTCATCACGTCATTGCCGAACCTGTCTCACTATCCGACACGTCAAGCATTTCATGGCGCATTGCTAGATTTCACTCGGGATTACAGTTCGAATAGCTCGCCTTTAGTTGTGGTCATACCCGACGTCGGACATAGTGGCGCGGCCGAAGAGCCATGGAGCGCCAGAGGTGGAGCCGACAGCTCGAGCGACGGGGCGTGGGATTTGAAGAGCGTCGTTGGCGAGGCAGTCCTGGCTAGTCCCGCCGTAACGACGATCGAGTGAGTCTAACCGGAAGGCCGCACCATCATCGTCGCTGTAGCTAAACCGCGCTTGTGAACCTGCGTCGTAAAGCTTCCTGTCGATGGCACCTACCTTTATCACCAAAGCTCTCAAGCGAGTCCTGGGCCTTGCCATTCCGATCGCTTCAGATCGACCTTCCAACGACGTAGTGCAGCTCATCGCTCAGACCTCGAACGGGGATTTGAGAAGCGCCGTGAATTCGCTCGAAATGTTGATGAAGACCAGCTCTGCGGCCTTGACAAGTGCTGTATCTGGGAAGACCGCTCTTCCGAAGAAGGGGAAAGGCAGTCGCGGTGGCGGAAAGGGGAAGGTTTCGGGATCGAAGGAGATGCAGATCTTGTATGTCGAGCCTGGTTTTATACGAAGAGAATATACACTCACATCGCAAGATAGGTTGAATCAGATCGCCCGCCGAGAACAGAGTTTGGGCTTGTTTCACGCGCTCGGCAAGGTCCTGTATAATAAACGTAAGTTGCCGATACCCAAACCCGCAAGGTATCGCGCTCATGTCTCTCAACAGGGATCGGCGAGACGAGTGAGGATGGCGATGACGACGGTCTAGCGAGAGCCAAGGAGGCGGAATATCTGGCGACGAATCCGCTGCCGAATCATTTACGTCGACATTCTCGGCCGCGATACGAGAACGATTTCGAGGTGAGCGGCGCGCACGTTCCATCCGATTTTACTGTTGAAGTCCTGAGCGATTACGCTATTCTTCATCCCAGGAACTGTTGAGCACGGCACCTGTTGACACGGCGACGTTTATGCTATGGATCCACCAGAATATGCCACAGTTCTGTGCGGATATTGATGAGCTTGACGAATGTCTCGAAGCGATATGTGATGCCGATCGGATGAAGACCGACGACGATCTAGTGAGCCAATAGCGTGTTATGCAGAATTGCTCATCGTCAGCTGAAATGGATTGTTCGATTTCCTGTAGTGGCAACGATCGTCACAAGCCATCGCTTATGCCTTTCACGTCGCCGTTCGGGGGGTCGTAGCTGGTCTGCCAGCGCCCGTACCCAAGTGAGTCTCACCGCAACGGATATGGAGGGCGAGACAAGCATCTGATTCCCCCTTGAGTTGACTTAGAAACCATCAGAAGATGTTCAAACCCGACTTTTTCCGATGGATCAAGTCTGGCAAACTCAACCAAGCGACCCTCGCCGATATAACTCGCTGGCTGGCTCGAGCAGGAGAGTCGGCACAGCCACGTGATAGCCTGGACGGCATGTGGGAACCGGCCGACAACCAGGAAGATGTCTCGACCAATACGTATCGCGGGCAGCGATCGAATGCGGTCCTGGCTACCGAGTTTTTGCCTATGATACGTCTGTTGAAACGACGAGGACATGGCAAGTCGACTGGTACTGCGCGCCTCGTCGCACCGCCAAATATGAAACGCTAATAAGCCGTTTCCTTCTTCCTCCTCAGACGTGCCGATAACTGCAGAAGACGAACCCTTTACGAGCCTAAACGAGAACATGAATGACTTGGATATATTGGGAGAAAAGGACGATGGAGCGGACCTCTCCAATGATCACGAAACGAATGAAACGATGAACACCTTTGCTACAAGCAGTAAACTTCCTACCGCCGAGCACATCTCGGACGAAGAGTTGTTACCTCCGACTACTAGTACATATCTGCTGGATGATGATATTGAGGACGATGATTGACCTTAAACGTAGCCTTGTAACGAGATGTCATCGCTGTTGCAATATGTTGATGATGCTATATTCAGCCTGTTGCTGGCCCCGTTTCGGATCTCCCGGCTCCTTCTTCGGCGCGTCGATGAGCCGAAATGTCCGGGGAATCGGCGTTGCCTTGCTTGCTTTTGCCCTGCATAGAGCATGTACACATCAACAACCTACCTATATCAACTCTGATCAGCGTACATCGATCGAACAGAGCCAACAGCTATCCCATGTCGATCCGTAAAATGTCCTCGTTCAGTCGCCTCATCCGCTTCATCCCGCAAGCTGGCAAACGACCTCTGATCGGTCAACCTTCCGATCCCAACCTCGATGTCGGACTCGCTTCTTACGAATCGAAACCGATCGAGGTGAACGTCTACTCGGGAGATTCTATTTTGAACGCAGGAGAACCTACCGGAGAGAAGGCGACGGTGGAAAAGCTGTTGAGCCCGTTACAGGCAGGAGAAGTCGGTACGATCCGATGCATCGGGTTGAACGTGAGTCGGCGTTCAGTAATAATGGTGACGATCTCGGTCTCGAGGCTGAGCTCGTCTCTATACCAGTACATCAAGCATGCCAAGGAAGTCAACATGCCTATACCGGAGGTGCCGACCGTGTTTATGTAAGTGAAGCTCTATCGCTGGCTCTGCCCTCGCTGACGCTGATGAAGCTGTCATTTCGCATAGGAAACCGTCCACCTCGTTAGGCGGACCATGGCCCGAGGAGACCATCCTGCCCAAATCGTTCTTGAAGGACAATGCAGCAGACTATGAAGCAGAGCTGGTATGTGTACTACCTCTTTCTGGATTCCACTTCGTGTCAAGCTGACTCTATCAACGTGATCGCAGGCGGTTGTCATCGGGAAGCAATGCAAGAACGTCTCCGAGGCCGATGCGCTAGACTATCTCTTAGGGTGCGTTGAGCCTTCAATGTCCGCGGTCTTACAAGTAGCTGATGACACTCTCTATATTCTCCAGTTTTACCGCAGCCAACGACGTCTCTTCGCGTATCCAACAATTCGCTCAGAGTCAATGGTCATATTCAAAGTCCTTCGATCGGGCTTGTCCGATCGGACCGGCGTTTGTCCACGCATCCCAGATCGAGGATATCGGGAAGATGACCATCCAGAGCAGTCTTAATGGACAGACAGTGCAACAGAGTGGGCTGGAGTGAGTCTCTCGAAGCATTAGCTAGCCTCGGTGTTCAGCGAGCCTGATCGTTCTCTTTTCGTGCGGCTTCAGCGATCTCATCTTTTCGGTCCGCAAGATCATCTCCTTCTTGTCCCAGGGTACTACCCTCATGCCTGGAACGATCATCCTGACCGGGTAAGTCAAAGACGCTTTCGATCCCCAGGGTAATCTGACTGACGAACGCCTCGATATGTCTTGATAGAACTCCCGCTGGCGTCGGCTGGACTAGCGAGCCAAGGAGGGTCCTAAAAGCTGGAGACGAGTTCAGGGTTCGAGTGTCGCATGGAGTCGGAACCTTGATCAACAAAATTGTCGAAGAGGAATAGTACATGTTTATTATGAAATAGCGATAAGAAGCATAAAAGCTGCGAACCAGATCAAGATTCTTCTTCGATTTTCAAGCTGCGCGCATCCGATTAGGATAGCTTGTGACTGTCTCTGTATCGCAGTTGATTGTGCGGGAAGTTTGCACCTCCCCTCCCACCAAGCGTAGCAGGAAGTTGTTACCTTGATCATGAGTTTGTGCTGCCTCTCGGAGCCAAAGGCTTTCAAAGGAGAGAAACGGCAGGTATGGATAGCAGTAATGGGTCCAATTTAACACAATCACCCTGATGGAACTCTGACTGTAATAGATGTTGCAGTTGGGTGTCTGTCTCTTTGTCAGCTGTACAGTCAGGAGCCCAGGTCGTCAGTTCAGCGTGGCCAGTGATCTGGTAGAGATGCCAATCGAGACCATGAACCTTCTTGTAAGACTCGGCTACCATGAAGTTCCGTGACACCTGATGTACATCATCAAAAACAGACCGTACAAAATCCCCTGCTGGAAAATTGTACGGCGAGCTATATAGTACAGCGATGACAGACCGACAGACCATGTTTGAGAATTAAAAAAGAGCTGATCGAGAGAGGATTGCTACCTGATCATTTTCCGAGAAATGCGAAATCCGGAACAGTCGAGTCGTCGCCGAGACTAGTGCCCATTGACGTGGGTGTTGTTGGTCAACGCCTCGTCAGCGGCCATCAAATCCTTTTCCGTCAATCTTCGTCCGCCGCTAGGGGTCATGGTCCCAGAGATGGCCGAACTGAGCGAGTCGGATCGGTTACGGGTCTGCTTCATGACCAAGGGGAAGGGGTACGAGGTCTCCTCATCCTCGTCTTGGGTTCCGTGCCAGGCTGTCCAATTCGGGCGTAAACATGAGCGATAGGTTCGAGAGTCAAACTGGCTGCCTCTATGAAGCTTACCACGGCCACCCATGTAATCCGAAGTAGAAAGACCCTCCATCTCTTCGGTCAAGGTGCCTGCAGCCATGAGACGAAGCTCTCGTGAATAAAGAACCTTCGAGCCACGAACTGGTAGGACACACGAAACTTACCGAATTCACCGGGGGTCATGGCGCCGCTCTTGTACTTCGGGCTTCCAGGAGCGCTGAAGGGTGCACCGACCCGGGTGGTTCCGATAAAGTCGGGCTCGTCGTCGCCAAACGAGTCGGGGTAGGCTCGACGAAGCGCCAACTGCCTGGCCTTGGCGTACTCGAGGCCGAGAGCCTTCCAGTCGAGCAGCTCGGAGAGACGCTCGGTCCTGTTTCGCTGGTTAATACGCTGACGACGAGTCTTGGTCGAGAACGACAAGAGTTGGTTGGTCTGCGGATGGACATCAGAAGCAGATCAGAACGCTGCATGCGAGCTTTGAGATCGATGCAGCGAAACTCACGAGCTGCTCGACCGAGTCTTCGACCGATTGAGATCGCCTGTCGACAATGTAACACCCGTAGTCCTGATCATGAATGACCGGTCAGCCCATGCGACGCCCAGCGCGGCGCGACCCGCGAACGACCCACCTCGGGCGACTCGAGCAAGTCCTCCATGAAACAACCGAATCCAGACAAGTTGGTCGTGATCGATGGGATTCCCATCACGGTACACTCGGCCGGAGTGTAACCCCAAGGCTCGTCTGCGGGTCCAATCGTATCATAGGTTGAGCGGACGTTACTTCGATTTCATCATGCAATCACCTTCGACTCACAGTAACTGGGGAAGACTCCCAAGTGACATCCCCTGACAAACTCTTCGTAATCCAGACCCAAAATCGGGTTGTTCGAGTTCAAAAACTCGGGGTGGAAGACGACCTTGACCCTGTCGTTCTTCTTGTTGAACAACTGAGTCCTCCTGATCTGGTTCAAGATCGGATCGTTGGCGTCGTCTTGCATGTTGTGGGTGGTGACGGGAGGGAGCGAGTTCCTCTTGAGCGCAAACACTCGACGTTTGAGGAGGATCTTGTCCTCGTCCGACAACAAGCTCTTGGCGTCGGGAACCTCGGTTCCGAGCTCTCCGTCGTATCGAGCGGCGTGTTCGAACAATCGGTTTCCAATCCTGTTCTGGATCTCTTGAACGGTGTCCTGCAACTGCTTGATGACGGCCTGCCCCTTGAGGGCTTCGATCGTGTACGAGTTGGTGGCAGCGGGCATGATGATGAAAGCGACAACAGTCGTCTTGGAGCCCATCTTTTGCAATCGGCTGTTCAGACCTGTAACAGACCGAATTGGTAAGTACGGCCGCCTCGTCGCGTTTCTACACCTCTCGGTACTCACGGGCCAAACTCTCGAGGAACATGTCGACACCCTTGTTCCTGTATTCGTACCTTCCCGCGGTAAACATGTAGACCGTGTTCTCGAGGTCAAAGTCGTAGTGCCCGTAAAAGTGACCTCGGATGAATTCGTTGATCTTGGCCTTGGAGAGGGCGTGCAAGTTTTGGAACTCGTGCATCGCCTGGAACTTGACGACGTTGAGACCGTTGGGAAGAACTCCGTCTGTACGAGACCCGGCCGTAGTATGCGGATCAGTGATGCGTTCCCTTATTTCTCGAACATGACATCACGCACCGGGCTTTCGCTTCAACAAGTGCTCGCTCTCGAAAGCGGTAACGTGACTGACGGTGGTAAAGACATCGGCGCAGTGGGCCGACGATCGCTCGATACAGTACCTGCATGATACACCGAATCGAATCTATCAGCCAATACGATCGCCGCGGCATAAAGAAAACGCCGCACCTGTGGTAAATCCCTCGCTTCCCAGCCTCGTGATCGACATCAAAGTACTGCAAGTTGTTGTAGAAATCGACCGATCCGGCACAGAGGTACCTTCCCAAGAGGGTCGCGTGGGTGGTGAAGATGGTCGTCACGTCGATATGACGTTTTCGACAGAGCGGGATGGCCAGACCGGCTTGCCATTCGTGGAAGTGTCCGATAATGGCCGAGGTCCTGTGGCGGGCAGCGAACTGGTATCACAAGGAAAGAGCGTTAACTGCTACGCTGCTCTTTCAACATATTCTTCTTGTTTGGGCAGACCCCGCTCACCTCGCCCAAGAACCAAGCGACCAAGTACCCAAAGACGATCGTCTCGTTGGTCTCGTTATCATTCGGCGGAGTAGGGATCCCAGCCAAGTTCCAGAGATCGGCCTTCCACTCGTCCAACCGGTTGTAAGCCGACCCAGTGTCAAAGAGGATGACCTTGGGCGCTCCCTCGATCAGCCATCGACCGTAGATGAGCTTGATACCTCGGTCCCTCATGGCTTGGAGCGAGAGGGCGAGCGGCGATCCAGCGGGACTACAAGATGCACGGCGGAAATTGTCAGCCACAGCCACAACTCTCGCAAGAGGACTTTTCCCCCGGGGCTCCCAGTCTATCCACTTCTTGAGGGACTCACGGTTCGACATTCTCCACCTCCATAGGCGCCGTCTTGTAGCTCAACGGCCCGATCAACGTGTACCTGCTCCCATACTCGGCGACGGTGACGGGAGCCTTGGTCTTGATGACGGTGTAGATACCTCCGACCTTGTTGGCTACCTCCCAGGCGACTTCGAAGAGGAGCGGGTCGTGTACCGTACGAGGAGTCGGGGTGGCGGACATGGTGCGTGAGGGTTGTGCGGGAGGGTTTAGAAAGAAAGGGGGAGTGAAAGTAGGGGTTGTGGGTTTGGGTGGGGGGGCGGAGAGTTGCTAGGCCGACTTGACGGGAGGCAGAATCCGAGGTGATGTCAGAAAGCTAGTTGTATGATACTGTGTGTGCCGTGATTGTATTGCGAAATCGAGGTGTCGAGGCGAGCAAGCAGCGAGCAATGTCAGTGAATTCGAGCCTATATTCAGGTTGCTAGCCCGAACTCTCCGATCAAGCGATATAGGACTGTTCAGCCGGTACCGGCAGGACTTTGTCGGCTTTCCCCCTTTCAAGCCCGTTTGCATGTCTCATGACCTCCTTCGCCCGCATCCCGTTCGTTTCATCCAGACTCGATCATTTGCACCTTCTGACGAGCAGAGGATACCAGCAACCAGGTCGATCCTTTAGATTGGACACCATCGACCCGACTACTCCTTTCTGCCCGTCTGTGCTACCCCCTTTCGCCCAATTCCTTTCGCACATGTCTCCATTCCGCTAGCTTCGACCGGTAGACTCTCGACAGCCAAAGGAACCCCGACAAAGGGGCATCCACTTTCAATCTTCCCCCTTGACCACCATTCGCTTTCGAGTCTTGCCTCGCTGACGAGTCCGAATGCTGCGAGCTCCATTACGTGTCCCGGACCCCATTCCGAGAGAGACAACGAGAGATCCTGAATTCGACTCACCTCACTCGTGATAGCTCTGATTCCGACAGCTGTTTTCGTGTGTTTTCGGTCGAGATCAGAAGATGGGTTGATAGGATGTTGTGGTAAAGAGGTCAGACCTGATTGAAGGATGATGGAGTGTGAGGTAGGTGTGAGGTGGGTGTGGGGCACACTTTGAGTTGGGTCGATGGGGAGCAGAGCAGGGGTCGTTGGAGACGCTGGCACGAGGAGGAGGGGGAAGGGGGGGAGGATTTGACCCGAGACCCGTCGCGCGAGATGAGCCAAGGGCACCACACACTGAGCGGACGGGAATGATCGTCGATGACGTACAAGGCGGCGAGCAGGACCCATGCTAGCGCCAAGTGATCAGAGATCAGACCACGTCAAACGCTTCAGTCTCGTATGAAACGAAGTTGTGAAACGTCAGTTATTCGCAAGCTGCAAAGGTCTGATCTCCCAGCCTCTCCTTCGAACCTATCGACACCCCATATCCCCACGATATCGATTACCAAGAGGGGCAAGTCCCCAACGTCGACGAAACCCCAGAACCGGGATGGCGGGTCGAGACATGGACTGTGGCCCCGCACTCTCACACACACACGCTTTTCTACACACGGGGACGCGCCTCGTCCTCGTCTCCCATCTCCCAGCGACCTCTCGGTTCGGCTAAACACACGCACGCTGAGAGAGGCAATTGTGACTCACGTGACTTGCGAGTCATTCGGTGCCTCGCTCAGATCAACTCCCGCCGGCAACTTGATGGTTTCATTTCAGACGGATCTCATTCGCTCGAGACCTCATTCGATCGTTCATCCAAGTCACAGTCGCGCCATGCTCAATGTAGCGAAAGCTGCTGAGCGGCTGACTGCGCTTTGTGATGCATCATGCCTGTATGCTCGAGAAGATGCTACACCTCGTGTCTCAACCTCGACGCGAATGAGATCACAATCCTCGCAAACGTTCGAAGTCTCTTGAGATCGCTACAAATACAGTCGACTTCCTCCCCCTCATCTCCACCGAGCTCGCTAATGACTCAATCGTCGCTCAACCTAGTCGGCGTCGTCTTGACCTCCCCATTCCCAGTCCCCTTGGCATGAGCGTGCTCGATCCAATACTGTTCGTCCCGATTCTTCCTATCCGTATACCCAGCGGGCACCCATTTGGCCGAATGCCACGGTTTCAAGCCCTTTTCGCTGTACATCGTGTCGACGGCTTCGAGTGAGAGGCCCTTGGATTCGTAGCAGAAGAACCAGATGAGGAGCGCTGCGGCGAGGTTGGTACCGAATCTACAAAGAGAGGCGAAAAGAAGATTGGTCTCAGCGCAGTTGAATCGGCGCGAGATGAATGCACTGGACGGTGCGGCACGAGGCTTACAGGACGAAACCAAAGGCGAATCCGATCCCGCTGTCCGCGAACGGGGTCAAGAACGCGATCATGACTGTCGAAAAAGCATATCGTAAAGTTTAGTGTTCGCACTTACGGAATGCTTATTTCTTTCTGATAGTCGAGTACTCACAGTTACCAAGCCAGTTGAAAGCGGTGGCTAAACTCGCCTGTTTGGCCCTGGTACGTAGGGGGAAGATCTCGCCGCTAGTCAAAGGACAAAATACAGAAGCCAGTCAGAAGATGAAGCAAGACATATGTTCGCCTTGAGAACCGACTTACATGACGACCCAAGCACCGGGTCCCCAGGTACTGGCGAACGAAGCGATGAACATGCAAGCGGCGACTATCATAACAACTCCGCTAGAGTCGTTTTCCTGCGGTGGCCTTGCGACACCGATCGAGGCGAAGATCAGGAGCCAGACAGCCTGCGATCATATCACGCAGAAAGGGCCACGAAGGGGGTCAGCCTGTTGCTCGTTTCTCGGATACAACGCATCGTAGACCGAGGCGATCTCAGATGACCTACCTGCCAGAGCGCACCGTAGAAGAGGGGTGTACGACGTCCGACGCGTTCGAGCCACCATAGTCCAGGGACCGTGCAGACCACGTTGACCTGAATCGACGAACAAGATATTCGGGCGTGCCGCTTAGCCATCTCGTCAATACGGTAGGCAACCTGGTCTAACTCACGGCTCCCAGAATCAGTTGGACCAAGATGGGATCCTCGGTACCAGCGGCTTGGAAGATGGTGGCCCCGCTTATCGAGGGAGACCTGATCAGCGACACGCCAAGTTGAACCCTCTCAGACGCAGCGCCGCCCAACTCACTAGTAGAAGAAGTAATTGACACCGGTCCATTGCTGCAAGAATTGGACGGCGCACCCGAGAACGGTTCGGTATACCAATTTTGGGATGCCAGACGCTCCTCCAGTGATGCACTCCATCCAGGTTCCTTCGCCGGCCGCTTGCTGCATCTCGATCGACTCTCGCATCTCTTGCATGTCTTGAAGAACGTAAATGTCCTGCATGTTGTCCTTGCAACCTCGGAGTCGAGCAGAGGCGAGGTGCGCGCCCTCCCAGTCTCCCTTCCCAGCGAGCCAACGGGGGCTGTAACAGTACGCAATTCAGATTGAGCTAAATGGCAGAGTCCGACTGCTACCAAAGAGTCGCGACTCACCTCTCAGGTGCAAACATGATGCCGATTCCGAGAGGCAAGGAGAAGAAGATACCGATACCGATGACGATTCGCCAAGAGGCGTCGCTGTCTTCGATCGTCCTCGTACCATAGTTGATCAGGTTGGCGACAAGGATACCGATAGTGATCAAGAATTGGTACGAGGCGACGATGGTTCCTCGGATCTCCTTGGGCTGTACGGATCAGGGTATGGTCAATATGGTCATTCTTGATATGGAAGTGTAGCGCGACGCACCGACGTTTCCGACATGTAAAGGGGAACCGCGATGGACAGAGATCCGACGCCAAGACCGGCGACCATTCGGCCGATCGTGATGTGCACCCAACTTCTCATCGCTGAAAAGGCGACATCGCGAGTAGCGGACACGCTCTATCAGTAATGTGGTAGCCAATCGTAAGGTTCGAGCGTGACCGTACCTGTGATTTGGATGATGTTTCCGATGATGAACCAGAAGACTGCGAAAGTGAGAGTCTTTCGACGTCCCCATCGATCCAGGAAAAAGCTTCCAATGAGGGCTCCGAATAGAGTGCCAATGCTCATGAGAGAAACCAACAGCGAGGAGACGATCGACTCGAACTCCTTCTCCCCCTGTGCGTTCGTCTGCCCGAACCGATCGATAAAGTCTTCGAACAACAGGATCTGAGAGATTTGACCGGTATCATATCCTGCGCACAGACGGATGGAAGTCGAAAGCATCAACATGGTGTACGGTCGCATTCAGATACCAATGCTGACTCACCAAACAAGAAGCCTATTTCCATCGAGGGTATGCGGAGAATCAGAGAGAGTATAACGAATCCAGATCACCGTATTGACTTGCCTCCGATATTCGTAAGGACACCCAGAATGAGCGCCTCAATCCCAACCCTCGTCCCCTTGATCATAAAATGACTACATGTTGAGAAGCGCTCGTCAACATTCTAAACATGGGCAGTTGAGCATAGACTAGCGCCAATTACTTACCGGTTTCCTAGACCCATCTTGAGGAAGCTGCTGAACTAAACGGGTTCAAAATTTGTAAATGTCGTTCGTGCGATCTAGCGATTATCGTGCTACCTCATATCGTCAAGTCACAGCATCGCTTCTGCCTATATACAGTTCGGGGTCGACACGACTGTCGGCTGTGGTTCCTCCACAAGGCTGTCGTCTTGCAATCCACGGGGAAAGACGTCGAATGCCCTTCTCCAGTGCGGAGTTACAAGAGGGGCCAAGACTACCCTCGAAAGAGCATGTCTCCGGAGGAGTGACGGCCATGGGATGGTGTAGCGGCAAGAGATTTTGGGAACTCGGGGCTCACCGAGCCAGTGCCGCAAGCCATCACTGGATTTCAGCGAAGCGTAGCATTCTCATTCGCCCTGGAGCACTTTTGCCGCGCGTGTGATGCGCCAAGCGCGGCTGAGGGTGATCTTCGGATCAGCTGGTCTCGTTCGGTTGGGATGCGACGTCAGCTGTAATAATCTTCTGGGCTCTCCATCTATCACTGACCGAAACTTGGCAACTGCCAGCTGTTCGGGGAATTGCGGCAGAAAACTGACCGAGACAGCCTCAACATCTCCCCCCTGACTGCGGGCAAACGAGGCGATGACGTTGCGGCTGAAACGGATTAGCTTGGCAGGCGACGCGACCGCTCGTCGCGTCCATCGGGCGACTACGTTTCACATCGCTGACTGGGTGGAAGGGTCGATACCGTGAAACCGGGACCCGGGCCTGTACGTGATCTTTCTCTTCCCAGGTAACTCGAAATGTCCGGCGGGCTAGGTCTGATCACGCAGTATCGTTACGATCATCGCGCAGAAACCTGAAATGAATCGTCGGAAACCAGGCTTGAAGGCATCGTATTGATGGAGGCGAGTTGGCTGATACTGGATCAGATTGGCCGGACAAGGGAGATCCTCGTCATACACAGAGTTACTGCCACTGGAACAAGGTTACACTCAGTCCCCTCGTCTTCGCACAACTATCCCTGTACAGCTCGTCAAAGGTTGAGATTGGGATGCAAATGTTTCCCCCTCATACTCCGGAGATCGGAGGAATTGTACATACTTGGTAGGACAGATATCGAAGGTGTCGTTGATGCCTTCGTATTTGCCAGGAACCTTGACAACCATACCACCAACATGTTTGATAACCATGCAGTTGCCCAGGGAGAAGGACCAGACAACGAACTTGGTCATCACGCTCATGGTCAATGCCGCTGGGTCTTGCAGTCAATCCTGACACTTCTGATTCAGTAATGTTCAGTCCGGGTAGCAGAGACGTGAAAATGAAATCATTGGAGAGGCCTGATTTTCAGCTTTGATGAGCATAAATCACCCGCAACATGGGAAGAATTCTAGAAGTTCTCTATGAGCAACCTGAACTTGTTTCTGAGGATATGGAAGAGCAAATCCTTAGGTTGTTCTCATCAAACTGGTAAGCTTGAACTCATCACCACACGAGAAGCCCGTCAAGCAACCTCGCATATTCGAGCCTGTCGAACCTCCCGGCATTATCATTGCCCAGACTTCGGGCAGCTCGTCCGACGACCAGACTCAGATATGGCCATTGACCAGACTTGGCAGAGCTCGAACGATCACACTGGCGCAATCAGGTCATCCACGTCTGCAGAGACCCTAGAATTGCAATTGAATAGCGGCATGTGCCATACCGAATGAACACACTCATAGTAATGCCACCTCGATCTTTACCCATCAAAGCCTCCCTTTAACGGGCAGGAACAACTCGCCGGATGAAGGATTGGAGGAATGAGGCGCAATGGCAGATCATATGTCGAGCAAGGTGCACAAATTGAGTGCCACCGGGGTGAAATAGGATGACGAGAGAAACGTGACCTGATGCCTTGCCCCGGGCATCCTTGAGACTGCTGAGATCATTCTCACTCAAGCCTGGTAGACAGCATCGGCTCGCTCTGGCTTTCAGTCCGCGTCCTGTCGTCATACAAGTCCACCTGCTTCTCTCTCTCGTCTTTTTCTTCTTCCCATCGAGGACATTCCTGTTATCTCTTATCATGACTTCTCAAAATACCAATCTTGCGCTATTGTCAATTGCCTTTGACCGAAAGACATCTTCTCCAGCCACCCTAAAATGAGCGGGTGGATCGTTCTTGGGGGTGTAACCAGGTCCAACTTCAATGACTGGTTGCTGCACGAAATCGAGACTTTACGCGCATTCCAACTTTCGGTGGTCATTAACACGTCCAACCTGTGATAGCAACGAGAGGCACACAGGGAAAGATAGACGCAATATGACATGTTGCGACTGAACTATGTACATGGCGATTGCGCATAGTAAGGTCGTCGAGACGCAGTGTCTGAGGGGGATGCCCACGACAGCGCAGGGAAAAGGAGGTCGCGCTCTAGTGAAGGCAACGAGGCGGATAGCGGCAGTGGTGGGGTCGGACGACTTTCAGAAATGCAGATCCGAGGCCGGACCAATTGAAGCTAACTCAGCTGGAACGACAGCGAAATCAGGGAAGTTCCTCGCTGAGATACGGTACACATGGAACGCTTACTTGCCGTTCCAGGTAGATTCCTTTACATCCAGCTCAACCTCGTCGTCATTGCCGCCGGCTACATTTGCTCGTTGATTCGCAGAGGGCGATTCGTGTTCCTTGGTGTCCATTCTTATTGATCAGACAGAACATGTGCCGACAGAAGTTTGAATTCAGATTTAGGACTGTAATCGATACCATCCTTTGGGTCCAGCCTGTACTCATCGTCCTTCAGCCGCATCGATGTCCACTCGGCCTTTACCTCGAGACCCCTTAGAGCGCTTCGACTGATCGATCAACTCAAGGGCATACTGTCGCCTCTCCCAGGTCCTCGCACTGTGATCCTGCCACCACGACATGAACTCCTCGTGACGGGAAGTCTCTCTCTTGATTCGCTTCTCTAACGCGTAGTAGAATCGGAAAAGCTTCGCCTCGTCTTTAGTCGCTTTGAGAACTCGATCAGCTTCTCAAAGAAACTCTTCGTCATTGCTATGAGGCTCGGCCTTTGCTTTCTGGCTTGAACTTCCCGGCTTGACAGGTTCGTCGGTCCAGGAATCGTCGTCTTGCTCCCGTTCACTCTCTCGAGTCGGATGCGACCTCCGCCATTTCGATCTCTCGTCCGTTTATGGGTGTGGGTCTGACGAACTTGTAGTTGAGTTGGGTGGAGTGTTTGTAGGGGATACAGATACGCATGCAAGGAATGTCAGTATCAATCAGGCGCTGGTCGTCACACATATCAAGAACCTCAAACATGCCTCGGAACGTCATAATGCATATGCGCAATGCTCCTGCCAGCCAAAAAGATGAAACACTTCACAATATCCGCCGCATTGCTTCATTTCGCCCTGGCACATGTACGAAAAGAGAACATGCAATGATTATATCCACAAATGTAAAACTCTATCCTAACATGAATAGCCTTCCATGCGACATATGTCTATAGACAAATTGATACATGCGATTCGAAAGCAAGAGGCGTGACGATTGCAGACATGGCTGAAGCCAAGTACCAAGCGCCTTGCCATCAAACAGCCGTGTTGGTCTGCTTTTCGTTCACTTTGACCCGCTTCTCGTCGGCCAACGCGTCTTCTCCGTGGTGCTTGTCGTTGAATGCCGGGTGACTCTTTCGGTCGAGTCGACGACGGAAGAATTTGTAGATCTCCGTGATCGCGACAAAGACCAAGGAGCTTGCAAAGACCATGCCCCACTCCCACTTGATGGGGAACAGCAGGAAGACCTTGTCGTTGATGACCGGAATATAAATGACGGGGAAGACGCTGACCAAGAGCCCGATCGCCGACCACAAGAGGGCCTTGTTTTCGAGCCAGTTCATGCGGAAAACGGATTGCGTGGGGTGTTTGCAGACAAAGGCGTGAAGGATCAGGACGATGAGGAAGGTGGCGAAAACTGCACCCCGAGCACGGCCGGTGTGGTTGCAGATGTCGTCGCGGAGGTCCTCGTTACAGTTGATGCCCAGATAGCCGTCGAAATAACCCCACATGCTGCAACAACAAAAGCAAAAATCGTTAGAAACCTGATAACCATGTGTTTGGTGAATGTAACATACACTGCTGTGAAGTTCCCGATCGCAATTGCCCCCATGAGTAAACCGTAGAAGAAGATGGTGTCGAAGAGCCACCAAAAGGTGAACAGATTTTTGTACTCGGAGGGGTGTCGTTCCATCGCGTCGCTGGGCGTCTCTTCCAGTCCGAGCGCGAGGGCAGGAGGTCCGGCGCAAAGCGTGTTGATCCAGAGAATGGCGACAGGAGAGATGGGGAACGTGCTTCGATCCTGACCGTCCTTGAAGGCGAGACCGATCAACATGAGGACGATCTGGGCGACGTTGCATGACATGAGGTACATCATAAATTTGCCCAGGTTGAAAAAGATCCCACGACCTTTACGGATGGCGACGATGATGGTGGCAAAGTTATCATCCGAGAGGACAATCTCGGCCGATTGCTTGGCGACGTCCGAACCGTTCTTGCCCATAGCGACACCGACATCGGCACGTTTGAGCGAAGGCGCATCGTTGACACCGTCACCGGTCATGACACAGAGACGGTCGCGTCGATGAAGCGCCTCGACCATGCGAACCTTGGTCTCGGGCGCACAACGAGCAACGACGCAAGGCAAGGGGTTGAGCTGATCAATCTCGTCCTCGCTCAGGGCGTCGAATTGCGGGCCTGTCATCACCGAGCTTTTGGCGTAGTCCTACGATCGTAATTGAGAGAAAGTGAATTAGCCTCTGATGGCCGCCAATCCCCTCAAGCGAGCAAACTTACCTTTTGCAAGATTCCAACTTGTTGAGCGATGGCGATAGCAGTCCCGACATGATCGCCAGTAAGCATTCGAGGAATGATAGACGCCTTGTGACAATCTTCGACGGCGAGGGCGGATTCGACACGGGGAGGGTCGTAGATCCCGGCCAGACCCAAAAACGACATGCCGGCCTCGAGGTCGTCCCGAGCGAGTTCCTTGAGTCCAGCTGCAGCGCTTGCAGGGAGACGTTTCGAACACATGGTCAGGACACGCAGGCCGTCCGAGGCGAGCCGTTCGTAGTGGATCTGAATCGCTTCGTTGTCGCCCGAGTCGATCTTGCGGGTCTTGTGGTCGTCGGCAAGAATGCTGGTGCATCGATCGAATACCCGTTCGAAAGCTCCCTTCATGAGGACGAGAACGTAAGGTTCCTTTTCAGTCGAGGCGGGTCCAGGAGTACAGAGGTACGCCATGGACATCCTTTTGAGCCCACTGTCAAAGGGATGCTAAAAAATACGGTAGGGACGAGGAACGACGAAATCAGCGATCAGCCGATGTCGATCGAGTGCATGTCACGTTTTCTTACCTCGACCAAGAGCTCGTACTTGTCAGGGCGGGTCGAGTATACGAGGTCCTCGTCCTGAGCGGCAGGCGAAGATGAACCGGACGAGGACGAGCCAGAAGCCAAGTGAGGCTTCCCGTATCCGAGCTTGTGGGCATACACCTGGAGCGCAACCTCTGTAGCATCTCCGTGTCCCTCCCAACCAAGGTCGTCCTCCTTGCTCTCCTCGTCCCGGATACGCTGAATGGTAGCCGAGCTGCACAAGGCGGCGCAGAGTGTCAACTCGTGCAAAGGTTCCGGGAGATCATTGGGGTCACAGACGGGTCCGTCACCCAAGGTCTGTTCGTCAGAGTCGTTGGAGTCGTCCGAGCGGGTCGGGTGATTAGCCATGGACTTGGCAGCCGACGCAGTCTTGTCGCCTCCCATCGAGTCCGTTCGAACGGCACCACGAGGGAGGAAAGGATCGGAAGCGGTCTCGACGGTGAAATATTGACCTTCAGCGAGATCGGTCGAGTAATCGGCCGAAGCGCCTGTCCCACGGATACCAGCCGGTACCCAGACTCGACGGGTGACCATCTTGCCCAGAGTGATCGTCCCCGTCTTGTCCGAACATACGTCGGTGACGGCAGCCAAAGTCTCGATAGCGTCCATCCTCCTGACGAGCGCGTTCGACTCGGCGAGACGCTTGCTGGCGGTCGACAAGGAGAGGGCAATGACGGCGGGAAGACTCGCTGGCAATAGCGAGACGGCGGCAGCGACGGCATAGGTGGCGATCGAGAGCGGGACATCCTGGAAACCGGTCGAGGCTACGACGATGACGGCGACGATACAAGCGAAGAAGAGCACGATATAGGCGAGCTTGTTGAGCTTGATCTGCAGGGGAGTCGTGTCCGCCAAACCGAGGAAGACCTTGAACTTGTACCAAGTAGCCGCGAACCCGGTTCTCTTGTTAGTCTCCTTACGGGAGAGCGCAGCCGAGATCTTGCCCAACTCGGTGTCCATCCCCGTGGCCACACAGATAACCTTGGCTCGTCCTTTGGCAGCTTGAGATCCAGAGTAGATCATGCAAGTACGGTCACCGACGGGGCAGACGGGATCCTCGATCGGGTCCTCGGTCTTGACGCTGGGCAAGGATTCACCGGTGAGCAATGCCTCGTCGCATTCCAAGCCAGCAAGCTCGCCGGTCACGATTCTGCAAGAAAGACCGTTTCAGCTTTGTTATCACAGGAGGCACTAATTTTCTTAATAGTCTTACCTGGCGTCGCAGGGCACGATGTCACCGATCTTTACCAAGAGCACATCGCCTAGGTTCGCGCATAGACGGAAGACTTTGTTAGCGATTTGCGATGCGCGCGTTCTGTCCGAGAGTGGCCTTACCTGGGACGACCATATCAGTCTTGATTGTCTGGATCTCTCCTGGCGACCCAGCCGCCTTTCTCCTGAGGACATTCGCGGTAGGCGCCCCGATGGCTTCGAGCGCCGCCACAGTCTTCTCCGCCTGATACTCGTTGATCGTCCCCACCCCAACGTTGATAACGACAAGCGCAGCGATGACACCTCCGGAGATGAAATCCTGCGTTCCGAACGATACGGCCATCGCAGCGATCAAGACCAGGGTCATCGCGTTCAACGTGTTCCTGATCAAGATCGACCAGAACGAGGGCGGAGGGATCTCTTTGAGCTTGTTCGGACCATATTTCTCTAATGCTTGACGGGCAGCGTCTTCGGTCAGACCGTTATCGACGTCCGTACCGAAGGCGGAGATGATGTGTTCGGCCGTGAGCGTGTGTGCGGGGGCGCTCAGGGGGCCTTGAGAGGTAGGGGTGGTGGGGTTCGCGGTACCATCCTGCGGGGCCTACCAGGACGCAAACGGAATAGCCACAAGGACAGCCGGATCATGTCAGCAAGCCTTTCACGACCAAGGAGAAAATGACAGACGATCGAGAAGACCTCCTTGCTCACCTTGCTGGCCTGTTCAGGGTGGAGCGACCCAGGTGCTTGCACGGGTGCTTGCATCTAATGTTATTCGGTGGGAATATAAGTGGTTCCGATCTTCTGCGTCGAGACGGCGATCGTGATGGTGTTGGGTGCGAAAGTAGCAGACTTCAGCATAGAGGTTCTTTCAGGCTGGGAGGTTCTGAAAAGGCGGTGATGTTCGAGCGATGCGGTCGACCTAGGCAAAGGCGACCTTTGTTGGTGAATTAAATGGGTAGTGATGCTAATGTGAAGACGAGGTTCGACGGTGTGTTTACTATCAATATCGATGCGACGGCGATACGCTGCGGATGATCGATGATGAGAGTGATCGCTGTCTGGCGAGTTGGTACGAGGCGGGTTGACCATCTCGACCTTCTCTATATCTATACGCTCAAACGCGATAGCGGCAAACCCCAATCGTAAAAATCCACCGACGATCCAACGAGGGCGGACACACATGAACTTCTCCCATGTTCTCTTGGCGGTCAGGATACATGGCCCTGGAAGCTCCCCGGGCAAGATACGAGGAAGAGGTGGTCGGTCTGCCAAGAAACGTCATTGACGGAATGTTGTGGCCCGCTAGAGACGCCGGACCTAGGAACTGCGAAACCGAGATACGAGAGCCGTTGCGAACGTGCGTCGTCGTACAACTATCGTAAACGCCCGTCGTTTCCTGGTTCAAGGTCGCTCGTAGTATGCCAACGCTATATGCGATATTCAACCAGCTACCAGGATATCGAGGATATCATTTGGCTGATCAATTCGATGGCTTTTGATCGTTTACGATGTGCGGGATCTTCGCTCGATCCACTTTCCCAAAGGACTCCGAGGTGGATCCGATCATGCCGGAGTCTCTTGGCACTCGCGAGATGAGATGCCGAGCGCCACCACTTTCGCGTGGAGCGGATCGGTCACGTGATCAAAATACGATGCATGCGGGATCGTGCCGGTTTCAGCCTACCCGAGGCCCGAGGTCGTGGACGACGTTTCACATCCAGATGCTATCATATCGGCTCGCCTGGCAGTCCTGGCGCTCAGAATGTCCTGGTTACGGAGATGGCAGCACCTATGCATGTCATGGAAATGGTCCGTGGCGAGATCTCGATCAATCATCAGACAATTCCGATGCGAGAACTGAGCGCGAAATCGAGAGCCCAACCCCACTCGAGCCTGAGCCCTCCTTTAGGGGTCCTTTGGATCTGCCTTGATGAATTTGATGAACGATCGATGATCCCTTTGGCCCCTTTGTTCTTCTGTTCAGAAGTCGTGTGATCATATACTTGCATACTTGCATATACTTGCGACCTCCTCCTCGAACAATTCAAGACGGGACGGACGTACTCCTTCACAACGAGACATTGTCATACAATGCCATCCCTGCCAACTCTCTGACTCGACCTATCATCTTCACGAGACATACCATCACAGAATCCTATGAGGATGCCCAACATACCTCTCAAACTCGATCTCCTTCACGCAACCATCAAGGACTTGCAACAAGTTTTGAACGCCGGTGAATGTACCAGCGTAGATTTAATCGAGGCGTATCTGGTTAGTTGTCAGATCGTCCACAAGCGATACGCGATAGAAGTAGCAACTATACGATCCCCAAGAGCTCTGGTTTGCGATGGGCTGACAACGACTCTTTTCTTTCGCCGGATGCACAGGCTGCTATCGAGAACAACAATCACACCGGTCTGAAGCTCCACGCAGTGATCGAGACGGCGCCGAAAGAAAAGCTTCTTCAGATCGCGCAAGAGCTAGACGACCAAAGGCGGGCTGGAGTAAGTCATAGTCCATACCCAGCTCAATCCCTTAGAGCTCCGCAGTATCGTATTGCTAAGCTACATCATGTCATACTGCGGTAACGGTAGACAATCCTCGGGCATTTACACGGAATCCCTTTGTTGGTCAAAGATGTCATTGGGACCGCTGACGAATTGGGGATGAAGACGACTGCGGGCAGTTACGCATTAGTCGACTCGGTGGTCAAAGAAGTGCGCCGCAATTCGGTCTTACGCATGCCTCGTCTCAGAGAGGTGTCCGACTGACCTTGCGTATTCGGTCACATTCCAGGATGCGGCGGTAGTGAAGCTTTTGCGACAGAATGGGGCAATCATACTAGGTGAGCTTGTATCCTCAGATGTGGCCCAGCATCGGCGGGAGTATGATGTTAATGTTAGACCGACAATCTCAGGGAAAACGAATATGACCGAATGGTCCAGTTTCCGTCAGGTATGGTATCAGCCTGATTGCAACATCTAGAACTTCTCATTACGACCAAGAACTCGATGCTGACTTGATACATTGCTCAATACGACTCTGATAGGAAGGCAACATGGAAGAAGGGTTCGAAAGCGGATGGCGAAAGATGAAGAGCAACGGATGGAGCGCTCGTGGCGGCACCTGTGTTTCTGCTTACAACCCGCAGAGGAATCCGCTCGGCAAGTCATTTTGTCAAGCTACTGTTGGTCACTTACACAATGGGCTAAAGATCCTACGCATGGCTCACATTCAGGCAGTAGCACCGGAAGTGCAGTAGCGGTTTCAGCCGGGTTCGCCCCTGCAGCATTAGGAACCGAGACTTTGGGGTCACTGTGCGCGCCTGCAGATGCTGCCGTAGGTCTCAGAGAGATCGTCAAGGCTATATGATATCGACTGACATAGTACAAACGGCCGTAGGGCTTATTTGCTCTTAAGCCTACGTGCGGATATCTATCGATGTGCCCTCGAGTGAAATACCAGAAGAGACTGATATGTCGCAAACTTGTTGCATCATACAGCACTGGCATGATCAGTATGGCCGGGACCATCCCGTTCGTCAGTTCTCGGGACGTCATCGGTCCAATGGCCAAATGCGCCCATGATGTAGCGCTCTTGTTACAGATCATGGCGGCGTCCGGTTCAGATCTCACTAGTATGTGAAGGTGTGACTGGGCAAACATAGATACACTTGAAGCTGAAACTCTGTCTTGGGATTGATGTCAGCTAACCGATATCCAGACAAGCGAGGAGAGATTGAATACATCAAATATGTGGAGAACGCTACATTTAGAGGGAAGAAGCTTGGGTTTTATCCTTGGGAACCGGAGAGCTTCGCGACTAGGTCAGCCAAAATCGCTCAATATATCGTGTCGATGGCAGGACTGATTCTCAGTAACGTGTACTCATAGGGCCGAAACTGAGTACAAAAAGTGAGTCTGTCGATGTAACGCGAACTTCCTACATGGCCGAGTTCGTCATGAGCAACTCATGCAGGTCCACACTGACGATTTGATTCTGCGGCCCCAATCGGACAGGAAACTTTTCGCTCAAGCCGCTGCGACCCTATGCACTCATGGAGCAACTGTCATTGAGAGCATAGAAGCTATCCCATTTGATGCCTCGGCCTACTTTGGCATGGAGAGCCTAGTCATGGGTACGGATGTCAAGGTAAACCTCAACAGGTATCTTGCTGCGTTGCCCAACACTTCCGTTCGAAGCCTGGCTGATGTCATCCAGTGAGTGTTCAATCGAGCGTTAGATGGTCTGGGTATCGACTTACGCATCTCGTCATCTAGATACAACATCGATCACGAGGTAAGTCTATAGCATAGCAGTCCGTTGGGCGATCCGAAAAGCTAAACGACAGCACTGGAAGTAGGATGTAGAAATGCCATCTGATCAGCCTGGGCAGCTCCAGTTCTTGAGAGCTGAAGCAACGAACGGACAGGAAAATCCAGAATACCTCAAAGCAGTGCAAAAAGGTTGACTAGCTAGCGTTTCCTCTAGCAGACCCGTACTGATGTTGGGGGTATTTGTCAGTGGAGCAGGCCGCCGATAATGAGGGGCTGAAAGCCTTGTTTGATACCTACAACTTGGACGCCTTGATCTGCACCCTTGCAGATTCTACAACCGTTCCCATTGTGTTGGCGTCTGCAGCCAAGTAAGTCATTTTGGTATAGAGTATATATTGTCGCAGCTTGCGGTTGCCTAATCTGATCCGTACTTCTCACTCAGATACCCTATCATCACCCTGCCCCTGGGGTATGACGAGACAATCCAGGAGCCAGTCAGCATGTACATTGTTGGGCGGCCCTGGAGTGAAGGACTTCTCCTGGAGATCATGTGAATACATAGTTCCGCATTTGCTATGAGTTAAAAGCTAATGTCACACGCAACATCACCCAGGGCTGCTTGGGAGGTTGTCTTTCCCCCTCGACGAGCGCCGCCAGCTCTCGAGATGACGGGAGCGCAGACCTTCTAGGATCGCCGTAACCAAAGACGGAAAGCGTGATGCTGGAACGAATCTGTACTTCATCTCGAATAGACAACCGTACTTCAGCCACTGCGCTTATCGCGCTTTTGAGCGCGTTTTGATTCGTTTCACTTGACTTGTTTCAGGCCTCGGCGTATCTCAGGAGAAAGCGTTTTTGATTGCGAGAGATGACGATGCCCCCACAAGTCAAGGGATCACATCCTGTTTGATGTAGATCATAAAGGGGGCCGATTCGGTTGTTTGTAAACAGCTCCACGATACCCCTCGTCTCCACTTTTCTATGAAACAAGGGTATGAACAAAGGGCTGGCCGCGCCTCAGCGTTCAGCCAAACAAATAGGTATAAATGTGAGCTTTCATTGAGCAACGGCCTTCCTGGTTGACCCTTACCTGGAGACCTGTAACATCGAGGTTGACAGTACATTCTCAAAATGCGACTTGGTGCTCTAGCTTTAGCTTTTCTCTGCTCAGTCAGCGTCAACGCCAAAGGCGTATGTGAATCGGCGCTTGATCCGACCGACGATTTCGGCGTCATTCCCAACTCTGTAGCGACCTGGACGCCGGATGCCAACGCTAAGGTACGATCATATAGCCATATACTGTACGATATGTTCTAGGCTGAGTCAGAGTCCCCCTTGATTATTCGCAGGGAAATGTTTTTAGTCAGTACCGCGAGGCAAGCGATCTGATGGAATGTGCCAGCTTCTGCTGGGAAAACGATCTCGGAGATGGCATCCGTAAGCCATTTTTTCGTATGCGATTCCCTCGCAGGTTCTGATTTGTGTATTATGATTTAGGTTGCACGGCAGCCGAGTGGAAGACCGAGGACAGCCGATGCACAATGTATTTCCAAGAAGGATATTTCGATCATGGGATCAAAGCTTCATCCTCGAGCGGAGTTGCGGTTCGACATCGAACCTGTGGGACGTCTGGTTGGTTCAGGGGCGAGAACTTGCCTTGCTACCAATTCTCTTGCCCCGATTTGTAACTTGCTAGAGACTTTAATGGGAGGCTCGAGGCCGGAGATATCACTCGTGGGCATTAGCTGATGTCCGACGAGGTATGCCATGACATGTTCGAGTCGACCTGGGTAGCTTGGCGGAGCGGGACTCACATCCTAAAGCCCCTGACCGTGTCAATATAAACACATGTAACTCAAACAACGCTGCCCTCAAATTCTTGTGAATCGGTCAAACCTCTAGTCGCACCTAGTTAGTCGATCATCGACCTCGTCTAGCTACGATTTCGACTGTCTTCCGGATTGACGTGACTGAAAGCTCTCCTGTTGATGGGAGCATTACGAAAAATTACTTTTAAGGGAAATCTATACTATAGCTCGATAGAAGGGGAAACATACAACCTCAGAATCCGATTGTACAGCAGGACGAGCACGAAAACCCGCATTTCCCCGATGATGTGGACGGATCAAAGGAACGGTACTGGACGACATGCCTCCATTCACTACTGATGGCGTGAGCTCATGTCAAAGTGATGCATATTATTCCTTTGACACAGAGTCCTGATCAAGGGAGTGACCTACAAGGGAGTACTGACAGACGGATTGACAGTTCTCAAAAGCTGCGACAACATGGCTTGTATAAAGAACCGTATGTTCGAGAATCGAATCTATCGTTCCAACTGATCCCTGAGAACACACCCAACCAAAATCCAAATCCTTACTACCTGAAGCTTTCACAACTTTCTCGAAAGTATTCTATATGACGACCGACAACCAGCCCTCGCTTTCCAAAAAGGAACGGCCTGCCAGGTTTACGCCGGACACGGACACCAAAGAGCCCCAGGACTTGCACCCCTCTGAACCTGCTGCTCGGTCAGGACGGTTCACAGCTGATTTGTGGGACAACACAACACGATCTTCGATGATGACGGTTACTTCAAGCCAGACGAGCGCCGACGAAACTGTCAAGAGCTCGACATCGGGATCCCTCGACCAGTCCGGACAGGATCAATCTACTGCTTCTTAGAACCTCATTCCAGAGCTTCTGTGTCGAATAGTACAGCATCTATTCATGTCGCATTTTCGTAGTCGGAAGATCATCGAGCTATGTGGGATATTCAGGGCTCTCTCTCTCTCTTTCTGGAGCCTGTCATAAATCTGTTTACACAACCTGCACGGACGACTACATCTCGATTCGTAAATGCCCGTTTCCGTCTTACGAGACATGCCAGAATTGCACCTGGACGTCTGCTTCTATCAGTACGGTCCTGCCGTTTCGATCCGCCGGCCGTCACTTTGGTGTTACAGAGTGTATGCATAAACCAGTGTGATCCTCCCGAGTTCGAATCCGTCCTTTATCTTTGATTGGGTTAGTGGTAACTGATCACTACCATGGAGTTCGAATGGCAGTAACATGGAACGTCCAACACTCGCCACATGTGGCAGAGGGATGCTTCGCCGCTGAGCGCCATGGGCCATGGAAGCGATGCGCCGGGACTGGCGTTTCAGATGAGGCACGCCCCGGAATGGTCTGCCTGTCTGTACTCGTGGCATACGTCAATACGCATGCGGTGCGGCGATAGTCAATTTAAGAACGATTGATTTCAATGAGAGTCTACGACTGTCTGATCTAAGCAGAAGACGGGTATGTGATAGTCAGCTAATTCACAAGCATCCAGGTTGTACGGCGCGAGCCTTGAATGAGGTATCATCGTCTTGAGCCGTCGTACGACCGGGCTGATGATAGCAAGAACTATGGGATAGGTGATAGACTTTTCATCCCTAGTTGACCATATTTTGTCTCCGCGTGAAGTTGTTAAGTAGGTGTGGCTAGCATCCCTTTGACTCGTCCTCTGTCGATATGCACTGGGAGCTGATGGATGCAGCTATTTATCGCGAATGTCACTTTCTGATCAAGGTAGGTCCATCAGTCTCTCCCGTATGCTGGGCCTTTATGGGAAGCTTACATATTAGGCCATAAAATTCAATTCAGCTATACTGCTGGGTGGGAGTCTGGCGATAGTGGGTCTGTCGGAAGTGAGCTTGATGTACTCTTGATTCCGGTCTCCTCTGGTGGCTCAGCTTTGATGCTGTTCGCCGCCGCCTTCTCTGCCAGCTTCGTCTCGGTGCATTTCGTTGCTACCTCTCCATTGTGCTCGTCTTCATCACGGTGCTGTTTGCCCGAGCCTTCTTTACCTGCGTCGGCTTGGTGCTGCCAGCCAGCCCTCGTGAGTCGAGCATAGCGATATAGCGATCGCCACTCGACCCTCTCGTCTTCGGTTCGGGCATGCTCGGTCGTCACAACGCGCGATCTCTTTCAAGCGAGTTAAGCGAGCTAAACAGCAGGTCAACAAGCACTAGTGAGCTAGTGAGCTAGTGACCACCTCATCCACCTTGTCGAAACCTATAAACGTTGACCAACCCGTTAGACAGTCAGACATAGCACCGCTGATCAACACAGCAAGCTCTTAGTAAGCGCCTTTAACCAATAGTAAACCGCATGTCCCCTATTGTCCGGCGAGACGACGGCGAATACAGATCCGATCATCGCAAAAAGGCGTTGGCGATTGGAGGGGTCGTCCGGTCAGAGCAGGAAGATGATGGATTAGCGAGGTGGGATGACAAGGAAGTAGACAAGGAGGATCGGTCTGGACCTTCAGGAGGGGTGTATCCTTATAGGGATCCGATAGATCCCGACATACCTGCACGGGAGCTTCATGTTGAAGGCTGGACCCATCGCGATCAGGACTCTGGCTCATCCGACCATGAATACACCCATGGCCTGCACAAACCCAAACGGCAAGATGAAGTTCGCTACAGCCTCGGTAGTAATGCGACCTACCCGCCCAGGCCGTCCGCATCCCTGGATACTCTTGCCGAGTTGACGACCAGTCTACCAAACTCCAGAGCACAAGTCCTCCGAGCGGCAACGTCCCTGCTCATCCAATCGACACCCTCTCTCATCGTATCCCTGATCGGCTTGATCTTTACCGGACAACTTCTCGACCATCTCGCCGTCTGGGATGTCTTCGTCAAGTGTGACGAGCTCTTCATCGCGGTGCCTGCCCTGCAGAATCTCAAGGGGAACTTGGAAATGTGTCTAGGAGCCAAGCTGGGGACCGCTGTAAGGGTCGGCTGATTCTTATCGAGCTTTGCTAGCGGCTGATCTGATTTCCGCTACTCGCTACCGTTCTCAGACCAACGAAGGCCGACTCGATACCCCCAGGCGACGCAAGGACATCATCACCAACTCCCTCTTCTTTCTGCAATACCAAGCCCTATCAATCTCTGCTCTAGCCGGCGGTCTCTCCTGGCTCTTGGGCTACGCCATGAAACATCGTATCGCCTCCCCGACGCCGATACCAGGGAGCGAAGATATCACCGAGGGATACACCAAGCCGGGAGGCAAGCAGCTCATGTTGATCCTCAGCACGGGGATGTTGACGGCCAGTCTGAGTTCGGCCGTATTGGGCAATTTCATCAGCTGGCTCGTGGTCGTCTGTCGGTGGTTCGGTCTCAATCCTGGCAAGTCGAACCTTCTCGAAACCCTCCGTCTATCTGTTACCATCAGCTGATTGTCAGTCAATTCGATACAAACAGACAACATCGCCTCACCGTTGGCGGCCTGTCTTGGCGACTTTCTCACCCTCTTCATCCTCGCTCTCGTGGGAAGCGCGTTGGTGCACGGTCTATCCAGCCCGGTGCCAGCCATCGTGACCTTGCTCATGATCATTGCCACGATCGGCGTACGCTGGTACGGCCTGCAATATAAAGAGTCTTCAAGACCCCTCGAAGAAAAGCCGAGCGAAGCAGAGGAGGAAGGCGCATGGTGGCCTTTGGCAAGTCGATTTCCCTGATCGTATGATGTGATATATGGCTAATCCCATGACGTTCTCGTCCCATAGATCTCAGCCATGCTCATCTCCTGTGCTACGGGTGTGGTCTTGGAGAAGAGCGTATCGAGGTACGAAGGGTTCGCCTTGTTGGCCGTCACCATGACGGGTATCTGCGGCAGTCTCGGAGCGATCTAGTAGGTCCTACGATCGTTTACGCGGAAAGCACGCGACATCGTTCTCATCCCTCTTATTCGCAGCGCATCTCGCCTTTCGACCGACCTTCATGCGGATCAACATGCACGGGAACACCGCATCGCTTCTCGTGACTACGAGACCGAACTCGCTGGACGACTGAGCAACGTCGCCTCTGGCGTGACCATATTCACAAGCGCTTGGCCTGTGCAAGCGTTCTTCCTGCTGTTCATAGCGTGCACCGGTTGGACGTCAATACCGTGGGGACTGTTACTGTGGTTCCTGGTCTCATACGCATTGACGGTACGTTCCCGCCGATACTATCGTCAGTTCCCCTGACTGATGTCATCACATTCTGCTCAGGCCGGCGCGTCGATATATGCGGCGCACAGTATAACCATGTACTTTTGGCACAAAGGCTTAGATCCCGAGTAAGTCATCTCCCCGTGTGACCATGTCGCAACTTTCACTCGAGCTGATGAATCATGTGCCGGCAGTTCGTACACCTTGCCCATCCATTCGGCGGCTATCGATCTGCTCGGCCAACTCTTGCTCGTAGCAGCTTACGAGTTGGCATCGGCCTTGGGCGCTGACGTCAAATCTTGAGCCGACGATGACGCTAGGTAGACCTGTTGTGTCTCGGCGACTCTGGACGCCCGAATCGTGTTGTATCCATGCTGGTCTACAGCGCACTTGTAAACATTTGTACGAAGAAACGAGATAGCATTTGTCGAGTCGCTCGATGGAGGAAGGACTTGCCGAGTAGGGCCGACAGGAGTCTCCCCCTTTCTCAGCGGGGATCTGCGCGCAGCCGCGACCAACACACTTGTATACTTGACATCGACAACCATCAAAGGGAAACCTGACATTGGTCGTCCTGGCAAAGATCACTTCTTAGCCACAAGCAAGTTGACGGTTGCTGCAAGGTATCTCCCTGCAGCTGGTATTTCACAAGGTATTGCAGGAAATGCAACCATCACCCGCTACCAACCGAGTGCCGGCTTCCCCCCCGGCATTCTTGGACCTGCCAGGCTACGCACCTTCTTCTTTCAGCCCACAGATCCTTGTTCACCCGCTCGAGGACAGGATAAGCTACTTGGATGGTAACTCGGTCAGTGGGGTGATCTATGTGAAAGGTGCAGGACACGGCTGGAAACTCGATCAGGTGTAAGTTGTCGTGCCCGTGCTGAAGCAAGCTAAGGCGACACCGAGAGTTGACCGATGATAATGTCTCGACCGTTTGCAGCGAAGTTTCCCTCGTACTGTCGGAAGAGTCTGCTACTGGTTCAATAGAACAGCTGTACGCTTCACGATGGTACACAGTGCTGGCCACGTCTGCTAGCCGTCAGGCTGAGCGCGGCCAGACTAACCTCTCGACGTCGTCCAATTCCGATTATGGACGTGATGTCGCCGGGACGAGATTTACGGAGAAGCAGAGACGAGCGGAAGGGACTTTGGAGGTACAAGATGGACTGCCCTTCTCCATTCCCCTCGATCACACAATTGTGCCAGGATCGCCTTTACCAGGGTGTATACATTTGCTTGAAGCAGGTCTGGGCCAAGTCGTATGGCACATCCGAGTACGAGTTCAAGGCTTGAATCTCCTCGCGACCCCCAAGACCTCTCCTGGAGCCTCTTCACCATCATCGGACAAGGTCGAGGTCGAGGAGAAGGTAGAGGTCCACCTGACGCCTTGCCAAGTGGAGACGAGGCAGGCCTCGACAGCCACAGATTTCCCTCGAGCCGGGTCGAGCTCATCGTCCAGTCTGGCGACAACAACAACAACAACAACAACAATCACCGGCCGAGATTCAGCCATCCCTGCTGGTAAAGCCTGCAAGATGGTCGTCAGTGCGGTCGAAACGAGCAACACGGAATCTATCGCGGTCGGCGTCGAAATCAGCTCCGATCCGCAGCGGCTGGACGAAGACGAGGTCAAGTGGTTGAGAGGCATACGCAGAGTCAGGATACAATGGTGGAGAAGGATCAGGGTCGATCTGGTCGATCAGCGGGGCGACTCGTTCGATCCAGCAGCATCTCGGCGCGGCAAAGAATCCCTGACCTTGCTACACAAGTCGGGCAAACTTTGCCGATACTCTTCCGATCGTCAACGGCCAATCCGCTTGCTGTTTGAACTACCGCCATTACGGAACGTGCTCTCCAACACTCACAGCGCGGCGGCTCTGGGTGGAGTAGGTTGCGGAGACGTCTCTCAGCAGACACCTTGCCACGAAGTCGATTTCTTCGTCCGCGTGATCGTCGAGAGCCGAGGTGGGGGTACGGCTACGCCTTCAATGCAAGCGAGTAGCTCCAACAATACCGGTCCACAAAACTCGTCCGCGACGGAAGGTGACCCGATCGTACTCGAACAAGTGATCCGGATACTCCCACCGACGTGGGATCAGCTATTGCCGTATGTGATGACGATTGACGAGACGGGCGTCTCCGATCGCCTTGCCATCGCACAAGCTCTTCACGAGGACGAGATCAACGGGGAGGCGACGTCACTGATGATGAGCGAAGATGCCAGAAACAGAGCATACAGACTCAAGGGAAGCGATGTCGTCGGAGACACTGGCACGTACAGACAAGATCATACAGGCGAAGGCGCTGCCTCTAGTAGTGGCAACCCGCCACCGTTCGATGCGAATGTTTCTAATCACGAGGGGAACGGAGATCCACCCTCCTTCTTCGATACCACCACCGGTTCTGGGGGCGACGTCCTGCCATCATTTGACGAAAGCGAAAGGCATAATCAATCTCGATTTCCTGGCCATGGCATACCGGGTGCCAATTCAGGCCAGGGCGCGGGATCGAGTCGGACTACTAGAACACCTGCGCCTGCTCAATTGACTGGGGAGCTGGCGACATGGCGCGAATACGATGGTTACGAGACGTTCTCGGCTCCTCCTCCAGCAGCTTGGGAGAGCCTCGGCCTGAGTGGATCGATGGATCCACCCTCGACAGACGATGCCGATCTCGACGCTGCCCATGGAGACGCTGCCCTTGGAGGTGCAGACGAGCGAGTGAGGCTGATGGAACACCTCGGACTCGGTGAAGGTACACGGGTCATCGACACCCAGGAAGATATGCCTCCTGGCTTTGATGAGCCCAGCTTGCCCTCGTTACCAAACGCCATCATGCCTCATCATCGCAGGGCGATCCAGCGCCGCACAGCACTCGAAGCCGGCGAACCTCACCAGGACCCCAGCGACTCCCGGCTCGACGAATCGCCTCCACCTCCCGCGTTCAGTCGGGAAAGCGATCCCGGCGCTGAAGCTCAGCAGCAGACCCGAGGGGAGGGTGGTGGGAATCGTCAGGTCCTGCCGCCTCCCAGTTTCGCGGCGAGTGAAGCGGCCGAAGCGAGAGGTATCGCCGCTACGGGTCCCGAGCCGGTCATGAATATGAATACCGCTCGAGCGGCGCCGGTCTCATCCTCCTCGCCGCCGAGCTTGCGATATCAACTTCCGGACGAAGTCACATCAGCTCCGCCGGTATATAGTGATGAAAGTCATCCCACGCATCAAGAGGCACCTCCGGGATACTCTCGGGCTCATTGAACGCGAACGGACAAGTTTCGCGTCGTTCTTAAAAATCATATAGCATATAGCACGTATACGCGACAGTCCCTGTACAATTGTTCTCATACCCGCACAGCACACGAGTGACATGTCTACAGGCCACAGGACCATATGATATGCAAGATTTCTATCCACCCTGTCTTGCCAGCCAGAAAAGACCGAAAGTGAAAGGGAGAGGTGTGCGTCTCATTCTCTCGCGCGTAGAGAGCCGCATTTTCTCACGTGTTGCTCACTTTGGGTGGAGGCTTAGGAGAGTTCATTCCACAATCCGAGAAGCTCAAACCTCGTCAGACCATCATGTAGCATGTAGACCTGTAGACTTGCTGACATCGCATCCATCGTACCTGCTCGCAGTTGGTTTCTGGTTTACTTGCCTCTAGTCCTTGCCCCTCCTCCTCCTCCTCCTTCCCCCCCTTCTTACAACGCCGACTTGATTCCTCACAATCCGCCTCGACCGGAATTTGGACGCCTCCAATCTAGTACTCTTCCTTTCTCCATTGCAATCGCACGACATAGTCAACCAACGACCGTAACGCCATCAGCATTCACAAAAGAGTGCGTCTGGCATCGACCATACGGCCGGGTACGATCAACCCCCTGCACTAGAAAAAGGGAGACGAGCCTTTGTTCGAGCGGATCAGTAGGCTCGCCTGACTGTCCGACCAACAAAAGCGGCTACCAGGCCATTCTGCCTGGCTAAAGACGGCAAAATCGTGCTTGATCATAGCTCGAGTCTCGCAAGTGAGGCTTGGGATCTATCAGAATCAACTGCTTGGCGAGCAAAAACACAGGTCACAACAGCAGACCGGACTCATCCCGACAGAGAGAATCATTCCCATAGTCCTCGTCCTGTGACGAGTTTCTCCCTATCTAGTGCGTATACGTTCCTCTGATTCTCGACATCTTAATTACACAGAGCATCATGTTCGAGTATCACATTGTCCTTTTTGATATCAGCTTCACTGCGATAATGTCCATGCTGATCTCTACCTTTCATCTCACTGCTTAGTTCCGACGGGTTCCCTCGTCGAAATGTCCGCCCCTGTAGATGCAACGACATCAACATCTGCATCCACCTTTAAAGCATTGTCCTATGCCGAGCGCATAAGAAAGTCCCAGACTGTCCCGGACCAGGTCACCGACCAGAAAGGCGAGACGTCTCACGCCAACGGCATCGTACCTCGCCGGAATGGCGGTATCGCGGCTTCCGTCACGCCAGTAAACGGCAGATCATCAAAAGGTACGACCACGACGATACAAGACGGATCAAAACAAGAGGGAGAGGGAGAGGAAGACGTTACCGAATGGCAGGAAGTACCGGGTCGGAGTAAAAAGGAGTCCAAGGCGGACAAGCTGAGAGCATCGGCGGATCACAAGTCGACGAGCGGGAAGAAGGATGCTGGACCGAGCAGAGTCAATCCGTCAACGGATAATGATACAAATGGACCGCTAAACAAAGCCGAACCTAGGGGGGCTGCGCAGACGGTATGGAGAAGCCTGGCGACAACAACAAAAACGACCACAACCCCTACTGCCCAGACCGAATCCCCTACCAATGCAGTCCGGGCGTCGGACGAACCCACCCCAACGCACGGTACGGATATCGCTGGGACAAGTGTCGAGCCTCCCAAACCCGTGGCCACTATTGCCCCGGAAGCGACTCTGCCCGAGACTATTCGAACGCCTATCGTCAATATCTGGCAAGCGAGAAAGGAGAAGATGTCGGCATCCTTACCAGCGAATGCGGTCGCTTCCTCGTCGTCATCCTCGATCATAAAATCGCAAACCCCTGCGGCCGCAGGATCCAGCTCGAAACAGCTATCATCAAAGGGAGCAGCCGCTTCGAGCGCAAGTCCCGGTTCGAAAAAGGCCAATCCTGATCTCAAACCATCCGTCAAGTCCACCGGCAAGAATGCTGGAAAGTCTTCGAAACCTACGGAACCGTTACCGAGTCTCGCCGATCCTACCGCCTGGCCGGATGTATCCTTGGCAGCGCTTGGGGGAAGCAAAACTACAAATGCAGGACCTTCTAACAAGGTGCGAACGACCATCACGGAAGATGCCGAGGAGACGCCAGCCTCTGCATCGGTGCCAAGTGAGTTGGGAGAAATCAGCCTCGTATACCGGGTTACCGGGTTTCATCCCGCTTATGCTGTGTTGTGTGCATATGCAGAAAAAACGAAATGGACTGCAATTCCTGCGGCTGAGATGCAGGAAGCTCTAGATCGAGCGCAAAGGCAAAAGAAGGCAGAACAAGCGGCAGAGTCGAAAAGCAAGAAGACCGCTTCCAGTCCGGCGATAGAAGGCGGAGGGAAGCCCGCCGGGGGCACAGCCGGGTCAAGCACAAAGAAGAGCGTCGCGGGGCTTGGTGGCGCGAAAGGCACACGTTCAGGCAGTGTGCCAAATGGTCACGAGTCGAGTAAGAAGGGCAAGGCCGGTGCAGCTAAAACCGAACGAGCGAGCCAGGATGTGAGCATCAATAAGCTCGTCGAACCCGCTCTGCGCAAGGCAGGCGAGGCGACTGCGGAACGCATAGAAGACGTCGATGGGACTCAGATAGGGAGTTCAAAAAAGAGATCATCAGACGACGCTGCCGGTCTCGCCTCATCAAGTCATATTCCATCTACACCGCAGGCGGCGACTTCCAGCTTGCCATCAGACGATTCGCCAGTTACGCGCTCGAAAGGAGGATCAGGAGGAGATCGGGAAAGAGGGAGGACCCATCCGAGCGGAACTCCATCGGCGAGCAAGGCTCAGAACCTCTATCCACCGCAGGGGAGCGGTTCGCCCGGGACCGTGCCATCACCCAGCCAAGCCAATCATTCGCGATCTGGCAACCCTCCTGCTCAGAGTCGTGGCGGACGTGGAGGGCGCGGTGGTCGAGGCGGTCGCGGAGGTGGCACGCAAGGTGGATTCGGTCGTTCCCATTCGGAACAACACTCCCCTTTGACGTCTCCGCCTGCGGGACGATCGCCGAGCTTGCCCAGTCATACCGGACCACAAGGCTTCGGTCGACGAGCTACTGAAAGCCAAGCTGCTCAGAGTTCCTCCGCTGGGTACAGCTATGGACCGACGTTCTATAGCTCTCCCTATCACTACCCGATCGTTACGGGAGGATTCGTGCCGCCTACGGATGGCAATCTCGAAGCATACGATCAAGCCAGCTACGGCGGCGGCGCAGCTCCCTTTCCTCGTCCGGTGACCCAGATCTCCGGACTCGACACTCTGAGGTCGTTTATCCTTGGTCAACTGGAATATTACTTTAGTATGCAGAATCTGGCTATGGATTTCTTCTTGCGACAACAGGTCAGTCCGATCGATGTCCATGTTGAGAGCTGCAGACGGGACATGTCGCTGATACTGACTCTCGAACCGACCGCTTACGCAGATGGACAATCAAGGATGGGTCGATATCACGATGATCTCCTCGTTCAACAGGATCAAATCGTTGACAGCCGATTTGGAGACGGTCAAAGAGGTGGCTAGCCTCAGCACGATCCTCGAGATTTGCGATCAAAACATTCGTCTGGCGCACGGTCAATGGCGCCAATGGGTCTTGCCCGATGCTCGACCGTCCGCGATCGGAAGCGACGGCGAAGCACCTGTCGCTTACAAGGGCGAGATGCCGTTCGGAATGCCCGGAGGAGACTTTTCTTCCCAAGCCAGAGACAAGTTGGTCGGCGATATTCATCGGGACGTGATGAGGTCGAGCCCGATGCATCTACAGGCTGCTTCTGGGTTGACCAAGTCGGTCCCGGGAGGACTCGAGGCTGAAAGTGCTGCCAGTCAGACGACGGCGACGGACGAGGCTCACGCGACCAAGACGAACACGCCGGCGACGTCGGTTTCTGACGATCCAGATCCTCATGACAAGCTCGAGATCATCCTGTGACAGCCCCTTGACGCTCGTGAGTCTGAATTTCGTTTGCGAATGGAACACATCGGACCGGCTACAGTATGCGAGCAGGAACACCTCGACTCACGTGGCCTCTGTTTTTCGCAGGTCATGCCTGAATCGCGCTTCCTTCGGCTTTCGGCTTATCGATGCATCCCCCATCCCTCAATCCGCAGACCTGACCCCATTCACCGTCTCACAACATCTCGACTTGTTACTGTGATTGTTCTCAAACGCGATGCCATCCCACCTTTGGCTCGAGCCAATCTGACCTCCTCCCTTTCCCCTCTGACCCCACCTCGCCAGGCATCTCTTCTCCTCTCTTGTAGGGGGGGAACAGAGGATTGCAGCATATCTAGACGAACCTCTCTTATGGTTTGACCCCGCCTGCGTGTTTTTTACGAGTGTACCAGTGTGTACTGTATCATGAGAGACCATCAACGATTTGTCGTGTGTGTGTTTCCACTTTTTCCGCAGTTTCGGCGAGCGAGCGCGCCTGCCGAAATCGAAAACAAAGAACTAAACTTGACACAGCCATCATCTCGCATCATCGCATCTCGACCATATACGTACATTCCATCGATCATCATAACACGGGCTCAGCATCTCCACCAGCCTGACCACCTACTCTGGGATCTCATACTCCTCTGGTCACCTCCTCTCGTCGACGCTGGATCTCTCGTTCCCTCAACTCGCCCTCTCTTCTATTGAAAGAACGCCGAGAGACCGGTCGACCTCGACCTCGCACTCGTATCCATCATGCCGAGACGCGAATCGCTCGACTCACAACGAGCCCAAGGCGCATCCTCTGCTTATGGCTATCAGCAGCAGGATGCCTCCCAAGATCCTCGTAGTCGAAGGAGGGGACCCGCTGGGATCATTACCTCCCTCGTCGATCGTTCGTCGCGACACACTCAACAGGACCAGGACTATGACGATGGTGCGGGCGAAGCCTTGCCTCCTCCTCAACTCCCCTTCGTCAGCTCGGGCTCGGATAGGAACTTTGGTCCTGGCTCGAGGAGAGACTCTTCTCAATCCCTCGCCGGGTCGTTCGTCTCCAAGGCGTCGAGGGATTCCAAACCATCGAACCGCAAGTCGGGCGTGCTCTCGACTCACTATGTGCCTAGCAAGATGGCGAACCTTCATCAACCGGGGCAGTACGCGCATCGTCGTCCTGCCAAACGAGGGGGTGGTATGAACGCTTGGAATGCCGAGGGACATGGGCGTATGGGAGGAGAGGACGAGGACGGTGATGAAGGCAGAAGGGCGACCGGGCCTGTCAAGGACAATACCGGAAAGCCGAAAAAGTTGGTTTGGAACCGGTTCAAATGGGTCATCTTTATCGCCAATATCGTGGTAAGTACCTGGGACTATCTTTCAACAGTTCACATCAAACCGAGATGATTGACGTCGCGTCGGATGGCCAGTTCCTCGCCTACTCGATCGCCATCATGGTCGTCACCTTGCTCGTATGGTTTGACATCTTCAACAACTCGGACGTCCTGCGAGTTGGAAACCGGACCGAACTCATCAGTGAGTCCGTCTGTCTTGTCTTTCAAGACGGACCGCAAGCCTATGAACCTGAGAGCTGATGATGCATTCTGTTCCTGATCAGTCTCGACTGCGGCGGGAGCTCTGTGCCTCTTGACCGCCATCATGGGTTTCTCAGGCATCCTACTCAACAACAGGGCTTTCTTGGCGTTCTACACGCTCTTCCTTTGGTTCTGCCTCGCGTTGATCGTCGCACCTGGATACATCACCTACAAGAAAAAGACCTTCAATCTGGAAGGCAAGATCAACGCTCAGTGGAGTCGAGACCTCGGCTTGGACGGGAGAGTCAGGATCCAGAATGCGGTAAGCTACCGACGCCCTTCCTTCCGAGAGATGTATCCCAGTGCGACCCGCTGATGAGCGTCTTGACGGTGCAGCTCCACTGCTGTGGCTATTACTCTCCGTTCGTCGAAGCGGTGGCGTCCAACACCTGCTACCCTCGATCGATCCTTCCCGGTTGCAAATCCAAGTACCTCAAGTTTGAACGACGAGCGATGCAGGCTTGGTACACCGCCGCCTTTGCCCTCGTACCCGCACAGATCGGTATGATCGTCATTGGGCTCCTCTGCTCCAACCACGTCACCTATCGATTGGGCAAGGGTATCATTCCGAAGCAATACCGATTGGACGAGGCTAGCACGGCTCAGCTCTTGAACCAATACGCCGCGTGAGTACTTCTGGTAATCGCTCTTGTGAGTCGGCATCGCTGACCACGAAGTGCGTACCGTTTGCAGCGACATTGCGGCTCAGTACCCGACGCTCGCTCAAGAAGCGCTGCAACGAACCAATTCTGCGACCATGTTGAACGAAAAAGGTCACGGAATCAAGACCAGCCGTGCTTCCTCTTTCAGCAGTCTCCGACAGTAGCTGCACGGGTTAATCCATGTCCTCCGTCACAATACCGAATTTCAAGTGACAGTTTCGTAACACCTATATTATATAGAACCTAGAAATTTCTCGAATGTATCGGTCCATGTCATTGTCATTGTCGTAGTATCATTCAGCATCTTCTTAACCAGATCCGTGCTGCTGCTTGGATATGGTTCCTAGTCGAGGTGACATAGCGAGCCCTCGTGAGCAGGCGAATGGCGTGTTCTACTGATGGCACAATACAAGCACACTCCGTGTGTCTCCCTACTTTTGCTGTTGCGCAACCTATAGGTAATGAAACGTTCTTTTAGTATCGCAACGTGACTCAGAATGAAGGCACCTGACTCACCAACAATGCTAATAACTGCGTCATTGCTTGCGTAGTATCGCCGGCGGTATTGGACGGTGTAGGCGGAGCGGGAGCCTGTGCAGGATATAAAAGCGGAAGGTTTGGGGGTCGAAAGGCCGTTTGGGGCATGCTCGGTATTGAGGAGGGCCCCGCCTGCTGAGGTGCTGATGCAGTACCAGAAGCGTTGAATTGCTGAAGCGCAGCAAATACGCTCGGTGATATTACCGGTGCGGCAGGCGGCGGTTGGGGCGATGGCTGGTGCGCATTCGCATTGAACACAGGCGGCGGCCGGGGAGGAAGCGATCTTTGATCCGGCATCCGCATCTGCGGCAGCGCCGGAGGTACGTTTACGCGATTGCCCATGTAATTTGGTAGATTCGGTGGGACAAACGGGCTAGCTCTAGGAGCAGGCGCGGAAGCTGAAGGAACCGCTTGAGGCGCAGAGACATTATTAGATGGCGGCAGAGATCCCAAACTGGCGAGCAACTGCGAAAGACGGTAGAGGTTGACATCAATGCACGGTGATGATAGTAGACCATACTCATACTCACATCTTGAATCTTTCTGGCGTCTTGTAAACGGTCTGCTGACTGTATGAGAAGTTCGCTCGATTAAAAATGGCTGTTCTCGCTCGCACGCCCTGGCACTCACACCATCCGCTTTCTTGGCATCGCCTGGTTTTGGTCGGTCAGGATACGGTGCGGCTGTAAACCAATAGCGTAAGCGGTTGAAAACAAACTCACGCCGAAATGTTCTCATACTTACGTCGGTTATAGTTCGCATTGGCAGTATTGGTTCCTGCAAGACTACCGCTAATGCGTCTCTCACCGGGATTCTTTGGCCCGGCATGACTGCGACAGCAATCCGTCTTTCAGTGGAGTCATGAAGAAGTCAATACCGATCAGACTCACTCAACCTTGGCGTCTTCCCCTTGATCCCATTCGAACTTTATTCGCAAGCGGGAACCGTCAAGAGGCTCATTTTGCAATGCATCATGAGCAGAGACAGCGGCCTGTTCCCATAAATCGATGAGCGACTGCGCATAACGTCGGCAGTGCACTGCGCTTACCCGGCTGTCGAAAAATTCGACATATGCTGTGCTGTGGGGATATCTCGCACCGTCAGTGACTGAAAATATGGGGAAGACCAGCCCCAAACCTTACCCCCGTACTTGACCTGGTCTGAGATCCTTGATCGTGCCAAAGGTCGAGAACATCCTGCGTACCTGCACCGGATTCGCTTCTCTCTCGTTCACAAGGCTAATCAAGAGGGTTCCTTGATTCTTTTCACGATCGCATGCTCCCGAAGTCTCGTCGGCTCGAGGTAGACTGTAGTGCACATCGATCTAGATCGACAAAGCCATTCAGATACGTGTCTTGATTGACTTCATGCCAACGGCCAACTAACCGGCCGGTTCATCACCAAAGTCGAGTGCATCGCGTCTTTGGCACGCTCTGCAGCACGGGAATCATACTATATATGGGAGGTTGTTAGCCCAAAATGGCCCATGTGATGTTTCGCCTGGCTCACATATGTCAAGAATACCATGCCTCGATTTCGAACCAGATCGAAATGGCTCTTGATCTCGCCAAATGCCTCGAAAGACCTCAAGACTTCCGGAGTGTTGGCTTCATACTGTTGAGATCATGAGTCATTGTGAAGTCTCGGTGCGCAGATTGTCATCCGGTACTCACGCTGACGTTCCTCACAAACAGAGTCCGGCAGGGCCGTTCACGCTGTATCCGCTCGCCAATCAGTTTCTTATGCGTCTCGGGATCGCGTCGCTCGGTGTGATTGGCATAAGGGATGTTTGACGTCGCGATGTCTGCTGGATGTCGAGATCGGGATAGGTCAGAGTTCTCGTTCGAATAGACCATAGGCCAGTGCGCAAGGGGGGAGTGTGCCAATGGAATCCGTGTTGTATTCAAGCTCTGAAAGTTGATGGGCTCGACTCAAAGAGCAGATAGAAAAGCTGAGCAATCTCCCTTTCGCGTTATGTCTCATCCGAAACCTCTGCAAGCCGAGTTACGTTTCCATACAGTCCCGAGTGATTCTTTTCAGGACACGTTGGCTTTCTCAGAAGAAGGACTGTCTTTCGTATCTCGGATTCCCCATATTGCGCCAGAGCCGGATCCTCATCGAAGCCGAATGCAAGAGGTAGCCTTCGTCTAAACAATCTGCTCACCGTGATGATTGCCAGTACTCATGCTAGGAGATTGCGCCCGTCCATAACCCATGCTCTGACGATCACCATAAACTGAAGGACCTGCATGCGCATTAGGTGTGTCTCCCACACCGAACGATCGATTGTAATTGCTTGAAGGGGGTAAATTCTGTTGACGGATCGTCTCAGGGGGACCTGACCTAGATCCCGAGCCTCCTGTACGACCACCACCTCGATAACCTCCGCGACGCGGCGCAAAGCGATCTGGACCCGGTCCTTGGTGATGAGAGATAGGTTGAGAGGTCACATCTGCAGGGCGAAGGAGCGACTGGGCTGGGGGGTAATACTGATTGGTTGCGGGTGGCCGAACAAAGTTCGGGTTGTAAGCCATGGTCTCCTGCTGATGATAACCTAGCCTGCCTCGATAGACGGCTCTCAGCGATGTACACGGAATCCAATCCTAGGACCGACTAAGAATGGACTGTGGAAAGTACAGTACGTAGCGTTGACTGGGGTGCAAGACAATAAAGATGTAAAGATGCAAGCTCGAGTCGTGGAATCGGTTACAAATACCGCCTTTCAACACTCGATAACGTACCCAGCTCACCGATACGACTTACGGACATTTGGATCTTTTTGTATGTCCGTGACCCCCCAGTGAGAGCCTTAAAGCGCTTTTCGCTACGCGTTTCATCGTGACCGATCGCAAGACAACCGATTGAAAAAACACAGTAGGTCACTTGAAAGTCTCAGAAGCTACAAGCATTACAAATCACGCAAACGTCGCTGATCCTTGGGGGCTAGCTCATGAAGGAGTTCGAGTGATCGGCTCCGCTCTTCAATCTTTCAAACTCTTCTCTCTCTCGCTGAACGTCATGCACCCAGTAGACAATGGCCCGGGACTGCTCGGACAGACCTTGTTAGCCTCTTTCAATCCGCGGCATTGGTTCAGCACTTTTGTACTGGGCCATCTCTGTAGCTGTAGCTGGCTTACCGCTGATGATACGATTGGCGAATGAGCCATCCCAAATGACGCGTCAGTTTCAACCTGGAGCGTCGCTTTTGGGAGTGCTCCTAATATATATTTCCAATAGCGATAGTTTCATGTCTCATGGAGGGTCTAGTCCTGTGTCTCGAACGCAGCCCCTTGAATCTGAGCTGCGAGCTAGCGGGGCAACATCAGCTATCCGCTACCGGAATCCCTTGTACTGCTAGAGAAGTGTTTGACATCACGTGACGAGAATTAGTGGCTGACGGCATGGCCTGCCCGTGCCCGAGGGCGAGGCCGCGTGGCGCGTACCCGATCGATCGGGGCCAAGAGTGAGCAGCAAACCGCCCATGACGACGCTGCCATGGCCGTCTCTCGCTCTCGGAATGTCGAGGTCTTCCTTTATGATGACCACCCAGCACACAGCTTATAGTCGTCTTCATCCCCAGCAGCACCCATCACCACTCTCCGAGCCACTGCATCTACCTGCATCTAGACACACAACTCTGACCATGTCCAACCCCGCTCCCGTGAAACAAAAGGCCATCTTCGAATCCCTCACCGAGTACGGCGAGTCGGCTCTCGACAACGGATGGCTTCCCGACGCTGTCCTCCGTCCCGTCATCAGAAAGTTGAACCGTGTTCGTCTCGCCGAGATTGACAAGGGTCAGTAGAGTGTTCCATCGTTTGACCCGCTGCTCGTACTATACAGCACAAGTCTAATCGGTTCTCACTTTAGGTACCGGAGCTGCCAACCATGCGGCCAAGATGGACTTTATCGCCAAACTGGGTGAACCCAACCGACCTCTGGCCGAACATCAGGCAAAGGCGAATGAGCAACACTACGAAGTCCCCACTTCCTTCTTGAAGCTGTGTCTCGGACCTCGAATGAAGTACTCTTCGTGCTACTACCCATCACTCGAAGATTCGACTCGACCGGGCGGAGCCAAAGACATCAAGTACGCAAAAGAGTCGCTCGCAGAGGCCGAAGAGGTCATGCTCAAGAGCTACTGTGAGAAGGCCGGCTTGGGAGAGCAGGGTCCGGGACAGGGAGAGGGCCTCAGCATCCTTGACCTCGGTTGCGGATGGGGAAGTTTGGGACTCTACCTGGCCGAAAAGTACCCGAAAGCCAGCATCAAGATGTTGTCCAACTCGCGGACCCAAAAGGTTCACATCGACGGGACCTGCAAGGAAAAGGGCTTTGGTAACGTCGAGGTGAATCACAAACGCGACGACATTACTAGCATCACCAGTCATTAACAACGCATGTCGATGTCTCCAGGTGATCACTGGTGACTTTACGCAATTTGATTTCGAGGAGAAGGAGCAGTAAGTCTGGAACGTTAACATTCGAAGAAAGAGACGAGCTGAACCGATCAAGTCTCCTGCTCGCTGTCCAGGTTCACACATGTGCTTTCTATCGAAATGTTCGAGCACATGAAGGGGTACCCCCACCTGTTCGCCAAAGTAGCCACTTGGCTCAAACCTCGCGGCAAGGTCTTTATCCACGTGTTCGTGCACAAGGACACGCCTTACGAGTTCGAGGACAATGATGGTTGGATGAGCAAGCACTTCTTCAGCGGAGGAACCATGCCCTCGGTCAGTCCGACTGATATGCTCTCTTTCACCGACTGACGATCCGAATGGCTTGATGATACACAGTTGGATCTCTTCACCTATTTCCAAAAGGACCTCGTCCTGCAAAAGTCTTGGTTCATCCCTGGCAACCATTACGCACAGACTCTCGAATCTTGGTTGCGATTGCAAGATTCCAACAAGACTGAAGGTATGAGGTTGTTGGAAGAGGACGCAGAGCAGAAGGGATTCGGTAAAGACGAAGGAAGGAAGAGCTTCTACAGGTGAGCTTGTCTACAGTCTCTGGACACCACTGCTAACTCGGACTGATGATTGACGGATTCGCTTGTGCGAATAGATTCCGCGTATTCTTCTTGGCGTGTGCAGAATTCTTTGCCATGGATCGCGGAGAGACTTGGGGTCTCGGTCACTACCTGTACGTGATTAGTCGCCGTCTAAGTGACATCGGATGGCTAACGGCTCACATTGTATTTGTATTTTAAAACAGGTTTGAGAAGCGCTGATCGTTGAAACTAGAAAATCGAAAAGATCCTCCTACCGCGACTTCCGCTTTTCTCTCTAGTCCGGCTCGAACCCGTCTAGATTTCACAATCAGGTTGTATACTTTGGGTTATTGGGAAATGTTACAATAGATGTTGACGTCCGAAACAGCAGAGGGACACATGGATATTCTCACGCGGAAACCAGCACCGCACCGGGAACAAAGCAATGTGAAAACAAAGGAAGGTCTCGTTTCATCCCGTCAGTTTCACCTCTGCTTCCTTGATGTTTCGAATCAGCCGAAGGTGCAAGGAGATGGTCTGTATATACTCCAAAGCCGTACGACCAATCTAGGGGCAGGGAGTTGATGTGCGACCACAAGGTCGTGGTCACTTGGCCGCGTCGTTTTCAAAAAATGTCTGAATCTGCTATTCCCACCGTGACCGTGAGGGAGACGGTCACAGCAACTCCCTCCGCTTCTAACACTCCCACTCCCGGTATGAATATCCCAGCCGGACAACCTCATCCGTTTCCTCAAGGTTTTCCTGGACCTTATCCGGGGCCTTTACCTGGAAATTACCCTCCGCCGTTCATCCCGATGGCAGGGCTTCCCCCTGTCGCCCAACCAGGATCCATCGTTTCGCCGTTTGCCGCTGTACTGTGCATTCTCACAGTCGCTGGTTGCTACTGGGCTTTCAAATACTTGCCTCAACTCTCGATGACAAACGCTCCATCTGCCTCGAGCAGTCCTGACAAGGAAGAAAAGGACAAAGACAAGGATAAGGCTGGGTCGACAGAAAGCTCAGCGTAAGACGATCATGAAAATGGAAGAAACACTTCACTACTGATGACAAGCTGACCATCGGACCGATATTCAGGGGGTCTCAAATGACAATCATCTCACCTGCAGCGTTCATTAGCTTGTTCTGCTTTGCATTGCTCGCGATCGTTATCATTCAGGGTCCGCTGGGATTGGCCGAGGCGTTCTCCGGCAAGGATCCCCATGTGGCACCGGTCACGACTTCTCCAGCCCAGACTGGCCAACAGCTGGGCGTCAAGCAGCTACGAGACTTGATAGCAGTCTTACAACCGAATTCAGCATCATCTGCGCCCGCCTCTAACGGGGACCCTCAGCCGCACATTGGCGGTCAGCATCATGCTGTTGGGCCGAACGGGGCCGCTTCTTCTAGCTGGTACATCAATCAGGGTGAGTACCCACAAGGGTCACTACGCGCTTGACCAGGCTGAACAGACCGCTTTCAGGCAATCATGCTAGCGGCTCTGATGCTTCAAATCAGCCCAAAAACGGCCCTGAGCTGTCATTAGCTGATCGCCTACTGCTAGCAGGCCTTCCGCCTGCATTTCAGGGTGAGTGTAAATGCTGACAACAGGCGCGAGTATCTCCGTTGAAATGACTGTACTGTGTTTCAGCTTTCGACCTTTGTCAATCACAGCCCTCAACATGTGCAAGTCTGTTGCAGACCGTCGATACCGATCTGCTCACGGATTTACTGTCGGGCGGTCGATCGGCTTCTGGTGTTCCGCCAGCAGGCGCGCCTTTGGCCAAGCCTGTTCCCTTGATTCCTCAGCACGGTTTCTTGGGATCTTACCAGGGATTGAAAAGCCTCGAAAACGCGTTCTACCCGATGCTGATAGGCGCCATCGGACTGATCGTGCTATTTGATTACGGCACTTGAACGATGTCTAGATCGATTAAGCTGACAGCAGTACAGCAGTACATATCTATGAATCTTAGACGAGACTGTTACTGCTTGCCTTCTGTGTCGCTATGTCACATGTTTCGAGAGCGCAAGAGTACGCTAGGTCGCGAAAGCCGTTCCTGCCGCATGCGATATATCGTCGTGGCATATGGCATATGGCATATGGCAATGAAACACTCTTATTTCATAATCTCACGACATGAAACACCAACCAAGGAGATCATAAAACGGGGGGAACGTGGTCACGTGATCGCAAGGGTGACGTAAACACGCTGCGGGCGAAGACCGAGGTCGTGCATAGCAGGATCCTCGAACCTCCTGACTTCGAGTTGCTTGCGTGCTTGTCTGACCGAGTCGTCAATCTTTTCTCAAGGTCGATCGCTATAACTGTACAGACAGAGCTCGATCTCAACGCGGCCGCTTCGAGTTGAGACACTCTGAGCCGGATCTCTCCCCCTTCAGCTAATGCCGCTACCCTTACCGACTGAGAAGGCGAGTTCAGCTGGAACAGTAACTACTCAAGCAGTCATTGCCGGAGAAGGGTCTGGTATCGGTCGGGATCACAGCACGAAAACTCTTCGCGAAGATGACAACACAGTTTCTCCCGAATCATCGGTAAATGATCCTCACCTAAGCAGTATATAGCCGTGCTAAACATTCCTCCTGTCTCGGTGTGTGCGCATAGATCCACGCTCTCGCACAGCTTGGCGATGTCTCTGGATTCGAACACATGCTCAGGGAGAAGACCGAGAATGATCAAGTCCTGGACGTGAACGAGAGAGATGCTGGCGATGTGACGGCGCTGCACTGGGCAGCTATCAATGCTCACGTGGAGGCGTGCGAGTGAGTCGAGGTCTGCGAGAGATTCTGCATGATGTCGTGAAGATAGCGACTAACTTACTGTCTCAGGTGGTTGATTGATCACGGTGCCGTCGTCGATGCCGTGGGCGGAGAGCTCAAAGCAACTCCACTACATTGGGCAGCCAGGTGAGCGATGTCGTAATTCTACTTAGCTACCTGCGGCGTAAGCTAACATAATGCCGTTTCGAAGAAACGGACACCTCTACGTGATCCAACTCCTACTATCGAGATCCGCAAACCCAGAACTTCAGGATGCGCAGGGCTTCAACACCCTCCATCTGGTAACCCACTCCTCTGCGGTCATGCCCCTCCTCTATCTGCTGAGACAGCCAATCGGGGTAGACGACCGAGATACGGATGGACACACCTCGCTGATGTGGGCTGCTTGGCAAGGTTCGTTTATCGTGCAAAGCGTGCCTCGACTGCGAATTGACGCTGTACCCGTATCCGGCTTTTGCTTATAGGCGACGCTTTGTCCATCGATCTGCTTCTCAAGCATGGGGCATCTCTGAACGCACGGGATGCGGCTCAGCTGACCCCCCTACATTGGGCAGCAGTCAAGGGATCTCGTGCTTGCATATCCAGACTTTTACGAGCTGGGGCTGCGCTTGACGCCAAGGAAGACAACGGCAAGACTCCTGCAGATATGGCTGCTGAGCTGAAGGCTATCGGACCATGGAGAGGGGCTCTCGAGGACGCTGGCTTCGACGATCTCGGCCGAAAACGCATTCCTGCTATGAGCGAGGTAAGCCATGCTTGTCGCTCTATAAGCATTGATCAATCTGCTGATATCAGTATTGCGTACTCGGTGCTGATGTCGACAGGCAAACCAGAACAAACTTATTTGGCTCAGTCCCGTCTTGTCGTTTGGCCTCTCATTTTCGGCTTTTGCGCGATTTCCCGTGTACTGTGGCATTCCGGTCGCCATAGCCATCTTCTTCGTACAACACCACGTGCGTTCATCGACTGCGACACATCGCTTGCATGCAACGTCCTGACTGCCTCTCATTTCCAGCTCATCACAAAGACTCTCCTCAAGACGCGAGGCTTTGGCGATGGAGTGACCAAGTCTCCCTACTTTGCAGCCATCATAGCCGGTAGTTTCTTTCACGTAGCACTTTGCTGGATCGTGCTCCTCCTGAGAGGTAATTGGTCTTTCAACCGATACGATGTGTCGCATTCACCACGTGCTCATCAACTAATATTGTTGTGCCGATAGGGACCCCGGGGCATCTGACGTCGAATGGCATCTTTGCTGTCAGTTTGTCGATCTGCATCTACAACTTCTACAAGGCGGTTGTGTGTGATCCAGGTTGGACAGTGCCAGATTCCTCTCAAGACCGACTTACAGAGGTAATCGTCTCTATGCAACAACAGTATGATCTTGTTCCAAGGCTAATTTGACCAAAAATGGCTGTCTTCCAGTTGGTCGAAGATTTGGCGGGGAAATCCCTGCTGAATGGGACATACTTTTGCATAGTCTGTATGGTATGTTTATCGAACGGATTGCGTTATCACAACTGTCGATGAGATCGCTGAGGTTCCGTATCTTTATAGGCCAGGAAACCTCTGCGAGGAAAGCACTGCAGGCTCTGCAACCGATGCACGGGTCGTTTCGACCAGTAAGCCCTAACGGTCTTGCTTGATCTGTCGCTGCCCGCTTATCTCCATGTGCTCGTGTCGCAGTCACTGCCCATGGATATGGAACTGTGGTCAGTTTTGAACGTGTCGACGATTGAAAAAGACGTTTCTAATCTAAAGAACCATCAGTCGGATATAATAACCATCCCAACTTCTTGCTCTTTGTCGGGAGTCTCGTCATCGGTATCATCACCTTTGACATTCTCGCTGTGATATGTGGGTTTTAACAGATCTCATCTTGATCTCACCGATACTTATCTCACTACCGTCTCGCAATACAGACTACGGAGAGAATGGCCCGGTCTATCAACCGGAGAAATCGCCTTATATAACGTTCTGTCAAACGCTACCTTCCGTTTGCGGAGCATATCAAACGGCGCCATACCTGCTTGCCGTAACGTTATGGTCTACGCTGCAACTCACGTGGACAACGATCCTTCTGGCGAGCCAGGCTTGGCAGGTCGCGCGTCAAATGACAACGCTAGAAGTCAGCAATCTTGGACGGTATGGATTTATGGGAGGAAGAGGTGGCACAAGTCTCCGAGAACAAGGAGGTGCAATGGCCGCCTTACACGCTCATGGCGCACCGTCTGCAAATCGACCTGAGCACGAACTGCAAGCAGACGTCATAGATATAGGTGCAGGACCAGGACAAGCGGGGGCGGAAGAGGAAGGTCTTGCGACTTCCGACTCAATTGGCGTGAACGAGTCTGTCCCCTTTGGGACCTCGACCACAAGGACGGATTCGAGACGGCTGTCGCCGTCGCGCGTCTCTCATAATCCTTGTGTGGCACTGGCAGGCGGTGCATTGCGCTATTGCGCGAATGGTCCTCTCTTGCAACTGTTAGGGCTCGATCGCTTCACAAAAGGTGCTGCAGGAAGAGGTATGAGGCTGGCGGAAGAAGGTGGCGGGAACCCGTTTGACATGGGCATCGTGACTGTAAGCGGAAGAGCGCCTCAGACGACATGCCCGATCGGTACTGATCGATATGGGTCTCTCAGAATTGTGAGGATTTCTGGACGAGAGGACAGGCCCTGGATATCGATTACAAAGAGCTGTACTCGATTCCGAATGAAGGTGATTGCCTGGACCTTTGCCTCTTCCCTGCCTCTTGTTCGTCGATCTGATAAATATCATCTCTCAGGCTTACGACATCGCACACGAGATTCGCCGTACAGGCGAGTACGGGCCATGTTTCTGGATAATAATCGTTCCAACGAGACCTCATATCAACTTGTAGATAGTCGATCTCCAGACTCCCGGCAGCCTGTCTGATCGTTCCACGATATTCATCAAATCCTTCAGTTCCGAGGCTTGTCCGAGTTTCTTGTTTTGAGTCGGCGGCAATCCATTGAGTATGTGAGTGACACACTATACCGTAAGGTAGTCGCGGCAACTGTCCGTATCACTTCAGTCGCGATCGTCGCAACACGTTAGCCCTTGTTTGAAGTGGTCTCGGGGTCACGAGCTAAATCGTCAGGAGGTCAATCAACATAATACCATAATGCAAACGGCGATTTTTGAAAGCCGACCCCCAAAGATACTGGCGACGCTACGTATGCTGCATACGATTACACCTTGATTGTTCTTGTGATCTTACCGAGGACGTGGCAAGTTGAACGACAGTACGATGCCGGTCCTTCCCAAACTAGCCCTGGTATCTTAGCTTGAGTCCCCTTCACCTTCAGATTGGACACGCCTCAAATGATCCTCTTTGTCTCGAGTCTCGACACCGCCCTGAGATTCCCTCTGGTCTTCATCCCGGCCAGCGCCTCGATGTCACCACCAATCCATCAAAGGATGGCGACCGAGCATAAATGCCATGGCTGATGGCAAAGCAGGGGTATTCTGGTCAAAGGAATGCCATCTCCAAGATCAGCAATTCCTACATCCTTGCCGATGCCACATCCCTTGATCCTCCCCTCACTTTGTACCAACCTGCCCTTATGATTGATGGCAAGCTTCCTGATACCATAGATCTGGTTGAAATGATCGAGAGAGAGCAGAATAGGATCAACAAGTTGACTCCAGGATAAAACATGTGCGTAAGAGGTAATTGTGCCTGGTGAAGGGTTCCTCACAGCCAGTGAGACGCGATTATTTAGTCAAAACTTGCAAAAAGGCCCAGGCACAGGGAAGGGTCTTGCGATGAGCCGTTCTTAGAGGAGGAGGCAGCGGTCTCCAAGGTGGGTATCATCGTCGTATCTCCCCTCGTTCTTGTTGAGTATCGGCTTGGGAAGCCCCTTGTCGCTCTGAATCAATGACACAGTCAATCTGTAAAGGATCAGGGGAACAACTTATACTTCCTACATAGTTTCACATGGTTACGCCGTATTTGGAAAGGAGCAAGGTTTGTAGGACGGATAGCAGTGGTCAGCAAATTGTGAACAGATCAGAGAGACTCGTCATGTTTGTTGGTGTCGATTTTGTTCGATGATGTGTCAAGTTTGTCTGGTGATGAAGCAGAGTGGTTTGTTCATGACATGCACTCCAACTTTGTACTCTGTGCATTGCACGTTGTGCTTTTTACTTTGATTCTTATATATTGTAGCTTGTTGTCACAGGATCATCGCGTGAGTCGACTACCAACACGCGGCGAGGAGGCAAGCACAGGCTCAATGACTAGGATGATGATGATGTGGTGATACAAGGTGTGGTGATGATACATGTGTGTGTGTGGAGGGAGATCTAGATGTCTAGTAGGCAGCGCGCGCGCCTACAGCGGGCTTGTTCCACGGACATCAGCATACACCTAAGTCTGGCTCGACGAGGCGAACCCGATTCCTTGGAGCAGATTCGGTCGTCCCTACCATTCACCGGAACAATAACAATCAGTTCCTGACACATATCACAGACAGGTACAAGGACCTTGAGTACCTCGACAACCTTACTCAGTACCTCGACAACCTTACTCAGTACCTCAACAACCTTACTCAGTACCTCAACAACCTTACTCAGTACCTCAACAACCTTACTCAGTACCTCAACAACCTTACTCAACGTACCTAGGGACAATGTGAACTCAGACCCGCCTCCTCTACCAAATCCGGTTGCTCTCGACAGGATTCGTCTGTTTGCCGTCTGGATCTCCCGGTTTCGCCATCTCCCGCCGTTCTTTTGTTCTTGGGTCTTTTCAGTGTTTGCCAGTCTCTTCTCCATACTCGTCTCCGTATGAATAGCTAGAGGAACCTGACTGAATTTGATAGAGGACACTCTGTAATAGTAATAGGTCAAGTTTCGATATCACATTCAATACACGCCTATCTGACTTGTTACAACATCTTCAAGACGTGTTGCGGAGAGGTTACAAACTCAAGGACGTCGCTAAGTATCTACGTTTCATCGATTTACCTTAGACCGAATCCGGTACCTCACACCGAGTGATCATCCTTCCTTATCCATATATCTTTGGATCCGTACCCCTTACCCGAACTCGCTTCATCTAAACGAACTTGCGACACTCTCCCGACTACCTGTGATTCACCTTAAAGCACCCTACGCCGTATGACTTAGGACCTATCGCCCATTAGTGACTTCCGCCGTAACACTTGTACATTGTACAACCACCTCTTATCTTTTTACTCCTAGCCTACTCATGAGTATATATAGGAGGCAGGAGGAAGGGGACCAGGGTACAGCATCCTACACCTTCACACTTCACTCATCTAGTCACAGAACCCTACTTTAGTTACTTCCTAGTGACAAGACCCTACTTTAGTATCTTCCTGCTTACCAAAGCCACCTCCACACACTATGACCTTTGTCAAACCCTTCAAGGCTTAGCTACCCTTGTTGCTGTCTCTATTGAGTGTTTGAGGAGTAAGATGATTATCTCTGAGGGAGCAATGTTGAGACAATTGCAAGAACCAGATGAATTAGTTGTGAGAGACCCAAGTTTCCCTCAGAAGAAAGCTTGGTTCATCACACAAGCCTTGCTCCAGATCAATCAATCCCATGAATTTTGACAACACAAGCGGATACTTATGCTGCGCTGTCTTACATGCCTGAGTGACAATAAGCAAGACATTTCAATGCTTCCGACGCTTCCGTGGCTGGCTGACTCTGCTGGTGTGATATGAGCAATATCCCTCCTGAGATCCTGCTCTGATCACTATCCGGTTGCAATGCTCATCAGAGCACTCATAAATATAATAGCTTCCAGGACTCTTAGTAAAGCCATCAAATCGCTTTCTTTCTCCAACAGCTTTCTGTAGTCCAGTCAGAAAGTCTAAAAGTTGCTGTGGATCCTTGTTGGCCTGCAGTTCTAACTTGACTCTCCCAGCACTCTTTGGGTCCAGATTCCACAGGAAATCAAAGTCCAATTGCCTGATTGCATCATCACCGATGTGGCTGGGCAGAATCACACTCTGGTTCATCAGAGTCACCATCTTGCCGGTCACCTCCTGAGCATTCACTTGCATAATGCTACTGGGCAAAGTCACATCATCTGTGCCTGTGTTTGCAATGGGCAGAAACACATTGTGCCTGACCATAGTTGATGGATCTGGACAAACTTCTGGTCAGTCTCTGGACTCATCAATATTGGCAGTGTCTCACATGTATCTGTGGCTGCCCCTTCCCAAATATCTTGCTGTTGCTGTAGACCCCTTTGCCAAGGTAAACTCTGTTCCTGAAAGGTAGACTGCCAAGCATGTGAAAAGCTACTCTGGTTATAACCCTTATCCCAGTGGTCAACAGGTCGATGATGGCCTGATCCATCAGTCTCTTCAGGCATTATATCAGGGACTAGATAGTCTGGTGGTGAGATACCTTGCTGAACCAGAAACTGCACTTGTGGGAGAGCTTCTGCATCACCTGTATAGCAAGTCTGGTTGAATGGGCCAGTCGTTATTGGAGCTGCTATGGAGGAATCTCCTTGGCGAACTGAGGTGTTCCTGAACCTAGGACTCTGAAGAAGGTTGCCTTGATCTGTCTCTTCGAGTAGATACCCTGAAGAACTTGTGTAGAACGGTTGACTGTACTGGCCATTTGTGCTTTGATGGGCTGTTCTGCTAACTCCGACTGTGTGATAACCTTTCCAAGAGTTGATACTGTGGGACAGACTGGGGTCACGAGCCTGTTCAGTCCACTGCATCTGGGTTAAGGAAGGATCGTGTAATCTGGATCCTTCGGTGCTATTGTGAAGATGTCTTGTAGGATATTCCGTGGTGTCATGCCCTTGATGTGAGGTGGTCTCTGATATGAAACTAGGATCGAGGCTTGTTCTGTCAGCTGCACTCATGTTGCTCCGTACAAATGGATATAATGTTGCGTCAAGATGAATGCAACACGTTAGTGCCCTGTTGCTGACATGTATATACATGATCCTGTACATAATTGAGAAGCGAACCTCTGACTAGTTGTCATTGTACCTTCCTTTCATCTTTCTATGAGAACCAAGCGCATGACCTCCCAGCAGAGTTTTCCTTAAACAGGCTGCTGAGGCGCAGGAAGAGAGTCATTCAACGTGAGGCTCAGCCACAGCTCTGTTGTGAAGTAACAACTAGATCCACCAAGGTTGGTTACTTGATGTACCTAGGCAATAGTAATGGTGTGTTACTAGTGCTGATCTTGTCTTGTTGTGAAGATGAATCAATGTTGCTTGCATAAAAGTAAAAGAGTACATGAGGGGGAAAGAGAAATCAGGCCAAAATGGCCTGCTATATATACCTTTCTGAGAAAGGAACGTGGCAGGTTTTGCCACCACAAAGAGGGTTTCGAGTTGTGTCCTGTTGCGTTGAGTTGCCTCATTGCAAGGCAGGAAAGGGAGAGGGCAAGTGCCCAGGTGTGTATCCTCGATGGGGATACTCAACGAGTATCCACAATGTGGCGTTACAACGAGGATTTACGTTGTGTATCCTCAACGTGTGGACACAATGAGGATACTCATCGCGTCAGCACAACGAGTTGACGCGCACAGACTTGTGTGTTGGCTTTGTGGTTGAGATTGCTTCCATGTGCTGATGACTAATCATCACCTGTCTATTTCCAACAAGCTCGGGCTAAATCCTTCCAGATTGGCTGACAGGATACAAAATCCAAGCGACACCTGGGTGGATATTTTACAGCAACATGCATATACCTGGACCACAACTTGATATGTTCCCACTGGAGTTGATTAAGGAATATTGTATATGGTTCTTCATCTGCTATCACATCTACATACCCTAGACTTACCTTGATTATGACTCCGCTATCTATCTTCCTAAGCCTTTATCATTCTAATCTTGCTCAGAGCCTTCTTATTGCCACACATATATTGCCCTTTTGGCAGGGAAGAATTGAGCTGATCATGCCAGATAGTATGAGGAGAATAATAAATATAGTGCATGTGTCATAGCTTGCTGTAACCACACTGCTCACTTCGATAGCCATTAGAGAAAATCTTTGGGCTTGTCAAACCTCTCAATTACTTTTCAAGACAACTGAAGATTGATCCCAGCGAGACAACAAGCTCATTTGCCAACTCCTCGCAATGCAAAGACGTCTCGTAATAATGTGTCTTCACCACAAGATGTCAGGTACCACACACAAGAACACATCTTGCCGATAATAGAATTTGATGCGCTAAGTTTGAGGAAAGAAACAGTGTTGAAACATTATCACAGAAACAATTTGTCTCGACAATCTCGGTCCCCCACTTCAACTGCCAGAAGTTGCAGTTTGAGACAACTGGATGAATTTCTATTCCAGGACAGAGATGGCAATCTTGTTGACATGATGATCATGCAATTGATTAGAGAGGCAGCTGAATTTATTTGTTGTGATGGGGTCAAATATGCTATGGGACAGAGATAGCTGGGTAAAAGTGTGTTCCAATGGGACAATGAATAGTTAAGGAACACAGCTCATCTGAAACGGCGGAGACAAGTGCTCACCAGTGCCAAACCAGGGTGACATAATGAGGAGTTGCAGTGTTCAGATATATATCAGTATACATTGAGGACACACAGATTGGACTAAACTTTCTTGCATCCCAGTCTGGACTGTTTACAGCACTATGAATGGCAGCTGGACCATGATTTATCAATGCACACCTATGACTGGGATATGGCATAACAAGCTCAGAAATTGGAGGTTCCCTGCAAGCTCACAGTTGTTGAAGATTAGCATGCTATGTCATTATAGGTCATGCTAAAGATGCAATCTCAAGCACAAAGGGTCAACATGTGACCAGGATCCCATGTTGTGACTGGAGACGCAAATTTGTGACTGGAGTCACACTTATGCAGCTGGTGTCACATATTGGTTACGAGCTTCTTTCACCTATGAGATAGGTGATTTGGGTCTCAGAGTACTGGCCAAGCAATGAGTCAGATTCCAATTGACATTCAGGGAGCACATCAATGATTGGTACAGACAGTGACTGGCCGACGACACCTACAGCGCCATCAATATGGTTGCGCTCAGGACTGGGAGACCTCGCTTGCTTAGACTCCTAGGGGACCAAGGGGCAACTTGATTTCAACCCAGGTCTTTTATTGATAGAATGTCATGTATGACTGGGGATGCCATATACGTTCAGAGACACAAATGTGTGACTGCTCCAGTTGTAAGTTCACTAAGAGATGCTTATCAGAATAGCACATATAGCAGACCATTTTGGGTCTGATTTCCCATTCCCCTCTCATGTACTACTTTACTTTTACGCAAGCAAGTGAGCTACATTGAATTCATCTTTACAACAAGACAAGATCAGCACTAGTAATACACCATTACTAGTGCCTAGGAACATCAAGTAAACAATCTTGGTGGATCTAGTTGTTACTGTACAACACGGCAGTGCCTTGACTTGGTCTATTATATGATGGGTGTTATGCCAGTTGATTGTTCAGGTGCTTAGGACCTCGGGAGCTCAGAGGTCCAGTTCATTGTGTGAGACGAGAGGGTCAATGGAATACCGTACAGCCAATGGAGACCGGGAAAAGTTTTTGTTGCCGATGTCTTGGGTTAGGCTACATGCATACAGCCTTGAGATTGAGGTTACACAGAGAGATGACAAAAGGTCAGCATGTACTGCATGTCCCTGATCACTACAAGGAGAGAAACACCAGCAACGACAGACTCACCAACTCAAACCCCTAAAGCCAACAACCCAACAACTCAGTTGAGCTCCATACTACTTGGAAGCTACCTGCATTGGCAACGGTCATCAAGGACAGTGATTAGCTGTCTTATCGCCCACCGCTCGATCACATGTCAGTCATTGCTGGGCCGTAGTATCGACCTCGACACATCAACCTCAAGATCAACCCTACTCTTCTGACCTTGACAACACTTGCTGGTTCCCTGCACTGTGGATGTGACGATCCTTGGTGGGTTACCATGCTTGTTGACTCTTGCTTGATTGGGTCTGCCAACATCAGTAGCCAATCCATGACCAAGACTATCCGATATTCCAATGAGAGAGGAGTATTGAGTGGGCGGGGTAGATGACGGTGTTGTCAGTCTAACTGTTTCCAGAAAGATACAGCAGGTGAGTTTGCCAACATCAAATAGAACGCTTGACCAGATCAACCTTCTGACTTCCTTTTATGTACAGATTCAAAGCCTTATAGCAAGATCTCAACATGCAAACTTCAAGGATCCCGCCTTGCTGGCTATCATTGATAATGTATTAAGTGGACTGATCTTGCTCAACTCGACCCTGCTGACCTACTTGCTTTTCACATGCCTCTCTGCACGCAGCAAGGAGAGTCTCTCATGGGATATTGGTGTTGAGTAGATCGTTCTTGCCCGCATCTCTGTTGCTAATGTACCAGACGACTCCCTAAACATCCAACTCCCCCACACATTCCTCTCATCTCCTCTTGTTCACAGCCTTTACCCGCCCTCTTTTACCAAGGACACACATCCTCTACCTCGCTTCCATCTGACTCTGGCATTTATGGTGTTGCATCCAGCTGGAGAGATGACCTGGCAGACCACAGACTGCGTCAACAGAGGATCAGGACCGGCGTGGATAAGATGAGATCTGGAGGTGCTGTAAGGCCCGGGAGCAACCCCCAATGGGGGTCCCTGTAAAGGATCAGGGGAACAACTTGTACTTTCTACATAGTTTCACATTCCGTACTTTGTACTTTGTACATTCCGTACTTTGTACATTGCACATTGTACTTTGTACATTGTACAACGTACAACCACCTCTTATCTTTGTACTCCTAGTCTACTCATGAGTATATATAGGGAGGCAGGAGGAAGGGGATCAGGGTACAACACTCTACCTCTTTACTCTTCACTCATCTTACTACCTAGTCAGAAGACCCTACCTTAGTGTCTTCCTGCACAACAAAGTCACCTTCACACAACAACCTTCGCCAATCCCTTCAAGGCTTAGCTACCCTTGTTGCTTCTTCCACTGGGTGTTAGAGAGAGTAAGATAATTGTTTGTTAAAGGAGAAGTGTTGAGACAACTGCGAGAACCGGATAAATTAGTTGTGAGAAACCTAACTTTCCCTTAAAAGAAAGCTTGGTCCATCACACTTGGGGGCGCTTCCCGGACAACTCGCCTACACCTCCAACAAAAACAACACTTTACTACTCCCTTCATCCACTCCACACACCTCTTCTTCATTCACAACTCACCAATCAAACCACTGGACGCAGTGTCAAGTATTTGACATACTTGCAACAGCTTGTTTCTGGCTTCAGATAGCTGTCAAGATCTAGATCACCTGCAACCTTTGACCTAAAGAGAGCTGGTCAATTGCAGTCTCACCCAAACTCAGTGCAGCTTTGGAAGAATTGTTGCAACAATTGGACTATTGTAAAGGATCAGGGGAACAACTTGTACCTTCTACATAGTTTCACATTCCGTACTTTGTACATTCCGCACTTTGTACTTTGCACATTGTACGATGTAAAGGATCAGGGGAACAACTTGTACCTTCTACATAGTTTCACATTCCGTACTTTGTACATTCCGCACTTTGTACTTTGCACATTGTACATTGTACTTTGTACATTGTACAATGTACGACTACCTCTTATCTTTGTACTCCTAGTCTACTCATGAGTATATATAGGAGGCAGGAGGAAGGGGATCAGGGTACAACACTCTACCTCTTTACTCTGCACTCATCTTACTACCTAGTCACAAGACCCTACCTTAGTGTCTTCCTGCACAACAAAGTCACCTTCACACACAACAACCTTCGCCAATCCCTTCAAGGCTTAGCTACCCTTGTTGCTTCTTCCACTGGGTGTTAGAGAGAGTAAGATAATTGTTTGTTAAAGGAGAAG